GGACACCAAGGGTGCCGGCAGCAGCCTGGGATACTGTGTGTGCCGGTCGGCGCTCCTACGGTATAAGGAACCATGCAATCTTACGGGCGGTGAAGGCGATCGGGGTTCCAGATCTGGCTATTAGGATCGGTTTCTATACCGTCTTTCGCTCCCTTCTCCGTCCGCCCTGCTACTTTTGACTGGCGGTGAGCTACACGTGCGAATCATTCCTTCGAAAAGCAGGTTTACCGTAAGCGCGAGCGTGACAGCCAAGGGCGGTAAGGCGGTCATTTGGTGGTATACCGGTGAACTGGGATGCTGTTGCAGATGGAGGAGGAGGTGGTGGTGGTAGTGGTGTGGCCGTGCTCAGCCTCGCCTCAGACGTGCGCATGCTGTGAAACGGCAAGCTTCCCCGCATTTTCAGCAAACCAACACCTACCATCTCGGCAAAGCCAGTCGTTTGCTAAAGAGCTTAGATGGTAGGCTAGAGCTAGAAAGCCTCGCAGCAGTGGTAGAGGAACGGTCCTGGCGTAAATTGAGCTAATCAAGATCGCTGTAGTAACCGCTCTCGGGTAGCAGAAGCATGTGCAGTATATGGCACGTTCCACCGCTTCAACGCAGCGCACCCGACGTTATTGATTCAGTACCCGTCGTGATGCGCGACCGTTGGCGTTACGGAGAGCTTGGTCCATGGAGAAGATTCTACGCATCATACGCGGGCAGCTCAGGAACCTTCGAAAACCCGCTGAGAATAAGGTTTGCTGTTGTGCTCTCGCTGCTGTATGCTGCTGGTAAGATTGCCGCCCAAGCGCGCGGGTCCAAAGCTACACTCAGCTATACTCAGCGTGCAACGCGCGGTGGCTTCCCGAGCCTTTGGAGGTGCATGATGGTGATAGGGCCATGTTGGAGTCGTAATCATGTTTCGAAGCACGGCTCGGGCTGGAGGGCCGGATGACTAGCGTCGCTGGGCTCTTGATCTGCAACAAAAGTCGCCGCAGTTTGGAAACAACGCCTTGTTGGCTCGCTTACGCCTTGGTTGGCGGCGAGCTCGGTTGCGGCGCGTGCTACAGCCGTCATCGACGATGCAAATCCGCTTTAGTGCGATGAGATTTGCGGATGTGCCGGGAGATTGGACAATACGAGACAACGAGGCCGGCGCCTGGCGGGGAACGAGAGTGAGCAAAAGCTTGGCCTGCTAGGCTCCCAAGAAGCGGTGGCCGACCAGAAGCAACGAGAAAGCGTGTGTGCATATTTTCTGCAGCTTGCCGACTCGTGAAAAGAAACTTTCGTATGACGACCACCACAGCGAAAACGTGAGGCTGCTGACAGGACAGCATTCCAGCAGTGAGATCAAGCTCGTACGGCTCACTGCTTGCGTGCTGCTGCTTGGTGAGCAATTTCCACCGCGGCGGCTGAGCCTGCCTGGCCGGGTCTAGAGTGTCGCAGGGTTTTCGCGCGCCTGTGCGAGCCCCCGCGAACATCGCTGATGAAATTGTGTGGTGGACACGGTCACACAAGACAGACGCGAACACACAGCGATGTCGGCTGCGGTAGCGAGAATGTGGCGGGAGGGCTTATTGCAACGCCGCACATGGAAGTCGGAATAGATACAATGCCGGACGTGGTGTTGTGTGCGAGATCCACCCCAGTCGGGCCGCGTCTCCCCGGACAAGCAGGCGACAGGGGGCAATTCCGCGCAGCGCTGGAGGTGGGGAGTTTTGTTGGAGACTGGAGTGAATGCTGGGCGAGAAGGCCCGAAACGGCATGCTAAGTGGAGGTCTCTGATGATTTTCCCGACATCCTCTGCACAGCCATGTCGTCAGCAGTGGCAGACCGCCTCGATGGCCCCGTTTCGCAAGTTGCGACACCACGCCCGCCATTGGCAGCCCGCTGCAGACGTCGCGCGCTGACCTTGGCACCATCTCCGCGGCTCTGTGGAGTCGCACGTAACGGGAAAGCCAAGCCTGACCGGAGGGCCCTTCCAACCTGCAGGCTCGGTGCCGCGCGCGCGCCCGTATCCAGCGATAAGGAGCCGGCGAGCCCACCGCACCCCTGATAAGCGCGCGGTCGGCGAGCCTCGCGCGGTGCAACGGAGATTGTTCGTCTGCAGGCGCAGTCACCCCTTGCCCGCAAGCCGGCAGGCCGTCGATGGCGGCGCCATAGCGCTCTGCGCTGATATCGGTTGAGCTGCCGCCGGCCAACAGTTGCCTTATTCAGCGCTGACGCAGGCCCGGCACGGCGGATCGCCGCCATGGGAGATCGGCAGACCTCGACGCGTCTTCCCTGCCGGGCGGTGAGCCCCGAGTCAGCGGCAGCCCTTTCTGCCAGCAGATTATTTTGACTTCTGCTGGCTCCGCTCCTGCAGACATGCACCGCTGCCACCGCGCCCTGCGATGGATCCGGGGTACTCGATCGCTGGACACGCGTGGCCGCACGCCCGTCCGCGGCCTGAACCCGCGGCGTGTGCGTTCCGCTGCGAGAAACACCCTCTCAGCCGCGCGACGCGTCGAGCTGGCTGTTGCTGCTGCTGGCGCGGTGAATCCCTGCTTGCCCGACTCGGAGGCTGCCAGCGGGCGGTGCTACCACATTGCCGCAAGCGCCACTGAACACGCTGTAGCTTGTTATTTTAGGCGGCCGGGAACCGTTAGCAGGCTCGTGCTACAGCGCTCGGGTCCGGGATTGCAATGCGGCGAACTGCTCGCGCGCCCAATCACAGCCCTGCTCTCGCTGCAAATCTCCTCCAGGACGCCTGGCCGGCGGCGAAGCTTCTCCTTACGCTCGCGCTGCGCGATGGAGCCGGTGGGCCGTCTTCATGCCTCATCTGGTGGGATAGGGGGAGGAGATCGCGGCTCCTGCGTGATCGTCCGTAGAAGTTTGACGTTGAGTGGTGGGGGTCTGGTGTTGCGTGGATGCAAGGAGGAAAGGGTCGGTGAAGAAAAGCAAGCGATTGCGGCTGTCAGCAGCGAGCCAAGGGTTCTGCGTCCCGCCAGCCCTGCGCGGGACAGCATAAAAGATCAGAGGCGGAGCGGAGCCATGTACGGTGTGCAAACAACATCGCTCGACAGGACAATTTGCATCGATCGATTGATGAAAGCTTTGATGATGTTTTGGTGTCTCGCAATGGGTGCCGCCCACCCGGCAGCGCGGCGACCATTGGCAGCGCAGGCGAGCCGAGTCAGCGGGCGCGTCGCAAGTACATCATCTGCTTCAGATTTGTCGTGACCCGCAGCGCTTTTTTGCTCTTCTGGAGGGTCTTGCGGGGGCGGCTGTAAACGTGTGGCGCCCCACTGTCGACGTGCGCGGTGGAGATGCCAGACTGGCGAGAGGTGACAAACATGCGATCAGTGTCCGAGTGCCAACCGTGGACGTGTGGTTGCGGCGTGCTGGGACCGGGACGGCGACTGGGGCGGTGCTGACGGGCGGCGTGGCGCACACGCAGCCATGGCTCGCGGCGGCGCGTCAGAGGGGAGCCAGAGCCAGTGCCTGGAGGGGTAAGGGGCCGCGAGGGGGACGCGCATTGGAGGCCGGCACTGGCTCCCTGCCTTGCTGCTGCGGGCGGCCGACGCCGGGTTGAGGGCTGCCAGGCGTGTAGCGGCCTTGGAAGAGGGCAGCGCAATGGAACGAGACCGGCTCGCTTGCTGGGGGACGCACGGACATCCCAGCCGTGCGCCGCGCGCCGCTTCGAGCGCGGTGGGCCGATGTCAGGATGAGAAAGCACAGGAATGCGCATTTTGCGGCACCCTGTTGCCGCGATGCCGCTGAGCTCGATGTGCCCAGCGCCGGCCGGCTTGCGCCTCGTTCCGCGCTGCCGCCTGGGAAGCGCGCTGCTTGCGGCAGCTCGACCAGCGGGCGGCGGAACAGCACAGCGCAGCATTTTTCAAAGCGCGCTGGGGAACGTGGAGACGCGGAGGCTGGCGCTGGCGAAAAACCGCGATGATGTCAATGCAGAGGCCCTTTGGCGGCCAGCGCCCTTTGCGGCCTGAGCGCGAGCGCGCAAGCAAGAACAACAGCGGACCGTGGGCGGCGGCTGCTGTCCTAGGCGCTGCGCGAAGGCCCACCCGCCGACACTGTGGCAGAGGAAGGGCGCGAGTCGTGCAGCCAGGCTGGTGCGACGGCGGCGGGGAGGGATCGCGACACACGGCGAAGACGGCGTGCTGCCAGGCGGCTGCCACGGCCATGTGCGAGGCGCGCTGGTCCGACTAGCCCTGGTTGCGGCCGCGGCCGCGAGCACGGCGGCCGGCTTGCTGAACAAAGGTCTGGCCGGCTTTGTCACTGATCGTAGCACTGCTGTACCCCGATCTGCAGCAAATCCTTCAACGCTCGCTTTAACGCCGGCCCCCGGATCCTTGCTCGAGTCGGTTGGGATCGCCCTCGTTCGAGCGCACCACCGCCTGCAAGCCAAGCGCGCCATTTCATTCGCCCGCGCGGCGGTACAGAATTTAGAGTGTGGGAGGGATATCTCCATCCAACGCCGCCCCAATAACCCTCCGCCGCGCCCTCAACACCCGCAGCGCCTCCTCAGTCCTGCTCCTCACCACGCCTCCCCGGGATCCAGCTGCTTCCCCATAATAATCAGGCTGTGGCACCCCCAACCCAGCTTGCACCCGCGAGAGCCCTTCCTGTGTGGCCCGCTTATCAGTCCACGGCTGCCTCGCATTACGCCATCAGCAGGAGCGTACAGACAGCACGGAACCTCCGGCTTCGCTTTCCTGCTTAACCTCCCACCGTCGCCCCGACACTTCTCCTCCCCCTCCGCCGTCCGGCACGTCCCTGTCCTCGGTGAGCGTCCTGCATCCGTCGCTTGCCACTATCATTCTGTGAGTCGTCTTCCCTGCCCGGCCCCGGCATCAAAACCACCAGCCCGCCCGCCTGCCGCGCCTCCCCAACACCACGCATTGCATCTCTGCTGACGCCCCCAGTGCGTAATACTTGCTCGCGCTTGCTTCTTCTAATGCCCTGTCGACCCTAACCGCCCTCAACGTAACACCCTCGCCCAACACCACCACCGTCAAGCCGTCCGGATGCCTTACACGCCGCCCTCCCAGCGGTCTCCTGCCTCCTCCAAAACCAACAGCCCTATTCTCAGCCGCAACCATTCATACAGCGAGGGGTGCTTGAGCCCGCAGTCGACCAGTGCGGCTCACCGGCCGGTCCTTCCCCACTCTTCTGCGTCGTACTTGAGCAAGCACCGCCGCACACCGTCAATATCGCAGTCTCCCCAGGATGGATCCCAGGTGTCGGTGACACACACAAATGGTAGTGCCCACCACGCCAAGCTGCCCTCGATGAAGCTGTTGATACCCGTAGGTGCTGAGTCCACTCCCCCAGACTCTGTGCAGAACTCCGACGATGAGGACCGGGGCCGCCATTCTGGAAAAATAGCCGAGCTGCAGGAGGCCCTGCAGAGCATCGAAGTCAAGCGCGGCCACTCCCCTGAGAGACATGTTGCTGGCACCGCCTCGGCCCCTCGCGAGTCAGTGCCGCCCAACGGCCCGACCAGGCCGGCTCTCACGCCGGAGGCTCGGAAGATCTCGCATTCTAGGTCCTCGAGCGAAATACAGCTCTCCAAGCGGGCCCCCCCTAACCTTGCAAGCTCCCCCATCCAAACATCAGACGAGAGCGAGGAGGATGAGGGCCTGACGATGAAGCCCCCGCTTCTCCGCAAGAAATCGGGAGAGCTAGTGAAGCCGGCCCTTCGGCCCTCCTCCCGGAATCGTCGCCGGCCGTCGAGCATGCCGGGCACTCCCTCCTTCTCCAAGGCCGTGCACTTCAACGACGACATCGAACAGGTCCGCCACTTCCTGCAGGTCGACCGCCCCATTGCTGTCAGTGCTGGTTCATCGCCTGTCGAGACGTACGACAGCGAGTCCGAGTATCCGTTCGGATACGACGATGGCAACGGCTACGCCTCGTCTCGCCGTTCGCGGGTCGAATGGGAGCTGCGATTGGCCAACTTCCCCCGGGACACTTTCGAGCGGAAAACCCTGCCTGTGCGCGTTGAGAAGATCGCTTTGTCGCCTGATAGTTCCACCCTCGTGGGCACGGTTGCTGTTGCGAACCTTGCGTTCCACAAAGCAGTGGTGGCCCGCTTTACCCTGGATTACTGGAAGACCACCTCAGAGGTCGGTGCCGAATACAGTGACGATGTGCGTCGCAAGCAGGCCCACGACGGATGCGACCGCTTTGTCTTCAACATCAAGTTGGCCGACCTTGCCAACCTCGAGTCGAAGACGATGCTGCTCTGTGTGCGCTATACGGTGAACGGTGCCGAATACTGGGATAACAATAACTCGATGAACTTCCAGATCGACTTCATCAAAAAGTCTCTGCCGAAGAACACGAGGGGCAAGCAGGGATCTGCTGGCACCCTTGGTGCGATACCACGTAGCAGGCATTCCCCACCCGCGGCCCGACCGCGGTCCATGCCCATTCCTCTCGACGACGATTTCGGCAACAACTTCGAGTCCAGGTACACTTTCGGTTCGCGCAACTCGAATTCGAGCGATAGCCTGCAGCCTCCAATTAGGCTGAAGAGCAAGAACAAGCCATCGAAGGCCAACCTGTTCCCCGACCAGCCTAACTCCAAGCCGTCCGCGAGTCAGCAAGCGTTCTCCACCCGTTACGACTTCTCGACCTCGCTGTCTCAGGCGTTGTCCAGCGCGCAGACCGCTCTCGGCGATCGCAGCGGCATCAAGAGAAGTAACAAGCCAAGGGCCGGCGATTACTTCAGCCTTCAGGGCGAGGCCCCCTCGGCTAACAAGTCGACCTCGCCACGACCGGACCAGCTGTCATCGGAGAAGCCGGATTTGAAGTCGGCAGAGTACAACGAACTAATCCAGAAATACTGTTTCGTACGTCCTCCCGCACCTACCACCATCCCGGCTGGCCAATTGAACCAGGGACGCTGACAACCTGTGCAGTTCGGATCCGGAAGAGGCTCTCCCCAGGTCTCTAGTCCCAAGGCGGTCGTCTCTTCCGACGGAGCTCGCGACATCGAATCCGACGGAAGCACGTCCAGTCCCCTAGGATCTGGATCAAACAGCCCCAGTCCCCCAAAGGAAGCGCCGTCGTCGATGGACGGCGCCATGGACCACAAGCTTCCGGCTCGCGCCGCGAGCCCTTTTTTATCTAGGTCGGCGTCACCCGGACCTGTGACAGGGTCCGATTTTGGCGACCGCACCACTCCTCCTGTTTCTTTCGGCTATCCGTACAACATGCATGGAGGCATCTCTTTTGAGACGCACACTCCCAAGGCGATACTCGGTTAGCAACTACAGTGACGGGTGTCGGCTTTTTGAGGGCGAACTTACGAATTTCTTTCGGCCACGATCACGCTGCTACGACCTTTCTTGAGCGCCACGCTGGATGGATGGCGGACCCACCGCTTAGCTGCGCGTGGTGAAACCGAAAGTCCAAGTGCTCTTCCTTTGAGGCGCGAATCGCGATGGCGGCTCATTCTCGATTACGACGACGGTGACACTGCTGTGGAACATCGCATTCTTATCCTTGTTTTACTGCCTGTGCATGCATTCTGGAAATTGCGTTTTTTTTTCTTTTCCTTCCGCACAGCATTCCAATTGGGACGGTCTTCTGCACACAAAGGCGTTTTATGGGTATGGTTTGGTTTCCGATTATTTCCATTACTTCTTAATAGACAGGCTGCAAGTACCTGGCTTCGCCTGAGTAACCTTGAGCTCCTTGCTCAACTGGTGCAACATGGGTTGGTATGCTCTCAATGTGTTTTTTGGTTTGGAGGTGGATCCATGGGTTCAAAAAGTTGCGTCTTGGTCGATCTTGCTTTTTGTTTTGACTTTCGATTCCACCGAGGGCGCTTTTCTCCCCTCTTTCTGTTCGATGAGATGGCGGACTATCAGCGGCATTAAGCGATCGTTTGGCAGCAGTCGATGAGATTGATTTTATGGGATGGGTTTAAAGGACGGATCTCTGGTGTTGGGCAGGGTGTTACGCTGGGAAAATACGACATGAGTAGAAAAGGCATTCGAAAAATCGAAAAAACATTGGAATACAACTTTGAGCAACTGGTGACCTTTCGGCAAACTAAATAACAAAACTAGCTCTGAACTTACTGATGATCGGCCTGGTCACAAGCGCGGGAGGGGAGAGCTCGCACCCCCGACACGCCCGCGTCGCACGCGTCAACTCGACGTCTGCCGAATCCCGCCTCGCAACGCTCACCCTCCCCATTGGTTCCACGTTCACCACCATGGCAACCTCGACTCCGGCTCCAGCGTCGACGCTGCAGATCGACCTCACCACCGTCCTCTCACTGCTGGGCACCATCGCGGTGTTGGCGACGGCCTACGGGCTGTCGCTGCGGCTGCTGCCGCGCAGCAGCGGAGCCAAAGCCCGCATCCTCTTCGTCTGGCACCTGTTCGACGCGCTGATCCACTTCGTATTCGAAGGCTCCTTCCTCTGGAACTGCTTCTGCGTGCATTGGATCCCGCCGCCCACTCCCGCGCCCTTATCGCCCTACTCCGTCGCAGCCGCCGCGGCCGCCGCCGGCACCGCTGCCGCAAACCCGAGCCTCACGCCCGCGCCCAGCCCGACCAACTTCCTCATACTCACGCCGCCGGACGTGTATTTCTTGGGACGGAACGACACGCTGTTCGGCGCGGCGTACGGGACGGGCCCGTTCAGCAAGCTGTGGCAGGAGTACGCCAAGGCGGACCGCCGCTGGGGCGGCGCGGACCTCACGGTCATCAGCATCGAGCTGCTGACCGTCTTCGTGGCCGGGCCGATGGCGCTGTGGTGCGCGGAGATGGTGCGGAGGGGCGAGTGGTATGCCGGGAGACAGGGGATGGAAGGCCGCAAGTGGTTTTGGATGATCGTGCTGGCGACGGGAGAGCTGTATGGGGGTGAGTGAATCTTTTTCTTCCTTTTCTTCTTTTCCCCTTGTTTCTTCCCCTCCGCTTTTCATCCTTATTGGGCGGGTGTTCCTGGGTTGCGGTTTTGGTGGTGATGGTGGTGGAAGTGGTGGTTAATGGCTCGAGAGTGGGCGTCTTTCTTGAAAAGGAGGCCTGGTGGGGATACGCAGCATGTGAAAGAGACGAAAGATAAGAATGGTTCTCCTGTTTGGTTCCAGAATTTCGAGAAAGCCAATTGGGGTTCTCGGAGAATTGTGGAGAATGCTTGGGGGGTCATGACTTGCATGATGTGGCATGCATGGCGTCTTGGTGCGAACATGCACGGCTGACGTGGGTGGTGAATCTAGGTTTCATGACTTTTGCACCTGAATGGCTCTCCGGCTCCACGAATCTGGATACTTCGAATTTTATGTTCAAGTAAGTGAAGCTTCCTTCCTTCATCGTTCTTGGTCCGCGGTCAGCGAGTACACATCGCTGTCAAAAGACTTTTCAGGTCTTTGTGGCTTGGCGGCTTTTCGCCGGTGTATTTGCGGTTCCTGGCTGACATGCGAGTTTGACAGGTGGGTCTACCTATTCTTCTTCAATACACTGTGGGTCTGGCTCCCGCTGTGGATCATGTATGAGGCCTACCAGGGTATCACTAGTTCCCTGTCACAGAAGGAGGTTGTCAACGTCATAAGCTACCTTGAAAAGAAGGCAGATTAAGGTTTTCCCGAGCGAGACTGCTTATCTTGACGACCAATCACTGTAATATTACCACGCACTAGTGAGAAGGGACTGAACAACATCTTCCGATTTCGGTCTCACCACACAATTAGATAAATTCTTGAACTATTACCTCTGCAGCAATCAGTTTTCCAAGATCTCGCTTCAAGCTTAATTACCTCTGTGGTCCGCGTTGATTATGAAGGCCTATATCATCTGATCCGAGCCCTGGTCCGTGAGCATTATCAGCAGCGTACTCCATTATATGGTTTCACACCGGTCTGTGCGGCTCCACTTTGCCATCTGAAAGGCGTCAACTCTGAACAAATGTAGAATATTCATGTAGACATGACCTACTCAACTACATGCAGAGAAGAAACGCCAAGCGCGCCATAATCCAGATCTCGTAAAGTTCGGTGTTATCAGGACATAGAGAAGATCATGACCGCAACGTTATCTTGAAATGTCTTGAAGTGGTTAGAGCAAGATAAGAGGGACGACGTATGTTATAACAACTGCTTAGTAAAAGGAAAGGGCAGATGACGTCTCTTATTAGGCGATGCGAGGTATTCAATTCATCAAACGAGTTTATACGGGCCAGGTAAAGATTGCACAGATACCCTTAAATTCGTAGTCCGTAAAGCGCAGTCTCATACTTGACTTGCTAAGAGGCACTTATTAAGCCCCACTAATATCGGTTACTTGAATTCTTTAGGTTTGAACGGACATGCTGTACACTAATACTAAGGATAAGCCCCCATGAATGAATGCGATGTGGATTAGCGAGGAGAAGCAGTTAAATCAGCCACTAACGTAGGCACACCATATCCCTACTGATGCAGTATAAGCTGAATAGGGATGTTGGGAGTAGAACAGCGTATTAATAGTTTTTCCTCCCTCCTTTACCCAATATACTAGGCAATCTCATATAGAAAAGGCGTTCGCGAAGCTGAATCAATCGTAACTTAAACACGATTGATCGATAAGTCTTTAAAGGGACGTACAACCTAAACCCATACTCGCTCAATATTTAAAGGCTTGGCTTTGTATTTTTTCTTTTATTGAGATTTCTACCGGAGAAATTCTCTCTAACTTCACAGCATAATGATAACCCGAATCAAAGCTAGGCTTTCATCTAAGCGTTCATTGTCTGACGATGCAACGCCCCAGCATGCATAACTGAGGATGAAGCGCATCATTACCATCTCCGATAAAGTCCGCTGTCCTCTAAGAACTGTTGATCTCTACGCTGTCAAAATTCCGACGGGGGGAACCAAACACAGTCGCTTGTGATTTCAATGAGCACATGCAAGTATGATCTTTCGCTTTGTTGACTGCCGATCCTGAATATTTTTGGTAAATAACTCAGAAGACCGTACTTCGCCAGTGCATACCGGCACCTGTAGATGCTTTTTAAGATCCAATGCATGTCTACCAGGCCACTAATCAGAAGACCTTTGGAGATGCGATAGGAAATATTCACGTGGTGCCTGAACTGCTTCTTTCCATGTGTCTGCACATAGAAGAAGTTCCGATCAGATGCTTATGACATAATCTCGCCTGCTTGTCGCATGAGCATTGCATCTGCTATATTTGGCCTCCTGTCTGCTCCCTCAAAGCTCTAGAGTCCGATAGTATAAAGTCTCAATTTTTCGACACCGTTTGGTGCGGCTAGGGGTTGATTGTTGCATGCGCAATCAACCTAAACCAAGATGCCACCTTCAAGAGACTCCCACTGCTTGCGCGGTAAATGCCACTCATAGTCTCTTTCTTTGACAGGACTGTAGACACCAAACTCATCAATATGCCAAGATAATGGGAGACATCGATTCTCTGAAACTGAAGGCTACTATTACACATACACCTCTCCAAGGCAGCAATATCATTCTTTTCCGCTTGTCATTTGATCGGAACCTCGCTCGCATTCAACATCAACTCCATCTCCCGCAGTCTACGCACCTACATCTACTTCATTACCAACTCTCACAAACTCACTCCCCGGTCGCTCTCTTCCCACCCTCTCCACCGTTGACTTTCTCGCCCTACCATCTTTCCTTCCAGCTTCCAATCTCAGCACAGCCAGCCACACCGCATCCCCATTCCTGCCCTCAAACACCCGCCTCACCTCCTCCTTTTCGACCAGAACAGGCACCAGCAACTCCAGCACCTCCTCGAACGCCTCATCTCCAATCTGCACCGTCTGCACAATTGCCGTGAACAGCTCGACCAACGCAGCGCGGATGATGCGCGTAGGTGCGGTGGTGTAGTAAGGCTGGAGCTCCGCAGCAGTACCACTGCTGGTGCCCCTGCCCGCAGCGTTTCCACTAGGCTCGAGCAGCAGCGACGACGATCCAGTGCCTCCCTGTCTGAACGAGGACGCCGAGTTTTTCACGCTATTGCTGCTGTTGCCGCCATTGCGGTATAGCGCGATCAGCGTTGGCCACGCACCCTCGATGCGTCCGCGCATGAAGTCACCAGCGAGCCTGCACATCTCGGCCATGACGTCCACCGCGCCGGAGACGACGTACGCCTCCGTGTCTTCCAAGCGGGGGACGAGCACGGGCCAGAGGGTGTTGATGAGCGGGAGGAAGGAGTTCTCGTGGCAGGCGAGAGCAGGAAAGGTTGTGCGGAGAAGGTCGAGGAGAGAGGTGCGGAGGGTGGGAGATGAGGCGGTGAGGTAGTGTTGTGTCAGCTGCGAGATCTGGAGGAGCAGGCTGTAGGTCTTCGGTGCTGGTGGAGGAGGATCCGGCGCTGCCGGGGGTTGTTCGTCTTCGTCGTCGCCGTTCTCTGCGGTGGCATCGGGATCTTCGTTGTCTTTGTCGATATCATCATCGTCGATTTCGGATATTAAGGGATTCTTTTTGTTGAGATCTTTCCATGGCATCTGGGGGGTGATTTCGGTAATGTCCTCGGGGTCATCTTGCTTTGCTTCTCGGGTTTGAATATCTTTGAGCATAGCAACGATGTCGTCAATGGTGGTTAGAGTCTTAGGTTGTTTGGTTTTCGACGTGTCTTCGCCCTCCGTGATCGCAAGCTGCGGTGTCTTGACACCCTCTTCTGCGATGCCTTTTAGGACCGAGAAGAGCAGTTCCACTAGCTTAGGGTAACCGTGAAAGGATTCCAGTGCCGCGAAAACGCTTCCCACCAGGTCATCCAGATAAGGTAGAAGAGACGGGCCGGAGAGCTTAATCATCATCAATAATACTTGCGGTGCTTGCGGAGAAATGTCGAACGTGTTGAGCTTCAAAGCCACAGCGTTCACGAGGTAATCGACGTTCTCAACAATCAAGCTTCCGACATCTCCATAGCCACACGAAGCGGCGATCATGTTGAGACAAGTGATGGCATGGTTGCGAAGCTGTGGTACTGATGATCCTACGAGGTGGACGATAGGATACAGCGTGTCAACAAGCTCGATTCGGAAATCCTCCTTGAGCGTACGCGCTTGAAGTGCAATGGTTTCCACAGCCAATGCTTGCAGTCTCCAGTCTGTTGTATAGTCCGTTGATGAATCTCGGAGTACGTCCAAGGACAATGAATACAGTTCTTCCAGTAGCTCCTCCCTAGGGGTAATGGCCGAGTCTCCAAAATCGAGGAAGTCCATCATGGGCCCTTCATTCTCATTTGAGCTTTTGAGGAGCTCAAGCGCGACCCAGAAGCTCGCGATTTGGGGAGCACCTTTGCTAATCTGGAGTGAGTCGGCCAAGTCTCGTACCGCATTCAGCGCTGATTTGGATGTGCTGACATGCTTAACCAGACCTCGAAAGTCGTGGATTATTTGGCGTTGTGCAGCACTATCGAAGAATATAGGGGCGAATTCAAGTGACGGTAGGCTTTTTGTAGTAATGGCCAAGTCCAATGACGCTGCTGACTCCGAAGACGGTGCGATCTCCTTCAGCTTGGATTGATCAACGATAGAGACGGAAATTCCATCACGGAGATTTGATGCCACAGTTCTATCGACGAGATCCATATCAACTCCTTGCTCAGCCAAAAGCTCGTAGCCTGTGGATATTTGCTGGACGAGTCGACTTTTGGCTGAATCGTCGGGACTCTGCATGACACGTGGAAGTGAGACAACCCAACTATGTATGCTTGACCTAAGTAGCTCTGCAAATCTTCGGTTAGCTGTCAAGACCTGCTTAAGAGTGAATTTCATATCGCCATCCTCATCAGATCCACATAGGACTATCATGGTCTCGATCATCATGGCTGCGCATTCCTGAAGAGACTCGCGACAATCCTCAAGAACGGTCAAGCAGAGATCGAGAAGAGCTTTCCGGACTTCTGTGCGATCATGTTGGCGGACGCGAATGATGCTAGCCAAAGCTTGTTTCGTTTTTGTAGCCGTGGCCTTCAGCCAGGACTGTGTGAGCTTTTGGTCAGGCTTGCCGGAAGCCTTATCGCTGGACGGCAAATCCTTGGTGTACTGGTCACTTAAAACAGCCTTGAAGAGGAAATTCAATATCTCAAGGGATATACGAAGGAGCTCGAACGGTCGGCGCTGCTTCGTCGATGGCGTGAGAACTTTTGCGAGTCCAGAGACGATGCCGGGCAGAAAGCTTGCAAGGGCTTCCCTGTCCTCAAGCGCAGTGCAAGCAGCTCTCAAAGCATGTGCTGCAGCAAGCTGCACATCGTAAGACGGCCCGTCGGTCACTCCTTCCAGTATGACAACGATAGCATGGCCTAAGGGCGGGACATTGTCCGCTGCAGTCAGAATCTTCTGGCTTTTCTCGTCTTGACCATAGGTGACGAAAAGTTCTGCCAGACAAGCGAAGCCAGCTGCTTGCAGTTCTTCAGAGATTGCAGATGGCGTGCTCTGACCTTGAACGCCACCGCTGATTAGAACGGGTAGCAGAATGAGAAATTGACGTGACAAGGCCGGATCAACTTTGGCACGCCACCCAGTGCGGAGCAGAACTGCAAGGCACTGCAGCGTGAGCTCCAGCGCCACTACCGGAAATTTTTGCTTTTCCCGGAGAACGTGGGACAGAGGGAAGAAGACGTATTCGGCAAGCTTGTCGTCCAGAGCGAGCGGATTGGAAGCTGCTTCTTGCAGAACAGCATAAAGGTTCCTCAAAACATCGACGACATCCCTAGGGTTGCCGTTGCGCGCAGCTACGTGCAGCACGGCCTGGCTGAGGGCGATACAGTGAGGCTTGAGCTGCAGGGCATCAGCACAGACACTCGGTTCACGCGCAAACGGACTGACCTGGTGGAAAGCGCGGCTCCTGTGGTCCATGGTGCGATCGTGCAACCAAGAGAAGAGCGTGCGGTGGATGAAGCTCCTAACGCATGTTGAGGACCAGTAGCCTACGGTGAGACAGCAGGCGCGAGTTGTTCCCGTCAGAGACGAGGTTCCCGAGCTGAAGGCGGGCTTGGCAGTCGTCGGGCGGGAAGCGGGCGGCGGACTCGAAGCTCTGGAGCTCGAGCGAGTCGCGTCGCCGAAAGTCTGAGCCCGTCCCAAACGCGTACCACGTCACGCCGCAAGCAACCACCGCTCCCCTCTCCACCTCTCCATCCCGCCCCCATCCCTCCAATCCTCCGCCCGCCAGCTGCGTCCGCCCGCCCGTACGCCTGCGCCGCCTCGATACCTCCCTCTCGCGCTTCGGCGCATCCCACCGCCTCCTGGAGACACTGCCATCATGCCCGGTACGCGCAGTCGCGCTAGCGCCGTAACCCAGATTCACGACGATGCAGACGAGCAACAAGAAGCATCCACCGGCCTGGCCTTCAATCAACCCTTGACATGGCGCGCCGGAAAGCCCATCCCCGTCGCTGAGCTTCTGCGTCGCCTGCAGGCTCTGTCGCAGGAGCTGCGGGGCTTGGATCAAGAGGAGGCAGACCGCGGCGCCCTTATGCCCGTCGCGAAGGAGCTGGCATCCCAGAACCTGCTGTCGCATAAAGATCGCGGTGTCCGTGCTTGGACTGGCTGCTGCATCGTCGACATGTTTAGGCTCTGCGCGCCTGATGCGCCTTACACCGCGTCGCAGCTGAAGGTGAGACGCGCCGCGAGACGCAGCTGCGCTGTGACTACTGACGTCTGGTGCCTAGGACATCTTCATGCTGTTCATCAATACCATCTTCCGCGCCCTCTCAGATCCTTCGGACCCTTACAACAGCCAGCACTTGTATGTCTTGAAATCGCTCGCTGAGGTCAAGAGTGTGGTCCTCCTCACCGACATCCCCTCGTCCAGCACTTTGATGACCGCCTTGTTCACCATATGCTTCGATGTTTTATCTGGTCCTTCCAAAGCTGAGTCGGGCGAAGAGCTGAGCAAAAATGTTGAGCATCATATGACGGCCGTGCTAGCAACCCTGGTCGAGGAATCCCAAGGCCTTCCCCCAGAAGTTGTCGATGTTATTCTGGCCCAATTCCTGCGCGCGGATCCAAGGTCGATAACGGGCAATGGTGCCAAAGGAAAGAAAGGTTCCCAAGTTGACGAGAGACAATCGACTCTGCTGCTGAAGGAGGCTCCGCCTGCATACAATATGGCGAAGAACATCTGCAATGCTTGTGCGGACAAAATGGCACGGTTGATCAGCCAGTACTTCAGCTCGGTCATCGTCGACGCAACTACAGCAGCTGTTGGCCCTCTTCATAAATCTGGCAAGCACCGGGGCAGGACGGAGAGCAGCATTGGGGATGAGCCTGACGATGATCGGCCGCGTCATGTCACGGAAGAGGATTTACAAGAGAGCCGCAAGGCACACAGACTTTTACGCGAGCTTTGGCGGTCCGCTCCCATGGTTCTGCAAGACATTATGCTTCAGCTGGAGGCCGAATTGGGTGCGGAAGACGTTCAGCTACGGAATCTTGCAACTGAAACTCTCGGAGATATGGTTGCTGGAATCGGAGCAGCGGGTCCTCCTCCGCCGCCATCGTACAATCCGTCCGCCTACCCTCCTCAAAGCCTTGCTTCTCCTTCGGAACGCCTACAAACTTACAACTTTTTGACTACACCGACATCTCCTCATTCCTTTTCTTCGAGATACCACCAAGTTTATGAAAGTTTTTTGAGCAGGCGCAACGACAAATCCCCGGTTATCCGTTCGGCCTGGGTTACGAGCATTGGTAGGATCCTGGCAACTAACGCTGGCGGCGTTGGTCTGGACGTTGAGGACGAGCAAAGGCTCCTCAAATATCTGGGCGACATGCTTGTCGATGGTGACGAGCGTGTGCGTCTAGCTGCGATTAAGACCGTTGAAAGGTTCGAATTCGACGACATTCTGTCCAAACTCGGGAGCAGGGGTGGGATTTCGGAACCTGGGTCCATCCTCAGCAATCTAGCTGACAGAGTCCGCGACCGGAAGCCCGCAGTCCGCACCGAAGCCACCAATCTCCTTGGCAAAGTTTGGGGAGTCGCCGCTGGCGTAATTGCCGAAGGCAGTGAGCGTGCCACTCAACTGCTTGGTCCAATCCCATCTCGCATCCTGGACGCATTCTATCTCAATGATCAGGATGTCAATGTTCTCATCGACCATGTGCTTTTCGAGCAACTTCTGCCGCTCGGTTATCCGGCGCTCAAGAACAAATCCCGTGGACAGGACAGCCAAGCAAACGGAAGGACAGAGCATACCGAAGCAGACTCTGACAAGCTTAGAGTCGAGAGAATCCTCATCCTTATCAGGGATCTTGTTCAGCGATCCAAAGTTGTCTTGTTCGCCAAACAAGGCAACCAAGTCATGCTGGCCAAGTACATGGAGGCGCTTCTGAAGAAGTGTGAAGATTACAACGGTGGTGTCATGGAGAAGGGCGAGAAGGAAACCAAACTTCACCTTGGAAAGCTTATCGACTACCATGCAAAGACCCTGCCCGAGTCCTCTAGAGCCTCGGAGGACCTCTGGAAGTTCGCGAAAATGCATGACCGCCGGGCCTACCAGCTCATCAGGTTCTGCATCGCTCCGGACAGCGATTACAGAAAAGTTTACAAGGCCATCAAGGAATTCACCAAACGCATGGACGATGCCACCGGTTCAACAGCAACTATGCTTGACACTTTGATACCCCTGATTTACCGAGCAAGCGTTTTGCTGTACAACAAAAGCCATGTGCCTGCCATCATTGAATTTTCACGGACGGACGAGAAGGGTCTAGGGAGCACAGCTCACGAAGTCCTCAAGGAGATTTCTTCTCGCAACCCTGACGTTTTCCGAGGCTATGTGCAAGAGATGTGCAAAGCGTTGGAAAACGAAGCACCAACAGCGAAGAAACCGAACGGTCCTGGTGCGGTTGACGACCTCAAAGCTTGCGCAGGGTTTGCCAAACGGTTCCCGAAAGATGTCCCAACGGAGCGTAAATTCATTCAAAGTATGATCAATTTCGCGGAGTACGGCACACCACCTAAGGCCGCCAAGTACGGCGTGCAGATCATCCTAACCAGTACGGACAAGAAGGAAATGCATGCCCGAGATCTTCTGCGCAAGAGTACAAAAGGCTTTGAATACGGGAAAGGCAATTATCTCGCTCGTTTGGCTGCCATGAGTCAACTCATGCTCCTCGGTGGAAAGACCATTGAGGATGAGATCGACCCGGTCATCGACATCTGCATCAACCAAGTCCTGCTTACCAACCCAGCACCTGTCGATCCCGCTGATAATCCTCCATGGAAAGATGAGCCAAGCGAGGACTGCACAGCTAAAATGTGGGCACTCAAGGTACTTGTGAACCGTCTCCGCGGCCTTGCAGGAAACGAGTCCATAAAGGAGACGTCTACTCCAGTTTTCCAGCTCCTCAGGACTCTGGTTACCAATGACGGCGAGCTGTCCAAGAAGGTCGAGAGCCCTGCGGCTCAAAAAACGAGATTACGTCTACTTGCCGCACAACTTCTCCTCAAGCTCTGCCACGAGCGTCGCTTCGACGTCTTGCTGTCGGGTCAAGCCTTCAACGAACTTGCTGTCGTCGCTCAAGACCCTAACCCGAACGTGCGCGAAGGATTCGTCAAGAAGCTCATGAAATACCTCGGCCAAGACAAGCTCCCCAGGCGCTTCTACGCGCCCGTCTTCCTCCTCGCATTTGAGCCGGAGCCACGACTAAAAGACGGTGCGACGACCTGGATCAAGGCGCGACAGTCGGCCTTCTCCAAGACCAAGGACCCCGTGTTCGAGAACAGCTTCGCGCGGTTCCTCAGCCTTCTGGCCCACCATCCAGACTACAGCGCGGAGCCGGACAACCTGCGCGACTTTGTGCAGTATGTCATGTTCTTCCTCAAGACGGTGGCCAACGCGGACAACATCTCGCTCATCTACCACGTCGCCCAGCGCGTCAAGTCGGTCGAGGACGCGATTGAGCCCGCCAAGAGCGAAAACTTGTACGTGCTGAGCGACCTTGCGCAAGGCGTGATTCAGCGATTCCAGACACTGCACGGATGGAGCATTCAAGCTTTCTCGAAGAAGGCGCGCATGCCGGCCGACGTGTTTGCAAACTTGCCTGGCCACGAAGTTGCGCAAGAGATTGCGGACAAGCAGTACGTGCCTGAGGAGCTGGTGGATGAGCTGGATGACCTGGTGAAGGCGAGTATGAGGACGAAGAAGGTAAGATTCCAATTTTGTTTTGCTGTCCATCCACATGCTCCAATCCCTATGTGGTTCTCGCCCGCTTTTTTAGTGGACTTGGGGACATCGACAAGAGAACAAATGCTAATGCCTGTCTTTTCCGCAGCGCAAAACCGACTCCTCAGGCGACGCCGCTCGTGAGAAGAAACGTGCCCGCGCTTCCCTCGCATCTACCAGGGGTCTTCCTGTCCGCAAGGCGCCGAAGCTGGGTAAAACTAAGAAAGCGAAGAAGGCTCGTAAGGGAGAAGATGTTCCAGCCAGCGAGCGCAGGCGCAGCGGCCGCGTCGTCGGTGATCGTAGCTATGCGGAGCTGAGCAGTGATGACGAGGAGAATGCAGATGAGGACGAAGTAAGCGACGAGGAGGAGGGGAGTGAGGGCGAGGGAGACGAGGATGTGGAGATGGTAGACCAGCCTAGTGAGGGAGAGGAAGAAGTCGCTGATGAAGAGGCGGAGGATGAAGATGACGAGGGACAAAATGGAGCGACGGGCGATCAGGAAGAAGAGGAGGACGAAGAGGAAGTTGAAGAAGAGCAACCGCCGCCGAAAGCCACGCCGAGAAGAGCGCGCGGCGCGAGTAGGAAATCGGCGGCGGCGGAGACGCCAAAAGGTGGTGGTGGTGGGAGTGCGGTAAAATCGGCGAAGGGCAAGGATAAGGAAAAGGGAAAGAAGAGCAAGAAGGCGGACGAGGTGGTCGCCACGACACCCCGGGCATCGAGGAGAGGTGGCAAGGCGGCAGCGGACGACAAGCCGAACGGCGAAGCCACCCCGGCCAAGGGCGATTCGGCGGAGGGAGGAAGACGATCAACGAGGAGGTCGGGCAGATCGTAAGGGCAGGCTTCTATGACGTGGGATATGGGTGTGGCATGGGTTGCTTCTTTTGCTACTGTTGGGGTGAACATGACAAAGCGAGAGGGGGGTTTATTTATGCGTCATTTTACCTCATACCTGCGGTTTCGATGGGGCTAGGGGCTGGGGCTGGTGGCGTGGGGGTTCTTTTTCTTTCTCTCTCTCTCCTTTCTATTCTTCTTCACGCTTATCTCTCCCTGATGGGGATCGTTTGCTTGCTTGCTTGCTATGCTATGTTCATATTACGATGGTGATAGTAGCGATGGTAGTATGAGAGTCGGGTAGTGGGAAGAATCGTTTTGCGATGAGACTGGAGATATGCCCGAGTCAAAAGTAGGATAGGTGCGGAACGCGAATCAAATGGGACAACAGAAGAAGATACAGGAGTCTTTTAATATGTTTTCCTTTTCTATGAATTCTTCTGTAGGTCTGGATTGTCTGTCTTCCTAATTGGCGGGCTGGCTGGCTGCTTGGAAATTTGACGGGGAGCAGGTAGGTACATAACATCAGGTGGTATTGAGGGGGGTTCTTTTGTTTAACTTTCCCCTCCTATTATTGTCCATAAATTTGAATCTGATCTTAGATCTCTGCCATGACCTTTTTTTTTATGCCAATGACCCTGGAGTCCAAACCCCATTAGTCGTTATCTTTGGATGTGCTTGCGCAAGTTGCGCGTGTGGAGAAGGAAAATAGAAGCAAATGCATCTGTGACGTTTGTCTTCTTTCCACTCTCATGCTGCCTCGCCGTAGTCGACTTCACTGACTCCGTGTGATCCCATCTTTGATTACTTTCCGATCTTAGGTTCAGTCCGGATGCTAGAGAAGAAAGAAACGGTATTCTTCCCTTTTGAAGGTTGGTGAGAATGGGGCTACGCGTTCTCTTTAAGATATAAAGACGACAGTATGAAGACTCTCTTCGAAACCGTGGGGAGAGGTAAGTCATTTAATCAATTTCACCCTTCGACAACATACGCACGGGAGCATGTCCATGAGATCATCGGCATGAATTCGAAAAGACTTTTTGTACTTATTTCTGCTCAAACTGACGGGCGAAAGAACTGGCAAGTTTCACGCGCTCAATGCTGCTGGTAAGCGGTCACCAAAGTCCAAAAAGGAAGAGGAGAAAAGGGCATCAAAAGGAAAAGGACTTCGTTCAAAGAGAGATATCCGCGAGGCGGGAAGAGACAGCAGAACTCCGGTTTAGGCCCCCCTCATTTTACACCTCGTGCCAATCGGATTCCATGAATACTTCCCCGTCTTTTTCTTCCCCAAGTCGTAACTGCTACTCACCCTTCCTCACAGCAATCCAACGGGACTCATGACCAAATATACTTCGATACCACCACCATCGCTAAAAAGCCAGTCTTTCTCTCAAACACCTCACGTCCTCTTAAAACCTCGACCTCATCCTCTGCGTCCTGTACGCGGTGAAGCCGACGTACGCGCCAGCCAGCACCATGCCGAAAAGGAGGAACTTGAACAGGAACCAGCCCCAGCCGCCTTCGCTCTGCTTCTTGCGCTGCTGGGCCTGGAGCTTCTGGGCGCGGGCACGGCCGCGGTCCTTGGGCGGCTGGCCATCGACGCCGGCGGCGCTGGGCTGGTACAGGTTCTTGGTAGAGAGCGAGATGAGGTCGTGGTTGTCGGCGAGCTCGCCCGTCTCGGCGCTGAAGCCCAGGTACGCGACGGGCGGGATCTTAACATCTGTCACCGAAAAGCATTCGACCCAGTCATTCTCCGACTTGTACTGCAGCTCCAGCTTCAGTGACTTCTCGGCGAAGTACGTCAGCTTAGCCTTGGTGGGAATGGCGGCATTACGGAGGCCGCGGGCCTGTTTAGTTTTCCTGGTTAGTCATTTTGTCATGCCCCCGGATATCCCATTGAACAATGCGTTCTCGGTCCCACGAAAGAAGGGAAATCGGAACATATGACGTACAGAGCAGCCAGCCAATTCCTGCGCTTTTCCATCCGTGTTCTTGTCGTAGCTGGTCTGGCCGTCACCCAGCATAGCCATAACATAAGGGAAGACGACACCGGGTCTGTTGTTCTTGTACGTATCGAAGAAAATGCCCAAGCCCTCGAACTTGTCGACGCTGCCGAAGACGGGGCCCTGCTGGGCGCGCTGCTTGGTCAGCCACAGCGCCATGCCGTCGCCGTAGAGGTTGCCCGAGCCATGGATCTTGAACTCGAATTCAACCTCCCAGTTGGTCGCTGTCAGCGGCACGCGCGAGAACAGCCAGCCCGAGCGCGAGCCTTTGTCGGCCGTCAGCCGGACGTACTTGTCCGTCCGCACAACCGTGTCGCCGCCGAAGTCGAACCAGCGGCTTTGCATGTCCGAATCCAGGTAGGGCTATAGCATTTTCCAAAAAGTTCAATGCGCGTCAGCAAAAGCTTTAATCGTATGGGCGTTGCGTGTCGTCGTCGAGCTTCGGAACTGTTTGCGTGGGTGGGCGTTGGCGTACGTACCGGTTGCAAGCTGTGGGTGCGGAGCTGTCGAGCTGTCAGCTACTCCACCACTCAATTGTGCCGAAACAGAAGACGTACCGGGATGCTCTTGATCTCAGGCGCATCCTGGGCGGCGGCAAGGCCCAGGCTGCTGGCGAGCAACGCCAGGCAGGTCCACGGGAGAAGCATTGGAGAGGTGGTCGCTCAATGGGCGGGAAAGTAAGGGAACAAGGAGCGGCCGGAATTTATGGACGGAGCTATGTAAGAACTGAAGCGCGGATGGGAAAGGACGAAGGGAATAATGATCGTGGATTGCCTCTGCGCACAGCGAAGAAGGCGTTGATTCGCTGCAGCGCTGGGGTTTGTGTTTCGAGGCGGCCGTGTGGAAGGGTAAAGAGAGAGGGCGTGGGCGGTGGAGCTTGGTGCTCATGCGTGATGTCTGGCCTCTTCTCGTGCCTAAAGTGACCTGGCAGCGGAGCGGGACGCTCGGCTCGCATGACTCGCGCACACCCTCCCACCTGTCTCTCCGCTCTCCGCCGAGTCCGCTGCCAAGCGCCCGGTCCTCGTCCGGCAAGCATCATCGAAGCTGCAGCTGTGACGAAACTTCTGCTTCCCAACTTAACAACCAAAGCCGCCCAGACGCCGAACATCCCGCCCTTCCACCCCACGACTCACACGCTCGCAAGCTGCACGCGCGCCCACCATGGACTCCCTCAACATCAGTTCCTCCGACCCCAAGGTTGCTGTTATGCAGCAAGTCCGTCAAGAGGCCGCCGTCGCAAATGCCCGCCAGCTGGTCGAGGTACGAATCATCTGCATCCCAACACATCTTCGCCGCCAGCGCCATTTTCGCAACACTGTCCAGAATTCCCAATGCGACAGACATGAGCTAGTACAGCTTGAAAATTGGCTAACGACCATGCTATTACCCAAATACAGAAATTGAACGAGCACTGCTTTGAGCGCTGCGTGCCTAAGCCCGGCACCTCGCTGTCCAAGGGCGAGGAGACCTGCTTCACCCAGTGCATGGAGAAGTACATGGCTGCCTGGAACGTTGTCAGCCGGCAGTACGTCGCCAAGCTGCAGCAGAACTCGGCCGGTGGCATGAGCCTGTAAACGAGAGCTGGAAGAGAAAGGACACATAAGAATCCATGGCAAATCTAGGAGCATTGGAGGATGTAGAGATGCCATCTCGAGCAGAAGACGAGTTAGGTGCGAATACTCGTCGATCCTGAACTGGAGGTAATCATGGGCATAATGGGGGTCGGGGAAGCTCCGTTGCGACGAAGCATTGTACATTACGGAACGGCTGGGAAAGGAAAGGACTGATCTCGATTATTGCATAGATGGCGCTGGCGTGCGCCAGATGGGATCATAGCGCGCTTCTGGAGCATAGGAGCTATTGCACCAAGAAGTAAAACTCGGCTCTCTTAAAACAAGACACAAATATTCTGTTTAAAAAAAATACACATTACCAGATAACTCCTTGCCATGCTGATATCATTTTTCACCTATTCATCACTATTTCTGGCTGGCAGCAAAGGTCTTCTGCCTCTCCTTGTAATCCTTGATGACAAGCGAGCACGCGAACTCCGCACACAACTTCTTCCTGCGTGAGGCAGGCAGGTTATTCGCGAACTCCAAGCCGCTTGCCCTCTCGACCGCCTCAAGCGGGACCTCAAAGTCCGACAGCGGCTTGGTGTTCGAAATGGGCGCATTGGGCAGCACGAACGCTCCCAGAGCAACATTGCCTCCCGTCTTGCCATCCTCCGCAAAGATAACCTTGTAGAAATGCGTCGGCACGGCCACGTTGGGCGGGCTGCCGATGACCTCGTAACTGACGCGCCACTTGCCGTCGGCTTCGCGGCGGGGAAGGTACAGCGGCCCGGTGACGATGCGCACGCTGGGGTATCGCTGCGTCAGCCGCCGGCAGAAGTCCTCAAAGTGCGCCCAGTAGTCGCGGTTGAAGCCGTCGCCGACCTGAGGGCACATGTTGCTGAGCGCAAACGTGTCGTCCATTGCCTCTTGGCTCCACTTCGCGTCTGCCGCTGGGACCTGGTGCCCGCGGTCGTAGCCGCTACGGAAGTAGTCCTTCAGCTTCGCGCGAAACTTCTCAGGAATCGCCGCGTCCTCGGTGAAGGAGCTGTGCTTGCGGTCGCCATTGTGGGTTGCCAACGACTCGGGAGTGATGTGCTCGGCCACCCAATCCGGGTTGCGCGTCTGCCGGTTGAAGGAAGACGTGAGCGATTTTGCGGCGCGAAGGTCGTTGACGGGGCCGGGGAAGCCGTATTGGAAAAGGCCGTTTGGATCGACGGGTGCGGGCGTAGCGACAGACTTGGAGATAGGATATCCGGAGGCGGGTGCTGGCACTGTTGAACCGCTCGATGGAGCACTGATGGGGGCCACCGGAGCTTCTTTCTTGGTTGAGTAGAATGCTGCTGTTGCTGCAGCTCCAGTGGCCGCGCCTGCAGCGGCGATGATGGCGAAAGTCGCCTTGGACATAGTGAAAAAGTGAGAAGCGGCGAGGTTAGAGGAAGAATTGGCGGCGATGAGAAGGATATGGAGCCTGTCACGCGCAGCGCAGAGAGCTGCGGTGTTGATCAGGTGCGCCAGCGACGCGTAGGAAAAGTGCGAGACGCGCAGCGCTGCAAGGTCGGTCAGCAGGCGTTGTGAGAGGTGGTCATGCCTCCGCCGCCGATCCTGGAGCAGCAACTCCGCTCGGCCCGCTTAGTCACACAGCTGGTTGCAATCCTCGACACCTTGTTGGCTAGTCGAGTTGCTGCATTTGGCATCCAGCTGAAACTGGTGTTTGACTGTCATTCCGCTGGCCTGTGTGCTAAGGGCCAAAGCATATCCATCGCCATGCAAAATAAAAAGTTACAGCACACAATCGAAGCGATTGCGCAGGTATCCCACGCACCGAGGCACTTTGTCCGCCCAAATTTTCCGCCAGTACTCCTCCTGCGCCGAATGCAAAAGCGACAGGTACGTGTATGACCTGACGCGATGCCTTGTCCCACCATGCCATGCCCGAGTAGCCAGCAATAATCCTTAGTCGCTAAAATGAAGAAAAAAGCTCTATCGTGTGTGGGTGAGGGAGGGAAGGGTCGTGATTATCGTTAAAAGTCGTTGCTGTCCTTGCGCTTCTTGCGGCCGGCCTTGCGCTTCTTGCCCTCGCCCTCCTCGGGCGAGCCGCCGCGGTCGGCGGGCGCAGGTGCATCCGAGACTTTGTTAACGATGTCGTTGAGGAAGTCGAAGTGCTCGTCCTGCAGCACGGCTTGCTTGAGGTGGGCGGCGGAGACGCGCTTCGACGAGCGGTTCTTGGCCTCGGTGGCGGCCTTTGTAACGAGCGAGATCATGAAGAGCTCGAGTGCCTTGGCTGCATGCGCCGTCAGCGAGTGGGGTTGCCTGGTGAGGATAGGGCTGAGACTTACCGACAACGTGGGGCGTGACTTGAGCGACTTTGCCGACATCTTCGTCGGCCTGCATGATGCGCTTGATGCGGGCGGCAGGGAACTTGGTCTTGACCTCAATGCCTTCGGCGACGCCCGGGGCCTGCTCCCTGGGCTCGGACTTGATCATGCCGCCATTGGCGTCCATGAGATCACCTGGCTCCATGGTCTCAGTCTTGAGAGTGGTGGGCACAGAGTAGAGCGGCGACCAGTGCTGGCCGTCCTCACCTTCGAACTTCATTTGGGCGGCCATGGTGGGTGGTGGGTAGGAGATGCTGTTGCGGGGTGCAAAGTAGCCGGCGGGCGGATTATAAGCGCCGGCCGTGTTCGGGGGCGCGTAGGGTGACTGAGGTGGCGCGTGCGAAATGGAGCCACGGTACTTTTGGTGTTGCGGGTGCAGTGGCTCGGGATCGGCCTGGCCGTGGTCGTAGGCTGAAAGATCGGGCGAGCGCGGGGCGTACGAGTCCTCCGGGTCCTCCATATTAAAGCGCGAAGACACACCGAAACTTATAGACGGAGCGAGGGCGCGCTAGCGTACACGGAGAGCCGACTGCGTGGGTATGCGGAGGCGGTGATTCGGCGCAGCGCTCAGTAAAGTGGATCCTCCGACCGCCGAGGCGAGAGACCGGGACGGAGAGCGTCGGTGTAGCTGCGCCGGCTGCGAGCTTGGCGCGGAGCTGGCGATGCGACAGAACTGCAGAGCTGGGTGTGTATATTGTACAGTCCACACGGAGGAAAGCGGACTTAAGCCGCGCGCGAGAGATGGGCAGGGCGACTCTGGCGCAGCACCCAGCTGAGCGAGGGCCGGGCTTGCTTTATGCCCGGCCTGCCGCCTTGCAGCACCCCTGCCACCCGGCCAAGCCTGAGCCACCCTTATTAGTGGCCGCGTTTGGGCATGCCTTTAACACTTGAGAGCGGCGCAGGCCTAACTCAACATCAACCTCATCTGCCCTCTGCCGATCCCGCAGCCTTGCGCGAGCGCGCGCGCGCTGTTCTGTTCTGCGTTGCCGGGTCCGGCCGGGGCCTGCGCTGGATGACGACAACAAGAACATCAGCATTTCCGCCGCGCGCGTTGCCGCCGCCTGAGGCCCGTCTTGCGCTATCGCGATTGCGGTTGCTCTGCCCAAAGCTGCAGGCAGCCAGCGGCTGAGCGTCCCGCCCGTCAAGGCTTGATTTAATGTGACTCCGCCGTTCGTTTCCGCCTTTTCGGTGCCTGAGATTAGTTGCCCTCTGCGCAGTCCAACCCCCCATGTTTTGCTCCGCCTGCATATTTCCTGACTCATCACGGTTGCCAGAGCACACGGCTCATTCTGTTCTCTTTGACTCGTAATCTCGGCATTATTTCAGCTGTGTAGCTGCGCGCACCATCTTACCGTAAACAGACGCCTTTCATTCGCCACCGACCTCAATAATGACTGGTCTTTGACAAAGCCCGCTCGCTTAGTGTTGCAACGTGGTGGACGATTTCAAGCCTTCATTTTGACGCTTTGGCGAAACTTTGGACCATACATTTCGTCTTGATCAACAGCCTGGTCTGTAGTTTTGCCCATTGTGGCAATCCCAAGTGGAACCGCAGAGCAGGTTCCTAACCTGCAGCCTAAAATGATCGTCCACAGTTATTTTCGAAAGAAACGGCACTCGACTTACACAGGTAGTTGAAGTTACCATCCAGACGTAGATGTATATTTAATAATTCCACATCAACGCCCAGACAGTAGCTTCTACTGCCTATGTAGCAAGCTTATGCATATTGAAATTAGTTCCGATGGTTCAGATCTTTCGGCACCTGCTGTGGCTCGGCTCAGGGGAGCTGCAGCCCGGCGCTCAAACAGATCAGGCTAGAGGATCCACATGCCTGACATGGAAGGTAGATGTGCTTGGGTTGCTTCAGGTCATTTGTACAGGGCCAACTACGTCATCCGTGAGCTCCATGATTAATGAAGCCTGGTACCTGGGGCCACTCAACTGCCCAAACGCGCTAGCACTGAAACGCCACTCCCTGCTTCTGCACCATGTTCTTTCCGCCACCTGCAAAGCCTGTGCCCTCGCTCTTAATCTCAACCAGACCGGGCTTCAGCTTGTCTTTCTCCTTCTTCTTGCCTTCCTTGTCTTTCTTCGACTTCTTCTCCGGCGTTAAAGGAATCTCGCACACGTAGCATCTGATGACACCAAATTCCGCCGTGGGATCGTGCGCATCCGCCTCGTCATGGGGTGTCATGAACTTGGAAGTGCAGGGCTTGCAGAGCACATGGCCGCACGGTATTGCCATCATTGCCTTGGTGGCGTTTGTGAGCGCTTTGCGACAGGCCGGACAGCTGCGCACCGGATCACCGCCCTTTGCGTCCTTTTCCTCAGTGAAATTTAAGGTTGTCAGGGTCTTCAATGAATACTCGTGGGGCTCTTCGTCGGAGGATCCTGGGCATATCGGATGCAGTTTCACCTGCTTATTAATGGCATGCAAAGACCCGTTGTCTGCAGTGCTAGTGTCGGGTGTTTGCGACGGAACCCAGAAGGAGGGTAGGGTTGACTTGGAAATAGCCTCGCGCTATTACAACACCGTCAGTCAAACGGCCTGCTTGAGCCAAACAGAGGGAAGAAAGGGCAAAAGGGGGAAATAGCTTGATCAGTGAGTACTGACCTTCTCTTCGCTCAGCGCCTTGCGCACTTTGCTTCGCTCTTCCCGCGCGACCCTCATGACCTCTTCCTCATCGAACTCGAACTTTCTCTTGACGCCCTTGTTCCCATCAACACCCTCGACCTCTCGCTCAACGGTAACTTTTCCTCCTTCCCTTCCCACAATCTTGCCGCCCATGCCCTTCGCCTCCAGGCCCATCTGCACCCTCTCGAAGTCCTCAACAGCTCTCTTTTCCTCTTCAGCCTCCTGCCTTACTCTGTCTTCTTCCTGCTCCGCGACCCTGCGCTCGGCCTCAATCTCTAACCGTTTTATCTCCTTGCGCTGGGCCAGTAGGTTGTTGATGGCGCATTCGCGGCAGAAAACGTCACCGTGCGCGCAGGCGACGGGGTCGCGCGAGGGGAGCAGGCATAGCTTGCAGGACGAGAACGGCAAGAAGGAATCGCGCGTCAGGCGCGTGCGCGCGGTGCCCCAGGTCGACTTGAGCTGCTCGCGCTCGTAGGAGGTGAAGAAGGCGAGAGAGGTGTTGCGCTTGCCTGTTTGCAGTCAGCGCTTTGGTTCCGTATCGAAGGCAACAATTGTCCCATACTGTGCGACATCTTGCGCAGAGCGTTGCAGCGTCACCGCCACAGAAGCTGGAAAAGTGCGGTTGACGTTTCGGCGGGCGACGGCGCGTAGCGGCGGGCAGAAGCGTCCCGCGTGTCAGGAACCGGCTATGACGACGAGTGACGGCCAGGACTTTTGGTACGATCGGTCGTTCGGTCGGTCGGCTCGACGAAAAAACGCGGAGAGGAAGCCGGCGCGCGTGCGGGAGTCCAAGCTCCCCACAGGCCTGCTGCCGTCACAGCCAGGCAGGCCTGCCCCGTTCGGTGCCAATCCATGTTCGATTTTGAAAATCTTAGGGCTCAACAACTCTGCGACAAACTCCACCTCTCAGCCCACACTCCTTCTCCCTCTTTCCTCTCCTTCTGCTGTCTCTCATTTTGATGCGTCGGGTGTAAACCGCGATGGCGCCTGAGGAGCAACCTGCCGCTCCAAGCTTGCCATGGCGCTGGGGTTCCGTGGCCGTTATGGGCGCCGTGGGCCTTACATGCCGGGGGTTTCTAGTCGGTCTCAGCAACCTCGAGGTCAATGGCATGGACGGTTTTCTAAAGCTGCTGGAAGAGCGCAAGGACGTCCAGGGACGTCAGAGGGGATTGATCACTGGTGAGTTCTGCGCATCGCGACTCAATTGTCCATCGAAGCAGCCCGGCTAACAGGAAGCCTTCCTACACGCACCAGTTTCCAACCACGTATCCGTGTATGATGTACGCCCTGACGCTTTTCGCGGGTCACTGCACTTTGCCACAGGACTGCCCGGCTAACTGGCGCATCTGTTTACGCCGTTCAGATTGGATGATCCATTGATATGGGGCTCGCTGCCACTTCGATATATGTTCAATCCAGACAACCTGCGCTGGAGCCTTGCCAGCCACGATCTTGCATTCCCAAACAAGTACGCACCCTCAAGCCGTCTAAAAAAAAAACCAGACACCGCTAACATCGCGTTCACACCAGAGTGCTTTCTCTGTTCTTCTCCCTGGGCCAAACCCTCCCGTGCCACCGCCTTGCACACTCTCCACATGGTGGGCTTTTCCAGCCTACCATAACGCAAGCCATCCGCCTCCTCTCCCGCGCCCCCTTCTCAGCGCCTCCTGCCATTCAGCGCGACGAGCCCACCGCCACAGACATTTCCGACCCTTTCACCTCTGCTGCCCTCACGTACACCACCACCGGCCACGACAGCTTCCCCGCGCCCGCCGCCTACCTCTCGCGGCGGCACGCGTGGGTGCACATCTTTCCGGAGGGCAAGGTACACCAGAAGGAGGACCGCACGATGCGCTACTTCAAGTGGGGCGTCGCGCGGCTGATTCTCGAAAGCGAGCCTCACTGCCCGGACGTGGTGCCCATGTGGGTCGAAGGCCCCCAGCAGGTCATGCACGAAGGGCGCACCTTCCCGCGCTTCCTCCCCCGCCCGAACAAGACGGTCAGCGTGACGTTCGGCGAGCGCGTCGACGTGGAGAAGGTCTTTGGCGACCTGCGCGCGCGGTGGAGGAAGCTGAAGGAGAAGGAACCCGGCAGCGCCGCGCTAGAGGTGGGCGTGTTGAGCGAGGGGCTGAAGTATGGCAAGGAGGCGGTGGAGCTGAGGAAGGAGTGCACGATGCGCATGCGGGAAGAGGTGTTGAAGGTCCGGAGGAGCATAGGCTTGCCTGATGAGGACCCTAAGGCTGGCCTTGTTGAGACTTGGGCGCTGGAAGGCCCGAAGAACGAAGGGAAGATGGACGATGAGAGCTGGGTAAAGGATACATGAAGAATGTCCTTGATGGATCATGATGATGACCACCATCGTGTAGATATGTAAGCGCTTGCAACTGTAGAACCACTGGAAGAAAATGAGCCTTGGCGTGTTCTTGGATGAAGGGTATTATTGCCATAAGGAAAATTGGCTTCAATTGTTTTCGTGCAAATGCGCCAAATGTTTTGCATCAAGAAGAAAATAAAAGTATTCAATTCATGCCCTCAAATTAGCTCTCTGGTTCACACCGACGAACCTAACGGCGGCGCGGCCCTCTTTCCTCTGACAAGGCGAAAGGCCGGCCCGGGTTGTCTGCGACTTTGGCTTGGTTTCATCATCGGGCATGTTTGCTCAGGGCCATCCACCTTGCCTCACGCCCCATACTCAACCAACGACGGCCGCTCCCTACCTCCAGCTCCTCCCCCCTCATTTCACGACACCCTTTCTCCTCCAACGCCAATGCTCCGGCACTCCCATCCTCATCACACCCCACGAGGGGCTGCCCTCCTCCTCCTCGCTCCCACGCCAGTCCGGTCATCCCCACGCACACCCCCTCCCCACGCCGCCCCCGTCAATCCCTCGGAAACACGCCACCCAACGCGCCGGTCCGATTGAAAACTACATTTAGCACTGTCATCAGCCGAATGCGTAGTTCGAGCTGCGGCTTCTGCCCCGGCCCTTTGACGAGACGGGACAAAAGACGTCAGCTGCTCGCATCAAACGATATGTTGGGGGCCTCCAGAGCTTGCGATATTTGTCGTCATTGGCGCGGGTAAATGAGTGACGATCTGGGGAAGGATACAAGGGAAGCGAAGGGAGGAAAGGCGAACGAGGGGAGCTGACTGAGTGGTATCGAACAAGCAGGCAAGGGCAGCTGACGAAGGGGGACTAGGGAGGTACCATGAACAGGCAGAAGTCGAAAGGGGGAAAGAAAACGGGAGAAGGAAAGCAGGAGGGTAAGGTGAACGACAGAGGGTTGATGATGTAGGACGAAAGACGAGGGTGAAGACCCGGCTCTTGACGGGACGAGAAAGAACAAACAGGGACGACGTAGAGGAACCTCGAGAACGACTTATCTTCTTCTCGCTCCTCGCTCCGCTCCGATCTCTGTTCTTACTGCAGTCAGTCAGCGCCCCCCTGTAGTTGCTGCCCAGCTGCAAGCACGCAGGCTGCAACAAGTAGGCAGCAGCAGCGTGAGGACTCGTGATAGCTCGGTGAGGTTTATCGTCACTGCGGAGAAAATGAGAAGGAGAAGCAGCCGTCGTCTCATGTTCGTGCGTCGCCACCCGTTATGTCTTTCTCGTTGTCCGTGGTAGAAAGAGTGTACGAGGAGCGTAGCGGCGCCCGCAAAGGTGACGCGACGTGCGCGACAGGTTGTTCCGCCCGCCCAAGAGAAAGCTGCGCACTTGGACAGTTTAGACGCCCGTAAATAGTGATGAATACTCTGGAAGTCGTGGCCGCCTGGGCGTGCCTCTTAAGAATACTGAATTGAACGGCACGAGCGCTGCAAGATTTAAATACCAAACAGTAGAGCTATTGCCAATACATAGTGTGGGTAGCTCCGTACCAAATCACAAATCACATAGCAAAGAAGCAGCAGTATTTCTAGCATTCATCATTTTGGTATCTCGCGCTGGCTTACCAGCCAGTCTCAAGTCCCATAAGCGTTCGCCAAATCTTCTACTTCGAAGCTTGTCTCATACAGAGCAAGGTTGTATAATGCCTGCAATAGTTCATGCAAACGACTGCCCTCCTTAGTCGCGGAGAGAAATAAAAAGAGGAGGAAAAAGTCAAATAACATCCAAACGCGCAAAATTACGAGCGTCCAGCAGGAAAGGTAAGGATCCCATGAACTCCAGAGGTATACCCAGCCATCCGTCCTTCCGTCCAGCCAGAAAGAAAAGCCCGTCTTTGTTCGCCCTGCCCACGCTTAAAAATTACATCAAAAGTCACGTATGCACCAGCTCAGGCACCCACGCCGCTGACGCTCTGTTTCCTACTAGGCGGACCTGGTAGCTGCCCTGGCAATATCTGTCTCGGACCATGGCCGCCGATGCTCGCCTGTCTCCTGGCTGCTAGTCCGGCACCGCTTCCATCAACGCTCATGCCGTCGCCGCCCGCCGCTCCGCTCATGAAACCAGCAAATGCGGAGCCTGAATCAGCAGGTCCGAAGATGCCGCTCAGGAAGTTGGTCGCAGGAGCACGCGGCGCGCCCATGCTGGTGCCGTCGGCGGTGGCGGCCGAGTGCGGCGGGAGGTTCGCGGGCGGGAGGCCGGTGGAGAAGAGTCCGGCGCCACGGGTGCCACCCATGGCGTTCTGGAGCATTTCCTTGATGCGGATGTTGCGGTACTTACTCTGCATAGATACGAGCGGGCGGGAGACGAGTGGTGTGGGTCGTGAGCGCGCAATGGCAGCCATGATGGCGTCCTTTTCCTCGTCCGAGTCGATCGGGCCATGGTTGTCGAAGTCGTCGGCGAGCGGTGCGTTGGCGTCGATGGCAGCGCGCTGCTGTTTGGCCTGGTTCTTCTTCTGGTACTGCGCCAGCAGCATGTCGTAAGGCAGACTGCGTCCGGGAACAGCGCGCTTGGCGCCCATGGAGTGGGACTTGCATGTCAAGCTTCTCGCGCACATGGAGCCGTTCGGTAGCAGGACACCGCATTGCTTCTCCACGTCGACGGGGCCCTTGGGCTTCGGTACCTTCGCCTTAGGCTCGTCCTTTTTCTTCTTCTTGGCCGGTGCCTTCTCCGCGTCGCCGTCTGCCTTGCGCTTCTTGCTCTTCTTGGCGCCTTCGCCATCCAGCGCCCCCTTAGAGCTCTTGCGCGCATTCTTAGGCGGGCCGTCGTCATCGTCCTCGATACCCTTCTCACGCCGAATAGCTGCTTCTTTGGCCTCCTTGGCCTCTTTCTTCTTTTTGAGCTTCGCCTGTTTCTTGTCCAGACACTCCCTTATGTGGTCTTTCGCCGCAGTGCGCAGCACGGGGCGGCGACAGTGGCGGCATTGTACGGTATCAAGTTGATCGTCTAGGGGGCGGTTCGTCGGGAAAGCAGCGGTGGTCTTCTCGTCAAGCTGATTGACAAGAGGGGACGAAGGTGCGGACGGAGGTTCAATCTTCTTGCCGGTAGAGTCTGCGAAAGCAAAGGTGGCATTAGCACACATTCGTTGCGGCGCAGCAGGGTGTTTGGCTGCGGCGTACCGGTTATCTCGCTTTCCTTCCAGTTGCCCGGCTGGGTCTGCTTGACGTTGGTTTTCTTGAGTTTGAAGGTCGCGGGCTTCTTCTCCTTGTCGCTGAATATGCCGTCGTAGGCGCGGGCGTGGACCAGGCCCTGCCTGGTGCCTGGCGCTTCGCGGGTGGGCGTCAGCATTCGCGGAGGTGACGCGACCGGAGACGGTGGGCTTCACTTACCCTTGCGCGTACCGTTGGCCACCATGCTGATGGCTTAAAGGAGCGCTATGAATATCGGGATAGGTGAGATAGCGAAAGTTGCTTCGGGCGCATCGAGGCGGAGGTTCCAAGGCTGCGATGAGTTGAGGTCGGCGTGTGGGGGATGCGCTCCGGTCGCAAGGCCAGCCCTAACTTTAGCCTAGGTCGTTCCATGGATCCAACGTCACGAGTTGACAATTTCACCACAAGCACTGCAAGATTTTCACTTGATCCTTCATTGAGTGCAACCGCGCTCATCGGCAAGAGCGCATGGTCTAATGTACATACATCTGCTATAAAAAAGCCTGATCAGCCGCCTTGTGCGTCGAACCCCTTCCGAAACCGGATCCTCCTGAAGAAGCACCTGGGATATCCTGCAGGCTCAGAAAAAGTGAAATGAAGCTAAAATGATGAATACAAATATGAAATCTTTTTATCAGTGATCCCACCACGATGTGCACACCAAAGCGCCGAGAGCACCATCGCCAAATAGCTAAGACCAGCCTTCAGCCTCCCATACTATGCATGAGACATCTCTGAGAAGCCAACCCACATTCAGACCGCACTGCAACGCCTGTGAGATGCCGCCACGAGAAAAAACAAGAAATAGTAGCAAAAGAAAAGACAACATGAACAAGAGGCCTCGCTCATGTTGCTACTCGGGCATCCCTCTGAAATATTCGGACGGAGTGCTACCGCCTCCAGACCTCGTTCGTAGCATAGGCTGGTATCGTGATGTACCGCAAAGCAATACAGCCCCAGCAAGCAAGAAAGGTTACCCGAGCATATACCGCGCTTCTAGAGAATCTTGGGTAGTCGAATTCGAAAAAGGATCCGAGATGCTCCGAGTAGTGTCTCGTACCGCTCATCAGTCGTATCAGTACACATGAACCGAATCTGCACACCAGAAGAAGTCGTAAGACGTATTGCAGCGCCGTTGCCGCCGGGAGGTTTGCAATGGGAGGAGCATCAAGATCGAACACAATCCATCAGCGCCCACCCTTCTTTGTGCGGGAGTTCTTCGCCTTTGTCTTCGGTGGCGGTTGTTGGGAGTGAAGATGCTCCAATTCTTCCAGGGCATAGGTATTCTCCCACTTGAGGCACCAGTACTTGGACGAGTCATTGTCGGTGTACGTCTTCTTCCTGGTCTGGATACCCGTCGTGTCCTCACCGGCCGTTTTCTGGGCCTGAACCTCGCTAAGGTGGTTCTTCCAATTGACCATGTACTCAATGATCGAGTCTTGCCAGTTACTAAGCTCTTTCTTGAGTTTCAACTCACGGTGACCACGGTCATCCAGCCATTCGTGGATCTTCTGTACGTCTTCAGGGTTGTCGATGTAACCCCATTGCGTCGAGTCTGTCAAGTGGACAGGACCCTCCTCTTCATCGCGACGCTCCTTTTTCGTCATGCCAGTGAGCCTCTTGTAGTCCCTCTCGTCTTCAAGAGTGTCATGTTCCAAAAGGGGCTTGTCGAGAGAATCAGGTCCTTGCACCCAAAGGCGGCCATTGACATAGCCATATTCGGCAGTGGAGCTGGTAGGAAGACCACCAAGTGGCATTCCCCACCTCTCCAGCCACCAGTACGTGTTGCAGAATCGGTCCTTGCCAAGGCAACGTAGCTGCTGGCATTGGTTCTCTCGGAGTTCCTCGTCGAATTTCCTGATTTCCGCCTCGCAGTTCCTGATGGCATCGTTCGTTTTGTCGATCTTTTTCAACAACTCGCGGTAAGCATTCCTCTGCTTGGCCCTTTCGGCTTCCTCCTTCTCTTTGCGCTCCCTCTCTTTCCGCGAAGCCTCATCTTCGTGTTTCCGTTTGCGGCTGTTGGCACGTCGAAGGCGACGAGCGCCCTCTTCATCCTCCCCACCTTCTTGCTCAGCATTGGTGTCGGGCTCTGTGACACCGGACATGCTGACATCGCCATTGGTTTCGGCAGGGGGGGAGACAGACAAAGTTGCTGGATAATCCATCTTCCTCTTCTGTTCCAGCTGGGCCAATTCCGCCTGGTACTCTTTCCGCTTCTTCTGCTGCTCCATCTTCTGATTCCGGATCGCGGTCATGTTGATGTTACAGTTTTGCATATATGTGCGAACAGCATCCGTGAATGTAGCGTACTGAGTTACAATGCCCAGGGCGGCAACGCGGAAGTTAATATCCAGCGTATTGTACTGGAGAGCGACAGTTTCGGGCTCGGGATCCAAGTCCGAAGGCACAAGGTGGGCAAGAATCTTCTCACAGACCTCTTTACGGCGAGGGTTGAGGGATGCTTGACGCAGCGCGCCAACCAAAACCGATTGCCAACCTCCATCCTGGAAGCTACGCCGAGCCAGGTGATCGATCCAGTCAAACTGGGAAAGCAGTTCTGACGCACGGTTAGCCTGCTCCGGCTGTGTCCCTTTCTCCGGTTCTGGCTCCGCCAGTTCCTGCGCTTGCAGCTTGCTCAAGCTCGCACGTGTCCGCCTGGCAGGGGGGGTCTCCGAACGAGCCGGCGTTGGCGACTTGGTGTCTTCCTCAGCTTCATCTTCTTCTGGTTCGATGTCCTGGGAGAATTCAGATGCCAGATCCGAAAGGACCTTGATGTGGCCCTTTTCATCCACCAGCTGCTTCAAGACAGCACAGTGCATCTCAACAAGGAGCTCACAGTTCATGGCATCTCCATGGTAGCCGAGTGCTTCGATAAAATCATCGACGGTGAATGAGTCTAAAATAAAGACTTCCGCATGGACATTGAGAGTTTGCCAGATGAACAACAGATCTCCTACGGACTTCATTTCAAGTCCAAGCTTCTCCGCTGGCGGCTCAGCTCCTTCAGGAACGTCATCGGACAAGAACTTGAGCGCTGGGCGCTGGAGTCCATTGCGTTTTGGCTGGATAAGAAGATCCTCGATAGGATACTTGATAGGAACTGGGCGCGGCGGGACTTGTGTGGGTGGCGGCCGAGAGGGAATAGTAATCTGGTGCTGAGGCGGACCGTATTGACCATTGATAGGCATGGGGGGAGTACCATTAGGGCCTGGAGGTGGCTGGAACGGAGGAGGAGCTGGAACGCCAGGTCCTGGCCTAAAGACACCACTTCCGGCAGGTGGAGGTGGCGGGAACATGGCCTGTTGGAAGGCCACGGTCTGCGGAGGTTGACGCTGGAGCTCATTACCCGGACCTCTGTAGTAATTGAAGAAAGTGGTGTTTTCGTTCTTCATGACGTTCCTCTTGGCTTCAGCAATGCCCTGTGCCGTAAGATGGTATGGAACCTCCTTGGGCAACCTAAATTCGGCGACAAGCTCTGGCTTCACCTGCCATGGCGCGCCCTTATAGTTCTCGCTGTGGGCAATGTTCCTGATAAAGCTCCGCAAGATTGACCTAGAGTACGTTCTCCGATCCCTTGACAGCCTTTTACTATCCAGAAGCATATCATTGGATCCACCATTATCCTGCTGCACGGTGACGAAGTAACGAGACAACGGGGGCTGGTGGAGCGTCGGGTGGCTCCTGATGTCTACGGACGGCGAGAACGTAATCTTATCGCGGATAATGCCAGGTAGGCGCTTGTCTGCATTCTCATCGATCTGGGCGATGACGTGCTCACCCGGGTAGTAGTCATCCTTCAAATCGGCGTGAACGCGGGTCACCAGCTCCTCGAGGCGGGGAATTGTTGAGTGGTGGACCTTGCGGCAGACCTGATACCGCAAAGGGCCGGGGAATATACTCCTGATTTCGCGAGCGTCCTCGTCCTACACGTCGTCAGCTTCCATGCCAAGCCGAAAGCTGTGTGTATACCGACCTCTGCCTCCAACGCATCGAAGAAAGAAAGATTGCCTTGGCCGGTTATTTGGTTCGTGAATTGTTTCTGCGCGGGGTCAGCGATGGTCGCGCGGATCATACGAGGGCTCTGCGAAGCTCACCTTGCGATAAAAATCCAACCTGACGCGTGTTAGCATTCTCCGCCTACGTCACGCCGAAAAAAAGAGCTGGGAGCGTACCTGTTCGCGTACTTGTCGTACTCGGTGAATATTTCGCCAGTGGCCTTGATCATCCAGACCTACGCGTCGCGTTAGCCTCCATCGCTGTGCGCCGGCGTCTTGTCTGGATTGGGTACGCACAGTGGTGTTTTCATCTCGGATGTTGGGGTCTGGCACGAAGGGCACCGGAGCCCGTTTGTAGAAGACCTGGGCCAATTAGCTCTCTGGGTGTGCGCAAGCAGAGCAGCGAGAAGCTCACCATGTCGGCGACGAGCTGAGCGCGCCAACCCACGGCGGAAACAGCGGGCTATCAGGCAGTCGGCAGCGCGTCTCAGCCCTACGAGTCGCCGCGATGCGGACTTAAGCTCGGCGGTAGCAGTTGGCGACAGGCCAGGATGCAGAAATTATTTGTGAGACCAATGGGGGATGGTGTTGCGACCCTGGCGACGGCAAAGATAGGCGGCAGCGCGCGGAGCGCGGTGGGGCGAGCGTGTATCGCGGCGACGTCGGCGAAGTCGATAAATTGACGTTTTGGGAACGCGTAGTCGAGCACCCGACGCGTGGGAGCATGTAGCAGCCCGGGATATTGGCTTGGCGCGACGTGGTGGTGTGGCGTTGTGGGTGTCGAGTGTAAGGGAGGAGTGGGGAGGAGAGGAAAGAGTTTGGATTTGCAGCGGGTTAGGTGAGCAGCAGAAAGGTAGGTCTGCGCGGCGGAGAGAGTTAAGGACCGGGAAGGCTTGGCGGCATGCTGCAGTGCACGCGCGCTAGACCTGCCAGATGAGCGAAAGCATACCCACCAGCACCTGCCCTTCCGCTGCCCCCGGCAAAACACCCACCCCCCGCCGCTGCACCCCTCGTGTTTGGGCTCTTTCGAACCGCCGCAGCCTGCACAATCGAGTGATGTCGCTTTTCTGCCCTCCGCGCCTGCGTGGCAGCGCGAGCGGTCCGCCTGAAGATCAGCTCCCCCTACTCGATTTTCCCCGAGAGGAACCGAGTGCGTGCTTCGTCACCAAGCCCCGGCTGCAGATGCTGGGCAGTCTGCCAGATGCTTCCGACACGCCTCACCGTCCACAAGAGCCCCAACCCAATCGGCCCATGCCCGGTTTTGTAGTTCAACCGCATTTGCAACTTGGTGGCATCCGATGATATCCTCATCACCGCCCCCATGTCTTCCTTGCAACCATGTTCTTGACCAGAATGGCGGTGGCCACACCCTTGCAGCCACACTGAACCCCAAGAAACATCAGGATTCAACAAAAATAGCCCTCGCACTTCAAAACACCTTCTGAAGCCTGCTGTTGTAACCCCCCTTCCGCGAGATCAACCCCGGGCAAGGGATCGTCCGCTCCGATTGCGAGTGGTGGGCACGGAACCACCGCCATCCCCCATCCTGTTTGCCAGCATTCCTCGAGACTCAGTTCAGGTATAGCCGAAATAACTTATACATCCACCGTGCGTCAAAGCAGCCATCTCTCGAGCCGCCGATTGCTCCCATCCTTCGAGTGAATGATCTAATGAAAGCCTTGCTTCGCAGCACACCTCAACTCTTCCATGTTAGATGGTCCAAGCTCTTTTCAGGGCCGTCTCGCCTCGCGTTACTGTTTATACCATCAGGAAAAGCGTTTCTTCCTATTAAAAATAAGTCACCTTGACCATTTTTTACATTGCTCTCGGGATATCCTCAAGCTTAAGGACATACTTAACTTCTAGGTGTGCACCGATCCAGCGTGAAAGCTGTCTTCCTCCAATAATCGTACAAAACTAAAGAAAATAATATATAGCTGATCCACCTTGATTCTTTCCCCTCTTTTCAATTCAGCGATTGGTGATTAACTTTGTATGAGGCGACTTTCAGACATCATCCGGCGGCTACTAAATCTTCCGATCAATTTCGGGAAAGCTGTTAAGGCGTTTGAATATAGGGAAGCCTCTACGAATCTATAATATGTAGGAGGCTTTGTAATTAAGTAGAAAGCCCCCGCCTCTTACTTGCTCCGTAAAGCAATTCAGGATCACTTCGCTTGATTTTAACGCTGAAAGGATTAGAGAACCACTTAAACATGATAACTAATAGATATTTAGTACTCTCGTACCTGTAGGTATACTCTATAACTATAATCGAATCTTAGGCTATTATTTACAGCGCTTTCTATACCTATGTTTTATGTGCTATGGTTGCAATACCTTTACCAAAGATACATGGAGGCTATATTATTAGATCACGACATCGATATTTTGCTTTGTGTTTGCATTGAAGTTATTCATAGAATTGCCTGGCGTTTTTTATTGGACTTGCATCTATGTGGTTGGTAGTACATTAAATTGATGATCATAGTATACCGAGCGAGAGCGATCGCACGCATTTACTTACAATCACCGGGCTATAATATATTAATCATGCCCGAGGGAATATGGAGTAATAAGAAACATTGCCTGCTGTTTTGTACTCTCACTGTCTAGTCCGCATGTAAAACTGTCAGCTTAGAATTTATATTGTGCAAAGGAAACCTTATTGTACGTTGAACCGAGAAATTGAAAAATGGCTGTTTTACTCACGTGAAATTAAACGAACATAATGAACAGTTGTCTCTGTACCTCGGAAGGGAAATTTTATCGTATTCATCTGCTCGGTCCTAGACTAGACGGCGGGTACCTGCTTCCGCAAACGGTCCCGCTTGTGCCCAACGGAATTCACTTGCCTGCAACAATTTCTCCCGACATTACTGCTTGATCTTAGCATCAAAACATACTGATAGATCAGTATTCTCTGCTCACAAATCTTCCGTTATATCAGGACCTTTCTGTGTCGGTATCGACAACCACACCCTTATGAACGAATTCACGATACGTATTGGCGAGCTCATCACTTCTTGCGCTAACTGGCGTAGCCTGTTCCTTTCAAATCCGCTTTCTCGCGTCTCTTGTCACATCCGCGGTATTCTCGAGACCCTGACCCCTGGAGTCGGGGTTTCTTCCTCATACTTATACCCGGATACTTCAAGAGTTGCCGAAACGCGTATCGAACCACAACGACATCTTCATTGCACATTGCACGAGATGCAATTGAAAAATTCTCCAAAGGGGAATGACTTTTCAGAGGCAATGGTGCAAGTTAAGGAGTCATAACTTTCTATCTTCAAAAAAAAAAAAATACTTTACTCTCGATAAGGTGAGGAGTGCGCCTTACTATCTCGGTGGAGATGTGGCTTCGACAGGCTGAATGGGAATTTGAGAAACGGCACTCTCTGTTCAGCCAATAGTGAGGTTTGGCCCGCCGCAGTATCTTCAGCGGGTCGGAACAGTGCGCACCTCCATACGTCATGCCCACTAACTTCTCTATGCGCAAGGCTCTTTGAAGAAAGAGCCAGTCGCCTAGGTCCGATCAATAGTGAAAGTCGCACCGCGAGGCCGAACAGCTGCATGGGGCCCTGTGATCGCGGACGCCACTGGCATCACTCGACCAAGGAACGCTCTAGCGGAAGACCTGACCTCCAGTAACTCCAAGTAGACAGGCTCTCACCCATACTCGGCCTACCGAAAGGCCACAGAAAAAGTCATTTGACTGGTACCAGGGTTCTGAAGCACCCAGCCATCAGTGTCAGACGTCGCTTGCTAAGCGCCCGCAGGGAAATCACTTTTCGGATAAACGACGACCATAAAAAGCAACAATAAGACAGAGCCCGCCTCATAAGAGAGGGTATAAACGAGGTATAAGTGAAGCAAACATCCTAACGTATCTAACTAGAGTAATGTGGTTCGCGCAGACAATACAATCGGCTCTCCGCCCTCGTACCGGGCGGCATATGTAAGTACCGCCCACCTGCACGAACGAGCGGGGCAAGGCTGACCGAGCCCAGCCAGCGAGCCGCGCGGGCCGACCCCAGCAGCAGGATGCTTTGCATTTCCGCTTTGCTTGCATGCCGCATATTGTTGCGCAGTATCTCGCAGCAAGAAGCGGCCGGGGGTGAACGTTGAGCCGGGTACGCTCGGGAAGCGGAAACTGCACCACTATCACAAGGCAGGCCAACCAGCCTCGCGGGGCGCGCCGCGCGGCGGCGCTTAAACGAGGGCCATGCAGCCTTTTGGTCTGCTCTTTCGGTGGCGGGAGGATTTGCTTATAAAAGTGGAGTGAACTACCCCTCTGTCGTTCCGTTGCATTCCTTCTTTATCATCGTCATTCAGAAAAAGCAATGCCGAGCCCTTGCCCGGTCGAGCGCTTCATACGTACGGTACCACGGTTGGGCCGGGCTGCTCCAGCGAGTAAATACTGATTAGAGAAAGACCCACAGCGCCTTCACTTGTCGATTCGAGATACACACGATGCGCCCGGGGAGTCACAAGCCACATCACGATCAATACACGCGCGAATCTGGGAAGAGGGGTGACAAGAAAGATATAAGCTTATCGATCTTTTTCGGGGCGGTCGCTACCCTAATTTGTCACCCGAGACATCCGAAGAGATAAACGGTAGGGGTTGATTCCTTCCTTCTCTCCTCACGATGTCATATATACGTTTAGGAAACTGACCCAGCTGCTAAATACGCCAACGGCACAGTACGAGCTCGTAAACATCAGAGGAAGAAACTCGAGGCGTGCACCGAAGACGAGCTGGTGCACAAACGATGTGTACACAATCAGTGGAATTGCCACTGTGATGTACAGCAGCGCGAAGCGATCCAGGAGGAAGAACCGCGGCTGTGGGGAACTGCGCGGTCGCGTCAGGCCATTGTCAGTGAAAAGAGTCACGAGGGGGTTTCGATAATGAGCCGAATTAAGGGAAAATGAGACGAGATGGAAGAATCCGGAAGGTGACATCTTAGGTAATAGGGGGAAACAGATGAGGCGACTATGAGAGCATTTGAAAGAGATGAGGAAATGAAGGCGGGAGATACGTACGCAGGCGCCAACCGGTCAAACGCCAGAAGCAGAGCCACCAGCCAGAAGATGGTGTACAAAATCTTGATGGGAAATTCCATGGCGGTAAAGAGCAGGGGGAACAAGCTCACGTGCCCGGCAACGGCGAGAGGGCGGAACGCTCCGAGATACCGGCGGTCCTTAAGCGCGATAAGGCTGAAGGGAATAATGACCGTCAAGATGGCCTTCTCGTGCACGTGCCATCCGAAGAGGAAGGATGCGTACCCACAGAGCGTTACAGCGCCTATGAAGATCTCCCATGTCGGTTTTAGGAATAGCTTGATGAGCGGAATGATCTGGAAGAGCAGGGTCAGGGCGAAGGTTGCCTGCTTCGGCACATCCGGTAAAACGGCGAACTGCGTGTCCCCAACGAAGCCTCTAGTCAGGCTAGTTGCCGCCGACCGGTCAACGGGCAGATTGAGGTACGGCGCCAAATACAGCAGAACCCTGTCGGTGAACGAGTACATCGCCCAGACGTTGGGGGCCCAGTACGCGTGAGTCAAGCCACGGTCCCACGGGAAGAGGCGGGTCAGCAGCTGCGGGATTTGGCTCCAGTACACGAAAGGCCCAAAGGCAGCGGCGAAGATGGCGATGATCCCAAGGCCAAGCTTCAGGCAGTTGAAAAACTGGATCCGGAAAATGGACTGCGGGCTCAAGCAATAGACGCGGAGCAGGTATACGAAATACGCCGGCGCAACGTACAGATACAGATGCTTGAAGCACAGCAGGGCCGCGAAGAGGTAGCCGCTCAGCAGCAGCGTCGACTGGCGACGGGCGAGCACCATGGACAGGACCAGGATGCCGAAGAGGAAGCCATTGTACTGGAAATGAATGTGGTCAATGATCAGCAGGCCCGGCGACAGCAGGACCGACAGGGAAGCAGCATGGGCAAGCTTCTGCGAATTGGCTGTCTTGACGTATCTGTCACGCGTCAGGAAACCGGCTGGGCGAAAGATTGCAGGAGCTGGCAGCGTACAGGTGGAGAGCATAGACCAGGACCAGCTCGGTGACGATCACAGTGGCCCGCTGGAAGTAAACGGTCTGCCAGGTGTCGTAGCCAAGCGCCTTGACGTTGAGCAGACCGGGCTCGACCAGGCGGGCGGCCTGAGACAGCGCATATTCAAAGTAGGCAAAGAAAGGCGGGTAGTCGAGGGTCCATTCCGAGGTGTTCTCCATTCCATCAGCAGGCGGGCGCTGTCTGAGACGCTGCGACTCACCTCGTAGTACCACTGGCGGACGGGCAGCGAGTGGGTGAGGGCCAGCCAGTTGCGGTGGACCTCGAAGTCGGTGGATTTGCTATGCAGGTCAGCATGTTGCCCGGCGGCGCGGCTCGAGCACTTGCATGACGAGATTGGGGTCTCAGCGGGGCGGCGGCTCAGACACCAGCGGCGGCGGGAAGAATGCGCGCATGAAGACAGACGACTTACTACGCAGGGAGCAGCAGCAGCTTGAGCGCCGTGGCGACGAGGGCGCACTGGGCCAGCGACGGGTGCAGGGCGTCGGCCATGCTTGGCGACACGTGAGGGTGATGGAGGACGGATCTGAGGCCGCGGCGGCGGCTGGGTTGCGCGCGTCGTCGTATAGGGGCCGCTATTTGGACGGGTTGATGAGGATTCGCGGTCGCGGAGACCCTGCTGGCCGCGTCGGGCCTAGCGCCAGGCACAGCTTGTCCTCCACCACACTCGGCGCCCGCAGCGCAATCTCAGCGCGCGGCCTGTGCTGGCCTGTCTCGTGCGCCTCGCTAAGAATGTTTGGGTAGGGCGGCGCGGCGTCGCTCATTTCGTTGCTGGCCTGGCCGTGGGCGCTCCCCTGGGTAGCCCTGCCGGCCGCTCTCCTGCCACTGTGCTACGCGCAACCGCACGCCGAGGTCGCCGCTCACACCTCGCCTCCTCGCGCCCTCACGATCGCGGCGGCCGCTCCTTGCTCGTCGTCGCTTCCCTTCGTTGCCAGGCCGTGCCACGCCCGTCCGCATTCGCCAGCAGCCCGGCCACATTCCTTCCGCCGACGCACACCCTGCGCCGGCGCCGACAAAACCCCAAGGACGGCGCGTGCACACCCTTCCCATAACCACGCCTCCAGCGCTGCCTTTGTCTCCGCAAAAGGGGCTCCGCGAGACCACACCGCTGACTCGCCGCGCTCCCATCCGTTCCTTGCCCGCGCTGCGCAGCCTTCACCTCTTCTCCCGCGCTCTGGTGTGCCCGTGGCATTGCTTTTCTGCGCCTTCGCTTCGCCCTCTCGCCCTCCCACGCGTACGTCGGCTCCTGCGCGCAGATCCAATATCAACTCGCTCGCTCACCTCTCGACAGGGCTGCGTAATTCGCCTCGAGCGCCGCATCGACCAGCGTGCTGTCCCGTCGTCGCCTTTCTCCAATTCTTCGTACCCTAATAATTCCCTAGTCCGGTACGCAACGCACCGGACGCTCTAATACAACACGACGGCTGTCCTATCTACCAGTGCGCGGGACGCTTTTGTCCTGCCACCGCACCTGCTCGCCATGCAAGCTGCAGACTCCACCCCCGCGGGCCCCGGCGCCACCCGAATGAGCTCCTTCTCAAAAACCTCGATGAACGGCGACTCGACTGGCTTCTCGCACGGAGCGTTCCACTCGAATCAGCCCTCCATCACCGGCTACGGCGATCGACACCCTCAGAGGAACCTGCCCAGCATCTCCACCGGCAGACTAGGCGGCCTCAACCAGACCGGCGCAGACATGCAGACTCCTGGCACCGCCTTCGACATGAACTTCACCCCGCTGCTGCCCTCGCAGCTGCTGCTGGGCTCGCCCTTCCAGCCTGGCTCGCCCAACGCCTTCGGCTCACCCCAGTTCCAGAACTTCTCCAGCTTCCAGAACGGCGGCCCCCAGCAGCAGCCGCAGCAGCCCCAGATGGGCAGCCCCATCCAGGCCCCCATGTCGCCCCAGCTCTACCAGAGCATGATGTCGCCCACCGGCATCAACCCGCCGTCCTTCTTCGCCGGGCCCCAGTCGCCGACCGGAGCCTTCCCCAGCCTTGCCAACCAGGCCCTGGGCGGCCTGGGTTCGCAGATGCACATGGCTCCCGGCCTGGTCTCGGGTACGAGCAGGACCGTGTACCTGGGCAACATTCCGCCGGAGACGACCGCTGAGGAGATTCTGGGACACGTGAGGAGCGGCCAGATCGAGTCGGTCAGGCTCCTGCCCGACAAGAACTGCGCCTTCATCTCCTTCCTCGACAGCAGCTCTGCCACCCACTTCCACTCTGACGCAATCTTGAAAAAGTTGTCAATCAGGGGCCAGGACATCAAGATCGGCTGGGGCAAGCCTTCGCAGGTCCCCACCTCTGTCGCTCTTGCCGTCCAGCAGTCGGGTGCGTCCAGGAACGTGTACCTGGGGAACTTGCCCGAGGATGTCACCGAGGAGGAGCTCCGCGAGGATCTGGGCAAGTTTGGGCCCATCGATACCGTCAAGATTGTGAGGGAGAAGGCGATTGGCTTCGTCCATTTCCTGTCGATCGGAAACGCTATCAAGGCCGTTGCCCAGCTCCCCCAGGAGCCCAAGTGGCAGCCGCCGCGTCGCGTCTACTACGGCAAGGACCGTTGTGCCTACGTCTCGAAGACGCAGCAGCAGAACGCGGCGCAGTACCTTGGCATTGCGCCCGGCTATGCCCACGTCCTCAACGGCGCTGACCGGGATTTGATTTCGAATGCTTTGGCTCAGCAATCCGTTGCTGCAGCCGCTGTTGCGACATCCGCTGGCGGTGCCAACAACCTGGGGAACCGGACCGTCTACCTTGGCAACATCCACCCCGAAACGACCATCGAGGAAATCTGCAACGTCGTCAGGGGCGGTCTCCTCCACCATATCCGTTACATTCCCGACAAGCACATCTGCTTCGTTACTTTCATCGACCCCACTTCCGCCGCTTCTTTCTACGCTCTCAGCCAGCTTCAGGGTCTGATGATCCACAACCGCCGCCTGAAGATTGGCTGGGGCAAGCACTCGGGAGCCCTGCCCCCTGCGATTGCGCTGGCCGTCAGCGGCGGCGCTTCCCGAAACGTCTACATTGGCAACCTGGACGAATCCTGGACCGAGGACCGCCTCCGCCAAGACTTTTCCGAGTATGGCGAGATTGAATTGGTGAACACCCTGCGGGAGAAGAGCTGCGCATTCGTGAACTTCACCAACATTGCCAATGCCATCAAGGCGATCGAGGCTGTCCGTCAGAAGGAGGAGTACAAGCGTTTCAAGGTCAACTTTGGCAAGGACCGCTGCGGCAACCCCCCTCGTCAGCTGCAGAACATGCAGAACCAGCAGAACCAGCAGAACGGCGAGCTGCAGTCTCCGTCGCCGCTCAATGGCATGTCGCAGCCGAACAGAGGCCAGAACTCGATTTCTCCCACCGGCTCCGGCAACTCGGGCGTGCAGGCTCCGACTCCGGCCAACATCCTCTACCAGAGCCAGAACAACCCGCTCATCATGTACCTGCAGGCCCAGCAATCGCAGCAGCAACAGCAGCCGCAGCCCCAGCAACAGTACCAACAGCAGCAGTCGAACCTGGACCCTTTCCCGAGCGCCCAGCAGCAACAGCAGCAGCAGTCGCAGCAGGGTTCGCAGCAGAGCCAGTTCCCTAGCCCCCAGGCTGCGTTCTATGCCGCGGACAACGCCAACGCCACCCCGGCGCACACGTCCCATCACGGCCCGAGCAGCTCCTTTAGCTTGACGAACGGTTCCGGACCTGCCTCCAACTCGGGGTCTGGCTCCACGACGATCGGTGGCCTGCTTGCGCCTTCCAACATTGGCAGGAGTGCGCAGCACGCCCGCGCCGTCAGCTTGCCTGTGTTCTCGCAGGGCCCCTTTGGACAGCCGTCGAGCGCGACGAGCCAGGGCCAGAGCCAGAACTTCGGCAGCTTGGCTAGCGGCCTGGGCGGCTTTGGCGCCGGCAACGGCTTTGGTCTTGCCATCCAGGGTGAGGGCCACGGTGGCCTGCCCGGCTGGGCTGAGGAGGAGGCTGGTGCGAACTAAGCGCTCTGAATCGACGGATAGAAGGATGGCATCACTGGTCATTTGACCACTTCAGAGATCTCTCTTCAATTTGCTTCATTTCTTTTTGTTTGTTGTGATGTTGTTGTCACATTTGCATGCCATCTTGCGCTTCTTTTGTTGATACTTCTTGTCATTTGACATTTCTCTTTTTTCGAGTTTTTTGATCCGACGCACGCACTGTACTCCATTGTATTACTGAAACTTTTCTTGGTGGATGCGGGTTATTTGCGTGCCATGACATTCGCTATCGCTACTCTTCTGATTGATTTACGTAGTTACACCCCCTCGCATACCCCTCATACCCTTAATACTACCCTTCAACCGATCGCGAGCAACTTCATTCGCTTCCTTCTTATCTTGTTCTTCTCTTTATCTGTTCTCCTTTTTGAATAGGGTGAGGAGGCGGAGTGTGTTAAGATTGAGATATCATTCTGCGGTGGGCAAAAAAGATTGAGAATGATTCCCCCTTTTTTTGCGATTCCTTCTGGCAAAGATTCCCCCGGTTGGGTTTTGATACCACACTACACTGGCATTCGATTCGCTGAGGCACTTCTCACCATTGACAATTACTTCTCGAACTTTCAACGATTCAAGGTAGCGACGCCACCTAGCTGGCGAGGGAGGAGCAAGGAGCGAGGAGCAAAATGACAACAGGGCGGAGATATCATACCCCTCCGACTGAATCGACGAACTTAGGGCTTAATGAGAAGGGGATACCAAGGGAGAGAGACGGAAAAGGTAGCAATGCAAGATTGAACACGAGAACGATGAGCCGTTCGGCTATGGTTAGCGAGTGGACATGGCAAAACCCTGAAACAGTGGTATGTTCCTGGCTTTGCCAGTTGGAATGTGCTCATCGCTCTGTCATCTTTCCCTTCTCGTTTCTCTTTTCTCCAGTACTCCCTTTCAGAGGGAATAGGGAAAGAACGAGGGTAAGAGGCAGAAGCAGATATAAGAAAACGAGAAAAAAAAATACAAAAAGATCGTAATGTGGGAACTAATGTCTTTTCTTGTCCTTTGTTCTTCAGCGTTGAAGATAATGTAATGTAAAGAAAGGGCGGGCGGCGGATGACGGCGAGGTCATGTCGAACAGTGTGCTACGTGTGTACCACCACTACCGCTCCATAATGAATGTCCAGATCGAAGCACTTTATGAAAGGGTTGCGAATGCACGGCCTTTGATGTGCTTAGTGCCTGCTCTCACAAAGCCCAATCGACGTAAGGCTGCTGTAGACCCTGTGAAATTCGCGGACATCAACACCTCGCCCTCTCTAACCCAGTCCTTTGGTACCGCCTTGCTACTATGCTTGCTTTTCCAGTAACAACAGATCTCCGAGTACGTGCGAAAGCTTACCTAACAAGTACTCGGCTTCCGGATTAGGAAAGACCACCTCGCAGTCATGAGCCAGTCATATCCCCCCAGCAACCGTCACTATCTGCGCTGGAGCACCTCACGCTCCTTCTACAAATGGCCTCGCAATGCAGAGTTTTTCTCAGGGTCCAGGAACATCTAATGCCCGCCCGCCCGGCAGCGTATATAACTCCCGCGTTTTCCTCTTGCTCCAAGACTTTTCTTCTTCGCCCACCTCCGACACTCTTTGCCAACAACCTTGTCTTTGCTACACCCCTTCAGATCGGCCACAGCCGGCAACCATGGCGTCCCAAGACCGCATTAGCAAGCTCCCGAACGAGCTGCTGCTTCTCATCCTAGAGAAGTTTGCCAACAAGAGAGACCTGAAGTCGCACTCTCTAGTGTCGCGAAAGTTTCACGGCATCGCGCGCCCACTTTTCTACAAAGAGTGCAACATTCGGTACAATCAAGTTATTCCTCTGACAAAGGATGTCACTACACAGCCCGACTTGGCTAAGAAGGTGCAGGTCTTGAACATCGTAGCTTACGACACGGGCACGGCGCCCTCGGCCTTCGAAACGTTCTGCGAGACCTTGGACGAGACCAATGACCAGTCAAGCTTTTTGGCTCGTCATGCCGAAGGCACATTCATGCGCGCTGCCTACGACCAGCTGAGCAACAAAGTCAACGCGAGCTTCAAGCTATTCTGGCTCTCGAGGCTGTTTACAGACTGTGCCGAAGCCCACCTTGCGCTACTTCTCTCGGTTCTCCCTCAGCTCCGCATCCTCAGGATCAGGTTCGATTGGATCAATGATCAGGACACCTCGTTCTTACAGCTAGCTCTGGAGAAGGTTGCCAAGGCTCGTTCTGCGCAGCCCCTCCAGATCCTGGGCGAGCTTAGGGCTCTTAATGTTAAGGTCCCCGTTGGCATGTCTCCAGACTACACGTTCTCTCCTATGGCTCCCTTGTTCGGTGCACCACGCCTTAGGATGCTCAGCGTTTCCGACCTCAACTCACCTCGGATGCTTTCAGACGTTCTTCCTAGCGCTCTGGCCATCAAGACCATCACTATCAAGGCCAGTGCCCTGGACGCTGTCTTTCTTGGCGCGTTAGTCCGCTCATGTCCGCACCTGGAAGCTCTAAACATTGTCTGTGGTCGTAGGACCGACGACCTAAACGGCTGGTTCAAAACCGTGACCGCCGCCATCCGTACCCGTGCTGCGACTCTTCAGGTCCTCAGCCTCACCACTCAATTCCTTGACGATGGCGCTCACATGGACGCACACTTCGATGACATGACGGAATTCGCTCAGCTTAGGTCTCTCAAAGTCCCAGAGCACCTACTGCTCGGATCTCCTGCCCACGATGCTTTGCTGCTTAGAAACATCCTGCCCCGGAGCCTTGAGGAGCTCCACATGACTCAATGCACGCCCAAGCTCTTAGAATCAGTGAAATCAATTGTTTCAGCTGGCTTTTTAAAGCTCCAGAAGATCTCCGCTGAGTTTGACAGGGTCGCCCCTACTATTGATGACTCGGTCATGGCTCTTGCGGAGTCCATGGTCGAACTCAAGAAGCTTTATCAAGAGTCGATGGGTGTCGAGCTGCGCTGGACGATGACCACACTCACCTCATTGATAGCAGACGCCGAATTGGACGACTTTTTTGAGGAGAACATGCAAGGCTAGCTTTTATCCGTTTGGGTTGACGATGGTTTTGACTCTGCCAAATCGAGGCCCTTGGGACTCTTCATGGTAGTTGGCCTCTCTTCACAGATCAGTTGGGTTCCTCCCAGAAGTTGGCCCGCTCTCTACTGGATCTTCTGGCTTATCTTCGACGATGGAGCTCCATATGCAACCTTGCCTCTCAGCTTACGCGGTGGCAACTATTGAGCGCTTCTTTGGCAGCGAGGAAGCCATAGCAAAGGCACCTGACCCTTCAGGGTGGCTCTTCTCTTCAACACTCGGTTTTCAGAGATTCTTCATTCCAATATTCGGTCTTTCAGCACTGTTTCCCTTTAATACTCGGTCTTTCAGAATTCCTTCTCTTCATTCGGCATACGTCTACTAATACGGAGCTCCATTTCATGGCGAGAAGGAGCGACTCAGCACATTCGGTCTTTCGGATTTTCCTTTCTTTATTCGGCACTTGCGTCAACTCTTTGTTGCTCGACTCCTTTCACGCCCAGTAATATCGCCAGCTTCCAATAGGAAGAAACGGCTCTTTCATGAAATCTTCCAGGGCAACCTTTCAATCTCTCGGGCTTTTCTTTGCCAACTGTGTGGCAGTTTTCCTTTTGACTTCCAACCCCCGCTAATACAGAGCTTTCTCGGGGGGATGAGAAGTTTATCTCTGGATGTCCGAGCTTATTCGTGAATCCTCAATGGCGGGCTTCTTTCTTTTCTTTCTTTTCTTTTTTTTCCCGGGCTTATGACCCTCAAGGTCTTCCTTCCATCACAGATCAACACGACCGACGTAGGTAGCCTGGACAGGAACGATAGTCTTCTTCAGAAAACAATGATGCTGTGCATGATCGCGAAGTGGTGATTTTGATTTACATAGGTGGTTGGAGCTGCCATCCACGTAGATGTATATTCAACAATCTACGCCTGCATCCCGTCAACCACAATATTCACTTAAACATTCGAAGGGGGCTTGCCTCATTTAAAGATAACGAATACCAACACCCGGCTGTGTCTTCAACGCTAATACAAACTACGTTGATGGCTATTTCTCTTCCTCGTTCGCTCAAACATCCCGCGTCCGATATGAGGTATATCGATGCCAGAAGCAACTACAATTTACCGGCCCGACCCACACTCTCTACCCTCCTCGACGCTCTAGAATCACCACTGACACTGGCATTCCACATGTCTGACTCTCATCCGGGAACGACCGCGGTGCTACATTGCTCGAAGCTTCTAATAGACTTTCTGATTGACAAAGACACTTATTTCTAAGTATTCAACGTCGTAAATCTGCCAAGTACTCCAAAGACTCACAACTCATGGTGCAACGACCTCCTTCCCAGTACCAAAAGCCCGCAAACCAACATCGCGAACCGTGGCTTTGCCACCTTTCATCCGCATACATTCATTTTCTGGTATGATGAACGACGACCGACAGGCACATTTGATGCGCACAATCGACCGCTCTCGCCTCCGCCCCTAACGCGGCCGTTGACACGACAACGACACGCCGCGAGTTGGGCACGCGCGCGCGCGCTGGCCCCAAAAACAAAAGCACGGACAACAACTTGTTGGGCTGGGATCCAGGCCCCCGTCCGTCTACAGCCCCCCAGCCAGCCAGCCAGGGCTTACGGCTGTGTTGTTGGTCACGAGCAACGGAGGGAACGGAGGAATAGGGAGCTGCCGAACCAACACAAATACGGGGTTTGCGTCGGGAAAATCGGCCGGAAGGCGGAGGGAAGCGTAACACTAACTGGACGCAGGACGAACCCCCGGAGCTTTGCATCATCATTGGAAATTGCTCTCATTGCGACATGCTTCGCGGACCGTTTCATGACAAGGACAAGGGCCGCAACCACCTAGTTCGCATGAGGCCCAGAATAGGCACAAGGTCTGGAGGCGTTCTGGCTGCAGCTGGGGGAGCAACCGATTCAGCTGCTGTTACATGCGTTCGGGTGCAGATGCGGTGTGGGGCGGTGTCGTTGGGCCGCCAGCCTCACGATCCGCCATATAGACTAGGTGTGCCGTTTTGTTTACGGATGATGTCACTGGTGCTGTCTTGGCACACTAGCGGGCGAACGCGAACAGCCCAACCTTGCGGCAACGCGCGGCAGCTCCAAGTCCCGTGGTAAAACACAGGGAAAACCTGGGTTCACAGATGCTGGAAGCGTCTATTCGTACATTGCGATCGCAACTTCAGCAGCGGCGCTAACTACCATCAGCGTCCATCTCCCTATCTCGGCAACATTGAGGCCACAGGTGTAGTAGACTAAGTACCAGCGTATTTATCAAACAAGAAGAATTCTCTGTGCATGTTCAGTTCAGACCATCACTTACTGAAAACGTAAATCTTGTTCTCTATTGTACAGCTCCGTCTAGACAGAGGTCATTATACATACTTACTAGTATAAACTCGAAGTATTAGATGAGAGCCTGGCCATGGAACATGCCCTCTCTGACGTCCTTGACAACGTCAGCACGGTCGCCCTTGCCAAGCAGCACAATGCCACGGCCACGTCTGCCCATGCGCCCCGTACGGCCGAGCCGGTGGATGAAGTCAACAGTTGAGTGTGGCACATCATACAAGATGACATGCTTCACAGCAACCGTGTCAATACCGCGGGAGCCGAGGTCCGTAGCAACAAGAACTTTGGTGTTAGCAAGCCTGCGCTCGTTCTTGGTGCTCTTCTTCACGTCCTCGGCGTCAATATCGGACGTTAAGCCCCGGAAATCGGCTAGGGCATGTGACTGTCTCTGGTCTGAAGTGTCTCTGTTCAGTGCGATGGCGTCAATGCCCTTGGAGACGAGATATTTGGCCAGCTCAACAGCCTTCTCGCGTTCGTTAACGAAGACGATAATGCGCTTCGTCCTCACGATCTCCTTCTGATCGTCGTGATGCTCTGCGGCGGAACGACCAATATTCCAGATCGTATCCGCGCAGGCAAGATCCTTGTTTCCCTTGTATGGCTGCTGGTCAACCTGAACAACCCCAAGCTGCACGCGCCTAGGAATGGCGTGGATGTTGGGCGTGACCAGCCTCTTCATATCAGGGAAGCGTGTTCGCAGATACGTGTCCATGCTACGAGGGATAGTTGCAGAGCAGAAAACAAGCTGGCGCAATGATGGGGTGGACCTGTCGATTATGGCAGAAGTGAGCGGCGAGAAAGAACGATCAAGAAGGGAGTCTGCCTCATCGACGACAAGATGGCTGACCCGGCTGAGAATGTTAGGATCGCTCTCCGCAATGCTGGAAAGCAAATGCGGAGTGGCAATGACAATGTCGACGCCACTAGGAGCGAAGAGACGGTTTCTGATGACGATACTGGAAAAGGCAGCTGAGATGAGCGCCGCTCTGAACTTCACGGTATGCGAGAAGGCTTTGACAACCGCGCCGACCTGATCCACGAGCTCTGCTGAAGGGACGAGGATGATGGCACGAGGTCGCCCAGCGTCGGGGTTCTCCTCGCCCGCGAGCGGCGGCGGCTCGAGCTCAAACATCTTCTCCCCCTTCTTTTCTTTTAACATGGCCTTCTCTTGCTCTGCCTCTTCCTTCTCTTTCATCTCTGCACGTTTGATTGCATCCAGGACGGGGAGGAGATAAGCGAGCGTCTTGCCTGAGCCTGTCTCAGCTGCAAGCAAGAACTGCTGCATTTCTGCAACCTCGCTCTCAGAGTCTCGCCTCTGGCCTTTGGCGTCCATGTTGAGTAGTGCAGGCATGGCCACGCGCTGGGCCGGTGTTGGTGTTATATCCTCCAGACCTGGCAGGCCTTGCGTGAGGATCGAGTTTTGTATAACGGGTAGCAACGGGAACTGCTGAAAATCGTCTATCTCGGCGATCCGCTCCTTCACGATTGATCGTCGATCGTAGGACACGGGGCTCAGGGCGCGCCGCTCTTTCAACGCCTTGTACCACCTGGGATCGTCCTTTGGGTTTTTGCTCTTTGCATCTCGGGAGTGTTTGGGAGACGTCGAGTCTCGGGGACGCGCTGGCTTCGACGCCTTTGCTGCCTGTTCCTGGAGGAGAGAGCGGGGGACTTTGGTGCGGTTGAGACCAGCGAAGGGGCCGTCGGTTCTGCGTGTGGTGGGCTTAGATTTTGACTGGGCGACCTTGGCTGACAACTCCATGCGCGCAGGCTTCGGGCGTCTCTGGAGCTGTGAGGCGAAGCGCACTTGTTGCCATTGCGACGTGATTGCTGTGGGAGGGCGAACGGGGAAGAAGGTGCGAAGTTCGCAGAAAGGGCAGAGCTGGGACGAAGCGCGAAGCATGGCGAATGACGAACAGCGGGCTGGGGGGCCCAAGTAGAAGGCGACTAGAAGCGCAGCATCGAAAGATCACAGCTGGGCAGGGGTACAAGACGAGGCGACCCACGAAGGATCGGTCGCGTGGAGGGGAGATGGCGGGAAGAACTTGGAAGCGCGCGATTGTGACGTCCGAGAAATTTTGCTGCGAGTCGGGCGCGGCGGAGTGGCGGTGCGCTAGAGCCTCGCGCCCAAGTCGTGGCCGACACAGCGTTGCCGATGGCTGCCTGCGATGAGCCGCAACTACGCGCAGCACGCATCGCGACCACATCGCAGCGGCAAACGCAGGCGCACGCCGCTGCAGCTGCCGCATGCGGCGTGCAACGGGCGCAGTGCGCGTGTAGGCGGCCGTTACACTGGCAGCGATGGCGAGGCTGCGGCTCGGTAGGGAAAACGGCTTGGAAGCGCGTCGTTTCCGTGGTGATCGCGGGCAGCGTAGGCGCCTCGGCCAGCTGCGCGGGTGGAGCCGCCGTCAACACACACCAGCAAGCACGGTTGACACCCTCCACACGAGCCCGCACATCATCGTCATCTCCCTCCACCGCTCCATAAACACGCTTCTCCTCCTTCCTCCGTCCTCGCGCATCCCCAGCGCCCCCGATTCCTTCTCTTCGCACCCACTTTGCTTGAGCTGGCCGCGCCAGTCCGCTCGCTCTCTAGTGCTTGCTTGACTGCTCTTGCATTCCTGCTTGCGTTCCTCCGTCGCTCGGCCAATTGAGCGTCGCCGGCCCACGCAAGCTACCGCCAACTGGTCGACATGCCCCCGGAGGCTGTAAGTCCATACACCGCCGTCCACTGCGACATGGGCCGCGAAACTCACCGCCGCCAGGTCCGACCTCTGCGCATAAACAAAAACAGCCCGACGTCGTCGCCCGCGAAGATGAGCTCCACCGGTCCGCTTTCCGAGATCAGCCCCATGGAGCACCGCCGGAACTCGCCCAGCCACAAGCTGGCCACGAAGGTACGCATTCCTGACCTGCATCTTGCCCACGTTCCTGACGCCGTGTAGATTACCGTCCCTGGCCAGGACACCCCGCCCTCGGAGACGTCGCCCTTCGGCACGTCCTCGAAACACCGATTCTGGCAGTCGCGCGACCCTAATTCGCCCGACGTCGAGAACTCGTTCGAGCGCGAGCAGCAGACCCTGTCGCCCAAGCGCAGCTCCATTGAGAACCTCATGAAGGCCTCCCGCGTAAGGAACAGCACCATGTTCGCCCGCGAGCAGAAGAACGAGTATGACCCCACCAAGCTGCCCATTGTCGAGCGCCCGCTCGCCTCCAACCGTCCTCTCAGCGCTCAGGGATTCGTCCCACGCGGCTTCGATCCTTTGCGCAACCGCGATATTCCTTCTAAGAAGCATCAGCACAGCCGCAGCGACAGTGCCGACACAACCCCTCGTGGCTCGCCATCCAAGTTCGACGGTAGTTACATGACCAACTCCTCACCGACAAAGACCCACGCTTCGCCTCTTAGATCTTCTCTTTCTCGAAATGGCAGATATAGCACCAGCTACGACAATGACTCGAGCGTGCTCTCTTCTGATGACGAGCGCGTGGGTGAAGGCCCGCAGCGCCCGCTGCGTCGTCATGCGAAGAGCGTTACATTTGAGTCGAAGCCGCCTGTGGTCAACGAGTACGAAATGGTGACCCCCGAACCTTCGCTGGCATCGCGCGAGGGCAGCGACTACTCTGACGACGATGACGAGGAGGACTACGAGTTCGAGGGCGATTCCATGGAGCGGGACGACAGTTTTGACGAGTCTCTCGAGGACACAGAAAAGACGCCGGTCGTATTGCCTGGTGACTGGCGCCACATGAGTCCAGAAGCTGCGAACACCGATTTGGCCAATACTTTCGAAGACCCCTTCGAAGGCGCGGAATCAAGCCCTCCTCCTTCTGCAATGCCCAACTCTCAGCGGACTGAGCACGTGCGCAACCACTCCACCGCATCCGATCCCGAGCAACGCCCACTTCCCCCTCTTCCTCCCATGCAGGGCTCTCCTGATTCTCGTGGACGGAGAGAGTCCCTTAATGGTCTTTCTGCTGCCGCCGAGCGTGCTAGCAGCGCCCACCGCTCGTTGCCCTCGCCACCCCGTATTGGAGCAAGCATTTCCAAGTCCGATATTCTCAGTATGGGTCGCAACTCGCCCATGTCTCTGGAAGATCGCCTGCAGCTCATGGGAATTCATGGATCACGTGAACCGACGCCTACCATGGATAACAGGGACGAGGTATCGAAGGAGGCGGATCATGAGAGGAAGGATAGCCAAGACGCGTTGAAGGTTGAGGACCCTGCTGAAGACAACGAGTCAGCCCTGGACGAGATGGACATTCCGCACATCTCACGCGAGTCGATCCTCGAGAAGGTCAAGAGTCGCAACTACGACGACTACGACATTGGCGAACAACCTTCTATGACCTCTGAGCACAACTATGGGGAGATTGGGATGTATGATCCGGACGTCCCTATTCCTTCTCGCGAGGTTTCTTCCAACTTCGATGAGAATGTCCCCGATGAGCCTGCCCACGTCAAGAAGGAAGATGGAGAGGTCACGCTGGATTTCAACGCGATTCCTGACCTCAACAGCGCACAAGGCTCACCTGCCAATAATGATGGTAATGATGATGAGGACGATGACAACTACAGCGACGCGGGCTCCGTCATCCGTCATGATATTAGCGGTACCGAGGTCGACGAGTATGACGATGACGATGCGAGCCGTTACTCAACCCCTCACGATGAAATCGAGGAGAAGCAGGTCCACAACAACAGCACGGATGAGGATGATGGCCCGCCCACCCCCAAAGCTGAAGACCGTGCAGCAAGCGACGAGGCACGTCAAAAGGAGCACCAGAAAGTTGCCGATATGCCCGAGTTCGGCTCGTTCAACAACGAGGAGGATTTCCACCTGCAGCTTCAGTCGTATCTCGACAAGAACCGGAGTACCTCGGCAATGGATTCGGGTCCCAAGCTCGAGCCCGATGAGGACTTCCTTCAACGCCCGCTTACGCCGGATGACGAACTCGAGCCTCCGAAGGCGCTTGATGCGGAGGATGAGGATGGACGTGATACTCCTGACTCGGCCATTCGTAACCCTATTGAGCCTCCGGAGCGCGAGGACTCGGCTGAAGTCGAGGACCCTATTGCAACAATCAAGGCTCCCGGTGGTTCTTTGAGGACCCGTCCTTCGGCCACGCCTTCTGACTTTGCCACCATGGCCGCAACCCGCCGCAAAGTTAGCGGTGAGGCTCCCCCGCCTATGGTAGACCGCAGTCCTACCCGGTTGTCCATGACTCGTGAGGATGATGATGAGGAGGAACCGTCGCACCTCTCGCACGTCTCGGAAGAGCAAGAGTCTACTACAGACGACGAGACGAAGAGCGAGGGCGATCAGCCCAGGCGTCGTCCAAGCTTCAGGATGCAGATCGATCTCCCCGTGGGTGACATTGGTGAAGACTTGAGTTTCGACCTCGACCGTGAGTTCGATCGCGTCGTCGAGGCTCAAAAGGTACAACAGCCATTATCCACTGCCCCGCCTTATGCCGGGCTCCCTGCGACATCAGCAATGGGAGCAGCAGCAGACAGCAGCGGAGGCCCAAGTATTAATCAACAGAACATGACTGCTAACGGTAGTTTCCGCACACAGAAGGGTTACCTTATGCGTCAGAACACGAAGGTCGTCGTAGCTAGCAGCCGCCAGTTCAGTAGCGAGACCACGAACGTACCGTCTGCAGAAAGCTTGGCTCCTCCTCCCACCAATGACCGTGGTGTGGTTCCGGCGCCCGGTAACAGATCGGGAAGTGGTTCTTCGTCAAAGAAGAACCACCGCGACCGCAGTAACACTTGGACAACTGAGCCTTGGAATGGTAAGATGCGGCGCCGCAGCATTCGCAACGCCTCAAATGCTTCAGTCACCGTGAGCGAGTCCCGGCCAAGGACTGCTCCGGGTGTTGCGCCACCACTTCCAGGCCAAGAGAGCGCTGTCGCTGATAACTTCGGCGACATGTCAATGATTGACGAGAGCGACGAGAACATGGAAAGAGGCAGGCTGTTTGTCAAGGTCGTTGGCGTTAAGGACCTTGATCTGCCATTGCCGAAGAGTAAGCCTTTGGTTTGCCCTAATGATTGGCTTCGTGATGCTAACGTTTTATTCCAGATGAGCGAACTTGGTTCCAGCTCACCCTGGATAACGGCCTTCACTGCGTCACCACTGCTTGGCTTGACCTTGCTCGCAGCGCTCCGATCGGCCAAGAGTTTGAGCTGGTTGTCTTGAATGACCTCGAATTCCAACTGACCTTGCAGACTAAGCTCACACCGCCGCCGAAGCCCAAGGTGACCGCACCGCCACCTGCTCCTGCAAAGCCGACGGGTCACAAGAAGTCCAACTCTGCATTTGGGCGTCTGCTCACCTCGCCGAAGAAGCGCAAGGAGATGGAGCGCAAGCAGCAGGAGGAAGCCGAGCGCGCCGCCGCACTGAAGGCTCAGGAGGAGCGTGAGGCGGCCAGACGCGCGAAGGCCAATCCGACTGCCTGGGACCTTCTCCACGATCTTGTCGCACCGGATGGCTCCTTCGCACGTGCCTATGTCTGCCTCAAGAACCACGAGCGACAGGCTTATGGTCGTCCATTCACCATTGACGTCCCCTGCTTCAACGAGTGGGCTTTGGAGGATGCGGAGATTGCCAACAGTGTCAAAAGCAAGCGGGGTGGCCCTGTTCGCCGCCCTCCGTACAAGGTTGGAAAGTTGACCCTACAGCTTCTTTACGTGCCAAAGCCCAAGGGCGCCACCGATGACGACATGCCCAAGAGCATGAATGCTTGCATTCGCGAAATGAAGGAAGCCGAGGAGACCAAGGGACGTGTGTGGGAAGGACATCTCAGCCAGCAAGGTGGCGATTGCCCTGTAAGTGTTCTGCCCTGCCAGTACTCGTGTTGCTGGTAAAGAAAAAGTTATATCCTGATTAGTCTTTGTAGTACTGGCGCCGCCGTTTCTTCCGGCTCTCTGGCTCAAAGCTCACAGCTTACCACGAGACTACTCGACAGCCCCGTGCCACAATCAATCTCGCCAAGGCAGCGAAGCTTATCGACGACCGCACTACGCTTGTCCACAACAAGGATGGCGGCCGTCGCAAGTCAGGCTTTGCTGAAGAGGACGAGGGCTATGCATTCGTCGAGGAGGGTTTCCGTATTCGTTTCGGTAACGGCGAGACGATTGACTTCTATGCCGACAGCGCAGATCAGAAGGATGCGTGGATGCAGGTGCTCTCCGAGGTTGTGGGGAAGAGCACCATGTCCAGTTCAGCAAAGGCATGGACTGAATTGGTGTTCAGGAAGGAGAAGGAGGAAAGGGCAGCAATTCGCGCTCAGGAAAAGGCGGCAGCCGTCGCACAACAGGAAGGCGAGCAGTCCAAGTTCGACCCAACCCACCCAACCCGGCCTGGAATGTACGACAGGGAGACAACCAACAGCGACCCCTCAATCAACACCAAGCGGTACCACCGACGCAGCGAAGTTCCCCCTCCGCCGATTGACAAGAGCCCGCGGCACCATGCCATCGCAACTGCGCCTCGGGCGTCTTCGCGGCGCGGTGAGGTCAAGTCGATGATCTTCTAAAGTCCCGCTCAATCCGTGCCATTCGCCTGACGGACAGATGGAAGGACGCAACGACAATTTCCTTGGTCCTCTTGCTTGCATTTTCTTAGTGCCGATACCCATCTCTTCGTCTCGAACTTCTCTTGCGCTGCTTGCTCGCTGCTCTCAGATACCTTCTGCTGCTGGCCAGTCCCTGGATGGATTAGACTTTGCAGGGTTTCTGCCTGACAAAGGTTGACGTTCTCCGCGGTTTGTTTAATCGCTTCGGCCGTCGATCGCCTTTCGATGTTCTCGGAATTTGGCAAAGAACGCCAGACATACATCGTTGTACAGAGCTCCTCTTCTCTTATGCTCTTCCTCCTATTCTGACCTTTGCTGGTCAATTTTGAAACTCGTGTCCTTCCGAGCTGGCGGATGTGGCTCTCGACTGGCGCCGCTAGGCCGCGCTCCTTCCGAAAAAAATTTCCTCGGTGCCACGGACGTAAACGGCATCTTCTGTGTGTCGCCGGGATCCAGCTTTCTTCTTCTTCTTTTGCTTTTTCTTTCGAGTAATTGGTTTGGTCGGCATGAGTCGATGATCGGCGGTAGTTGACGGGGATGGTAGTTGTTGGTGAATCATGGTTTGATTTTGGCATGGGCGTTCCCTCTCAGGACGAAGGAATGAAGGGAGTTGAAGTTTGGCTTTAGTTTCCTTGTGCTCTTTTCCTCCTCTTTTTCATTATCTTGGGTGGGGTTTCTGGATGGTCGACGGACAGGATTTTCCTTTTCTTTTTCCTTTGGACTTGGGTCGGTTGGGGGGGATGGTGACGAATGGTATGAACGCTGACGCTGTGTAATGACAACACACGAGCTACGTACGTAACACGTCTCCGATTCCTGGATCTAGCTATGGATAGGGGAAGGTGCATACAGCGGTTTTCTTAAATGCCATCTTCAATATCTTGGGTATCTTTGAGACAATCTTGGGTGACTTCGTGTGTTGCTTGGCGTGTTTGCGCCATCATGCAACGTTGCCCTGCCATCTTCATTCTCTGGTCTTGAAAGAGTTGGCTCATTCGTCTGGCCAAGAAGGTTTGCAATATCGGTGAGACTGATGTTGTTGGTGTCTGGGAGAGGCGGGATTTGCGTCTTGGATGAATGCAAAATTGGACAGGAAGGGAAAGCGGCAAGAACCGGGGTCGGATGCGCGAGGGAGCAGGGAGCACACTAAGTATATGGCCATCCGGGAAGTGGGGAGGAAGGGAAGAGGCGGGTACTAAGTGCTTCCGTCCCTGCATCTCTCTACCTTGTTTCCTCTCTCCCCGATGACGTTTTGGTCAGGGGATATACGGTATGACTCGGTTCTAGACTCCTCATTGTTTACCTTTTGCCTGTCTAGGTGCGGGATGAGCGCCGGATCCGGCGCCAGTGTGGAGTCCAACATGTGCTTCTTGCGGTGATTGGTTTTTTAGCTTCTTTTCTCTTCACGCTCGCCGACTGTTCCTGACACATGTCTCGTCACCCGCTTTCCTGATTCCAAATGCCGCGTGCCGTTGCGCGCGTCTTGAATTCAGCCACCATTGAAGCCAATGCCAATCCGTCGCGCCGAACGATTCAGAGGCGCACAGGAGACGAGAGTAATCGTCAGAACAAAGCTCCCAAGGCTAAGCGCGGCTGCGCCCCCACTTCCTCCTCCGGCTTACTGAATTCGGGCCATGATGTCACCGGGGGGCTTGGGGTCCCTGAAGGAAGGAAAGCGAAGGAAGGGTAAGAAGAGGCGCTTTTCCGGTTGCAATCTCGGTGCTTCTCTAATTTACCTTTTTTCTTTTTTTGCCACAGGATGTGTGTTATCTCCACCATCACTGGCTTCACTACTGTTGCTGGGTGAACAGAGTTTGGCGAATTAATATCGGGGGGATAGGAAGAAACATGAACACGCGAGCTTCACGGTCCTATGGTGTGTCATCGGCCCCGAGGCATGAAGAAACGGGGAAGATATATTGCGCATGACGTTGTTGTTGTTTCGGGGAGAGAAGAGGATGGTGCCGGGCATGACGTGAAGGACCCGTCCCGCAAAGAGGAATCGAATGAGGTTGAAACGAGACATTGGTTGTTAAGCGTGACTGATCAATTGATCGTTGGTTGCGAAAGGGTGGCAATAATTTAAACTTTACGAGACCAGGCCGCTTCATCCCGAGCAAAGAAGATTGGACGTTCTTTTCTTTTCCGCTTGTTACATCCGTTTTGCAGTGAAGGGAGGCTGTCTCTGAATTCATGAGCTCTGACGTTCAATCGAAGAAACGAGCAGTGACTGTTACGCGGCCTGTACACTAACGGACGACCGTTTCTTTGCGTTTGGACTTTTCCACCACGGGCGTCCGTGCTTGCCGACGCGGCGCAGAGATGGAGTACGCATTGGGATCGGCAGCCGTGTCCGCGTCAACGGTCTCAGCACATGTGTGCCATGCAGATCGGCACCTCCCGCGTGCGCGTGCGCGTGCGTTGTGCCCTTTTTAGCTCGGGAATGTTTAATGATCCCGCTCGTAGGGATACTATTCGGGAAGGTCTGGGGCCGGGATTGGCTGCAGTGGCACACTTCAAATATCCCAGAGAAAACGTAAGAAGCTGAAAGCATTTGAGAACAATACGGAGATGCCACTGGCCGAGCTACCAGGCAGTGTGGCAGCCTCCTACAATATTGGTTAGAAAAACTTGTTTGCTCCACTGACGGCTTATCGGCGATTTGCTTCCAAATACTTCGATCTCTGGAGGCCTTGTGACCTGTGACGGGTTCCTACAGGAATCGGGCCTCATCCACGACGATCGTCCGTCGCAGAAGACACTGTTCCTGGCTCGTCCGTAGTAAGGTCTCGTGAGGGCGGAATGTAGTCCCGTCTCTCCGTCTACTAGTAGAAAACGACTCGGCTCTTTCAGTGAGACATCCCTGGTCAGGTACCCTCCTCGGAGCTGGCGGAACACCAGCATTGGACAAAACGCTGACGACGACGAGGACGACGACGATAACCCGAGTCGGGGATGAGTCCTTTACCAACTCTCCTAGTGCTATATACAGTACCCACTCATTAAGTGCACCAACCCCATGCGTGCCCCCATACCGCCTCCGAACCACATTTCTGGATCTCCACACCTCCTTACAAACCCGTGACTTCGCTCCCCACAGCACCGTAGCCAACAGAAGCTCTCACCATGGTATAGTTAAACTCAAGCAAATGTCTACATGTGGGCGTGCAAAATACGAACTCGTCAATGGTGCTCACATGGACCCTTCTCCTACCTGCGTGAATAGACGCAAGGCCTCTTAAAACCAAAGCCTAAGAACGATAGAATCTTATTATGATCAACTGTGTCGATTACGCGACGGGTCAACTTAACTATTCTAGTGGCCTATGGACAACAAACTTGTGAAGTGCTCATTTGTATGGCCAATACTGAAAAGGCTTTCTCTTCAGTTCAGTGTTCTGGAATACTCGTGTAGTTCGTCGAAGTGGTAAAACTGCAGGACTCGTCGGCCAGAATCCCCCAAATCAACAAATTCTTAAAAGCAGTAGTAGTGTTCCAGTGTCAAGACTTCATTTCCGGTAACTTTCTAGGCTGTCCCCAACGTGTATGTCATTGAGAACATTACGACTCATGAGTCGCAAGCTACTCTTAAGAAACGTTGAAGAGATCATTCAACAAACCTTCTCCATGCAACCTGGCCTCTTTCAAGTATCGCTTTCATTAAGTCTGCTCTCCAATGCAAAAAAAAAAAGAAAAAATAAGGGAAAAAGGCCTAAAAGCCAAGTATATACAGTACAAGAATGCAGTTGTTATGAAGGAAAAAGAGAAAGGTAGAAGAGCACGAGGATGCTCAAGCCGCAGGAAAAACTGCGCAGTGCCGATCGTGCCCTTGCCCTGCTGTGTTCGCATTTAGAACTCGCCCATTTCCCCGCCTTGTTTTTCCAACTCCAGGGAAGTGCAAGTCATGTAGAAAAAGACGACCAAAAAGAGACAAAGTTATCAAGAAAAAGAAAGCAGCCAGAAGTGCCCATCTCGCCTATATCCTCATTGATCCGCAAGACATTGCCTGGAAAGCCATAGTGAAGATAGCCCTTCCTACAGAGGATTCTCCAGCTTCTCCATCGAATATTGGCGATGATAACTCTCCAACGTATGTGATGAAATGCGACACCGCGCGTGAAATGTCGGTTGTCCTGACTCAAACCATACTCAAGCGACTGCTCCTCTTCCTCATCCCCCTCCTCAGGCTCGAGGGCGTCCCCTCTCCGTCAGCACCTACGCTCTCGCTCCCCAGCCTTTCACTTAGTTCGCTCGCCCTCCTCGCGATGACCATCTGTAGCTGCTTCTTCCCTTTCCTGATTTCCCTCTCCTCGCTTGGGCTAACGAACCGGTTGATCTCGCGGTGATCCTTCACCCTTTCCTCTTTGTCGTGCTTCCCTTCCTTGTCTGTCTTCGGCCACGCGTAGCCGTACAGCTTGCTGTGACGCTCACAGCGCGGGCATGCAGCGCGGGTGAGGTAGGCGTCTTCCTGAACAAAGTCGGCCTCGCAAGTGCGGCAGCTGACCCAGCGGCTGTACTTGGCGCAGAGAAGAAGTGAAGTCAGGGTGTAATCGCCTGGGTAGCGGCGGTCGGGGTCGAGCGGTTCGTCGCCAGGATTCGAGGGGTTCTCTATGGTTGGGATGGGAGCGCTTGAAGAAGTTGGGCCGTTTTGCGAACGAGTACGGGGAGGCGTGTTGAGCCGCTTCTGTCGGATGAGTTGCTGGTTGTCATCATCAAAAGCGACGCTGTCAGAGAGCTCGGAGAGTTCTGATTCCTCCAAAGGTTCGTTGGCTGGGTTGCTCGTGTTCGTTGGTTTGACGGTCTGAACCTCTGAGGAGTCGACTTTGATTTCGATGGCCGGAATCTGTTCGACTTCTATTTCGGTCTTGATCTGTGCGTCTGTACCATCCGAAGGCAGGCTCGCGGGTAGGTCCTCGTCCACAGATGTGGCTGCGGTTGACTGTGAAGAGTGCTGAGACGCATCGCTGAATGAACCTGGGGAGCTGGCGCTAGCAGATTCCGATTCTGCGAGTGTCGTAGCAAGAAGCCTATCTCGCTGGTGACTGCGGATAGATCGGAGCCTTGCCATAGCAGTGGTCATAGGACCAGGCTCCTCTTCGGAGCTTTGAGGCGTGTCCTGGCTTTGTTGTGATTCTGTGCGCTCCATCTTGATATGCATACCGTCTATTGTCTTGTGCCGCTTCTGGCTCTCTGATCCTGAAGACAATGGCCTTGTTTGCTCTTCAACTTCGTCTGCTTTTCTCTTCTTCCCTCTTGGACTCGACGGATGCGATGTTTGCGGTGTATCGACCTTTTTCTTTCCGTCTTCCCGGGCCAAAGGCTCGGTGGTAGTATCGCGCGAAGCCGTTGCTGAATCCGTCGCGTAACGCCTCTTCTTCCTGAAAGAGTACGGTCCTTCCTGCGGCAGGACCTGGTTCTCAGAGTCGTCTGCGTCGCCGTCCGTCTCTTTCTTTGGTGGGCCCCAGCCATTTCTGGCCAGCTTCTCGCACGTCGCGCACAAACACTCGCAGTTGTCGTCGCCAAAGTAATCCTCCCCATATGACACCGTGATTTCCTCGCCGGCCTCGATATCCTTCTTTGAGACGATTGCCATGCCATTCGGGCCATTTGTCGTCAATCTCGCGTTCGGATCGCAATCGTGGTTGGCGAAGCGCGCCGGACCCAGGAAGAGCGAAGGAGCCTTCTTACGGCTCGACATGACGATGCTAAAGTCGCGCTTGTTCAAATCCAGCGTCTCCTCCTCCTCCTTGGTCATGGCGACCTGAATGCCACACAGGTACTTGATAGCCTCATTCTTGCGGATGTCGCGGCGCGCCGTGACGGCGGCTTCGTGCTGGGTGATGGTGTAGCGGTTCGTAGTCGACACTTCCCACGGGCAGTCGGGCATGTACAAGTTGACGTACTTGCGGAAGTGCCGCTTGAAGTGCTCTTTCTCGTCCTTGGTGGCCAGTTTGGCCAGGTACCGCTTCAGACCGGGCAGCTCGAACAGCTGCTCTTGCGCGCGCACCGGATCCTTGTTAATGACCACCGAGTCGCGCAGAATGCGGGCAATGTCTTCTTCGTGGATGTTCCGGACCGGCGCGTAGCGCGTGCGGTTCTTGCGGATTATCGCCCAGAAGTACACCTTTTAAGGCGTGCGCGCCCGCGTTAGTCGGGGGTTTGGTCAGCGGGTTCTATGCGCAATTGTTTGCTTACCTTGTCGACCAGCACATCTGTCGCCAGGTCGTCGTATTGCGCGAGTTGCGACAGGGTCAAACCGCCCTTCTTCGAGAGCGCTTCTTTGAGCGGCGCTTCCTTCTCCTTAGCCATGGCGACAGGAAGAAGAAAGGTCAAGGTTGGGAGCGGCGCAAGGAGGCCGGCGCAGAAAGGCGTTGCCGAGGATCACACGAGCGCGGATTGGGTTTCTTGAACTGGGGTTGAAAAGGGGAGGTGACGTAGACTCGCAGCGAAGGATCGTGCGCTGGATTTGCGGCGCGGCAGCAAAGCTGAAGGGAACACGGAAAGACAGTGCAGATTGATAGAGAGCGGCTGAGACGCAAGCAGGAAAAAGAAAGGGAATGAGAAAAAAGAAGCGCGCTACCTTGGCAGCAGCGCAAGCTGAGTGAATAGCAGACTCATTGAGGGGCGCGGGTGAATGAAGAAGAGGTTCGTTTCACGTTTCGGCGCAGACCTGGGTGCAGAGTTGGTGCGTGAGAAAGCGGAGGAGGCTGGGGGAACGGACGGAGGCCAAGCAGCTGAGCGCATGGGCAGGAATCTCCGGTCGTTCGCCGGCCAAGGAAGGGCATGGCAGGCCCATTATTGGCAGCGCCGGCGACAACCCCAGGGCCTGAGGCTGCCCGCGCCGCAGCCGCACCGCACCACCTCCGAGGCCTTGCGGAACATCCCGCCGACATTTCTCGCTCTCCACCACCGCGTCGCCGACAAAGCTATCCGCGCCGCTGTCCCTGCCGCCGCCGCTCCGCATTCCGTGTCGAAGCCAAGGGCCGTCGCCATGATCCAGCTCAAGGTCAGTCGCGCTGCCGTCCGCGCGCTGCGGCACGAAGCCCGCGCCGTGCGCATCCACTAACTCGAGCCTGTCCATAGTCGCTTGTCAACTGCATTGACAACTCCGGCGCTGCCGTCGTCGAGTGTGTCAAGGTCCTGCGCAGCAAAAGGCCGGCCACTATCGGTACGTGAGAGCCTGCAAGCGCCCGCTCGTCTGCCACCTGCGTCAATCGACTGCATCTCCGCCCTGCCGATCCGCCCATGCCCTGTTGTGCTTGCGCCATTGTCGCCTCAATCCCGTCCACTGTCTGACACCACTCCGTCACTCTGCAGGTGACCGCATCGTCGTCGTCGTCCAGAAGCAGCGCTCCTTCGGTCCTGAGTCCGGTGGTGGCAGTGTCTCGGTCAGCGCTGCGAACAAGGTCAAACGTGGTGACATCAGGCACGCTGTTGTCGTACGGACGGCGAAGAAGCTTCAGCGCCCTGATGGCAGCGTTGTCAAGTTCGACGACAATGCCTGCGTTTTGATAAACAAGGCCGGGGAGCCCATCGGGAGTCGTTTGAACGGTACGTACTTCCGCACGCCTGTTGGAAACCCTGTGGCTCCGGGATTCCCATTGGGCTATAATTTGAAGGAAAACGCAGAACTGATCGACGTGTTCACGCAGGTATTGTCGGGCAGGAGCTCCGCAAGACGAAGTGGTCGAAGATCCTCTCGCTCGCCCCCATGCACCTATAGATGGCTTCATCGCAGGAACATAAAAAAGGAGTAGAGACCAATCGGAAGGATCAAGGCGTATGGCGCATGCGAAATGGCGCATGTATGTGTATAATATCTGTAGCTATGCTGGATGCCGGGTATCTGGGTACAATGACCACCCAGGACTTTTCGTCATCATGGAACGCCGTGTATAACCAGGAAACCAGCCGCCAAATTACATCTCATTCCCATCTAAACTCCATGCAGAATCCCTTCCCAAATCGTCGTAACCTGGATGCGCTTACTAGACGCTCTGAAAATGCCATTTTGTGATTTCACTGCGTTGAAATCTGGGTATGGTACAGTCTCTTGTGCATGTAGCAGTGTGCTCACTGCCAGACGTGGCCGCACGTAGGGCTGACGCAGACATAATATAGTTTCTGGAGCGTGTTAGCCGGAACTCTTGCTTCTACCTCAGACAAGCGGGCAGCATACCATGCCGGTCTCAGCGGTGCGCTGCTGCGACTGGAAGAACACCGCCTCGGTCTCGCCGCACTTGGGGCAGGGTTTGTTGGACCTGGGCAGCTGTTCATGGAAAGCAACAAGTCAGCGGGCAAAGCTCCAAGGGCTGTGCAGCGCGACTAACGACTTTTGCATGATGTAGAAAGCAAAATCAACACGAGGATTGACGCCAATGAAGTGTCCTTTCAGGACTCCTGCTCTTGCTGCGTGCCGTTCCGCTCTGTCATGTGCGACTGTCCGTTGACGTGGTGGTCGTGGTCCATCATGTCCGCATCATTGTCCTCGTCGAAATCGTATTCGTCGGCCGGGCCGAGCGGGATCTCTTTCGGGCGGTTTGCATGAAGGGCGTGGTGGGGATCTTCGTCGTCGGCTTCTATGAACAGGCCGGCGTCCTTGGTTTCCTGGCCGCAGATCTCGCAGAAGATCTCTTGGCCGCACATGGTGCAGAAGGACGGCACGTCGTCCATCACGTTCATGTCCATATCCTCCACGTCCATGTAGGGGTTCATGTTGCCGGAGTGGTGATGCGGGGGCGCGCCAGTGTGAACAGCAGCATTACTAACCGTCGGGTCCTGGCCCAGGTCACTCGTCACGCCGGCGGTCTCGGCAGCGGTGTTGCTCATTTCATTGCGGTAGATGCACGACGTGTCGGCGTCCGTGTAGTAGTTGCAGGTGCGGCACGCGAACTGGAGCGAGTTGCGGTCTTCCGGGTTCTCCCTGGGGTAGAGCAAGTTCGAGCTGCGACACAGTTAGCTACCGGCGACAAAGAGCGTGTGGCCGTCTTACCAGTCGGCACAGAACCTGAAGGTGATCTTCTTGGGCTCGGTGTTGCCGCCGTCGGACGGCGCGGGGCTGGCGTAGTCGGCCATAGGTACGCGACGTTGGTAGAGAGAGCTGGAGCAGGTTCGGGGGGAGCGCGAGGCTATGTTGCGACAGCAAAGGGTTGCGAGAGCCGGGGTGCTCGGCGTGTCGGGGTGTGCGGGTGCAGCGAGTCGAAGCTGTGTTTGTTGCGCGGGGGAGCCTTTTTGGAGGCGATCGGCGGCCAGTTTTGACTGCTTGACGATGCGGTCCCAGTGCCACCCGTCGCCTTGGCAGCAACTGACAACGGCCCAACTTGCAGACAAAGCGAAGAGTCATCCGCGGCACGAGATGCCTAATAGCGAAGTAGTTCAACCCGCTGAGTCTGACGTGTTCACAATCTATCTCCTGCGATACGATCTGCTCGTGTCCCCTATTGTAATCTGGAGCAGCGCGACCACGTCATGCGCAAAGACAAGAAGGTCCATTAATGCTCTCGTATCGTCTCACGTTCGACCGAGCTTACATAAAGATTTCAGCAGTTTGCGTCGGTCCAGAGCTTCCGCATTCGGCAAGAGGTCAAAAGAGCTGGTAGTTACGCAATGAAGATCCCGAAGAAGCTGGTAGGAAGACAAGGTAGAGAGCTCCCTGACTGCTCTATAATTAGAAAGACTTGAGATGAACATGCCCCCTTCGAGGAAGACCCGCTAGGTAGAATCGCTAAATTTCCATAGTCTGGTAGGGGTTGATTTCTCAGCTGGGCGTATATTTGGTATCAGTCATCACGTAACATGATGATAGTGATCCGTTAGGTTATTCGTCCTCTCCAGAACAACGGCAATGCAGACACGTCTCCTTGCGTTCATGTTTTCAAGCGGTAGGGTCGAAGGGATGGTCCATTCCGACAGCTCTGATTGGCAGTGAAATGCGACATGTCCCATCCCGCATGATGGGTAACCACGCGCTTACAACGAGGCCACCATTTTGTTCAAATTATCAAAAGCAGGGCCGTATTGGACCAGACGTTGACAAGCGGCGAAAGTCTCAGGGGTTTCTTCGGCAGACCAAATGTGAGACGACTGGATTTAGTATCTATGGCTGGATGCGCAGTGTTGACGAGAGAATCAAGACGCATAAGCTTGGAAGCGCTGCCCACGATTAGGTAAGGAGCTGGGATGGATGCATTGTCCGTCCCAACATCAGCACCAGTGTAAATCGGTTGAGCAAAAGCGATCGCCTGTCAGAGAGCAGCTCTTCTGCTTCAGTGGTAGCATTTTGCATAGACCATTTACTTGCTAAGACTAATGTGCAGTGGATGGATTAAGGTTTGGTTCATGACCCATGTTTGAACGGCAATGAGTGAGGGGTTCGCTTAGCATGTACGAACACTGTCTCGAGACTTGTGTGTTCATTGTTGTCGAGTCAGGACTCGGGCGCCTCAGGTGCTGGGGGCTTGCTTTCGTGGAGCAGCTTTGCCCAGAGTGGCAATTGGATTGGCAACGTGCCTCCCTGGTCTCACTTTGGAGCCTCCGCGCTGTGGCAACGCGTCCCGGACAGGCGTGTGGCTGGCAAGGACGGGTCATGAAATAGACTCACATGCACCTAATAGTCCCGTCGGTGATTCCTTATGAAAAGGCGCGCTCTGGGCCATGAAACGGGGCTGGGGCTGGGCCAACGATGGGCTGGGGCTGATGAGACAAGACGGCATACATATCATATGACGGAGGCCCAGATCACAGCAGGCGCGCCATGGCGGAAGAAGCGTGTGGTCTGGTGTGTGTAGGACGGTGCCTGGCGGGAGAGGATCGGCGGACAACCTGGGCGGGGCTGTGACGAGGCCGAAAGCCGACCCCGCGCTTAGGCGTGCTTGCGACCATCTCACAAACATCTGCAACTGCGCCTACAACAGCCGCGCTACAACAACCGCTCCCATAGCGTCGCGCTATCACCACCCGTCCCCTTGCATTGTACTCGCTTCCTGCACCCAAAAATGGTAGGCAGAATAGCTTCGCAGCTCCCGCCATGTGTGCCGCTCGTTGACGTCCGTCCAGGCTGAGACCGGTCTTCCGCCTGGATGGGAGGTGCGCACCTCCAAGTCCAAGGGCCTCCCCTACTACTTCAATACCAAGACGACTGAGTCGCGCTGGGACTCGCCCGAGGGCACCGACCCGGAGAAGTTGAAGCTGTTCATGGCCAACTACCACAGCACCAAGGCTGGCGACGCCGTGTCTGGCGGAAGCAATGACGCCATCCGCGCCGCCCACCTGCTCGTCAAGCACGAGGGTAGCCGGCGGCCATCGAGCTGGCGCGAGGCCAAGATAACCCGTTCTAAGGACGAGGCGATGGAGATCTTGAAGGGATATGAGCAGCGCATCAAGTCGGGAGAGACGACGCTGGCGGAGCTAGCCGTGACTGAGTCGGATTGCAGCAGCGCACGCAAGGGTGGCGACTTGTGAGTTGGCACCGGCTGGACAGTGCGCCGTCGAGCCGCAGTTAACATGGTGGCAGGGGCTTTTTCAAGAGGGGCGACATGCAGCGCGAGTTCGAGGACGCGGCCTTTGCGCTGCAGCCGGGCGAGGTCAGCGGTATCGTGGAGACGGCTTCCGGACTCCACTTGATCGAGAGGTAAGTTCACGCCGCGCCGATCGCTCGTTCGATGGTTCGGGCTAGATGCACACGTGGTGGTCGTGCAGAAGCTAACGCATCGGAATGTCATGCTCCCAGGCTGCCCAACGCGTGAGGATAATGATGAGGCTCTTCTACGAGCGTCCACGGCCAAGGACCCTAGCCGCTGAATGTCAAAGGTAGAATGGACAAAAGGCTAATAATGGCATGTGAATTCCTATGGCAAGTCCGGCCGTGACGTGGGCAGCGGATTGAAATATTAGCGTGGTCGAGTCCTATGTAAACGGTGGCTTACTGCTGCAAGGGGGCCGCGACGACGCCCTGCAACAAGGGCTACCGCTCAAATCGGCGCTTGCCGCGCGATATCCCCCGCCGCCCCAGGTGCTTTGTCGTTCTCTTCACCTGAATGCCCCCGAGCTTTCTACTTTGCTACGACATACTGACATGGCCGGGCCTGCAGCCACCTGCTTCCGGCTGCAGCGTCCAACTAATCGAGCCTAGCTGCGCGCTTTCCCGCTGGCCCAGTAGCGTGAGCCAGATGATGCACGCCGCTAAAGCATACGTGTGCATCGGCAGCATTCCGCCCTGCAGCCCCCCACACCTCCGCCTTTCTCTTCTTTTCCCATTGTCTTCCACCTGGTGCCCTGCGCTTCTCTTTTTCCCTTGGCCAAGCCACGCTCTGCTCCGCGCTCATCCGAGCAGCCTTATTCACCACATCCGGCCTAGTGCAGCGTCGATGCAGCGGTGCAGGCTAGCACAACGGTCTCGGAGCCTGACTATGACCCTGGTCGCACCGGCAGCTGAGCCAAATTTGGGTCTGCTAGCCAAGCGCTTAGAGGTCGGGCATGACCGGGCCTTCTCGAAAGCTCTGTTGGATGCTGCTGAAGCCGCCTGTACCGCATCCGGCCCGTGGATGAGGGCTGCATCAGCCACCGACGGAGCGGTTGAAGGACAGGGGCTCGACCGCAGTGGTCATCTCTTGTCGCCGCTTTGAAGGGTGGTTAGAATATGGGGTCAAGGTAGTTCCTGCCGCCTCGAGGCATATTTTATTGAGCCCTGCCGCCCCGCGATCATCCCCGTGTTCCCCACCACACATGGGCCCGGCTGCGACTCAACCGACCCGAAAGTCTTATACTTCGACTGTGCCCAACGTTGCGTCAGCCCTTCTTCTTCGCCCGTCTCTGCCCGCTCAAGCATTTAAAGGCTTGCCGGGAGCGCTAGGGAACTCCCGCATCACTCTCATTGACACCCCTGGTCAGAACCTCCGCCATGGCGACCTTCACGAACGCCTGCGCCCCGTCCGCGCCTTCGTATTTCTCTGCAACCGGAGGCTCGCCGCCGCGCAATCACTACCGTCGGCCCTCGTTGAAGAAGACGCTCATGCCCGTCTCGCCGGGCGTCTCGGCGCGGCGCACTCATTGTCCAAGAGACGTCGACGCCTTCAGCTTCAATCCCTCACATCTGCCTGCATGGAGCATGCCGCAGGATCTCTGGGAGAGCCTTCCTGACCGGTTGCGACCCCACATGGTCAGCGTGCAGCACGCCGGAGCAGCTGTGCTCACTGGTTTTGAGCGGCTGAAAGAAATCCGGACCACTCTGCTGTCCGACCTTGTGGAGCTGGACGAGCCGGAAGAAGACTGTGCCCCCACGGAAAACAATTCTCGCACGGAAAATGGGTTGGACGTTTTGCTCAGCAACATGAACTTTGATACTCTGGCCAAGGGTCCGCGCTCCCGGCACGACTCGCTTGCGACACCTGCGCTCTCCACACCGTCTCTTACTCCCTTGGGCAGCGAGGTCGCCAGTGACCGGTCTGCGGCCTCATCGATGCCCGGGACGCCGGGCAATTCCTCACCGGTCACTCCCGCAACTCCTCCGACTACACTCTCTCCGTTCAGTTTCCCGGTCGACGATAAATCCGCTCAACAGTCCCACACGCCGCCGCCCACTTCTCCGACTTCACTAGCCTCGCCCAGCGCTCCTCCGGACACCGAGATGCTATGTTCGCCCATCAACAGGCCTTCAACACCGAATTCGGCCAACGTCTTGTCGCCGCTGCGTCCGTTCACCAACCCGCCGCGCCACCCGCATGCTACGTATTACGCCGCTGAGATGGCGGAGCTACGGTGCGTGGCGCTGGTGCGGCTGCGGCACGCTGCGCGCCGGGTTGACGCCGAGTGGGGCGAATGTAAGCGCGTGGGTGTCGTGCGTCCGTCCGAGCGCGACCCTGACGCACGGATAGCCCAGGAGTTTGAGCTATGGTGGGCAGGCAAGAAGGGAGCAATTGGAGCGCTGGAAGAAAGGGTTCATCGAATTGAGAGGCTCGGCGTGGGCTTGAGCAGTCTCGTGTGAGCGAGCCCGACTTTTCACCTTATTCGCCGAGCATCGGGGTTGGGTCAAGGCATACGGACCATTTTGGGATAATCACCCTTCCGCTTCTTTTTCGTGTCGTTTCCGTTCTGTTGTATCTTTTCCCTTTCCATACCCGGTTCTCTCCTTTTCTACTTCCAAACCAGGGATCGCTTTTCATCAATTTGGCGCTCACAGGTTGCTATCGGAGGAATGGGCGCACATGACATCACACACATCGTTGGAGTTTTGGAGCAAAAGCACAAGCATGTGTATATCAAATCATGCGGAGCATTGGCATCTTTCATCAAATTGGTATAAGGACCGCACGAGGGTACACGCTTATGGACAAACGTAGCTTTCGATCATCTCCTTTTCAGTTATCGTTATATGGGAGGAGTTCGACGGTGCTATGAGGCATAGCAAAGTCATTTCGTTTCACTTGTGTTCCTCTTGCTCCCTTCATGTACGAAACTTTTTCATCACCACTACTACTACATAAATTGGCTTGCATCAAGACAAGCACATAGCTGCTGGCAGAAACAAACCACGTAATTTACCACCAGAATACCTCAGGCTACGTCTAATGTATGACTTGCAACCTTCCATTTCATTGATTCTCAACGTGCTGCGCGAGTAAAGTGGATCGGATGCACCAAATACTGTTCCAGTGCAAGCCTCTTTTCTCAGTTACCTGATCGTGACAAAGCCGTGCATGGGGAGACGAATTTCATGCAAGCATCGCATGCCTTGTGGGTAACTTGTTACTAATCCATCTTCCTTTGCCCCCACCACACACACACCTACCTTACCTGCTTCGGTTCTCCGGCCGGTGATGACATCAATTCATGCTCATAAATTTCCAAATCGTTCATCCCATTCGAACAAGGGAAGAATATGAAAACATCTTGAAGCCGTCGAACAAGGATCGAGAGATCTATCTCATGATATCCCCTCAAATCTTGTTTCTCGTTTTCCTTTCTACCTGCTTTTTTCCCTCATGTTTCACGACTACCACACCCAGTCGCTGCTTTAAGGCGCCGTTCTGGGAAGCTGACCTGTCTGGTTGGTTCAGCGGACGAGCGGATGGGAGCACGCGTGCTCTTCACATGCCCACTAGAGTCCTGATGTGAATCTGCGTGGTGTGATATTACCTTTTTTGTGGGTCTTGTCCTTGGTGTTGGGTTTTTCCTTCTTTCTATTCGTGAGACTGTGGTGGCGTAGAGGGGGGAAAGAACAACCGCCGGTAGCCGTTGCGTGGACACGTTCGGGGCTGAAAAAGGGCCCGTTCTAGACCCTTTGCTTCTTGGTGTTTTGGAGGGTTGGGTTTCGATGGGATGCATATGCGTTCGCATGGGGCTATTGCTTGCCAAGCTTGATGCAGCCTCGGCTGGCAATAAATCCGTGGCTATTGGTCGATGTTTGGGGGATCGTTTGATCGATATCGGGCATTCCATGGCAATGTTTCTTGCGGATGCGGTTTTTGCAGGATGCGATTTTTCAGTACCCTTGTTGGGACACACGTGCGACGGGCATGTAGAAAAGTGACGGAATGGTCGGGTATGTCGTCATTGTTGCTGCCTACGGGCTTTCGATGAGCATCACAAGGAATAAGCGCAGAATGAGGCACATCTGTGCTTGCTTCTAATGCCGGCTTCCACCAGCATCCAATCGCTTCGTCGCAATTGCGAGGCAAAGATAAGGGACCGGGGTTGGATCATTCATGGCACGGCAGCAAATATCCGCGTTTACAGAAGACCGACCGTTAATGTGAGTGATGACATCACAAGATTTTATGTGTGATCGATTCGTCTACTCGGAAAAAAAGCAGAAGGCCTACCTCAGTTAGATTTCCCCCCTGAGTTGGTTTTGGGACCATCACGCGCTTAGTGGGCCCTGGTAATGCCCTGGATTTTTTTTTTCTAGAAGTTTCAAGTAGTGTGTCCGACATTCACACGTGGAACTTTTACTGAGAGCTCTTCTATTTCCCGGGGACTATTCTCGTCCCAGATTGCTCAGTAAGGACATTGACCGGTAGATAGCGACCCTCTAATGCTTCGCGTAACCATGGGGCATCCGTGGCTGAAACCTTTTGGCGCGCGTACTCAACCAGAGGTGCAGCGCCTGGAGCGTCGTCCATGATTCCGATGACACCAACTCGGGGTAGGCTGAGAGCGGCTGCAACTTTAGGCTCCGAGGCCGGTTTGAGTGGGACGAGAAGTGCAGTTTCGGAAGAAGAGAGGCCGCGTGAGGCCGTCTGCGTGAGAAGCGGCAGATGTGCAGTCGTGATAGATGAAGGGGGCTGCAGGGAGAATATTAAGGGCAAGTGTCGGAGAGATCTGGACGGGTGTGGCGGCGCGTTCGTTTCATCTGACGCGGCCCCGGGTGGCTGCTTTGACGGACCCGGTATAGCATTTCCTTGCGCTGGAGCATCTTCCGCAGCCTGAGCCAGTTGCTCGAGGTGGCGCGTGGTGCTGTTGATGCCGACGGTAATGTGACGTGTAAGGTCAGGTGGAGGAGGCGGTGCTGATGCTGCGGCTTCGCTCGGAGCCCCGTGGCGCTTGCGTTTCTTGCTGCGCTTACCCTTTGAAGGCGTAACGTGGGCGGAGCGGTGTTGGCCAATGGGCGCGAGGAGACTGGGAGTCGGTTAGATATGCGGCTGGGGAATGCTGTCGCGGTGACTTCATGATCGCCTGCGAGCCTCCTGAGGAGCAGGCCGGCCTGGACGAGGGTTGATCCTGGGCAAACCAATAGCATGGCGCGCAGCAGCCAGGGTAGATTGGCCACTGAGCGCCAGCGAACTGGCGGTAGCGAAAAAAGCAAGCGCCGCGACTGAATTTGCAGCGAACCGAGAAAAAAAAAAAAAGGGCGGCACGGAGAATCTGAGATGTTGAACGAGCAAAGATAGCGATGGAGGAGATGAGAGGAGACGTACTTGACCAGCATTTCGAGCATGATGTCATGGTCGGCGGTCGCAAGCTGGGGCCTGGCGAATGTGATCAACGGCTGCATGGCTGGTGGTGTTGCAACATTCCCGTGCGCTGAAACAACCTACCACTGAGGCTGGGTGTACGGGAGGTCAAGCTTGAAGACGGGCTTGCCGGGCCGGAGGGCCTTCTTCGCGGCCGGATCTGCCATTCTAGCGTTGCGCAGAGCAACTGCAGGCACTTGTTGAGAGGAATCGGTCGTCGAAGCAGGTGAGGTAGTCCAGGCGTAAGGTCGCTGCGGAGCGGCGCGCGGGCCGACGAATTAGTATCCAGCGGGCGGTCGGCGTGCGCGACTAAGAGGCGACAGCATAAGCTCACGCCCCAGCTGCGCACTTGCCTTCCGCCGCGAAGTCACCCCGCGACGCGTCCACCACGCACCTCGAACGTCGCCGCCGTTTGTTGCAACCGTCCAATTTGGCTGCTGTACGCTCCCATCGCCTCCGCTGCGTGCTGGCCAGCCTGTGCTGTACGGAGCCTGCAGCCTTGCCCACAGCCCCTGCGCTGCGCTGCTCGCCAAAAAGCAATTGTAGGCTGCCGCCCGCACAAGCTCCAGAGCTTCACGCATGCTGCCGAACTGCTTCCGCCCTCACTTCCACCTGCCTGCCGGGCTTTCTGGACCCTTCTGCAGCTCCTGCCAGCTCCGGTAGACGCGCTTTACCGTCTGCTGACTCATGGCGGCGCAACATGCTATGGATTCGCCCAGCCTGAGGAACTGCACCCCGCCAGCGAGCCTGGAGTCGCCTGAAGAGCGCCGTGACTCTATGGAAGACGCTGACTGCTCTCCCTCGCGATTCAAACGCCCCCGCCTGGACAGCGGCAGCCGTGCTGTCCGCAAAATGTCCCAAGATCTGGACCACGAGAGCCTGGCGCACCCAGATGCTAACGCGCCCGCAACGCCCATGGAACAGCACGAGCAAACTGAGGACCCCGTTTCCCACACCCCAAATACTCCTAGCCGCATCACCCTCAACCTGCGCCCGCCGCAAACTCCCTCGCACACCCGCGCCGCTGCCGAGCCCTCCGCCGACACCCATGCCGATGCAAACGAGGCTGTCCACCAAATGACTGCCGCTTCAGACTCAGATTCCAGCGCGACCCTCCGCTCCTCCCCTTCCGCTTCCTCGCCGAACAGCAAGATCCACACCCCGCCCCCAGACGCGGAACGAACTGACTCCGCACTGTCGCCCGGCGCCGCTTCTAGCCCCGTGGTCGAGATTGCCGTGGACGACGCTGACGATATGGCCGACTCCTCAGATAACGTGGTAGAGCTGAACGAGGACGATGAGGAAGAGGTGGTCTTCGTCGGCGACATCTTCGAGGCCTTTCCGTTCGCAAAGAACTACGGTCGGGAGACTGCCCTAGGAGGGTTGCTAAACTTGATCTCGAGACCACGTAAGTTCCCCTTCGGCCACGATTCCTGAAGCTGGCGGTACTGACACTTTTAGGCCATGGCAATGATGGCGAGCTGACACAGCTAAAGGACTGGCTGCTCTGTCTTTCGACGTTCGTTCATCAAGGCAAGCTTGACGCGCGCACTACGTATCTGCAGGAGCCCGTATTTTGGGACGAGATTGCCAAGATGTTCCACCGCATAACTCAGCGTCAGGTTCCGTATGGAGAAGCTTTCCACCTCGACCCTGACAAAAGCGAAGTTGACGCCCTGCGGGATCTATGGTCTGCGTACGCTAAGTGCGTCGCGCAAATGCTCAAAGTCGAGATCAAGGCCCTCGAGGCCGGCACTTACTCCGTCAGCAACTCGCGCCTTGTTGCCTTCAACCACATGAAAATCATGAAAGATATCCTACGGTTCCGCGAGGACCTCCCATTTTGGGTATTGATGAATGACCTTGTTGTCCAGGACTCCGACGCATTGAAGAAGATATGCTCCACGATTATGTCTGGCTTCGTTTCCGAGCTGGGCGAACCTTCATGCCTGGTCAGCCTGGTAAGGATGGGCATGGCCGACCAGAACCTACGCCTGGCTGCCGAAGAGACATTAATTTTACTCACTTGGCTGGGGAATTTTGCGTCATCTTGGAGAATCGGAGTCACGCGCGGTGAACGCCGTTGGATGGCACATAAACTCTTCTCACTCTTCAAGGACCTTGACCTTGAGCTACAGACATCCTTGAAGGGACCCATTGAGCTTTGCATCGAACTCGTCAACACTACTGCAACAATTCTGTCAAGCGCCGCATGCCTGGACCCAGAAATCGCCCGTCAGCTGGCCGCGTATATCTATAAGGATTCAAGAGGCCCTCATCAGTTCTTAGTGATGCCTGACGTTCTCCACTTATCATGGTTGCTCAAGACATTAGAGCAGTACATACTGAAGGGACATATGGCACATCGCCTGTACGCTATCGAGAGCATGAGCGCTCAGTTCATCCAGGTCTGGACCAACTGGAGCCAAAAGTCTTACAACGAGAACATTCTCCACCACTTCGCGCAAATCTTGTTGGAGGACAAGATCATCGACTATATCATAGGCGTCGATTCACATCCTCAGGTCGTCTCCCGGAGCGGCAACATCGTGGGCTTCCTGGCTGTGACTGAGCATTACGGAGAAGCACAGACCGATGCCATTTGGGACTCGATCACACAGAACCAGGATCCACGGATGGCGGAAGCCCTCATTGAGATGACCATGCATACAGCGCTTCTAATGTCGAGCTCAGACCTTCTCTACCTCTGCACGAAATTTCATACCCTTCCGCAATCTAGCTTCTCAGCGAGCTTTGTGGAGCTCTTCAAGCGTATCTGCGATGGCATCCAGAAGAAAGCCAAGGCCGACCTTACCAAATGGACTGAGGAGCCGAGGAGGATGGCCGTCTTCTCGCTGTGTGTCCACCTGGCGCAGGAAACTTATCCCTTCCCGATAGAGACTTCGGCTCCTATCTCACAACTTATGCACCGTGCTGCAATCCACCAGCTTGCATTCTTCTCCCGAGGCGAGTTTGCCACTGCAGATGACAAAACCGAGATATATCGGTCTTGTGCCACAGGCATTGCAGGAAAGACTCCACAGGCCGCTGCCAATGCTGAAATCATTTTCACAATGCTTTCGGCCATGCCTACCGACGCAGACATCCTTCTGAAAACCAGTGTGGCTGAGGATGTCTCCGAAGAACTTTGCGCTTTCGTAGCAGCAGAGAAGAACAACGCTCGGAAGGGCCTCAGCATACCACTCACATCGCGGCTTCAGCTTCTATTCTGCCTGATGAACCTGCCGTCCACTTCCTTGACTGCAGAGACAGAGAAAAAAGTCTGGGATCATTTGGTTGGCCCCAGCGCCATAGGTGCTGACCTTCAGGATGTAGCATGGCACCATCTCTCTTCCTTGGCAAGATTGCAGGTTTCGAAGAACGCGTTCCTTGATACATGCGCAACTGAGCTCCTCCCGACGCTGAACCCGGAATTCTATACCGCAGGCTTGTTTGATTTTCTGCGTGAGCTGACAGACTATCAGCGTCGCACTTCGACAGAAGGTGAATTGCCATCAGATGGGATATTCCAGCCGCCCATCGTGGATTTACTCTGGCACGTAATCCTCACAGCGCCCTGCAACACTATTGAGAAGATCACAGCGGAATATCTGGCGAACCTCTATTTGGATCCCCAGGCTTTCGACCAGTACATCGAAGAATTTCCTAATGTCGTTCGAGATACCCATATCGCCCTCATCAACCGTTGCATAAACCAGATGGTGTCGACATATTCTGCTTTGAAAGAGTCCGAAAAGACGGCTACGCCTGGAGAGGTGGAGATGGAGGACGCGGAGCCAAGGGCGGACCCGAAGATGCTTGAGCTCCAATTTCAGAGGACTCTGCTGTTCCTCACGGTGCTGCTAAACCTGGTCAAGAGACGCCCTGACCTTCAGATCACATCGCCTCGTCTCATAAAGCCTGCTATCCCTGCAAGGATGGAAGACACGGTTGGCGACATCTGGCCAATCAAATTCCAAGCGATCGGCGCCGAGATTGGACTTATGCAGACTGTTGAAGTCGGAGATCTTCAGTCGTTGTCATGGCTTGCGGAGCGTCTGCGTGACTGGACCGGGTTCTACGAATTTCGACTGATCCATGGTGGTGCCCCACTTGATCTACAAGCACTGGGTGATAAGACAATCCGCGACTTGTCGCTTCATCAGAAGGGCGCCATTCTGGTCAAGAATGTTGGTGACACTGCCGCGCCCGCTCACTGTCAGGGGAGCTCGAGTTTGATTGAGAAAGAAATTCTCACCAACTATGACACCATCTTCGATTTCCTGGACGGCGGCGATGACTCCATGAGCGAGGCTGTAAGCAGACTTGTTACCCTTGACTGGCTGTGTCAAAGCTAACCCGTCCGCAGGCGTACGATTTCCTGAACCAGCTACCCCCACACGGAAAGGCTCTAGCCGTCACGTACGGAGGTCGACAGACAGATTCCATATCAGACATTTTCAAGTCTTCTTTCTCTCCGGGGAAGCTGTTCAAAGCCCGAATCTCCGTGTCCACCCTTCGTAAAGATTTCAGGAACCAAATGAGATCGGTATACCCTCGAAAGTCTTCAGCGGCCGAGGAAGCAGCGATTAATGTAGAGCAGGGCCTCCCATTGAATGTGCAGTTAATCAGTCATTCCGTTCAGCTTCTCAACGCTGTGATTCTGAACGAGGGACTCATCAACGATTCCCTGTCCGGACCGCACGATGAATTCCTAGCCCAGTCCGTCCTGGAGACGTTTACAGAACTGTTGAAAGGTATTTCGTTACCATATCTCGCACGGGAAAACTACTAACGGTAATATAGAGAGTGTTGACGCGGAGGTATCGGCATCGTACTTTGATAACGAGAAACGCCTCACCAGCCGCCTCATCTCCTTCTTGAAATCTTCTCTAAGCGCATCAAATATCCACCTCGCGTTTCAATGCTACGTAGCCTTGCTTGAGGCGTTCAACCACAGCTCAGGCGTTTGGGACGAATTCAAGGCTCAAGCAGAACTCGAGGACCTCCACTTCACACTTTTGGTTTCGCATGAGTGCGAAAAGCTCCGGGAGACCATATCGATCAACATCGAGAACGAGTGCCAACACCTCTCTGGGTATGTACCATCACACTTACCCTCCCTCTCCGTTATGCATTACTTGGCAGACGCTTATGCGATCGACAGTGATTCTTTCGTTGGCAGAGAGGAATTCGTGTCTTTCTACTGGAACATCTTGTCAAACCTCCTATCGCGCGCCTCCCAGTGCTCTAAATCCTGCCAACAGCTCTTCGACCTGTCTGCTAAGATCTTCCGCTGGTATGATGAATACCGGCGCGATGAAGATGGTCTCAGATCCTATATCTCCGCATGGAGTGAGCTCCTCCTGGCGCACAAATACAAGGCTTGCGTCGGTCGTCCTGAGATTGACTTTGTCGTTTCTGGCTTCGCTCAACTCCTTCGCACGGCTGTCTCATCTCTCAAATCATTCAAGAAGCCGTTGAATATTGAGAGCCTTGCCGCGGATATCTTCACCAAATTCCTCTTCCCGCCTGCCTCTGATACAGCGGCCGATAGAGAGAGCGGCGCAAGCGACGTCCTTCCCGTGCTGGAGACGAAAACAAGAGCTGGGCTTTATGACTTGATCACGGCGCTCTGCGAGGACACAGTCGTGTACACACAAATGATTGGGTTCATCCGTGGGCTGCTGCATGACAACACTCATGACGATTACGACGACTATGTGCTCTCTGGCTCGCGAGATCTGCGCTCTGAAACGGGCTACGTCGGATTGGAAAACCCACAAGCACTTTGCTACATGAATTCCATGATGACACAGCTTTTCATGGACATAGAGTTCAGGAAGTTTGTTTTCGAGGCTGAGTGTGGTACCAAGGATGGCCTGCTGAACGCCATGCAAGACCTTTTCGCCACCATGCAAAGCAGCTACGCGAGATCGGTCGACATGAAACCATTTGCTCACTGCGTTCGCGGCACCGACAAGAAGCCGATCAATGTTGCAATCCAAATGGACACTGAGGAATTCTTCCGATTACTCATGGACCAGCTCGAAAGCGAACTACGTACCTCCGAAGACAAGCAGCGTCTAAGAAATTTCTATGGCGGCCGCTCTGTCAATCAGATTAAGTCTAAAGACTGTCAGCATGTCTCAGAAACTACCGAGACACTTTTCAACTTGCCTCTGGAGGTCAAGGGCAAAGAGACACTTGAAGACAGTCTGAAAGCCTATGTCGAAGGCGAAAGCCTGGAAGGCGAAAACAAGTATAAATGCGAGCCTTGCGGTGGTCGTCTGGTCAACGCAGTCAAGCGCACCTGCCTCCAAAGCGTCCCCGACAACCTGATCGTCCACTTGAAGCGCTTCGACTTTGACCCGTTTACAATGACCCGGAGTAAGATCAACGACTACTTTCGCTTCCCGTCACGCATCAACATGAGTCCCTACAAGGTGGAGTATCTCAGCGATCCGGACCAGCCTATTGAGGATGACTTCTTTGAGCTGGTCGGTATCTTGGTTCACGCTGGAGGCGTTGAGCAGGGACATTATTGGTCGTATGTCCGCGTCCGCCCGGATAATCAAGGCTGCGTCAAGTGGATCAAGTTCAACGACGATACTGTCACGGAGCAGGACCTTAGCAAAGTTGAAACCGAGTGCTTCGGCGGAAACGGCAGGCATACTTCTGCGTACATGCTTCTCTATCAGCGCGCTTCGTCGCTCGACAAGGATGGGACGAGCATCCTTCGTGCTCCGCAATCGCTGAACCCCATCGCGGCAATGCCCAAGGATCTCGAAAGACGGGTGAGCGCCGAGAATGAGCGCCACATCCGGGAGTATTGCATGTTCGATCAGGCTCACACAACCTTCATTCGTAAAATGATTGGTCAGATGCGGACGATCAACAAAGGGGTGTGCACCGATGATCATGGCCTGGAGAAGTCCGTCATCAGCATGGTCTTGGAGCACATGTACGAGGTCATCGGTCGCGGCCAGGACATGGAAGAGCTGCTGAAGATTATCGGCGACTTAAAGAGGACGATATACCCTTGTGCCGAGTGTACCAAACTGGCACTTGACTGGATCAGCAAACATGAGCGCGCCCTAGCCGATTGGCTCATATACTCTTACCAGGTTGACTCCACCAACGCAGTCGGTTACCACGTTGCTTGCTTCATCGTCGATGCGTTGAAGGAGCTTCGATTCCACGACCCTTCAAGATATGGCCTGGAAAGCTCCGATCCTGACCTGGAGCAGGCTCTGGAGGAGAACAAAGATGGCGCATTACACAATATGCTCTCCCGCGTCAAGAAAATGGCCGCGGACCTTGGCTATTGCCCTCGCGGACTAGACTTGGGTCAGCACGTCTGGGACATGTACTTCAAGTTCCTGTCCGCGGTGGCCGATTTCGGCAAACACGAGGTCGCGCTCCTCCTGCACCACGGGTTCCTGATGCTGTGTCTTGAGATCTACAATCTCGATGCGGTCCCAGAAATCAACGAACGGCATCCGCAGATCAGTAAAACTTTGGCAAGGAAGGGCAGCAAGCCGTCTTTTGTCGAAATGACTATCTTCTTGGCACTCCTCATGCAGCACATTGACCTGGAAGCTGATCTCGTTCCCAACACTCTAGAGCGCATTCGGTCGTTTTCCGACTCCGAGCAGCAGAAATTCCCCTTCACAAATTCAGAGAGTCGCCTGTTCTACTGGTGGGACAAGGAAAACAATTGCCTAACGGTCCTCAACCGGCTCCTTGAGACATGGGACCCGACCATGCGGAACTTTGCTCCGGGAGACATCATCAAGGCGATCATGGCGATTGAGCCGGACGCAGGTCACCTCACTTCCATTCACACCACGATCCACGAAGGCGTCGAGTTTCTGATGCCACACTCGAGTGTACCGTTCGTAACAGCAGCGCTCTACTACTGCTCAGTAGCGCCCAGGCCGAAGGACGCGCAGTTGATGGCTCGCGACATTGTCAACTGCTTTTCTCCTGATAAACACTTACTGGGAGAGCACTTCTGCGGCTTTGTCACCACGTTCACGAATCTTCGCAACGAGCATATCAGTCCGAGATACCCGGATTTCTTCTATGTCCAGATAGTTGGGCTAGCGCACATCTGGGCACCCAGGCTCTTGTGCTTCGAGGACTCGGAGGTTCAGACAGCTACTTTGAACCTCGTAAGAAGGATAATCACTGACAACCTCCCCGGCCAACCGTCTGCTAAGCGGGAATGGGATATGGACGATGCTCTCGAGGCACGCGTCACCGCAGTACGAAACCTTATGTGCGCTGGGTTCGAGCGTGTGAATGTTCTGAACCGAGAAGCCGACGTTCCCCGGAGCGTTGTCGACTACCTTTACCACCTCATGTTCGAATGCAGTCGCTTCCTCAGGGCCCTCCGAGCTGTCTGGCCCGATGCCTTCAGCCCCGTCGAGTTTGAAGAGCTTGACCAAAGATTTTCTGCGGTGGCGCAAATCTACAGGGATTGGCCGGAGAGTGATGAGTACGACTCGAGTAAGTATGCGTATACCGATGGACATGATCAGCCAGGCCTCTGAGCCTGTTTCAGAGTGAGGGGGCTTCCTCTCCTTCTCCGCACAACCTCATCAACCATCTCTCCTCAGCACAGAGTCGGGTATTCCACTAACGCACGAGCAACAACAGCTTTCTCGGGTGACGAGGAACTGGAGTACACGGATAACGACGTCGAGGCCGTTTGAGAGGGATTACTTTGTGCACATCGGACCGGAAGTCCTCGACCTCGAACCTTCTTGGTTGTCGGAACGGCAACACCTTCACATTGGCGAATTGGCGTATTAGCGAGGCCATCAAGGGTATGGCTCTCTCTTCGGCTTAAAATCGGGTGGTGGTTACTGGGTTTTTCTGATGGTAGGGCTTGCGAGTCCTCTACTCCTAGACTTCCATTGGTCTCGATGTGCTTCTCCTTTTCTTTCACATGCATGAGGGTCGCATATCGGCTGGCCATGCTTCATTGAGACTTGCTTTTCTTGTAGTATCATTTCTTTTCCTTCTTTGGCATTACGATTGGGCGCCCCAACTACAGGGCATTCTATGATGGGTTGATGGGAGATTCGGGTTATTTTCTTTTGCATGGCGACGGCGACGGGGTAAAATGGGCAAAAAAACCTTCACACTAAAATATGGGACAGTACTGGCTGGGATTATTTCCTTTCGATTCATGTTATTTTCATTCAGCTCATTTCCACTAGGGTTGAAAGTGCGGGCAGGCGGGTTTTATGACGGGTTGTCTTTTCTTGCCATCATGACTTCATGGGGAACGCTCTCCTCTGGGCATTACGATGGGTATGCAACACACGACTGCTGAATGACAAGGTACGGATTCTGTATTTCCCTTGCGATTTGGGTGCGCTGGTGAACGCATGTCGACCTCTGCTATTGTGGCTATTGTGCCTGTTTTACTGTCACAGGTCGAACCTTCCACGCCTTCTTTCCCTATTGTGGCCATTGTACCTCACTTCACTTCGACATCACCGGTTCCTATTGTTTCTATTGTTGCCCTTCTGCCTATTGTTCCATCTTCGGCCTCGATATGCTTTTAAGCCCTGCTCCTCCGACCCTTTCCTTCTTTTCCTCGGCGACCTCTACATCCTCATTCGATTCACAGAGCTTTTTCCAAGCCTTTTCGGCCACAGCTCCCAAAGCACCTCAAGAAAACTTCAAGTCCACATCCTCCTCACACCAACCATCATCACAGTCAGCACCATGACGACTCCTCAAGACAACACCATCTTCTTCGTCGGCATGGGCCCGGCCCCCTCCTCGCCGTCCACCATCATCGTGTTCACGCCCAGCAGCACCACCACCAACAACAACCAGTCGGCTGGTCCGACTACCACTGGTGGTCCGGTCTACACGCCGGCGGCGTCGTCGCTCTCGACCACCACCACCAGCCGCAAGCGCAAGCTGGCCGCCGCCTTCGGCGACGACAAGCAGTACCGTCCCACCAGCTGGCCTGGTGCCAATGCTCCCGCCGCTGCCGCTGCCGCCACCGCCACCACCGCCGTTGCTGTTGCTGCTGCCGCCGCCCAGGAGGGCTTCCCTCTGCCCAAGCGCCGCCGCCGCCACGCCCACGCCCGCGCCCGCCCCTCCGCCCGCCCCACGTCCGCTGCCTCCTGCTTCGCCGACGTCGACGAGGCGGCGCGCGGCGGCCCGCTGGGCTTCGCGCGCCTGATGGCCGGCCTGCCCGGTGGCTTCGAGGGCCACCGCTCGCGCACCCGCGGCCCCGACGGCGGTTCTGGCGTCGTTTTGGGAGTGGTGAGGGGCCTGCCCGGCGCTCCTCCTGCCGTCGGCCCCGCGGGAGGCCTGGTCTTCCGCATGTGGCCGGGCAGGGAGATCAGGTTGGGGGAGAGGGGACGGAGGACGGGCGGTGTCCCCGCCCCGTTGGAGTGGTTGGTGAGGGAGAGGGAGGGGAGGGAGAGGGTGGAGAGGGAGGCGGACGAGTTTTTGGCGGGGTTGGAGGCCCTCGAGGAGGGCGGGAGAAGGGAGGAGGAGGGGGAGCAGGGGGAGGGGGACGAGAACTGGGAGTGGGTGGGAGAGTGGAGGGAGGAGACGGTGGCGGAGGGGGAGAGGATGAGGAGGGAGTGGGAGAGGGTTCGGGAGCGCGTCCCGAACTGGGCTGAGGCCCTGGCTGCGTACCGTTGAGCGGCGGCGGGGAGGAAGGGGGTTGGTTGGGGAGATTGGGGAGGGGAAGGGGAAGGAGAAGTTTTCTGGGATGCATGGCGCAGGCGCCGAAGATGGCCGGCTGGTCCGGTTCATCAAGGCTTGATCAAAAGTGCTTTTTTTATTGCGGGCGCGGTTTTGGGGGTTCTGCTTCCCCAGGGTTAGCATAGACTTTTTTTTTTTGCCTCTCCATCCAGCACGGAGGCTCCGAATGCATTCACGACATCCAGCATGAGCGTTTAGCTCACCAAAAGCTTTTCTCCTTTGTGCTTCCAAGTGACATTCGAAACTAGATTAAAAATTACTGGTCTATTCATCAAACAGCAACTGATAAGAGCGTCTGTACTATACAAGCGTCGAAACATATAAACTTCGTCGATACCATGAAAAGTAGTCCGTCTTCGTCTCTCCTCTGGAAGACCACGCAATTCTTGCACAGCAAGGTCCAATACAACAGCATAACGCGGCCCAAATATACAAGAAAGCGGGCCTCTAGTCTCCCTCTCTTTCTTCCGTTTTCAACCATTGAAAACGTGTGGCTCTCATAATCCATCCTCCTCCTACTCCCATTCATGCTTTCCCTCTCCTCAGCTTTCTCACGCACTCCAAGCCTCCTCACGGCCGCAATTCGCACCAGATGTAGGGGAAGATGACTCTGCAGGCAGTCCAGAAGACAGCGACGCTGCTGACCAACGCCCAGGGCTTCCGTACGAGCGGCGCTTCCGCAACGCGGATCCAGATGGCGTAAACGGCGACGGAAAAGAAGTGGTAGAAGAGTATGAGCGGTTGGCGAATAATACCGGCGAGGAGACCAACGGGACCGTCAATGCAGTTGCCGCCGCGCTGGAAGTAGCGGAAGCAGCCGAGTTGGAGGGCCTTCAGGTTCGGGTCTTTAACGCAGGTTAGTGTCAATCTTCGCTAGTAGAATTAGGAAAAGGAATTTAAGCTTACCATCAGCGGCGAACAGCGCGTACAGTGCCAACGCGAGGATGTTGATGACAGCGGCCCAGTTCTTCCGGCGCCAGTGGAAGGCCTTCATCTGCTTGAGCACGAGCCTGTGGTCCGCCAGGCTGGGGACGTTGTTGGGGTGCAGCAGCTCCGCCAGTAGCACAACATCATTGAAGGCCACGGTCATACCGCCACCCGTCAATGGATGGCGCATGTTCAACGCGTCACCTGCAATGACCAGACCAGGAGTGCGGTTCGTGGCGGGCGGCAGGAACGAGTTCGGCATGGAGCGCAGCTTACCTGCGCGCATGGCGGCCTCGAAGCTCGGCTGCACACACTTGGGCAGGCTCGGCAGCACTACGTTCTCCAGGTGGTTCTTGACGCCGCCGTTCTTGACCGAGGCCGAAGGCAGGCCGTCCGGAATGTCGATGAGGGCGCGCGTCTCGTGAGTGCCAATCTGGTAGAGCAGGACGGGCGGGCCCTCTGTCAGGATAACGTGGCCGTGGCCAGGCATGGGCAGCTCGGCATCGATCAGCTCGAGCGCGAAGAACTTGCTGCGGACCTCCGGGCGGTGCGGGTGGTTCGACTTGCGGAATTTGGACGCGTAGCCGTCAGCGACAAGAGTGATGTGTCCGAAGTACTGCAGAAAATGTCGCGCCCGTCAGCAATCAAATCAAGCACGATTTCCCTTCCAATCCCATCTTCAAGTTGTAACTCACGTAGTCCTTCTCTCCCTTGGTCGAGCACTCGACGCCCAGCACCTGCCCGGTCCAGCCATTGCGCACCAGATCCTTCGCCTCAGTCTCGACGACCGTCACGTTCGGCTCCTTCATGGCCGCCTCCCTCAACTTCTGTATGAACCTCCCGTGGTGGAACCCTTTGCCCTGCGGCCTCTTGCCATCGCCCTTGCCCTCCTTGACCACCTCCTTGGGATAGGGAATGCCCACTCCGGTGCCGTAATAGACGACGTCGTAGCCGAAACACGGGATGGCGTCGATGCCGCTCATGCAGTGCTCGAGACCAAGCTCGCGCAGAGCCTGCACGCCGCCGGGCTGCAGCAGCTCGCCGACAATTCGGTCGGGCTCCTTGAGCGACTTCTCGAGCAGGATGACGGAGCGGCCCTGGCGCGCCATGGCGACGGCGGCGGCCGAGCCGAAGACGCCTGCGCCGATGATGACAACGTCAGCATCGTGGTGGACGCGCCGCCGCCGGTCCTGCTCGTCGCGGAAGGGGCCCTGGGCCGTAGGATCGGTGCCCGAGGGCGTGGGATTGCTGTCGTCGAGAATGAGCGGCATGTTGTCTGGTGGCGCTGTTCGGAGGCTAGGTTGGGACTCGGGCGGTTATGCGTGTGGTATAGCGTGACCGGCGACGCGGTGGGATTTTATTGCGACACGGCGCGGAGGAGATCGACGATGCAATGGATCCGTCGAAAAAGGGGATGGGTGCGCTGGCGGAAATCTCGCGCGGAGAATTGCGCGGACGTGATGGAGGTGGAGGCGGAGGCGGAGGTTGAGGGTCCAACGAGGTCGAGAGGATTAGCGGTTTTGTTGGTCGGGACTACTGCAGGGACCCCGCGTCTTATTATAAAATCGGAGGCAGCAGTCGAAGGATCAATTAAAGTAACTAGGATTGGCCCGCGGAGCTGACACGCATGTGATGAGCGAAGAGGGAAGAGAAGAAAAAAAAAATCGTCGAGAGGTCTCACGATTGCAGGGCCAGGGTCATGATAATGGGGAATCGGGTGGCGCTATCAAAACAACTGGAGACAGGGGCGCGGGCGTCGCCGAGGGCGGTGAGACTGCTGCGCTTTCACATGCAGGTACAGCTGCTCGCAATTACAATTGCCGGCATTTCGCCGTCTGCCGGCAGCGAGCGCAGGCCACGATTTTCTCTGCGCGCCGTTGTCTGTGGAACGCGGAATAAATGCACGGCAAAACGTGCAACCTAAGCTCTTCCTCCTCAATATTACCAGAGCAACGTGCGTATATAACTGGAAAAATACGGGCGCGCAGCTCTGAGAGCTCCGGTTTTGAGGCGTGAATATCCACAGTGTCGGATTCGTGGATTCTCAGGTAAAGAAGTATGCCTTCTACCGTGGTTAAAGAGGATCTTGAACCCGGAATCTTTGGTAGCGGCAATTGCTACTTGCAATTGGCTGGAATATGTGTCAATGCTTATAGAAGGGTAATTTTGTTGTAGCTCAAAGGGGGCGAAAGCGTTTTGGTGTGCATTTATTTCCCGCGTGCACGGTTGCGGGGGAAGCTTCACCACAAACACGTGGTGGTCAGCTCATTATGCGGCCATCTCGACGCCTCATAGCCCACTTCGTCTACGACGATCGGCTCCTCATAAAACCGTCATCCTCATTGGCGCGAGAGTCAAGGATCATGTGTAATTCGACGCGCAGTGCGATTGAGGCGGTCAGGAAGGTAAGCGCTCCATTGACAGGATTTGGCGTCAGTGCATATTGGCGCAAGATTTCTTCCGGTTGGTATTCAACACCACAAGGCCTCAAGTTCCCTTCTATCCATCCGATCACTGGATTGTCACTTTCATTCTTCTCGACGTGTGCCAGGGCTTCAATTTCGAGAACTATCTGGAGAACAATTCCACATACTCGGCCGTTGAATTTCCAATAGCACGCTACAAAACAACGCCAATAGTTCAATGGCTAGTAACTTTTCTGCATGGCTTTCTTCACCTCCGGAAATTCAATTGCCTCCACGCCCCCGGGCAAAGCAGTGAGGTCACGCACGTATTCCCTCCTACCAGCCTTATGAACCCGTCCATTCATGACAATAATGTTGAGCCTGTCGTGATCCTGCAGGATTGATATATCCTCCAGAGGATTTCCATCAACGAGTATGCAGTCAGCGTAGTATCCGGGGAGGATTTTTCCCAGCTCATTCTCCCGCATGAACAACTTGGCCACACCACTGGTCGCAGCAATGATAGCTTCGTGCTCCGTGAACCCAAGCAAGCGGACGAAGTGCTCGAGGTCACGCGCATACGTGCCATGAGGAGTCCACTGCAAACTCAATGTCAACAAAATGCAGCTGGGGAGATAGAATTGAGCCAACTCACAGCAAAGCCGTAATCACCTCCAGGTAGAACAACAATACCGCGTCGATGCATTTCGCGCAGCGCGGCGACAGCAGTATCGAGCTCCCTCCGATACCCAACCTTCTCCGCTTGCTCTTTCGGGTACCCAAACACCTCAGCGTCATTGAGCGTTGCGACCAGCCAATTGATGGCCGGAGCAACGACAATCCTCGTCTTCTTTTCTTCGAGCATCCGCATCCCTGAATTGAGTCTCCGGTCAGCCCTGTTCATGCGGGGAGTGGAGAGAAGCTATGCACAGAATTTACCTTCGTCGTCAATGTAAGAAGCATGGAAGATTACGTCAACGTCATGCTTCGCGCACATCTTCACCGAGTCCCGCGCGCGGGCATGTGCGCAAAGCCGTTTGCCTCGCTTGTGTACCTCGTCGACGCAAGCAGCCGTTTCTTCATCAGTGAAGTAGCAATCCTGCGCCGACCTGGTTTCAGTGATCTGGAAAATCCAGCCGTCAGAACACACAGTCAAACCAACCCAATAGATGGAAAAAAACTCGGCCATACCTCCTCCCCCGACATACTGAGCTTGATGTTATCTACACCAAGTGCAATATGCTCCCGAATGACCTCACGCATCTCCTCCGGACCATCCGCGAAAGCGGAAATGGAGGCGACCAAGTCCCCGCCCCGCCGGCACATCTCCTTACCGTTGGCCAGATACCGGGGTCCCGGGATGTCACCCGCGTTGATGGCGTTTCGGATGACGACGTCGAGGCGCTTCTTGGCCGAGGCAGCGCCAAAAGCCATAGTGTAGCCAGAGTCCAAAAAGCATTGGGCACTTCGCATGGTGAGCAGGACATGTTCTTCGACGTCAAGCTCGCCGAGTCTGGCGAGATCGGTGCCTTTTCGCAACATGAATCAGATTTGCGGAGTCCTTGGAGAAGTAAGAATATACGCATACCGTTCCAGGTGAAATGAGCGTGAGCATCGCCCAAGCCCGACATGAGTGTCCGACCACGGCCGCTGAACACGCGAACCCGAGCGTCTTTGATATGATCTTCTTTGTTTGCAACATGCCCTACCTCTACTATGCGCTCGCCTTTGGTACAAAGTTAGCAATTCGAGCCATCTATGACATAACTTGCACGTACCCTCAATCAGGACATCGCCACGGTATGGCTCACGGCCGGTCGAATCAAGAATGTTGACATCAGTGAACAGGATCTTTGATTCGGGATGAGTTCCCTGAATCTCATATTTTTCAGGTTGCAAATGAGACGGAAAGTTCAAAGAGTTTATCGGGTCGATGTTTCGAGGTCGTCCAGAAGACGGTGTTGGTTTCGGCTGCACCTGTGTTGGCCACGAAACTGACGGTTCCTGTGCAACTGAAGGGGCCATGATGGATGTGTGATATATGGAACTGGATATCTGAACTGCGCACTATATAAAGTCAAAATATATATATCAAGCATTAGAAGCTGTATGCCATCTAAGATGCAAGGATGTAAGCCAACCACGGAGTCGTGATACAAAGCGGAGGCGTCATATACGCTTACCCGCCTTCTCCGCCTTCGCCGTCTTCTCCGCATCATCCTCTCCGCCCCCTCCCGTTGCTGATCCCTCATTCGCTTGTGTCGCCTAAAACGATTATTCATGCTTAAGCATATTCATCGTGCGGGGATTTCGACCGGGATGACCTAGTCCGGCAGTGAGCTACTTCATATGCCGCACCCCTGACGGATTTTCACTGTTATTTCTGAATACCGCTGTAATTAGTTTGAAAGATAATGAAACTGTTGAGAAGCCTGGTCTCGTCTAACTTCCTCGATTCTTTTTTGTTCCCGCATTTAGAGTAGAGTACAGCCCCCTCTCGCAGCCGATGGCTAGCGCGAAGAATAGCAGGGGTGTAGAATATAGCGTAACTATGCCCCCAGCTCTGCCTTAGAAAAATCAACATATGTAGGTATTTAAAGCTATTGTCCGTACGTATCTGTAGAATTTTTAATTCGACATTCTCGTCCGGACGATAGCGTCACCTACCCACGACATGAGGAACAAACAAATCCACGCTAGCCATCGACCGCGAGAGGGGACTGTAGACATAAAGCACTCAGATAACGGTAGTTCCGCATAGGAATAGGATCCTTTAGTAAAACAAATTTCGCAGTGTATATCAAATTCCACACAATGAAGTGAATGCTTTTAATACAAGAAGCGCTTAAAGACTAAAAAAAAAAAGAATGAGTTAATGCCTTCTAAAATCATTTGCACAAATTCGGACCTGTGCAGCACAAGACAAACGTTCGGCCACCGACCACCTCAGAACTGCGACAGCACTTGTCTATCTCAGCGTCACAGCCCCTCCCATGAAACCACACTCATCCATGTTCTTACCCCACACGCACAACCAACAACTCGGCTCTGCCATCACATGTGCAACTCTCGGCCCGGTCCGGCCATCGGCCCGAGCTCACGCCGCACGCCATCAAAAAATTTCTTCCCACCACTTCTTCTCCCGCACCAACACAAGTGGCAATCAAAACATCAAAAAGCAAAAAGAAATGATGATGAGGACGAGACTCGAACTCGCGCGGGTTGCCCCACCAGGAAACTTGTTAAGCTAACACCTTAACCTGGCGCCATAACCAACTCGGCCACCTCACCAATTGATAGGCAATCTTGAAGTAAACTTGACGTTCACTGCGCGATGAAAGCACTTCTGCCTGTGGCCAATATAAACTGTGTGTTAGAGGTAAAAGGGAAGTGGTAATGGAGACATGCTACCAGCTGTCCGTTCCTTTTCAAGTTCCTACGGACCACATTGTTGTCAGTCTGGCGTAACGCATTCACGAATGCGGATGGAGGGAGGATACTGGGACTGCGCATCTCAGCCCCTGGCATCCACATACGAGATCCGAAAAGAACAAGTCTCTGAGAAGCTGTTGTCAAGGGCGAGTGAGGGAAGAATGGATGTACTGTACATAGATGGGGGGCTTTAGTGAGCTTCAATTCTAGCAAGTGATGATGGTAGAAGCATTGCAAAATGAGGGGAACACGTTGTCAAACAAGAGAGGGGGTGAGGAGGTTCGGAAGAGTGTGGGGAAAGGCATTCCGGAATGACGCAATAATGTTCCAGAACCCGGAGGCTTGTATGACTTGCACAACCCTCTTGAACCCAAGCTGTTTTATGCTTGTTCGTCCGACGGACTCAATTACACTTTCTAACCTCGCTGTTACCAAGTCGAACCGCCTCTTTACGAATATTGTTATGTTTATAGCGTGCTTGTTGTAGATGCTAGCGTAAATTACCACGAAAGAATACTTGCCATTTTCGCAATAGAGATGCATATACGATCAGTCACCTCACGACACTCGATGGTGAGAAGGGAGGAAAGGTTGGATTGGTAGGGTTTCTAGAGGGGGATTGGAGCCGAAAGCCAGCGCAAAGCATAGCAAGGCCATAGAATGGAGGACAACTGTTTTCCAGCAATATTTTTTAAACATACGTGGATGAACAGCTGTATGTCCGCCGCGACAGCTGGCATATGACGTGGAGTGTACCCCGCCCTGCAGACATGAGTGGAATGCAAAATTACGCTACCTTTGGCTACAATGCCCCTCTGTAGTTCGGAAAATAGTAAAACTTACTTGGATTTACACCGTGGCTCAAGTAGCAAGTGCAGCATACATAAAACGATACAACGACGTTCTATCACTCAATACACAACACGGTCAGGGCAGTCTAACAGTACTTTCTATCCCGCAAGCTTTCATGTCAGAATGAAGACAGTACAAAACAGTAACTGTGACACAATACATGAAAAAGAAACGTGAAACCCCACACACGAATTTTGTCAACCTACACCGTTTCCCATTCCCCCTACTATCTCGGATGGATACCGTGATACAGAAAGAAGAGAAATAATACACTTGCCACACGGCCTCGAAAAGAAAAAAAAGAAAAAATCAGCATACGTAAGTCCCCACCTCCCCCATTCGATGCATAGGCTCCAACCACCAGAAAACCTATCACATCGCCACGGGCAAGTCAAATTCCGAATTGAAGTCGAAAGAAAAAAAAATTTGGAACGCTACAACGCAAAGATGAAGGAAAGTAAAAAGATTGCTGACCCTCTCTCGCTCTCCCTTTCTAGCATTCACCAGCAGCAGCAACAGAAGGACCCCACGTCATGTCATGATGCCAATTCAGCTAATCGTTTCTTGACTCATGGGACATCTCTCATTCGCTGTGTTTTGATGATGGGGGTTTCTGTTTTACGGCGGGGGGTATAAGTCGGTCATGACTACTTTTTGCTGACGCAAAAAAGGACTCTTTTTCCTTTTTCCTTCTTCCTTTCTCTCGTCTTTTTTATTCAATTTCAGATCAGACCATCCCCTGTTTTTCACAATTCCGTCCTCGTAGCCGTAAATTCCCAGAGCATCTTGACGAGGTTGTCCGGAAGAGTGTAGAGATCCACGTGGAACTCGCCGTCTACCGAGTATTACGATTAGTGTCGCCAATTCTGGTAGGGGGGAAAAGCATCGATGAACAACTTACTCTCTACGTCATTCTTCGTGTATGTCTCTGAGGTCTTGTTGTCGTGGACCATCTGGACGACCTGGAGTAGATCGTCTTCGCCGAGGCGCTGGAGACCGTCTGCCAGCTTTTCCATGTCGACCTGTTGTGATTTAACCGCGATTAGATATCTTCCAAATGAGCCGCGCAATGACGGCCTTGATGAGAGCCCGAAGACCTACAGCCTTGTCCTTCTTCTTCTTGGAGTTGGGGAGAGAACTCCTGCTCCTGGCACCATTCTCTTCGCCAGGGACAGGGCCGGATTCCTTGAGGAGCTGGATGAGCTCGGGCTTGGGGTTCTTGAACGTGATCCAGTGCTTGGCTTCGTAGCGCTCGCTCTGGAAGTTCAAGTCGTGGTCGAGAGTGTGGTCACCGCCCTTGCCAGCCGCGGTCAGGACGATCTGCATCTCGAACTCACCCCAGCCCTCCTCATCGAGGCGGAACGGGGGCTTCTTGACGGCTGTGAGAGAAAAAAGTGAGATCAGTAGATCCATCTCGACTTATACCTGATGCGAACTCAAAACCATGGAAACTAACCCTGAATGGCCCTCTTCTCGAACGACGGGTGAAGACGGTACGTCGCCTTCTCGAAGGCCGTCGCAGGGACCTCCTCGCCGTTCTCGTTCAGCAGCCAGATCTCAATGCTCCACGCGCGCATCGGGAAGCCCTCCATCACCTGAGGCTTGTCCCTGTAGAGAAGCACCTAGTGTCAGCGAAAGCCCAACCTACCATCTTATAAGGATGTTTATATCAGAGCCTCCTGCCTATCATGTACTCCGTCTCCGCGTCGAGCCAAGTTGTGCTTTTGCCTCTGCGTGCTCCTTTATGCGCAATATCCGGCAGCGATACGACGAAGCGCGTGCGCGCGGAGCGGCTCAACAGCCACCGTGGCGTCTGTGGACCACACTCGCAGCCCGTTCTATTATCTCTCAACCTCCACAAGCGCGCACGCTGCGAGACCGCATTTAAGATAACGCCGCAAAAAGACATCACTGTGGCGTAGGAGTGACGACGGAGACGGATAGCGGCTGCCCGAGAAGCGGAGACGGAGGACTGGCGGAGGCAAGAGCTCCGGCTTGTTCGGGCGACGACGCGCATGCGAGACTTACGTGACGTGTTGCTCGGTGACGAGCTTGACCTGGCGTTTGATCTGCGCGTCTCTCGTCAGAAGCCGTACCGGCACATGCCCTGGAGTGCGCTGGCTCATCTTCCTCATCGCGTAGTGAAGCGAAAGCTCGAGCAAGGAGCCTGCGACTAGGAAATGGTACTTACATCAGGCATGGTTGCTACTGTTCAACAAGAGAAAGCTTGGTGGGTGTTCGGGTTGAGTTGCGAAAGCTCTCGTGGTGCCGAGGTCTTCCTGGCCGTCGTTTCTGCGGCACGGCTGGGTTTGGCCGTGGTGAGTGCACGCGGGAAGATGTGCGGGTGGAGGAAGGTCGGTGAGGAAAGTGTCCGAAGCGCGGGCGGGTGGTGAGGCTCGGCGGGTGTGGAGGTGTGCCTTGGTCGCGCCGGAGCAAGCCAACGACGCGCGAAAACGGCCTCCGCGCGTAGCTGAGGCGGACGTGGATCGACGACGCGCTGCGGAAACGGCTGGATTGAGTTCGGTGGTGGCAGGCCGTTTGGAAAGTGGGAGCGCACCGTGCTTGAGCAGCGGCAGCGGAGGTTGCAGCAGGCGCGCAGGATCGAGTTCGAGACCAATGCGCGGTGTCGGGGCGGCTGGCCAGGTCTCGTGGTGGGGTGTGGTTGCGCTGTGACGGCGGGTGAGCAGCAGCAGCACAGCGAACGAGCTTTCAGACACGCACAAAAAGCCGATCACTTTGAAGCACGCGCCAAAGATCGCTAGCTATGGGCAAGGCACGGCACGCACGCAAGCACTGCGCCCAGCTTTCTCACGAATGCTTCTGCGTCGGTTGCATCACAAACAACACTCAGCTCGTCAATGCTTGCCAGCTCAACCCTCCCGAGCGCTCAGGCCCAACGACAAAAAAAAAAGTAAAGTAGAGCACGCGTCTGGTTTCACAACATTATGGCGTCGCTCGCATGCATCGCCGTTTGTCCAATCTCATGTCTTGGCTCTAGTGGTGGTTAACTACATGGAAAACCGGATGACTTTCTCTATCTACTTTCCCTCAATGCGCGCGGGCGGGGCCGTGCCATACCAAGATTCCCTTTCCTTTTCCGGCAACGAATGTTATTAAAAGACATGGTCGCCAGTTTCATCGCGCGCAATGAATACTCGGGCTTGGGGCTGTTGTGTTCGTGACAAGCAAACGGGCTGGGGAAAGGCTTGGGGGACGGGGGCCGTTGATAATGATGTTGAGGAGGAGGGGATGATCTAGCCTTAGGCTACTACTGCCCGAGCCGCCATGTGGTCGTAAAGGGTGTGCGTGATGATTTTGAATGGGGGTACTATTGGGGGCATTATGGGTGTTCGTTCATATGTGCACTTTCTCCTCCCTCCGAAATCTACTCCTTGGCGAAGAGGGCCTCGTTCTCCTGCTGCGCCTTGATGAAGGCCTCCTTGAAGAGGTTGGCATCTGCAATCTTGGTTAACTCGTGGCTCGAGCTCTTAAAAGTCTGCGCGCGGGTACTTACTCTCGCTGTTGGCGAAGCGGATCGCGAGCGTCTGAGCCTCGGGCTCGCCTTCGCTGACATCCGCGGCGGCATTCCAGACCCAGCTGCGGTCGCTGCCGACGTTGGGCGACAGCTTCATGTCGGGGACGACTGCGAATCCATGTCAGCAACCATTCTTCCTTAGCCTGACTGAGACACATACCGTAGTGGTTGGCGCAGACCTTGAGGGTCTTGTCACGCCTCATGACCAGGCGAGTCTTGCCGTTCTCCTTGTGCTTCAGCAGGCGGACGTCTCCAGTGCCGCGCTCCTTCCACTCCCTCGACTCGCGGTCGAACTTGAAGAGCTTGGCGCGCATCTTGAAGACCTGCTCCTCCAGCTCCTCGTTGGTCTTGGTCTCGACCTTCTCCGTCAGGTGGACGACGGGCTTGAACTCAACGTCGGGCTCGTGGTTCTCGGGCTCCTCGTCCTGTACAGCCGCCCAACCTCGTCAGCTCTGCACGCGCGCGGGCAGCGTCGTGAATGAAAAACTTACGTCATCAGCCTTCTTGGCCTTGGAAGAGCCGGACGGCTCGTTGACATCGTCCTCCTCTTCCTTCTTCTCCTTCTTGGGGCCGCCGCCGAACATGGAAAAGACGGCAGAGGTGGTGGCGGACGCAGCGTCGGCGACCTTGCCGGTGACGCCAGAGCCCTCGGCGGCCTTCTCGTCGGTCGCGCCGGCGGTCACCTTCTCAGTCTCGTCCTTCGCGAGCTGCGGCTCGAGGCCAGCCTTCGCCTCCTCGGCGGGGTCGAGCTTGGTAGCAGACGGCTCAGCCATTTTTAGCGGTGGTCAGATGGAGTGCTGTTTGTGGATGCGCGATCGCGAAAAGTCAATAATGGCGTGGTTGCGGGGAGCGCAAGCGTAGACAGGCTGCGGCGCACAGAGTTGAAATGTGGGAGAAGTGGTGGTTTGCAAGATGAGAGGACCCCTCGTTAGCCAGCCAGCAAAACATTGCCTTGGCACGCTTGCCCGCGTTCCACGTGACTTTGCGATAAGATTGGACTGCCGCGATTCATGCCCGAGGCGCGTGCGAATGTGGGCCTTTTTTTTCGCCTTGCGCGCATCCCATCTATTCTCTGATGCAATCATCACGAGCACCTGCCCTGCCAATCCGCCAGGGAAGGGCCGCTGCAACCGACCGCCAGGTTGGACCCTTGTCAGCATGCAACACCACTCGACAGACCCAAAGCCTTAGTTGGCCAGGCTTGGCAAAAACTTCGAGAACAATTTGCACATTGTAAGTCATAACTATCTTTCCCATTTCCATCGTCGACGAGGGCATGCCAATCTTATCCGTTCTTCGAAACCGACTGGAAAGTATTGAGAAAAGTACCTGTTCCCCAGTCTGGCAACATCCCCTCCTGTCATTTCATGCCTGAGAAGCCATTGCAGCCAAGAGTCCTTTCCGTGAATTCCTCCCAGCGCCGAATTAAAAGAAAGCACCCAATGAATGTACGAATACTCCATATCCGATGCGCCTGCGCAAAACCACCCGCCACGGCATCGTAAGCATTCATCTACGGCTTGGCCTTCTTTCCGCAAGGCCTCTCCTTCGTCGCCCTGCCCTCTCCCTTATGCCTCTCCCCCTGCTTGTCCTGCAGCTTCTTCAGCCCCAGCCTGCGGGCGATCTTGTTGGCATTCCTACGGGCTTTGTTGACAGGCTTCACCAAATCAAGCTGCTTGGCTGCGTCAATAATGCTGTTGGCCACGTCCTTGCGCTTCTCGCGGATCTTGCTGCTCGCGGAGAGCGTCTGGTTGAATAACTGGAGCGCTTTCTGCGCGCCCGCATCGGCCGAATGGAGGATGACATCAGTTATGTTCTTGCTGGTGCCGCGGAAGGCCTGAAGTCCCTTGAACAGGACCAGAGATGTGTTTCTCGCGTTCGACTGCGCAATGGCGAGATCCGTCTTCATCACATCGGCCCAGCGGGACATCTTGAGCCAAGGAGAGCCGAATTCAACGGTGAAGTTCTGCGGCTTTATCTTTGGCCTGGACTCGGTGCAGATCGTAACGTTGAGAGTACCATAGGCATCCTTGGGTTCAACGCTCACAGCATGGACACCCTCCACGAGTTGCTCGGCTGTGAAGGGAACGTTTTCCAAACCGCGCTGGACACGGATGACGAGCTTCGGCGCTTTCCACAACGAGGCCAGGCTCTTGGGTGGAGTCAAGACGAAGTGGCGGTCGCCAACAACTCGCAATTTGAAGTCTCCAGAGTCATTTGCTCTGGGCGAAAATGGATGTTCGACTACGCTGACTGACTTGGTAGTGGCGTCCTTGGACGAGTCTTTATCAGAGCGAGATGTGGCATCTGAAGCTGCCGTTGCATTGGGGTCGAGCTCGCGTTGTATTACCGAGACGTCTGTCTTTGCACCGGTGAAGGCCTGAAGAGCCGAGTTCAATGCGGCGTCTTGTTCGGCCTTCTGAACGGCGTTGTTCTGGGCCGCTCCCGGGAAGGTTACGCCTCCGAATAGCATTGCGACAATTGAACTGGCGAGCAGTCCAGCGACAAGAAGAGCCAACCGTGGTTGGGTCTGCACAATATTCCGGACGTGGTCCGCAGACTCCTTGAGCCATGCCTTCATTCCATTCTTCTTCGTCTCTTCAGTCTCATCTTCCCTATCAATCTTGTCTCCATCAGAACCCACCCCAATGCATGCGAGGTGACGGCTGAGCTGAGTGTCATCAAGGCTAAGGAAATTGTTCAGGTCAATGGGCACAACACCAATCTCCTCTTCGCCTGATTTGACGCAGATCCTCAGTGATTTGCTGTTCGGGGCGAAACTGTAATATCCGCCGACAGGGCTCGAAAGAGAAACGCTAATAATCGGGACGCCCCTATCAGCCATGATATCCCGCAGGTTCATCAGGCTCTCGTCCTCCAAGCGAATGAGATCCATGGGCTGGTTGCACATGATGACCAGGTTCGGAAGAGTGGTGGGAATGCTATCGGCGAACATGTCTGAGCTCTGGTCATCCTGGTTGAAGATCTCTTTGACCACGACATCGCTACCGAAAGAAGACATGCGGATGCCCGTGGCACAAGTCTTGGACGACCGGGACTCAGGCTGTCCAACCTTCAGAGCTGCAGCCAACTTGTCGGTTATCAGATGCTCAGGGCTCTTGGTATCGTTGGGCATCGAGAACGGAAAGCCAGCGAAGAGTATCCGGAAAGGACCAGTCCACTTCAGGGTTTCTTTCGCGACCGAATACTTGAGTTCGTCCATGGACGCCCCCGACATACCCGTCCACTGCGAATCGTAAGAACGGACGATGGGCTGGATCATGTGGATACAGTCCTTGTCGACGATCTCTTGTGGCTTCTCGGTTATGGTCGAGGCATCTGGGGTGCGAATATCAGGTCGGGTGGTGATTCCAGAGTCGGAAGGCTGAAAGACTGGCTCGGGTGTCTCGTGCTCATCGTCGGATGGCGCCTCCTCCTCGTCGCCATTGACGCTGCGAGTTTCCTCTAGGTTCGAGTTGACAAGAGCGAAACTCCCCGAGGAGACAGTCTCAGCGCCATCGTCGTCGGACGGGACGAGGACACCCGAAGAGTCCATGAAATCGTAAGTATCCTCGTGTGCCGCCATTTTGTCTTTCACGAACTCCACCGAGTCCGTTGTGTTGGTAGAGGGGAGGGGGCAGTTGCGGCTCTGCTTTGTGCTTTGTGAGGCGGCTTGCCGGGGAGGGGGTCTGTAGCTCGCAACTCGGTCGTTGGCCGTGAGGTTCTCGGGCGAGATGTCGCGGCTTAGCGGTGGCGAAGGCGGCGAAGCGTCTGAGTGCGGTGAGTAGGTGCTATCTTCTGTGCGTGGCAGGCGAAGGTCCATGTTGGGCAGGTAGGCGGCAGGCGAGGGAAGAGCTCCCGAGGCCACGACGGTTGACGCAGCGAATGACGACAGACGGCCCTGCAAGCCCCTGGGCGCGGTGGACTCTTAAAGAACGCAAGGAAATTAAGAAACAGCGCGGCGTGCGAAAAGGGTCTTGTGCAAACGAGGAAGCCTGCTTACTTGGAGGGGAGTGACCCGTGGTTTGTAGGAGGTAGCTGCCTGAAGCACGTAGGGTCTAGTTCACACCGGGGCGAGCTCGCGGGGGAACGGCTGATCACGAGTAGGAAGGAAACGGCTGCGTTGCGGGCGGGCGAGCCGCGCTTGAAAGGTGAAAGACGGCGTCCGCTGCAGCGAATGCAGCCAGACAACTTGAGGGGTTTGCGAGTACCTGCACGTTGGTGTACAGAGTTGCAGAAGAGCTAGGTGCCCGGGGACGCAAGGCAACGCGCAGCGCCGTGGTCATGCTCCCGCGGCCTGGCGGGGCTTATCGCTTATCGCTGAGTCCGCGCCTCCTAACTGATCCGCTGTGCCGCTCAGAGTCACATGCACGTCCCTTTCCGGCGTCATTTCGAATACCGTACGTTGTAGATTAATTTACACTCTTCATGCCTTGACCAGCGTGGAAAATCGCACATAAACCAACCTGCCGCCCGTGACCGCTTCATGCACTTCGTCTCCTTCGTTGCAACGAGGCCAACAACAAGAAACGCGCTGCGCCCTTCGCTCTGAGCCAACAGACTTGCAGACCCAAACCCTTGCCTGGAAAAGGTATATTATGCCGCAAAGAAGAACCCGACATGAACTTGCACTGTGATAACGCCGTCGATCCCATATCCCCCTGCCTGCAGAGCCGCATCTACGGGCTTGACCAGCCGCCTGCGACGTCCACCCACTCCGCCAGACAGCTTCCCTGCTTGCCTTCAACATCAACAATGTCCGTATCGCATTTACATCTGCATCCCACTCCGTTCTCCTTCGGCGGGTCCGGCGTGGCCCAGTACTCGTCCTCCTCCAAGCGCTTCTTCTCGTCCAGCGTCGTCATCTCGAGGTATGGAATGTGATCGAGTTGGCGTGCGGGTGCGTTTGCGGGACAGTGCTGAATCGTTGTGTGCCGGTAGCCAAAGTCGCGGAAGTAGTGGATATCACCAGGGCCGAGCAGAGCACCCGCCGCGAGAGAGTGGATAGGTGCGTCTCCCCACTGGAAACAGTTAGCGGACCGTCCGCGTGCGTTGCCACGGGATCAACTTACTCGTTCCATCCAAAATCCTCCGCTACGGTCCATCATCTCGAAAAAGTCATTGTACTCCTTGCTCCGGAACCAGTCGAGTCTAGCGATTTCAAAGTTGCTCCAGAAATGACACATGTTGTACGATTCGCCCTCCATTGCCTCAGGGTCAATCTCGGGAAGAGCGCCAGAGGCAGGGTCGGTGTTGAGGATCTCCTCCGGAAGCGGCTTCTTGTACTTGGGGTCCTCCTTGGGTGGCTCTTCCGGCTCTTCCTTGGGCTCGGGCTTTTCCACAAACATCTCCCACAGGCCCTTCGATTTCAGGTTGTTCTTGCGCTTGTAAGCCGACGCGTAGCGGAAAATGTTGGGCACCGTCTCCCTCAGTTCCTTGACGGCGATGGTAAAGCCGTACGTCTTGTTGTTGCGTTCCATGTGAATGAAGGGGTCGCTAGTGAAAGTCAGTCTCCCGTGACCATAACACGCAGCGGAATGAACGACGTACTAGGTGATATCGCAAAAGTACTTGATCTCGGGCTCGAGGCGCCAGTACCAGGTGTACTTCTGGAGCAGCTCATGCTTGTAGAAGAACCTGCCAGATGATGTCAGAGAATGCATTTCACAATCCTTGCTGCAGGGGAACCATACCCAGAGTAGAAACGGCACATGTGATGATAGCTCTCCATGCCACCGTACATGATAGCCTGGTCACCCTGCTTCGAAATGCCTTCCTTCGCAACATCCTTATCAACCCAGTCCGGGAAACCCCACATTGAGTCGTCGATCTTGCCCCACTCGACCGGAGCGCTGGTGTAGTTCAAGACTGTCTCCTTGAAAGTCTGGTTGAAATCGCCATCGTTCAGGAAGACATAGGGGTAGTGGAACCACCTGTTGAAGTGCCTCTCGATGGACTTGATTGACTGTATCACGCCGTCCAATTCCTTATTCCGCGCCAAGACAACGAACGCCGCGTTTGCCTTTTCATGATCCTCAGGCCTCTTCGGGGGTTCTAAGCAGCCGGGGAAGAAGACTTTGTCGTACTTTTCGTTGATTTTCCTGCAGCAACCCACCACGTCAGAAATTGTGACAGACCAGGGGACATGTGCAAGAGAACAAACCTGATAGACGGAGGAGCACCTGCCGGCACCAGCAACTTCCCTGGCGACGAGGGATGCCGCACAAAAATGATGATTATTAGGATTATGACGATGGTGGGGAAGAGGACGACGAGACCCAGGGGTATCGAGATGGAGGAGTTGCCTTTGAGGCGTATGCGGCGTCGGAGGAAAGCCAGGCGCGGCGATAGTCGGTCAATCTTGGACTCCTCGCCGTCCAGCGGAGCGGCGGGGCGCGCTGCCGGTATGCGCTTCTTGAGGCTTTGCAAGAACGACATGTGTGCGACTGGTGGAGCGAGCGCGGAGCGGGAGAGAAGCTACTGCGATTGCTGCTGCGGGCTCTGTTCGCCGCTCCCGAGCCTGACGGCGGCCTCGAGCTCGGCGAGCCTTGCGTCCGGGGGGTGGGTGCACGATGCAGAGGCCCGGGCCCGCAAAGAGGTCGTGCGAAGCTCTGGCGAGGGCGGGTGAGTCGAGGACGGAGTGCTATCGCGCCGCGTGCGAAGATTCCCGGGAGAGCGAAACGAACGGCTGGAGAGCGGTCGGAAACTCCAAAGCCAGCGCCGCCGCGCAAAAAATTGCAGCGCGGAGGATCGCGCGGGCAGAGAGAAGGGGTCGGGGGCCTCGACCTGGGATCTCGTGTTGTTGTCGCGGTAGAGGTTTTGGCGTGCAGGTAATTGGCGGAGAGGGAGGATTGAGTGCGGCAGGAGGCCAAGAGGAGCACGCTGACAGCTAGAACGCTCCTGCTCCGCGACAGGGATTCGGGATTCGCAACGCCGGGGCTGCACGAGTCGGCGCAGGAGAGTCTGGGTCCGGGAATGCAGCGGCGAGGGTGCAGCACTACTGAGTGCAGGCTGAGTTTGTTTCTTCACGTCGGGGCGCGGGTGGCTGGCAATTGGCAGCTTACGACACCTCGCGGTGATTGATGGACTGCGGCTAAAACGCGTTAGCAGCCCCTTGCCCTTGAAGCGGTTTCGCTGCCGCTCCGCTGCAAGCCTGGGTTCGCGCTGGTGGCTCACGCCCAGAGAAAAGTGCCGGTCCTAGGTGCGCTGCGCACGCCGCTCGAAACCGAAAGCTGTCCTATTCTCCGTCCTCGCCCCAGACACTCGGCGCACGGCGCCCAGCCTCTAGCCAACCCGCGCAACCAGACCTCGCCAATCTTCGCCCTCCTCCTGTCACCCGCTGCCACCGCTCTCCCTCAAATTTCCCCTTGCGCCCTATCGCCACGTGACGCGACCCGACGGACGACGGGTCCCAAGGAACTCTTCTGCCCCTAAGAATAGCGTCGCGCCACGACATTCTCTGCTTCTCGGGGAAGAGGCCGCACGTCAGAGAAAACAATAATCTTTGCCGTGCGACGCTTGTGACGGGCAGCCTGGACCACACGTAATCCACTAAACGATGGCATTCAATGCTAAGAACCTCAGCTATGGTAATCTATCTCCGCCAAACCATTTAATGTAGCATCCGTGCCTAGAACCTGCAATTCTGATTTTTTTTTTTTTGGAACGCCCTTGTTCCTTCCCCATTCTTCCATCCCGCACATGGCTCGTCTGACTAGCCTTGCACAAAAACGAGCTGACGCCCTCTGGCAGACCGTAAGGAGCCTGCTTTCTTGCGCCGTATGAAGGGCGACTTGAGCGCTGGCCGCGATACTGACCGCCACGAGCGGCCCATTGCACGACCTAAGCGCGCGAAGCGTGACGATGAGGAAGATGACGGGCCCACGTATGTGATCGAAGAGAGCAACGACACGCTCACCAAGGCCGAATACGAGGCTTTGGTCAATGGTGGTACCGAGACTGCCAATGACACCTCAGATGTGGCCAAGGAAAAAGACGGTGATGAGGCTGTCGTTGAGCAAACAAAGCCAAAGCAACAAGTTGCCTCTGTGGGTGGTGCTTCGAAAAAGAGAAAGGCTGTAAAGATTGGTAGCGATGCCGACGAAGAAGAGGGCGATGAAGCCAGAGCAACTGAGAAGTCAGGAAAAACGGAGGATCCGCATAAGAAAGACATCAAGCCCAAGAAACCCAAGAAAAAGACAAAGGCCGTGAAGCTTTCCTTTGGCGATGAAGAGTAAAGGAAGACTTGATTAAGCATTGGATTACAGTGGCTCAGAGGCGGGTAATGCATCATCACAAAGTAACCTCGATGTTGCATGAACACCAGAGGCTGGCATTGCTAGCACCTCATGCAGTTCACATCTACCGGCCGAACGTGCCGCGTTATTGAGAGCATGGGCGTCCTCCAACATATCCCATTCACCACGAAGGGCACGAGGACAGAAAACGCGGGCAGAATATCTTTACATTGAATGCATTTTGCATCTTATGCCTTTTACAGAGCCGCATGAAGCTCTCAAGTGGGAATGCAACCGAATTTAGCGCCGGGTGAGCGCTTACACCGGACAGGCCGAAGTAGTCAGCATGGGAATGGAACGTATTATCGCAGAGTATCTTAGATAATTATCTCTCAGGGCCGACCGTAATCATGCTGATAGGCATTTGAACGTGACTCGTGCATGCTTAATCTTCCTACAATCTAACGGGGAATTGTGGACTTCATTCTGTAAACGTGTGGAGGGTGGTATCTACGCAAAGTGATGGTATATAGACAAGGGAAAAGATGCACAGCAGAGGAAGTAGAAAGGGAAAGACAGCAACTTCGCCTTGAACACCCATGCAAATGGCTCGTCTTGCGACAGCCGGATTTTCGTCTTTTTGATCGTCAATTACCTGCCCTCCAAAAGCGATAATGTGCAGTGCCCTACCAATGAGAGCCAGGCTCTTGAGCGGTCTCGAGCCGTCGAAACGAAGTCGGCGTTCATGCCTCGTACGCAGCAGCAACGCCAGGCGCCGGGCCCTCAAGGTCGACACGTTCGACGCTGTGCCTGATGTCGTGGCTCTCGCGGACAAGGTTACCAAAGTACTTGCGAGCGACTTCAGACTCCTCCTTGAATTTGGTCGTCTTCTCCCTCTTGACCTGCAGTTCCTCGACGCTGCGCTGGAGGCCGACGCGAAGTTCATCTGCCGGAAGCTTGAGCGCTTTGCGCACCTCTGAGCTGATACGAGAAGCATTGGCATGCGTGTAGTCGAGCAATTCGAGCTGTGCCGAGAGCTTGGTGCTGAGGCGACGCGGAAGGGACTTCGGAATAGATTGCAAGGCGTACGCAATGCCAAGTCCGACTGCAAGATGTTAGAAAATGTAAACTTTGAATGATTCGCTGCTGAAAAGAGCTTACCAGCCAGGATGAGACCAGGAACAGCCATCTTGCGAAGGCCGTTCGAACCCATGATCCTCATCGCACCCATTGCGCCATCGACCCAACTCATTCCGCCAACCACTCTGCTGCCTACGACACCAGCAACAGTCACAGCCATACTCGTGCCAGCGAACTTCTCCTGACGCTCCCACAAATTGGTCAAATCAAAGAAGTCCCATACGTCGACATCAAAGTCGACCTGCCTCGCAAGAGCGTCCCGTCTCTTACGGAACATCTTCTCGGGATGGAATGTGAGGTGAGACCAATCATCGCCTAGGTGCAAGATTCCCAAGCTGGATATTCTCCTGAAGCCAATGGTCGTCTGTTCCCTAGCGTAATCTTCGCAGCTGAAGACGCTCTCGGAGATCTCCTGTATCATGGCAGCCTTGATCTCCTCTGCATAGTCGAACGCGCTAAATAAGCCAGGGTATTCCAGCCCAAGGTCATGTTCAGCGACACGGGTAATAGTTGTCGTCACCGTGTCCCGGGTGTATTCGTAGACATCGGCGGCGGTTTCTTCGATGGTGTGATCTGCATCTTGACTGGCCTCAATCCGAGATTTCTTAGACTGCTCGTATGCTGGCTCCAGCTCCTTCAGTTCGTTGGTGACACGATCCAACTCAGCCTGCGCCATATCCCGGTTGACTGTTGCAAGATTGTTGAGATCTCCGAGAAGGTTCATGAGGTACGTTTTCGCCGGCGCCAACTTAGAGCGTGCCCTTTTTTCCAATACGAAACGCCTCAGGGCGGCCTCCAGTTCCTCGAAGTCCTGAATCTTTTCCTTCTCCTTTCCTTTGCCCTTGGGGTCGCCTTTGTCGTCATCGTCAGGATCTCCTCCAGGGCCGCCATCACCAGAGCCCGAGCCAGATCCACCAGTCATCTCTAGAGGAGCTACAGGAATGGCCTTGCTGGTGACGAAATGCACAAGCTCAGAAGACTCCTTGAAAGTGGCCGGGCTCATCTTAGCAACCTGCTTCAGAATCTGGTCCTGGCAACGCTTCTTGTCCCGGATATTGTCAAAGCCGTTCACAACCATAAACATGTACGCCTTCTCCCTGGCTGCATTGAAGATAAACTCCTTTGCAGATAGCGTAAAGTGATTGGCTGCAGAGACGACGAAGACGACGACATCGATCTCTTCCTGGCGGGCAAAGACTGCAGTGGTCTTCAAGGAATCGGCATTGAGACCAGGGGCGTCGATAAGGGCAATGTCCACCACTCCGTTGTTCAGAAGCGACTCGTCGACTGAGCGGATGTCCTTGACGTAGATCTTGCAAGAGGCGTAACGGTCGTTCTCCAACACAATATCCTCGAGCTGTGGAATAGTGTAGACGTCATAAGTCGCCTCATTGTCACGGTTGTAGACGGATCCAATCGGAATTGCGTGCACCTCTTCGATGCCGCCGTTTTCTCTCGAATCCAAGACCTCGCAGAAGATGCTCGTGCAGGGCTGCTGATCTTCGGGCAGGATCTTCCTACGCAGCAAAGCATTGCAGAATGTGGACTTGCCAGCGTTAAGATCACCAGTGACCAGGACCTTACTGGAAGTGTCCTCGATGCGCTCCCGGAGAGAGAACAGGTGACGAATGCTCTTGTTGATCTGGCCGTCAAGCAACTGGGCAATGGCTCCTTTCTCCAGGGAATGGACTAATTCGGTTTGCGACAAAGCACCCATCTTGAGATCAATCTTCAGGACGGAAAAGTCCTGGGCCAACTGTGGCGTGACCAGGCGCGGCTCCTGGACAGGTCTCTGCGTTGCCGCCGAACTTGCTTCGGCCGTCGTCGAGCTCTCTCCCAGCGACGTACCAGCGCGCCTAAGAGGCGTAGGCCGGTTCGGCGAGTCCTGCTCCACACCCCGGTGGTTGTCCCAGGTCGACTGAGTGTGTTGAATCCCAGGACGCGGTTCCGAGTGGCCATTAGCTGGGGTAGGAGCGTCTGAGCGCTGGACCTGGGGATAGTGCGCTGGCCATTGCATGTTCATCGACTGGAGCTTCTTCAATGTCTCTACGGTCCGGCCGATGGAGCGAGCTAGAGCCGACCTATTTTGGTTATAGAACAGCTGATGGATATGGCTGGCAAGGGTGCGCCGCTCGTGCTCGGACGCAGAATTGGATTCGCCGGGCAATACAGGAGTGTGACTGGGGGTCGGACGGTCCTCAGTAATGCCGGGATGCCACCCAGAACGCGCGCTGGTGCCGTCGGCAATGCTACCGCCGTAGCCGGAATCATCATCGAGCATGGCGGCGAGGCGACTGGCACTCTCTGAGACTGAGCCGGTGCCGACAGTCATGTACGAAGGGCGGCGTGACGTGGAGGGCGAAAGGTAGGATTCGGGGTGGCGGCCGCGCGGGTTGCCGGAAGGCGACGCATAGCCGCTGCCGGAGGGGTTGCTGGGATCCATCACGAGCTTAGGGATAGTGTTCGGTCGTGGTTGTGCATGTCGCGAAGCGTGGGAGCGCTGCGCGTTGAGGAGGAAGAGTTGTGGTGTGGTAACGAGAGTCAAAGTTCGACCAGAAATGCGACCGCGCCAAGCTCCGTCGCTCGGACCACCAGCGCGGGCGGATGTCATCACCTGCAGCTCCCACCTCTCCTCCCCCACCCTGCCGCCTGCACAAGTGCTGCATCCCGCGAAAGACGTTTCCAAAAAAAGCTTCCGCCCACGACGCTCTGCAAACCGTTGCAACCGTATCGCCGCCATGAATGTTTGTCGCCCTCCGTCCGCGCCATTTGCCCGCGCTATCGGCGTCGTCCAGGCACTGACCGCGCCATGTAGATCGTGGAATGGGCCTTTGGCAAGCGCATGACGCCGCAGGAGCGGCTGCGCAAACACCAACGGGCCCTCGAGAAGACGCAGCGTGAGCTCGACCGTGAGCGCGTCAAGCTGGAAAACCAAGAGAAGAAGCTGGTGGCAGACATCAAAAAGAGCGCCAAGAATGGTCAAATGGGCCCTCTGCGCATCCAGGCAAAGGACTTAGTGAGGACAAGGAGGTACAGACTGCTTCAGGCTATGAGAGAGGACTGGTATTTACTGACACGGCCTCCCTAGGTATATCCAGAAGTTCTACCAAATGCGCACTCAACTACAGGCGATATCACTGCGGATACAAGTACGTTCAGCAGCGCTATGCTCGTCGCACCAGATACTTATCCATATTGCAGACGGTCCGCAGCAACGAGCAAATGATGCAGTCTATGAAGGGCGCAACGGTTCTGCTGGGCAGCATGAACAGGCAGATGAACCTCCCTGCACTTCAGAGAATAGCGATGGAATTCGAGAAGGAGAACGACATCATGGACCAGAGGCAAGAGATGATGGACGATGCCATCGACGATGTCACCGGGCTGGAGGATGAGGAGGAGGGCGAAGAGGTCGTGCAACAGGTCTTGGACGAGATTGGTGTGGACCTAGGACAAGCGGTATGTCTCTTCGAAGGATGTTGTTTTGCAGCTGCTAACACCGCATTCAGCTTGGCGAGACGCCGACGGGCCTACAGAAATCGGGCGTCGCTGAAGGCAAGGTAGCACAGGCTGTCGGCGGAGGTGACCCAGATGACGACGATCTGCAAGCACGACTCGACAGCCTGCGACGATGATTTGGAACAGAGCAGCGCGCGCCGGCAGTCATCTGTCGGGCGCAGACGCCGCAGGCTCGGGGGCATGCGTGTAACCTACGCGTCTCGGACCGGGCGAATTTTTAATCCCCGTCGGGATGCCGGATGAGCAGCAAGTGATCAGGCGTTCGGGCGCAGACATGGCCACCCCGGACGAGCCCCTTCGAGGAAGGCGACATTTCTACAAGCGACCGCATTAGGTCTCAGAAGCCGAAGTCTCATACCCTTTTTGTTGTTTATGGTGTGTGGGTCGTCTAGGATGCAGACAGGGCGCGCAGGCGTGGGGACGGTTTTGCGTAGAGGGCGTTCCAGCACATTTGCAGCCAGAAATAGTAGACATAATTGCGCAACGCGAACTGCCGCGTATCAGAAGAGCGCCAGGCGTGCGCTGTGCGTGTGGGGCTGTCCGACCACGGCAGGCCGGGCACAAACGCCGTGACGGGCTGCAGCAACGGCGTCGGTCGTGTGCTCGCGCAGCACTCGCTGGAGTGGCTGCACGCGCCCGGGTCTGGCTGCGCGCTGGCTTGAGACTGTGTCTGGGGCATGTAGTCTTTATGAGGCGAGAATGCACGCGAACAGCGACAGCGCTTTGATTGTGCCTCGCTACGTCATGCAGAGCAACTCCGGCGCTGCCGCTCTCTAGTTTAGGTACGGGGTCGCTCTCTCGAGAGCGCGTCGCGCCCAGCTCCACCGGTCCGCAAGGTCCTGCTCCAGACACCTAGCAGCATCTACGCAAGCCCGCAAGGACGTCGCGCGGCGTCATTGATCCGCCCCCGCTCGTCCACCTCCTCCTGCCGCCCGCCGCGACCTTTGCTGCGCCCGCAAGCACTGCCTGCGCGCCCTGCCTCCTGTGCGCATCGTCTGCTTAAATCAGCCCCGCCGCGGATCAGTGGGTACTCCATCTGGAAGCCTTGTGCACAGCGTCCCCAGCCTCTCGGTTGCCGCAGCCTCAAGCCTGCGCTCACCTCTCGCACATCGCACTCACCTCACCACCGACAACCGATTCCTGTGCGGCAGCTGCCAGTGCCGCCCCCGCTGCGACGTACCCGTGGTCCCGCGCTTGAGACACCGCCCCCCCCTTCACCACCAGTCCCACGCCCAAGCGCCACTGTCCCGCGACCCCTCGATACCCGCTCGTCTCCGCGCCGTCCAGCACCAGCACACAGCCTGCTCCGACCGACGCGCTCAGTCGTGTGCGCTCACAGCATCCAATCTGGCAGGCGGCAAGCGGAGGAGCTTTTCCAGCCAGGGAGGCCTGTTGAACAGGATGTTCGGCAGCTCTTCCGCGCCTGGAAAGGACATCAAGGAAGACGAGGCGGCTGTCGATGCCAATGCCCCCAATGATGCGCGTAAGGCGCCCCCCATCGACATCCCCAGCGATGCCAACACCGCCGGCGAGAAACGCACCAGCACTGCGGGCAGCCCTTCCAACGGCAAGCCGAGCGAGGATGCCGGCCAGAACATTGAGAAAAAGCGACGGAGCAGCGGTGTCTCACGCGCGAGGGACATGCTCAACAGCGCGAAGCAATCGCTGCATCTGCAGAGCTCGTCGCCCACCTCGTCCAATATCGAAAAAGCCGCGCAAACCCCAATCCAGAAGCTGAGCAAGACTGATCCGGCGCTGGGCGTGCCTCAAGGGTCGCAGAACAACTCCGCTGGCGACTCGCTACCCGGCCCGCACTCGACTTTCCGCGTGGGTGTCACGGAGGACAAGAACAAGAAATGCCGGAGAACCATGGAAGACACCCATGCATACCTCTACAACTTCCTGAGCACGCCGCAGCCTTCGCTCGATCACTCGAAGCGCAAGGGCTCTAGCTCCACGCAGGATTCCAAGCCAAGCCTGTCTGACATCTCAGAACAGCCGGTGCTGGAAACGGACAATGGCTATTTCGCCATCTTCGACGGTCACGCGGGCACTTTCGCAGCGGACTGGTGTGGAAAGAAGCTGCATTTGCTTCTCGAAGACGCTATTCGGAGGCAGCCCAACACGCCGATCCCCGAGCTGCTGGATCAGACCTTCACTAGCGTCGATCAGCAATTGGAAAAACTGCCCCTGAAGAACAGCGGCTGCACGGCTGTCATTGCCGTGTTGAGGTGGGAGGACAGGGTACCGAATTCCAATTCGGCCACCGGCTCGACGTCAATCGCACCGCTGGCCGCCGCTGCATCTTCTCGGGCCACGCAAGAAGGAAATGCGGATGTCACCGCTGCCGCGGATCCTTCTGGAGCGAACCCAGATGCGAACCCTGCCGTTCCAGCTCCGATTGAGCCCGGTGACCCTTCTGCCACCGAGGCCAAGCTCAGAGAATACGCTACCCGCCAGCGTGTGCTGTACACGGCCAACGTTGGCGATGCTCGCATCGTCCTGTGTCGTAAAGGAAGGGCGCTCCGCCTGTCATACGATCACAAAGGCAGTGACGAGAACGAAGGCAGACGCATCGCAAACGCCGGAGGACTGATTCTGAATAACCGCGTGAATGGCGTCTTGGCCGTCACCCGCGCCCTCGGCGATGCGTACATGAAGGACCTGGTAACCGGACATCCTTACACAACAGAGACTGTCATTCAGCCCGACCAGGATGAGTTTATTATCCTGGCTTGCGATGGTGTAAGTAAACTTTCTTCCTCTGCTGAGAAATACATGTCAGCTGACAAATCATGAAGCTCTGGGATGTTTGCTCTGACCAAGAAGCGGTGGATCTGGTCCGCAACGTCAAAGACCCGCAAGCAGCATCCAAGACGCTCGTCGACCACGCTCTCTCGAGGTTTTCGACCGACAACCTCTCCTGCATGATTGTTCGCTTCGACAATGAGGCTTTGCTAGCAAGACAAAACGACTCGTCGATTGGCGTGGATGGAGACGCTCTCCACAAGAAAGGAGGCGTGAGCGAGACGGAATCGATTGTTGGGCAGGTAAAGAAGAATCTTGGCGATGTCAGCGAGACAGACTTAGAGCGAGTCAGCGGCGAGATGATCTTGGAGGAAGAAGAGGCAGATGCGGGCCCTGAACTCAACCCAGAGGCGCTGAAGGCAGCGAGGAAGGACAACAAGAAGGACAAGGAACAGGAATAATCGTTTCGGCATTGTGCTCGGCAAAGTCGGGTTCGAGATGTGCCGTGGCACGAGCCTCAAGTAACATGCTTCCGAGGATAGGACTTTGCTTTGCATGGGTTGTGGACAGTGAGCGTTCGAGGCAGAGGGCCTGGCTTGCTTGCATGAAGCCTGCTGGCGTTCACATGTGACGCGATTGCAGATGTATCACGTAGCTGCTACATTCGCTTTTCATCTTTCCTTTCTTTCTTGCAGATTAGGACACAGCGGCAGTCTAGTTCGAAATGTGCTTTTTCAAGTCAGATGCTGGCGCGCGTGGGACCCATGGGTGAAGCGGCCGCAGAGCCCTGGTTAAGCTCGCAACACGCGCATGAACGTTCCACACCATTGGGTGCTTGGCTTTTACAACTGACGGATGCTTGGCCCAGCAACATCAAGCGATTGGGTGCCAGTGCGCTCGCAATAAACGGAGCGCAGTCGCATGCACGTGATTGCAGAGTGATTGCGGAGGATACCCCCCCGTCGCAGATCGTTGCCAACCCCACAACTGGTGGGCCCGCGACCTCACCACCGTAACTTTCTATCGTGACCTTCCCTTTCGCTCCGCCACCCCGCGACCTTTGCCTGCAGCTCCAACCCCTCCTTCGTGCACCTCTCCATGTGGCTGAGTCCCCGCAGTCGCCGCCATGTCCGCCGGAGCAGAGGCTGCGGAATCCGCGAGGGCGTCTTCGCCCAGCGCTGCCACTGAGCAGCTCCCCCCGGCTCCCAACGGCCCCGCCTTTGTCACTCCCGCCTCATACCTGCGCCCTCCGCCTGCGTCACGCCCTTCGCCAGCTTCCAATGTGCTCACCCCCATCGACAAGGAGCAGCTTGCGGCTCTGGTAAGTCAGGCAGCGACACCCGGCTGCGTTGCGGCGCAGGCGGTGAAGCCAGGGAACAAAGCTAACTCTGGACCTTGAACTCTCCTCCAGCGCGCGATTCGGGCCTTCCTCAAAGTTCGAACGAGTTATGATGTCCTCCCTCTTAGTTTTCGTCTGATCATCTTCGACACTTCTTTGCTCGTTAAGAAGAGCCTGAACATCCTGATCCAAAATGGTGCGCTACATGCACCCTCAGACACGGTGGACAGGATGCTGATAGTTTCTTCCAGGAATCGTGTCTGCCCCACTGTGGGATTCCAAAACCTCTACCTTCGCCGGCCTGCTCACGACGTCCGACTACATCAATGTCATCCAATACTACTGGCACAATCCTGACGCGCTGGCACAGATAGACCAGTTCCGACTGAACAACCTGCGTGGTAGGTTGATGTGTGAACGTGCGGACTATACTATACGGGAACTAATACAGTGATAGACATTGAAAAGGCACTCGGGGTTACTCCCATCGAGACCGTGTCGATTCACCCGGAAAAACCGCTCTACGAGGCATGCCGTCGGATGCTGGAGTCTCGAGCGAGGAGGATCCCCCTCGTCGACATTGACGACGAGACGCAGCGCCACATGGTCGTCAGCGTCGTGACCCAGTATCGCATCCTGAAGTTCATTGCGGTCAACGTCAAGGAAACGGAGAACCTGAAGAAACCCCTGAAGGAAATCAACGTGGGGTCGTACGAAAATTTGGCAACTGCTTCCATGGATACCCCTGTCATGGACGTCATTCATATGTTGGTTCGGAAGAGCATCTCAAGCGTTCCAATTCTAGATAGAGAAGGTAAGCAGCACACGGATGCATGCCCTCTCATGAGCAAAACTGATCGGTATAGGCGTCGTTATCAACGTTTTCGAGGCAGTTGATGTCATTACGCTCATCAAGGGCGGTGTGTATGACGACCTGAACCTCACCGTCGGCGAGGCGCTGCTCAAGCGCAACGATGTAAGCTCGGTCTCTTCACATATAGCATCGTGGTTGCTGACAAGTCCAGGACTTTGCCGGGATTTACACATGCTCCATGTTCGATCGTCTGGACACCATCTTCGACACGATCCGCAAGTCTCGTGTCCATCGCCTGGTGGTTATTGACGAGAATAATCGCCTGAAGGGCGTGCTGACTTTGAGCGACATTCTGGAATATGTGCTCCTGGAGGGCGAAGGGGACGAGGCCCCCGCGTAAAATCCATAAGACGAGCACCGTCAACTCAGGCCCAAGCTCCCCTGCCTTAATACGTACAGCAAAATTTGCAGGCGGGGCGGGCAGCGTTTGTTTTCGGGGTAATTGTTTTCAAGAGGATATGATTAGGTGTAATGCGATACGGGCAAGGAGGAGATGCATATAACTGGGTTGGCTAGAGGCGTTTGCTGAGCATGTACTTCGGAACGGTCTCCTGCTTTTACAACGGAGTTACAAGGAATCGGGCTTTGCAACGACCAAAGGATTCTTGCCTGCCGATGCTGCAGGTGGTGTAAGCCTTTCGGTACGTTTTTATTCGCCTCCAAACTTTGATGCGACATGCCAAACTTGGACACCGGGTCAACGAAGCACTATGGAGGACAAGCAGCGTCTCAAGCCTGGCTGCATCTCGTATTTGAGGAGTTTTTGGGCCAACGAAAAGCGCACGATCTGTACGCCACGAAGGAACATCCTTCTCGTCCGCTTATGAAGTCGCCATCGCATGGGCTAACGGGTGTCCGCGGTGCCGCGCACGACGCCAGCTGTTTGACCGTTGTCCTACTCAGGCAGGTAGTTCTCCCGAGCCGTGAGGATCCGCCAGCCGATGAGATGGTTGTTCAGCCCGCGATTGGCCAAGGCAACCGTCTGCTGCATCCCTGCGCGAAGGAATGCTGTCTGTATGACGTTTTGTCGCACTGAATGGTCAGAAGACGGGTCGTAAGCTTTTGGCTTCTGCAAGGCGAGCATCGATGTTCTAAATTGGCCCGCTGTCTCGAGGTTGTGGCCCAGCGAAAAGCGACGGGCGAATTCGCTTGACAGGAGGACTACAAGTGGCCAAGTCTCGACATAATCTACCATGCCTGCAGCGCATTTGCGGTGTGGCACAGGCGGAATGGTGTCAGTCGTACGTACCACGCGACCGGGTAAATAAAAGTGAAAAATAAGCAAAGCTGACGCGCAGGTTGTGTGTGAGTGGGTGGACAAGAGGAAGGCTTCTGGAAGGCCGAAATCAAGAATTGGCTAAGCCCAGCTAAGCCTAAGAGCCAAATGCTTTTACCACAGGCAGGCAGTTGCACCGACGCTACCCCCAGCCTTCGCGGAGGCTCGTTCGAGACCACCCCCGAGTCAGTCGCCTAACCCATCGCCATATTCCGCCTCCGCCCCCAGGCCCTGGGCGCTGGGGCCTCTTCGCAAGTTTCCGTTGGCAGTTTTGTTCTGTCCGCCGCCCGGCGTGAGCACGCGGCCTATCAAGATAGCCCACGGGCAGTTATGTCGAATTTTCCCGCCTGAGGGTGGACATGGCGTGATGAGCGTGGGTAGCATCTGTGGCGAACATAATCTCCATCCCCTCACCAGCGAGTTCTAAGAAAACGCGTAGTGTAGACAAGTAGCACGACACCAGCCGCGCCGACCAGCAATGACCTGCAGCTCCGCCATCGAACTGCGGGGAAGAGTGACCAGGTGCCTCTCCGCCCCGCTGAAGGGTCTCGCACACGCGACCCCAGCTCGGTGGGTACGACATACGAACTAGAGCGTATCTGCCACTGCATCTCTTCGTCCTTCAGCCGCACCACACCACCATGCTTCCTTCAGGGCCAATCAAGCATCACACGGACCTCGCCTCGGCCGATGCCCACCTTTTCTCGCGTTGACACGGGCACGCCCGCGTGCAAAAGTGCCGAGAGAGGCGAATCTGTATCATTGGAACGCTAAAAGCTTAACGCAACGCTTGAACGCCTCCTCTATCGCGCCCACGTACACGACTACGCACGCGATATCGTTACGGTATACCATCGATACGCGGCGCTAATGGCGACAAAGACGAGATAGCAGCTTCTTGCGGCCCGTCTTGACTCTCATCATTACCCCTTCGTTCCCAATCAACGAGGGCGAGTAAGTCGATACGGGGTACGGCAAGGGTTCAAGCATTCAAGCCCACGTCGGACATGGTGGCCACTTGGATCACTGATCCGCGAGGGGTCGTCGCGGGAACAGTCTTGCTCTCTTGCAGGCGGAAGCACGCCAACGGAGTCCCCGCGACAGACTAGCCGTCTAAGGGAGGAGAGAGGTGCAAAGAGGCGCAGGGCTAGGTCTAACCGCGGCGCGGGGGTTGGGCACAAGGGCACCTTGTCGTTCCAGATCCAGGCTGCCGCTGCCGCTTGAATATGCGATTCGCGATTGGGCCTCCCGTGGCGTGCGGTACCTACCGTGCGGGAGGCCTGCATCTGGGCGCTACGGCTTGTGTTGCTTGCGTGATAACGTTCCGGCTGGATGGGATGCTGCTGGCTCCCTTGTACATTCGCTGGGGTATAAGACGGCCGGTGTCACTGTCGTTTCTGTGTTTCTCTCATTAAACTTGTATATCAAGTCTTCACCACGAGCGCTCCGCCGCCACCAACCGGGGCCTCAAGCTACCTGGACAGGGCTCGCCCTTCTTCCCCCTCTTGTTTGTCTTTTGTCCTCCAACGATCCAGCTAAGAGAGGTTCCCTTCCTTTCCTGCAATGGCTGAGAAGGACTTGTACGCCGTCGGCGTCGGCGAGAGTGAATCGCACACCCACGAGGCCCGTGACATCAAGGATGTCGTCGACGCGAAGGGTGTGGCAGTCGGCGAGGCTGCTGACATCTACGGCGATGTTCAGACCGCTGAGGAATACGGATATGTCCACAGAGGGTCAGTAGTCAAGTGCTTTCAGTGCACATCACTTCTCCATTCCAGTCTTCATCACCATCCCTCGGTTCAGCTTCATCAAGATGCCACTCAGTCTTGCTAACAGCTTTCCAGTCTGAAGTCTCGTCACATTCAGTTCATCGCCCTCGGTGGTACCATCGGTACTGGTCTCTTCCTCGGTATTGGCAAGGCTTTCGCTACGTCCGGTCCCCTTTCGGTCCTGCTTGGCTACTCGTTCACCGGTCTCGCTGTCTTCGGTATGATGAACTGTCTGGGTGAAATGACCACTTGGCTGCCCCTGCCCGGTGCGATCCCGCAATACTGCGCGCGCTACGTCGACCCGGCCCTCGGATTTGCCGTCGGATGGAACAGCTGGTATCAGGCCGCTATCACACTATGCGCTGAAATCTCCGCGGCTGCCGTGGTTATTGGGTATTGGAATGATGAGATCAGTCAGGGTGCGTGGATCACCATCATCATCGTGTTGGTGATCTGTCTCAACATCTTCGCCGTCGCCATCTACGGAGAAGCAGAGTTCATATTCGCATCGATCAAGATCATCACGATTGTCGGCCTCATCATCATGGCTCTGTGCCTGGATCTTGGTGGTGGCAACAAGCAGGGCCGTCTTGGATTCCGCTACTGGAAGGATCCTGGTGCGATGAAGGAGTACATCGGCACTGGCGACACCGGTCGCTTCCTTGGTCTCTTCGCCACCCTGGTCAACGCTGCCTTCTCGTACGGAGGTGTGGAGATGGTTGCCGTCGCTGCGGGTGAGGCCGACGACCCACGCCGCAACATCCCCAAGGCCGTTCGCCGTGTCTTCTGGCGTATCCTCTTCTTCTACGTCCTCGGCTCGCTCGCCATCGGCGTCCTTGTGCCCTCCGACGACGAGCACCTCCTTTCGGACGGACCCGGCGCCGCACGCTCGCCGTGGGTCATCGCCATCAACCGCGCGGGCGTGCCGGTGCTGCCGCACATCATCAACGCCGTGATCCTGACGTCTGCGTCGTCGTCGGCCAACGCCTTCCTGTTCACGGGCTCGCGCTACCTGTTCGGCATCGCGCAGAACCACCAGGCGCCCAAGTTCCTGCTCAAGTGCTCGCGCACGGGCGTGCCGTACTACTGCGTGGCCATCACGGCGGCTGTGTCGCTCCTGACGTACATGTCGCTGTCGTCGGGCGCCAACGAGGTCTTCTCGTGGATGATGAACTTGACGACCGTCGCCCAGCTCTTCACCTGGTGCAGCATCCTCATCGCCTACATCCGCTTCCGCCACGCCCTCGACGCCCAGGGTATCTCCCACGACCAGCTGCCCTTCCGCTCCCGCGGCCAGCCCTACGTCGCCTACGCCACCCTCGCCTACTTCGCCATCATCATCCTGTTCAACGGCTTCGCCGTCTTCACCAAGGGCAACTGGAGTATCGACGACTTCATCACCGCCTACATCGGCATCCCAATTTACTTTGGCTTGTATCTGTTCTGGAAGGTTTTCAAGCGCGAGCCCTTCGTCAAGGCGGCCGAGGCCGACCTTTGGAGCGGCAAGGCGGCCCTGGATGCCCAGATTTGGCCCGAACGCCTGCCGAGGAATGTCTGGGAGAAGATTTGGTTCTGGATTGCGTAAAATCAGTCGAGAGAGTTTGATGCCTGCTTGGAAGGGAGGCGAACGGGTCGGTGGTGGTAGTGGCCTCTTTTGTTATTCTTTTGTGATATCCTGACGCGCTCGCAGTGGGGAGGAAGAGATGGGAATGAGGAATGATATGTAGTCATGAACTCCTATGGTCATTAAATTAACGATCCTTTATGATCATTTAATTACTTCTTTTCGCTTGTGCTTTTCGCTGCTGCTCTCGCGCTGGAGTTGCTCAGATGCTGACTTTTCGCTTGCGAACCCCCTCTCTTAATTTTTTTGATGCTTACAATCTCCCGTGATAATCTTTCTGTCCCTTTTCCTTTTCCTATTTCTTCGATTTTTCGTACCATCGAGTGTAACCGTTGTCGCTTCGTGATCGATTTTCGGAAAAGGACCTCAACGAAGTGGTAATTATCCGCTCTGACGCCGGAAAAAAAGAGGCACGACGGACAACCCCTCTCAACATCCCGCCATCGCTCCGTTTCACCTGCCCTTCCTTTCGGGCGGAAAAGCGGCCGGGATGGAGGCAGGAAATCCTTCCCACGTACCTCTTGGCGCGGGGTTCGTGGGATGGAAAGGCTCAATGAGGAGGAGTTTCGGACAGCGGCCGCCGGCTATATATGTTTTTGCGTAGTAGGTTCAGGGTTGAGACGAAAAGGAAATTGCTGGCGCTGGGGGCTTCGGAGGCGGTTCGAGTAGCCGTTTTTGGATTGGGGGATGGTTAGTACAGCAAAATTCGTCGTGGAAACGTAGCGCTGTATTGAGGCTGTGCTATGAAGAAACGGAAAGGAGGGGCTTACTTGGAAGTATACGTCTAGTGTCTCGAGATAAGCTTCAAGTGGTTGGGGTTGCTTTTGTGTCATCTTGTCAATGTCCACAGGGCGGGAGCAGTTCTCACGCCATTCAATCGGTTTGCAACCATGAACACCAAAATTCATTCTATTGGTAGAGCATAGGTTATATTAGTAAGATAAATAGCAGCAGACTTTTTTGTGCTAGATGTTCCCTTGGAAGCGCATCTGCACTAATAAGGAAGAAGAAAAGAAATTCCATCGGCAGGCTGGAAATCCCGGCCGCCCACTATCAACCTCGTCCTGAGCCACCCTGTTCCAACATGAGTGATTCCAAGTCTCTTGACTCTTCTCCAATTTTGAGGCCTCAAAGAGAGACAGAATCCTTCATCGAAACCTCATCTTCCAGTCTCGTCGTGCCCTTGGCCACCGCACCACCACCACCACTCTCACCAACCTCTGCCACCTTCCCGCCGTCGGTAGCGCCGTCACCCCCCGCAGCCTCCTTGTTCATCTCCTTCTCCAGCTTCGCAGCTCCATTCTTCACCCCCACCCCAACCCCCTCTCCTCCCTCCTCCCCCTCATCCAAATTATCCCTCAAGAACCCCCCCAACCACAACAGCCTACCCCAAGCCTTGGTACCCACATCGCCCCTGATCTCGCCCAGAAACGCCTCGACCTCGTCGTCGCGCCGCCCGCCCAGCTGTTGCTGCCGGTGCTCGGCGTACATGTCGACGACCCACCGCGCCAGCCGCGCCGCCGTGCGCATCACCGGCGCCCCGTGCTGCGCGTACTCGGCCGCGCGGCGTTCGGCCTTGCGGCGGCGGGCGCGCTCGCGCTTGATCTGATCGGTGGCCGCGGCGAGGGAGCGTTGGAGGGAGTCCGGGGAAGGATCGGCGGTGGTGGTGGTGACGGGGTATGGTGTCGGGTTGCTTGGGGCGGTGGTGGTGGTGGTCTGTGGGGAGGGGAACAGGCGCGGCTTCTTGGGAGGAGGCGGAGCGTCGATGTCGATGTAGCCGTCGTCGTCGTTGTCGTAGTTCTTGCTCTCGTCGTTAGTGAGGGGACCGAGGCGCTTGAGTTTGGATGAGGAGGGTGGGGGGTTGCTGCGCTGGACTGGGTGAGATGGTGTCGGAGCTCTCTCGACGTTCTTGTTCGTCTGTTGCGAGGAAGTGAGGTGGTAGCTGTTGGAATTCGGAGTGGGAGTGAGCTTCCGGGAATCAGCCTTCATGGCGTCAGGTGTGGTTATCGTTGCCGTCATCTTCTTCTCCGGTTGGTTCTGTGCAAGAAGTAGGGTGCTACTCGCGAAAGTGACTGCGCCGAACTCGATGGCGGGCTTCTCCTTCTTTTTTTCGGAGTTGTCCTTCACGGCTCCTGTGAGATCAACTTGTTCGATGGGCCTCCCAAGCTCGTCCACGATGTCGAATGAAGCCCGTGGGTGCTTGCTGTCACTTGTAGCGTCCATCTTGATTACACAGCCACTGGTCAGATGAGAACGGTGAAGCTGTTGTGGCTTTGATAAAGCTGTATTTGTGGAGTGCTGTGGATTGCTTGAGTACTGCGGATCTGACCGAGTAGGCGTGTGTGTGGATGTTGGAAAGCATGGATCAACTGGGAGCGGAGAGAGTGCACCTTTATATACGTGCGTCTGCCCCCAACATGGTGCTTACCTGCAGTCGAAACAGGGAAGAACGGGCGGTGTTTGAGGAAGGAGGTCAACAGATCGTTACTAACAAGGAAAGTAAAGAAGTTACTGTTGAGGAATATTGTGCAATTATGGGGCTCAGAACTTTTGGCTGTCGCAGAGAGATGAATCAGTGAATAAAAACTGTGCTGCAGAAAGCGAGTAGCTCTATTTTGATATTAAGGAATGGGTGAAAGGGGATATAGACTAAAGGAACTTCTGCAAGTATAATTCCGCTGCTACTCTACAAGACTTCATAAAAAAGTGCTCATTACGCTTGAAGCTGGCTAAACATATAGAATGGTCGGGTCGAATTTCTAAGACTATGGGATGTATCTGGACATATACTTCAACCTGGGACGACGGGTTACTCGCATTGCTCCTATTGTATACTTTAACTGGCATAGACGAAATGTTCGCGGAGGGTGTAAAGTCAAAAAATAGTGCATTTTCACCAATCACATAAGCTCACGTAGTCATTTCATCATGAGTCCTGACTGCTGAGTTGTTAGAAGCCGAGCTGGATCAGGATGAAGCCTGCGACTGTGAACGCGAAGGATAGAGGGCGACTCTGGAAGAGGCTCAGGCCCTGAGTTTCCTCCAGAATGGGAAACCATCCTGTGACTGCCAAATTGGGGTGGAGCGCGTGCCGGCGGAACCTTGGCCGCTAGGGCGTGTATGTAAATTATTGTCTTTTTTCTGTCACTTCATCTCCACGTCACAAACACTACAACATTCTGCAGCAGCAGTAACAGCGACAACACACTCTCCAAGTACGGAATGCCTCAACTCTTGGAAGCTTTGAGCGGATGCTACTCATACTAACAGAGCATCGCACATGAATATGCCCGGCGACAAGCGCGTCACCTTCGCCGAGACTCACCTGGGACCGGCAGGTGAGGCGACCGGCGAGAAAGCCAAGACGGGCACCTCGCCGCCGCACCACAAGCCCTCTGCGCGCAGCTTGTCGCAGTTTCAGGATATCCTCGCCAAGACCTGTGAGGATTTCAAGAACATGAAAGTGCGCACCGAGGAGGAGCTGGCGCAGGACTTCACCGCCAACGTGGACAACAAAGAAGCGCTCAAGAAGACGTTCCACGAGGGATTGAAGCTTGGTGGCAAGAAGACGGGCCTGGCGCTGGCGGAGATGCTGCTGGTCGAATTCAAGGCGGCGGTGGACGGTGAGGTGGCTGCGTAAGTCTCAAGCACCCGCAAGGTCCTGGAGTCACTGATACACCAACAGCCAGGAAGAACGCCACGAACGCGAGCGTCGCGAGCGCCGGAAGTGATGCCCCGGCTGTCCAGATCCGCAGGTGGTCTTTGTGAAAGAGGAAAGGTACTGCTCAGAAAGGCTCGGCGGAATTGCTGTGAGGGAGTGCGCCAGAGCAACTTCGCTTTTGATAAGAGATAGTGAGAAAGGATAGGAGGCGCGGGAAATGAACCACTCGTCGCCTGGGGGCTTGTCTTGACCCACCCAGAGGTCATCAGCGAAAATGTTGTTGCACAACGTGTCTGAAAAAATGGACTTGCTAACGTCCTGAATAGGCAGGAATTGCCACCGGCGCCCAATTGTTCGAGTCTGTCTCCTTTTCTCAGCCCCGCATTGGGCAGGACCAACCGCATGATCGCCCTGGTTTCAAAGCGGAGGATTCTGGACTCGAGGCGACACGCGACCGGCGGCTACGAGCGAGCTGTGAGAGGCAAAAGCGCTTAGGATGTCCGCGGCTCAACAATTTCTCGTCGTCGTGCTGCGTTCCGGAAGAGGAACTGGCGAGCGCCGTCCAGCGGCGGGCGGCCGACGGCGCGTCGGGATTCCCCATGTGGACGGCTGAGCTGCCCCGCTGCACCCCGCAATGAGTTGCAGCCGACTGCGCCTGGCCAACCCGCGCGGGGCATGCTCACAAGCTGCGCGGAACGCCGGACCAAGCCCAGCTCAACCTCAACTGAGGTTTGTGCCCCGAGTCGCGTGCGATGGCGACTGGCTCGGATACCCTCCCGCCATTCCTTCTTAAAGGCCGCCGCGCCAGACTGCTTCTCCGTTGACACTGTCCCTCCGTTCTTCGACCGCCGCTTGCCATTTTCTACTACCCGGGCCAATTCTTCTGTTGTATACCCCTTAGCCTATCCTCTCACGTTTTGAGGCCCAATTGGTATCCTCGCGCCTTCGAGTCCGGAAAACCACAGCCATCACAATGTCCGGTATGTTGCGCTGAGTTGCCACCTCTCGCGGGAGCTCCTCCGCTTTTCCCGCTCGCGCAGTGCACACTCCACCGTTCCACACTTTTTCCCCTCCTCATCCCCTTCTGCGCCGCAGTGGCGGCCCCAACAGACCCAATTCTTTTTTGCTCCTTTCCCCTCCCCCGATCCTTTCGCCCACGCGCCCATCATCCACGCGCCCGACCTCTCCCCACTCGCCCCCAGCCTGCGCCTCCCAGCCCACCGGACCAGCGACCTTTCCCCCCGGCGCGCAACAAAAACACCATTGTGCTGACGAAAACCTGCTTTCTTCCCCCGGCGCAGCCAAGCACTTCATCCACGACCCCACGCACCTGGTCAACCGCGCGCTGCAGGCCGTGACGCACACTAACCCGGCCGTCGCGCTCGATGCGGAGAACAAGGTCATCTACGTGCGGCCCACGCCCGCCACCGCGCAGAGCGTCTCGCTCGTGTCGGGCGGCGGCGCCGGCCACGAGCCCAGCTTCGCCGCCTTCGTCGGCCGCGGCATGCTCGCCGGAGCCGTCTCCGGCACCATCTTCGCCAGTCCCAACGCGGAGCAGATCAGACGGTGCATCTTGAAGCGCGTGGAGAGGCAGAAGGGTGTTTTGGTTATCGTGATGAACTACACGGTGAGAATTCCTTGATCTTCGAGGGGAGAGAGAGAGAGGGGGGAATGCGTGGGGGCTAGGGCTGTTGCGGCTGACGTGTGGAATGATCTATGATTTTAGGGTGACGTCCTGAACTTCGGCATGGCGGTCGAGAAGGCGCGCGCTAGCGGAACCGAGGCGGAAATGGTCGTCGTTGCCGACGACGTGGGCGTGGGCCGGCAGCGCGGCGGCAAGGTGGGCCGGAGAGGCATCGCCGGGACGGTGCTGGTGCAGAAGATTGCCGGCGCGCTTGCCGCGAAGGGGTATGATCACCTGAGCCCTGCTGTTGGGGCAGTGCGGAGAGATACGGTGGGCTGACGTGCTTGAACCTTGCAGTGCCTCATTGAAGGATGTCACGGATGTGGCCCGCCTCGTCTGCCGAAACCTGGCCTCCATCGGCGCATCGCTTGCCCACGTGCATGTTCCGGGTCGCGCTGTGACCGGACCGACCGAGGAGGACCTCAAGGATTCGGAGGTTGAGATTGGCATGGGTATTCACAATGAGGCTGGTTCGGAGCGCAAAGAAGTCGACTTGCCTTCCATGGTCAAGAATATGCTGGCGAAGCTCCTGGATACGACTGATGCCGATCGAAACTTCATCCAGATCTCAGAGAACGACAAGACCGTGCTTCTGGTGAACAACCTAGGCGGCGTTAGCCCGCTCGAGCTGGGCGGCATCACGGCTGAGGTTGTCGAGCAGTTGGAGGCGAACTGGAAGATCAAGCCGGTCAGGATCCTGTCGGGCACTTTCATGACGAGTCTCAACGGTCTCGGCTTCAGTATCTCACTCCTCAAAGTCACAGACACTGGTCTGGGAAGCGGAAAGTCGATTCTTGAGCTTCTGGATGATCCTGCGGAGGCCCCCGGCTGGTCTGCTGCAATCACCACCAAGACCTGGGAGGAGAAGTCGACAGCGACTCTGAACAAGGACGCAGTTGGCGAAGAAGACGCCAAACCAAGCAACCTGGAATGTGAGTATTCGTAAAACGAGCGAAACTCATACAGCAAAGGGCTGACAACAACGCAGTGGATCCGGCTGTGGCCAAGAAGGCGCTTGAGGCTGGCCTGAAGCAAGTCATTGCGGCCGAACCGGACATCACAAACTATGACACCATTGTTGGCGACGGTGATTGTGGTATTGGTCTCCGTCGTGGTGCCGAAGGTTGGTATTTGCCTCATGTTGTGAAGAAAACGAGTGGCTAACGCGTATTCAGCCTTGCTCCACATGCTGGAATCGACCAAGACGCCCAGTGATGCAGCACTCTTGTTGCACAACATCACGCAAGTGGTTGAGAAGGAGATGGACGGCACATCTGGTGCAATCTATGCCATTTTCCTCAATGCACTATCCCACGGCCTCCGTACCCAGGCCAACGGCTCTCCCAAGCAGGTAACGGTCGAGATGTGGTCGAAAGCGTTGCAAATCTCACTCGATTCGCTGGCGAGGTACACTCCTGCCCGTCCTGGTGACCGGACTTTGGTGGACGCGCTGTATCCGTTTGTGGAGACTCTCGGAAAGTCTGGAGACGTGAAGGCAGCGGCGAAGGCGGCAGAGGAGGGCGCGAACGGAACGAAGGGCATGCACGCCTCTCTGGGAAGGTCAGTCTACATCGGAGGAAGCGGGTACCAGCAAGTTCCGGATCCTGGCGCCCATGGCTTGAGTCAATTCTTGACGGGCTTCAGCAACAGCCTGTAGGTGAGTCATACAGGTTGATTTGGGAGGGGTTCTTTTTCCGTAGCGTGTACTGCCAGCAATGATAATCATAATTTGGGTTATCCGATCGACTCTATGAACGCCGTGCCCGTGCGCTTTTTTCCAGACGCATGCCAAATAGAACCTTGAATGATCACGCGCACCTCCGTATTTTCAGGTGGCGCTTTTTAGCTGAGGAGGACCAGGATGACGGAGTCGCCACGAAGGAACCTGTACCGCAGACTGTCAGCAGGCAACCATCGAAAGTTTCAAGATCGTCCCTTCTTACATCTTGCTGATGAACCTATCCTTGTTGACAGCCCTGCCAGGCTTGCCGTTGGCAAGCTTTGGCTTCTCGGTCCACATCTCCTTGACGTTCTCCAGGACCATGTTGCAATGCCTGTCGAAGGCCTTCACACGAGCGAGGAGCTTGCGGTTGTTGCGGCACGAAATCAGGACCTGCGTGTGCGAACGCACAGCCGTCTGAAGGAGGGAAAGCGGGCCGGACGTGAATTCGTGCTCCTCGAGCTGGGCAATCTCATACTCGCTGTGTTGGGATTGTCAGCAAGTCGAAATGTTGTTGGGTGCGCGCGCGCGACGGGATGCGATCGTGAGAACGTACGTCAACTGGTCGCGGGGCTTGTTCATAAGCTCCCTGGAAATTTTGTCAGCATCAGTACTAGTGAGCGGAGATAGGCGTGTCTCGTACGAGATCTTTGCGGTGTCGGCCATGGTTGCGGTGTTGGCGTCAAGGTCGTTAGCGGAGGGTAGGTGGTAGCTCCAGACAGCCTTTGCGATGGACGACGTTCCGCCGCGGCGTCGTCTTGGCATCGATGTTGGTCACGTGGAAATCGCGTCAGCCAATCGCATCGGCCTGACGCGACCACCATGATGCATGCAGCTCTGTGGGGAGCTCTACAGACCACGAGCATCAATTGCTGTTCCAATTACTAGCTCTATTTTTGGAAGAACTTTAGGCAGCAGTGGTGAGCGTGTTTGCACGCTGTGCACAAATTCTGCAGGTGAGAGAGGCAAATATTTGAGAGGTTTCGCAGAGCCTGCGTCAAAGTCTGCGTTCATCGTGCGCGTCGCGCCAGTCGCGTTCAGACGCGAACCAACCTCTTAAAGCGTCTCACCCCGCGTCTTCACCCTTCCTCCACAACAACATCGACACCCACATTCCACGCTCGCTCGCAACTCCACCGTGGATGCCTCCAACCTCGACATACCATGTCGTCTCCCTTTACCTACGGGGAGCCGTCGCCCCTCACCATGCCCGTTGTTGCCGGCGACGACGATGACGACCCGACCTCCGATATTCCTCGGCGTTTGATGAGAGGTGAGGCATGGACGTGATCCGTTTGACCGTCGAAGCTGACGGCCTACGTTCGCTCAACAGTCAAGGTCCTCTACACTTTTGATGACTCGCACAAAACGTGTTGTCTTGCGCGTCTGCCCAACGCGTTGAACATCCCGACCGTCCCTATTGATGAGGAGAATCAGGTGGGTGTCATTGAGCTTCGGACATGTATCGAAGCCATTGTAGCAGCAAGGTATGTGTCCATCACGTCACCCAGCCACGAATGCGTCCGTTAATCGCGTCGTGCAGCCCCGAGCTCGTAGCCAAGCTTGGCCACGACTACACCGTGTACGCGTACGACTACTCCGAATACGAAACTCCACTCGTCGGACAGGGAATGCTCTCATGGATCCTCGCCACCTCCTCGCCTACCCCCAATGCACCAGCAAGTTCCTCCAAGACGATGGTTACTGGCAAGGTCCGTGAAAATATTCTGGGTCTGTTCAGCGGAGGAATCAAGGAGACCTTGGAGGTCAAGCTGAAGCTCGTTCCGGTCCCCACTTTTCTTCAGAGTGAATACTTGGAAACCATGGAACGATACCGCAACATCAGTAGGGCTCTCCCTGAAGGATTTGACCATAGCCAATGGGCCGCCCTCAAGTCGAATCCGGAGTTCAACGCGTTCGCTGCCCAAACTGCAGTGGGATCATCCCAGTCTTCGATGGCCATGCAACGCGTCAACAGTGGTGGTGTTGAGACCCTCCACCAGCTCCTCACTCAGAAACCCGTTGAGGAAAGGCGTGGTAGCCAGGGTCACGCGCAGACATTGAGTCACAGCCGTCAAGGCAGCAGAGCTGGTAGCCGGGCAGGCAGCAGGGCTGGTAGTCCCACCCCAAGCATGCGGTCGAGCACTGCGTTGCAGCAAATCACCCAGGACCACTCCAGACCAGCTTCAAGGGGATCATATACCAGTGAGCGACCGGTTTCGCGTCACGAACCTCAGTTCGACCCTCGCATGAATCAGCAGCAAGGCCAAGAGTCTGAACAGGAGGACGGTCCGCCAAGGAAGAGGGCACGTGTGGTGCAAGCTGATTGGCGTGGCAAGTCGCAATTCGGGCCTAGGGCTGATACGCTGCGGATAACAGCAAGCACTGCTGCTTCGGTCCGTGTACACAAGCCCACTCCTATCAATCCTGCTGCTGGAGGATCTGCCAACTCACTGGAGCCACCGCCTCGGGCCCCCACCCCGATACCCCATGAGTTGCCCCAGTCGAGGAATCGCCCGTCCGTTGGAGGAGCCAGCTCTCTGCGCCGGGAGTCGTCTTCGCAGAGCATGAGGCGTTACACCTCCCCATATGCCCCGCGTGGGCCTTACTCGGAATGTGCTATTGCATCTGAGGACGAGCAAATGGCCGATGCTGAAGACTCGCCAGCAGACTTCCCTTCCTCTCCTCCTGTGTTCGGTGTGAACAATGATTCCCCGGCGGCTTCTAGTCCTGGCTTGCCAACCCTTCCCTATCCGGATGATTCTGGTTTTATGAGCGGTACTGGAATGGACCAAGACTTGGAGATGGGCATGACTGACAAACCGGAACAAGTCCACCAAACGACCGAACCTCACACCGAGCCCCCTTCTGCCGTCATCTGCTCGGATCAATGGCAGTTCGAGACTCCTGGTCCTCCCGAGCTCTTGCCGACCAACGTAGGCCGAAGGCAGCCAGATTATCGATCGCAGCGAGCGGCCGCATCGGCAAAGCGCATGACACCAGGACCCGGACCCAAGCCCGAGACCCGTGGTAGGAAGCGGAACGATTCAAAGCCTCCGCCTCCCCCACCTCCACCACCGAGAAACCTCGCCCCGGCCCCTCCCGCGCAGACACGTCCGGCCTTTATGCCGCAACACCAATCTCCCGTCGCATCGTGCCCTCCAGTGCCGCACCCTCCTCAGTCTCAGCCGCACCATCAGCCCCAGCCTTCCGTCCAACAGAAACCTGACAGCTTGCCTCAACCCGTCACCCAGCATCAGCCCACCCATCCGCCACAACCTCCAACCCAACCGTCTGCTCAATCGCAGCATCCACCTCAGGTCCAGACTCGGCCTGAGAGTGATACTCAGTCACAAGAATCCTCTAACCAGCCTCAGTCTAGCCTCCCACAACAGCAGCCTCAACAAGTGCCGCATCAATCACAACCTCAGGCTCCTCAGGCTGCGTCTCAGCCCCCTGTTGCTTCTGCCATCAGCCCTCCAGCCACGGTCACAAGCGCCTCCCCCGAGGCGCCTATGTCGGCCACTCAGCGTAGTAGCAAGCCCGCAAAGAAGAGCTCAGCGGCGCCGAAGGCAAAGAAGACGCTGCCCCGTTCCAATACCTGGTCTGCCGGCACTCCTAAGGAGTCTCAAGCTGACGAGCCGGTTGTGACGTACACCGAGTCGCGGGCGGCATCGCCGGTGCCTCGCAGCGGATCTGGAGCCAAGAGGAAGAAGGCCATCGAAGACAGACTGATGCAGAGCCTGGCCGAAGGTACAATGCCAGACTTCTGCGAATGCTGTGGCGCAATTCAAACACCTACCTGGCGGAAGGCATTCTACAAGGAGATTGAGGGACGACCTGCTGGCATCGTGACGTCGTTGGATGAGCCAGGAGCCATTGTCGGCTTCGAAGTAATCCAGCCTCATCCAGATGAGGAGAACCCGGTTGAAAAATACAAGGTCTACAAGAAGAGTTTGACCAACCTGGACAAGAACAACGGAGACTTCACGAAGATGCAGCTCTGCAATCCCTGCGGCTTGCACTTCTTCAAGTACGGTAACATGCGTCCAGCTGACAGGTGGGAAGTCAAACCCAGGGCGGCCGGTGTAAAGAAGCGCAGTGGTGGAAAGCCAGCCAAGAAAAAGAAGGGCGATGAGAAGCAGACCATGCAGACATCCGACGCCATTCAAGACCTGCCGTCGCAGATGATGAGCGACTATCCCGATTACGTCATGGAGTACATGGACCACGAGCAGGGGCCAGAGCAGGAACCAAAACAAGCCGAGCAGCAACAGCAGGATCAGCCGGAGCAGAATGTATTGCAGCCTAGCGTGTCAGAGTCAGTTGACACCAGGCCTGTGGAGGCGCAGAGCAGCCATGATCGAGCGGAAGATGCCTTGAGGGATCAGCGGAGAAAGGCTGAATCGCGACAGGAGGAACAGTCTGCCAAAAGGCAGCGCGTTGAGAACGCTCAAGAACGGAGAGCTGTCAGCCTGGAGCCCCACAGGGAAGACTCGAACTCCTCGCAGGAGTCGGTCTCCGCCGCAGCTGACGTAGATCGCGCAGCATTGGCTCGTGCCATTCAGTCTAGCCCTCCGAGATTGACTGGATTCCAAGAGGGCGAGATTGAGCTTGAAGATGACTTTTCACCTAGTAAGCCGACAAGGCGCATTCTCTTCCCATCCCCTCGTAGGTCTGGGCAGTTCAAGTCGTTGGAGGATGGTCAGAGGGAAAAGGGAATTTCGCAGCCTGTCTTTGGTCAGATACCCCGTCCCCCTCGTAGCGAACCTGCTACCGATGCTCAGGATAAAGAAAACGTACCCCCGGCTGAGATGGACGACGGATTTGCCCACTTGTTCGAAGACCCCGATGGAAACCAGTTGCAGAACTGTTTCAAGTCGCCGACTCCAAGGAGCGCAAAGAGCATTCGCACCTTGCCTGATTTCCTGAAGACGCCATCCTCCAGGTCGAAGCGTGCCGCCCTTGGTACCAGAGATGACCTTCTCTCTCCAGCAAGTGCTGCTGTGAACGCCGTTGTAGACGATCTTCTGCTTCATTCCACACCCTCGAAGGCTTCAAGGACGCCGAAGGCGGTAATGTCTCCTTTCTCTCAGGCGTTCCTCAATGACATCTTCAACACGACTAAGACGCCGCGGTCTGCGGCGCGTAACGGGGCTGGCTGGGGCCTTAGCTCGCCCGATAACACTGGACTCATGGACTTCACCAACTTCGATTTCGGCATGGCGCCAAGTACAGACATTCCGTTTCCAAGTTCGCCGCCCAACTTCGGTGCAAGCTTCAACTTCTCACTGTACGAAGATCCGCTTACGTCAACGGCAAACTTTTGGGGCGGCACGTCAGTATTCAACGGCAGCAGCGACCCTGTGCAGGCAGCTCAAGCGGAGGGCGAGCAGACCAAGGAGAATGGAGCTCTCGAGAACCGTGAGATCGAATTCGAGCGCATCATTGACGAGGTCACGTCCAACGCCAATAAGAGCGGCGAAAAAGAGAGCGCAAAGAGCGCAGACACGACTGTAACGACTACGGAAAACGACTCGGAAAATACGGCCGCAGCGACTCCGGCCGGCTCTGAAGCGGCGGTGGACCTTATTCCTGTCGGTCCGTGATTGATTTTGATAAGCGGAAGCAACGATGACTTTAATTTCTTTTCTTCGGATCGAACCTTTTCATGGTGGAGAGTCACATTCTTCTGATTACCTCTTACGAGGTGGCTTTTTGTACTACTATTATTGTTTGCATAGCGTGGCGCTGGTTCTGGCTCGCGGAGCCCGGGTTGTGGGTTTAGCGGGAAAATACAGGCATGGAATGAACGACAGTGACAGGTAGAGCGACAGGCATAGACCCCAATACATATTGATCGCCGCATCTGGGTGGCACGTAGGTGCCAAAAGAAATGATCCTCCGCAATGATCTTCGAGAGCAACGGCAATTGGTAGTTGAAGCTCCTGCCCGGACGCATATGTGGAATTATTAAAGTACATCTACGTCCTGATGGTAGCTTTTACCCCAACGACCTGAGATGGATCTGAAAAGTAGTGCTTTCGGCACCCACTGTGGGTGGTCCTGTTCTACACTAGTGCACGCAGCCGAAGTTGCCGACGGGACACTGGAGCCTTGCGACGAGTGCAGGTGGTCACGGGCACACCCGGCGCGCGCCCGCGTCGACCTAAGGATCGGCGTCATCGCCGTTTACTATCCAGCTCCCTTCAGAACCTCACGGCAGACTCAACTCGTGCTTCCACAACACACTCTCCCACGTCGACTGCGGCCCTTCCCACCGCGCCGAGCGTGCTTCTGTGTCGACCAGGTGAAGACACGGGCCGAGCGCGGCAGCTCCCAAAAGTGCAGGCACGCCTGAGCCTCGCACATGCCATCGACCAGGCGCACCGCCCCGCGCCTCGCATGACTTCCTATCGCCCCGACGTCTTTCTACGTTCGCGTGCCGTCCGCGTCAACCCCCGCCTTTCTGCCCGACCACGCTGCAGTCGTTGAGCGAGCTTCTTCACCCGCCGCGCTTGCTGGCCCCCATCCCTCGCTGGCCCGCAGTCAAAGCCAGGATCCTGGGACGGCGCCTTTTTAAGGTTCCGGTTCCAAGCCCGCGTTCCGACGTCTACCAGCCGTAGGGCACTGGAACGCCGCCATCGTACAAGATCTTGCAGGTGAAGCTTCTCGCGAGGCCCAGATCTCTCTCGGCCGCGGGCGGGTTAGACACTCTGTACCGAAGAGATATCCGAATACTCGCCGCGCCACCTGTGCTCCGCGTACCACCATCCCTTCACTCAATCTACCACAGTTGGTCTGAACGACGCCCGGGGATTGCGCAGTAACCCTCCTCAACTCTGCAGACATGGCTAAAAGAAAGAGCCCTGCAGCGGATTCCCGCCCGGTCAAGAAGGCAAGAGCCACCGCTATCTTCAGAACATCTGATAGCACCACTTACTGGCACACAAAGGGCAAGGCTAAGTCCAAGTCCATGCCCACCTCTCCCAGCAGATCGAGCCGCCGCGACAGTGATGCTTCGTTGACTACTCCGCCGCGCAATGTCGCCACCCGCTCAATGACTTTGAGCAAGCGCACCAAGTTCCCGTTTCTCCAGCTACCTGCCGAATTGCGCAACCTGATCTACGAGCTCACCCTGGACTTCGAGGGTGTGGCGAGACTGCTTACAGACCACTACGAAGCTCACGTTAATGACGGCACCATCATCGAATGGCCTGACCGCGATGTTCACCCTTTGCTACTAGTGAACAAGCAGGTATCCCGGGAGTCGACGTACATTCTTCACCGGAAGACGCTTCGGCTGCCGCATTCGACTACGCCCAACAGCCTGATCACGGATGTCGCCTCTGTGAAACTGCTGGAGAACCTGCGCAAAGTCGACATTACGCGCGACGACAGCTTCGGCGAGATGCATACGTGGTGTGACTTTCTGGAGTTCTTCAGGCTGATCAGATCCGCTGTCAACGTGTGGACCAAGTCGCACAAGCTGCAGGAGCTCACCATCGTAATGAAGGGCAGGCAGGTCATGACGCATCTGGCAACATGTCCAACCCAAGGCCACTGCTACTTTCTGGAAGAAATCAAGAAAATGATGACCAGCCTTGAAGAGCTCCGTGGTATCAAGAACGTTACTTTTGGTGGTTTCCTGGAGGAATGGGCGGAGGGAGCCAAGAAGTGGATGCAGACACCGCCCGCTTATCTCCTCAAAAGCCTCACACCCGACCTGCGGAAGCGAATCTATAGCTACCTCATGGACCTCAACGATGCCAACGATGCCTTGGTCAAGGCGAGCGACACGGCTGTTGCATCGTGGAATCCACCAAAGACAATGGACGCGATAGCCCCGTCGATGACCTCGCCAAACCTCCTTCGTGTGAACCAGGTAATCACGCATGAGATTCTGGAGTACATGTACGAGAAGACCTTTACTATCAGTGCACCCCCGCCACATCATGTGCACACTTGCACGAGCGTGACGAAGTTCATCAGTCCCAATGTCCTCAAGAACATCCGTCACCTAGCGCTTGATATCGACTCGCGGGGCTCCGCCTTCATTGCAGCCGACTGGCGTATTCTCATCAAGGAGCTTGCCGAGAAGCTGAAGGCTAGTGCGGACCGCAATCTTGTGACACTGCACATCAACATCAAGGACTCGGCATGGGTCAAGGAGCAGATCAAGGCGGAGAAGAAGGCGTCATCTGGAAGGGTATCCAAGGAGAAAGAGACTGATTTCTACGGACTCAAAACACTGGGAAAGCTGACCACAAAGAGGCTGATGCACACTTGGTTGCTCAAGGTTTCGTTTGGAGAAGGCGTGAGCGATGAGGTGAAAAAGATGTTGACTGAGAAGCTGTGCGGGGGTAGGTCGAACAGGTACAACCGCGAGGGAGTCTCTTACGGACTGGATGGCCTGATCGCGGAGGATTGAGACCCGGTTCAGCATGGTGGCTTGCGAGCCCATCGAAATTTCCTCTTTCGGGCAGCATTGCTTCCAATTACGACCTTCGTCTTTCTTTCCCTTATCATCGACACAAATTTCTTATATCGGACATCGGCGTGGCTTATGGAATGGACGACGGGACAATGCCTGACGGCTCGGCAAACGAATCACGGCTCCACCCGTTTCCTTGAGCTGGCTCGGCGGCTAGCGACGGGGAAGCGACGGATGTGGAAACTTTATGAGCGGGCGGCTGGGAATTATCATGCCGGTAGCATACCAAGGCTATCCTGGCTTATCATTGGCGGGGAAAGGAAGGTGTTACAAGGGTATCTGGGTTAATGATTGGACGGGGTTTCCTGGCTGTCATTTCCTCTTTGCTTTTTCTCCTTTTCTGGGCTGTCTTTTCTTTTCTTTTTCTCCTTTACGACAGTAATCTCAACAGGGTTTCTTTGAGTCCGCGGGATTCGGAATTAGTGCACGGTACATCGGAAGGATGTTGTCTCAGTTCACTTTCTCTCTGGTCTTGCCTCTGTTGCTTTCGTCTGTTGTTTGCAATGTGAGACGCGTGGCGCGTGATGGGGGGCCGGGAGATGCTTCCCAATCGCCACGAGTCTCCGTTTTCCCCACGCCGCTCGCAGCCCTCGCCGTTTCTAGATGCCCTTATTTCCGGTTGTAGCGAGATTGGTTGACCGTCGGTCGAATGCATGGATCGGATAGTCTTTAGCCGCGCGCCGTGCAACAAGAACATGGGAGTTTTGTTACCGCATTTCGTACTACTTCCAACCGATCATATCTTTAGCGTTCGTGTTGACCTTCCTTGTCTTTGTTTTGTTGTATTTACTCGGGTATACGAGTAGGGAGTGAGCTTTATGTTTGACGAGGACATGTTCATGCGTGTATAATTACGGGCTTGGAGCACGTTGTCACGGTTGAAATGAAGGGAACACGAGAGTTAGAATGCAGGTGGAAGAGAGGTAGAGAGTACGTGAAGCAGCGAAGGGGGATGGATGCACGGTTCTTTTCTTAATGTCAACACACTTCTTCTCGTCTCTCACTTGCTCTCCATCTTTGTCTTGTCATGGGCAAAATTCTACACACACACGCCCGAACGATAGCTTCAGCTACCCACATACGTTTTTTTTTTTCTGAGGCTGGAGCACAGTTACACTTGGGGCCTTACTGTTCTCCACACTGGCGGCTGCGATGCCCCTCTGTGTAGGGGGGCATCGTAGCCGAAGGCTAGCGAATTTGTTTTCCGCCCATGTCGTGAGCAGTCAGCTATCATCCGGATGTAAGTGGAGCATTCACAATTGTACATTCACATCTAGACGATAGCTTCAAAGGCCCACATGCCTTGTTTTCTATCTCTAAAAAAAATCAGCTGAGGCATAATTACCCCAGATTCGAGGGTCCTTTTATTCATCGCGCTAGTCTTTGGCTGCAACACCACTCTCTATGTCACTAGTGGCTAGAGTAGTAAGGTTTAATGGCTTTCTGCTGTGCTATGGGACCTCAATAGCGCGCTTGAGACACGCATGCTGTGTAACCCGAAGCCTCTCTGGTTTAAAGGAGACTTTAATGCAAAAAAAAAAAAAAAAACAGGCAGTACTCGCATAAAAGCACTAATGAAGCCATCGTAATGCAAAGATGATATTGGGTGTGGCTTTGGCGCATAAACGCGCAGTACACCGAATTTCCAATTTTGAATCTTTACGTCTTTCGAAGCTGAACTTGCGTTCGAGCTCCCCCCCTAAGATTGACGAGCCCAGTGATCTTTCCAGATCTCTGGCAGCAGGCGTCTCCTCCAGTGCGCAGTGCATACTTTCAGATATTGAAGAAGTCGTCATCGAACGTTGTATCGCCACCGCCAGTGCTACCACCCGCGCCTCCCATGTCGAAATCGGTGTAGTTGAATAGGTCATCGAACGTGGAGTCACCCTGGCCGAACATATCGTTGAGGTCCTGACTGTCCTGCTGCTGCTGGTTCTGCTGAGCCTCGTCTTGCTTCTTCTGCTCCTCTTCTTCCTTCTTTTTCTTTTCCTCTTCTTCCTTCTTCTTCTTTTCTTCTTCTTCTCGCTTCTTCTTCTGTTCCTCTTCGGCAGCCTTATTCTTCTCGGCCGTGTTGTCAAGCGCGCTGAAATCGATCTCAATCGCGGCGTCCTTGTTCGTGCTGGATCCGCCAGGGCCATCGTTGGAGTCGCTGTTCGCATAGCTCTCAAGACCGGGGAGTAGTGCGAAGTCAAACTCATCATTACCGTCGCCGCCCATGGCAGTGTCACCTCCGTTGTTCTCGTTGTCGTTGCTGGCTGCGAAATCCTCGAACATGCTGTCGAAGTCGGCATTATTGTTGACACCCGCAGTGGTGGGAGTGCGGCCGAACAGGTCGTCCGTCGTAGCAGTTGCAGGCGCAGGCTGCGCTGAATCGCCAGTCGATGCTTGGGTCTGGATGGCCGGCGGCCGAGGTGGAAGATGCGTGTGCGCAGCGACGGAGGGCGCTCCCGCCGTGGACTTCGAGCTGGCGGGCGCGGCTGCCGGTGCGTCTGTCATGTCGACATCCTTCTGCTGCTTCTCTTGCTTGACGGGCACGACCGGAGGGGGTGCAGCAGCCTTCTTCTCGGCGGCAATCTTCTGTGCGGCTTCGAGGGCGCGCTCCTGCTCTGCCTTCTCGCGCTTCTCGCGCTCTTCACGCTTCACGGCGAGGTCTCGGCGCAGGACGGCTTTCGCGCGGAACTACGGGGACAACGTTATTGAAGATCAGGCCATTCATAAGGCGTGGCAGCTCACAAGCTCGTGCTCAATTTCATCAAGGCATTGGTGAAAGCGCTCGTAGCTGGCCGAGATGGAGATGTTGTTGTGCCTGGGTCCGTTGAGGCCTTGGGTCGACGGGAAGGTGAGCTTCGGGCGTTGGGGGTTTTTCATGCTATGGCCGATTTCGAGCAGCTAGACGCGTTCAGCAGTCGTCCGACCAGGGCCAATTAGGTTGCGCATCACTCACCGCGCCATTGAGCATGGCCTGCATCGACTCGAGCAGCGCACCCGCATTGTGGGGGTGTCGCACTGGCTTGTCGTCGGGCTTCTGCGTGGTCGTCGGGGCGGCGGGCTGGGCGGGCTTGGTGTCGGGCGGAGCGGCGGTCGCCATGGTGAGTGTGGAGTGCTGGAGCTCGCGGGTCGCGGGTCGCGGATTGTGGGCTGGGAATGCGCTGGGCGTCGTGTGGGCGACAGCGGGCGTGACAGGGTAGGCTGCTGGGGGCGGGCACGCGGGGCCGTGGTGAGTGAAGGCGGTGGCAGGCGGCACAGACGGGAGAGCGACGGCTCGCTCGCCGGGTCGGAGCGAAGCAGCACGGGCTTGTCGCAGGCGAGCGGCTAGGGCAGCAGGGCGGCACGGCAAAGCAGGGTCAGCGGTGCTTTGGCGGGTGCGGGCTTGCTCGAAACAGCGCAGCCCTCAGGCATGCGGCTCACAGGCGCACGTGGAGGCCCTAGACTAGGCAGTGCCCTGCTCGACGACCGAAGGTGTCGACTCCACCGGCGATCCCGCAGGCCGCGCGCCGTTGGACAGGCGGCTTGAATCAGGCGCTATTCTTAAGTTAGCGCGCGAGCGGCCCGGTGGAATTTGAGCCCTAGGCTGGGTAGCGCGCCTTCCCTCGCGGCGGCAGCGGGAGAAGCCCAAGAAGTTCTTACACCTCGCATCACTCACCCCACAGCTCGACTGCGCGCCGACAGCTCTGCACGTCGCTTGCTTGCCCAAGCGCCCCCCCCTCGTCTCTTTTCCTCTCCCCTCCATCCTCCTCTCCCTCACCCTCCCGCCCCCGCGTTCCTTGTGTCTGCCCAACGCGAAGCCGCCGTCTTTCCCTGCACGGCCTCGACGCCTCCCGTCGCCGTCCCAGCGAGTCGGTTTCCGTACCTGTACCCGCACACAACCTCGCTCGCCTCGCCCACGCACGCCCTCGCTCGCTGCGAGCGCTCCCCATCTCTGCCATCTGCATTCGCTCGACGGCATCAGTCTTTGACCCGCGTCCACGGCTCCGCCAGCCTGTAGCTCTCCGTCGTCCGCTCCGCCCAACAGCAGCTCCGTCGCGTGTCAGTCAGTACCACCAACCCCCACGCGCCAAAACAGCTCCCCCATCGCGCCCGAAGCTCGCTTGCTCATCCACTGCACCAGACTGCCATCTCGCATCTCCGCAATGTCTGACACCGCTGCGTCTGGCGCCTCGCTCCCCCCGCCTCCGGCCTCCGCTGGCGCGCCGGGCTACGACAATGGCGCCCAGGGCAACCCCCAGGCCACGCAGGGCCACATGCCGCCGCCGCCGCTTGCTCCCGTCATAATCCCTCAGAACACGAACCCCATCCCCACGGCCATCAGCTCGCCAATGTCCGGCAGCGTCATGTCGCCCACGTCCGCCGGCGGCTACGTTCGTCGCGCTGCCCCGGAGCCGAACAAGCGTGCCCTGTATGTCGGTGGCCTGGACCCTCGCATCACTGAGGATGTCTTGCGCCAGATCTTTGAGACTGCTGGTCACGTCGTGAGCGTTAAGATCATCCCGGACAAGAATGTACGTCGCCCTCTTTTTTCCTCGGCTTTGTCAGCACGCGGTCGCGTCGCATACGGGGACCTGCGCCATCCAAGCTTTGCAGCTTCTATCGATATCTGGCGGTCGACGGCGCTGTGCGAGATTGCTGCCCCGCACCGCCGTGCTGGTCCCCGCGTGCGCCGCGACGACGCCGTGTCGCTCGACAGCCCTCGCCCCCTTCACTCTGCCCCTTTTGTGTGCGCGAATATCCTCTTACAAGGCTAATGTGTGTAGAAATTTCAGTCCAAGGGCCTCAACTATGGTTTTGTCGAGTACGACGACCCTGGCACAGCTGAGCGCGCCATGCAGACCCTGAACGGCCGTCGCGTCCACCAAAGTGTAAGTCGCCTAGCCTTCCCGCTGGTACGACATCTGAGTGACACCTGTGCCAGGAAATCCGCGTCAATTGGGCCTACCAGTCGAACAACCAGCCCAAGGAGGACACGTCAAACCACTTCCACATTTTCGTCGGCGACTTGTCGAACGAGGTCAACGACGAGGTGCTCCTCCAAGCCTTCTCCGCCTTTGGCGCTGTCTCTGAGGCCCGCGTCATGTGGGACATGAAGACGGGTCGCTCTCGTGGTTACGGTTTCGTCGCTTTCCGCGAGCGCCCCGATGCTGAGAAGGCCCTGAGCTCCATGGACGGCGAGTGGCTCGGCTCGCGTGCCATCCGCTGCAACTGGGCAAACCAGAAGGGCCAGCCCTCGATTTCCCAGCAGCAGGCTATGGCTTCGATGGGCATGACGCCGACCACCCCCTACGGCCACCACCACTTCCCGACGCACGGCGTCCAGTCCTACGAGATGGTCGTCAACCAGACGCCGCAGTGGCAGACCACATGCTACGTCGGCAACCTGACTCCCTACACGACCCAGTCCGACCTTGTTCCTCTCTTCCAGAACTTCGGCTACGTTGTCGAGACTCGTTTCCAGAGCGACCGCGGTTTTGCTTTCATCAAGATGGACACGCACGAGAACGCGGCCATGGCCATCTGCCAGCTCAATGGATACAATGTTAACGGACGTCCGTTGAAGTGCAGCGTATGTTGACGACCGACCAGGATTTTTATTATCTGTTACTAACAGGATTTGCAGTGGGGCAAGGACCGTCCCCCGACTGGCCAATTCGATGGCTATTCCCCGGCGGGCGGCCCCAACTCTGCCTTCCCGCCCACGCCTAACGCCTACTTCCCGCAGTACGGTGGACCTGGTGGCCCCATGGGCTCTCCTCAGGGTACGTTTACCCCAAAGTCGGATTTAACCTTTTCCATGAGCTGACAACAGTCCAGGTCCCAGCCCCGGTGCTCAGCCTTTCGCCCAGAACCAGGGTGGCTTCGGCGGTCCTGCCATGGCTCAGCCTTACCAGCAGATGCCGGGCAGTGCTGGAGGTTTCGGCCGTGGCAACGCCGGCGCTCAGCAGTGGGCCCAACCGACTCCCGGCGGCTTCGGTCAGGTCAACAACGGCTTCCAGGGATACTCGGGCTAAGCCGCCCCGCTCACGATTCCTTGCGCAACGGCCGAGTTTTCGCGTACGTCTTCGCTTCGACTTTCGCCTCTTCACACGAGAACCTTCACGCTGTGCTTGGATAACTACCGTATGGTCGCTTTCACATTTGTAAAAATGATGGGATGCAAGCAACTTCTTCCTCCCCCTTGCGCCGGTTCATACTGTAGTTGTCCTTTATTTCTAGGAGAAGTGGGGTTTTGACGGATTCACAACAAATTGCTGCGTTCACACAAGGGTCAAGGATTGCGAGTGGATTTCTTCTGCACTCCAACAAGCATGTCGACACGGTTTCTTCATCAAATGCCGGGGTTCTTTAGTTCTGTCGTCTTTGCAATTGCTCTGCAATGATTCTTCTATTTGGAAAAAAATTGCTGGCTTCTTTTTCGTTGGTGGTGGTTCAAATCAGACAAATCATGATGTAACGTGCTCCTCTCTGCTCTTTACAGAAAATCACTTTCTTATCTACTACACATACCCCTTTGTCGCAGGTACTGGTCGCTTTCTCATTAGCTTCATCGGCGAGCGTTTCTTTTCTGAGTTTATCGGAACGATCTGCAATGGGCTTTGCTTTCAGTATCTCGTACACGTTGATATGGTTTCCTCACCAAACGCTGTTTTCCTTAAAGCTGAGATTTCATTTGCACACGTTACTGCTCGATTAGCTGCATCCTTGGTGTTCCCATGGGAGACCAGGCGCGTCTCTTCCCTTTGAAATGGCAGAGGGGCAAAGCTCTGCGGGCTGCTGGCATTACCTTTGCGTGTTGGGCACGAATCACGAGGTATGAGATGACGACATGGCCGGAAAAAGACTGCTTGTTGCATTTCTTTCTATCCACGTTTTCCAAAAAGACCTTTTTCGCGAGCGTAGTACACGCCGCTTTCTCTGCTGGTTGCGCAAGAGATTCCCACCATAGACGGCCGAGGCCTTGGTCTTTTCTTTTTTTTCTAATTGCTCTTCCTTCAAAAAGTTGGAAAAGGTGGCAAGGTCTCTCTACGGAGGGTGGAGGCTAAAAGGAAAAAGGAAAAGGAAAAGGAAAAGTTGGGATGGGTTGGGACTGAATGAATAATTGATGAGGTGTTCTACTTCCATACGTGCGTTCTTACTCGTGGAGTTTGAATCTCCGTGTCGCTCGCCCATTGTGTCATGCGCTGTGCGTATTATTGTTATCGGGGGTGCATTAATTGACGCGTCTGTGTGGACTTTGGGACTGGGCATAAACTGGTCCCAGTAATTGCGAAGCTCACGTCCCTTGCGACCGTGTCGTATAGTGGACGCTCGCATTTCTGATTCAAGCGGTCTAAATTTATGCTCGGATGCTGCCGTATAGTTTTAGGCTCGATCCACTTTGCCCAGGGTCCGATAACATCGTCATCGAGTCAACGCTGTTTGGGTCACGTGCTTTGTTCGCGATGTCATTGGCGGCCTAATCATCTCAGTGGCCCGTGCTGCGCAGCGCGACGCGTCTTTCACCACCGCGGCACCTCAATAGGCGAGGCAACAACTCGATGCCTACTGCGGCCGCCACGCTTACCCTATTTGCAACTCTCTGCGTCGCCCTCACCATATACTGTATGGTGTCTGGTCTCACCGCCCTCATTGCTCGTTTGCGCCAGCGTCCTCTCGCTCGCACTCCAGCCGCCGCCACTCCACTACCTCCGCCGCCGCGTTCGTCTTCTCGCTATCCCATTACCTATCCGGCGTACCATTCCACTTTAACGCGTCCATACTCCGCCCCCACTATGTTCAAAAAGGCCGTGGATACACACCACGCGTCCAACAAACCTTCAAAGCCCACGCTCTCTCAACAGTTGTTCCCCGGCGCAGCACCCGCAGCACCACAGCAAAGTGCAAAGCTGTCTCAGGCCGCAATCAAACCAAACACCTCTCGGCCACTCGCAACAGCAGCTGGCAACACTCACAGGACAGGCGCGGCAGTGAACTCAGGTGGAAACTTCCGTTCGGTACACAATGGTGCAGGAGGCCTGAAGCGGACATCGAGTGGCTTGATGAAGGCATTGGATTCGCAAAATGCATTCGGCGAGGAGGATTTGCCCAAGACTGGATCGCAGCAAAACCCCTATATCATAGAAGAAACAACACCGGCGAAGAAGCCGAACGCACCCGCCATGAACAAGATGCCAGTTTACTTTGACGAGAACGACTTCGACGATGACATCGACCTCGATGTCGAAGACCCCTCCACCAAGAGCACCCTCACACATCCTCCTGCGCCGCCAAAGACCACAGCTCCGCCTAAGCCGGAGCCTTTACCGAAACCTCAACCACTGCCTCACACGAATGACTACAAGTCGCGAAAACAAGAGCTCGGTCGGTCTGAGCGTGCTGACTCTGGCTACTTTTCCCAGACGACCCGAGCTGAGTCTTTCACAGAAGTTGAGCCTGCGCCGGACGCGACCCAGCAGATCCCGTGGTCCTCGTCTCCGATAGAACACGTTCAAGCGGCACCACAGGCCAACGCACTGAAGAGATTCATTTACTCTGCTCCTGATGCACCGGAAGATAGGCCTAAGCCGCCGAAGCGACGAACACTGCCTTGGGTTGAGGAAGAGAAAAGGCGTGAGGAGGCGGCGGCAGCAGCAGCAGCAAAGTATGAGAGCTCAAAAGTCCAGTCGAAAGATAGCAAGATGCTATGGAACACTTCGTCGACTGCAATTAAGCAGATGCAGAAGAATCACCGCGAGCGCGATGTAAACAAAAAATTGACGAAGACGTCTGCAACCGGTGTAAGCGGATTGATCGAGGATTCCTTGCGCAGCAAGAAGGGCAAGCTTTCGAGGGTCTTTCTCAGCGAGGAGCAGGAGCATGTCTTGAAGCTTGTTGTCAACGAGGGCAGGAGTGTTTTCTTCACTGGTTCCGCAGGTACGGGTAAATCCGTTCTCCTTCGAGAGATCATCGCAGCGCTCAAGAAGAAATATATTCGGGAGTCGGAGCGTGTCGCTGTCACCGCTTCTACCGGCCTGGCAGCCTGCAACATCGGCGGCGTGACGCTGCATAGCTTTTCCGGAATTGGCCTCGGTAACGCGCCGGTTGAGGAACTTGTCAAGAAGATCAAGCGCAATCAGAAGCACAAGCACCGGTGGATGAGAGTCAAAGTCTTGGTCATTGATGAGGTTTCCATGATTGATGGCGATCTCTTCGACAAGCTGGAGGCCATTGCGCGGAGTCTTCGGAATAACGGCCGTCCATTCGGAGGTATTCAGCTGGTCATCACTGGAGACTTCTTCCAGCTGCCGCCTGTGCCGGAGAAGAACAAGGTCGCGAAGTTTGCGTTTGATGCCAATACGTGGAACACGGTTATTGAGCACACGATCGGTTTGACGCACATTTTCCGTCAGAAGGACCCAGTTTTTGCTGGCATGCTCAACGAGATGAGAGAGGGTCGTCTTTCCCAAAATTCAATCGACGCATTCAAGAAGCTGAACAGGCCCCTTGACTCGGATAGCGGATTAGACGCAACCGAGCTCTTTCCGCTTCGCCAACAGGTTGAGGAAGCAAACCGAAGACGTATGGCAGTTCTTCATGGAGATGTTCGCACTTATGAAGCCAAGGACGGCGGCACTATCCAGGACAAAGTTCAACGCGACAGGATTCTGGCCAACTGCATGGCTCCAGAAAAAATTCAGTTGAAGAAGGGCGCCCAAGTGATGCTCATCAAGAACATGGACGAGACGCTCGTGAATGGCTCACTCGGCCGCGTCATCGGCTTCATGAACGAGGCCATGTTCGACAGCTACCAGCAAAACGAAGCGCAGTACCTCGGCGTCTCGGAAGCCAACAACCCAGACGACCCGGAGGAGCGCATGCTCCTCGAGCAGCGGCGGCGCGCAAAGATCACCGATCTCCTCAACGCCGGCTCGCAGCTGTACCCGGTCGTCCGCTTCACGCTGCCTGATGGAACGCTGCGCGATCTACTCTGCCAGCGCGAGTCGTGGAAGAACGAGCTGCCGAACGGCGAGGTGGTGGCCAGCCGGTCGCAGGTGCCGCTGATCTTGGCGTGGGCGCTGAGCATCCACAAGGCGCAGGGGCAGACGCTGGAACGCGTCAAGGTCGACCTGGGCCGCGTGTTCGAGAAGGGCCAGGCGTACGTCGCGCTGTCGCGTGCAACGAGCATGGGCGGTTTGCAGGTGATGAATTTCGACCCACGCAAGGTGAACGCACACGAGAGGGTGCGGTCGTTTTACACGAGTTTGAGCAACGTACAGGCCGTGGCGGACGCGAAGAAGAAGAAGGCGAGTAGCAAAGCGGGCATGACGGCGGAAGAGTATGAGAGGAGCGTCGTGGAAGATGGCTGGGCAGACGAAGGAGGTGAGTGTGCGTATGGCGGCTTGTAAGGGTAGTGTGAATCGGGGGTTCCAAAAAAGACGAAGGGAGTTTAGCTTTGGGGGTTGCTAGGCTGGCTTAGACGTTGAGGGGAAATCTTGCTTTCTTCCTCGTGCTGAAGGAGGCGACTGCATTGCTAGGAGTTTTCTACATTTTCTCCTTCTATATCCCCCCCCTCTCTCTCAACCGGGCGTGCAGGGTTCGGCGTAGCCCTCGTGGGGTTCTTTCTACGGAGATCAAGGAGTATATCATATGGTAACTGTACTCAATGTAGAGGGTTTGGTATCTGTGCGGTCTTATGATGATGTTCGAGACTTGGTCGGCTGTGATTGGGGATAATGTTGCTCGACTACTGAAAGAGCGTTTGGTGTGTTGTTGGGCACACGCTGGTTGCCTTGCGAGGAAACGCTCGAAGTGTTGTCAGGCCAGCGTTGTTCGTTACTTGAGAAGGCGCTCAATGTATGTTGGTGTTTGAATTAGCTGTACAACCAGCACACAAACGACTGACAAAAGAATTTTCGAAAGCTTGTCACATGATTTTCAGTCTTCGCCACGCTGCTTTCGCTCCTTTTGCACTTACTTGACTTCAAAAGTAAGTGAATTCCTCCCTCTTCGATGCCCTCACACTGTCCTCAGCCTCTCAGCCTCTTACACATTCTGTAAGTTGCAAGTCATCATGATCTCCTTTCAAGCTATCTTGATCTTTCTTACTCTCCTCGTTTCGACGAGTTCTGCTGCAGCGGATTATCATGCACGGGTCGTCCGCCGGGGTGATGCGGGCACTACGTCGCTATCGGGGCACAACGCCACGTCGACCGGGGCAGCCGCAGTTGCGGCCGCCGTCTCTAACAGTTCCACTATCAGCACAAGTATTGCGAGCGCTACTGCTGCCGCCGCAACAGCTTCTTCCTGGCCTATGGATTTGGGCCCCGGAGTGAATGCAAGCGCTTCTTTGACCTTCTTCACACTCTACCAAAACATGACCCATATTTACGACGGCATGACCATCCCACTCCCAATTGTGGCCTTTTATGGGGGGTAGCTGCAAGAGTCTGAAAGATTTGAAAACAGCGAGGGATTGGGATGACAAAGCGGAGGGGTACTACTTTAGTAGCTCGGAGGCGAAAAGGGGGCAGTGCAAGGTCTGGGCGTGAGTGCTTACGCCCCTTCACTTCATCTGATTTCAAGTTCTATCCGTTGGTAAGAGGACTGTCTGGTACTGATATCTTGAAAAATCCAGGCTCCCCAAATGTACCGGCCGGGTCATGGAAGAATTGGAGGGTGGTGACGAGCCGAGGCGGTTCTGGGATGGAATGGCTGGTAGAGTGTCGAGTTTTATGTGCTGGAAATCATAGGTGAAGGGGTAGTTTGTGGACTCTGTTTGAGGTCCTGTGAGATTCTATACTTTACCTATATACTCGGGCTTAATTTGAGCTATGTTTTTGATCATGGAAATTTGTACTTCGCAGGAATGCTGGAAATGGAACCTATCTGAGCGTTGTGATCTACAGCGAGCTTCAAAATTAGAGGAGCAAACAAAAAAGTAGTAGAGCAATAAAAGTTTGCTCAGAGATGATGTGTGCAAGGCAAGAATCACGCTGTAAACCTCTGCGCAGCCACACTACGTTAACTAACCTAAATGTTTGACAAACAGTTTGCAAAATTGAAGCCACCAACTCATGTTATTGCAGAACCAACCGCTTTTAATAGTCAGACAGCTCTTCTGCCGTATTTATATACACATCGCGACTGTGCAGAGGCCTAACCTCCAAACCATCCCCCGCAGGTCTTCATCTACCTTGGAGTTGCAAAACTACCACTCTACTGCTTAGACCAATATGTTCATTTACTATTTGCTCATGCTGGTATTCGTCGTCGAAAATGTTCTGGGTACCAATTTCACGATTACAGAAACGAAAAAAGGCACGGCGATTCTCCCATCTCAAACACCACCTGCCGCTTGCCGGCCGGATCTCCCGGACAACTGTATTTGGCGCATACATCTTGCTTTGCTTACACAGCAAGATCCACTCTGGATATCGGTGGCGCCAAACAATTGCACCGATTTCCGCAGCCCTGGAGGCGAAACATTACTTCTGAAGGATGCAGTGGGATACATGTTCCCTCGCCAGTCTTTCTCAGATACCGGCGAAGCTAGCTGCATTCTCTACCCGTACGTATCTTGTCCAAGTTTACAAGGGGGTTTGATCGAATACATTCTCACTGAATTAAAGAGCGCAGGGCTGCCGTGGACCGGATCAAAGGCTCCAAGTTCTTGGCGTGAATGGATTGAATGAACGTCTTGCGAGAGGTGTGGCAAGCTTGCAATGTTTTTGGTCCTAAAAGTGAGACATGGGTGTACTGGCTCTTTCAGGCAGAGAAAATGGTCTAGTTTCTTATTTACAATGTCTATTCGGTATGAGGGCGACAGTATTACTGTTGAGAAGCTTGTTCTTTGAATTTTCCTTTGTTTAGTCAAATGTACAGCGCAATAAAGATTGATCCCACGAATTGAGAGGCATACGAATGCTTTACTTCAGCTCTCTTTCTGCAATATTGAACTGTTTTAGCAATATCTGATGGGTTTGATCAAATGTTACACACGCTTGGTTGTGTTTGCAGCATTGAAATCTGCGGGCAAGCGGATATCAGGGAAACAAAACAACACAACATCTAGCCCCCTCCGCCAACAGACAGATTCCCAAGATCTTGAACAATGTCTTTGTGTTGTTCCCACACTTCACTACATATATCTCTGGTCCCCAAATATTCCCGTCTTACCAACAATCCAGCATATCCTGGCAAACAGCAAGCATGCACCTTCTTCATGTGACCCTCTTCGCGCTTCCGCTCATTGCCTCCGCTGGCCTCGTTCGGCGACAGCCCCTCAACAAGGACACGACTTCACTCTCCAACGAAACCTCTCGGTTGACTCATGACTGTCCTCCCTACGTGGTGGCCACGACGCCGCCATATTTCAACCAGACGACTTCGAATTTCGCAGTTGCTACGCCAGAACCACCATTGAGACCGATCCAGGGGAATAGTACTACTGTCATTGCGACAGCCACTCCGGGAACAAGGAGACCATCTGGCGGAGTGCCGGATAATGGGCGGGATTACATGCCGCCAAGAAGTTGAATGGCAGCGACAGGGTGCTGGCATCTTGAAAGCGCTTTTTGACATGAGTAGAAATGAATTATCTTTTCTATTTATCTGTTATCTATTGTACACACTGACCCTTCAAATCGTGCTCTCTATTGACTCCTGAATACTGCCACTGGCTTGACTGCTTGACCGGTTTCTGGTGTCCGAAAATGGCTGTTGAGTTAACTGTTAAAGATATTTCCTGTAAATGAAAATGGCTGCCTACCGCCCGGGGCCCTTGCCTGGCCTGAGGCAAACTTCTCTCGTTGTATTTTAAAGTAAGGCCGAATATGCAAGGTCAAGTGACAGCATTCGCTTGCTTACTTGGAGTGAATGGGAACTAATGCTTGCTGTTTGAGACGTGGCTGACACCCTGGCCGGCCGGTTTGAATGTCCTCCTCAACCCAACCAACAACCTAACAACCAACATAGTACCTCACAGTCCGAAAGCTCTGGCCTAATCGCAGAACGTTTTCCGAGTTTAGAATAGTGCCAACCGTACTACTTTGGCTTATGCGGCTGAAAATAGGTGATGAATGGGGTGGCGGTGCTTTCAGGTTTGCTGCTGTTAAATTGTTTTCATCAACAATACCGACGCGCGATGTGCCAGTTCAGGAGTTCGCATGACTTACCTTTGCTTTGAACATGATACAAGGGGAAAAAACTCATGTGTATTCCCACCTCGTATATCGGATGAGGGGACCCGTCATTGGTTTCAATAGAACTTTATGCCCTCAGATATTTTTTTTCTCCGTTAATATCTACTTCGACTTCACTAAACTGTGCCAGCTCAAATGAGCCCCACTCAGTGAGATTAACACCCAAGAACTATTGATATCACTTCACCTAAACGTGAAGTACCCGTCAAAATAATGCTGTGTCGAGGTTGCTCTTTCGGCTTCAAATACCAATCATTGGCCGTAATACAATGAAACGGAGCGGCTTTTCACAAGACACGTCGTTGTCTCACGGTCGCGCTTGCCCGACGGTTGCCCAAGTCATTGATACGCTGTCGCACCTGCCCGCACTGGACCTTGCTTTCTGTGCATTGGTCCAAACATACAAGTTAGTTGCGGCAAGGCTGAAACAACAATCCAACGGTCGTGCATCAAAGCCAACAATACTTAACCACAGATCGCAAAGGAGGTAAGACTCGCTGAAACCCTCATAGGCGTTCAAAACTCACCCACCGTAGCTGAACCGCAACCATGAAGTTCAACACGGCTTCGGCGATGGCTTTCCTGCTCTACAGCGTCACTGCATATCCTTCTCCATTCTCTACATCGGCGTCACTGCAATGCCCTTCCATACCTCCGGACCCCCACGGCTGCAACGAGAGCCAAGGTCTAGGATACACCGGGCCAGAGTCGGATAAGTGGGTCGGCAGCGGATTCACTCTTCAGTACGTCGACATTGGCGCGGATCTCGCCAGCAACTGCCACAACATGCGGAACTTCAGAGGTGAAGCAGGAAAGTGCTACGACGTCAATGGCATATGGTACACTTGCCGCGAAGCCAAGGGCTACACCTTCGACGGCAGCGCGAACTGCAATGTGTGGGCGTAAGTTGAGGTTGATCATGGCTGGGGTGACAAGTGAAGCTGACTCTTCGTCACAGGACTCCCGGATGCGGTCACAACGGAACCTCACCTACGCATTTGGAGAAGACGAGTGAGCAGACATGGGGTTTCGACGCGAGCCACAAGTCTGCGATGCGGGTGCTGAGCTACAAGTGCACGTAGCCTGGGGCTGCTGGGGGTGGGGCTGCGAAGTGCTTTCCGGAAGTGACAGGTTCTCACGGAGGCTTCTACATCCTATTACTAAATCTCATTCCTATGCACTATTAACCTTGAGATACTTCCGTATTGACAGTGCCCAGTGATCTATACGTATCTTCGTCCTGCACGTACTCCCACTCCCTCAACTCCACCTTCCCCGCATCGTCCACCACAGCGTACACCCTCCCAGCCTCGGTCGCCGCGACCGACGAGTACCGCGCCACGCCTTTGAACGGATTGTTCGTGAACTTGGCGTTCGTGTACTGCCACGTCCCCTCGTCTGATATCTTGTTCAGCTTGCACATGGAGATGCCGCCGGTGTCGTCATCCGGCATCGTGTACAGGACCTGCATCCCACCGACGTTGGGGAGATCCTGGTTGTAGCCCCAGCTGAACCCGGCGATGTTGGCCGAGGGTGGAAGGCTGGGGTCGTTCGGTTTGTCGAAATGCTCTAAACGGAAAAAAAAAAGGAGAAAAGGTTATTATTTCCCTCCGACTCCCTGCGTAACTGCTTCAAAGGAGGTTGGTAGTGAGGGGGAGAGAGGACTCACTCGAGAAGGTCATTTGGTTGTTCTTGTAATGGTATTCCCACAGCACATCGTCGTTAACGAAGAACACCGAGAGCCACGGGTTTTTGGTGGTTTGGTTGTAGTCGTATATGTAGTGCGGGACGAAGGCGAGGCTCGAGTTTTGCGGCGGCTTCAACACCGTGACGTCTCTTGAAGAGCCGAGCGTGCTGTCGACCTTCGTCTTGCTTCTACCGAAGGCGTCGATGATCTGGTAATAGCCGTTGGAATCCTGGTACCATATGTCAGAATAATCCGGGTACGAAGGGTGCTGGCAGCTGTAGGAGGCTAAGTGCGTGGCGTCGGGTACGTTCGTGATCGAATCGAGGGGACCGGTGGTCCAGTCGGAGTCGTCCGGGTTCGCGGTGTGGAGCTGGCGTAGGCGCGAGGATGAATCGAGAAAGTAAAGGGTCAGGTTGGGAGTCTGGTGGTCGATTGTGGAATTTAGTTTGCAAGCGTGGAAAAACCGGCAAAAGGCTTACGTTTGAGGAGCATGCATAGTAGCTTGCAGACATGGGAGTTGGCGTCTTGAATAACTCAGAGCGGGAAATGGTGCTGTCCTTGATGTTCACCGGTGACACGGCCCACGTTTTCCCGGATGAGTTCCATGCGGATTGGTAGATGCCATCGCCAGGGGTTTGAAAAAACACAAGATGGTGCTCAACCGAGTTTTGAGTAAAGTTTACTGCTGCAAGATTCGTATTTGGAAGGAATGATGTTGTGGTCGATGTGGATGAATTGGACGAATTGGCGGCATTAGGTGTGTCGTTATTGGAACTGGCCAAGGACCCGCCCACTCCACCTCCAACAGCAGCGCCTATGACGAGGAGGAGAATTATCGCTGATAATATCCAGAAAGTACTTTTGCGCATTCCGCATATCCGTGATCGGGAAGTGTTCGAACGTCCTCCATCTTCGCCGCTCGGAGGTACTGCTTCGGGAAGGTCATCTGTATTGGCCCCGACTTGTGGTAACACATTTATGCCCTGCTCAGCTGCGCCGGGATACAGAGCCGACTTTTGTGCCTTTCGCAGCTGTTCCTGGTGGATCGCCTCGTGGTCGACTTCCAGAGTGCTGAAGGGAGCCGGGCTGGGTATTTTGTTTGTATCATTGGGTCTTTCGTTTTCATCCATGATGCGTTCCAGAAAAAAAAAGTTAAAATCGAGGCAGGGAGTCGCTAATATATGACGGGTTTCCGGGGTGCTCGGACTCGGGTGAGCTGACTTTTGGGTATGACGGGCGGCTGCGTGGTGTTACCACACCAAAACATCAGCCGCACGTGCCCCTGGCGAAGCATAATGCTGGCCGTGATGAAAGGAGTATTTGAACACACCGTTTGGGTATGCAAGTCCGATGGTGCGCTGTGGGGGCCAACAACCAGACGGACGGACCCCGTTAAATTCGTTGATCCTCTGCTTAAACGAATGCACAAGAGGACTTGGCGGCATGGGAGCCCGGTGCGGGGTAAAGCAGAAAAAAACCTCTGGAATGGAGGCGTGTAGGACAAGATCTTTTGTTTCACAGCGCTGCTGAGCTTATCTGCCAAAACCGTGCATAGTGAGAGCGAAGGCTTTTATTGAGTCCTCTTGTGGCCAGATTCTCTTCACAACGACGGTTTGAATAGCTACAGACCTCGTATTCAACAGGAATGTAACTGTAACTGTCGCTTACGTCTGGAGCTGGTAACAACGATCCTTTTGGCTGAACATGATGGATCTGCTTCACTTCTGAAGTAAGCTGGGATCTAAGACTATTAGCACAGGCTCTTTCCATCTCTCCAGTCAACAGAACTGCTCTCAGGTTTGCGAACAGTATTCTTATGGAGTATGTTTCTCAAAAGCCCGCTCAAGCTCGAGTCCGATGATCTGACCCGCACGACGACCTTCCCACACGTCTTAACGCTCACGCAGATCAAAGCGATGGCTCTCAATCGCCCTCTCCATCACCTCCCGGAACGCCTCCCTCTCCTCCATCACCTCCAACCTCAGCCCCCTCGCCTCCTCCACCCCCATCATCGGCCAGTCGTCCACCTCGTTTAGTACTTGCTGCACCAACTCCTCCGGCAACCTTCCCAACACGCCACTCCCCCGCACCTCCCCCTCCCACCACCCCTTCTGCTGCGGCGCCACATTCGCCGTCGACAGCACGCGCCGCGCCGGATCGACGAGCAGCAGAGCGACGACCTTGCGGTGGCCGGGCTTCGTCTTGTCGGCCAGTTCGAACGGCCGCACGCGGCGCTGCAGCACGTTCGGGAACGCGAGCATGCGGCCCTCGCGCATCGAGACGTCGCCAATTTCCTGCACGGCAGCGGCCCCGCCGCCGTGAGCGGCGTCGATGCCGTAGACGAATTCGATGCCGCCGCGGTCCGAGGGGGAGGTGCGCTGGTAAGGCAGGGAGCGGATGTGCTCGCGCTCGATCTTTTGCCGGAAGGAGAGGCGGCCGGCGCCGGCGCCGCTGCTGCTGCTGTCAGTGGGTGTAGTGGAGGAGTCGACGACGTTCGCGCTGTCGTAGCAGTACAGCGCCGTGGCGGCGATGTGCTCGTTCAGGTGGTGGCCCTCGATGTCCCACGGGCCGCCTTCGTAGCGCGGGCTCGACGGCGTGAGGTGGATTGCAGTGATCCTGATGATGACTTGAAGGCCTGTCGCGGCGTAGAGCGCGCGCAGGTCGGTCAAGGGCTCGGGCATGGCGGACGCGGAGTAGGCGCGCGGCGAGGGCATGTATAAGAAGCGGCTCACCATGGCGCGCTCCTGCCCGACTAGCAGCTCCTCTACCCCGGCTCGCTCGGTGGTCAGGGTCCGGTTGAAGCGAGACCATTTCGGACCGTTGGCGGATGGGACGCGTAGGTCTTCGCGGGCGGTCCAGCGCGCGTCTTCGTGCGATTTGGTGTAGCCGAGGACGAGCGACCAGAGCGGGATGGCGGCGGCGATGAGGCGTTCTAGTGCGCGGTAGAGGTCCTCGTGCTCGGCTGGGTGGAGGTTGTTGATGTAGCTCGTGATCTTCACCGAGTTGTCTTCTTCTTCGAAGTGGACGTCGCAGGGCAGCCACTGGAACTTCGTGGAGAACGTTTTGGCGTCGTGCTGGACGAAGGTTTCGGATTGGGCTTCTTGCCACGGTGGGACGTGAGTCTGTTCGCCGAAAGTGAAGCTTTGGAGAAAGTCGTTGAGGCCGATTGTGCCGTGAGGGAGAACGCGAGTGCGGCCGTACACTAATGGGAAGAGACAAGGGTCGACGAGGTTGAGAACTGTATTGTTTGAGCCAGGGTGCCAATCTTTTTGATTGTCGGGGACGTCCTCAAGCGGCTTCATTGCAGGTCTGAACTGTTGCTTCAGTTCCGATGAAACAACGGCGTCGGACTTGACTACACCTGTGTCTGTGTTCAAGATCAAAGTCATCCCCGTCTCTTCGTGCAACCCGGCCTTATGGCGGACTTCTTCTATGCACTGTGTTGTTACAGTAAGCATGAGACTGCCCATCTTCTACAGAAATGCTTACGAAGTCAAACATATCCGCAGTGAACCCCTGTCCAAATTCTTTCCACTCATTCACAGTTCGGTTGTCTCCATGGTCGTTTACAATTTCGGATTTCCATTTCTCGACGACACTCTTGTCAAACACCTTCCGGCGCCATTCGTCCTTGTCTGTAACGTCATTTATCATGGCCAGCATGTTCTTCTCCCTGACCGTGACTGCTCTGGCTTTCCAGTATCTCAAAGCATGAGGAAATGGTACACTTCCTGCAGGTACCGGAGTTGAAGAGTTTCCAACATCAGGTTGATAATTGACAGGCAGCCCAAAGCCGGGTATGCGGAGCCGCTGCTCGCCCTGGGCGGGCTCGATGGTTGATGATGGGTCAGCCGACATAGTAGTACCCCGGGAGTGCGTTGCTTGAATCTACAACAACGGAGAGGTCGTCGACAAACTACAGCAAGCGCGGTTGGTACTACGTCGGCTCGAAGGGAAAGTTGGTACAGTGTTGGTGCGGTGCTTGTACACTTTTTTTTTTTTTTTTTTGAAAATGTGGCCCGAGTTGGATAAGACCTGGAGTGAGGAAAATCAGCTTTAGTGTTTGCTGAATCTGCAGGATCTTTGGTTATGTACTCAGAGTACAAGATTTTGGGCCGTACTTTAGGCAACAGCGGGCAGAGATTGCTCCGCACGGTCGCAGCCAATGTTGGTCCCCCACAGACAAACCATAGGCTAAAATGGTGGTCTGGCCTTTAGTATCCAGGTCGCAAGTCGAGTGTAAGTATTGTATTGGATGATGTAGAAGACTTTGGTACTTCGACCTTTCATACTCAGACTTAGCAACAACGACTCCATTTAGGCGCTGTAAATTCTTACATTTATGCATTCTCGTATCCAGTTCCCTTGGTATTCGTGTTGGTTACCAAACAAATGTAGCAACAAAAAGTTATTTGTGTCACTGAATTTGTCAAGCCAGCAGCGTCAAGTGGGCGCACATCCTTCCGCCATCGTGCCCCAAAACCTATATCAAATCATTTGACTAAACTGGCTTGCTTTCGTTTCATGATATTCGTTTATAGGGATATCTAAATTCTGTAAAACAACTCAAGCAGCCGAGGGACATATAAACGGCATATCCGGGGCCTCTCTTGCACCAGGACATCCACCAACATGAAGCTACTCATGGCACTGCTCACACTTTGCGCCTCTGCAAGCGCATACCAATTACTCCCCGACCAAGAAGCCCTGATGTTCACCTGGTTCCGACTCTATTTGTATACAAAAGTTGAGGATTTCGGCTATGAAGACTATTCCGAGCCCTTTCATACCGTCATCGCGAATGCCAACGAGTGTGGAGAGATCACGCCCCAGTGGGCCAACCGGACTTTCGGAGCCGTTAGGTTCCCAAACGAGAATAGAGCCGTGTGCACAGTCTACTCGTAAGTTCTACACACTGATTGAGTTAAGAGAAAACCGAAATGCAATGAGGACCAACTTCCCAAGAGCTGACTTTTTTTTTTTTTCAGAACGCCGCGTTGCGCGAGCGGAGCTTTCACGTTGCCTCCAGGAGAAAGGACTGCTCTCAACAAGCAAGTGGCCAGCTACAGGTGCAAACTCACGGAGAAGGGACAAATTCTCACCAACTGTCAAGCCAAAACGGATTGCTGGATCAAAGATTTGCCTTCAGTTGACTTCGATGAAAATGTATCAGGGTCCGATTCATGATTGGCCATGATTATGAGATCTGTACTCCTTCATTTCTTTCAATGGCTTCTTCATTCTCTTTTGACTATGAGCAAGTAAACGCGGTCTTCTAGTGGTTCTATCTTTTTTTTAGACAGCATATAAAATGACTAAAATGCTCTGAGCTCACTTAAAAAATTATACATGCAATTGGATATGACTGGTACAAATGAAAAACATACTTACATCTTGAAAGGGTTCGATTCTCAGAAGACTAGCCAATCCTTTCAACCAGCGCGTACAAATTATGCACCCAGTTAGAATGTATTTTTTACTCTATTTCAAGTGGACCTCGAGAGAACCTCAAAAAGCTAGAGGCTGATAAACTGCTGTACGCCTGATAGCGAAGCTTGGATAGATCATTTAAGAAATAGGCTGGCGTAGCATTAATTTCATGCTCTGCGTGAAGCGCACCATCAAGCTGCGTAGTCGAGCCCTTCTCTCAGCCTGCTCTTAGAAGTCGCAGGCGCCCGCCAGCAGTGCGGCCAATTCCTCCAAGTATTTCTTATCCTCCTCGTTGAACCCTTCCAGTTCGGCACAGTCAATATCAATGATGGCGACAGTCTTTCCATTCTGGACTATCGGCACCACGATCTCGCTCTTGCTCGCGCCGTCGCAGGCAATGTGACCGGGGAACTTCTCGACGTCGGGCACAAGCTGCGTCTGCTGGGATGCCGCCGCGGCGCCGCACACGCCCCTACCGAAGCGGATGGTCTGGCAAGCAACCATGCCCTGGAAGGGGCCGAGGATCAATTGTTCCGGGGTCGAGGGATCGAGGACGTAGAAGCCGGCCCAGTTGACGGCGGACGAGGGCGCGGGAAGCGAGTGGAAGGCGTGCCAGAGGAGGGATGCGACGTTGGCCGTGTTACTGTGGTGCGCGTCGGATCAGCTCAAGTCCACCATTGGTTCCCGGTATGACGTGATCGTGGTGGTGGGAGAGTGAGCGGGAGCAGGCGCGTACCAAACCTTCAACACACGCACAATGAGCCTCTTGTCTTTCCAATTGCGTATGCGCGCAGCCTTCACGCGACACGTACCCAATTCCTCTGGCCGTCCATCAAGGCCTTTGCCTGCTCGAGGACTTGTGCGTAGACATCAGCCTTAGCCAGGCCGGCGGCGAAGGTGGAGGATTCGGCGTGGACCTTGTCGCGGAGAGATCAGTCGGCTGGATCATGCCAGTTGCCGGGCGGTTCAGTATCTTGTACCATATTGGGGAATGCGAAGAGGCGGGTGTTCGGTGAAGCAGCGCGAAAGCTCAGAGAGTGACGCGATTTTGTTAACGGCGCGTAAACTCCGAAAGCAAAGTCGTGGCCGATCATGTTAATTTGTTCTCCACGTTCGACGCCCACTCGCTCTCGCTATCGCCAGCCACACATTTTCCTGTCGCGCCGGCCCACGCACTTTGCCCCTTGATTTCGGAGACGAGACCGTCGTACTTCAAGATTTCTACCTGGCTGATCTCAATATACGGTTGCTATAAGGTAACTTTGCTACCCGAGGGACCGCTTTCTGAATTGACCAGAGTCTACGATTTCGAGATCGGGCCCAAGGAGGGAAAGAAGAAGATTTGTATTTCTCTCAAGTCAGAGGACTAGGACCCAAGCGTCCGACTCATTGGCGCCCTCGGAAACAGAATCCTGGAGCCTAACCTTTTAAAATGCCCCCGCAACCTCCTCGTCTCAAGCTTTCCGACATTCCTCTCTTTTTGCGTCCCTTTGAGCTTGTCTTTGGTCTCATCACAAGGCCACATCATCCTCCCGTCCTCATCTGGCTTTCGTTCGCTGGCTTCGTTTACGGAAACGCCGCTCTCTTCCCTCCGTCTCTGCAAATCCTCCGCGCCGTCACCAATTACACGAGAGAAGTCCCGTTGTCGAAGCGCCGGAACAGCCAACCACCCCTCCGCGTCGTCTACGGGGAGCTCTAACCTGCGTGAAAATTCGGCCTTTTCCGCTGCGCCTCGATCCTTCACACGGAATATCCCAAACAAACATGATTCAGCAATGCTGCGCCGCAGGCGAGATCCACACCGGCACTCCTTCCGGCCGTCGTGTTGACAAGATTCACGGATTAGACTGCTACATCGCATCACCACCTGCAGGCATTGAGCCAAAGGGTGTGATTGTTATCCTTCCCGACGTCTTTGGCTGGAAGCTTGTCAACACCCGCATACTCACCGACGCCTATGCCGCCAAGGGGAACTGAGTCGACGCCGTCTTCACGGCGCATCCGTCCAACATGCGCGTCCCGGCGGATGTGGAGACGGTGAGGTTGCTGCTGAGCGTCGCTGCGGCCGAGTTCGATGCGAGGTTCCCGCGGGAGCAGGTGGATGTGGCGAGGGGGATTTTGGAGCGGAAGGGCAGGGAGGACGGGGAGGGGGCGAAGCACGAGGTGGTGTGGTATGAGGGGTGTCATCACGGGTGGGCGATTAGGGGGAACAAGGAGAATGAAGTTGAGGGGAGGAAGGGGCTGGAGGCGGAGGAGCAGGCGTTGAGGTGGTTTGAGGCGCGGTTTGCGGAGGTGAGGGCTCGGTCGGTGGAGTGAGGGTGGAGGGGTTTGTAAGAGAGGTGATTAAGTGGTATCTTAAGGGAGGTTTTTGTAAGTGCAAATCAGGACCTTGATGTACCCGGGTTTGTCAGAGGGCGACGGAAGATGCATGCCCTGAAAGAGAAATTAGTCCGCTCCCTGGGACTGGTTGTTCGAGAGAGTTGCCAAAGTTTCGTGCATAAACACACTGACAATCTGCAGCAGTATGAGCCTGTGCAAAGGAAAAGTTATACTGTTGTGAGTAAAACCGCCCGGGTGAAGCGAAGCAAGAGTATGAGTGAATGTGGAGGGCTCCAAGGCAATGGACGCTGTGGTTACGAGGCGCCGAGAGCAATCATGTCACCGAGATACATGTAGAAGAGGGGGAGAACCGAAAGCGTATAGATGAAACCACGAAGAATAAGCTGCTTACCTTCTCATTTTTGCGCCTCAGGTCCCCGAGAGGGCGTCGTTCTGGGAATAGAAATTTGCAACCTCTTTAAAACCGTGAACAATACTTTAAAGCTAACAGAATCATCGACTTCTTCTATGCGTGGTCTAGCGCACAAGCTTGAGCCAATACCAAGATGGTGATGTGGAAGTGACCAATGTCCTGGGTGGGGCTGCAACCACTACGTGTCAGAGCTTACTTCAAGCGCATAAGCAATGCAGCATGATTGTGCTCAGTAATGGCGGACGCTGTGGAGAAACGACAGAACTAGCGTTGGGTAGCCGTAAGGCGCTGGACGCCCAACATCTTCCAGGCCCGTACACCACGCAAGCGTGCAAAGACCTACCTCTATCAATTAGTGGGATAAAAAGGATATTTATAAGGTGTTCAGCGGCATCTTTGGTCTCTTGTTTCCAAGCAGTCTTGCAGTGCACCGATTTAGCGCGTATACGATGAGCTGCAAAGCCAAGACCCAATTGACTGACAGGCGCATCAATGAAGCAGCGAGACGTCGGTTGTGCTCACAAGGATTTTTGGCGCTTAAAGCGTGATCCAGTAATTTACCAAACCTGCGCGTACATGTACTGTGACTTGTTGCCCGCCTCACTTATTATGCGCCTCATGGGTACCCGAACATCCAATTAGACGCTTGGTGCGCATTTGCGTTTTACGCTCATGCATCTCCAAAATCTGCCTTGCAGGTGATTCCGCAAAGAGTTTCACCCCACCTCGTCCGCATTCCCGCTGTCTGCCTCATCAGACGACATTCCGAAGAAGACATTCAGCTCAAATTGCCAGCCATTCACATTTTCTGCGGGAAATACGGTTCAAGAATTCTCATTGCGTAACTCATCTGGACCGAGTCCAATTGTTGGTACCGCAATCGACCAATCTGCACGGGGATCTCACGAGAGGTCTTCAGGCTGTTGAGCTTCAGCCTTAGGGTGTCGAAAGAATCCTCTTTTAGCCCGAAGAAGCAGCACGTTGACCTATAACAAATTGTTATTGTCAAAAGACGAAGTGCCTATGGTTTGCGATATCCGGACCGCCCTCGGACAGTTTTGAGTGCGACATGGCCGACATGCTCAAGGTGGAACATCTATCGAAGCATCATCTTGAGCATACGTTGGAATCAGGCTCTCCCACTGGATCTCCGGTAGCTTACTCTTGCCCGATGAGTAGCTTTGAGGAGGATCACAGTGATTCAGTGCGTATAGAGCCAGGCTAAGCAGGCTTTAGTACTGTGATTGACACGAAGCCTACCTTGTAGCGAGACACAGTGGGCTCCACAAAACGAGTCAAGCTTGAGAATCATCGTTCGGCTCATGGGAAAGCTCACGGGCGGGAGCAATCGGCCCAGTATGCGGCAGTAAACAAACCACCGGGAGAGCAATTCAAGACCGGGGAACTGAAGACCAGAAAGCTTGCCTGCCCCTACTACAAGCGACACCCAAGGCGAGAAGGCAGACCGGTGGCCTGTGTTCATCCAGGCTTCTCTAACGTAGCAAGGCTGAAGTGAGTAGTATCCTGTTTTGATCCCTTCGTATATGATCTGATCTTGCTACAGAGAGCATCTCTATAGGATCCACAGGCTTCCCATCGAATGTCCAAGGTGCCGGGAACAGTTCAACAGTGACCAGGAGAGAACAGACCATCTCAGTGCTCCCGAAAGATGCACGCCGCAGCCGCGGGTATCCAACATGGAAGGTTTCGACAAAGAACAGGAGCTGAAGCTGAGGACCAAGAAAAGATCCAAGGGAGAAGGCAGTGAAGAAGAAAAATGGAAGGCCGTTTTCATGATCCTCTTTCCAGAAACTTCGCCGGGTGAGGTTCCATCTGCGTGTAGGTTCTGACTTTCCCCTTTGTCTAATGATACAACCAGATCAATAAACAGAATCTGACTCACATCAAGACCTCGAGACCGACATCTCGGCGCCACCTACAGAGCGTACAGATCAAGAAGCCAAAGTATTGAATGAGTTCGAATCGTTCAGCGACAGGCATATTCGTGGGGTTGTCAAAAGGCTGAACCAAAGTTCCTCTGTAGATCCTGCCCAGACGGACAAGCAGCTTATCGAAATCCTCCGGAAATGCCAGAGCGAGCTCTTCGGATCCTTTCGCCGGTCGGAAGAATACAAAGGTATTATCGGATCAAAAGCCGGAGCGAGCTGTGTATCATCGCGCCCTCATAGTCGCGCAAGCTCGGTGTCGAAATTATCTCACGATTCTGTAGGCATTGCGGTATTTAGTTACTAAGCTTGATGAGCTTAAATCTGCTATATGGAATCATCTTCTAACACTTGTCTACGTAGGGACCTGAATTCTACGACGCCCAAGAACAGAAACCAAATTGATCACCATACGCAGCCAATATACGTCGCAAATTTGCATTTTCCAGTCCTTCCGATCATCTATTGGAAATGGTTTGACATACGTTATACCACAAATCACGCTCAAAAGTGCGGAACTTATACGTCCCATTTCTCATAACATATACGTCTCTTTGATATATCCATGTTGTATTTTCCTTTCACTTTCAGTATGCCAGACACGGCCGTCGCACTTCGCTAGTCTCTTTTCAAAATAACGTTGATCTTTTAGTCTTTACGAATCTCATTGGTTGGTCTCGAACAAAAGTACAATTTTCAATATCCTTTTTCTGCTTCTGAAATTTGAAGAATATACGTACGTGTAAGCCCGTATCAAAAGGATATTTATGACTTATTTGATACATCGATAAACTTCGATTGGTGATCTGGAAGGTGGACAAATTCAATAGCTTACGGCTGTTTGCACTTTCAGGTGGTCAAATAGGGACCCCAATCTGCTTATCTCAATTGCTTTGCACATGTGCCCTATTTCTTTGCTTCTGCTCAATACCAAAAGTCAACTCCAGTTCATTCACTCGTTCATCCAAAACGCCGACTACGCAATCTACCCGTTTTCAACTCCCGCCACCAGGTCAGCCCTCACGTATGTAATTATGTGGTTCTGTTGCTCATTTAGAGGGAGGAGCAGCAGCTTTCAATTCATTCAATTGCACTGCTCAACGGAAGATTGTTTTGATAGTTAAATTTTGTCGTCCGAAAGAATGCTTGGTTGTAAACGAAGGACGGCTGAAAATAAGGAGGAGTCTCCGAAAATGTGATTAAGATACATTGATTTTTCGAGAAGCCATTTATGCTGGGAAGCAAGCAGAACAGAGGAGCTCTTGTCAATGAGTGAGTTTTCCTGTGATTGCTCACAGTGTATTCTTTGATATATTCTCGTCATCGAAGAAGAGTAGATGAAGAGAATATATCAATGGTGTATTCAATGAAGAGGGCCATTGGGGGATTTTGATGCGAAGCAAAGAACTTAAGGTGCCAGTGGTGAAATGTCCGGAAAACTCCGATGTTGATTAACTGAACCATTCCTCGAGAGACAGGCGGACGTCCATGGCCGTGAACTCACCTTTAATCAGCCGTTGTTGTAGCCTGATCCATCGTAAAAATCGTCGTACTGACTTGCGTCATTGGGAAACCAAGCATGAAAGTCTTCGGTATCACCTGGGAGATCATTGTGTGGAGACTGCATGGGGTAATCCATCCCTACGTCATCATCTTGTGTGTGAACTCCTTCTGCTGCATTCGTCCCTTGAAAGTCCATGGAGATATGAGAGTCTCTGTAACTTCCGAAGATAGAGTTGAGGCGGATACGCAGAGAATCAACTATCCATCTTATGTCCAATACTCCATCGGGAGCCGGAGAAAACCCCTGTTGAACCTGCTGGGCAAGTTGTTGTTCCCAGTCTACAAGAGATGAGGAGATGGTTTGTTCAAGGCTGTTGATCAGCTCATCTTTCTGCTGCGTGGACATATCTTCGGCAGCATCTGAATGGTGTCAGCTTCGCATCTAACATACTGATCGTTACCCTGGCCCGACTTACTCGGTAGAGGAATGTTATCTTGGTCAGATTCATGGAACAAGACGCTCCAGATGACACGCCACTTTTGCATCTCTGTCTTGCCTCTCATTTTGTCCTGCAGGCTTCTGTTTTGATCCTCCCCGAATTTGAGGCGACATGCATCGGAGTTAACCCTGCAGCGAGGATTCATTCTCTCGTGTTGGTGCAAGTCTCTGACTTCGTGGTAGCATCGGCTACATAGCGATGGCTTGTAGTGTACGCGTCGCAAGTGTTCTCTATAGTTGTGTCAGAGCAACATCATCACACGTTATCAGCGATTAGACCAAACTTACTTCAGTCGTGGGATTGACTGGAAGTTGCTTTTTCGGCAAGAATTCACAAGCCTGGCTTGTGGGAATCTCATCCAGTATGGGCACGGAAAGCCTTCGACATCTCCTTCCGCTTTCCGCTTTGAGCGATGATTTCGTCCGTCCTGCTCGTCATCACCCTCGTCTCCATCTGGGTGATTCGCCTTCCCTTGCTTCCCTTTGTGAGGCGCATTCAAGATTGGTTGACCCGATGTGTCGTAGACACCCTGGGCCGCATACGTGGTCATATGTGAGTTGCCATTGTGCCCAGGCCGGCCCGATGTTGGCACATTCTTCCAGTTATCCGTGCCGTAAGCGACAGGGGCAATTGTCAAGGATTCGGCTTCAAGCGACAAGCGGTAGTTGAGATCATGCGCGAGCTCAGAAGAGTTGGCACTGTAGTCTGGTGTAGGGCTGCAGGAGAACGAAGTGGTACTGAAATCTTCTTCGGGTGAAGATCTGGTAGCGGGGGTGCCTTTTGGAGCGATGTTCGTGAATCGGGTAGCTTGCCGATCGGATGGCGTTGTTTGTGTTGCACGATGTGGCAGCTTGTCAGAAGTGCCAGTTCCATAGGCTGCAGATCGGCTTGTCTTCCGAGCATCTTGCATTGAGTCAATATATTTACAGGTGGTATGGTAGTGAACACACTCACTCACTACCTCCCCTGCCGATCTAGAGCTAACCCGATGTCGTGGGTCCATTCCCAACGTGCTGCGTTGCAATGAAAAAAGAATAATGAACGAGTTGGTGTATCTTGTAGCTAAGGTACGGTTATGAATTTAGTGATTAGGGACGGTTTCGGGGAGCAGATAAAGGACGAGTAATGCGCAAAATTCCGTGTGCGCATTTGCGCGATACTCATCGGCGGTAACTGCTGTGTGGAAGGTGAGCGATGGCGCAATACGCGAATTTGGACTCCGACAAAAAGCTGGCGGGCACTGGACTTCTTGAGCGTCCTCCGAAGCATAGTATGAAGGACTTGGACTTGGCGGCTTACTTGCATAATTGTTGCGAGCGTGGCCATGGATGATACGCCAGGCACGCGCTCATTTCCAAGAAATGACAAGACTCCGTCCTTCAGTCTGTTAACTGGCTCCATGTGGCATTTGGGCGCTGGTCTGCAGCCGAGTTGGGCAGCGCTGCAAATAAGCATGTCATGGCAGGGCGTTGAATCTACCAATGAAGATACTGCTGCTTTGTAACGGGGCAACTGCGTGAACACCATAGTTCATCGAGTTGTAGCCAATGGCACAGCAACCCCACACTATTGATGCCTGAAGTGTTTCGGTACTAAGAATCTGGAACATCGAGGATCGTAGGAAGGACATTGGTCAATGAAGAAGAAGGAGGCACGAGGACAGGGACTTGGCTCCGAACCAAATGCAACTAGTAGAATCGAACTGTCATAGTTGCTCAGGCAGAACGAAGGCGTAGGAGAGAACAATATTCCCTCTCTTCAAGTTTTCAAACGAACGTAATGACGTGTATATTCTGTTCACTTTCACCTTTCTTCCCTCGAACTTTGCGGTTCATGCTTTCCATTCCCCTTCCCCAAGTAAGAGAAGGGTGAGGTACCTTTATTCCCACCTGGTCATCTGCCACCCTGCACTCCTGGTGCGCGATAGCGTCATGTGGGCATTTGAATTCTCGCAGAACGAGCAAGCTCTCTGCATTAGTGCAGTTGATTTTGAGCTGATGAAGTTTCAGCCACGGTCCGCAGCAGAGAAAAACAAAAAAAACCTGAAACGCGCGTCCTTGCGTGCAGCGACTGCGCCGACTTTGCCGCAAGCACACAGCCTCAGCCTCAACGCCGATCGCTCCTGGCCCCCAACCCGCAACAAAATAGCCGCGAGCCTCGCCCATCATCGCCTCCTCTAAATGTAGTGTTGCTAATCTTGCGAAGCTGCTGCGCCGTTCTGTTGATCGCCGCATGAACCATGTCAACACGAGCATAACGCAACGGTGACGTCTGTTTTCTTTTTTTGTTTTCCTTCCTCAACCACCCACGCAGGGCGAGTGCATTGACGAAAAAAGGAGTGGGTTCAGAGAAGTCTGAAGTGCAAAGAGTGTGGGCGTCAACGGGATGACGAGAAGGTCCTGGGAAAGAGTGGTGGTTGATGGGTTAGCGTATACTCCCGAGTCGAAGAAGTCGAAGGCGATCCAGGAAAGGCGGCAATGGGAGAGAGCGTCATTCAGGCGAAACACGCAACACCACAAGCCAAAAAAGATTGACAAAAGTAATCTGGATGAGGTTGACTTAATTTCTGACATGAGAGTAATTACGCGTGGGAGAAAAGGGACTAAGAACATGAGCAAGCGAGAGACAGGAACTGCAACCGCTGCAAATGTGCCGTCAAGCCAAGTCGATGAAGAGCAACAAGCCCATCACCGAGAGCCATCGACGAGAGAAGTACTACTCTTTGCCGGCGTTCATACCCATATCTGGCCTTCTCTTTCACAGCCAGACACGGTAGAAAACTGCGTAGAAGGTGAGAAAAGCTAAACCGTAGCGCAGCGCCAAAAGACATCAAAGAATCCGAGGTACTCCCCTAAAACCTAATCCTGAGAAGGATAATCAAGGTTGTTTTTTCGTTCTTTTGCTTTTTTTTTTCTGTCCGCTCCCCCATTAGCCAGCTGCAAGGGGTGGTGAAGAAAGGTAGAATCAGAGCAAGCGCGGCGAGCCGTCCTCAAGCAACCTTTCGGTTGCAATGAGGTGATTGGCAATGGTGATCCGGCTGCGGCGGTGGTGTTTGTGTGTGTATTCCAACAACAACGACCAGGCGAGGGGAAAGCCTCAAATCCCCTCGCCGAGCCCTCCTCCTCCTCAGCGCCATGTTCCTCGACTCGATGGATGGGGGAAAAAAGCCAGATCTGCGGCTTTTCCCAGTTGATCGACGTCGGTGCAGAACGAAAGTCCTCCTCTTCACTGGAGATTGACTTCTTTTCTCTCTTTCTCCTTTCCTCTTTCCCCCCACATCTCCTCAATGTCCCCATATCTCGTCCCTTCTTCCCACATACTCTCTTTCCCATTGTCAGAATTGTTTAAGTCCTTTGATTGTAATAGTAATTCCGCATGGCTCCGGCTGCTGTGTGTCGCTTTGTCGGCAACAGCAGCGCCAGACCGCTTGTGACGGTCATGGCCAGGCCCAAACTGGCGAGTCTCCTTCATCCTGATCCAGTGCTGCATCGCTTCGTGCCGGAGGGGAATGTGCCGGTAGTAGGGCGAGCGTTGGGAATAGCACTGATAGCGATGCAGGTGGAGGAGGAAGAATCAGGAGAGGCGTAGCAGCAATCGGCAGCGGAAGACTTGTTCCAATCGACATCATCTTCTTCCATCATCATCATCGAGACAACACTGGCGGCGTCATCGGAGGCGGCTTCTTCGTCGTCGTCGTGGAATGCAACACCGTCAAGGTATTTATTAAATGGAGAAGAATGGATTTTCGTAGATTCGTAGCGGTGGCCGCAGCGGCCGACGCAGGGCGTGGAGACGGCACCCCGATGGGGCGAGCTTTGTCTCAACCCACCGCGGCAGCCGCTTCTAATTCGCCAACTACTAGTCTCTCCAGCATTCAGGAGGTCTGGGTCCCAGAGTCTAGATGGGAGCATGGTGGAAGGTGTGGTTGTTCTGGCCGAGAGTGTGAAGTACCAGGATGGAGGAGGTGTGTGAGATGGGAGAGGTAGGAAGATGTTCGTGGTGGTTTGTGCCCCCAATGGGCATGGGCGGATGTTGTTCGCAGTCTTTGGTTGAGTCTTGAGAGTAACGTATTGCTGGCGAATGGTGGAGAGGAGGAAGAGGAGAAAGATGGGTCTGTGGAAGCAGTAGCTCTCAGCTCAGCTTTAACCATTCAGCTCGGTGCTACTCACGGACAAAGCCGGTCTAGAGTTGGGGGCTACAATGCCAGGAGAGGGATTGGTGCATCAGGTGTGGGACGAGCGATGACTCCGCCACACTCACAAACGCGTGTGGAGTACGGCCTCACTGCCTCACTGGCCGGTGAAACGACGCTACTGCACAGCGCATCAATTGGCGAATCATGCGCAGGTTGCAAGGTGCGCTAAGTTAAGCTTACGAGCTTGCTTAAGGCGTGGTGGTTGTTGCCTGACAGTGCAAGTGTGGAGCGGAGGATTGCTGCTGCAGTCGGTGTACGCGACGCGTCTGATCCCCGCAGCGGATGCTCGCTTGGGTAAAGTCAAAGGGCTCACGAACACCGCTCCCCTCACCGCACGTCAAGATCGAAGCAGAACGTGCATCTTTTTCGGCATTTCTTCACGCAGTTGACGATGGAAGTGTTTAAGGTTTGGACCGGCGCGGACGGGCGGAGCGGAAATCACGTGTAGGCCGACGCTTATTACCCTTGCCCGAAATTTTCTATTTTCCTCGCTTCGTCTCCTAGTCCGATCCCTGCCTCTTTCACACAAAACCTCCTCTTGCAATCGTCCTTCTACGCGATATGCCGTCCACGCTCGGTGTATCTGGTGTTTCAGATCAACGCTACCTCGCGTTGACTACCAATTAGGACACCGGGAGGAGGTGCGGTGGTTTTCAGGGATCAGCTCTTGGCCGAGACGACCTCCATAAGTGAAGAAGGGCGCATTTTCAGCTTCAAAACGCCACGGTGGCCGAGTGGTTAAGGCGGCAGATTTAAGTCAATCTGGGCTTCTCAGGAGCCTCTCTTATACTCTGCTACAGAAATGTGCATGCGTTCGAACCGCATCCGTGGCAACATTCTCTTTTTGCTTCTTGGGTGTCGTGATATGGGGGCGAAAGACGCTCGAGGTCGACATTTTTGCCCGCTTTTTGCCTGGCGAAGCCCAGGTACTGGCTCGTCGTCATCGATCTAATTTAGCGCCGTTAACGATGCCGCACGGATGCAGAACTTTATACGAGCGGCGAAGGATTCTTCGAGGGCTGCTGCAACGCTGCAGCGTAAATCAATGTATTGGACGATGTCGTCTCGTGTTAAAGTCGAAACCCGTGGTATCCCGCTGTGGAAGCAAACTCCGATCCCAATGCAAATATGCTAAACGGCGTTGAAGCCTGGCCGTGTTGAAGTCCGGCCTTATTCTTCCTCTATCCCAATCCCAAAAACAGAAACCACTCATAAGAAAATTGTGTCATGGCGATCAAGCCTTCTTCTCCAGGCCGTAGCCGCCCTTGCCCTCAAGAGACGGGTACGTCTTCCCTTCGGAGGCCTGGCCATTGCGTGGGCCCCTCTCGTCGAGATCCTCCTGCAGCCACTTCAGCACAATCTCGCCGAGCTGGCTGTTGCCTGAGTGCGGGGCTCCCGGTTGCGTGACATAGTATTCCTCAATGCTGCCCCACTTCTTGACCCTGCCCAGACTCATGTGCACGAGGTGCGACGGCCAGTCGGCCAGGTTGTCGAGGATGTGGGTGGCGTAGACGATGGTGCAGGGGCGCGTCTCGGTCTCGCGCTTGAGGAACTGCAGGAAGTTGCTGCGCGACAGCAGGTCGAGGTCGACGGTGATTTCGTCGAGCAGCAGGATGCTCCAGGGCCGCAGCAGGCCCATGGCCAGCTGCACGCGGCGGCGCTCGCCGTCGCTGACGGCGTGCATGCGCCAGCGCAGGTCGATGTCGAGGATGCGCACCAGCTCGTCGCGCCGCTCGTGGTACACGTCGCCGCCCACCGACGACAGCAGCGTCGGCACGTCGATGTCGGTCCGCACGATCGGGTTCAGCACCCACTCCAGCCCCAGGTATGTCACGCCCTCGAGGCCATGCGAGAACGGGTCCACCCCGGCGATCGAGACCGTGTTGGCCGGCGCCATGCGCTTGCCTGAGAGGAGGCGGAGGAGGGTCGTCTTGCCGGCGCCATTTGCTGTATTCCAGGCAGAAGCGCGTTAGCAAATTTGTCTTTTTTTTGGTGGAGAAATTGAGCGGTCTGTATGGCCAAGGTGACTCACCTCCGATCAACAGCGTGCGGCTTCCCGGCGGGAGATCGAGGATGACATCCCGCAAGCCGCTGCTGCCGTCGGGGAATTTGTAATTGAGATTCTTGACGCCGATTGACGGGGCGATGCCATTGGCCTTCGAGCTGGAGCCGGACATTGTGAAAGTAAAAAAATTGGGTGGAGTGGAAAGAAGGAATGACTGTGAAAGAAAGCTACATGGCGGGGGCGCGGCACCGTATTTCACCAAAGGATGGCGGGATGATGTCGGTCGCGCGGCGCCGACCGCTACCAGCACGCAAATCCGACAGCCTAGCACTGGAGTGGATTGGCGCCTACCGGCCAGCACTTTTCGCAGCCGAAAGAAAGATTCCTCTCAGCTCTACAAAGGCGGGCAACTCCGACGAACGACTACTCCGCTTCTGTATGCATGCTGAGAGCCACCGGAATTTTGTGGAGAGGCATCAACACCATGGCCCGTTGTCAGCCTCAGAAGCCTGTCATAGCCGTCATCGGCGCTACGGGCACGGGCAAGTCTCAGGTAGGACCATGCATTTTCTAGTCCAGTCGCTTTTGTCTGACTGCGCCGTGTAGCTTGCTGTTGAGCTGGCCTGCCGCTTCAATGGCGAAATTATCAATAGCGATGCCATGCAACTTTACGAAGGCTTGCCCGTCATCACCAATAAGATCACCCAGGAAGAAATGAAAGCTGTGCCACACCATTTGCTTGGCACCATCACCCATTCTGAGGATACCTGGACTGTCACTGAATTCGTCAAAAGAGCTCTGACCGTAGTTGATGACATCCATTCTCGTGGAAAGCTGCCCATCATTGTCGGCGGTACTCACTACTACATCCAGTCTTTGCTGTTCAAGGAGAGTCTTGCCGACGGCGCCCAGCAACCAGAAGAGCCCAAGCCGGAGGACGGAGACAGCGAGAAATATCCAATCCTGGACGAGCCCACCGAGGTGATTCTGGCTAAACTCCGAGAAGTCGACCCGGTCATGGCAGACCGCTGGCACCCCAACGACCGCCGCAAGATCCAGCGCTCCCTAGAGATTTGGTTGAAGACCGGTAAACCAGCGTCGCAACTCTACGAGGAACAGCAAAGCTTGCGGAAGCAACCTGCCGACGGCACGGAGGAAGGAGCGGCCTCCGGAACGCAAAGGTTCCCGGCCTTGCTTTTCTGGGTGCACGCCGCGAACGAGCCTCTCCGTTCCCGGCTGGATGCCCGTGTGGAGAAGATGTTAGCGAATGGGCTGCTGTCCGAAGTGGACGAGCTTGATCGATTCCTGCAGCAACGTGAGTCGGAGGGCCATCCCGTTGATCGAACCCGTGGCATATGGGTTTCGATTGGGTACAAAGAGTTCGAAGCCTACCAGCGTGCTCTCACTGCCGGACCCGCAGACGACAAAGAGCTGGCGAAGCTCAAAACGCAAGCAATTGAGCAGGTCCAAGCTGGGACTCGCCAGTACGCTAAGAGGCAAATCCGGTGGATACGCATCAAGCTGATGAATGCTCTTGCTAACGCAAATGCGATGAAGAGCTTGTACCTGCTCGACGGCTCGGATCTGTCTCGATGGCAGGAGACTGTCGAAGTACCGGCGCTTGATCTGGCCACGAAGTTCCTGGACGGCGAGTCGCTTCCAGAGCCGCAGAGCATATCGGAAGCCGCGGCCGAGATGTTGACGCCGAAACGCGAATATGACCTCAGCGAACGCAGGGATATGTGGCAGAGGAGAACCTGCGAGACGTGCAACACTGTGGCTGTCACGGAGAGTGACTGGAACAAGCATGTGCAGAGTCGCGGCCACAAGGTACGAGAGAAGAAGCGTAGGCAGAAGCAAGCGGCTGGAGCGGATCGCCCAGAGAAGCAACCCAAGGAGCCGAAAGAGGAAACAGACCACCCGGCTGGAGATCTCGAGTCAACGATGACTGCCTTTGATGAGTTGGTGAACGATCAGAAGTAGGAGTGTGCACCGAGACTTGTGGGATTCGTTAGCGATGAGCGATCATCCCGGATACAAGCTTCCTTCTGATCGAAGTTTTGCGACATCGTGGAGTCTCACATATACCAATCGCCACAGACTCGCTTTACTAAGAACACTGGCCGAGATGACGATATTGTGTCTGGAAATGGAAATTGACACGGATGGAGAGATTGAGCCGCAACGACACGTCTATCGCCAATCCGCAAGCGGGAAGACTTGGGTTGTGGTCATTTCGTGGGGGTTCTCACGTACTCACCACCCTCTCATGAGCAGTGTAGCTCTAGTTTAGGATCTCGGACGACTTGAAAGGAGCGCATGGTCGCACTGATGACAACAGCCGCAAACGAAATAATTAACTCCAGCGAAGTGTTGGCCCCTGTGATACGGGAATAGTGACGAGGATGGGAAGATGAGCACACGGCTTTCCGACCGGGTGAAAGGTCAGTCCAGGCTATCGGAGACGGTGCCATGCGGTCAGCTGCAAAAGATCGAGTCCGCTGTACCCACGAATGGCTTTTCATTCTATTTCCATGGATAGTTGAAGAAGATATCTGGACGTAGATGTGTGAGTTTCAAAAATGAACAAATGCACCCAGACATTGGGTTCACCTCTGCATGTGATTATCATATGGTGTGATCAGTAGCTCTGAAAAGATCAGATTCCTTCCGCCCACTTTAATGCCGGCGAGCTCGAATGTGGAGTAGTGTGGTGGAAGTGTCCAGGAACATGGCGGATTGGACCCACTTACAGCGGGGAAGCAGATTGTTTGTGGCAACCATATCATGTGTTATGCATGATTGAGAATAACGGCAAGGGTGCTTATTACCAAGGTGAGTTGAAGTGCTGGTCAAATGAGGAAATCGGGCGTCTGAGAAGAGACGCTTGCATGTTAGACGAAAGGTTGGGCATAGCTCGTATACGACTGACTCGTGAAATGTTTAATTGATGTCGCCAGGGCGTGCTTGAAGTATTTCTGCGCTTTGATCACCAATGATATCATCGATCCAGACTGGCCGTAAATCATCCATTGCTTTTTTACCCAGGTATCTGCATGTCCGATACCGTCTAATAACGAAATTTGCGCTCACTCGGGAGCAATACGCCCCTCCCAACCCTCCTTTTTGATGTAAATCATCTATTGCCTCAGAGCCTTGCGAGCAAAGTTGGGCAGAACGAAGGAAGCCTCGTGGATTTCCTTGCTGTAGTACTTGCACAGCTTCTCCTCCTCCTCGGTGGACCAGGAGCGGACGGGCTTCTTGACGTCGCGGTTGGCGTCCTTGCAGCAGACCATGAAGCCGATCTGGCCCGAGGGGTAGGTGGGGATGGTGGTGTAGGCGTACTCGACGGTGGGGAAGACCTCCTTGCAGTCCTTCATGAGCTTGGCGATGAGGGGCATGTGGAGCCACTGGTTCTCGGCTGCGTGCGGGGAAAAAGAATTGGTTAGCCGACTATTTCCTTGCAATTGACGGGTGATTTTTCTTTCGTTTAAATGAAATTGTGAAGTTGCAGGGGAGGTGGGGGCTTACAACCTTGCGTGGTGATGACACCACCCTCGCGCAGGGCGCCGTTGAGCAGCTCAAAGTAGGACTTCTGGAAGAGGGACTCGGCAGGGCCCTCGGGGTCGGAGGAGTCGGTGATAATGACATCGAACTCGTTCTGGCGGTCGGCCAAGAACTTGAAGCCGTCGCCGACGATGGTCTGGACGGCGGGGTGCTGGAAGCCGACGCTCATGCCGGGCAGGTACTTCTTGGAGAGGCGGATGACAGCCTCGTCAATGTCGCACAGGATGGCCTCCTCGACGCAGTCGTGCTTGACAACCTCGCGGAGAACACCACCGTCACCGCCGCCAATGACAAGCACCTTCTTGGGGTTGGGGTGCGAGTTCATGGCCAGGTGAGTGATCATCTCCTGGTAAGAGAACTCGTCGCGCTCGGTGCACTGGATAACGTTGTCGAGGACGAGGACGGTGCCGTAGTCGGAGGACTCGAAGATGAGCACGTCCTGGTACTTGCTCTTCTCGTGGTGGAGGACCTGGTTGACCTTGAGGGTCATGGCCTGGCCGGGCCACATGTCGGAGATCTCACGGAACCAGCCATCTGCAGAGGTTGTCAATTGAAGCGCAATTGAAGGCTGGGGAGGACGAGGTACCCTTGATGGTGGGGTGGGTGATCTCGCTCATTTTTGCGGGTGGGGTGAAGGCGCGGGGGTATTGGTGAAAAGGATGGATGCGCGAGGGCCGGGCGAAAGGGCGGAAGCAGGTGCGACGAAGAAGTCTGGGGAGAATGGTGAGAAGTGTGGAGGAGAAGAGGAAGTACAGCGCAATCAGCAGATGTTTGTATTTTTCTGCCGCGAGCCGCCGCCGTCACTGTCGCTGCCCCGCCAAACGCTGGGCATCGGCGATGTCGCGCTAGCGCCCAACCAGGCTTGGTCGCGCTGCGTGTCGTCACCGTTCTCGCTCCAATGCCCGCAACCGTCCCGTCCTCGCGAGTCGAGGCCGCTGTTCCCGCCCTCATCAGGCACCCTCGCCCTGTCGGGTCTGATTGAATACTGCCGCTCTTCCGTATCGCAGCCGACGGTGTCACCTCGGCCGCATGAAAAGCTAATTCGATAAGCAGCTGTCTCTCCGCTGCCATGGCAATTCCTCGTACAAGGTTTGCTGGGCGCCTGAGCATGCGCAAGCGCGCAGTAGCCTTGGATTTAAGCAATGCAGTGCTCGTTCTCGCCTTCCTTCTGACCAGAACCACCTTAGTGCCTTTGGGCCCAAGCTCGCCCATCAATGCGAAGAGACACATGATTTTCTGTGTAATCAAACTCCGTAGCCTATCTATGTAAGTATGTGCTACATTGAAGTTTGGATATTTGCTTCAAACACTGCCCTTTACGAGATTTGGGAGGCATGATCTTATAATCTACCGTGCCATCGCTTACGGCAGTCGTTGTAGGGCTGGAAATTCTTAAGATTTTCTGCTGGTTTTCCGCGCAGGACTTGTTACTGACCTGTCTGCACAGTTGCGCAGTCTGTGGGATCGATAGTCGATCAAATGTGCTTGGTGTGTGCTTGTAATTTCAAGGTGAGTCAGTAATAAGCGTAGATTTGATTTAGTTGACGGCCAGGACGATACTGTGCACTGTATCATCGTAAAAGCCTCTCGTAAGTACAAAAGTACAATCTCGACGTGCTTGCACTGTCTAATCGGTTGATTATAGTTCGAGGACACCTTTGTCTTATGATGCCTTCGACTTGACAATGCATTGTCTGCTAAGTCAGCCCATCATGCTTGCTTCGTGAGATTCCCGCGCCAAGGAGAAAGCATCGGAAATCGCTACAGACATATTCTCGAGAAGAGATGAATTATCTCGCCGTCAAGCTCTTCCACCTGAATATTAAGGCCGAGCCCATGGCCAAGACGCTAGCTTTATGCGGAAATTTCCAAGATGGTTTAAAAGCAAGAGTCGCTGCTCGACGTTACCACTTATAGACAAAGCACTCTTGAATGAATAGACTTGAGAACTCCACTCCAAACCCTTGGAAATGATCACAAAGACACCACGAGATCGGATTAATTGGACTTCATCACCCACTACAAGGACATCATCCGGAAGCAGTTTCTCACAAGAGCCATTCGACTATCGTAACCCCAAAAAAGCAGCCACCCTCGTCAGAAATCTGGTTCTGATGGAAAACATAAACGCAGCTCATCAATGAAAGATACCGATACCAGTCATCACCTCTGATTCGATGCTCAAGCCCCGGCTTACTCTTTGGTCACTTCAGTGGCCTTCAGGAGAGCGAAACCTCTGCTCCGCGGAGGCTTGCCCAATCACAAAAATGTGCTAACTCAACGTCATGGCACTTGATAAAGCTTGATGTCTTTGTCTCGTCAAACCTTTCCTGCGTATATGGGGACAATCTTCCACTAATTCTTTGACCATATCGCAGTGACACTTATCATTGACATGGATCCTCCATCCATCATCTTCCCGCTATGCGTTGCCTTGCGCAAGCAGATGAAATTCAACACTTGATCAATTTCACAATATTCTCCTTTCAATAGACCATGCGTGCTCCGGCTTCACTCATAACGCTGGTCGCCTTCTGCGTCCTGCTGCTCACAGGACAGGCGGCCTCCCAGAAGCTCGTCTTCGCCCACTACATGGTTCGTCCTTCCTCATTCTCTCGTACTCCCCATAGAGCGCCTTCTATCTTATGCTCACGAAACCACAGGTTGGCACCGTTACGGCGGCTCACGCGCAGCAAGATATCAAAGATGCCGCAGCCATGGGACTCGACGGCTTTGCACTCAACATTGGCGACCCGACGCAGCCGTTCGTCCGGGATGCCCTGAACAAGATGTTCGACTTCACGCGTGACAAGTACCCGAAGTTCAAGCTGTTCTTCAGCTTGGACCTGTGGGCTTCCGGCGGTGCGGGCAAGCGCCTGGGCGACTACGACTCTCTCCTGCGTGACTTTATGGGCCATGGCGCGTACCAGAAGGGCGCTAATGGCTTTCCGTTTGTCAGCACTTTTGGTGACGGCGGCACGACGAAGGATGTGTGGATTGATTGGAAGAAGAAGTGGGCGAACAAGGTGTATTTGGTTCCGGACTTCGATCAGACACAGGGCTACTACGATGCCGCTCCTGGATGGTGGTCCTACTGGGGCGAGGTCGTTGATGGGCTGTTCAGTTGGGAATCAAGCTGGCCGAAGGTCGGTGACCGGAACACGGCTGATATGAATCTTGACAAGACTGTTGCCAATGGTGCCAGGGATAGGAAGAAGGCGTATATGATTGGTATGATGCTACTGTCATCACTTCGAATATATGGACTAACCCGGAAATCACAGGTCTCAGTATGCTCCAGTACAAGAATGCCGTAAGCTCATGATGTATCCCGAGCTTTGAAAACAAGGCTGACCACGCAAACTGCAGTACGGCGCGCGTCTCTGGCGTGCAGGTGAAGACCTTCTCACCCAGCGCATGAAGAATATCCTCAACATGAACCCTCAGCCCGAATACGTCGAAATCCTGACCTGGGTGCGTTTACTTCCCCCCTCCATCCCCCCAGCCCTCCCTCCTCCCCAACTAACAGGCGCGCCCTCCACAGAACGACGGCCCCGAAGGCCACTACATCGGCAACCTCTGGCCGGAGCAAAACGGCGACGCGCAGCCGGCCGCCTACGCCAACAGCCGCGCGCAGCACTGGTCGATCCAGCCACTCCTCGCCTCCTTCATCCGCGCCTACAAAGCCGGCCAGGGCCCCGCGGCGATGCGACCCCCCTCCCTACAACCCGCGCGCCCCGTCGTCGGCGCCATCTGGTACAAGCCGATCACCTCCCAAACCAACTGCCCCGGCGGCGACCAGTACGCGCAGAAGCCGCTCGGTTATGACGCGGCCAAGGACGTCGTGGCGTGGGCTGTCGTTGTGGGGACCGGCAGCGATGTCGCTGGCTGGAAGGTCCGATTTTATAGTGGTGGTAAGCTGGTGGGGGGCACGACGAACCTGGTCGCTGGGTTGAATTCGGGAGTGTCGCAGGCGCTGAATACGGGGTCTCAGCGGATGGAGGTGTTGAATAAGGAGGGGAAGGTTGTGATGAGGGCGGCGGGCGGACGCTGCGTGACGAATAATTGTCCGGATAAGATTTACAATTTGAATCCGCAGGTTGTGGGGTTGACTATGGGGTCGGATTATCCGGCGTGTAAGTGATAGGGGGCTCTATCACTGATGAAATTGGGAGCTATGAGAAAGAAAAGGATGACTGTAAATGTGGCTTCAGTACTTCGGGAAACTAAATTGTCACGAGAAAAAAAAGAGCGCCTGAAAGGATATTGTAAGAGGTGGAACATGAACTGTCATTTCAGAAGATTACGTAGACTTAAAAATTCATGACCGTGAAGAAGTTGACTCGCACAGCGAGGTGTAGGTGGTTTGGAACCCGTCACACACTGTTCTCAGAAAACCTCAAGATTCGGTCACCTTCACCTCCGCAGACGCCTGCTTGGCCAACGCCTCTCTCCTGCTTGTGCTCTGTGGGTCAAGGTAAGGCCTCTCGCCCAAGCTCACTGCACGCTGGCCGGTCCTCGGTCCAAGCCCGTCGTAGTCGTACGTGGCAGTGTGGTAGACGCTACGGTTATCCCAGATGGCGAGGTCGTTGGAGTTCTGCCAGCGGTGACGGACCTGCAAGTCGTGGTTGTCGACAATCAAACGGACGAACCACTTCAAGAACGTCTCAGATTCCTCCTCGGTCAGCTCGTTGATACGCTTGGCGTGGTGGCCGACGGCGAAGACGGACTTCCAGCCCGTGACCGGGTTCGTCCGCACGATGGGATGGGTGGCAGTGAGATCGGTGCCGACGTTCTCGGGGGCGCCGCGCGGCTTGCTGTAGAGCTCGAAGTTGTTGTTCTTGGCGGCTTCCTGGAAGATTGGCTGCGCGTAGGTGCCGGTGAGAGACTCGAGGAGCTTCTGGATTGGCGGAGAGAGGCGGTCGTACACCTCATAGCCGGACGCCCAGAGAGTGTCTAAAATTGCAGTCAGCAGTTTCCGCTTGCTCGAGGGTAGTTAGAGAGGCTTACCACCACCTGTCTTGGGGAGCTCTGTCAAGCGGAGCAGGGCGTAGTCACTGGGAACTGGCTCGAAAGTGATGTCTGAATGCCATCCGTCGGCGTGGCTCTGCTTCTTTCTGTAAGGCGTGTTGGCGTAAAGCTTCTTCTGTTGCTCCGAGGAGATCACGCTGATCTCATCGTCCTTGCCTCCCAAAGTTCGGCCACTATTTGAAACAGGGTGAATGTGGAGGCCGGAGGTCTTCGGCTTGTCAGAGTTCCAAGAAAGCTGGCCAAGGCGGAGGACAAGCTGTTTCTGAAGCTCGTTTGTGATGCCATCTTGTTTCCGGAAGAAGACAACGCCGCGCTGCGAAACTGTAATGATTGGTGAGCAAGTTTCCGTCAGCTTCTTTGAAGGCTGATCTTACTTGTGATTGCCAAGTCCCGCAACAGCTCATCGGAGTTAGGCGCTTCGAGCCACTCCTTCAGGTTCGCATTGGGAAATTCTCTACCGATCACCGGTGTGACATCAAAATGCTCGTACTGATCAAGGACACCACTGAGCTTCAACGGTTCCCGGTGCTTGGAAGTGGCTGAACCAAGCTTTTCCTTGGTGTTGTCAACCAAGACTTGCGCCGTTTCAGTTACAGTTGACATTGTTCGGATGAACTTGTTGTGGTACAGATTCACTGAGTGCTGGGTTCAAATGTTGGTGTCCCGATTAAACGGTCAAGGGTGGACACTTATACTCAAGATGATACGCAGGAGCAGCAGAGGGGTGTCAATCTACCGTGATATTGCCGGATTATTGCGCGATAGCCTGAATCCTATCTCCGCACCTCTCTCAAATAGCATTGGTGTGTTGTGCAGTAGTGGGGTAATGCACGTCTAAGGGCCGGGCCAAATCGCTTTCGTTATGCGCCTCATGACGCTCGCCATAGATATGCGACCGATGAGGTAAAGCTATTGCAAAATCTAGAATATTGTCAGTGGCCACAGAAACACGCATTTTTCTCGTCGATAAGTGAGCGTTTTGGCAGCAGAAGCTTATCGATACAGAGCAGTTCTCGAGCGTCCACGTTAGATTCGTGTGTTGACTCTATACTCCACTCCTCCGGCACTGGTTTGTATCACCATACTTTCATTCGTCTGCGGTAATGGCTCAAATCGGGTCTTGTGTCCACGAGGTGCGATAACCCCGCACACAGGATGATGAATTACTGGGGTTGATTGCGTGATAGACAGACTTTCTGGGCAATACCCTCACCAATGAGAAGCGCTCGATACCGACTGGATCATAATTCACAGGCTGAACAAGGATGAAATGAGCCGAAAATAGACATTTTGCTTTTCCATACGACCCTTGTTTGGTGTTGTCGTTTCGTCGGCCTGAGGCAAATAACGCCGCTCTCCCACCACAAGCGTTACCGAGCTCCACGTGAGCATCATTATGGAGTGCTGGCCAAGCAAATAAGAACGTGGCAATGCTTCTTGGCCAGAGGACTGCAAAAGCAATACGTCCGAAGTTTTCAGGTGTTCGGCTACTTCCCTGCTTCTTCGCCCCAAGCACAAGGTAAGATTCGTTGAGATTTCTCCAAACCCGGATGGTACATCCGCCACACCTTCAGATCCCATACATGCAAGCACTTGCGTGCTACTTGGCAAAATAACACTGTCCGCGAACGCTGGTTCCTCTTATCTCACATCTCGATTTCAGCTGCAGTTCCAGTATTTAAGCCAATACAATCACCATGTCCTCTTCATCCCAGAACCCGGAGACTGTACCCTTGCTCGCGCACGCACGAAACATGGCTTCAGGCGCAGACGACTTTGGTGGCCCTCCCGTGGACAAAAATCCGCAGGACACTATCCCAGTCGCATACGAAGATGAGAAGAACTCGAAGAAAGCCCCAACTGTTGAGATACGAAAGGAGTCAGACGAGCTTCTCCTGAGCCATCCTGGATCAGAACGAAGATTCTGGTTCCAGAGAGGCTCTAAATTTGACACCTCAGCCATCGCAACCCAACGCTCGGTCTTCGATGACCCGGATCTTGCCAAACACTATCAGCCCGGTCCAGACTGGGAAAATCTCCACCGTTTTGACCCGTCTGCGAGATGGACATGGGGAGAGGAATACGTATGTACCAACGATAGCCCACTGCGAACTGATGCTTACTCGTGTAGAAACTTATTCGCAAAATTGACCTCCGCATCATGGTTTTTGCCTGCATCATGTTCATGGCTCTGGTAGGATCTCCCGCTCTCTGTTCGGTTGTCACTGCTGATATTCGCAAAGGAACTGGACCGCTCCAATCTGTCTCAGGCGCTTACAGACAATTTTCTCGGAGATCTTGGCATGAATACCAATGACTACAATCTTGGTGAGACAGTGTTCAAGCTGTCTTTCCTTTGCGCCGAGCTTCCCTCCCAGTTGGTTAGTAAGTGGATGGGGCCCGATAGATGGATACCAACTCAGATGGTCCTGTGGTCCATTGTGGCTTCAGCCCAATTCAAGCTTGACGGCCGAGCTTCCTTTCTCGCGTGCAGAGCTCTCCTTGGAATTTTACAAGGAGGATTTATTCCAGATGTGTGTAAGCCCTCGACCTTGTCATGCCTCTCCACTTCTAATATTCGCAGGTTATACTGTACCTGTCGTACTTTTACAAACATCACGAACTCTCCCTTCGGCTGGGATTCTTCTGGACTGCAATGAGCATTGCCGATATTTTGGCCAGCTTCCTTGCCTACGGTATCCTGCATCTCCGGGGCCATGAAGGACACTCGGGCTGGCGTTGGTTATTCTTGCTTGAGGTGAGGAAAAGCTGGATATCTCAGTACTGTTCGCTGTCTAACGAATTAGGGTATCTTAACCTTGGTCATTGGCCTGATTGCATATGTCCTCATGCCGCCAGGCCCAACACAAACAGCGAACTGGGCGCGTGGTAAAAAAGGCTGGTTCAGTGAGAGGTGAGCTTTTCTACTACTTCATCTGCCTGTGACTCCATTCATTAACACCTTTCCAGGGAGGAGACCATCATGGTCAATCGTGTCATTCGCGAAGACCCCAGCAAGTCAGACATGCACAACCGAGAGGCCCTCACTCCCAAAATGTTGTGGCAGAGTTTGAAGGACTTTGACATCTGGCCGCTTTATATCCTTGGCCTTACCTTCCAGATCCCCATGAGTAAGCGGTTATCCACATGGAGTACGAACATCCAGGACTAACATGTTATACCAGCTACGCCAAAGAACTACCTCACACTGACACTTAAAACTCTCGGATTCAGTACATTTACCACGAACTTGCTCGTCATTCCTTCTCAAGTAAGATTAGATCTGGGAAAATTGATACCAAGATACTTACTGTTTCCTGAATAGGTCATCCATATCTTCACAATGTTGGGCATTACGTACTTGGCTGAGGTGTGGCAAAATCTCACGTTCACGGCGATGATCGGGCAAATATGGGCATTCCCCTTCGTGCTTGTTCTCTACATACTGGATATCAACCAGCTGAACCACTGGGTGGCTTGGGGAATTATGACAATCTTTCTCAGCTACCCATCAGGTAAGATTTCGAGCCGGAAGGGTTAAGCAAACGGACTGACATTCTCTCAGCTCATCCGATCCAAGTGGCCTGGAATTCGCGCATCTCAAACACTGTGCGCTCTCGCACTGTATCCGCAGCGATGTACAACATGTTCGTCCAGGCGAGCGGTATCATTGCCTCTAATATCTACCGCGAAGGTGCGTTGCTGTATCCGATTCCCTATCTCGTCTGCTGACCGCGGTTCGCAGATGACAAACCCCGCTATCTCCGCGGAAACCGTGCCCTGCTTGCCGTCAACATCATGAACATTATCCTGTACTTGTTGACAAAGGCGTACTACGTCTGGCGCAATAAATCTAAGGCAAAGAAGTGGAACTCACTGACACAAGAAGAACGAGAGGAGTATCTGGCTACAACGACGGACAAAGGAAACAAAAGACTGGATTTTCAATTCGTGCATTAAGGGATCAAGAGAGCCAACACTTAAGGCATACGCTAAATAGGAAAATCTACACGACTGTCTCTGACTTGATAACAGTCGATGATGAATGGAATACTCTTCTCTGTCACAAACTGTTCGTCATGCAACCACAAAAAAAGTTGAAAAGGCAGAAGAATAGGTAATGTTTTTGAAACTTTCATTCTCGCGTGAATATAAGAAACCGTCTCTATCTAATCAACATCGTTCTAATGTTCCATTCCCCATCAAAGCATTCTAAACTCTAGACCCTCTTGTAGCCAGCAGCGGCATCAACGGAAGTGGCAGCAGCACGGACCGAATCAGCAACGGAAACAGTAGGAATGAAGCCCTGGGGGTTGACGCTCATGCCGGTAGTGGCGATGCCGGCGGCAGTCTTGTTAACGCCAACAGTGATGTAGCCGACGAGGCCGTCGCTGATGTCGTCGCCGAGGTACTCGATGGAGATCATGGGGCTGGCGCCGTTGGTGCCGGTGGTGGTGAGGAGGGAGTCCTCGTCGTTGGTGGTGCGGTTGAGGGTGGACAGGTGGGCCGAGTAGGGCGACAGCTGGTAGACGGTGTTGATGATGTCCTCCTCGAAGAAGAGCTGGCCGATGTGCTGGACGGCCGACGCGCTGTACGAGGTGCCGTTGCTCACGTCGGCCTGCACCGTCAGGTGGATGTGCGTGGTGCGCGTGACGTAGTATCCGGGAAACTTGGTCAGGAACTCGACCATGCCCTCCGAGTCGGACTTTTGGATGCCGCGCAGGAACGTCTCGTCGTCGGTCGTGCCGTCCTCGCGCTTCTCCCAGCCGTCCAGCAGCTCGGCCGTCTCCGGGTCGATGCCCGTGTAGGACGAGTACGAGCCCGTGGCGTTGCAGTTCCAGATGGTCACGGCGGCGCCGGACAGGGGCTCGCACGTCTCGACGTCCAGGAGGCCGATGTCGAGGTAGAAGTCGAGGCCCTCTTGGGTCTCGCGGAGATCGTGGCGGAGGATCTCGCCGTCGATGCCGTACGGGCCCCAGATGGTGTCTTCGGCCAGGATGCACGTGTTGTTCTGGATGGTGGGGTAGATGGAGCGCTTCTCCATCTCGGACACATCGCGCTTCTCGTGAATGCGGCCGTCGCGCACCTGGCGCTTGTAGAGGCTGCGCTTGCGCTTCTCCATGAATTCGGCCTTGCGCTTCTCAATTGCAGCAGCGCACTTGTCGGAGCTGCGGCCAACCAAGTCACGCGCATGCTGGACGGCGTCCTCGGTATGCTCATGCTTCTCGGGGTGAGCAGCGACGAGGGCAGTGGCGCTGAACAGCGCGGCAATGGTGGAGAACTTCATGATGAACGAATGGGTATTGGAAAAAGAGTAGAGCCAATGAGAGACTGTGAAATTGGAATTGATTGCTTGCTTCTTGCCTTTGATGTCTCGCCGGGCTACCTCCTTTATACATTTTCACTACTTGACGCTCTCACGACAGTGATTTCTGAACAACGCGTAACACAGCGATTACGGCACAGAAAGACGCGTAGTGTCATTGGCTTGTCAAGTGTGAACTATGCCGGAGCAGGAAATCGGGCCGATCGCTATAGGGTAGAATAGGGGCGGCGTTCTCGAAAGCTGCCCAATTGGACTCGTTCGCCGGCGGCAGTGCTCGTGAGGCATACGTACTACTCGCCTGAAAATACCGAATGGGAACTCGGCATGGTCAAATTTCCCGAAAACTCCGAGTGACAGCGTAAGCTTCGTGGGACGCTCTGATCTCCATGAGGCGTTTGACTGCAAGGCTGAATGTTTCTGATTGAGGCGGTGCGCGTCGTTGGCCGCACGGGGACCGCTTCGCATCCTTGCTTCACAGGGCTGCGCTGTCCTATTTCTCAGAGCTTTGCAATGCAACTCTCGCCATTGGCCAGTGATCCACTCTATTTTGTCGTCGCACTGTTGCACTGCCATAAGTAAACAGCGTCATGCACTGCGCGGCCTGCCACTTTTGAAGCTGCCGTTTGCCGCTATCTCACGCCACCAGTTTCGACTTGTGTTGTCACCGTTTCGTAGGGTTGAGAGGTGAGGAGAAACACTCGTCTCCTTGCTGCCCACGGCACCAGCCCTTTGATTCTCCCTTGCCATTGTCTTTTTTCTTCGCGTTCTTCTCATTCTGGATTCCTGGGCGTCATCATTTTCCAACCGGTTACATGCAATTGGTTGGAGAAGACGTGACCTTTGTGCCTACAAGAATACAGCACTCTTTCCGCGTGTGCAATTGGAGTAAATATTTGGATGCAAATGTGAGTTCTGAAATTATGAGTATATCTGGACATCGAATCTTACCATGTACGCAAGCAGGATGCCCTGTTTCTCAGTGAAAAGTTGTCACGTCTTCTCTCCCTCGCAGTGACGGTTCGCGCTGAACGACTTCCTTTTGCCGCCACACATCAAACCTTCGAATGTTCCTTGCTAGCCTGGGCATCGACCACAGACAACCCGTAATTACGCAGGATAGGATCGGGGATGGAGGAATGGTGCGCCGTCTGCGGTTCTGCGACAGTCGTGTCAACCAGAGCAGTCTCGACCACCGTAGATCTCGACCGCCGCATCATTTCCTATCCTAGCGTCAGGAACATCTGGGTGCTGCAGGAACAAGTCTGCACGACTGGTAATGCGGCTGAAACTAATTTAGAGCCGCTGCATCGGCCCGTGGTTTTGGGGTCGCGCCGGCTTGCCGACGGCGCCACAGCGCTGCTCTTCTGCAGGGCCCGGGGAGGCGTTCGTCGCTCGCACTGTTCCATGGTCCCGCGGTGACGCCTTCGTGGTGCGCCCATACGATGTCGTATGACTATTCTCTCCGGCTCTCATTGGTTCCTGGAAGACTCGAAGATATTACCCGTGTCTTGGCGCTGATGAAGAATTGACTGACTGCTGTGAAGATCTTCGATCCCAGAGGGGAAATGTCGCAAGAAGCAAGATGACCCTGCCCAGCATCAGTTCAACCTAACTCATACCCGACGAACTGGGACGCCTGTCGCACAGTTGGTGCTCGAGGAGACCCATCTCCAACTTTTGCCACCAGCATCTTCAGAGTCGCGTACTAGTGCTGTGCCACGAGGAGTCTACCGAGAGGAGAGGCTGAACGGCGCCCGCGTGTTTCGCCTCTCTCTAGGGCGCGGGAGTGGCTTGTCAGCTCATCGTTTCGTGGGCTGGGTGGTTCGTCGAGCTAGTGTTCCGTTCGGCGATGGGACAGTGATGTGCAGCTTCATGTGCGTTATCCTAAACGGTCGTGAGGCGTCCGAACGATGGTACCGGGTAGCCACCACGCTGACGATGTCAAGCCGCTCCACTCCTGCGGATACAGATCCGCGTTACCAAATGGCCGTTGCGTCCAGCAGTGATGGCTCAGGACCCGGGTTCCATGTTGTTGACTGGACCCTTACCGATACACGCCGGTCCATCATTCGGGTCGCGGTTCCGACTCACTGCTGTAGTGGCCAGGACGGTTCCTGCAGCAGGTGCTTCAGTGAGTTCTCCTTAAAGCGCCGCTAGACTCTTCCAGGCTGAGCTGAATGAGCCAGCAGCTTGTGAACTTGTGCCTGTAGGCTCGCAGCATGAGTTTGGGGATACTCGCCATGGAGCACACTGCAGTACCCAGCAGTGATGGGGAGGTGTCGCGACTCCTTTGGTGTGCTCGTGACCCGGTACTCGCTGCGATGGGTCAAACAGGATTTGAGTTCCTACCTCAGGGCTTCTGGACCACTGAAAAGTATGTCATCAACAACTGCCGTGTTGTCAATGGCTTTGCAGATTGTGTCATTGCAAAAAGAGAAGGAGATATTGCTTTTATACGGCCCAATAACCGACGCCTTTGCTGAGACGGAGTAGCGTGAAAGTGTCCCGCCTTACCTATCCTTGACTGGCAGTGATGTTCACTACCCATATCGCCTGGTGAAACATTGAGAAGCTGGAAGGATGGCTCTGCCAGGGTGAGGGTTTCGTTCAAACCAGAGTCCTGGTCCTTGTTCCCCTTTTCCGCACCACAGCACTGAATGGCAACCTCTTCCTGTCCGACGGAACATTCCAGGCTCCGGAGTTAAGGTCGTGGTAGCGCTTGCAGATCGGCAGTGGAGACCCTGATTCACCTCGTTCTCTTATCACTTGGCAAGCTCCAAAAAAGCAGCACGGAATACGGGCCATTCTCACGGACTTTGGCGAAGCAAGAGTAACTGGAAGCTCGCCATCAAACCCAGCAGTGCCTCAATGCAGGTATCCGCTGTGTCTCCACTCACAGCCGCCTGGACCATTTCCATGGAACGCAGCGCATCCGGACTTCGCGAAGAAAGGGGTTAAACAAGGAAGGTGGAGCGTCGAGCATATTGACCGCGATTGCGTTTCTTTTTCTGTGCACGAATCAGAGGGCGTAGCGCTAGGCACGATGGGTGTGGTGTTGCGGCGACTTCGGAACGGCTGGCCTGGATCGACGCAAGCCTCAAAAGCGACCACGGTGCTTGTTTTGTGCGGCAATGGTGTCATCGGCCTGACTCGAGCGGAACAAACAACACAACAGCTGAGTAAGGGAACCCTCGACGGTCATTGCCTGATCCGATCCGATCAGGGGCGCAGCAGCCGACTGATGTTTGAACAGCAGGGCGGGCGGCCCGACGGCGGAGGTGAAACAGAGAGAAAACTTGCGCACACACCGGAATCGGCTCTCTCGTCCTTCCCGCACACTATCGGAGGCGGCACACTTTACGTGCGGATGCATGCAAATCCGATGGGATGGTCCAGGCTGTCTCAGCGGAAACAGGAAGGAAGGGACTGTGCCCCTAACTATACAAAGATTTTATGGGTCTGGTGCTGTTCGTCCAATCCGCTCTTGGAAGGCGGCCGAGCGAAGTGGAACAGCTGTTGTCGGGGCTGGTGTTGTGCCATCATGCGAGATTGGCTCTGCATCGGATTGAACAAGCATCTGTGTTGTAGCGCAGGGCAGGCCCAACGAGGAAACTGACATTGGAAACTCCTTTTGGAAGGCGGCTCGAGCTGGGAGGGGCGCTGAAGAGAGCATGTCGTGTCATGATCCGGTAAGTCCGCTGCCTGCTTACGATGGTGGCTAAGAGATTTTGCTTATCAGATTCACCGACGGCCCATTTCCGCCCTGCGCCTCGAAGCTTAGAGGGAGGCGGGCTAGACGAAGCGGGCAAGAAAGTGGGTATGCTTAATCTGCCACCCCTGCAGAAGATCCTGCGTTTTGCAGCACCGTCGGTCCGATGCAGCTGCGACAATTTTTTCGAACAACCTGCCCGTCTCCTCCGTACTCGCATCGCCAAGGCCCTGGCGCTGCTTAAGGGTCGCAATAATGGCGAAACTCTGCGCCGCAGTCGGGGGGGTGTCCGTAGCACGTAGCCTCTCGAGGATGCAAAATAGAGAGTCGTAGCAACTGTAAGGCACTGCCCAGTTCTCCATTGCCTCCGACATGATAGTATTCGCCGCTCCGTCCTTGGCACGACGCAAGCCGAGCACCGGAGGCACGCCCGCGGGAACGGTGAGGCCGTGAGGCCGTTTTCTCGGCACGGTCCGATGATGAAACGAATCCTTTCGGCGCCCGGCCCCCCTGGTCAATGTGAAGCGCCGAGTGCAAACAGCTATGCCCGCCTGTGAGATCATCGTCCTGTTTCCCCCCATTGCTAAGCATGACAAAGTCCTCGCTTGCTCGTATATGCTGGAACCCTCTGTATAGCGCTTGGGTGCTTGGTGACGGGACGCCGGATTTACGAGTGCCGGGGTGTGAGTATATCTACACCTATGCCGCCGAGTGACTTCCGGTCCTCTCTCCAGTAGCATTCGCCGATCTCTTCATTCCTCGCTCTTTCTCACACGCAAGTGTCTCTGGCAAGATGTACCGTGTTCTCGCAACTGCACCGCTCCTCGCGGCTACGGCTCTGGCAGCCCCGACTGCTCCGGCCAAGTACGACTACATCGTCGTTGGCGGTGGCACCAGCGGTCTCGTTGTTGCCAACCGTCTGTCGGAGCTGAACAACGTCACTGTCGCCGTCATCGAGGCGGGTGGCTCCGTCTTCAACAACGAGAACGTTACCAACCCCAACGGCTACGGACTGGCCTTCGGTAAGGAACTGTGGCTTCACTTCCGATTGGATTGAGACTGACTCATCTGCAAGGTACCGACATCGACTGGGCCTACGAGTCCGTTGAACAGACCTATGGCGGCGGCAAGACCCAGACTCTCCGTGCCGGCAAGGCTCTTGGTGGCACCAGTGCCATCAACGGTAAGGATTGCGCCCTCCCGCTTGAAGTGAAGTGATGCTGACAGCCACTTTCAGGTATGGCCTACACCAGAGCCGAGGATGCGCAGGTCGATGCATGGGAGAAGATCGGCAACAAGGGCTGGAACTGGGCGTCGCTGCTCGAGTACTACAAGAAGTCGGAGACTGTGCAGCCTCCCAAGGCGGACCAGCTGGCGGGCGGCGCGACCTACGACCCTGCCTACCACGGCACCGAGGGCCCGCTCAAGGTCGGCTGGAAGAACCAGATGATGAACATCAGCTTCCCCGAGGTGCTCAACTCGACCTACAAGGCCAACAACGTGCCGTACATCTACGACATTGCTGGCGGCAAGATGGCCGGCTGGAACGTCTTCCCCTCGACCCTCGACGTCGAGCTCAACGTGCGTGAGGATGCTGCCCGCGCCTACTACTACCCCTTCGAGAACAGGACCAACTACCATGTTCTGCTCAACACCGAGGCTCAGAAGCTTGTCTGGGCTGAGTCCGGCGCTGAGGCCACTGCCTCGGGTGTCGAGGTCAAGGACAGCACTGGCCAGACCCGCACCATCTACGCCAACAAGGAGGTCATCCTGTCGGCCGGTTCGCTGAAGTCTCCTCTCCTGCTCGAGCTGTCTGGTGTCGGCAACCCCGATATCCTGAAGGCTGCCGGCGTCGAAGTCAAGGTCGAGCTCCCTGCCGTCGGTGAGAACCTCCAGGACCAGACCAACAACGGCTTCGACGGCGTCGCGACCAAGAGCTTCAGCGGCACTGCCGTCAACGTCGCCTACCCCAACGTCGAGGACATCTTCGGCAACCGCACCGCCGCCATCGCCGCCGACGTCAAGAAGCAGCTCGCGTCGTACGCTTCCGACGCGTCCAAGGTCTCCAACGGCGTCATCTCCGAGGAGGCCATCGCCCAGTTCTTCGAGATCCAGTACGACCTGATCTTCAAGGACCTGGTCCCGCTCGCCGAGATCCTCATCTACCCCACCGGCTCTGCCTTCAGCGCCGAGTTCTGGAGCCTGCTGCCCTTCTCGCGCGGCAACATCCACATCGCCGACGCCTCTGCCGCCTCGGCCAAGATCAACCCCAACTACTACCAGGCCACCTGGGACATGACCGAGCAGGTCGGCACCGCCAAGTACATCCGCCAGCTCTTCAACACGGCCCCGCTCAAGAGCCTGCTCGCCAACGAGACGGAGCCCGGCGCGGCCGTCGCCACCGACGAGCAGCTGTCCGAGTGGATCCTCGACAACTACCGCTCCAACTTCCACCCCGTCGGCACCACCGCCATGATGCCCAAGGATATTGGTGGCGTCGTCGACTCGTCGCTCAAGGTCTACGGCACCAGCAACGTGCGTGTCGTCGATGCCGGCGTCCTGCCCTTCCAGGTCTGCGGCCACCTCGTCTCCACCCTGTACGCCGTCGCCGAGAAGGCGTCCGACATCATCAAGGCCGAGGCTTAATCGCTGCTAAGCATTTTCCTGCTTCTGCGGTAGTCTCGACTCCTCTTTTTTCTCTCTTCTTCCGAGCTCGGAATCAGCCGAACCAGCCAATGCTGTTCCCTTGGCTCGCCTTATTTTGACTTTTTTTCTCTTCAAATGACCTGCCGCATGAGCTGGCATGGTGAGCAGGTCTTGGCGAATACAGCCACTTTTGCCTCTTTAGGGATATAGACTGGGATTCATAGACATAGACGGTGGGAAGGAACGATACCATCATCGGAAAATACCTTATGCGCCCAGGCTCCAATGCGTGCCAAGCCATTGGAGCCGGACGAAAAGCAGGAAGCCACGCAGTTAGTGATGACGGGCGGTGAGAACGAATGAAAAGAGCAAATTAGACTTACTCGGCTGCCGTGTTTTGAGTGACTGCTGATTCGCACAATCTAGACTCGTAGTAATGGCGGGGCCGTGATTGGGCGGAAGCTATAGTGTGGAGTTGTGGTGGCTTACGGCTTTTGGGGGTGGCTGCGCATGATACGAAGGAGCTACGTGCGGGATAAACCTAGATTTCAGCATCTTGTATGCAGCATCTATGCATCCCGCACGGCGGATCCTGCATAGCCGAGACGAAAATAGCTCTGTCATCCGACGATCTTGAATCAAAAACTCCTTTGCTTATCATGTATTCCTGCATTATCCCTGCTCTTCGCCTGCTTCAACATGCACGAAATGTGAACTCCGATGAGCCACTGCTCACCGGAACATGCCACAGCATTGAAGCGACCGGTACAGCGGTCGTGGCGCTGTCGACCGTTTGCCACGCGAGGAATTTTTTCTAACAGTCCATGTACCTGGTACTTGGAAGGACCCGGATGGCAGCCAAGAACCGCTCGGCTGGGAAGTCGACCGACGTTCCCGAGTCTGGGACGCCGGCAGAGCAAAAACCAAGGGAGAAAAGCGGGATCAGGACGTGGGCTGAAAGCTTGGGATAGCGTGCCAAGCACGACGGCATCTTCCCCACGGCGCGCTCTCCACGTAGCTGGCTCCGCGTATCATCCTTCCCGAAAGGGGCTGTATCGCTTACCTATACGAGTAATCTCACATGCGGGGAGAACTCGGAGCTAAACCGTAGATCGTAAAGAGTGTGTTCAGCCGCACCACCTGGCATCCGGATCTCCACTTAAACTTCCGCTGATTGGGCTTTCGTGAGGCTTACCTGCTCTGGCAAATACGAGATCGTGGAGATGTCAATGCTCCGTCTTCCGCGCGGGGTTCATTGACCAAACCATCCGCCCAATCACACCGCCGTTGAATTTAGGTATGCAGATACTGGTACCGCGGCCTTGACGCCTAACGCGATACTAGCGTGTGTTTGGTGAGCTGATGATTACTTGGTACCGCAGACTGCAGCAGCTGAACCAGCCTTCGTCCAATCGCGTGGGAGCGTTCCTGGGCGAGAAGCGGTAAGGCTGAACCGAGCCAGATGGATACATACGGTAGCGAGGGCGCTGTCGAAGCTCATCGTTTTCTTGGCGGCACTGTGTTGGCACTGCGCCATGAATTCCCACGAGGCGCTCGAGTACCTTCGATGAAGCGTGCCAGACCGTGTCAGCGCGTTGGATCCAACGTTCTCGCCCACGCTCGCGGCGTTCACCAGCTGAGGCGCCGGCAGTCAAGCTCATCAGACACCTGAGCCCGGAGCGCCCGTCGAAGATAGTGGCAGGCTGCGGTGGCGTATGACGGGCCCGCGAATCCTCCGTCCTGCGCCTCCCCGGCAGGTCTAGAGAGGTCGAGATGGCAGCTGTGAAGAGTCAACTCATCCAAGGCAGAAGAGAAACTTGTATATATGACCCTCGTCGTCTTGCGCTTTCTTACCATCATCACCACCAGCATCTCGCTCCATCAAACGGTCTCATCTTTTGAGGAAGCCAATTGCGACCAATCCAACCAATCATCATGCGTGCCTCGTCTATCCTCCTTCTTTCCGCATGCGGAAGCACCGCGTATTCTTTCTCCTTCTCATCATCCCTTGACTCCCTTTCCTCGGCCGTCAACGATATAACTTCGCGGGCCCTCTCCAACCTCACCCCTCGCAAGAACCCTTCCTGCCCGGCGATTTACTCAACAATCTCTTCCGACCTGACCAAGGACTTCCTGGGCTCCGACGGCCAATGCACTGACCTCGCTCGCGCCGCCATCCGCTATGCCTTCCACGACGCCGGCACCTTCTCGCTCAAGCTGCCCAGCTACGCTCCGGCCTCGGGCGGCGCCGACGGCTCCCTCCTCCTCGTCCCATCCGAGATGCTGAGGCCTGAGAACAACGGACTGCAGGCATACCACGTCTACATCACGGCCAAGTACGCCAAGTACAAGCCGCAAGGCGTCGGCGCCGCCGACCTGATCCAGTTCGCCGGCAACCACGCCGTCGTCACCTGCCCGGGCGGACCCACCGTCAAGACTCTAGTCGGCCGCACCGACTCGACCCAGGCGTCGCCGACAAACGTGATGCCTCCGGGCTTCGGCAAGGGCAGCGACCACGACAGCCTGTTCCAGCTATTCCAAGACAAGGGCTTCAACGCCGTCGACCTGGCGGCGCTGATGGGCGCGCACAGCACGAGCAAGAACATCGCGCAGACCGAGATCCCCATCGGCGCGCCGCAGGACAGCACGCCCGGCAAGTGGGACGTCAAGTACTACGCCGAGACGTACAACCCGCCCGCCGGCGTCGCCCGCTTCCAGAGCGACATCAACCTGTCCAACAAGTCGACCGCCGTCGGCAAGGAGTTCAACGGCTTCGTCAACAACCAGGGCAAGTGGACCGGCAAGTTCGCCGACGCCATGTTCCGCCTCAGCCTGCTCGGCATCTCGTCCGACACGTACAAGAACTGGGCCGACTGCACTTCGGTGCTGCCCGCGGCCACGAGCTCGAAGAGGGACATCAGGCGCATGCCCATCAACGACCGCGCTCGGTAAATGGAGTGTGCAAAGAGAAGCACTTGTGAATACGTCTTTTTCCGTTCTGTTATGAAAGCGATGATTAGCATGGAGGAGTTAATGGGAGATAAAGAACTGGGTTTTACGAGACTTCTTGTAGATATTCGACGCTCTTATTGTAAAGAGTGTTCCGCTCGATTGTTTCTACTTCACTCTTGGTCCAAAACGATCTTCACTGGACTCATTAATCAACGATTCATACCAATCCTCAATCCTTGCAGGGCTGATTCATTCACACGTGCTACTTACTCGAAAGTCTCGACCATTCCATCGACGTTCTAACTCGTTGCGCCACGGCTCCGTCTTCGAGAAGGCAGAGAAGCGTAGATCGTAAAAAGACACACGACTGGGGTTGAAGCGCCAAGTAGATCGGCGGATGTCAGCGGGCGGCGGGAGGATCGATGATCGGGTTGCTATATTGAAGTCATAACGGAATACGGGGCACGCTTAGTCATGTGAGGAATAGAGTCTCTGTCAGGCGGTGTGACGCCCTGACGCGCAATCTTTAGTACCGCATATTCTCGAATAGCGTGAGCAAAAAAGCTATGGGCGTCGGCATATTGTTCGCTATTCTTCCCGGTGAGTATATTCGGGGCTCTAGAACAATGGAGCTTAACGACGGAACCCCCCATCTGGTAGTTAATCGTCGGGCCCACCCTTATTTCTTTTTTCTTTTTCCCTTTTTCTAGGATGGAGCCTTGGGGAGTAGATCATGCAGCACTCTGAAGACCAGTTCGTGGAGGCTTCACGCGCGTGGTTTTGTCGATGCCGAGCGCGAGTATTAATGCGGGGTGTGTCGCATCCAGAGGGGTCTAGAGGTGTCTCACGAGACCGGCGGGACAAGGGTTCAGATTCCCCAGGCTCTGCATGTCTGACCATCATTAGGCTGATGCTCTTCTCCTTTTCGCGCGCACTTTTGGCCGAGATCGCATGTGCGGGCGGAAACTGCCTTGTCTTGAGTATTGGGAGGTGGTGGCCGGATGTGCCGGGAAGGCCTTGTGCTCTGCTCGTGTCGTGCGTCATGGGCGTTGATGCGCATGAAACGCCCTAAACCACCGTACCCAAGCTTAAAAGTCAGAGAGCTATGTAATGGCCGCGTGCACCCTCGATCCGCTTGGATGCAAACGATAGCGCGGCGGGAAAAAAGGCGAGGCGTGCAAACGGTGCGCGCGAAGGAACGCAAGCTGGTACCTGCATCCAGCAAACGCTCGACGGGCGTTAGAAGCCGCAAAAATAGAATGAAGGTTACGGAAGTTGCGAAAGTATGCTGCAGAAGAGCCGGCATACTTGGGCACACTTGCGACTCGCTACCGTCGTGGTGATTGGCCCGCCAGTGTTTGCCAATGCGCGCCAACCCCCAGCGACACCTTTCTGCGGGGACGCACTGACTCAACCGAGCCTCCCCTTTGAAATGAGAGAATGAGCCTCTTCACCTCAGCAGAGCGCGCGGTCGACTGACACGTCCGCGGCGAGGAGGCCAAGATGAAGGGGATAAAGGAAGTCGGCTGCCCACCATGGGCCCTGTTCCTTCTCAACAACCACCACCTGACCCTCTTTTCTGCGTGGGCCAGTGACGACAGTCTGTCTTTTTTCTTTTGCATCTACCACTCTCTTTAAAAGGCCTTGCCTTAAGTCATTCTTTCTTGCGCCAACAACTCCACCATGAAGTTCCTCTCCGCCGCGACGCTGCTGGCCGCGGCCACCCAGCTCGCATCTGCGCGCTACATCATGTACGCCGACGAGTGGCACTTGTCGGACCTGGGCAACCGGACCACCAACGCCGGTATCGACACGGCCATCATGGCCTTCGTGTCGACCAACGACTTCCTCACCGAGGAGGGCGGCACCTTTGAGCTGTTCGAGCCCGTCGAGACCTTCCGTGCCCGTTTCGACCCCGGCGTCAAGGTCCTGGCTGCCATCGGCGGCTGGAACGATGTCAACTACACCTTGACCATGAAGGACGAGGCCGCTCGCACCCGCTTCGCCAACAACTGCAAGAAGCTGATCGAGAAGTACAACCTGGACGGCATCGGTGAGTCGACTTCGAGGATACCGTTTGCGCACCATACTGACCACTCACCCAGACATCGACTACGAGTACGTCGGCGGCAACGGTGCTGACTACAAGACTGTGCCCAACACGGAGAAGGTCTGGGAGATCGACGCCTTCCCGCTGCTGCTCGAGGCCACCCGCAAGGCCATCGGCCAGGACAAGCTTCTGTCGATCGCCGTCCCCGGTCTTGAGCGCGACATGATGGCCTTCACGGCCGACACCATGCCCAAGATCGTGCCCCTGGTCGACTGGTTCGGCATCATGACCTACGACTTCATGAACCGCCGCGACAACTTCACCAAGCACCACACCGACCTGGTCGGCTCGCGCGCCTCGATCCAGCGCTACCTCGACCTCGGCCTGCCCGCCTCCAAGGCCACCCTCGGCTTCGCCTTCTACGCCAAGTACTTCACCATCGACCCCAAGTCCAACTGCGCCCAGGAGCCCCTCGGCGAGAGCTGCAAGACCGTCGCCCTCGAGCTCGCCGACGGCTCCGACAACGGCCTCTCCGGCGCCCTGACCTTCGAGCCTTCCAGCAAGCCCACCACCGCCCCGACCAACCTGACCGAGAGCCCCGACGGAACCTGCGGCGGCACCACCGGCTACAAGTGCAGCGCCGGCAACTGCTGCAGCTCTGGCGGCTGGTGCGGCAACAGCGAGGCTCACTGCGGTCTCTCCTGCCAGGCGGGCTGGGGCCAGTGCAACGGCCTGACGGCCATCCAGTCGTGGCAGAACGCCCTCGCCAAGCCCGTCGTCGACGAGGCCAACGGCGGCCACTACTTCCTCGACCGCAACGCCTCGCTCTTCTGGACCTGGGACGAGCCCGTGCACATCGAGCGCAAGTTCGACGAGATCGTCGACGTGCTCGGCGTCGCCAACGTCATGGCCTGGTCGCTCGCCGAGGACAGCCTCGACTGGCGCCACCTCTTCGCCATCCAGGACGGCGTCAAGCAGCACTGCCTGTCCGAGATCGAGGGCTTCAACGACGCCGCCTGCGCCGCCAAGGAGAACACCACCACCACCTGGACCACCATCTCCAAGGAGGCCCTTTCCCGCGCCGTCGAGTCCTACAAGGGCGGCGCTTACTACCGCAACACCCCCCACTTCTACGCCGCTCCCGTCCAGCCTCGTGGCCTCCCTGCTAGCTTCGCCGAGGTCAACGCCCACGGCCACAGCATCTGAGCGACGGTGTGATGGCTTGCTGTTAGAAGTTTTGTAATTTGCTTCATAGACTAGAGTGTTGGTGTGCCATAGATAGGATATCCGTGGTCAAATTCAAGACTCTGTTTCCGCTTGGAACCTGCTCTCCCTGTTCGTGTTGGTGATGTATGTGAAACTCCGGAAAATCCAGCAGGTCGGAGGCGTTCATCATGGGCGATGCTCAGGGTACTAACGTACCACGTTCCGCTCCATCATCGGCTGATCTGTGGGGCCTCGGTGGTGAGACATGGGTAAATGGATTACCTAGTAAACGCGAAATAGCTTTGTGACTGCAAAGAATGTCTTTGCGAAAATGAGAATGGCCACAGTGGCTGACCAGCGAAGTACGAGTGGTCCTCGAGCTCGCCTCAGGGGAAAGTGGGCAAGATTTTCCGTTTGGAGAGAAAAGAAAAGGGGCATTGAGTTCACAACTTGAAAAGACAAACCAATGGAAACAAGACTTAGGAAGAGAATTGTATGAATAGTAAGAACGCGCAGAAACGTTCTTTTTGCTGAAAGAATACTAAACCGCTACAAGGAAGTTTGACGAGTGTCTCTAAACAAGCTCTTTCAATAGCTATGCTTAGCGAAACAAGAAAAAAAAGGTAATCTTACCACGTTACTCGAGATCCATGGTGGCTAAGTGTGAGGATTCGTCTCCAGAAAAGAATACTGCTGAAAAGTGTGGATGCTGTTCTCTTTGCAACTCCACAAAGGTACTGGAGAGATTCGCCTTCCTCAGACAGAGCGTAAGAGCAACTCGAGATTTAAGGCAAAGGCGCCTTGACAAGATTCACACAACACGGAGAGGAGTTGGAAATGGCGTGGCAGCGTCGAAATGAGGGATTATGATGTTATGTCCTCGTTGGCGACGCCCAGCCTGCATATCAGTTTCAGCGGCACCCCACGTGAAGGTTAGGCTCGCCTCCACAAATTTTCTCGTACTTTCAAACCCTGGATTTCCGCTGCGCAGGTGGCTGGTAGCCTATCGTTCGGTCAAGGTTATCAGCGCAGATCGCTGTCGATCTATGCGTCAGAAAAACGGTCCCTTCATCCCAACGGTCGGGTTCTCGTAGGGCGTGCAATCAAATACGACCCTTTCGCCCTTTCACAATCGCTCGCGGCGAAAAATGAAGAAGATCGCGCTGGGCAGCGCAAGGAGAAGAAAGGGATCAGAGGCGCATTGTTTGGCGACTGGTAGCTGTCGGTGGGTTCTCGAAACAACCTAATCCCGGCGCGTTGGTCTGGTCTGAATTAGGATTTTCAGCCACAGTGAGAGGAATAATAGCTCATGATGCAACCCGTACTCGGGTCTGCGGGCTCGGACGGTGGGTACGCGGTCGCGATCTGGTGTTTCGGGGTGTTTGTCGTTCAGTAAAAGAGCGGTGTTCAGCATGAAGCATTGAGGAAGCGAGGAGGTATGCGCGCGGACAGCTGAAACATCGCCAAGCTGAGCATTTCTCTTAAAGTGCGTGCTATCGGCGGCCGCTGGTGTAACAGTTTGAGAGGAGGCAAGTGGTGGTGCTGCTGCTGAGGTCCGGTGACGGGCCGGATTGCCTGAGGCTTGCGTACTCGGAATCTCCATCAGGCAGGCAACCCCACATGCAAGGCGGAAATTGAGCACAGCCGCCGGCAGCTTGCGTGTGGCGGTCGCGTTTAACAAAGACCAAACGGCGGTATACCGCTCACGCGGATGCAGCGGCCAAGGATACGAGAGGCGGTGATGAGAGACGCAGGGCTGAGAGGGCTGATTCGGAGGCTGGGCAAATGTGCTGGGTGTTGGCTCCACCAATGGCGGCACGAGGACAGGCGACTGGGCTGAGATTGAGCGCAGAGATGGTGAGATGCACCGCGCACACGTTCGTGCGGCGATGCTTGGTGTCCTTCGGGGCAAACAGCCGGACGGCCGTGCGGAGGGAAGAGGAGCCTGTTCCTGTTCCTGGCGCCTCTTAGCCTGTCGGAGCACCGACCGCCCGCCTGGCCTAGCCCGACCCTCCCAATCGCCGACCTCAACACCAACGCCCCTCTCCCCTCTTTCACGAGACACGTCCAGGTTATGTGCGCGACCAATGCGACTCCGCGGATCCAGGCCGCAGAGCCGCGCTGTGGCGCAGAGCGGGATGTCGCAGCTGGCGGCCGGCAGATGCAGCCGTGCGCACGACGACGAGGCTCTGGACATGGGCCACAACTGACCCGCAGCGCGCTGATGCGTCCCGCAATTTGAGCTACCAACGCTGCAGCGGTGGCTAGCCGGTTCGGGCAGTGCTGGCGACGCTGCCCCAGCGCGCCGAGTCGCGGTCTCATTTCCCGAGCGGCCGCGCATCCTCCCTAATAGTGCGCATGTGTTTCAGAGAAAGAAGTACAAAAGTACTGGCTCTCCACCACTGGCCCTTTCCACACGCTTTCGCGCCTCTCGCCGGCCGGTTCACTCATTATTCTCTGATTTTTCAGAGGTCCATTCTTTTTGCTGCTTGCTTGCTTTGCACGCCTCCAGCTCCCGGCGCCACTCTCTTCGTGTTAATATACACTTCCGGTCTTTTCACCTTCGCCATGCGCTTCAACAAAGCCGTTGCCGGCGCTCTCGTTGCCGGCGCCGGTCTTGCCCACGCCCAGGACGAGTTCTGCAGTGAACGCTCCACCCTCGTGGTCACCGAGTATGTGACTCTGCCCGGTCCCGTCGCCTCGACGCCCTCGCCCGTCGCCTCGTCGAGCGTTGATGGCTCGGTCCCCGACGAGACCACCTCGGTCCAGGTCGTCACCATCAAGCCGGTCCCTGCCACCTCTACCCCGGCCCCTCCCATGACCACCTCGACCGTTTACTCGACTACCTCGAGCGTCAACACCAACGGCGAGGTCGTTTACCAGACCATCAGCCAATACACCACGGTAATTAGCCAATTATGTTGCTCAATTGCCAATATACTGACTTTTCCCGATTAGGTCTGCCCCGTGAGCGAGACTGCCGTCTCAGGCGTCCCTGACGAGTCGACGAGCACGATCCACTCCACTTCTACCACCGAGAAGTTCGTGACCATCAGCGTGCCCTGCACCGAGTGCTCTGCCACCTCCACCCAGTGGACTACTTCCACCCTCTACACCACCTCGGCCTCCATCGATTCGACCGGCGGCACCGTCATCGTGACCGTGCCCCACACCACCACGGTAAGCAACCAATTTTAGCATCAATTCAATTTACAATGAAACTGACTATTCCGCCAGGTTTGCCCCGTGACGGCCACTGAGTCCAGCCTGCCGACCATCTCGTCGACCAGCAAGTGCACCAAGACCCGCACTGTCACCGTCGACCCCGAGCCGGTTACCGTCACCGTGACCCCGTCGGCTCCTGCCACCAGCTCGGTCGATGGTAACGATGTCGGCGTTGCCGAGTACACCCCGAGCAGCTACTCGCTGTCCTCGGCCGTTGAGACTTCGGCCCCGGCCCCTACCCCGGAGGTCGTTACCGTTTACACGACCTCCCACATCGTCTCTACCGCTGTGAAGACGAGCACCGAGGTCGACTCCGTCGGCAGCTCCACGGAGCGCGTTGTCACTGAGGTCGTCACCATTGGCACCACCGTCTGCCCTGTCACGGCTACCCAGACTCCTGCCGGTACCCCCTCTGTCGCCTCTGTCGCCGTTGACACCCCCGTCTACACTCCTGCCCCGGAGGTTACCCAGTACACGACCTCTCACATCGTCTCCACCGCTGTGAAGACCAGCACCTCTGTTGATGTTGACGGAAGCTCCAAGGAGCACGTCGTCACCGAGGTCGTTACCATTGGCACCACTGTCTGCCCGGTTACCGCTACCCAGACCCCGGCTGGCACTCCTTCCGTCGCTGTTGACACCCCTGTCTACACTCCTGTCTCTGCCTCCACCCCCTACGGTGCTGATGTTCAGGGTGCCGCCGTCCCCTCGTCGAGCTCGGCCTTGTTCGCTGTTGACACCCCTATCTACACCCCTGTCGCCCCGTCGTTCGCCGTCGACACCCCCATCTACACCCCCGTCGGTACCCCTTCGGTTGCTGTTGACGTCCCCGTCTACACCCCGGCTCCCGCCTCTGATGCCGGTGTCGAGGGCGCCAACGCCACCCCCTCGTTCGCCGTTGACACTCCCATCTACACCCCTGTGGATGTGCCTTCCGTCGCCGTTGACACTCCTGTCTACACCCCGGCCCCGGTTGCTTCGACTCCCGCCACTGATGCCGGTGTCGAGGGTGCCAATGCTGTGAGCACTCCCTCGGTTGCGGTTGACGTCCCCGTCTACACCCCTGCCAGCACCCCGATCACCTGGGCCCAGACCACCTTCGCCACTTCGGCCGCTGCTTCGACTCCCAGCTCTAGCTCCAGCTCCGGTCTCCTGACCACTGTCGGCAGCACCGTCTCCACCCTGAGCGAGACCCTTACTGGTGAGGCCACCTACTACAGCGGTAACATTGCCTCGGGTACCTGCAGCTTCTCCGGCTACACCCTGCCCTCTGACATCTTCGGTACCGCTCTGTCTCTCACCAACTGGGACACCGCCAGCAACTGCGGTGCTTGCGTCAACGTCAAGGGTTCCTCTGGCAAGACCATCAAGGCCATGATCGTCGACAAGTGCGCGGACTGCTCTGACAACTCCCTGGACCTCTTCCAGGATGCTTTCAGCTCGCTGGATGCCCTCGCCACCGGTGTCCTCGACATTACCTGGGAGATCGTCGAGTGCGGTATTGAGACCGCTCTGGAGCTCGTCAACAAGGACGGTGTCTCGGCCAACTGGTTCAGCATGCAGGTCGTCAACAGCAACCTGCCCGTCAGCGCTCTGCACGTCTCGGTCGACGGTGGCTCCACCTGGACCGAGACCACCCGTACCGACTACAACTTCTTCGAGTACGAGCAGGGCTTCGCCACCGACCTTGTCGACATCAAGGTCACCTCGTCGACCGGCAAGGAGGTCATCACCAAGAACGTCACCGTCGCCTCGTCCCAGTCGCACACTTGCGAGTCCAACTTCTAAGCGCGTTAGAAGACGTCGGGAACGGCTGCGTTGGCTTTGTTTTAGCGATTACTTTGCTTTGTTTCGATTTACCCTTCTTCTTAATCAAGCCCTCGAAATCTTGATACCAATTCTTGTTTCATGTCCGTAATTTCCTCCTTGTTTTGCATATGATAACGTTAAAGCCCACTTCCGTGCATATAAATACCAATGAAGATGCGAAGTTGAGGTCAACAGATCTTTTTCCCACCTTGGATCAATATTATGTGATTTTCTACTTGGGCCTTGCGGGAGTTTGGAAACAAGCGTTGACGGACTGGTGCCCGAGCGGTCTGATTGGGATCTGCGGTCTACCCCTCGGACATTAGCGTGGTAACGTTATTCCCGTTTGGACCCGGCGTAATAACTTTAATCTCGACCACGTGGTGTCCTACGTTTGCTACAGGTGGAATGGTGGTTCGGTGCGACTTTGGTCGTTGGTCGATGCAGGGAAAGCATTAACGAATAAATGATGAGTGATCTGGCCAATCGTGAATAGTAATAGATTGCCGAGGTAAGTGATGTTCTTTTGTTTCAGGGATGAATTGAAGAAACTGACCGGAGCTCGAGTGCGGCCGAGGCTACTCTTGGTGCCTGGCCTGACTGCTTGCCTGATAGCAATACGGGAGGTGTGGAAACGGATAGCAAGAAGAGTGAGTGTTTCTCTTTGGAACTGCTTCTGCTAGACGGGAGCCATTTCTACCGCCACCGCCACTGCCCTTGTGTCTTCTAGTTACTAAATCTGTTCCTTGGCTTGTCCTGAGGCTCTAGTATGGTACAGAAAAGAGCGTGAACTGGCCGTCCCTTAATTCCGCGCTCTGCCGGGATCCGAGAGTATGCTAGATAAATGCGGGGTTGTTAGTGGGGTTATCTGTTGGTCGATCACCCCGCAACAGCCAACCGCTGTGCCGCCGCATCTCTCCAAGGACGCCTCGATCCCCGCATGGTGGATCCGTTTTTCTCTCCATCGCGTCATACTGTTCCCTGACCATCCGCGACAACTCATTAGGTACGGGCGGGAAGGATGGGTCTTACCAAGATGGGCTTACCAAGATCCCATACCGTCCCTGAGACAATGGTTCCCCTAATCAAGGTGGGCTGCATTAGCGGTTGAACTATGCGCGGTCGAGTGGATACTTGCCAACGCAAAATACAATAGGACCGGATACCGATGGAAAGAGAGGGTCAATAAGTGTGGCGGTGCGGAATGCGTCCGTTTCTATTGACCGGCGGCGTCCCCACAGCTGGCCAGGCAAACGTTATCCCGCCCCTCCTCACACATCCGGGCGTATCCTACGTCCCACAACTGACGTCGTTGGCTTTTTTGGACCGAGGCCTACAGACCGCGGACGTTTCAATCGGGAGCTGGGAGGCGGCTTGGATCCACAATGCCTTGTAATCAATCTACCCCGCAGATATGCAGGCGTCCGGCTGCTGAAGGCGGGGATGGCGTCGAATGGTACTTGCTCGTTCGTGTACAAAAGGGGACGGCGGTACGTTTCCCCTCTTTCCCTTCGTGGATATCTCCCTAAGACCGAGGAATTAGTCTTTAAATACGCTTGCTGCTGCTCGAGGAAGTTGCGAACTCCCTGAAGCACCTTCTCTTTCTTGTTGATCCTTCCATTGAACACCCGACTTTCCTGGCAACTTCACGGCTTCTCATCACCTTGAACAACGACGAAGACAGCACCGCACAAACCGACTGAGGAAATAATAAGGGAGCAAACACATACGAAGCTCCACCACTCTCTACACCATGTCGACCCATCCGGAAAGCACAGCCCACACGGGGGAGACGAAGTTCGAGATCCCAAAGACCTGCAAAGCCGGCGTTGTCGTCAATGAAGGACCGAATTTCCACGTCGAGATCCAGGACGTGCCAGTTCCCGAGCCAGGTATGAGAGACGAATCCAGCCCCGCTCACTCCAGCCCGATACAATTTCTTCCCTTCTTCGCAATTCAGAAAAGGCCAAAACTAACCATCCTCGCCTCCACCCCACAGGCCCCGACGAAGTCCTCCTCCGCCTCAACGCAACCGGCCTCTGCATGTCCGACATCCACTTCATGGCCAACGACTGGGCCGTGCCCCCCATGTCAACCTTCAACACGCGGTGCGCGGGCCACGAAGGCGCCGGCGTCGTCGTCGCCGTCGGCTCGAACGTCAAGAACTGGAAAGTCGGCGACCGCGGCGGCGTCAAGCCGCTGTGGGACGTGTGCGGCAGCTGCGAGCAGTGCTGGACGGGCAAGGAAAACTACTGCCAGCGCGGCGTCTACACCGGCCTCGTCGCCAACGGCACCTACCAGCAGTACATCACCAGCCCCGCGAAGTACACGAGTCCGATCCCGGATGGCGTGGCTGATGAGGTCGCGGCGCCGGTCATGTGCTCCGCGTCGACGATGCATCGGGCGTTGGTCGATTCGGCGCTGCGGCCGCGCGATTGGGTTGTTTTTCCGGGGGGTGGTGGGGGTGTGGGCATTCAGGGCGTGCAGTTGGCGAAGGCGATGGGGTTTAGGCCCGTGGTCGTGGATACGGGGGCGGCGAAGAGGGAGCTGTCGGTGAAGATGGGGGCGGAGCAGTTTATCGATTTTAAGGAGGTGGAGAGCGTGGCGGAGGAGATCAAGAAGGTGTGCGATGGCCTCGGCGCGCACGGCGTCATCGTTACGGCGCCGCAGGCGTACAAGGATGCCATCAGCTATATTGGCGATAGGATCAGCGGGAAGATTGTTTGTGTGGGTTTGCGTAAGTTGAACCTCCCCCTTGGCTCGAAGTGTGAGCATGGTGCTGACTGGACGTGACTTGCAGCTCCGGCCGGCGCGACAACCATTGGTGCGGACCCGAACACCATCGTCTTCAAGAACTTGACCATCATCGGCAGCTTGGTTGGAACTATGTCGGATACGGCGGCGGCTCTGGAGTATGCAAAGCGCGGATTGCTGAAGCCGATTTGCGAAGTACGTGGGTTGAGCAAGATGCCTGAATCGGTGCAGCAGCTGCGGAGGGGAGAGGTTGCTGGCCGTGTGGTGATTGATTTCAACCAGCCGTGAGAAATGCCTTGGAGAACAGAAAGAGAAACAAAGGAAAGAAACGATGCGAGAGCTGGAGAGAAGGCTGGGTATTTTTAGCCTGCGCCGCCAACAACAACTACTTTAGCAAATGATTCAAGACATCAAGGTACACAAAATGACGTGTTGCATAACAGCTGAGCTTTGAATTAGCCGGTAGATGAATAAGCAGTGTATACACTCACCTATCGCCGATACATGATATCTGAACGGGATTCGTTAAGATCATCAGACATCACAAGGAATGCATTCCGAATCAAGTAAGGAGTTTCCTTTAAGAGTTGCTAGGCGTACTAGCATACACTAAGATATATACCGTCGGCTCTTAAGGTTCTGGCTGACATTGTCAGCCCCCTCCCTTCGGCAGAGAACATAGTCTCTCCCCCGTCTTTTCCATCATCCATACACATCACAACACTTCACCCTCAACCAATTGCGACCCACCCCGGTTATCGCACGCGCCCTGCGACTTGACCTCGTACGGCGGCGGCACCCCGTTCTCAAAGGGCAGGGCGAAGGATATGGTAGTCTCATCTGTCGGGTAGCGGGTGTAGTGGCCCGAGCCGACAGTGTCAACAGCGACGATGAGGCCGTTCCCGCCCCCAACGACCCACGCCTCGTCTGATGAGTGGGGCAGTGTGACGTGGGCGAGGCCGGAGGAGAAGATGACGAATCTGTTTTTTTCCCCCCGTCCGTCGCAGTCAGTCTCTCTCGTTTTTTTCTTGCAAGTTCGGGGATTGACGCAACTGGTTCTGCGGCGCGTTGTGCAGGCCGCCATCGAAGCGCGGCGGGATCACAGCGTATTCGGCTGCGGTGGACAAGTTAAAGCGGAAGCGCAGCGCGCCCGCGATGCCGGGCGTGGTGGGGACCTCGAGCGGCGTGGTGAATTGCCAGCATTGGAGAGCGGAGGAATTTGTTGCGGCATCTGTGACGATGGCTGTGGCTGTGAGGTAGGAGGCCGTGTCGTTGGTGGTCTGGGCAGTTGTAACTCCAGCGATTAGGAGGGCAAGCAGCGCCGAGGGTCTCATGGTGGATGGGATTGAAACGACCGGGAAAGACAGAAAGCTGCATGGCGACTTGGACAGGCCCTGAGGTCCTTTTTATTCTGCACTCCTGACATGATCCCAGGGTTCCCCGCAGCGTCAGACGCAGTGCAACCAATATAGAAAGTCAGTGCGCTGAATGAACGTCAGTAAGTCTCGGAAAGAGCAAAGTTCGGATGAAGAGATCTGGTTCGGCACGCAGGCACACTTCGAAATAAGCAATGCAGGGTTGCAGCATGCGGCTTGCAGATAACGAAAATGCATGGTAGTGATTGAGGGGTAGTGGCGGAGATCACCCGACGCCATCACTCGCGAGTCAATATGCGGGGTACCCGATGCCGGAGTCCGATGAGGTTTGCGCAAGAATCCATGATGTCGCTGGCTTACGAATGCCGAAATTCTCGAAGACGACGATGAGAAAGAAGAGCCGGAGATGATGGCAATCTGTGGCTGATTATCAACACCCGCTCGGTCCCGAGATCGGCTCTTACGTCATTTCGTGTTCGAGACGCAAGGGTCTGACGAATTGACGCTGCTATCCCCGTCATACTATCGCCGCACCGTCTGAATATTAGCTCTCTTCACGCCCATCGACATGCGATAAGAAACAGACAGGCAGTCACCCATCAACCGAACAATCTTCGAACACTCTATACGAACGACCCGACCCTTATCTCCCGGTCAAACGACATCGCCACCTCCGCAGAACAAACCTGCAAACAAAACAAAAAACCACCACGTGCAACCACACCACAAAAAAAAAAAAGCACACACACCTCCCACCAACGGAAACCCCCGCCACCATGGCCCTCGCCGGCAGCATCCAGTCCCGCCACCTCCCCATCACGCAGCTGCCGCTATCCTCGATCCTGCGGCCCATCCCGCCCGTCATCGACGCGCCCAAGGTCGACTCGATGGTGCAGACGCTGCGCGGCGAGGCCTGCGACTACGTGCCGTCGCCCGCTCCGGAAAAAATTGAGCCGGGCAAGCTGCCGCCCGTCGACGTCCTGCACTACCACAGCAAGGCACAGGACAGGGACTACTACTTCGCCTTCGGCGGCTGCCATCGCATGCAGGCGTACGATAAGGCGGGGGTTGATGTTGTCGATGTGAGGTGCTTGAAGGTGACGAAGCAGATGTTGAAGGTGTATTTGGGCGGGAGTGTGGATAGGATTGTTGGGGAGGAGTGAGAATCTGGACGGAGAGTGGGAGCTTGGTTGGCATTGTGAGGACCAGCATCTCTGAGTAAGGGCGGGTTGGAATGGAAAGATACCCTCGCATGTTCCATTTGAATATACTCATTAATTTATCATATGAAGCGAGCTACATCGGAAACGCCTCGTCAAAGTCTACACAATTTTTACGTCGACTGCCTCGCAGCTGTCAAAGAAGTTCCCTAGTGTTCCATCTGACTCTGAAAAGAATGTCCCAATTCTCAACCAGTCAACTCCGTTTTTCTTCGGTATGAGTAGGATTCCATGGAAAAATTGTCTTTCGTATATGCTTGCAATAAGGAACATAACCATATCGCTTAGAGGACCTGTTGACAGGTCCCAACGAAACGAGTCCTCAGAGTTATTGACATGCAGTTTCTCTCCATCAGCGAGTGTACCATCAATATCCACATGCGCGATGAGCTCTCCTCCGACTAAAAGCTTAAAGTTAGAACCTTCCTGTATCACTGAATGATGTTTGAGATGGTATATCTTGCCGCGGAGAACCAGATGACCATAACTGACGGCTCCAAAAGTATTGAGTCCTTCGGGAACCGTCAGAACATCCAAGATCTGGAGCTCCGGTTCGCTCTCGACAAGCATGGGAAGATGCACGCTTTGTTTCATCCGTGCCCAACTCCACGACGAGGCGATATAAGGAATAGGATCACACAAATGCTGAACAAGTTCGGCAATTGCAATCTTCGATTCCTCATCCGTCTGCCAATAGAGATGGCAATGGAGGTGGGAGAGCCAAAGGCCAGCCAGATAAACATCCTTGGTCCTGTTCTGAATGAGGCTAGCAAGCGCAGATATCGCAGGTAGTCTATCGCGCGGAAACGTCAAGTCGCGGTCGGCATAGCCTTCCATCAGCTCAGTCCAAGCTTTGCCGATGTCATTGCTTTCTTCGAGACATGACCTAATACTGGGCATTTTGTGTACGTAGAAGGCGCCTTCTGTATTGGGGTTGTGGCCATTATCCGAAAACTTGTGCCCGTCATATGTTTGAAGCGACACGACGTTGTTGCCAAAATACAGCAATCGGCGGGAAAATTCGCTTTCTTGCAGGGTCCACGCTCTTTTCACCCAACGCGATGTCATTTGATCGTGGTGTGAAATATGTGGCGACCCTTGCCAATCCCACTGGTCCACAAGAGCTGGCTGAAGCCAAAAGGATCCATTGATTCCATCGTTCAAAGTGGAAATGAAACTTATTTCCATTCTTGGCCGTTGACCGCGCTCCAAGAAGCCCATTTTAGGGGATTCACTCTTTAGCGGTACAATTGTCAAGTGGGCTCGACTGTATACCTCGTACATTTTGACCGATTCTTTCTCCCAGTCCAGTTGATCGTCTTGAATGATACACAAAGCGTCAATCCAGAGGTACCGTAGTCCGATGGTTCTCACGAACTTGATTGCGTCTCGAAATGTCTCTGGGCAGCACTCAAGCGGAATTTCCCGGCGGAAGCGCTCCAAGACACAATTCGTCGTCTTGAATTGAAGATCCCCGGGCTCGCCCCAGCAATGGCTCAATGCAACGTAGGAACACGCTCCGTTCATGTGCAAGTCCTCCCGGGACACGACTAAGCGAGGTTGCTGTGTTCCGTCCGAAGGGCCCACATCAATAAGTCTCGTAGGCACACTTTGAGTCTCATTTGCAAAGTCCACACATTGGTTCGTGCTATCCAACCATCCTTTGATTTGGGACAGTACCTCCGGATGTAGATATGAGGTCTGCGGAAGATTTCTGTGGATCCTCAGCCAGGATGCAAGCGGCCCTTGATGATCAATGAGTTTATCGACCGGGAAACATCGCGACTTAAAAGAGCTACCAACCTTGATCAGAGAAAAATTCGAAGTATAGTCGTTGGCAATCCGGTTGTGCAGTATCTCTGATCCAATCATAATCAAGTTCCAAAATTCCTCGACGATATTCCGGTGGATGAAGCCCTCCGACAGGGAGATCTATATGCCTCCACGAATAGCTAATTTTCCGAGTGCGTATTCGAGCAACACCCTGCCCTTTGCTCTTGTAGGCAGCATGGCAATGTAAAATTAGTGATTCTCGTAGCAGCTTGCAAAATTCGCAACCGTTTATTGACCCTTGCTGAAGCGTGGGTAGATCCGGGTATGTGTCTTCCCTCTCGTACGCTAATTCGATCCGCTCCACAGGGCCGGTTGGTCCGGTACTTTCGGGGAAAAGCACAAAGGGTGCTCCCCGTCCATCATCACGTTTTTCAACACCAAGACCCCAACTTTTGTCGTCAATGCGTATGACTGCGCACTTGTCGCAGAGAGATGTCTCTGAATGTGCTTCGTTTGGGCCTCTGACGTTTCCAGACGTTCCATGGTCGCGAGCATCAGTGTCGTGGGACAATCCGCCGAGGCGATATCCATCCATTAGCGGCCCGGGTCTGGTGGTTCCTTGAGAGGTGTTGTGCTGGCAAAGTTGCGTCGTGAGTGTAGCGTCGAGTGCAACTGCGGGGTAAGTGAAAACATCCTGACCCACAACGTGGCAGTGTAAGCAAGACTGCATTTTCTTAAGCGGATGCATGTACTACCTTGTCAGCCAATCTATGTACCACGCCGAAGATAAGTTGTAGCAAGAGTCATCCTCTATCGCTTGTATTGTCTGCTATCCTATTTGTTTCTCAAGGTAAAAAAAAAAATTCGATGGTACGATTCGCTTTGGAATTGCTTAAACTGAACCATGCAGTAGCTTTTCTAGAGTCTGGAGTACGGCAAGCACTCACCAGAAAATCTAGATAGCATCAACGACTTTGCAAAAATTCCCTCAGATAAGAGGCGGAAAACATGGTTCGACCGCGGCGATTCCGCATGACATCGAGGCTCTGCGCGAGTGGATCTTTGACCCACAACGGATCGAACCTTGCACTAAGCTTGTTCTAAGTAAGAACCACTCCACTGCGTTCCTGCCCCACCCAGTAAAACGCATGAAAGAGTGATCTGTCAACCCCCACAAGACAGCATCTCACCGGTTTTGGCCAAAATTCGCCCGCAAAACATGTAGAGTCGGAAGAGCAAGAGCAAAGTCGCCATCGAAACCAATACTCGCTTCAATCGCCTTCTTAATTTACGGTCGGGCTCTAACGGCGTTCGCCTGCCGGCCAGAACAAGCTCAGTTCGGGCAGGGTGTAGCGTGGGGGCCACACAAGTCTAATATTAGCGAGCCAAGCAGAAATCACCAGACCGCCAGCGGTGTCCTCGCGAAGACAGTCCAAGATCTGTTATCGTCATAGTGGAAGCCCGTGCCACGTCGGAACAGGGCCTCCGCCGTATGCCAAGCGGAAATCTCGGCAGAAAAAGCGGACATGGTAGGGCAGTGCTGCCTGGTCGCGGCGGGCGATGGCCCTTTTAGGCAATTCACGAAGACTTTGTGGTTTAACGTGGGCCTTGGCGTGGCGGTGTTGCTGCCTCCGCCTCGCCACATTATTGGCCCCCATAGCGCCGTGATATCCGTGCTCGCATCCTTCGTGTGCCTGCAGTACCTCCACATCGACTCACCAATACCGGTCTTGGGAATTATAAAAGAAAGAGCCGATCCAGGATTTTTGAGCGCCATCACCACTCGAAGCCTCTCGCGATCTCTGGAAATTGCTTTAGAGCAATCATTATTTGATCCGAATTCTCGAAACACCAAAAATCACCATGCTCTCCAAGATTGCTCTGCCCCTGCTTCTTGCAGGCATCGCCAGGTACGCTGATCCAAATCCTGTCTTCAAAGAACGTTCAACAGCTAACACCCATATCAGCGCGCAAACTTCAGACGTTATTTCCTTCCCCTTCGTCGGCGATGGCTACTACACCGTCGTCCCCACCGAGGGCGTCAGCGGCTCCATCGTCGACGTCAAGGACTCGCGCACCACCATGGTCTACGAGTGCGACACGTACGCCAGCAATATCTACCAGTACTCGACCGTCGGTGTCCTCTGCCCGCTCGGCACCAACCGCCCCGTCAGCGTTACCTTTGGCGACAACTACTGGGGTCAACTGACCTCCGTCTCTACTGCCGGAATCTCTGCCACCTACGACCAGGACTGCGATGTTACCGCTACCCCCGCTAGCAACGGCGGTCTTAGCGCCGTCGAGTCGCCCGTCTGCACCATGAGCTTCGGCGGCGAGTACGCCGAGACTCTTGCTGGTCTGTTCAACTGCGCCGGCAATGTTGATGCCGATGATATCGTAGGTTCCCTGCTCTCCCAAGACACCCTGCTGCATCGAAGTCGAAAGAAAAAGGACGGGAGGAGAAACAGCAAAAGTAGGAAAAAAAAATCAGGACTAACTCCTATTTTGCAGGACACCGACGAGTTCTACGCCTGCCTCACCTCCGCAACCGCAACCCCGACTAAGGTTGCAGTTATGACCCTCGAGCCCACGAACGTTTGGTACTGGACCGTCACCGTCACCGCCGTTGCTGAGGGCGTGAACACTGCCGCTGCTGCTGCCACCGGTAGTTCCGCCTCCGCCACCGCCACCGGTAGTGCGGGTAACGCTGCTGCCGGAACCGCCGTCAGCCGCCTTTCCATTGCCGGTGTCGTCGGTCTTGCGGCTGTTGTTCTTGCGCTGTAAGCGGGAGAGGGGAAAAAACGGATTTGTATGCGGATATGTGTAGATATGAGTAACGATACCCAATGAACATTTTAGTTATTAAACAGCAAAAAGGAGACTTAGGAATTTCAGCCAGACACTACAAGAGTGGCTTTTAATCCTAGCAGCGGATAATGCGAAGCTCGCTTTTTCATGAGAGAGGCTCCCGAGTGTTTTACCCACTAATTACAGGGCAGTTATAACAGTCACGTTTATTAGGTTTCTCAGAGCCGCAATAGGCGCCGTCCCCGCCGCCGGGGCCAACACACTACATATAAAGTCAATCATCTCTACACTATTACTCCAAATGCGGATACTTACTGAAGTCCCCGGGCAACACTTCCTATTTTTTCCGATGCCCCCGCTGTCCCAACTTCTGCATGAAGAACCATTGCATCTCTAATCAGAGTGTCAGAGTCTTTCTTGAGGAAAGTACGATGAGGCATCACTACGTACACCCCACCAACGGTCATGGTTGTTGACCTGGGCAACGGCGGTTCCAAGGAGAATAAAAAGCAAGGCGGCGTCAAAACGCATGATTTTCTGTGTGGGTCTCGAGAAATTTCTGAAATTCGGTAAAGGAAATGTGCACTGTCCAAACTGCAGTAGCGACAGATTATATATAGCGGTAACATTCAACAAGATGGTCCGAAAGCTTTTAGCAACATCGTAAAATAATATAGTTCTGAGGTACCACCCGATGTAACCTCAACATCCCTCGAAGTGAGATATGAACCAAGCTCTACATTATTAAAACAAAGACAGGGCGGGGGTCTTCAAAAGACGGGCCCGGTCAAATTCCACTTCACCCTCGCAACACCCCCCTGCCCAACAATCCACAACTCATCCCGCCGCTCTTCCCCCACAAAATCAAAATTCACCGCCGTGAAATTCGTCTGCACCCGCAACACCGGCCTCCCGCTCCCCGCCTCCAACACATCGACCCCCTTCCCGGCGCCCGTCAACACGTACCCATTCGCCGCCACCTTCAACCCGTCCGGCACGTACTCCATCGCCGCGTAAATCGGGCGCTTGTTCTTCAGCCACGGTGCCGCCGCCACCGCTGCTGATCCCTTCCCCTCGTCGTCGTTCTCGTCGTTCTCGTCGTCCACGACGTCATACGCATACACCGTCCTCTTCCTCGTCCCGTTCCACGCTATCCCCGGGACGTCCTGCCACGGCACGCGCGGGTCGATCATGGGCACGCCGGCGCCCGTGTCGCTCAGATAGAGCGTGCGGCGGCCGTCGTCGGGCGGCGAGAAGGCGAGGCCGTTGGGGGCTTGCAGCGTGTCGTCGACGACGGAGACGGCGCCGGTGCGCGGCGAGAAGCGGTACGTCGCGGCGCCGATTTGGGGGGCTTCGGTGTTGATGTGGGCGTTGCGGGCGAGGACTGTTGTGGCGGGGGTGTGTTAGCGGTGTGTGGGGGGAGGGGGGAATGGGAGAGGGGGGAGAAGGACGTACGGTTGTCGGTGAACCAGATGTTGCCGTGGGCGTCGATGTCGAGGTCGTCGACCTGGTGGTGGCGGTTAGCTGCTGCGGTTCTGGGTCAGGGGCGAGGGAGAGGTTGGGGGTGGCTTACCAGGTTGAAGTAGTGGCCGTAGTAGTTGTTGACGACTGCCTTGGATTCCATGGTTTTGGGGTTGAGACTGTATATGCCCGGGCGGAAAGCATGGCCTTCAAGCGAGGCATTGCCGCCGCCGACAGCGAAGTAGATGAGCCCGTCGCGGTAGCGAGCACCTGTGGGAGCATAGATGGGAGGGGACGCCGTCTTTTCCGATAGAGTAGGTGGGTCGTTATTGAAGTCCACAACGTACTGTGCGAGCCAGTTCCTCTTTAGCTTGGAGAAGAACAGCTCATTCGTGTCGGGCACGTAACTTGGATGGCTCGTCAGTCTAACGTCTGCAATCAGCGTTGAAGTGAGCCGACTTACACTGGAGCCTCGTGAATGGACTCGTCAATCTTGAACATGAATTCGTAGACAGGGTCCTCGCCTAGGATCTCCTGAGCAAGCTTCTCATCCCAGACGAGGAAGGTTGTATTTGCGACGTTTGAGAATGAGGGGTCGTTTGGCACCAAAGTCGACCCGTACGTCGTCTGCTGCCCGAAAGTCAAGTTTTCAGTACGGACAAAATCCAGTGGCAGAACACTGCCGTATCGATGCATGCAGACAAATTCTGGGAATGGGTAGCTGGTGCACTTCCGTGCAACTCCATCCGCCGTGGCTGCAGAAGCCGTTGCTCCGAAAATGGCTAGCGCGATGCTGTGCTTCATGGCTGCAGAATGCTCGTGAGTCCTGGAAAATTATGATTTACGTCCTGTCCATCAAGAAAAGAAAGGCTTTTATACGCATCAATTCACAGTTTTCCATTATTTTTGGGTTTTGAGCAGTGTCTCTCCGACGATATGTTGGCCTAAGCCACGGTGAATGCTGGGGCTGGTCTCAATTGTGTTCCGCCCCTAATCAGTTTCGGTTGACGAGCTACAATCGGCAGTTGCACCCCACAACATCCATTCCTACCGAAAGGATGTACCCCTTGGCGTCTCACGTGCATGTAGGGCCGCAGCTTTCACGTGGTGCTTATCATGTCAGCGAACCACACCACGGAATCCATGGCTTGGAGGATGAGGCTCTGCTGTCTATATCAGGTGCATCCATCCGGTTTGGCCCGCAAACTCAGTAAAAGTGTCAGATACAGGTCGCCTTAACCTATATCTAGAAATTTCCAACAGGTGAGCTCTTCCTTTCAGATGACCGCAGTATCTTGTGATGAATACCGAATTTACGAACTCCACAGCGCAAGTTCGGATTCGTATGCCCCCACGCCAAGACGCCGGCAGCCTTCAAGTCGCCATTTTCAGAGTGTGCATCGATGGTAGCGAGATAGCTGAAACCAAGGATGACGCCGACGGGAGACTGGGTTTTGGGTTGCTTTTTCTTGTTGGACTTGAGCATCGCTGGGTGGGGGATAGGCGTGTCAAGTCGAACCATCACTTGCCGACGACTTTCCAGTTTCTACCGAAAATTTAGCAGTCACATTCTAAAACTGGAGCATGCTGAGTTTTAAAGGAACTATGGCGTAGAGCAGCTCAGCGCAAAAGTCTTCCATGATCACTTGGCCATGCTTCCGATGAACATCAACGTGAGCTAAATATACTCGTGCAGCCGGGGCGGCGGAGGAGCCTTGGTCAATAGATGAGATGTTGAATCTGAGTTGAACCTCGAGTGTATGCCTTATAAGAGAAGATGTTCTGCGTGAAAAGAAATTTTTGTTTGGTTCTTGTATGGCACGTGTGCTCGGTCGACAATTGCCTACATGTCCGTGGCATATTCGTTTGACTTACTAAAATTGACCGCTCACACCCTTTGAAGTGTCTCCTTAACATAAGAATGAATGGTCTAAAGGTACTTAGGGTACTGCGGAGTATCATACTGTGACACTGTTGTGATACGATTGTCTAAACTTTTTTCATTGTAGTTATATAGGGAATATCTTCATCAAATGTTACCTAAGAATACCACCAATACAGCACAGTATCTGTTGCAATCGTCAACTAGTAGCTTTGAGCTTGAACTGAGTTGGTGCACTTACGCTGCTGCCGCAGCAAGGATCTCGTGGCGCTGGGCCCGCGTGAAAAGCGATAGCACTGCCGAGAAAGCCAAGGTGAATATCAGCAGCACTCCAATGCACAAGGCGCTGGTGCGAGATCCCTGGTTCATGTCTGTTGTCAGGTTATATAGCAAGTACGTTGGCATTACCAGAAGGAGCAAGATTGTGGCGGTGATTATCGCAGCTGCGAGTCCTTCAATCCGGCTTCGTGTGTAGTACACGATATCTGAACTGCTGGTCTTTTTTCTCGTCTCCTGAATACAGTCAGCTTTCTTCAATTTCTTCTAAAAGGTATTGCAATTGCTCACATCGGAACAGAATATTCTGCGAGCAATTTTCGAGCGAGTTTTCCGCAACAGGGTCTCGAGGATCCTATCCAACCAGGCATGCTCTCTACCAGGTCGGAGCGTAACGAGATCTTCTTTTTGACGGGTCCACTCATCCTCCAGACCATCAATGTCTTGGGCATTGAGTTTACAGTAGTAGCGCAGGCTGCGATATTCCGACGTAGATGGGCGCCTTATGAGCATCATATCTCTGGCTGCAGTGAGGAGCTGGGCTAAGCAAATCGTTAGCAGAGCTTTCGCATTGGTAAATGGAGGCCAAATACTGTATTCTGTGAGCTTAGCCTCGAGCTTGCTCAGCAACTCCTCCCTATAGTCTGAGATCTCTTTACGACCCTCTCTTGTTTCTTCATCACGAAATGAAATGTCTTGAAACTCAAGATCTTTCTCCATACCCGCGATCTCCTTCTGTTTTCTCAAAAGTAACCTGGACTGACACCAACCGAACCGGCGGTACATCATGAAGTTCTCATCACTGTCAAGGAAAGCTGCCATCCTTGGGTCTCCCTTGGGACATTGTTCCACTTCAACCGGTTAATAAAAGGCTTTCTCAAACTAACGAATGATGGTAATCTTACAGGTTCTGACTTCTGTGTCGAGACCGTCATCTCCTCCGAAAAATAAACTTATGGGCAGCCATTTCGGCCACCACCATGACCTCTGTTGGTCACAGTCTGGATTCTGGTCATTGCATGCACATAACGAGAAAAGCTTGTATGATCTCACCAACGGTGCCAGAGACTTGAGATGATGTATCAATCCGATCAGAGCTCTCTGGCAGGCTTTGTTCTGAACTTTCTGCACTGGGGAAAATTTCTATTCGTTGGGCCTCTAGATCTTTTTCAGACATTTTTGACGAGGCTATTGATGAACTTATGAAGGACTGATGAAGTTGTGGAGGATTGATGAAGAACATGGAATAAAATCTAGCCTCCATGGGAGCCGGTTGATTTAAATATGATAGACTACTATCTAGAGTAAGGCGGAAAAACATGTCTGCCGTAGCGGGGCAAATATGCACGAAACCCTGCACCTACGAGCGGGGTTCATCAGGCAGACGCGAGGCTTATGTCCTGATAAGCCGTTTCTGTTTGATCCATTCGTACCCCACACCGCCCGAAATGGTATTCACCGGTTTTTTGTTGCTATCCTCGGCCTGATACTCCCAGTCTGACCGCTTCGGCTGCACCTCTACAATCGTAATCACCATCGGTGGCCCTCCACGCCTAGGAAGCCGTGCCTGATCACCAACCTTGAAGGCCTGGCGCTGGGTCTGCTCCATGTGAGCTGCTTGTTTATACTAAACGTTGATTATACGAACCTGAGGATTCTGGGGCTTGGGGACGTACGAGCGCGTCACTTCCGAGTCGGAGCTGGTATACTGAAAGATGGTCAACTGAGGCTCATCTATCGGTCGCAGGGTCTTACATCTTCATCCTTGGCATCGTTGTTTGTTCCCTCCACCACATAAACGTCCTTTACCACAGGGGCCACTTCTATGTCTGCGTTGTCGTAACTGGGGCTTTCGGGCTTCTCCTCTACAGCGAGATCTTTGCCAGTTTCGGTGGGGGCCATGCTTGACAGCTAGCTGCAGTGAATGCGGCTGTGAGCGCTCGAGGTACACAGTCTTGTTGCTTTCAATAGCTCTGGATTGGATTCCAATGGTGTGCTTTTACGTTCTGGGTGTCTGTGTGCATCCCAAGGCAGAAGAGAGGCAGCTTTAGGCAGGCATCCTTTCTTACCAACATGTGAAAGGCAACCGCGACCCCCGCCACTGGTGTGTGACGAACGATCGCATTTGCTAGCCTTGTGCGGGGCTGCGTCGTGCATGCGCAGCCGACAAAAAATCGAGTAAGGCTGCAAATTGCAGCACGCAAGGCTATCCAATTATCGAAACCTGTGTTTCCTTATCAATGCAAGGCTTCAAGGCTGAATCTGCAGCTTATATTGCACAAGCACGCTACTGCAAGCATCTCAACAACATGCTCGCCAACAGGATCATTGCGGCTGCTCAGCCTCGACGCATGATTGCAGCGAAGGGTCTAGACGTGCTGCTGATGAGAGGCGCTGCGGCTATGTTACGGTCAAGCAGAGCCTCAAGGTAACATCACGCAAGCTGCTGGCTGTCAGAATCACTGCTCACTTTTCCGAACAGCAATTTCATCTCGATTGGTACATTATTGGGGGCTTTTAACAGCCTATTAAATATGCAAGGCGGCCGCACATCTTAGAGTCAGAATCCATAGGAGCATCAGAAGCTATGCCTCGCCCAGTCGAAATGGATGCCCACCCCTGGCCACGTGGTGCAACTGCAGCCTTGAAACCCTCCCAAAACTCAACCAAGGACAAGCCAACCAAGAACAAGGTCCAAACATTGCAAGACGTGTTTGAAAAGAACTTCAGGCCTATCACAGCGCCTGTGAAACATGACCGTGTCTCGGTACTCTTGCTTTCTTGGGACCAGAAGGAGTCCGATATTCACGTCCTGCCAGAGGTTCGACTTTTCCATATTAGATACTGAAATTACTATGTGGGACGGAACTAATGGCACTACAGATCGAGGAACTCGCTTCAGTGTTCAAAAATGATTACCAGTTCAACATTCGTCAAGAGCAGCTGAAGGAGCACAAAAAAGTCAAACTAGAGCTTGAGCGCATTCTCATTGATTTCCTCCTAGAGGCTGATGACCCTCACAACCTCTGCATCGTATACTACGCTGGTCATGGTTTTAGCGGGAAGAATGAGGGCGAACTCAATATCACAAAGTAAGTGGAACAAAGAGCATTTCATGAAGCAAAATAAATCTGACAATACTTTAAGTAACTCATCCCAGCAATCAAGAAAAGACGACCAAGTCAAACTCAACACCATTGCGTGGCATGGAGCAGAGAATATCTTGAGAGAAAAAGATGCTGATGTCTTTGTGATCTTCGACTGCTGCGAAGCAGGTGCGCTTCGGGCCCGCTCACGATCAAGCCACACCCGTAGCTTCGAATTCTTGGGTGCGTGCGACCGGAAGGAATATACGCCCGGGCCCGGAAAACATTCTTTCACGAAGGCATTGATCTGGGCCCTTCGCAAGCTCAGGATTTCTTCTCCCAACGGTTTCGATTCCGCAGAGCTGAGGAAGAACATCATTAGTGCCCCGAATGCAAATGGCCGCTATATACCAGTGCTCTTCTCAAGGGAACCCACAAGCTTCGATCACATCTGGATCTATCCCAAGTCTTTGGACGAGACCAAGTCAGCTCCTGAGCACGATTCCTTCAGGGTATACCGCCAAGATCGGCCACCTATGGACTCTCTTAGCTTGCGTTTCAGATTCAGCAAACGCCAGGATGAGGAACAAGTCAAGCGGCTGGCAGAAACTTTGAGCCAGTTCGCAAAAGAGCAACGTAATTGTTTGGGAGTGCATCATGTTGAACTCATCGAATATGCTGGCACCTTCAAAGATGCTGTTCAAACCGTTATACAGAGGAGAAAGAATGGTTGTCATGACACCAAGTCAATTAACGCAACTCAAGACACAGGCGATGATGAGGGTCGGGACGTGGAGGAAATCATTGACGATGCTCCTCTATCTGAAGAGCAAAAGAGCATTCTCCGAATCCTTTTTGATCATGTGCAAGCCCGGTCTCAGTGGCTCACCCACAAAAAGGTCGCCCTCGTGGTTTTGTCATTCATGGCTGGTGTGTTTTCTACCTTATTCTTTTGGCATCAATTCTTCTTTCTCCCGCACGCAAGGATGTTGCAGGCATGGGGATATTGGGGGATTTCTCCTGATAAGCTTCCGATGCTGGGAGGAGCTGGCGCCTGCTGCTAAGGAGAATTCGGGTACAAAATGTAGTGAAAACATGATATACTACGACCCTTCCAGACTGCGGAAACCATTCACATCAGTTGAGTTTAGCTACGTGAGCTTGGCATGCGGCGGGGCTCAGCCGTCGCACCGCCACTATTTTTGTTTCGATAGATCGTCGCGGGTCGTCTCAGATATGCAGGTACAAAACGTGGCATATGCATGCGAGTGCGGTAAACTAATGGTAAAAAAGTGAGCGAATTTCCGAGTCATATTGATTGCGTGATGGCAAACATGGCGGTGTCGATTCTCTACATTGTGCTGGAAAATCAGTGCTTCATTACTGCACTTTTTTCCTGCTCGAAGTAGGTCATAAAATGAAAGCTTTGTAACCGATTTTGTAGTGGGCTTTGCTATCAGTACAGACGGCGGCACCAGGTGAAATGGCCTTTCGTGTTGTGTACCCTGTATGCCTATTGGTGGGATTTTCAATGCGTTACTCGCTTATAAAAATAGTGCAAGAATTTATTGAAATATTCAAGACGGTTAGCTTGCGAACAATGGACAGTGGGGCATGGTCCCGCAATCTGGGGATGCCTTTTGCGGGGTAATCTCCACACTGCCATGGCAGCGGGATTTTTTCCATCATGCCGGAATGAACTTTCCGCCAATCACGCATATAATAGTGTTCTTCTATGCTATTCTCGCTTTGACGGGTTTGTTTGATTGCAAAGGACTGCAGAGCATGGTCAAGCATTCGCCAATCTATAGAAACACCAGAACCTTGCCTTTTCTGTCACACTTCTGCATCTATCGTCGTACCCTAAGCCATCACAATGCTTCCTCCAAGCCCCTGGTTCCTCGTGCTGTTTGTCGCTACAGGGATTCAAGCTGCGCCATCTGGATTGAAACCTCCAACACCGCCAATTGTTTTCCAAGGACAAGAGATCAAGAACCTGCTTGCATTTGGGGACTCGTATACCTATGTCCAAGGAACACAAGGCCATTGGAACTACAGCTTCATTTCTGATGCGTTCAACTACTCATTCACTCCCGAGGAGCTGCTCTCGAGCAAAATTGTGAAGAACACGACGAGTTCCGGAGGGCCCAACTGGGTTGAATACCTGACGAAGTGTTATGAAGGCCTTCCTGCGGATTGCCCCGGAACAAAGCTCTGGGATTTCGCCTTCGCAGGTGCAGATATCAGTGCCGAGTAGTGAGTGGATCCACCGAAAAGTTAGCAGGCGAGTTCCGGAACTGACGCAGGGCAGCCTCCCCCTGCATCACAACTACACGGTGGATCTCGATGACCAGGTCAAGCAGTGGGATTTGTACGCGCGCAAGACTTTGGATCTAGAACCAGCGGACACACTTGTTGCGTTCTGGATTGGGTCCGTCTAGACTCGGCAGCCCCTGAGGAAACCCGATCAGCTGATTCAAGCAACAGAATCAATGACATCAACGACAGCGCCAAGTTCACCAACGTGAGCTTTCCGGTGTGGTATGACACGCTAGTCAGGAAATGGTTTGATTCTGTTGTGCGTGACCCCTGATTCTAGAAGGACTGAGTCGAGGTTCGGCCTGAGAGTCCGGCGTGATCCGGCTGCTGACTTGTGGTCATCGCAGGAGCTTGTATACAGCAGAGGATATAGGAAATTTCTCTTTGTAGGTCCGCTCTTGGCACTAAGTTTAACCTGGAGCTAACACTGCCAAGATGCTTCCTCCGCCGCTTGACAAGACTGCATCGAATCTTGTCAGTGCCAAGCCACTGCCGAATGCCACCATGTTGGCCCAATGGAATGCGGCTGTCCAATCGCAAGTGTCGTCTTTTCAGGCCAGACATAACGACTCAAGGTCCTTCGTGTTCGATACCAATTCATTCTTGAACGGGGTGCTGGCCGATCCCGCTCAGTACAACATCCAGAACACCACGAGGTAAGTACCCCGCTAGTGCGGCACCAGTGAGACTGGGGTGACAAGAGGTACTAAGAATGTGTGCCAAGCTATTGTAAATCTTACGCTCAGCCGGACATTCTCTGGAATTACGCGGAGTATGGCTGCCGGCCCATATCGGAGTACTTCTGGTTCAGTAAGTAGTGACGCGGCTCGGCCACGGAAGACCACGGAGGATACAGGGCCTGTGCTTATCAACGTACTCCAGACTCAGGACACATCACGTTTACCGTGCACGAAATCATCGCCAAAGAGCTCCTGAAGCAGCTGGCGTGAGCGGTGGCGGATGAGGAAGGTTAGTGAATGTTTTCGCCGCAGCACGAACCAGCCTGCCAGCACCATCAAAGAGCAGTGGAGACGTGTCAGGCAGATTGTACTAAAAATTCGGGAATGCAGTTCTGCGACTGGGATCGACTCTTGGCGTTTCACAGTGTGGGCCTGGCGAGATATGCCGCGCACGCGTTTGTCGAGAAGATGGGTTTCACCGAGGACCAGGTAGCCGAAGACACTGTATTTGCTGCTCATTGGTAGAGAGAAAAAATAATTTTGCAAAGAGGCTATTCGCACACTCAAAGCCATGCGGAAAGAGAGATGTTGCTTTAAGAATATTGGCAGAAAGTCTCCTTACCGGCACCGAAGTGGGGCCGTTTGCTAGCGCAACACGCAATAGGGGATTCGATGTTCTCGTCAGACCGTATATTCAACATCTACGTCCATTGACCCTTCAACTGCCCGTTGATGCTGCAAAGATGGGTAGGCCGATCTCGCAATTGACTTGCCACAGTGAAGCACATCTCAGGCTCCGATCTAGCCGGTGCCAATTCCACCAACGCGGGGAAAGATGCAGCAATCATCCATCAGTGCATCTGCCGAGCGCAGGCGAACTCGCGGCCCTGCCGCGCCGGCAATCCTCCCAGAGAGCGGAAACAGATTTCTCCGCCCAACCAGGCGTGCCGCAGAGCTCGCTTGCGAGCACTGTTTGCGCCCTAATACTCTTCGCCAAGGCGCGCCAAGCCGTATGTTAGATTCGCTCTGGGGCTCCTTATGCTTGCAACGGCCGGCGATCTTGGCAAGGTGGGAAAGGTCGGCTTCCTTCCATGACCTGCATGCAGACGACGTCCGCCCTGCCAGGGGAGCAAGAGCTCGTGTGGAAGAAAAGAACAATGCGCTGTCTCGCCGCCCCCAATGCATCGTGCTCCGGAGTACAATAAAAGGGCCCCGCCGGGCTGTTGTTTCGTTTCGTTTCCTTCCATTCAGCGGTTCCAATTCGTTCAATTCCTCTCACTTCATTCTTTTAGAACCAAAAAAGCGGGCTTCAAGCTTGCTACGAATTAACCATGAAGTTCTCTTCCGTTGCCGCTGTTGCGGCCCTTTCCACGGCGGCATCCGCAGCCGAGCAAAAGTACTCGACCTGGATGATCGACTCCATGATCCTCAAGAACGTCGAGCCGGACAACCACTACACTAACGGCGTGCTCTACCGCGCGGCGGATCTGGCATACAAGGCCTACGGCAACAAGACCTACTACGACTGGACCAAGGCCCAGGTTGATGCCGTGGTCAGCGAGAACGGCACCATCACCGGATGGCCTGCGGAGAAGGACTCTCTGGACGACATCCTCTTCGGCCGGGCGCTACTGGAGCTGTACGGACAGACCAACGAGACGCAGTACAAGATCGCGGCCGACAACCTGCGGCACTCGCTCGACAAGCAGAAGCGCACGCCGGCCGGCGGCTTCTGGCACCGCGTGCCCACGTACCCCAACCAGATGTGGCTGGACGGCATCTACATGGCCGACGTCTTCTACGCGCAGTGGACGTCGCTGTTCGAGCCGGCCAACGTGACGGCCTGGGACGACATCCTGCTGCAGTTCGAGCTGATCGAGGAGCACCTGCGCAACAAGACGACCAACCTGCTCTACCACGGCTACGACGAGCTCAAGGAGGCCGTCTGGGCCGACCCCGTCACCGGCGCCAGCCCGCACGTCTGGGACCGCGCCCTGGGCTGGTACGTCATGGCCCTGCTCGACGTGCTGGACTACTGGCCGAAGGACCACAAGGGCTTCGCCAAGCTGATGGACTGGTACGTCACCGCCATCGATGGTGTCGTTGATGCGCAGGACCAAGAGACGGGCGGCTGGTGGCTCGTCATGGACGAGCCCTACGCCGGCGCCGAGGGCAACTACATCGAGTCGTCCGGCACCGCCATGTTCACCTACGGCCTGCTCAAGGGCCTGCGTCTGGGCTACGTCGCCGGCGAAAAGTACAGCCAGCCCGCCTTCAAGGCTTACGAACTCATGACCACGGAGTATGCCGTCGCCAACGCTACCGGCGGCATGCTGAACTGGGAGGGCACGGTCGAGGTGGGCAGCTTGAGCGGTAACGCTTCTTACGAGGTGGGTCTTCCCTTTCACCGCTACATTTGACAACTTGGTTTTTGTTTTGCTGACTTGTGGATCGCGTGCAGTACTACATCAGCGTCCCGCTTGCCGAGAACGACCTCAAGGGCGTCGGCCCCTTCATCTACGCCAGTCTGGAGTACGAGGCCTACACTGCTTAAATGGTGTAACGGATGAAACCAAAGGCAGTACATATACGGCGCGTTTTCAATCTTCAATGTCCATATTTTTTTACCCTGTCGCGAATGAAACACGAAGGATTTGTCAATGACCACCCACCCCAATCAGTATTCCTGTTGCGCGTGACGTGCCCTCTTGCTCCCATGACCCAATGATTGCTATTTTTTGCCGCGCGCGAAGCTAAATATGCAGCTTACCCAGACGGTAGCACTGCCGTATCCGTTCAAACGCCCCGGTCAGCAAAGCGTCACATGGGGCTCATCCAATCAGCCGCCAAGATTGTAGTAGGCGGCGCCTGATGCGGTGTTTTTGCTCCACTTTGCTCGTGGCAAGTTTCCCCCCGATTGGGACTTTGTTTTCGCTTCTTTCTCATCGTTTCTCTTCCCCTTTTAAAGAAAGTGGTGTATGTATTATTAAACGATTGCAATCGCAATCCGAGCAAAACTCAAAAAGCAGTGAGAAGCGGCTGTTGTGCGCGAGAGGTTGCATCGTGGCGTCCATCCCCCGGGTATACTGACCAAACTCCGTAACCACTCTAAAGCAAATCGGAACCGGTTTCGCCCATCATCCCAGAAGCGCCAAGTGAAAAGACTAAAAAAAGCCATGAACAATATATGTCCCCGAAAACAAAAAAAATATGTGTACGGAAGAGAAGAAGAAAAAAAAACAAGTCAACAGGGGGCGGCGGTGGTGGTGGTGGGGAGTGGAGGGGAGAGAGGGATCGGGAGAGTATAAGAAAAGAAAATACAAACAAAAACAAAAAACTCATAAACGTCGTAGCACATCAGTCTTCCTCATCATCGTCATCATCAGAAACAAAAGAAAAAAAAACAACAACCAACACTCCTCAGCTACTACAACCACCTATCCAGCGTTCCATACGGCGGAAACCCCCTCCTCCCACCTCCGGCCCCCCTGCTCCCACCACCACCACTACTTCTCCTCATCCCCGCCACCGGCGCGCTGGGTCTGTAATTGTAACCCCCCTGCCCGCCGCCATTAAACGCCTGCCTCCTCACATTCTCCAACGCCTGGCTCGTCGCCGCGCGCACCGCGAACGCCGACGCGTCTCCAGCGCCACCGCCTGCAGCTGCATACTGATACTGCGGCGGATACGCGTAGCCCGCGGTGCCCACGTCGATGATTGGCGCGTCGGCGCGGCGGTGGTTGCGGCGAGCGCCAGTGTTCGGCCTGGCTGAAGGCCGAGACGAACGATGCTGGCGGTGCGATGATGAGCTAGGTCCGCCGACGCCCGTTCCGGGCGGGCTGTGGTAGTGCGCCCGGCCGGAGGAGGAAGGGTTGGAGGCGTAGACGGGGCCGGTGCCGTAGGCGAACATGCTGCTGCCACTACTCCTCCTGGTCGAGGAACCGGGTTCGCCAGTCAGGGGTGCTGCTCTCGCGGCGGCGGCGGCGGCTGAGCGGGTGTTGTAGCGATGTGTCGGGGTATACGCCGACGACGACGACGAGGGACCGGCCTGATGGTTGTGGTTGCTGTGACTGTGGTGCGAGGTCCGATGCGCGTGGCCGGGGTGGTGCAGGGCGCACGAGGCGCAGGGGTGCGGGTCGGGATGGGCTTTGGGCGGGCCGCGTTGCTTGCCGCGGCCGCGGAGCTTGGTGCCACTGCCACTTCCACCGCCGCCGCCTGCGCCGCCTCCGCCTTGGTTTCGGGACGAGGACCCAGGATAGTAATACGACGAAGGGTAGTACGTGGTCGGGGAGGAGGAGGACTTGCTAGTCCGCGGCCTCTTGTTGGGCGATGAAGTGTTGTTGCCGCCGCCCCACCATGATGAGCTGTTGGTGTTGTTGTTTATCGAGGAGGGTCCAGCCAGGCGGACCCGTTTGTTGTTGGGTGTGGTGAAGGCGTGGGGCTGGGCGCTACCGTAAAGGGATGAGGCGGCAGCGGCGCGGGGCACCAAGAGCGGTGTGCTCTCGGCGGCTGCGGCGGCGGAAGGATAGGATGCCGGTCGACGACGTTGGGCGGACGTGTTGGCCTTGGCCTTTGCCTTTTTCTTCTTCGAGTTGGAAGAGGCTGGGGCGGCGGGCCAGAACCAGCAGCATACCATGATGTTGCTTGAGGGTGGATGGTAGCAGGGCGATGCGTTGTTGTGGTAATAATGTTCAGTGAAGGTGTGTCGAAGGACGGTGTGGATGGGATGCGCGACAGTTAGGCCTTGGAACGGAAGTGTTTCTTGGAGGAGAGTGGAAGGCAGCTCTTGTCTTGACGGTCCTCTTCGGGTTGCTGAGGAGATGCAGAAGAGCTAGGCTGTTGCTCGCCTTCCTCGTGATCTGCCTGCTGAGGGCTGGGAGGCTGTCTCTTATGGAGGCGATGACGTGCAGGAGGGAGGCAACTCTTCGGCTGAGCCTCTTCTTCTTCCTCCCCTTCCTCTTGCTTATTCTTAGCTGAGCGGAAAAGAGCACAGCGCCGATTGGGCTGCGGCTCTTCCTCGCTTTCCTTCTTGGGACAGCAGCAGTAGACGACGCAGGGGGATACACACTCCCAGACGAGCACAGCGGTCTTGATGATCCTGATAATCTCAGCAAGAGGTATCATTTCGACTGGACGACGTGGAAGAGAGAGAAAGATCTTACAAAGACAGAAAGTAGGACAAGACGAAGTGAAGAAAAATCCAAAACTTCTCAAGGCCGAAAATGGTGAGAGCTCCTCTTCAACTGCCCAGACACACCTCTTTCCGACGCCGCACCAGACCACGCGTCGAGCAGGAGCACGCTGAAGCTGGAGCGTGTTCGCATCTGACCCACCGGGATGACGACCTTTTACGCAGGTTAGGTTTCCTGCTTCCGCGCCCTCCGACGACAAGAATTAGCACACGGGCGCGCCTTATGAGCATAGCATGTGCGCCGCAGCTGAATTGGGAGCGGGGGTTGAGGCGGAGAATTAAAACAACGAAATGACGAGCAGGCGAATGGCAGCAGGGCTGCTCACTGCAGCATGGGGGCGAGGGAGGCGGGCACCAGTTTCGGAATGACCATCTTGCATGCAGGCTGGACTCGGGCGGGGCCGCCAACGTGATTATAACAGACGCGAAAGATGGAGACGCGAAACAAACACGAGGCCCGCTCAGGGTGGGTACGATGACTGATTTTTGAGGCGGGCATCTCGTGCGCCGGCTGAGGATGAGATGGTGGTGACCCTCCTTGTCATGGTGGGCCGCTTTGGTCCCATGTGATGGCGCTCGTGACCACCCTCGCTGCAGTCCCGCTCTCCCGCCCAAGCCCCGTTCCTGCAAGCGCTGCGTCATACCGACCGCACCAGAAGCAGGAACCCGCAGGAAGAGCAGCGGCAAGCGATGGCTCGGCCTGTCTGGACCTGTCAACCAAGCCCAAGAACGCGCACGCCTCTTGGGGGCCAGCTGCCCGTGGTGGCTGGCTGCTGCGGTCCGCCCCCGCCGGCTGCCCAGTCCCCCGGGCCTGCTCTCACTGGTTGCTGTCGAATGCGAGCGGGTGCAGGCGATAAGCGCGGAGCACGGTCCGAATGAGGAACAAGATGCTCCAACTGGAATTCCAACACTATGTACTTACAAAGGCGACGTGGTATCTAGATCTCTGTCTCTATCTGAGGTGGTATGATGTTCATGGCGACGAATAATATGCGCCGGACTCCGTGCAAGGAAATTGCTGACACCCCCTTCTAGTCATCTTCTAAGCCCACAGCCCGCTCCCTCTCCTCACCGGGCTGCTGTTACCCGCCGACGACGTCGCCGCGCTGTACCCGGAATCCCGGCCCGGGTCGTCGTCGTCGATGTCAATGTCGAACTTCTCCTCGCCCGCCCCCTTCTCGTCAGCCCCGTCCCACGCCTTCTGCTGCGCGCCGCGCGTGTTCCAGCGGAGCGTCCTACCGAGGCTGTCGAACCACTCCGTCGGCCGACTAAGCACCGTGGGGAAAGGATACTGCGACGCCGCAATCGTAACGTGATCGCCTTGCCGCAGCTCCACACGCCCCTTGCCGTCGAAGGCGCAGTATGCTGTCGCGCGGCTATTGCGCGGAACCGCCACGCGGAGCAACATACTGTCATTGAGTAGCATCGGCCGGAACGAGAGCGTATGAGGGCAGATCGGCGTCAGGAGGATGGCAGGGATGTCCGGATGCACCAGCGAGCCGCCTGCCGAAAGCGAATAGGCCGTGCTTCCCGTGGGAGTCGAGAAGATACAACCATCCGCCTGCACGATCGTGAGCAGCTCGTTCTCGCCGTACAACTCCAGGTTTGACACATATGGGCTAGGTCCGCGGTCGATAACCAGCTCGTTGAGGACCTCGTACTGCTCGGCCTCCAGGTGCGACGGCGACTCCGGGTCCGAGGCATCGTGGCTGGGGTTCGCGCGGTAGACGGTGCAGGTGAAACGCATGCGCAGGTTGACGCGCATGCCCGCATCGCCCATGACGCGCGACAGCTGCTCCTTGTAGCTGTTGAACTCGAAGTTGGTCAGGAAGCCGAGACTTCCGAGACTGAACGACAGGATCGGCGGCACAATGCGCTGGAACAGCCAGCTCGTGTACAGCACGGTTCCATCGCCGCCGAGAGTGAGCACCAGGTCGAACTTCTCGGGCATTGAGAGACAGAGTTCCGGAGTCCAGTAGCGTAGCATGTTGCCGAAACGTTCGTCCTTGGCTAACAAGCCTGCAGCGTCGAATCGCCTCGAATTGCGCAGCTTGTGGTCGACGTAGACGTTGACGCCGACGTCGCGGCCGTGTCGCGGTGTGGTGAGCAGCCAGTCAGCCAGCTCGTGTGTGAGGTCGACAAGCTGGTTGTCGCGGGCCTTGGTAACAATCATGACGTTCTTGACGGGAATCTTTACGGGGCGGCGCTGCAGCTGCTTGGAAACCTCGCGCACGCCCGTGGCTGTCTGCAGGAGGCGCGAGTGCGACATGCCGTCGTCCTCGCGGATCTCTTCCAGCACCTTGTCAATGTTGACGGCAGCATCGAATTTCTTGTGGAAGAAACACGGCGAGGCCAGGGCAGTGATCCTGCTGGCCGTCAGGCACTCAGGGTTCAAAGTTAGGTCCGCAAGCGCGCCCGAGAGGCGCTTCCGCGAAAGGCCGGGGCGGGTCTGTGAGTCTTGCTGCTGCTGCTGCTGTTGCTGCTCGCGTTCGCGGTCGCGGTTGTTCTGCAACAAGCCGTTGATGGAGGAGGCAATGGACATGTTGGAGGTTGGCGGCGGGCGCGACGCAAGAGCCTTCATGATGGTCTGTCGCGGAACCGAGTCGATGGAGACGGCGTTCTTGCGATGTCGGCGCTCGCGGAACGACTTGTGGGGCCGCTGCTCAAGTTGAGGCGGAGGGCACGAAGGCGCGGCGAGGCTGTGGACGGCGACGGGTGTGCTGGAGCGCTCGTCGTCTTCTTCAATAAAGGCGGAAGCCCTCGGGGTTTGTCCGCTTACATCCAGCGGCGGAGATACGAGTGGTGAGGTCTCAGAGTGGGCAGCGCAAATAAGGCTATCTCCGGTGGGGAGCTGGGGCGTGGGAGAGGGCAAGCGCTGGTGGCGTGCGGGTGTTGAGGAGCTCCTCAGCCGTGTGGTGGGCGGGACGGGCTGGGACGGTTGGATTTCTGGGGGGCCATGGTGATCGGGGCGGGTGAGGGCGTCTTCGATGGATAAAGAGGTGGGCGTGGGCGTGGAAGGCGGAAGCTGGATTCTACGGGCGTCCAGTGCGGAGCCGGGATTTGTGTCGGGCTCGGCGGCCATGATTACGGATTATGCGCTGTTGCCGAGTGCCGCGTCGCTTCGCGTTCCCCCACTGGCCGCGGCTGTCCCACAGCTTCCGATTGCACAACCGTCTGATTCGCGCCCGCTGTGACGGGACAGGGCCTGCAGACGTGCCTGACGCCTTGCAGTTTGCTTGTCGCTGGAAACTCGGCGTGGGTGACGCAGGGTGATGCACGTCGACGCAGGTGCTCACGGCTGAGATCCAGTCCCAGCGGAGAGTAGGTGCAAGAGGAGGTGTGACGAAAAAGGGCGGCGGTAATGAGCGGAGTGAGCCGGACGCACTGCGATCGAAAATGAGGCCTGCTCGGGTTCCGAAAGAGTGCAAGAAGAAGAGGAAATATAGGCACGAAGCGAAGAGAAGTGAACGAGGGGGGTGGCTTGACGGAGCTGAAGCAACGGACAGCGGCGAAAAAACCCGACTCTTAACTCGCAGCGCGACTTCAACAACAAGCAGGCACGGACGCGGACCACGGGGTTCTTCGCGCGGCGCCTCGTGGAGCGCTTGCCTATTCCTGATGTGTGAGAAGGCTCGGGGTAGGGACTTTGACACCGGGGCTGCCTCAGCACCGGCACGCCCCGTCCGGCCCTCGCTATAGCCCCGAACCAGCCCATCCAAGCTTCGGCCAAGCTTCTGCGGGACGGTTATATTGTCGGAAGTGAGCTATTTCGGACACGCGAGATCAAATTGATACGAACAGGACGGTGTTGAGCTCCGCCGCTGCAATATGAGAGAACGCCCGCGGCCGAGGAGCGGGCGAGCCCCTCATTCCAGCATTTTCTTCAGGGGCTGCCTCCCTCCAGCTCGCAGCTCTGCATGCAATGAAAGCCCTCCTGCTCCTGCAGGCCTTCACCGCTCCCAGCAACCAGGACGCTGTGAGACGTCTCATCTCAGCCGGGTCGATATGCCTGCAGCAACACCATGCCGATCACCGGCCGCCCCCATTTTTAACACTCCAATTCCCCGCTATCTGCGGGTGAATCTCGCAGCCGCCCGGCTAAGACGGCGGAACCCTAGCCTGGTGAGACTCCTGGGGCCGGAGTGTCAAACACCACATATATGCGCGCTTTTGTCCCGCGCCCTCACTGGCTTGGCTGCATGGCAAAGCCGCCCTGAATCATCAATCCCGCCCCAATCCCTCAGCCCACGTTTTTCTAGGCATTTTCGATTCCTCCACTAGCACTCGATAACGGGCCGTTACCCAGACAAGGAACATGCATCTTGAGGACGGCCGTGTTTGAAGTCGCCCGTATCTCTCCGATGTATTCGCTCGTCGTCGGAAAAGACGGCGGAAAAGGCGGCGCCAACAACAGCCACGCAAGCTGCTGTTGCTTGAAGCCAAGTAATTCGTCGACGCCTCCAGTTTTGCGTCGAGTTGCAGAGCCAACGGCGACAGCAATTGGCTTAGTGCGGAGGGCGCACGACAGTTCGTCACGGAGAATGCGGAGTGTGAAGCGATTGCGGAGCATGGTCCAGGCCGACGCCACGACTGCGCCGCCGCTAAAACCGCCGCCCAACGCTTCCAAGATCTAGCCGTTGGGCCAGTGGCGAGGCGCAACAAGTTTTTGCGGCTAGCAGGCGGAAACTCAATGACCTTGGCGGTTTCCAGTTTGTGCAGCCGTTTGCTGGCGAAGTAGTAAAACGCTGCGAGCCTTTGGGGTTTGGTCAACGACGCATATCCAGGGATGAGCGGTGGCTGAGGTGTGGGAGACTTTGCTGGAGGGAGGGGCCGAAGGCTGGTGCATCTGCGGCGCGCGCATCATCTATGATACCGACATGGTTTCAGCCCGCAAGCGGGCGTGGCGGCCACCACCAGGGCAGGCCACGAGTCCAATGACGTCGCAGACGCCATCGGAATGCCTGAAGAAATTAGCAGCCACAAATGCCATCCGCTTGTGGCCGATTTCGTGGAATCTGTGCTGCAAGAAATCGCGACGATCCGCGCGTGGATGCGCAATGCTTGGCTTGCACCTGGCAGCCGCGACCCCTCCACCTACGTCATTTGTCGTCACCATAGCTTCCTCGCATGCCACCTGCACTACAAAGGCGCCCATATAATCCTCAACTTGCGCCTCAACATCGACTGTTTCTTCTGCAAACAAACGCACTCAGACAAACACTCAAAACAAATCTCCACAACTTTTCCAAACTCAACCACATTACCACATTCATCATGTCCGACAAGAACACCTCCACCCTCCAGTCCTACGTCGACTCGGCCACCAGCGCCGTGCAGTCTGCCATCGGCGCCGTCACCGGCAACCCCGCCGACAAGGTACGCTTCGCACTCTTTACATCCTGCTCTCTTTTTAGCACCAGTTCTCTTTGCTAACATTGCACTATAGAAGCAAGCCGAAGACAAGAAGGCCGAGGCCCAAGCCAAGGATGACCTCTCGCACGCCGCGGCCAAGGCCGGTCCCTTCACCGTCAGCGCCTCTGGCGTCGCCAAGGACGACCCCAACCGCACCCAGGGCTCGTGGAACCAGACCGTCGGCTCCGGCAAGGAGATGGTTGGCAACCTGGTCGGCAGCGAGTCGCTGAAGCAGGAGGGCGCCCGCCAGAACCAGGAGGGCAAGGGCCAGGAGGCTCAGGGCCAACTGAGCGACCTTGGCGGCGGCATTGCCGACAGGGTCAGCGGCACCATCGGTGGCGCGGTTGCCGGCCTCACCGGCAACGAGGATGCCAAGAAGCAGTACGAGAAGCAGCACGACCAGGGCAAGACGGCCCAGCGCGGCGTCGAGGCCGAGCTGCAGAAGCAGGCCGATGCTCAGAAGTAGGGTGATGCTCGGTCCTCTTTCTACCCTAGGGAACGCCCCATGAGTATGAAGATTACGATTATGACTTTGTAGTTTATACCCTGAAATCAACTTCTCTTTCTTGTTGACCAACCATCTTGCAACTTCGGACAACGTGGTATGAAACGAGATATGTGTGACAGCTTAACCAACATGTGCTAGAGCAGATCCGGATGGTTCTGAGTCTATGCTAACTAGGGAGATGGGTGTTGAGTAGGCTAGTGGAAGCTTAAGAAGCCGCTTATCTGGTTCTAGCGCACCGGATAATTACCACGCAAAGGGTGCGTTTAACTGTAACTTATTAGCGCACAGGTCTGAGAGGGCGCCTTGCTGTACATATTCGACATCTCTTCTCAAAGTACAACATCACTGACAGATGATGATTAAGCAGAGGACTCACGATTTTAGCCAGCTTTAGCAAATCCAATAACGCCTTCGCGGTCTCAAAAAGAAGATGTAAAAAGACTATCTCCGCCGTCATGCCAATGTCTTCAAAGTCTCGCCAACTCTGAACCAAACAGCCGATTAACACCCCATGTCAGGAAGATCATCGACTTCGTCCTAAAGCTTCTCGTCCACGTCAAACTTCCCTGCCTCCAAGACAGCCAAGCCAATTTCCCTGTCCACTCTCTGTCCTGAATGATTCCATCACGGCCGCCGATGTAAGTGACCAGGCCCTTCGGCCGGAACTTGTACGGCGTCTCGGAGCCGCTGTTCAAGACACTTGCAAGATACTTCGCCTTCTGCGTTGCCACCTCCGCCGTAGTGGGCAGCGGTGCGTCTTCGATATCACACGCATCTCCTAGCCCATAGACCCCCTCCCAAATCTCATCTTCCCCTTGATCCCCATCGTTTTTCGGCTTGAGAATGCGGAGCCGATTGTCCGTAAGCAGACGCACCAATCCAGAAGTGTACTTCTTCGCATCAAGCCTCTCAATCAACGGCACATTCTTGTTGCCCGTGGCCCAAATGAGCAAGCCGCACGGCAAACAGCCGTCCTCCTTCGTGTACAGCTCGTTCTGCTCGACGCGCTCGATGTGCGAGTTCGTCCGCACCTCCACATTCCGCTCCATCAGCCGCTCGCGCGCGTACTCATACAGCTTCTGATCGTACGCGCTAAGAATATGCGGCCCAACGTCATGAATCGCGATGCTCAGCTTGTCGGCAACGCCGGGATACAGCTTCAGCAAGTCCGACTGAGCCAAGTCCCAGAGCTCAGCGCAGATCTCGACGCCGGTGGGGCCGCCGCCGACGATGATGACGCGCAGCTTGTCGCGCTGCTGCTGCTCCGTCAGGCCAGGCATGGACGCCTTCTCGAGCTGCTCGAACAGGCGGCGGCGCAGCTGGCGCGCGTCGTCGACGGTGCGCACGAACTGTGCGTGGCGCTCGACGCCGGGGGTGCCGAACATGTTGGGCACGCAACCGGGGCAGATGACGAGGCGGTCGAACGACTCCTCGAACCAGTCGTCCTGCCGGCACCAGTCGAAGGCCGTCTTGCAGCGCAGCCGGCGCCGCGCGAAGTCGATGGCCTCGACGCTGGCTTTCACGTAGCGCACGCCCTTCTTCTTGCCGCGGATGGGCTCCTCGGCGAGGTAGAAGGCGAACTTGCCCGTGGCCACGCTGGCCAGGAGCGGCGTGTAGACGAGCGACGGCTGCGGCGAGATGATGGTGATGGCGAACTTGCGCTCGTCGAGTGATGTCGCCAGCGTGTAGCCGGCCCATCCCGTGCCGATGATGGTGATGCGTTCCCTGCCGTTGGCCGCCTTCATCGCGTGGTCGTCGTCTTCGTCGTCGTTGTCGATGTATTCGTTGAGGTTGTCTTCGGATTCGTCTTCGTCCGAGTCGTAGTACGGTGGCATGTCTCCGTCCTCCTCTTCCTCCAGGCGTGCGGATCCGGGCGGCGGCTTCTTTTGTATCATGGCTGGGCGAGAGCGCGCGGCGGAACGGGAGTGAGCGGGGCGGGGGTGTAGAGCGCGAGTAAGTCGAATCTGTGGGGAACCTGGTCGCGCATCTCGTCGTGTTTAAGTATATCCCCGCAGTCTGGAATGCTGAAACGGTAATACGTCGTCTGATTGGTCGAAGAGAGCGTGTTCCGGAACCGGGATGAACTCAATTTGCGAAGGGCAATGCTGATTGGCACTCCAGCTGGGCCAAGTGGTGGGGTAAGCTGAGCCTTTGTCAACAACTCCATGAGAATCTCGGAGCATGTCGGCTTCCCCGCCTGGAAAGGTATTGTGTTGGAGCTACTGCGCAAAGGCTCTACATTCAATGACGAGATGGCAGTGTCTCCCAAGTTCGCCCGGGAATAAAGGTGGGCAGAGAACCAGGTCTCCGGGTAGCTCTAGTAGTTAATGTGCTGACATGTGATTGCGCGGTAGATACAGTTGTCCAGCTTTACAGCAATCGTCCCAATTTTCATCTTTGCCCAGTGCAGACATTGTTTCAGTGACAGAACCCCGGAAGTTGTTTTGCTGCATCTTCTGCAACGCAAGCTTGAGCAAGAGCCAAGTTGTACTGCTTGATCGAGTAAACCGTGGATACCGTCCCCGCCACAATGCTGACTACTGTCAGAACAATCACCAACAATGCTAGCCAGAAAGCTGCCCACTCGTTGAAATTGCGCTGATCTCTCCATAGTTGCCAAATATTTCTTGGTGGGTCTTCAAATACGTCAAGAAGGTCAGACAATCTGTGCCCCCAGAAAACGTAATGCTCGATGTTCGGTATGCGCTTCCTTCCGCAACGGCCAAGACCATAGATGGGCTTGTTATTTTCCAGTAGAAAGCTTCTCGTGTCCTTGTTATGCCATGGAAAAAGGAGTTCGAAGGTATCGAGCGTCTCCGAGAGCAATGGTCTGGGAAGGATTGGCTCTTCGGAAGAATCCAAGTGATGCAAAAGGCAGACTTTGTGTTGATATACGCTGATACTTCTCCTCTTTCTATTGAGCTTTAGGTGATCTGCCAAGTTGTTTGTCCAGTGAAGGCGAATCCCGCACGTGCTGGACAGAAATGTTGCGGTGAAGTCTTCATCGAACTCACGGTGTCGGTGACGGGTCGCTGGACCACAGCTTCGATTTATCCGGCTGTGCACAAGGTCTTCCAATGTTTGATCATTTAGCCAGCCAATAGAATCGACACCGATGTCTATTGGGCCCAGAGAGGATGAGCTGGAACGAATGTGGAACGTGAGCAGAAGGCGCGCCGCAATATCCATCTGGTCCAGTATTGTTTGGTCCTCAATGTTGATGAATCTCCTGCTTATACTACTGAGAAGCTCTCTTCGTGTCTTGTTGCGAGTATTTCTGAAGTCATCGAGGATACTTAGTGTAGAATCGAGTGTCTGGATGGCAGATTTGGAGGAGTGGTGACGTCGGTGATTGCATTCTTCCTCCACATAATGGAGGAAGGTCTTGTACAGTTCGTCGGAGATGGAATTCTCTTCAATTCCCGATGATGGCCATATTCGCGAGACGATCTCGTAAGAGGTAGGGCTATCTGTGCGGCAAGGACCTGGTGTGGCAGATTGGCTCATCGTGTATGTTGCATAGGATTTTGAGATGATGCAGGCATGCGTAGCCTTATAGAGCTGGATACATGGAATGGAACAATTGAGGCTGTGAGCGGGGCTTAGCTCAAGAGGCGTTCTTGTCCTGTCTGAGCTCTTGGCTTGCGATGATATTACTGCCTTATTGGTCAAAGCAAGAAATCTTACCTTGCATCTCTGCAGTCAGCCTCGCGCTATCACCAAACCTTGCGCAGTCGACATCCTTCTGCAAGTAGCTTACATTCCCTGTAACCCCGCGTCTCTCAAAGCTGACGCCTCCCGCTGCCTCAAAGCCTCAGTCTTGATTTTTGCCGTCTTTTTTTTTTTTTTTGAATTCTTCCTAAATACGCCTCCGAGCAATGCGATAACGGGACTTCATACGCAACAAACTTTTCTTTCCTCATCGGCACAAGCATCTCCATTGAAATGGGCACACTTTTTCCACCCCAGCAAATGGCTACACCAATCACGGTCATCCGAAGACCGAAACCCGATAGCCTCGTCACCAACGGTCGAGACATGGACGCATCAATTTCAAATCGTATCAATGCCCACAGTTCGCACAGCAGATTAAATCACCTAGCAACACTATCCTCGCCTTCTCTAGTGGTTCCGAAACACGAACCGACCGACTCTCCTGGGGAAATAAGCATTTCCTCCCCGGTTATTGCCTGTACAAACTCTCCCAGGGATTCTCTTCCCCAGGAAAATTTGAGGGACGCTACAGTGCCTTCCTACAAGCAGATTGGGCCAGCGCGAGAGAACATACAGCAAGATTCTGCGCCGAGAAGCGTCGTTGATTGTCCAAGTTCTATCAACAATGAACCAAAGAACTTCACTATAGATACGGGAACGGCTTCTATGTCATCGCTCCCTTGCCACACGGATCATACCAGCGCTTCAAGTAGTCCAAAGGCCCAGGCAACTGATTGTGCAGACTCGATCATTTCTATCGATGGAATACCAACGCCTGCGACCGATCTGTCATTCACACAGTCACTCATGACGGCATTCTCTTCCAAGTCTCAATCAACACATGAGTACACCTTTACAGTCACTTTCCCATCACATATGGTATTCCAGGTGGAAAAACGTCTTTACCAAGGCAGTATAAAGGACATACCTGTGCCATCTGACCTCCATATGAGATGGGTCGAGTCAATCCGTCCTCGCATAACAGATGATGTACTGCCCATCCTTGCTGAGCTGCGCCGCCCCGGAAGACGATTCGAACCGGATTTCTGCATGATCGGGAGGACCAAAAGAGGGGACACTTCTGTGAAGCTTCGGCCAACTGTTTGCATACGCTGTGGCAACAAAAAAGCGGCTAAAGTCGTCAAGGACGCCATCAAAGACCTGGCTTATCTCAACGCATTTAGCCATGGCGTTGTGGAAGTTTTCGTTGGTCCGCCCGAACTTTCCAATTCAGACTCTCTTGAGATACTTGAGCCTTTGACTCTTACGGATAATGATTGTCTGATCGGTCACTTGGACTACCCCATCCATGTCCACCTGGAAGCCCCCTCGGAGCATCGCTCGGTATGCGGGCTCAAGCTTCTGGTCACTGCGACAAGAAATGACAACATTGTAGCACAAAGAATATCGACCTTAGGGGGATTCGTTTTCACCAACAACAAAGTTTTGGGGCTTACCACGGCACATACGATCCTCGGCTTTGTAGATGAAATCGTGGAATCCCTTTCCGAGAATGACGAGACAAATTCGACAGATTCAACCGACGAATTCTCGAGCGACAGTGACGGGCAAACGAAAGAGACCGAGCTCTTGAGTCCAGTTGATTCTGTCCAACGGCTTCCACTATCGGATCACGATGAGAATGATAGAGAACATAAAATGTGGTCCAGGGTTTCAGGTCTCGCATTAGCCGTCTTTGACGGTACAAGCACAATCCGCAGTCCAGCCGCAGATTTTGCACTAATCCAGGTGGAGGGACACGATGATGCCCTATTGGGTAATACCTACAAGGATCCCTCATCGGGGCACATCAACACAGTCAGCAAATATGAACCCGAGTCTGCGTTGCATGAGGGAAAAGTGTATATTCTTTTGGGCACCGGCCAGCCCAAAGAAGGTTACCTTCTGCCCCACCAATCGATGATGGTGGTCGATCGCATTGTACTGGACACAAGAAAAATACAGCTGGACTCGCCGTTATGTAAGTGACTTCACATACAGAGTACTGCATTTGCTAACAGGGTGTAGCCAAGGGATGCTCAGGAGCATGGGTCGTTCGCGGAAATGTCCTTTACGGAGTCATTGTTGCAGTTTACCGGAACGAGCCATACGCGCATATGATCACGGCAGAAAGAATGTTCTCAAATATTAAGAACATCTATAATCCGGTCGATACTGTCAAAGTCGCAACGCAAGAGAATATCAAGAACTTCATGCAGACCAGACAGAAGACCTCCATAACTTCAGAAACCATGCAGAGCCACTGCATGAAAAACGACACTGAACCTTCGGAAAAAGTCAGCATGACTTGTGATCCTCCACTTGAAGCATCGGTAGAGGAGCCACTTATGGCGGAGCCGGAGAAGACTGCTCCTGCCGCAGGACCAGAGCCAGATTCGGTCATACAATTAACTCCAATCTCTGTGGGATATCTCCAGGTTGGACGCGACATCCACATCCGGGGACCTGAGTTGGTCGAACGCGGTCCCTCCGATGACGAATTCTACTACAGCGATCGTCAAGAGGCACTGTTTTATAGACTGATCCGCTCCGCGCCTTGGTTGCAAGAAGGATTTCGGCTCATATTACTGTTCTTCGCGTCCATGATCGCTTGGGCAAAAGCATTGATCCGGAAATGCTTTTAGTTTTCCAAGCCATTCATCACGCTCTTACTCTTTTGGGGTTGCAAGGTCTACAATCGTGACAATGTTTTTGATTCCTTTTGTATTTCTTCTAAGTATTAGTACATAGAGTAGGGATGCAATAGTCTTTCTGCAAGTGCGGTAAATTGATGTTCCATTGACTCTGAAAGATAATCCTCCAGAAAAGGCGAAGAAAAGTAGGGGAAAAAGAAAGGCATCGGGACTGAAGGGTATTAACTATGCCGAAAGTAAGCTCTGAAGTTTGCTATTTCATGGGTTGCGATAGATGCGGAGAGATACCAAACGCTTTCCAAAGGCAAACCATATCATTTTGTACCCATTATCTACTTTAACGAGAGCAGGCTGACAGCTAGAGTCTGCTAGATGCTCTCATCAAACGCTCCCAATAAGAAAAGAAAACACCTGCACCCCATCCGTTCGCTCGCCCAACAAGAGTATTCTGACAGCCAGAGACTGCCAGATACTCCTGTGAAGTGCTTCCTCTGTTTGAATGAATCCCGCAGCCCCGTAGAAGCAACTTAAATCAAGAAGCAAGAATAAGAAAATAGCCAAAACTTTTTTCTGCACCCTCAGGCCGCTTTTCCAGAAGAAGACACCTGATACCGAAAGGTACCAAGTAGCTTCCTGAGAAAAAAGGTAAAAGAACCATTTTCGCAAACCACTGGTCTCGATTGCCAGTCACCGCCATCACTATCGCCATCGCCATCGCCATCGCCATCGACCTAGCCCCACTGTCGGACGGGAATTCGAGGCTGCTGAGCCTCCCACTTCTCTCTCTCGCTGTCGCTAATGACCAACAAGTTGTTTTCGAGGCAGTAGTCCAGAGCCTCCTTCCACTTTCTGAATTCCCGGGGGTCCTTCATCGACTTGTTCATTTTGCTGAGCAGGAGCACTGAAATGGCGTTTGGGGCGAACCGTGCACACTTATTTATGTACTCCGTGTAGGTGAGGAAGTGAGTTACTTGCACTGGATCCATGGTGCCTTCATCCCCCCCAAAGTCTGGAAGTCCACCCTCTAGGAATGCTGGCTCTTCACCTCCAGAGAACCTGTTCCACACCTCCTCGAAATGCTTAGTGAATAAAGGCGGCTGACAGAACGTGTTTATCTGCTCCAGTTGCATTTCTTGTGTACTGGGTGCGCTTTCAGGTAGAATATCGCCATACTTCGGTACATAGTGTTCACGAGCACCATTACTGATTCGATCATCTCCCGGAATAGTGGAAAAGACTGGTGACAACGCATGGAGCCACTTCATGCCCTTTGGCCCTCTGACTATCGCCTTGTGCTTAGACAGCCGTTTTTCTTTCAGAAATTGGGGTCTGTCGTACATGCGGTAGTCTGTTGCGAAAGCCTCAGGGTTGGATGCTGACGAGGGAAATAATTCTGGTTCTGGTGCAGATGTCTTTCTCTTTTTTTTCGGCCGGCGCGCAGGTTTATCCTCGCTCCTATCCTCATCGCTGTACTCCTCATTGCTGTCTGCATGTTGGTTGGTTATTTCCTTCCAGAACTTCTTGCTGGCTTTCAGCAAGTAGATGTCGTATCGGGAATCATTTGCGGGACCTTGAAGTTCGTAGGGGAAACGATCCTTGAACTTTGTGTAATATCCCGCTGCTCTGGCGACACTCAACGGGTTGAGGCTCTCCTTCTCTTCCGGAAAGGCCGCGATCAGCTTGTCGAAAAACCCCTCAGCACGCTCCAAATCTTTGTCGAAGGTGTCTGAAACCAAGCCTCGTTCAGCCGGAAGAACACCTGTGCGGCGGGGAATAAGAGAGTAGTGGCGCATCAGTGCATATCCAACGTTGAGCGCCGACAGGTACTCTCGCATCTCGAAGAATTCGAACTCGCAGAGAAGACCTTTCCGCGCAGCGTGACGAAAGCCCTCGGCTTTTTTGCGGAATATTTTCAACTTTGTCATCAAGAGCTCTTCATCTGGACTCTCAAACCATTCCACCTGGTCGGCGGAAATGCGTGTTTCTCCCTCGAGATGGAGTTTGACTTTGCTGCAATCTTCGATACTCGCAAAAACAGGTTGACCTTCATGCTGCTGTCCTCTGGTGACGTAGCCGATGTGTTGTCCTTTCGCTTGAACGAAGTAATTCAATTCACCCCACGTCAACTGTCTCTTTGGCACAACAGCATTGCTCGGTTGTTCCTCGTCGTCACCATCGCTCCGATGCTTGGGTGACATCATACAATGGGTGAGTGAGTGAGTGAACTTACGCATTTTGATTGTGGCTCACTGGCTAGATACCAGCAACGCTAGGGTATGTGTTCGTGTTCAATCGAAAAGATAAAGGAATTAGCAGGGCGAAGTTGTGGCCAGAGACCACAGCACGCGACGGCTGCGAAGGTGAGGAGCGGAAGTTCGGTGAAGCTGAGCTGGATGGATAGGGCCTTGAACGGATACAAGAGGCCAACGCTCTCGATCCTGATCGGCGGGCCACCGCAAGCGGTGAGGTGAGGTGATGGTGTCGGGCAACCGAAGATAAGGCAAAGAGGGAACAAGCTCTTCACGATGAGGTTGAGGCTGAGGCTGTACTGGAGTGGAAGGAAGTAAGGCGAAGGTTTTTCAAAGAGTGCCCGAGGTGGTCAAGCGGATGAGCACGTGGAGCTGCTGACCCGAAAGGTAGAGCGACAGGTGCCGGTATGATCACGACCAAATAGGCTGTGGCAGCCAATCACGCTAAACCCCATTTGGCACTACACACTGCAAAGACTTCAAGGGCTCGTTCCAAAGCCTGAATACTCCGCAGATCTCACCTGGACGCAAGCCTGATACGGCACATCATGCAATAGGTCGACGGATACACATGCAAGTTGAAAATAACCATCCCTATAGTACCCTCTGAAATGTTTTATCAACTACGAAGTTTACCTACGATGAATAAGCCAGGCAGCAAAAAACCGGCGGTATCTGCTTATCCTCCATCACTACAGTCCCCTCTCACAGCAGCTTTTCTTGCGAGCTTCCTCTCCTCTGCCCTTTGCTTCTTCATCTTGTCCTGAAATTCTTTGATCTTGGACTCCGGAACGCCGTTTTCTCGCATTTGAGCAACTGGATCCTCGACCTCTGCGCGGTATTTCCGCTTTTTGCGTTCTCCACCTTGGTCTCAGCTTCCTTCCTCCTGGACACTTCATCGGCATACCGATCTCGCTTCTGCTGAAGCTTCCTCTCCGGGTCGATCCCAACCGCCTTGGTTGGGCGAACTATCGCCTCTATGATTGGGACGCTCCCGTTTGCTGGCTCCCAGGGCACCATCTCATCGGCCCATGGGCCTATGGCAAGGAGAATTTCTTTGATAGTGTTCTTGTTGTCGGGCATAAATGTCAACAGCAATGACATGAGCATGACTTCATGTAGGATGCAGGAGAGCCTCGTGTCCAGAATTTCCTCAGCGGAACCATCTGTGAGGGTTGGCCACAGCCCGGTCAAGACGGAAGTCAAGGTCCGCTTGACCTTCTTGTCGTTCAATAGATTGTATAAGTAGCTGCCTCTGGAATCCTTAAGGATATTGTCCCGATGCTCCGGATTCATGTGCTCTGAGACCCGGAAGCTGATCCTTCTGTCCGTACTGGTCACTGAGCCGTTATAAACAAAGTTCCGGTGACCGGATGGAGCGTTGACGGGCAGTAGGTAGGTACCCAGACAACGGCATAAACCCTTCTTCGTGGAATATCTTGAAGTTTGTGTCGGCCCGGTGGGCGACTTTCGTCAAATCGCATTCTCGATGATTCCCGATCTTAGGCATCACAGCTAACTGCTCCATTCCATATCCACCAGTGTTGATAGTAACTTGAACGATGAAGCGGCCATTGTGGTTTTTGATGTACACATCGTGCTCACGGTTTGTAGAGAAGGTACGGTCGTGCACCCTGTTCGCGCATTCCATCTCATGTAGGAGAGCTGCCCTATTGAGAACGAGGTAAGCTTTTAGGTTCGGGAACCATGTCTGCTCTGCTTTGCTGAAAATGTCGATGGCTTTCCCATCTTGGGTCAGAAGGAATGAGGGAATTTGAGGCCCATCCTGGGCTTTTATCATGTTTCCAAACCCATCCGAGGAGACCTTATCGTCCCACGAGGGCGCCCGGGTGTACCACAAGTAATTGGTACTGGGACCTCTGCTCAGGTTTCTCCGCTCCAGCCATTCTGCCCAAAACTGATCGGAGAAGTCCCATTTGGACTTTGGTCCATTCAACTTACGAAGCTCCCACTACAACACCATGACTTGATCCTGCCGCTCTGCTTCGAGCATTTTTTCATACACCTGTTCAGCCTTGAATCCCGATCGTGTCCCTCCACGTCTCGCTGGCCGTCCGAGAAACTCTAGCCTCCACAAGCTTGCTTCATCTGGGCCATTTTCAACCAGTTCGAAATTGAAAACGCAGCAGTCTTCTGGGTCCAAGGCCAGCTCAATAGCTCCCTGTTCTCGATTCTCGGCGAACTACGGGAAGCACTGGAGAAGTCACGGCTTTTGATCGTATGAGCCAAGCGCTGAAACTTCCGAAAGTAAGCCCAGGAATGGCTTTCGTCAACTCGCACTCTCGATGAGTCGTCAACCACATTCTTGAACGACTCGTCAACTCACACTCTCGAGGAATTCGTCAAGCCACACTCTCGAATGCCCCCTTGCATGGTGACGGCACACCCAGGGCCGTTGTTGTGCACGGCCTGGAGAAGAGCATCATCGGCAGATCTCGCGCGGATCCACAGCCAATCGGTCGAGATGTACTCCAGCGGCGGTCTTTCAAACCCCGGAATCCGGAGGTGAAGTGGGGATCCGTCTTGGTTGATGCTCGGCTCGCAAATAGTGGACGGAGTTGTGTGCGAGTTATGACACTCGTTCTAGAGGGTGTGACATTCCATTTGGAATCGAGGGATCAACGTCACGTAGTGTGTAACGTCGGCGCGGTATTCAGCGACGAAGTACGAGCGGAAGAAGGGTGGCGGAGGCCCGAACTTGATCAGGCTGGACTCAATTACAGGCTTTTGGCTTTTAAGTTTATCGATCTTTTCTTCTCGCTCTTTCGCCATGAGCTCCGCGACCCAATTCTGTGAATCCCACATGCTGCCAAAGCTTGGCGGAATGATGTTGCAGAGTCGCTCAACTCAAAGAGTTCCTGGGACAGCGTGGAGATTATCGTACGTTTGAAGCTCAAAGTGAATTTCCTCAAGCTCGAGGAGGGCGTTCACAAAGGCTTTGACTCTGCTTTCGTACTGAGGAAATGCCGATGAGAGCGGAAGCTGGGGGGACGGCAGTGAGGACCCGGTGGTGGAGAGCATTGAGAGGATATCGTCACTGCTTGATTCATATGTCGATAACCGTTACGCTTGAAATGCTTCTCTGATCTCTTGAACGTCGCTCCGGAGCATCGTGAGTACGACAATGTTGCATGGAAGTGTGCGCGCTAGAGTCATTGCAGCGATCTTTTTCGCAAGAATGCTCACCGCGTGTGCGCCGTCATAAATTTTCCAGGAGCCTTGTCCAATTACTTCTTCATCGTATCCATTGACCGAAACGAATACTTCCCATCGAAGATTCAGCTTGCCGGCAAACCCAAGAGATTTTCCACGCACTGCATTCTCCATCAAGGTATGCGCTAAGCATGTGAGCTGCATAGATCGGGTGGTGGTTAATTGTGGTTTACAGAGTGTTTTGTTCACGAACTCGATTAGTTGTGGAACTTGGCGACGGCTTCCACGGAGGGTAATACATTCCATTCTAGAATCGAGCTTTGGAATTCGATCAAGCGGGGAGAATCCTAGCAATGATGCTAGGTGACTCTTTCCTCTTGATGCAAGGTTGATATTTCCTTGGGCGGGATCTCCTGCGAGGATTAAGACCTTGACTGTAGGCTTGACCGCCGTAACAATCTCAGCGAGGGCAGGCTCCGTCAGCATCGAAACTTCGTCGACGACTACGACATCCGAAGGGTATGCAAATTCCGATATTTTGGACAAGGAATCTGTAGCGGTGCACATGAGCCTGACGTATTGTATCATGTCGCGAACAGCCTCTCCGTGGGTTTCCGGGTTGTCTGCTTCGAAACCAGAACACCCGGCTCGATTTGGGTATTCTCTCACCCAGTCCTTCAAGCCAGCCTCGATCGAGTTAGCCCATGCTAATCGCATTTCTTCCGGACCCGAGGCGCTTTGGCTCTTGTAAAGCTCTTCAAGATAGCTTCCGAGCCACTTGGCAGTAGAGACCGGTCTTAATTCCTTTCTCTTTGTGAACGTAAGGAGATTGAAGAGAAGTCGGTCCGATGCTGCGGCTTCTGGTGTGACCACCAGGACGTTGAGGTCGATAGACCCCAAAACCTGGATGGTCATACCGATTTTCCAATTCTAGCAGATCCTCTCAAAATAACTAGTCCCTTGTAGATATTATTGCTGATGACAGCATCAAAAAAATGTCGCTGTTCGGAGGAAAGGGTGTTCCTTAAGATGTCGATGTCTGGAGGGAAGGTAGCCTGATCTCCCCACTGATTCCGCCAGATTGTTGAGAGGGGAGCTTGTTCGTTGCCAGGAAAACCGAGAAAGACCTTTTGGAACGATAGCCAACCGAGAGGCTCGAAACCTAACGTTTCGTTCGTAACAACCTCAAGGGCGTGATAGTGACGGGCAAGTTGGTCTGAGATTAAGCCCAACGTGATAGTCATCCGGTCGTCACCCTCGTCAAACCTGTCGGGAAGATTCGCTGGTTGACAGTTGAACTTAAACGAGACGTCATCCTCTTTCACTTCCTGGACGATACCCTCCCATGCATGGCTCGGGTCTATTGTGGGATTAGAAGCAAGGAACCCCGCAACTCGAGACCCAATTGTCGGCATTACAATTAAATGGTCCATGCCGTACCCTCCACTGTTGACTACAACTTCAACCGTGAGCCCCATCTGTGCTCTTGTGATCTTGACGTCGCGTTCACCATTCGTCGAGAAAGTCCGATCATGAATTGTGTTCACGCATTCCATCTCGTGCAAGAGAGCAGCTCTGTAAAGCATCAAGTATGCCTTTACATTTGGTACCCATACATCCTCTGGGTTGTGGAAGATGCTGATTGTTTTTCCGATATTGTCAACAAGAAAAGGCGGGACTTCCAAGCCGTGGCGAGCTGCGATCATGTTTCCACAGCCGTCGCGAGAGGCCGCGTCGTTATGCCATGCTGGCATCCTGGTGTAAAACCAGTAATTGGTAGGTTCGCCCTTAGAAAGGCTTCTTCTTTGGAGCCATTCTGCGTAGTACTCATCCTACCTATCGATCTTCGCGTTCAGGTTCTTTTTTTCCAAAAGACTTCGAGCCTCCCATGTCAGAATCGTCAACTCGCATTCTCGATGAATGGTCAACCCGCGCTCTCGAGGGACTCGTCAAACCGCACTCTCGAACAATTCTCTCTTGGCGACAGAATGTCCAGGGCGGTGGGTTTGTATGTGATGGCTTGGAGGAGAGAATCGTCTGCTGACTTTTCGCGTGTCCAGAGCCAGTTGCTGGAAATGTAGTCCGCATACGATCGTAGTCGAAGTCTTCGCGAAGGAGACATGCTGGTGTGGAAGCATAGCGAGGTGCGTAAAGAGAAAAGACGTCAAGTCGAAGATGGGCGGGGTCGAGAAGATCTTGCAAATGGAGCACCTTGGTGTCGGGGGCAGCTCCACGACCAGATAGGCAGCAACGGTCGGCGACGCTAACCCTTTCCGGACACGCAGACCATCTTTCGCATTCCTCGCGCAAAATCGACAGTGATCGCGACGCTGATAAGGCGGACGGCTTATCAAAGTAATTCTCTCATAAATCTGACTGATTCCACACTCCATGAACCTAACGACACCAGTACGTCAACCGAAAAGAAAAAAGGTCCAAGCCCAACGCCCAAACAAGCAAATGCCAGTCAAACCCCCCAGCTCGGCTTCTCAAAGCGTGACCACAGGCCTTAGGTTCGGCGCTCACGTCAGGCTCTCAATGCGGCGTGCTCATGAAAACAACCTCTCCATTCTCCTGGTCATGCACCTCCGCCCCCAACGCATCCTCATAGAACTTGATGGCGTGCGGCGCTCTCTTCGCCATGAACATGACTCGTCGCACCGCCGGCAGCGCGTCCGTTCCTTCCTTGATGCACCGCATCATCCATTTCGCCAGCCCTTTCCCTTGATATTCCGGCAACACGAAGACGTCAGTCAGGAAGAAAATGGTAGCATGATCCGTGACCAGCCTGCCCATCCCGATTTGTTTGAGAGTCGAAAGATCCGATTTTCCTTGTTCTTGGGGCGTTGTGGTCGATTGCTGAGTTTGGAGGTAGACTCCGTACCAGAGGGATGTCTTGAGGATCGTGTCCAGGCTTTGTGGATCTAATGCGGCGGCCCAGTACATCGCAGAGTCTGCGAAAGATGCTTGAACGAAGTCGCGGGAGATAAGGCTTGAGTCCGTCGAGATGATGAAAGTTTGGTCGCCGACTTGGCGCTGCCATTGCTTGGTCTCCATGGCGTCAATCTTGTAGAGAGTTTTCAAAGAGGCTGATATTGGGTTTGTCCGTGAATGAGTTACAGGCGGCACTCAGTGACTCTATTTAGATGTTCCGGACAGTAGCTGGTTTCGGTGTCGGTTAAATAGTTGTAGCATGCGCTGGCGTGACTCACATCTTCAGTTTAACGTAGATCTGGCGCTAATGGCGGGCCGAGCTATCAACACCAGGAGGACTGCACTTGAGGAAGGCTGGAGATACTACCTGGAGATGCGCGCTGACTAAATGCTGGTCTCTCGGATTTACGCGAGGTACGAATACGCCATTGGTTCGGAACCACAGACAGAGTGGATCAATGACATCCTCTATGACATCCTCAGCGATTCCTTTCATGAAACCTGAAATGGTATCATTATTTCCACTCTTCTTCAATGCATATTCTACTAACCGTGAAAAGCAGTTGCTGCCGACATGGCGAGCTCTGAAGAGAGTCTTTTGGTTGACGCCACACGACCTCGGACTCGGCACTCGTACTATTCCAAGATCTCGGATATGATAGTTCCGAGATATACTGTCAAGTTATGCATTTGAAATTGAGAATGAAGGTCATGTGGCAGAAAAAATGGAACCTCATGAGCAGCCTGGGAATTTCTCTGACGCGAAAGTTAAAGCATGAATGCGGAACCTCTATACGTTACCTACCAAATTTTCTCAGCAATGGCTTTACGCAAAATAGGCAGTGTACTAGTCTCTAGAGATTCTTAGTAGCGGATATTGGATACACATCTTTTAGAGCTTCAGAAGAAAAGATCGCCGGAAGCCAACCACAGCTGCGGCTATCAACTTTCGGCGTTGCAACATCTCTCCAGTGAGCTCTGTTCATGCGAAATGAAAAGGCCGCAGCGCAGATGGTGTGAAATAAGTCTGAAGATGGCTGGAATGCAATCACTATGCTACGGTGTAAAACTGAGGGGTTTCAATGAATAATTCGATATGCTGTTTCGATTTCCGCAAATAAAAACTTTCATTTGGTTCCTCGAAGTTGAATTCACGCTCGCCCAAGTCTGGACTATCCGTTTAATTATGCGAGAGGCGTTAACTCCTTGGTTCAGAGCCTCTCGAGTTCGTAGCTGTCAGAGCTTTGCGATGGTCCTTCGTCGGCGCATCGAAGGCACCAATTAGCTGAAGAAAGTCAGCATGAATCAAAGCCTTCCTTAGTATGATAGTACCTCTGGAGTCTTGTTTCTCTGCCACATGGCTAGACACCAAGCTTATCATCGACCAGAGGGCTCGGAGGAAAACCAGATTGGCGAGTATCACCGAGACAATCAGAGACGCTGGGACTTTCTGAACCGGAATCTGACACAGGTAGGTGTTGAAGATGGAAGAACTGTTGATCGTTGGCTTTCCTGTCACAAGTTGTGAAGAGCCGTAACTACCCGTTGCAGGACCAGCAGGGACCCAACCAGTTGCTGCATTCAAGCTGCTGTAGTTGCTAGTGAATTTTCGGAGCACCTCATCATCGGTTAATATATTTGGCCCGCTTTTACTGGAAAATCAAGCCGGGCACAAGCAACTTCCAGCATATTCCAGGCAAACAAGCTAGCAATCAGCCAGTTAGTCTATGAAAGACCGGTAGATAGACTGACTACAATCACTATGCGATCTTTTCAACTCTTGTCATGCCTAAATCGGCGAGCACAGTACTGTAAAATGACTTTGCAGGCGCGTCGACGGACTTTTTCAGATCTCCCCAGCTGTTTCCTTCTAGCGAAAGGGAAATGTCGGTCAGGGGGCTGAAAATCCGGCCGTTTTCCCAAAGGAAATACCAGGTGATGTTGAAGAACGCCGCATCTGAAATGTCAAAAACACCTTCAGATGGCCAAAAGTCTATCTGATTTAGCGTGAATTTATTTGGCTTTAGCTTTGAGATACTGCTTACTGAATGTTCCTTTTAGGAAACCAAGATCCTGCTCATTGTTGAGACTCTCCATTCGTAATGCTGCGTCAACCCAGCTATAGGACCTGCTACCGTTAAATCAATGCTTACCATAAAAATACGGATTCTTACATAATTGATTCTGCCCACCACATCGCCGGAACTTGAGTGTTGTTGCTCGAGATGAACTGAAATACATTTTGCTTGGCAGCGTAGTCCCAAGAGATGTCGTTTAGATTCAAAGAGAGCTTGGCAGCATTGGCTGGTACAAGATCATACTCCGCAGTGATGTTAACTCTCATGTGTCCGACTTCGATTATTACTGAGCAGGATATCGCTCCCTTCGAATTGCCGTTAGAGTTGCCCTCTTAAAAGTTTGGCTTTACTCACAAAAGCACTTGGACCCCAACGTGACCAGGCTACTTGTTGGGCAGTGCACCCACTCCAAGAGATGCGGTAGGATTGTAGCGTAACCTAGTCAGTGAAACAGGCTGAACGGCCATGTTACGCCTGTACCTCTCGCATGGTGGTTACTAACTCGTGGGTGGATATCATTAGTGTAGCGCGTCAGTTTAGAACTGGGGCTACGAGAAGTGTCAGTGGGACTGACAAACGAATAGGGAGAAGAAATCTGTACAGTAAATTACCTTCAATTGCGTTGCCTGATCAAGAGTGGATACCAAGATGATGTTTGTGTGTGATTCATGTGCATCATTCCAGCCTTAGGAAACAATGATTCTGTTGGCTTTTGAAGCGCCATCGGATCCTACAGGACCTCTCACGCGCTAAGCATGCAAGCCTCAATATTTCGAGCTGGGTACATTCGCCTCCACTCAAACCGACTAATTACATTCACTTTGGGGTGTTCAATAGCAGCTACAACATGTCTGCGTTGATAAGGAGGGTGAAATGTATTCTTTTACGTGTAAAGCTAGCGTTTAAGCAACCAATTTAGCAAAGTACAGGGAGGCTGGTCTGCGTTATTGTCGGGTGCACATAGTAATACTATGGCTTTCGTGTGGAATGTCGGGCAGAGAGCCCTTCCCTATGTCTGATGTGGGTGGCAAGATCGCACCATAGCCTCTCAAATATATTAGATATGGTGACGCTCAAAATACATTACTCAACATAGACCTGGATGGTTGGATCCTATCGCCGGACATGCATCAATGCTCTGGATAAAAATAGCACCTGCAACTGCCGTGCTTGTGCGCCGAGGGACGAACAGCACGAGCAAAGTTTAACTTTGTCTCCCCATAGCGCAAATTGTCCCATGAGAACGACAAGCTCTACAGAGGTGAACAGAAGATCACAATACATGGAGTCCGAACGAGAGTGGCAAGAGGAAATCATGATCGCTGTTAACCATCGCTTCCACTGACAATATACGATGAGTCCACGGCATTTTTTCACGAAACTTCATTACACGGAGAAGTAAAAATCGAAACACAGAAAAGCTCTGTTCGAGTGAAAAGAAATAAAAAGAACAGCAAGCACATCATCAGATCAACTGGATACGCTAGTCTGTATGCGGAAGGGACCCTGCCCCGCCCAAACTCCGCAATGAGCTCGTAACGCCGGGGGCGCCCCTCCGCCGCCGCTTTCACCGCGCCTAGGAAACTCTCCCACGCCATCCAACAGCTCCCAAAGAAACACGCACCATGACATCGATAAGCGAAAAGGCTCCGACCAATCCTTCCGACCTCTCAGACAAGCTCCCTCGCCTGACGCCGCGCAAACCCTCCACGCAAGTGCCAGAATCGCCCATACCTGCACCCGAAACGCCTTCGCTGCCTCCGCCGACCACCTCCGCGAACGCCGCCACCGCCAGCAAAGATGACAATGGCGACGGCACAAGTTGGACCTTCCGCAAGCCGCGTCGCCGCATCCTCTCGCCGCGCGACCACGAGCTCTTTAAGTCGTCGCCGACGTACACGCTCCTCCAAGCCTTCATCTTCACCCTGACGGACAGCGTGCAGGACACGCCCATAAAAGCCATCGCCGACGAGCCGTCGCACCCGACGATCGCCGCGATCCTCGACGTCCTCGACCGGGCGGAGGCGGTGCTGGCGCGGTGCCCGGCCGAAGACACAGGCTCGCGCTTCGGCAACCCGGCCTTCCGCACCTTCGTCGACGCCGTGGAGTCGGAGCAGACGGCGTGGCACGACCGGCTGGGCGTCAAGAACGCGGCGGCGGTGACGGAGCTGTCCGCGTACCTGGCCAACAGCTTCGGCAACGCGTCGCGCATCGACTACGGCTCGGGCCACGAGCTCAACTTCTTCTGCTGGCTGCTCTGCCTGTACCAGCTCTCCATCCTGCCGCGCAGCGCCTTCCCGCAGGTCGTCCTGCGCGTCTTCCCCAAATACCTGCGCCTGATGCGCGGCGTGCAGATGACGTACTACCTGGAGCCGGCGGGCTCGCACGGCGTCTGGGGCCTGGACGACTACCAGTTCCTGCCCTTCCTCTTCGGCGCCGCGCAGCTGCTGCACCACCGCTACATCCGCCCCAAGTCGATCCACTCGACGCTCGTGCTCGAGGAGTGCGCCCCCGACTACCTCTACCTCGACCAGGTCGCCTTCGTCAACAGCGTCAAGAACGTCGAGGGGCTGCGCTGGCACAGCCCCATGCTCGACGACATCAGCGCCGCCCGCAACTGGCAGAAGATCGAGGGCGGCATGCGCAAGATGTTCGTCGGCGAGGTGCTCGGGAAACTGCCTGTCATGCAGCACTTCTTGTTTGGTAGCTTGATACCCGCCGTGGACGAGATGAGCGACGAGGAGCTGCTGGGGTACGAGATTGAGGGCGAGCCGGACGAGGATGGCAACATAATAGTCATGAAGGATGGCAGGAAGCACAAGCACAACCCCAACAGCTGGGACGACTGCTGCGGCATTAAGGTGCCGAGCAGCGTTGGTGCGATGCAGGAGATGAAGAAGAGGATGGGAAATGACGGCTTGAGGAGAGTGCCTTTCGATTAGCCTTAGAACGCAAAGGATAAAAGAGAAATTAATAAGAAACCACGAATCACGATCAACCATCACAAGATATCAGAGCACGCTGCTTAATGTTGTAATAGTCCTTCAATTTTCCCTTGAGTTAACACGCCTGGATATCAAAAATGTTTCGTTACCCCTCCCGACATCGTATGTCAAAATCAAGCAGCCAACTCCTTCTCGATGGCCTCCTTCAAGCTCTCGGGCTTGGTGGTGCTGGCCCAGCGGCCCTTGACCTGGCCGTCCTTGCCGATGAGGAACTTCTCAAAGTTCCACTTGACGCGCTTGAGGCCCATGAGGCCGGGCTTCTCGTTCTTCATCCACTCCCACACGGGGTCCGCCTTGTCGCCGTTGACGTCGACCTTGCCGAGGACGGGGAACGAGACGCCGTAGTTGACCTGGCAGAAGGACTGGATCTCGTCGTTGGAGCCGGGGTCCTGGCTGCCGAACTGGTTGCAGGGGAAGCCGAGGATGACGAAGTCGTCCGGGTGCGCGCCCTTGACGTCCTTGTACAGCGCCTCGAGGCCGCCGAACTGGGGCGTGAAGCCGCACTTGCTCGCCGTGTTGACGACCAGCACGACTTTGCCCTTGAGCGAGGCGAGGTCGTACGCGTTGCCCTTCTCTGTGAGGCTTTGTGTCAGCGGTGGTTCCGTTTTTGTGTTTCCAGTCGCCTCCTTCGACCGTTGTGTGCTTGGGTGGTGTACGATGATGCTTGTGGGGCTTTTGAGTGCTGCGGAAGGAAGCTGTGGCATGTGGGGTGCAAAGGTTCGTGGGCTGCCCGTGGCGCTGATCGTGATCTCGGCGGCGGGCAGGCGAGAACAGGATCAGATCGTCGCACACAGCCTTGTGCTTTGGGGTGGGAGGGCGATCAAGAGCTTGGGTCTCAGCCGCATCGCTGCGTCGTGTTGCCAGCGTGCCATGCCACGAGCAGTTGTCTGAGACGCTGCACGCAGCCTCTGAGAGCGAAGCAAGACGGTGTGAAGAGAGCGTGCAGGCAAATGTCGGCAGGTCATATGAGCAGCCGACAGCCCGTGCTGCTGGTGCGAGAAAAGAAAACAGAATACACTGGAAAGAGGGGACTTACTGTCAGCGGGCTTGAAGTCGTAGAAGCTCGTAGCGGACGACATTTTGGTGGTTGAGGTGTGGAAGAGAGAGTGTGTTGTTGTTGACGGCGGTGGTGTGGCGATGACGGCGGGGTATGACCTCAGAGCGGTGGCGGCAGTCGGCAATCGCGGGGTCGGCGGTGCAATAGAGAAGAACGTTCGACGGGCAGCGGCGGCTTTTGTAGCAGAAGCAGCACCGGTGGTACCTATAGGCAATTGCCCCGCCGACGCCGCCGCCGTCGGACGAGAAATGAGTCGCGATAGCGCCGGCATACGGGACCAATTCGAAGTCGGGACGCGTGCGAACAGGCGTTCTGATCACCTCACTCCAGCTGAACCCCCTGGGCACGAATATCGAATATTCTGATCAGCAGCAGCCGAACGCGATAACTAATCCAGGGCGAGGCTCCGGTATTGGGGCGAGGCGCTTGCTGTTTTGGATGGTTCACGGCCAATGCTGCCCTGGGTGATTATGTGACTGCGGCAGATCTGGGCTCGTGGGGGACTCGGATCTTGGCCGTTCCGTCGACGCCATCCGTGCGCAAGGCCACATTCGATAGGCGGGCTTGTGAAAGCGTGAGAGCTACGGCCGTGAGACGCCCTGATGGACACATCAATCTCTCCGCTCGCTTGTTCAAAAGCCCACGTTGCGATCGGCCATTAACTTTCGCTGACGTGACCGACCGCCGACGGTTTCGCCGCATGTGACGCTGTGGCTGCCCAAAGCCCCGCAACACCACACCCCGCTCGTCCGCAGGTACTCTTCCCCAACAAATCGGCAAATTTCACCAGCAGACCCTCAATGTTTCTAAGTAATTCTTCAATTCTTCGCGTTACTGTTACTTTTTTCTTTTCAAATCGAGACATATTGACAAAGGAAACTCATCGCTAACAAAAAGCCAACTATCAACTCCGAATCAGTCTATTAGCTAGTCACTACCCCTCCGCCAGTGCCGCTGATGGCCGCGACAAGCTGCGCGCAGCAATATCGTGGGTTACCCATCTGCACTCATGCACCCCTCCACAATCGCAGTTCTCTAAAGGCAAGTCTATAAAAAAAAATCCGTGGCGTAATCCTCAATGGGTCCTTTGGCTGCCGATCCGTCGAAAACCCGGCTGGGCTATCGCGAACCTGGTACGGAGTGTTGTTGTTGAAGTGAAGCGCCTACTGGAAATGGGTTGTCCATCCGGGCAAGTGGCCTCTGAAATGCAAGTCCTTGGGGCGGAATCATCCTTGCGGTCAAATCCTTAACACGGTGTCCGGCGGCAATGTGGCCATATCCTCTGGGCAGTAGGCTCAATCAATAAAAGTGCATGTGCGAAGCCATGCGCGTCCTGGGAATGTATCCGGAAATCCTAGGAACAAGTGGTGTGATGAATACTGCTTAACCAGTTAGATTAGATCGATAGAGGGATGTGGAGTTACAATGAGCTTACGAATCCTGAAAGTGTTGGGACGAGTTGTTCATTCAGCCCATCTCGGTGAGCTGGGCGACGATCTTCTGGAGCGCCGTAGCGTCCTCGATGATCTGCTGGTGACCCTCAGCGTCCTTGGGCTCGTTGAGAGTGCGAAGGCGCTGCTGAAGGACAGCCATGCGCTCGGCCCAGGCCTGGCGGAGGCGCTCCTTCTCCTGGTCCCTCTGGCGAGCAGTGTTGGCCTGCTTGATCTGGGCAGCAGTCCTCTGGCGCTTCTCAGGCTGCTCAACGGCACCAGTCGCCTTGCGCTTGCGGCTGGTGGAACGCTTAGCAGACTGGCCGTGAGGAGAGCTGGGCTCAGTCTGGGAAGAGGGGCTGGTGTAGTCGTGAACGCGCTTCATGTGGTCGTACAGGTTGTAGCGACGCGGGAAACCGTTGCCGGGGATGGCACGCTCGCAGTCAGGGTAGGCGCAGAGATGGGGCTTGGAGCCGTGGCCGTGCATGCCGTGAGCCTCGCGCTCGTGGCGGAGGAGGCAGGCAGTGGAAGAGAACTCGACGTTGATGCAGTTCGCGTTCTTGCAGCGGAAGGGCTTCAAGTGCGAGTCAACGTACTTGTCGTAGTTGCACTTGAGCTTCGTGGCCTTGTGCTGGCAGTTGGCCTGACCCTCGAAGGGGCAGTGGTACATATCATCTGCCTGCGGCTGTGCCGAGTAGAGGGGGTGAGTACGGGCCAACTTGACCTCAGCCTCCTCGCTGGACTTGCGAGCAGCATCGTGCTCCTCCTCCTCGTCGATATCAGCGTTGCTCATAGCGGATGGCTGAACAGTCGCCGACTCCATCATGTTGTCGGAGCTGATAAAATCGTCAGCGGACATAGATGTAAGGACACGTCGGTGTACTAACCCAGCCATGGACATGAAGCTCGGCTCCTCGCCGTACTCGGAACCGCCGTGGAAAACGGGGAACTGCGAAGTCATGACGGTGGAGGCAGGGGAAAGGATGTCAGAACCCTCAAAGCGGGGCTTGGAGTCAGAGTGCTGCAGAGTGGGACGCTGAACGTCAGCCGGCCTTGCCGTAGCACGGACACGGTCAAACGGAGATCGTACCCTCCTTTGCTCGGGCACGCTCTGGGTGTTGCTGATCATGCTGTCAATGCCGTACGTAGGGTATTGAGCGAAGAACGGCTGCGAGACGGCACGGCTGGGGTAGCTGTTCTGACGGTGCAGGAAGGTAGCAGGAGCATCAATGGAGCCAGACGCGAAAGGAGCGCTGTAGCTCTGGGACTCAGTGCCCCAAGTGTGGCTCTGCATGGGTGCCCTGAAGGTGAAGTCGGTCGGCGATGCGACCTGTGCGTTGTTGAAGTTAGTGAAGTCGGCGTCCGATCCGGCAGTGGAAGGCAACATGATGTTGCTCATGTCGGGTTGAGATCCAGTGAAGGTTCCGTGGCTCTGCACGCTCAGGGTGGGCGAGTAGATGTGCGAGAGGGGCTCCATGATTTGGCTCCTTGTGTCCTGGGGCATGTGGTAGTTCTCGTTCTTGCCGCGTCTACCAGTGTCAGGCTGGCTCATGTACGCGCTGTCATCCATGGAGGACGAGATTGATGCTTCATCATCCTTGGGGAAGTGAAGGAAGTTCCGGGCCATGCTGGACAGGTCCTCCTGGCCAAAGGAAAAGAGATCGCTTCCAGTGTAGGGAGTTCCCGACACTGATTGTGTCCACAGAGCAACGTCCACTGGGGCAGGCAAAGAAAAGTCTCCGGGAGCAGAGTCGCACTCGGAAAATTCACTGGCAGGGGATGTTAGTGTGTGCAAAAGGGAATGACGAAAAGACGATGAGGTGCGAAAAGCAAAGCAAGCGGAAAACACAAAATTGCCATGTTAGTATGCCGAGATCCGTTGGGGCCTGCGTTCGGTATTAGCAAAGTCATGGATTGAGATATAGGAGGATCGAGCACAGACCAGTCAGAGAGATTGAGTAAGTGAACCATATCCGGTAAGTCGCCATCCCAGGAGGTGGCCTGAACGTAAAGAAAATGAGGTCCATGTGCGCAAGCACCAGGTCATCCGGAGTGAAACAGCATGATAGTGAAGCGAACGAGTCCGTTACATCAAGGCATTCCAGGAAAAGAACCAGTCGCATTGGGCAAGTTGTGATCTTTCACATCAGGCAAAGTCTTTGATTAGCACGCAAGAAGTTAGTTTACACTCGAGCAGCGGCGTTGAGGTGGGTGTATGAGAAGGCATCATTAGCCTGTCGGTACGTACTAATGAGGCCCAGCTGGCCTATCCAAACATGTGGCATCCGTGGCAAAATCCTGGTAACATGGCCGTAATGGAAAAAGACTGAGTACTGAAAAGAAATCCGAAAAAGGAAGAGCATCCAGGAGGTGACCATCAAGAGTGAATCCTTCTGCGGGTGCAGATTATGTCATGACATCTTCGGGACTGCGTCCCCATTGTAGATGTTATTGTCGTCCGCGTCGAAGTAATCCGATGACCCCCGCTCAAGCGCAGGGACGGTCGATCGTTACCAGACAGGCCAGAACGCGTGTCGATTACGCCTACGATCCTTGGCAGAGAAATCCATGGGGAATGTCCGGGCACGGTCCACAAGAAACTCCGGCTAGTCCTGGGGTTGTCGAGAATTGCCAGCGGCATCAATCCACAAGAGACACTTCATTTGTGCTTTGTGTTTGTCGAGTATGCTCAACGAGCCAAGGTCGAATCGAGGACAAGACTTGCCCATCGATGGCCAGTAGTTGGCGGACAGTGCGCTTCTGACGTCATACGACGCTTAAGCGAGGATACAATCCGGGCAAAAATCCTGGGATGAACAGAAAGAAATCCAACGGGCCAAGCAAAATCCAGTCCGGCAGTAAAAAAGGCCAAATTTCCCGGGCGGGATCCTTTCCATGGGAGCGGTTCCGGCTGAAATTCCCTGTGCGGCAATACAAACCTTGAATGGCAATGAAGAAAGCAAAACACTAAAACATTATTTTGTACAACATGGTGCGATTCCATTGCTGGAGAAAAAACAAAGTGCTGGGAGAGGGACCGGCTGGGAAGTACCTGGTGAGGGCTCCTCGTTCGCGGCTGCGATGTTGCATCATGAGAAAAGCAGGCGATGGCGCTCGCTGCTTGATCCAATCTTTCTGTTTTTGAGAAATTGATCTTTTTCTTGCTCCTTGGTGGGCAGAATTGACGTTTTTGCAGGGCTTGCGGAGTGCAGCGCGCAAAAGCGGAGTCGCAGGTGAGAAAAGTGAGAAGAAGTGAGGAGGAAATCAGACGAGCGGTAGGCGGGGGCGCAGAGAGTAAAAAAGGCGCGCAACAGGTGAGCAGGGAGCTGGGACGCACTGTGCGCTGGTCATGCGGCGGTGGGGCCAACGTGTGCGCTGCAAGGATGATGCAGGATGCGAGTGCCGCCGTATTGGCTGAGGGAGGCGCCGCAGTTAAGAAGTGGTCGAGCAGCGGGAGGGCGCGGGTCGGTGAGAGATTAGCGTGCGCCGCCATGTGCGCCAGGATTGCGCCTGTCACACTGCCGGCCACCGGCGCCTCGTTTAGGGCCAATTGACGTGTCAAAGCGCAAAAAGCAATCCGACGTCAGCCTGCTGCGCCCTCGGCTACAGCCCCTTCGACTCGTTTCCAGAGCGAACTGCAACCGCTGCCATCCCGGCAACATGGCCGCCTTGCCAGAGCTGCGGCCACATGCGTCTCAGCACGCGCAGCGCACGGCCAGTTGCAATTCTCTTCCATGCCATGCGGCATTTCAAGGACCCTGTGGTGATCATGCCCTTTTGATTAGCCTTCCATGGCCTCTTCGTCCGTATGAAAACTACACATCACGTACGTAGTACCACGCTGTATGGTAATTCCTTGCACCAGGGGGACCGATCGCCGCGCGAAGCTCGTTGATCCCCTCTCAGCAAGGCGACCCAGGACCGTCCCGCCAGCACCCTCACCGGCGGGAAACAGCCAGGCTGAGAAGACCATATGCCGACCACTCAACCTCTCCGTCACAGTTACACGGCATATACCGGTCAGTCTGGCAGTGAAACTCTCACCACTTCTCACGAGAGCTCCGTTTCGACCTCCAGAAGGCTCCAGCAGGTGGTTTGATGGCAGGAACCAAGGACCCATTTTCGCAGACGTAATGGCGCGCGGCTGGCAGGGAACTCATCCGCGAGCGCCGGAGGAACCAGGGTTGGAGAGCCGACAAATCATCCCGGCGGCTTTGTTACCAGCATATCTCTGTACAGAGACCCATGGTCGGAGTATGAGCTAAGCAGTAAAGTTGTCAGAGAGCCGTGACCAGAGGTAGAGCTAGACGGAATGATGAGTTGCACCACGGAATTGAGGCTATGAGGGATCCGCGGGCTCTGTGTCGCACTATCGGCTTGGTGTTGACGACCGCGAGGGACCGACGGACGGCGGCAGCAATCGCTGGCCTCTCTTTGGTGGAGGGCGCGTGGCGGGTAGGCGGGTAGAGCATCCCGCGAGCCGTAAGCTTTCTGGAAGCGTTCCTGAAGGTGCCACACAAACCCTCGACGGGCCGTTGATCATAGCCCAATCGCGCAATACCGCTGGCACCACGGCTAGCTGGCTATCATAAAACGGCAATGAATTCCAAGCAGCCTTGCCTCAATTCGCAAGTCCGCCGGCGACGGACGATGCAAAGTTTGGTGTCGTGTCTTGCGATCTACAGGAGACCGGCGAGGATGATCCTGCAGCGCTGATTCAGTTTCACGGACGGTCGTCCCTGTTCCGCGCGAGTCAACAGAATTTGTGGTTGTGCGAAGGGGGAAGTGAGCGACGGCGAGCGGGAAATTGCCAAGACCGGATCTTCCTCCGCGAGAGACGGCAGGCTGACCAGCGCTTGATGCCCAACGTCATCAGATTGCTGATACACGCCGGCAGAGACGTGACCAAGGACCTTCTCAACTCTGAGTTTCCTGCTCCGTCTCTCAGTCCACCGAGAGGGACGGGCGCTTTGCCGCGCGCCGAGTCTTCATCAAAGACCGGCACGCACGCACGCAATATTGCACTGATGCGCTGGCACTGTTGCTTATGAGCATCGAATTTCCTGCAGCGATCGACGCACGTTGCTTCGGGAGGGATCGAGCGACGGTGCAGCTCTGGGGGCGGGCTCGGGAGGTGGAGAAAAGGAGAGGCCGCAGAGAGAGGAGAGCGCTGCCGTGAGAGTGGGCCGCAGCCAGCGAGCGTTGCTCCTTCCCAGCCCGCTGGTGAGGTGCCTGGCAGACCCGTCCCGTCCTGTCAAGGAGGGGTCAAACAATCACGTGATGCTGCGTGTTTCATGGGCCCCAGGGCAAGCGCTCCCGCCTCGCTTCGGTGCCGCGCTACTCAGCTCCCCGGATCCGCGAAGAGAACAGACGTCAGCTCTGCCTCCCCCAGCAAGCCGCACAACCGCAGCCCCTCATGGCCAGGACGCAGTCCCTTCCCGCGCACCAGCCCGACCCCACCCAGATCAGCCTCACCCGGCTGCTGGATCGTCTGCAAACCGCCCTGCTCTCGTCGGATGCCGACCCGAAGCTGCGAACGTCCAGCTTCGAGCGTACCAAAGTCGGCGCTGTAGGTAATCTCGCGGTGTCCCCAAGCACCATGGGCAGCAGTGATTGAGACATGCCAGAACCTTGAATATGCGCGCTCGCTGCTGCTGCGCCTCGAGCACGACACGGCCGCCGTAAAGATCCAGTCGCGCAAGCAAGCCCAGCAGGCCGACCTGCAGGCGAAACGTGACCTCATCAAGCAGCTGAATCAACGCCTATACGAGCTGAACCAGCTCGACGATGACGACGATGATGCCGATGACTCGACCGATGATGACGATGACGAGGACGATGCTCCCAGCTACGCGCCCGCGCACCGAAACACCACTGACGGCCTGAACGTCGAGCACAAGCCGGGCAACCAGGCGCTGCAGGACGCCGCCGAGAACATCCTGCGCTCCCGCCGCCCAGGACAAGCCGATCCCCCTTCCTCCACTCAGGACGCTGCGACAACGACGGGCTCGTCGCTCTTTGGCGGCTCCAGAAACCCCGCAGCCGACCCCTCGCTTCAGCGGTCGGAGAAGCTGATGTCGCATAACCGCTCGGAGCAGGAGGCGCTGACGAGCTCGCTACTGGACATGGCTGCGCTTCTGAAGCAGCAGACAATGCAATTCGGCAGCTCGTTGGAGGCGGAGAAGGACATCTTGGACCGCGCCAGCAAAGGCCTCGACACAAGCGCACAGGGAATGGAAGCTGCCGGGCAAAGGATGGGCACCTTGCGGAGGATGACGGAGGGCAAAGGCTGGTGGGCTAGGGTCAGGCTGTACGGCATAATTGCCGCGTTGTGGATGGCCTGCATCCTGATCATGTTCGTCATGCCGAAGCTGAGGTTCTGAGCAGTACATCGGTGTGCTTGAACCGAAGACGGAGATGACACGGAGCATCAGCATCCACTACGAATACTCGAACAAAGTTCAGCGCTTGCCAGAACTAAGTGGGTAATGCGGATATATCCGCAAAGTAAACAGCCGATGGTGGAGCATGTGATTCAAGAAGGTATAAGGGAAAGAAACAAGCATTTTCATGATACTAAAAGTAGTCCTCAAAAGAGGGGCCGTTTCAATTATTTGTGGTTGGTGCGCTTGATATTGCTACTCTATCATGCACGTACCTCCCATCTGCCGGGCTTACGCGAGTTGCTTCTTCGCGAATCTCGTACCCTAATTGATCTCCCACTAGGAGGTGGATCCCGCTTCCCCTATCTCCTACATATATCGTCTTGTTATTGTTTCACTCTTCGGTCTCGTATTCGGGTCATTCTCCCATCAAGCCTCTCGGCTACTCCCTTCAAGCCTCAAACTTGGGCGTGTACTTGGCCTGCGCGGCCTCGAATGCGTCCTTCTTCGCCGCCACCTCCACCAAGAAGGGGTGCTTGGGATCGACCTCCTCCAGGGCCTTCTTCTGCTCCGTAGCATCCTTGCCCAATACCGTGTTCAGGACGATGGTGTTCGCCAGGACGTCCGGGCTCTTGGGGTCCAGCGCGATAGCCTGCTGCAACGCAGCTTCCGCCTCGGGGTAACGGCCGAGGTGCAGCTCGGAGATAGCCTGGCCGACGAGCGACTGCACGGCCTGCGAAGCGGGGGCCTGGGCGAGCTCCTCGAAAACGTAGAATGCTTGCTGGTACTTCTCCCCGCCCTAAGTGATCCCGTCCAGTCAGCACCTGACACATTGTTGCGCGTCCTTGTCCAATATATCTTCACCCCCGCTGTAGACGTACCTCTCTCAGACCCACCCACGACTCTGCGATGTTGACGAGTAGGCTGTCCTGTGCCCACTTCCGTGCCTGCTGGGCCTCCTTCGCAGCCAGGTCCGCGCGGTTCTGCTGCAGGTGTATCTGAATGATCAGCGCGACCCTAAATTCTCACCAAGTCAGCCTTCCCCCATGCCCAAAACAAGTATATGCCCAGTCTCCGCGGCGAAGAGTGCAGGAGAACCTACGCATCCAACGACCCCTGATGCTTCGCCAGCAGCGCCAGCGCCTCCTCGGTCAGGCCGGCATTCGCCAGGACGGAGCCGGCCAGCAGCTGCACGCTGAGGTTGTCGCCGGCCGAGGCGGCCAGCTCCTGCGCCGTGGCGACGGCCTTCTCGTCGCCGGGGCTCTTGAGGTAGGCGGCCAGCGCGGCGGCGGCCTGCAGGTCGGGCACGCCCGGCTCGGCGGCGGCTTCGGCGGCGACGTCGTCGTACTGGCCCAGGGCGAGGCGCGCGCGCAGCTTCAGCACCCGCGCGGGCAGCGCGTTGGTCGCCGAGAAGGACGACGTGTCGAAGTCGACGACTTGCTGGTACTGGCCCTGGTGGAAGGCGTTGTGGATGTTGACGAGCTCTGTTTTGGGCGCGCGCAGGCGGTGTGTGAGCTTGTGTGCGTGCGGGCAGCAGTGGGGGGGTCGTGGCGCGGAGGGGAGGTGCGCGTACCTCCTTCTGCGGAGTAGGGATCCATCTTGAGAGTTTTGGGTCGGGGGTTCGTTGCTGGAGACGTGGGGAGGTGGTAGTAATGCGGCTACGGCGGGGCGATTCCGGGGTATCAATGGGTAGATAGTAGCTGGAGAGCCGGTGGAGAGCGTCGGCAGAGAGGTTTCGCGGCAGCAATTGCCTTAGGTATTGGGGCTGCGGAGCTCGGTGGTGGTGTTGACAAGTATGTACGGATCTACGGCGGACTTTAGTGACCACCTCAGCCAAGCCCGCGCGGCCAAGGGATGTGCTGCCCGCCTTCGCTGTGTAAAAGCGCGCCCACAACCACGAACAAATTCAATCCTGAGAGATGATGTTTCGCATCATCTCCAAGTCGCCGTGTGCTTTTGTTCCACTGTATTGTTAAATATGGCCATTTGTCACACACTGCTGCTGCAAAACAACAAAATAGGAGATATTTCCACGCTGATTCATAATACATCCCTCTCTGAATGTTGAATCTCATGTTGCCGCTTTCACTCGAATAGGAAAAAAAAATTCTCTGGCTGTTGGCCTATTTCACACGTTGCCTCGCACAAATTCAACCTGCATCTAAAACAAGCCGCAGCATTATTTTTTGTCCCCTTCATTTTATACCGCGCCAACTAGATGCAATGGAAATATGTTACGCTGCGAATAAAATCACGGAGGGTGGATGTACGGAGGCTGAATGAGTTGGAGCCTGGATCTGGAGAGCAGCTCACGTGAAATGACGAATTTAAGCCTTATCGAAACGTCCTCCTACACCTCTCTTTGGACGTAATCCTTTATTTTAACATCAAATCTCAATTAATTGGCCTAAAACATCCCAGTCGTGGCTCTTGCGGGAAGACTTCGAATCAACGGGATACAAAGACGGAATTGAACAGCATTTGCCATAGTGGAAATCCAAATGTGACATACTTTCACACACCGGGATCTTTCACTCTTGAAAACTTCATCACATTACTACAGTTTCTCCCGCTAAGACCGTTGAGACTGACTACCATGGTAACCGTAGCGCTCCAGGCTGGCGGCGAAGATACCACACGCCTCCCGCGATCGCTGGAACAGACGCGTAGACGAGCCAACGTTTCAACATCCCGGTCAATGCGCGCTTGTAGAATTCCATGCCTACCTTATGGAAGAAGTCTGGGGCATTCTTTTTTCCGCTCGGGATTGGCTTGTCTGGAATCGGCTTCCCCAAGAACGGACATATCTTCTCCCAGGTAATCCCCTCCTCCAGCCTCAGGTATAGTAACTGCTCTGGGGGGATAATCTTCTTCACAAGGTTGACATGTTCAACGTAAAGGGCCCTGGTCTTGGTGTCGTCCGGCTGTCCACACCATTGGTAGGTTACCTTCCAGGAAAGCCTGTAGAAAGGCGCTATGAGTTCCCAGTCGAGCCAGCTGAGGATTCGAAGCATCATCGACTTGCCGCCTACGAAGGCAGTGTTGTGCATCGATCTGACCCACGCGTCGGGGTCGCGGTCGGTCAGGATGAACTTGGCGTCAGGATACGCGGCGTACATCTCTTCGGGGAAGAAAGACGCGGGAATATCGGAAATGGCCTGCAAAGTCATGGCCGTCAGTTTTCGCCATCTCCAATCCATTTGTTCCTCGTTTTAGACTTACATCGTACTCGCCATACCACTTGTCGAACTCCTTCCGACCGTAAGGCCTACCCTCGATGTACTTTGCATTGTACGATTCTTCCATGAGTTTAATGCCCCGACTGCCGTCCATCAGGGCCTCTGCTGTATGGTATGTTCGATAGCCCAGCTCATTCAGGGTCCAGTACAAGCCGAGTGTACCAGTCCTATTGATTGTCAATCCTAAGGTGCCAGCCAATCAGTCGATCCGACATACCTGCAGAGGCCAAGGCATATGACCTGCATCGGTCTGGTACGCACGCCGTTTTCTCTGTCGATGAGCCGAGACATACTTGCGATGGACTGCGAGACGCGGTAGCGATGCCGGAATCAAGACGCTCTCCCCTGCTATCGTCTTTTATACCGTAATTCCGGCCCCCATTATCTCGACCACTTAACCGCCCGGAATATCGCCTCTGTCCAGCGTACCCATCCATCGTGCAGCTGCCTCACCTGATCAGCAAGCGCTATCACGGCCCGCATACTCGGATTGGGAAAGATGGGTCTCCCTGATGGATGCATGCAAGGCCTCCGGAAGAAGCGACCGGATCAATGGCCGAGTGGGCCAGTAACAATGCATATGTCCGATTTGAAACGGCTATGTACGTAGCCCCAGCCTCTGCGTAAGCTAAGTTATATCCGAGCGCGCCTTGTAACCCTTCCGAGCCTACTGCTGACATGTTGTATCTGAGCACGTTGCCAAGGAGAGGCTCACAGGCGCATGCATCTGCTGATCTCAAAAGGATGAAGGATCAAAATTCCCCGCAGCGGCAGAGCATCGGTCTGTGCGTTCCCACTGGTCGCGACCTGCCAAGTCACCAACATTGTTTCTCCCACTAACCGAGCGAGAGATGTGTTCAGAATCGATTAGTCCCTTGAGGCACCATCGCAGTTCATGGTGACTGTATCAAACTCATTTCGAGTTGGGAAATATCTGCACGTGGTTGTTTCCACTGAAATCCCCGGGCCAGGCATCCAGAACCCTTTGAATTCCTCTGTTTCTATCTTGCCCAGGACCGAGGTCATTACGAATGCAGGTAAAGGGATCATTTTCGTTGGCAGAGAATGCTTTCACTGTGAGAGTAGACTTGTTCGGTTCGTAATTCGTTTTAACTCCTGCCGCCCGGCCCGGGCCCGCGGTCCGTCGCTATCAACTGTGCTGACCCAAAGGCCGCTGCAAGGGTCTACCTCGTTCTCTTCCCTACACAGCAATCTCACTCCGATTCTCATTTGTTTTGTAAGCAGATGAGTACCATTTCGCATTACGCTCCGAATGTCAACTTCCACAAAGTCTCACGATGGGCATTGCATCTGAAGGCTAGTAATGATTTGTTTTTTGCTCATGTTATGGGTAGTTGAAGCTATCGTCCGGACATGTTTGTAGAATTTTTAATTCGACATTCTCGTCCGGACGATAGCTTCAACTCCTCATGGATTGTTAGAATTATGACTCTTTAATCGCCGCCATTACTTTCCCATTTTACGTGCCTTCCTCAGCATGCTAATCAATAATTATACATTCACATCCGGACGATAGCTCTAACTACGTACATATGTTGAATTATCTTGAAAATTCATGAGAAAAGAAATGTCATATCCGCATAGACGCCTTTGGGTGTAAAAGAAAAGGAAAAAGTAACTTTACTCCTCCTCTCCTTCAAATTACTGGTTTCCGTGGATTTGTCTGCATACTCCATACTTCTAATAGCTGCCGCATGAATGCCTAAGAAGGTCTTGTAAAAGACAAGGAGAAGCAGCATCTGCTGCCAATACGTGCGCAGGAATTTGCCCCAGTTTTGCTTCCATAGCACCCATACGGCGCTTCCATTGAACTTGATGGTTCCGCTCCGCGTCTTCACGTCCATCCGGAAGATTCCTTCCACATTCTCCAAGATCATGAATGGTCTCATGAGGCAACGTGCCAGCTTTTCCGTGTCTGATATCGAGAAGTTCTCCCAGGCTGGACTGACCTGGTTGCCTCTCCCGTCGAGTGCGATCTGGAGCGGCTTCGAGACATTGGGAGGATACCAGGGCGGGGAGTACATCGTGATTTCAAGCCAGACCACGATCTGTCTCTTTGACTGATCGTACTTCCTTAATATGTCGACGAGTGACAGTACCTGAGCCGGCAGACAAGGCGGGACCGTGTGCAGCTCATGAAGAGGCTGTTGAACTTGCTGGAGGTAGTTAACCTTGGTCTCGATCTCGATGGTAATCTCTGGCTGTGCCATCAATTCTTCGAGAACCCTCTGGTCCCATATCGCGCTTTGGCAGTACGACACTCCAGTGATCTTGATGTAGTCGTCGTAGACTTTCACGTGCGGCCTTCTGACCGGTAGAAGGCTCTGGGGGAGCCGCCAGCGCGTGAATTCTACGTTCACATCTTTCCATGGGAACGTCATGATATCCTTGGGCCAGCAGTCGTCCGGGTGCTCGAACATCGATTCGAATATTATGTCCTTGAGTTCCTGCGGCAACTTCCAGAAATTGCGATTCATAAAGTGTCGCGATTTCCTCACTTCGATGATGTACCTGCGATGGTGATACGGCAGCGCTTTCCACCAACGATTGCGGCGACGGATCCGATCCTTTCTGATCTGGTTTTGTTAGCTATGTACTTGCTCAATAGAATTGGAGAAGTGATTACGAGGGCTTGTGAGGAAGTAGAAGTAGAGAGCGCCATGTTACAGCTGTTCGGTGTACTGTCGCGGGTGAGTTCTAGGTGTTCGGCGACGGTGTACTTCGCGCGCGCGGCGCGCGTGACGACGGTGGGGTATTGGTGCTAAGAGGCCTAAGCACGAGAAAGCTTGCTGGCCTTTAAAATCCGTGTGGTTGAGAGAGTTGAAGAGTGTTTGGCGGATGAGAGTGAGAGAGTGAGGTGGGCTTTGTTTGGCGGATGGGAGTGAGGTGGAGTTTGTCCTCGGTAGCGGGCTCTCGACAGAGCACGTGCTAGCGAAAAGAAGGAAGGATGGATCCCAAGAACAGCAGGAGCCTTAGAGCGGGAAAGTGCACCTGGCCTTGGCTTGGTGTGGTGTCATCGCGACATGGTTGTTGGGAGCTCAAAACACGATTCGCATTGACTTGATCACAGGTTCAGGCCACAACACTGGATTGAAATGTAATCGATTGTTGAAAAGCCCCGCAATTAAGTAAATACCAAGAAGTCGAGATCCAAGTGGCCAAACTCCTGCCTGAATGAATGAAACTTGAAGGGGGAAAAAAGCATCAAATCCTCAACCCCCATTTTCAAACTTCGAAGAGCTGACCCTTCAGAAATTATCCAAACCAGTTACAAAGCCAATTGATATCCTTTTGAAGCTCGGGCTGTCCAGGCTCGGGTCGAGTGAGCTTCCGTTGCTTCAAGGCTGTATGCGCCTTGATAAAACTCTTACATCGAAGTAAGAATCACGATCTTACTCGTTACTCTAGTCGGAGATTGATGATACTGGTGACCGTAGTCCCTTGATTTCGAACCCATACTCGCGGCGTCTCTTGCCCAAAGTAGTGGCTGTGGGAGAGGCCAGAGGGATTGACGAGACTGGTGGAGTGCTGGGTTCGACTGCAACTTGAAGTTGAACGAGACTATCCGCGGTGTTCTGAGTAGTCGGTTGTGCAGAGTGCGATGGCTTGTTGTCGGCCATATGTTGGTCAGTGAGTGTATTATCCTGATCAATGATTCTGGGGCCCTTTGATTCTCCATTATGCTGAGATGGAATGCCAAAGTTCGTCATCATCTGCTGTTCAAGTGAAACAGGTGGATTATAGTCCTCGAATTTTGGCAGATCTGGATGACCGATGATGGTGTTAGTGCTCCGGGACTTGTTGCTTGTCGGGTCCTCGACGGCTTGTAACCAATTCATCACTGTCTCGGTTAGTGTGGTTGATCCATCTTAATTTCGTTCAATAGACGTACCTTCGGGTGCTTTTTCTTGCTGAAAACTGCTCGCGGATGGACCGATGATCTGAGGTCGAGGATCGGAGTCCTGCGGAGCGTGTCCTTCTTCCTGCAGCCTTTTGAAGAAATGAGTCGTGCGAACATCGATTCCCGGATGTTCTTGAGCGATCGCAGCTAGTACAAGCTTGTTGGCAGGCGAGACTCCATGTATGTAGTCTAGTTTGTGGATTTCAAGCCCTAACTCGGAGGTGAGGATGCGGACTGCTTCTTCCACTGTTTTAGGTGCGCTGTAGTCGATCTCGGAGCGCGAAGTCATCTGCTGAAAGTACTGATCTGCCTTTTCAGCGATTGCCTTGGAGAGCTCGTGCTTGTTGCGGCGCTGTTCTGGCGTTGGACTCCAAGACTCGAAATTGAGATTGATGGCTGTGCCGTCGTTTCCGATATGGTCTGCCAATTCGCAAGCTTCCTTCTCTTCACCCCAGGCGATGTTCTTGCTGTTGCCAAGTGAGATGTGGTAGATGAAGTCGGACTTCACATCGCTGCCCTTCATCGGCTTCGCGCTCATGCTTCCGATCACGAGCCATCCGTCATCGCACAGGCTTGGAACATCTGGTGAGAAGGTGATGCCCTTGGAATAGTCTGTCGCGTTTCAGCATTGAACTCTCAGGAATAGCAGTCAGAATACCTTTCATTGTTTGAAGATCGTTGATCCTCGATGGCGTAGCGGCGAGGCTACTACTACGTGTTGCGCCAGTCGGACGCAATAGCGATTGCAATGTGTGCCGAAGAATGGAGGAGCAGGTAAGCCGTTGGTGTTCTACATGGATGTATTTAAAGGCAGGGACGGGGCCAGCTCCTCAGCACGTGAAAGCCCAGTTTGGAAGGCTCGCCCGGGCACATGCAGCTCAGACACAGACACGTGCGCCAGCTGCAGCTGTCCGAATTGATGGAACGGCCTGACATGTGAGTTTTTCCTGTGTGCCTTCTCCTTGAAGGCGTTGACATTTGTACGTTTATCCTCCATAACCACGGCTAAGGCCTTTGCGAAGTTCAATCGAGTTTCCTCCGGGAAGTTGTGGGACCTCAGTTCAACGCCGTTTGTCAGGAATATGAGATCATCCAATGGTTTCTTGGCTGACTCTACTCCATCCACACTTGGGAAACTCCTTTTTGCTCTCGTGTCGGATTTCTCGGCTGTGGCTTTCTGTCTTGAGGAGGTTGCAGAAGTTGCGCTGCCCTCAATCGGACTTCCTGGTTCTGAACCCAGGTCAATTACTTCAGTGATCGTATGATCATGGGGAGACCAAGCAGCTCATTGGCACGGATTGTCAGAGGCGAAGGTGAAGTGACCGGGTCTTTGAGAAAGTGCGAGGGCGTGCAGCCACGATTAGTGACCCAGAAGCGCGACGCGCCACCCTCTACAATCGCGTTCCAGTGTTGTTGTGTGAATTCAGGCATTCAGAGCCTCTCAAAGGGGTCGGAAGGTCGAAGGATCGAAGGTCAAAAAAGTGTGCGTGAGATTGCGATGAGGTTGTATCAGGTGAGGTGCGTTTAGGGAAGGTGTCAGGTGTACTTTCCCCAGTTGACGAAATCGGAAGCGCAACACCCTCGATAATCGCACCCCGGTGTGACGAAAAGCCTCGAAGATGAGCCGAAGGTGAAGGGAGAGTGTGTGCGTGAGAGGGTGGAGGGGTTGCGTTGAGGTAATCGGACCTGAGGAAGACACGAGAGCGTCCCTGCTGGGTCCGGCAACTTCAAGAAGCGCAACGCCGCCGGCGATCATATCTAACGCGACCGCAAGCATATCTGAAGGTTAAAGGATTGCGTGCATGAGAGGGTGGTGAGGTTGCAGTGAGGTGTTCAGGCCTCCAAGGAAGGTGCGAGGCGTGCTTGCCACGGCTGACGAACCCAGAAGCGCAACGCCATCGACGATCGAGGAGGGCCGGGTTGGCCTGTAAGCAAACGCCGCTTGACTAGTGCTAGATGACAGTGATGCGCTCTTGCAGATCGTCGTACCACTTGGTAAGGGTTATAAAGACTTGGTGAGGGAAACCCATTCTTCTCCGCACTGAGTCCGACTGCATTGCAACAATTTCCCATGGAAATACGATCGAATCCTCACAGATGAGCCATTTCTCAATATGCTGACAGTTTATGCACCCAGAAAACATGGGAGGACGCGCCTGGGTTTGGTCTAGTATCGGCAAATGACATTGTTACTATGATATTATTTCAATTGGGATTAATCTATGCTATCTCGAATGGAGGCAAACCCCGATACACTTCCCATCTTGCATGGGCCCAGTGCTATCCATGCGCCGTAAAGAAGATTTTTCGATAGCAAGCGGACTGAATAAGTAAAAGCATGCCTCAAATGCTGACGAGGGGTTAGACGTTTGGGTAGAATCTAGGATGATTGGTTGTAACAGTGAACACGTTGAAATGAGAAGGCTGGAGGCAAATAACAGCGCCGGTGAGGCCTAGACAAGCAGAAGCAAAAGAGAGTAAATTGTTGTTGTTGGAAGCTATCAAAGAAAAGCCACTTTTATATCCGTGTTCCGTGCCCAAACAAACCCCATCTGGAAGGCGGACGCCTTGGCCAGTAGGTCTGACTTTGCAAGCAACGAAAGAAAAGGTCATCTATCTGCACGCCTTCCACTGCCACAATGCTTGACCCTGGAGAAACCCAAATGAAGTCCTTTTCAAACCTCAACTTGATTGAGACTCCGTTGCTTCTAGGCTGCATGTGTCTTGGTAAAATGCTATCGGCCTTTCCAAATGCTCCACCAAAACTTCCAAATCGACCTACGGATCTCGGCCTTACTCGTCATCCGACAGTGACAGTGACGACTCGGGGCTGGATAGTCGCCAGGCCCTGCCTAGAGGTCTGCGCTTCTTTGTGCCCTGAGCGGTGGCAACGACAGGAGCTACGGGGATCGATGATGCTGGTGGAGTACCCGCTGCAGCTGTTCCATGCGATCGAGCGGGATCATCTATGACGTTCTGTCTAGGATTGATGTTGTTGGGGCCCTTGAAAGCTTATCAGTCCCCGAATCTCAGATTCTAGTAGGTCTTGAAGGGTTTCTTACCATGCGATCTTCGACGTCGTCACCCAAGAAGGTGCTGAGAAGATCCGTGATCTGCTTCTTGTTCTCCTTCATGTTGGCAATTTTCGCCTCTTTTTTGGCAACTTGTGCCTCTTCAGAGGCAATCTGTGCCTCCAGCTCCTTGTTGGTGTTCTGGATCAGCTCTTCAACCCTCTGGCGCTTTGTGGTGGAAGTGCTATCGGCGGGCTCCTTAGCCTTGCGCTTGGAACTGCTATTACAGAATCAGTAATTGTACGCATGTTGCAGAAAGCAGCTTGAAGAACCTTTCCATTATGGCGTGCTTGGGCAGTCTCAGGTGATGGTGAGGATGAGGATGAGGATGAGGTGGGCAGGGCAAAGCAAGTAGCTTTATATCTGCGAGGCCGGGGGTCGGGCATGGAAGCCACGCGACCAACTGGGCGGCACATGTCAAGCCGTTCCACCAAGCTGGGCAGCTGCAGCTCATGCACGTGTCTGTGCCTGGACGGCATGCGGGTGAGCCTTCCAAACTGAGCTTTCACGTGCGGAGAAGCAGACCCCGTTCCTGCCTCTAAATAGATCCATGCAGACCTACTCCTCTGTCATGCTTCACCTTCTCAAAGCCCAGTCACCTCGACATGTCCATCATCTCTTTTTAACTCTGATCTACCCCAGCAATTCTCACGGCCTGTCGTTACACCCCAAATCTTGAAACCTGATCAACAACGGCGTTCTGCGCTTCTGAGGTGAGATCACCGGCCGTGTGCCCACCTTCTTGCCGCAATCTCATAACAACCCCATGATCACGCAATTTTCTCCTCCATACCCAGCTTGTATGACTGATCAAAGCCCCAGTTAAAGCGCTTGACGCCTTATGAACGCGATTGCCCACGGCCGATATCTTGCACGACCACTGATCGCATTGTGGGCACGCAAATGCTTCTAGTTGGAAACAAGGCCTTTAATCAGGTGAAAATTTGAGGACAACAGTACCATTTACGAACGTTCAATCTCCCTCTCACCTCACCTGACGATAAGATGGATTCAAATCCCTCATTACTCAATTTGGTAGCCGATTTGAAAGCCGATCGTGATGCTGATCAAAAAGAGAAGCAGCGCTTAAAGTCTGCCACGCAAATGACTTTCGAACAGCTTGCGGCTTTCAGCAATGAGAACAAAGATCTTAAAGAAGCCTCTGAAAAGGCTATCAATGAGCTAAAGGCGAAACTAAGAAAAGCTGAACACGATCTCTAGAAGCAAACCGTATGTACAGGAAAGATCAGATTGGAAAGAGAAGAGGCAAGGCGGGATGTCGTCAAGCTCCAAGAACAAATTGAGGCAGTGAAGAAGGAAAGGGACGATGAGAGGGCGATGCGGATCAAGGATCGTAACGATCTTCACCGGGCCAGAGTTACAATCGATGCGATACTTGATCCCTTAATCACCAACGAGGCCACTCCAAAGAACCCCAGTTCCGACACTGATCCAGCTCCATCGGCCTCTTCGAAGCACTTGGCAGGTACCGAAAGCGGAATTACGATCCAATCCGCCATCGATTTGACCGTTAGGTCCTCTACAAGGCGACCAACAGATACCAAGGACAGAAACAAGACCCAGCACCCAGGCAGGAGTTCGACATCAGCGGCTCCGCCAAAGCAGATCCAACCGGCGAGTTCAAGTTCTCACGAGAAGGCCAATACGACTGCCAAAAGACGCCAGCCAAGTGCGGAAGGCATCGACTCCGCCAAACGACTTCTACGGGACTTGATGACTTCAGATTTTGGTCAAGCATTAGGAGTTCAGCTCCTTTGACTGTGAACAGATGATGAGCGCATGATCTTCTTTAAGGCTGAGAAGAACATACCATTCCGAAGAGCGCCTCTTCTGTCCATTCATGGACTCTTTCCAGCGACGAATCCACAAAATCGCGTTGTATCATCCAACACAAGGAACTCATCTTCATCTTCTGCTTGCGCTTCACATAGCACTCGAAACTTTCGTCATTGATAAGCCGATATGTATGGACAAACTTTGTTTGTCCGATCCGATCCACACTGTACTTCATCTGGAGATCGATAAACGGGTTCCAGGACGGTGTGAGAATCACTACAACCGAGGCTTTTACCAGGGCGATGCCTTCTCCCCCGACAGCGGTAAGTAGTAAGACTTTGACACTCTGATCGTTGCTTTCAAAGTAATCTACAACCGTCTGTCTCTCGTCCCTATTCATAGTCCCGTTAAACTCCGCATAGGCAATGGATGAGTCTGTTAGAGCGGCGGCAAGAGCACCAACATCGAACAGGAACTCCGAGAAGAAGAGGATCTTCGATCGGGATGTCAACGCGTCCTTGGCAAGCTTCACGGCTTGTTGCAGCTTCGAACCGGATCTCCAATCTTGCTGTCGGCGAGCTTTGAACTACTCTCGAGAAAGCGGGCTGACCTTTGCCTCTCCTTCATTCAGCATCTTCTTAACTGGCATTTCCTCATCTTGATTCTCCTCCGAGACCACAACATCCACCTCCTCCATTGGTAGGGACGAGTAGGCGCTGGGGCAGGCTTCATGCACCACTGCCAGCCTCGCGTTGGTCAGTATCCCCACGACATCGGCCTGGTTGATATCCGATTGGGGGTTCTTGGCCATTGGCGAATCGCACTGAACCGGACTCCAATAGTATTTGGCTGGCATCTGGGCGCGTTTCTCGGCATGGGTACAATTCTTGTTCAAAAGTGTTTCGTCCATCGATCCTGGAATCTGCACGATGATCTCTCCATCGAATAGATCTTCTCTGGTGCGCCTGATCATGATTCCTCTGAGAATCATGCTGAGGATGACCCCGCGACCTAGATTTGGTTCCGAATGATACTGTCCGTGCTTCAAACTCTTCTCTATGATCACTGTTCTGAATTTGTCCTATGTTGCCCAGCGCAGGACATTGAGGATCTCAAAGTAAGCCTGAAGGTCCCAGTGCTGATTCTGGAATGGCATTGTGCAGTTCATCAGCTCGAGTGAACTAAGAAGTCGAAAATTGAGATTATATTTACATGTCCGTGAACAGGACTTTTGGATAGCTGTTCAATGACAGTGCCATTTTTTCTTGATGAGCGTGCCATTCCGCCAGCGATGCGTTTCATCAAATACTATCTTGTGCCATTTTGTAGAGACAATAGGCATGTACTGCCTGTCAACGAGCTTGTTGTCCGATCGTTTGCCTTTTTGAGGGTCATGAATATGTTGTCCTGACGCGTCTGATAATCGACAACATCGCGAAATTCTGTGCTGATAATGTCTTACCTTGTCCATTTCCCACAGATGCTTCCAATTGTTTCTCTTGCGCTCTTCTAGATGCGTGACTAATGGCATTGCCGAGAGATGGCGAAGCTCTGCAGAGCATTGTGCCACTTCGTGGCCATTGACTGGGTGCCCAGGCCATCAGCCCGATTGCTTCTACAGCCAAAAAAAAAATAACGTGAATTGGTTTTTCGCTCATGCCATGGGTAGTTGAAGCTATCGTCCAGACGTATATGTCGAATTAAAAATTAAACATTGTCATCCGGACGATAGCTTCAAATACCCATGGCATGTTGATTTATTCCAGAATAAATCATTTTTAGAATATTCGGCTCATGTACGTAGTTGAAGCTATTGTCCGGACGTGAATGTATATTTATTAATTCGACATTTTCGTCCGGACAGTAACTTCAACGACCTCCATATGTTATTTCTCGTAAAGAAGATTGCTAAAGCAGATTTGCTGTTTGGGGGCCTATGACACTTCGCATTATTACGGCTGTGGGGTAAATTTTTGAATAGTTTGAAGGCTAAAGTAAGCCCGTTAGCGTCGTTCAAACACGATACGCCCAGAACTGAGAGAGTTCCAATGCATTTATATTATTTGTGGTGTAGAATCAACATTTTTGACATGACTTGTGGCTGTTGCGTCGCTATACGGTAGTTAAGGACGTTGAGAAGCCGAGAATGCAGGGCATCCAAGAATAAGTTATTTAGGCAAACCCCTGTTTAGACACGGTGATGCAGCAATGATTACGGGAATTATGGCATCAGCAGGTACGGTCGATCGTACTCGGGGATTGAAAATAAGAGTCCATCAATATCTATAAGCAGCAAGCCATGATACCGAGACATAAATTACACGAGACGACGAATGAAAATAGCTTGGAAGACAGGATATCCTCTATCTGAGCGGCCCAGGCCCTGTGTCACTCTTTTTCGCGCTTCCTCGGGACAATCGCCACAAGCTTTACGCGCCAACGCCAGTCCCGAGTCATCTGAACGAATGCGTGCTAAGAATTACTGAGTTCATCTTCTCCAGCGACCTCTCGAGGCTGATGAAAAGTCTGACCAATTCTTTGAGATTGAAGCGAGAATAGTCAGGGCACAGCAAAGAATCCAAAGTCTCGATCGCGGACAGGGGCACGAGGAGCTCATCAGTTGTCGTGGCGTCAGGCGATGCGGCCTATTTCTTAAGACCTAGGTTGTTCGTCAGAATTTGATTCCAAAACACTGTGATCTTGCTGATGCATACCAGAGGTAATGAGCTTGCCAAGTTCATAGAGACATTCCTTGCCAAGTTGGAACATGGCAGGCGCATTGTTGAATTTGGAGATTGTGTCAAAGCCTTGGAATACACCGCCGTGGGCTTCAGAGGGAAACAGCAGGGCGTCCGCGGTGTCGCTAAGTTTGTGCAATGACTTGTTGTTTGGGGCGTGCATGTACAGTGTTTCGGCGATCATCTTAGCCGTTGCAGTAACCAGGCAGTACAAACGGTCCACTATTTCAATGTCTGAAGTGGGCCTTTTGCCCGTAGAATTGTTTAGGAGGTATCGACAGTTTCTCTCGGTGGGGTTGTTGGCCGAATCGTCTGCTAGCATCATCGAGTCTCTGCGGGCCAGAGTGGACTGGGATTTGGATCGCGAGAGTTTAACATGTTGTGCACGGCTTGGGCGGCCGTGTGCTGATCACTGTGAGCGATGGCTAGCGCGAAGAATAGCAGGGCTTTAGAACGTAGCGTAACTATGCCCCAGCTCTGTCTAAAAAAAATAACATATGTGGGTAGTTGAAGCTATCGTCCGGACGTGTATGTAGAATTAAAAATTCGACATTCTCGTCCGGACGATAGCTTCAACTACCCATGAAATGAGCAAAAAACAAATCCACGCTAGGCATCGGCTGCAAGAGGGGGCTGTACGCGCCAGGAGTTGCGCGCACGGCCCCTTGTGTTTGTATGCTTGTCGGACATTGTAGGAATTGTGAGCACAATTGTGCGGGAGGCAGGATTTTATGCGAGGTTCGTTGGAGTTTTAACGGGACGCGTGAACCGGTGTTCGGACCAAAGTATCGCAGGTTGTGAGCCATGGTCAAGCGCCAGGCAGGCGCGCCCAGGAGGCTGCTCTTTCCAACTGTATCCTAACGACGGCAACGTCGGTATGCACCACCTGCATTTCCTCTCCCATCCACCAAGCATCTACAGCGTCGATGTTCTTCACCACCTTGTCCATAAGTTTTGAGAATTTTCGCCTCCTTCAACGGTGTCCCTCTACATAAGCTCATTACTGGTCTACGTCAACATACTTCACCTCGAGGATCTTCTTTGATCAGAAAATCTCCGCACCCTGACCCGCCACCCGAGCTTCAATGGCTGGATTCATTACCGCCGGCGCTGCCGCCAAGGCGGTTCTGCCACTACTGGGCCGGCCGTCTCTCTTCCGACCAGCAGAATTTCCTCGACGATTACCCTCTCAGCACCGCTAACGACCTATGTTTCCACTTCTCCCAACTCATACCGTCGGCACTGCTTCACGGAGGCCCCAGTATAGGATACTTTGAACCACCACAAAACTCGCTTGGCCGTTTTCGCCGATGAATGGGAAGAAGATTGTCTCCAGAGTACCGAGACGCCTGTACAAAGTGTGCTCCACAGCCTGTCATTGATTCAGCAATTGTCTCTGGCTTGCATCGCGGCACAAGGCGTGCTGACCTGCTATTCTACCCGCTGGCTATCCTCTCGATGGGATTGGAGTCAGATAAGAACCAGAACAAGCTCGGAGCCAGTGTCGTCGCGGCACTGCCTGCGCGAGGAATCCGCCGCCACTGTCTGCATCTTCCCGCAGATGCCCCTGGACCGGAAGACTGGAACTTCAGAGGTTGGAAGGGGAGTGACTGTTACCGAGGCGACGCATAATCTTGGCGTTCGTTTGGTTGAACTAGGGACAAAAAGACCAATTGCGGAGTTTCGGCAGGTTGATCGTGAGGACCCCATGATCACGGTCCGCACAGCCATGCGGATGATAAGAATGCCTATCATTTCAGACATTTATACGAGCGTGATCGAGACATGTCTTACTGGAGAAATTGGATGCGGTGGAGGTCTCGAGCTGCCGCGAGCGCAGGAAGCATTCTTTAACAGAGTAGTACTGCCGCTGGAGACTCTCGTTCGAAATTTTGAATCGCGAGATCACTGTTAAACAAGATGTTTTTCTGGCATCGAATGACCTCCATTAATTCACTGCTTCTCCTCAATTAATATTGTGGGGAATGGCTACGGCCTGAGTGAAAAATGGCTGCGGCGCTTGAACGAGGAATGACTACGTGATAAAGTCACGAATAATTGCCGCACAATGTCTATGAGATGGGCTCCGCTGGTGGTTGCTGATGGAGTCGGAGCTGCAAAGTCCAACGGTGAGTTATCCTCCTTTGGACCTAACGACCAACCATGAAGTTCTGGTGAAAATCGACCAAAGCCGGGACGGCGCACTCCTTTATATTTACACGGGAGTCTGGCCTTGAATTAGGGAGAAGGCCAATATTACGGCGGTTACCCTTCTGGTTTCTCTCATCACCCGTAACCACAGAGAACATTGGAGACGAACTTAGGCATCAATTCGATAGCCTACAGAACAGGCAAAAAAGACAAGTACCCAACCCCATCCCACCATTCCTCAGCCCCCAAAACGCCGCGCTGAACAGGAGTGGCCGCCACACCACTCCCAGCTCGGCGGATGCATTCAAGGAAATCCAAAAGCAATTCAAAACCGTTCCCAAGCAGTACTCGAGTAGCAAAAGACAATATACACTAAAGGAACCCCCATCGCATCCCGGCGCCCGGTCCTGATGCCTCCCACGCACCAGAGAACCAGATGTTGAAGAAAAGGAACGCCGATGTTCGCCGTATCGTATTTCGTGCGTGCTCGTGTGGTGGTTGCCATATTCGTTACTCGAAAGATGAACAAAGAACAGAACGCAAAGAGTAATAATGGCAAGACAGTGTTCGAAAAGCAGGAGCGCGGAAAAGAGGAGAACTGGACAAAAGCGATAACAAGCGGCGTTTGGGTATCTTTCGAAACACAAAAGCGTTCGCAGCCTCTCCCACCGGCCGGAGCGCCCTGCGTCTTACCCGATGTGAGTGCAAACATTGCGGAAAAAACAAGATCAAGTCAACAACAATTGCAGCAAAACATTAGCTATTCGTTGAGTATGATGATGGTGGAAACCTATGCATCATCTTTGGTTGGTCGGTCATGGTCATGTTGGTGATACCGGCCAAGCGGTGTTGAACATAATCCCCAGACTCCTTCGTATCCGTCGTCGGCGCCGCGGAGATTCGTCGGCCAATCGAGCAGCGGGGGGAGAAACGGTGTGGAGGCCCCCGTCGGGAGAGTCGGCAGAACACGTATCGTCAGTGCTCCCCTGCTGCCGTCCGTCCTCGGCGTTCCTGGTCCGGCGCCCCCTTTAGACCTCCATGGTGTCGGCAATGTGCTCGCTCATGTCGCGCACAGCGCTCTTCTCGCGTTGCCGTTCGATCTCGTCGTCGAACTCCTCGTCCTCGTCCTCTTCGATATAATCCATGAGCTCCTCATCGGCGTCGACCTCGTCGTCGCCCGGATACGGAATGATCATGACATCATCGTCATCGTCTGGCCAGCCGCTAGATACGCTACGGCCTTCCGCACGGTCTCCGAGCCAGTACATGGCCCGCTTGTCCGCAGACTCTAAGCCCATGGACAGCGTGCTGTGGCCCTTACCGCCTGTTGACATGTGGCTTGCAGCAGCCGCAGCCCGCACTGCGGGGCTGTGCGACATGATGCTGAGACCGCGCAGGTACAAGTAGCAGACGCGCTTGCGGTTCTTGTTGAAGAAGAAGTAGTTCATGCTCCAAATGGATCCTTCCTCGCCGTCAAACGGATCCTCTTCCGGTTGGTAGCAGTAGATGGCGCAGTCTCGCAGATTCATTTCGTTGTCAATCATCCGCCACATGCGGGGGCTCCATATGTGGTGTCCGCCGGGAGTGCGCGTGCCGGACGATCCGGATCCGCCGCTGCCCGCTGACCAGCTCGATGGTGGCACAGAGAGCATCGCGTTCGACGGCCGTGGCCGCAGGTTGAAAAGCGTCGTGTCTATCGTGTTCATGACGGCGCGCAGGCTGCGCTCTTTCCGGAAATCGGTCGGCCGGAGGATGTGCGAGAAGTCGTAGTCGGGGTGACTGGCATTGAGCGTCGCAATGAGGTAGGCGAAGGTGCGGCGACTTGAGATCTGGCTGAGAGGGCCGAATGGACTTGATCGGGAGAGGTTCAGGGACTCGGCGAGCGATTCCGCCTGGGGCGGGGAAAGCGAGGCTGACAAACGCAGCACCGACTCATGCTGCGATTCCAGCGAATGCTCAATGTTCTTGTAGAGCTTCTTGTCGCCGCCAGCAGCTTTTGTCGTGTACAGGTCGCAGCCGCCGATGACGTGGCAGTCGGGCGTGTCGAAGTTGAGCGCACTTGTCACGTCTTCGAAATCGCGTAGTGGTAGGTACTGCGACATGTCCATGTTAACTTCACCTTCCACGCCAGTCTCCGCATGCGCGCATGGCTCTCAGAACCTTCACAGAGCCGCTCGATAGCTATCCGAGCAGATGCGCGCAAGCTGAGCTCAGGGGAAGGAGACGCACCTTCATTGTGATGATTGCGCGGAGTCGCGGTATCCGGAGTAATCAGGCGTGTGGAATGTAGCGCAGTAGTCGCAAAGGATGTTGGGTGGTGGGAATTGCGTAGTCGCGGACGGAGGGAGGCGCAGCTTCGTTTGGGCTCGGGGAATGCGGAGGAGTTGTGTTGTCGTGGACGTGCTGCGCAAGCTGACACGCGAAGATCACTCTAGGCTGGCAGCAAAGACCGAGCTTCGTGCGTTGTGCGAGCTGGATTGGGGTTGTTTAACAGGGGAATGCGGTCGTGGTGATACTGGCGTTGACGGAGCTCGTCGGCATGGTATGTTCGTCGCCTTATCGGGGGTGAGGTGGAGCGGTGGAGCGGTGATGATGTAGGGGGCCTGGACCGAAAGTGGAGAGCGCGTGGTGCCAAGTTGGTACTGCACGTGATGAGCCCTGCATCGCCCATCCACCACTCAGGGGCCGCCTTTGGTCCATGTGAGGAATGCTACTGTGAGTCTAGACAACGTGCCTGTTTGAGCGGCTCCGACAAGGCTCAGAATACGCGGCGTTGGGCGCTGGTGGGAGATGGCGAGTAGGTGCGGCGTGCAATCCTGGAGTCAATGCGTCGATCGGGACTGATTCTCCGGGCCGCGTGTGTCGCCATGGCGTATTCTATAGGCTGGTTGCGAGCCGGAAACGGATAGCGCGGTTGCTGGCAATGGTTATTAGTCTTGAGCAGTTCAACGGACCAATAGGCGCAGTAAGCTGCACGAGGATGTCTCGAGGCCAGTTGATGCAGTTATTCGTTGCTTCATTAGGTACTAAATCCAAGCGCCAGTCCATCCTTGCCTGCGGCAAAGGGCGTTGGAGGTATCATACAACTGTGGAGCTCCCCTTGAGCTCCAGTACCGAGAAAACACCTTAACTCCCGCCGATGCATGCCTTGATGCGTGCTCCGTCAAATGAACATTTCAATCAAAACTGAACTGATCTAGATCATTCCAGCTTTGCGGATCCTCTCCTCAATGGAGTCGTCATCCTGCTCGAGGCCATCAGCATTAAAGTTCGACGCATCTAACTTGCTTGTGAAGAACAATGAAGAGACAAGGTACGACAGCTGTGCCCGGGTATCTAACAGGAGGGCAGCAGCAGTGTGCTACCGAGGGCTTAACCGATCTTGGTAACGCCGTCGTCCTCGACCTGCAGCTTTTGTTAACACCTCCTAGAGTTGGCGCATTGGGGAAGCGCTTCTTTGCGACGACTGTGCTCGTTTCACGCCTCCCTCGGTGTGCAGATGGAGATTGTCTACTCACTTCCATGTCTTCCAAGCTGTCCTGCTGGCTGATGCAACGCAAGACGTTCTTCTTGCTGCTCTCCTGCATCTCTCCGGCGAGCAGCAGCTCGTCCAGGATGAAGTAGGCCTTCTGGAAATTGAAGATGATGTCCAGCTCGCAGACGTTGCCGTAGTATTTGTCCATCTGCTCGACGTAGCGGTGCACGATCTCGAGGGTGATGAGTTCGTTGTCTTCGGAGTCGCAACCGGCGATGAAGAAGAGGGAGGCGTAGCGACGGTAGACGATCTTTGTATCTGCAGGCGGGTTTAAGCATCAGGGCTGCAAGGGGCGTAGGAGGGTGGGCGACCGAAGGCCAGGTGGCATACCCTTGTACTCGAGGAAGTTGCACATGCGGGTGCGGCGGGCAAGAACAAGCTGAGTGACGTCCTTGACGATCTTGGCCTTATCCTTGGGGGACAAGGTGGTGAACCACTTGGCAAGGCGCTGCACATGGCGTCAGTCAGAGCCCGAAGCTGGAAGAAAAGCTGCCTGGAAGACGCACCACCTTGCCCTGACGCGAAAGCAGAATGAGGTACCTGCGGCGATCAGCATCGCGATTTGCATCGGGACGAATTGCCGCACTCACTTGATCGCCATGGCGGTGCTGCGGGGAACGAGAGCTTGGGGTTGTAGATGGAGGGGGTTGCTCTGGCGCACGTAATTTGGGACACTGGACTGCAGGTCCACGAGTGCCAAGACGCCTGCGGTCGGCGCGGAAGAGCCCCGCCGAGTCGCGGCGCATCCGCGGCCCCGCTGTCTCGGCTGCTCCGCCGACTGCTTACAATATCTCTATCGTCCGACTTCCACCGCCGTCGCGTGGACATTGCGCTATAATCTTCCGCCAGCGCGGTATGGAAATCACCTCGCGCCAGGCTCGCGACTTCCAGTCTTTGTTGAACATAGTCCTTCACCCGCGCCGCGCCTACAAGCGCTTCTCTCAATCAAAGCCTGCCAGCACCATTTCTGAGACTCACCCCACTCCCACTGTCGCTATGACGAGACTAATCCTGTCTACCGCGTATGAAATTTTCTCAGGCACATTGCCTCCCGCACATGATCTGACGTCCAGCGATCCAGTAACATCATGGGCGTTGGCCCCTCTGCCATCCGCCGCAACCTCCACGAGAAGTCCAACACCGAACTCACTTCCGCCCTCCGCGCGAACTTCTCCTCGAACCAGCAAGCCTCACAAGCTGCCACGAACGGCGAGAACAGTGCCTCCTCCACCTCGTCCTTCCGCGCCTGGACTTCGCAGAACGGCACCGACCTATACATTCCAGCCCTCGACTTCTCGCAGTCGGGTCTAACCGAGGAACGCGCCGCATACGATATCACCGTGAAACTATTCTACCTTCCCCACGTGCCCGTCGCCCAGCGCATCGCGCACACCCGCGACGCCGTCAACCTCGTGCTCAAAGAGCTGCACGTTCCTTCTATCGACCTGCTCATTGTCTCTTTCCCAGGCATCGCCTTTGACGCCGACGACGAAGATTCTGATGCCGATGAGAGCGGTAGCATACCTAATGGCGGTGGCTCCGAGTCGGAGAGCGGCACTGGCGTCGAGGACATTGACAGCATGATCGAGACATGGCGCGCTGTTGAAGCACTGCATGATGAGGGCTTGATCGGAAAGCTGGGACTGTCCGAGTTCGGTTCGCAGCGGTTGGCCAAGTTTTTAGCCAAGGCGAGACTGAGGCCGAGTGTGGATCAGATCAATGTTCGGGACTGCTGCGTGGTACCAAAGCCGCTCATACTGTATGCCAAGCAGGAAGGCATCGAGTTGCTCACGCACAACGATTGCACGAACATCCTGCCGTCCGGTACAGTGAGGGAACTTTTGGGTCCTGGAGAGAAGGGTGCTGGCGTTTTGGTTGGCTCCGATGGCTCATCGGATGGATTGAAGGGAGATGTCACACCGCAGTGGGTGGTGAAGTACACGGCGGTGGTCAAGGATAGAGGTGTTGTGGAGAACAAGGGCTACTTTGCTGCAGCGGAGCTCCACGACTGATTCCCAATCTGTTAATAGGTGGGCCACGATATCATGAATCCTTCTGACCTAGTGCAGCGCAATTCTTTCCTCGCATATTCGGCGTCAATTAGATCTTGTTTTCCCGTATGTTAACACTCTTCATCTACTTCATTCATATGATGACAACGATATTATGGATTCATGGTGGATTGCCCCGGCGAGACTGGAAGCATTCTTCGACGGTAAAATGATCTCGTAACTGTTTCTGCGATAAGGTGCGAACCGTGTAATCAGAAGAGTTGACCAGCACAGATTGTCCCGCTATTCAAAATCAGACGACACCCAAGTGAGGCGCTACGCCACACCACACCTACGAAATGAGCATGCGCCACACATGTCATCGAACACGAGCAAAGAAGCACAGTTCGACTGTTATCATAACCGACCTGATAGCACTTTGCACAGCGCAATCTGTGCATTTCTTATCCTTATCGATACAACGGCAGACATGTTCTCTTTATACAGAGCTGCGCAGGGGCCACGGACGGGAATTGCCATGAAAAGGAGCACCCACGCTATAATCCCACTCCACACTTGAGATCTTGTGTTCCAAGAGTCACTATTGAGGGTAGGTGCGTAGTTAGAGCTGATGTGTGCTAAAGAGGAAACAACACTGCTCTCGTATCTAAGAACGGCGCGCCCTCTGCCTCATTCGCCTGGGCATGCTCATTGCAATATCGCGCACAAGTTCGATATGTATTACACCGGGACCAGATCATGAGCAGGTCTTGGAGATCAGACACTAACGAGATCCTTCCTCTCGGATGCACCCAACAACGAGGAACCTTCAACCGTGGACAGAGACTGAACCCTGCTCACGAACAGCACGGTTTTGAAAGACTTTTCGGAATCTACACGACAGCTGGGTGTGTGGTTACCTACGATTTTGCAGCCTCAATTCTCCAGTATATCAGAAGACAGAGGGAACCGTGATTTGCTCGTTATTCTTCCTCACATGCCAGTGGACCACCGCCCTACCAATGGCAAGCTATTATAGCGGATTCCTGTGACGCAAAAACAGCAGTCACAGAGGCGCATGGAGCTATACGAGCCAGAGACTATTGTATCAGCTTTAACGCAGCAAGGGGCAATTGGTGGTCTCGTGATATTCCCTCCGGGGAATAGATCTCGATAAGTAAAGTTTGGGTCGGCTTTGCTCACTCCCGCCTTTTAATTTTCATGCTATAAGCAGATCGTATCTGATCTTTGTCGACGACACAGACGACTGCCACGCGTTCTGTTGCATGCGTGTACAGCACTTCAGGGACCCCTTGTTCATCTGAGACATGTCTCCTACAACATGGCGGGCTTGTCGGTGGAAGAAAGGAAAAAGCAAACCCTAAACATTATGCAGGGATACCGCCATTTCGAGTTATTCGGGCCTTCAACCGTGACTTACCCCGTTGAGTATGTGCGCTAGTCTACTCCGGTAACTCGACTTGGCTTGTGCGCGGCGGATGTTCAGGCACGTTTACAACACCCGCTCTTCCTGGCCAATCACAGCAGATCACTGACCGCCAGAATATCAGCGGCCTGTCTCTGGAAGCTTCGCGCAGCCGTACTGTCTGGTTGCTGCATCCATGCAAGCTCCTCCATCCGCTCGCTCCTTCGAGTCTACTCTCGGGGTGGCTCTTCCCGCTCGACGGGCCGCTCACCGGTTCGGTTGGATATATCGCTCAAGCCACTACAATTAAACCAATTCAACTCTGTGATGGTGGCGACCCTACAGAAAGCCTCTCAGCCCCATGACTCAAAGCTCCCGATCTTCCGCGGTACGTGCTCCCTTATACGGGGACACATTAACCCACCCGCGATCCCCTATCCCGCCACCAGGCCTTGGTTTGGGCTAAGGCCTTCCTGATGTGGCGTTAATCTGGGGATCATGCTGTTCTGGCCCAATTCTCGAAGCGCGTCTCCTGCATCAAACCCCACTGTGGACGGGCACGCCGCACCTGAAGCTCTCACGCCATTGAGTGCTCAGTGGGGCCTTTACGAGCCGAGAGCAAAAGGCGCACGCTGGAGAGGTGTCTCCGCTGGCACCCACACGTCCAGTATGAGCTCCAAGCTGCCGCATGGAACCTTCGGGGCGTCCGTTGTGCTGAGGATCAACGAGCTGCCAAGACGGCGTCCCCATACTCTGCATGAAAATAAGGCTGAAAGTGCGGTGGTGGTTCGTCGGCGATCTGCGTTCAGCGCTGGCGGCTGAGGCCATGGCCATGCTGGTACCCACCGCTCGGACTCGAAAGGCGGCGCCGGCCTCCAGCCCAGCACGTTCGCCGGAGTCAGCTCGTTGACCGCGACTTTAGAGTTAAAAGCGGCTGCGCCCAGGTACCAGTCTTGAGAGGGCAAGAAATTTCTTCATCCCAACCGTACTTCACGCAGTCCAGCCGGTTGATTCCACTCACTTCACAATGGTTTACTCGACCAAGCTCCGGGCTATTGCCGCTTCTGGCCTTCTTGCCGGCTCTGCCGCCGCTGCCGGTCAGTCTCTTCCTTCAATGCCTGTCGTACCAATGCTGACCTGCTGTTAGGCTGCTCCGCTCCCGATGGTGGTGTCCTTACCGTCGGTGTGGATGATGTTCTCGAGATCTCCTCTTGCAAGACCTTTGAGGGCAGCATTGCCATCTCTGAGGAGGTCTTCGGCTCCATCGCCCTCGACGGCATTGAGGAGATCACCGGCTCGCTTATTGTCGACTCTGCCGAGACTCTCACTTACTTCAGCGCCGACTCGCTCACCACGATCGGCGGCCTTGAGCTCAAGGACTCGCCCATCTTTACCGGCTTCGACCTTCCCTCGTTGAACAAGGTCGAGTCTCTCAGCCTTGCCTCTCTTCCCCTGCTGTGGGAGGTGGACTTTGGCAGCACCATCCAGGAGTGCTCGACCGTCGAGGTCCGTGACACGTACCTGACCAGCCTCGAGCTCGACGTCCTTGAGCCCGAGAAGATCATCATCGAGGAGAACGATTTCCTCTGGTCCGTCTCGGTCGCTTCGACCTCGGTCGAGGAGATCACCATCGGCGGCAACACCAACGCTGTCGACATCAGCTTCCCCCAGCTCGAGAGCGCCAAGCAGATCACCATCTCCAACGCCACTGGCCTCTCCTTCCCCTCCCTGACCTCCATTGAGGAGTCCATCACCATCACTGAGTCCTACCTTGAGACCTTTGACTTCTCCACCCTTGAGACCATCGGTGGCTCGCTCGAGATCAGCGGTGTCTGGGACCTCGAGTCCCTCTCCCTGTCCGCCCTCAAGTCCGGTAAGTCTACACTCATGCCAATTAATACACAACACACATGCTAATACCCTTGTCAGTCGGCGGTGACCTCAAGATCAACGACTGCGGCTTCACCAGCGTCGCCTTCGAGAGCCTCGAGGAGGTCAAGGGCGACCTGAGCTTCGACTTCGCCAGCCTCGAGGAGTTCACCTTCGAGTCCCTCACCACCGTCGGCGGCTCGTGGGACATCTCGGGCTCCAGCAGCGCCGAGTTCTCCTGCTCCGACTTCGACTCGATCGTCAAGGGCGGCGTCAACTGCGGCACCAGCGACGAGCCCGAGGAGCCCGCCGAGGAGACCACCACTCCTCCCGTCCGCTCCACTCCCGTCGCCAGCATCCCCACCGACCTGTCGTCGACCCCGGCCCTGACCATCCCCTCGGTCTCGGTCCCCATCGTCGCCACCCCCACCACCCCCAGCGCCTTCGTCACCCCCAAGCCCTCCACCCCCGGCGCCGGCGTCAAGTCCTCCACCGTCATCTCCAGCAAGGAGATCATCACCGAGACCCTCAAGAACGGCTCCACCGTCACCCTGACCAGCTGGACCCCCGTCGCCACCATCCCCGTCGCGACCACCCCGGCTGCTACCCCCAGCATCCCCATCGTGCCCTTCGACGGCAAGGCCTCTGGCCTCTCCCCCATGGCTGGCCTCGTCAGCCTGGTCTCGGCCGCTATGCTGTTCTGCCTCCTGTAAGCGGGATATGAGGCATGTGTATGAAAGTATATGGGATCTTTAAAAATGTAATGTATGTATGTATGTAATGTAGCACTCATGTAAATATGCTATGAAGATGGATGTTTCGATCTGTTAGGAATTTGTTGTCTACTTGCATTGTTGTGAAAGTGATGTCCAACTCGAGGTGTGGTGCGGGGAGAGGCAGGGATGACCTTGCCTCAACAATGACTGGTAGAGCGCACTAAGATGATAAGAGTAGAGCATCATTTCCCCATCGGGAGGACCAACGAACGACATGGTTCTGCGTGTATTCTAGTAACCCTGTGAACCCTGACTGGCGAGCAGCATTATATCCGATTATTCAGTGCACAGCCTTGTATGGAGTCCAGCTTCTCACCAGCCTCCCTTTGCACTGCTTCCGATCAAATGACCATGTCAGAAGAGGGAATCCTCACCGATGCGCATCCGTCAATCCAGAAGGAAAGTGCTCGTACAAAGGAAAGTACTCAAAGCCGCGGAGCCTTGACAACGCTAATATAAACCCAAAAGCAAACGAATTGTTAGGAGTGAACCCGCTAACCCACCACACCACGCATCAGTGTGGGCCATCTCGAGGGCAAAGGATGTACTGGAATGAACGCATTAGCGATCATTCATGCGTGGTCAGTTAATAAACCATGTCAGGGCATGTTCGTGACACGAATCACGCTGAGAACGCCTCGCTTGACAGTGGAACCATCACATGGCTAAAACATCAGGCGGTTGTAGCTCGACGGACGATAACCACGAAGTCATCTGAATCCAGATAAGCCTGTTCATGCTCTTCATCGGGAGGACCACGAAGAGCCTCCACGGGAAATGATGCTCGATCCAACAATTTCGGTGGCTGCCTTTGCTGGACCTCAATCATCGATGGACGAGAAACATCTCTATAAGTCCCGCTCGGTGCCATGGCCCGTCGCTCAGCCACCACCTCGTCAATATTATCCATTTGAATCGGACGCGCCGTGTCGTCGGCCTGGTTCTGGTGGTTGCCGGGATGCAACTCAACATCGGCTCGAGAGGACACGGACGTTGCAGATGGCTCAGGAAGCACTGTTGAGCAGTTGCCCATTTCCATTTCGCTAGTGGATTCTGGGCAGATGCGAAGTCAATACACTTGATATGTGAGGTGACGCGCGCTGCCCAGTAACTTACCAGGTTGAGGTGACGGAGATGCTTGCTGGGAAGACCGAAGCCCTCGAAACTTCTTCCACAAAAGCAGCGTAACAGGCAAAGCGGTGATGAGGACTCCGACGAGTGAAATTATGGTGTTGAAGGACCATTCGTCTTCCTTATCGGAAGAAAAGGCTGGAATTGTGACTGCAAAGGGAGGTAAGCCAAGGTTGCATTATGAAATATCCGATAGACTGACAGTTTGAAGCGTTGTAGTGAGGTGACGAAGACATTGCGTATGCTTATGCCAAATGTGGAAACAAAGTTGAAAGGGCTGAGGGCGGAACGTTTCGTACGACAGGTGTGAGTGGTACGAGGAAGAGGGCGCTTTAGGTGGCACAGCGACGTCCCGGCAGCGGGGCTCTGGCGCCTTTAGACAGCAGATGCTCCCAGCTCCCACAAGTTCGGCACATACTAAAGGCGGGTGCGGTGCGGTGGCTCGTAAGTGCCCTGCCGAGCGCTAGGTACAAATGAGCGCGTTGCGGAAGAGGCCGCTGGACGACTCGGCTCTGTGCCTGGCGGCGGCAGTCTGGCTGCTCGCGTGCGCTCGTTTCTCGCCGCGAACCTCAACGCCAGTGCCAATTAATCAGTGGGCGCGTGAACTACTATTGGTGCACGGCTGCCATGGGAGCGATCACCGGCCAGGAAGCGCGCACGCAGCTGGGGGATGGCAGCAGGCAGCCGCCAGGCAGGGACTGGAGTGAATGCTGGGCGAGAAGGCCCGAAACGGCATTGCAAGTGGAGTACTCTGATGATTTTGCCGGCACAGCCATGTCCATCTCACTTAACCATCCTTACTCTTCACCAATAATGCTAGGAAGGGTTTTAGTAGAGGATAATACTGGTTTAGGAGTAAGTAACATGCACATGTGCAACAATATTGGCGTCATTTAGCATTTTCTACAAAGAGCCAATTTATAAAGATAGAATAGGATACTTGAGCATCAGCATGTTTGGTGAAATGGTGGGCAAACTCGCCCTAACACACTGACATAATCCGAAAATGATAGCCCAAGGCAGTGTATCGAATGAAATGCTATGTCGCAGAAGAAGTGCTTTCTGGAACATAGTAAGTGCATGAGCTGTCAACACGTTGATGCCAGCGCTGTGCGGTGGCTCGTAAGTACCCACCATTACAGATTTGTGAGCTGCAAATGAGCGCGCTGCGGAAGAGCCCGTTGGGCGGCTAGGCTCTGTGCCTGGCGGCGGGCCAAGTGAGTCAGTGGGCACGTGGACCATTGTTGCGCGGTTGCCGTGAGAGCGATCGCCAACCAGGAAGCGCGCATGTACAGAGGTTCCAAGGATCGGTTTATAGACGTGTCCGACGCATCTCCACTTGCAAAGGATATCCACAACAAGGTAACCCTACGTCTAGTCCATAAATCTTAACTAATTTAATACAAGTCATAGAGCTCACCTTTCTCTTTTGAAATGTCTAATTTTTATCTAGAATTATCATCTTGTCGCTTTGCAATAAGCGGTTAAGTATGTTCCTCAAGTACGTCCGTGCATGCCCGTGCGTACACGAGACGCGTACCCGACGAGTTTTTATCGACGAAACGACGTTAATTCGCGGAGTTACACTGGCACGCGTCCGTACCGATCCTTGGAACTCCTGTAGACGGCAGCAGGCAGCCCGTCGCAGTCCGTCAGGCATGGGGCGTGGACCGAGCAGTACGGCTTGCCACGCGAGCGGCCATTGTCTACCCGGCTGTAGGGCGATTTGCGGCCGCTGCCAGGCCGCCTGCCCTTGCGCCGCCCCAAGCTGCCTGCTGCCAGCGCATCATCTGCTTTCCCCACCACTGCTGGTGGATGATGGCCCACCGCCCCGCACTGCCATACGCGGCTCAGAACCGTCAGGCACCAGGCGAGCGGCTCGCTGAGCGTGGTGGCACGCTACTGACATTGCCGAGCGGTCACTCAATACATACTAATCAACTCATCACGAAAACGAATAGAAGGGCCGTCTTTAGTAAAAGCGTACTTCTAAAACAGAAGTACAAGTGTCTCTTTTTTATTTCTATTTTTTAGGGGGAAAAAAGGCTATACCCCGTACCGTACATCCTGCTACACACTTGCCAATCGACACTAATATTGCTAAAAGCACGACTTCGTAGGATGGGTAACACATTATATTTACCCCCTTGGAGCGCTAACAGAAGACCAGATACCGGTATTAACTGACCATACGTAAGCTGAAGAATACCTCGCTTAACGAGAGCCAGTAGAGCATTTAGGAGCCGTATCACAGCAGACGATGACCGGTACATCTTCAAGGATATTACTTGACAGTCGCATCGTATCATCCGTAAGTTGAACATTGCTTGAGTTAGTAATTTGGGAAGATTGCGCTGTGTTGTTGGCCTGCGGCTGAATGGATCCATCGAGCTCCACAACGTAAGCTTGTGGGGCAACGGGGCTTGTAGAAAGTGCATAAGATACTAGTGTCCAGTAACCCCTCTCTGTATCACCCATGGGATCTATGAACGTGTGGCTTAATTAGAATGTGGTCTCTCGTAAGGTATCATCTAATAGCTCAGAAAATAACGCGGTAAAGGCTCTTGCCCGAAGGGCTGACTTCGATGCCTCTTTAATAGAAAGTACATAATCAATAGTGCTATTGAAAGCGCTACAAGAAGAGCCAAAAGATTTTTCATGGGCCATCCATTTTCCTTATCGGAAGAGAGAAGCGGGCCAGCATCTGCAAGAAGAGAAGTCGAAGTGAGTAAAGGCTGAGTTATGTGAGCATCTCAGTGAACGAACAAATTGAGACATTGCAATCGATGTTTGAGTGCATTCTATTTGTTGAAAGCTGAAAACAAGGTTGAACAGGCCGGGGTTGGAAATGTTTCGTATAATAGATCGTAGAATTTAAAAAAGAAATCCGTGGAATGGCTACAGATGCGCCAGATGGAGAAAGGCAGGCTCCAGATTGTCGACCAAAAGGCTTTGCGTTCGACTTAATGTATATGATAGAGCGGTGGGTCAATCCAGAAGAATCCTACGTCAGCTGGTCGTTCACGCTTCCGCCTTTACCTGCGCGCCACATCTTCTGCCCGCGGTCTGCTTCATCAGCTTCACCGTTAGCTTCTGTGTCTATGCCCCGTTCCAGCTACTCCTCCGTGTTCTTGGCTCAATATCTCTCTGATCATGGCGGATCCCTACGCTGTATTCGACAGCGATCCTGATGACCCTCCTTCCGATCATGAATCACCAACGGAGTCTCGAGCAGGAGTTGAGTTCGAGAAGAGGATGCTTGAGTTCTGGACGGAAGATCGAAAAGCTTCAAAGTCAATTTTCCAACGCAAGAACCTTACGGAGTTGAGTCCTAGTATGCAATATATGATGGACTTTTCCAAGGTTGTCTGGGAAACATTTTGCGAGACCCATAAATGTGGTGCGGCCTCCTACGCGCTGGTGCACGGCTGGCTAGCGAGTCCATGCCGTGCGTCACAGGTCGGTCTTTATCTTTTTTAATTTTTTTTCTTGCATGCCCAAATATCCTGGGACCATTCGCTCAGATACAACACCTGCGCAGTCTGGAATATACAGACGGATAGCCAGATTTGGCTGGCAAACTCGCGCAGATCGGATGCTAAGTAATGCCATCGCAACTCGCTGAAACGACAGCCGAATCCAGCACACTCGGCTGACCGCAAATGCGAGTCTCGCTGCTTCTGCCTATCCCGTGCTTGGTTCTGCGCTCGTTCCTCACTGCGGGCAATGACTCGTGGGGTGTGAGTGGGCGGCGGGCAAGTCTGGCTGCGAAAATCCCATTCTAAAAGCAACAGCGGCCGGCCCGCCGGCCAGCGCAAATGTACCAGTGGCGCGGTTCTAAGTTATAGGCGGGGATGGTCTGCCGCCCCGCACTGCCACTGTAACAAGCTGCTGGCAGGCCCTTGGGCACGCTTCCAATGTCGCTGAGTGTCACTTACTACCGGGACTGAGAAGATGGAGAAAGAAGGGGATATGTTTGTGGTACACCCATAGAATTTCTGGAAACTGGCTGAAGCTGGCCAAATCAAAACGTCGCTGCTCATATTGAAGCCACATGTGCACCACCGCTTACATATCGCTTCTCATGCCCTCAGAGAAATCTGTAAATATTTCAGCTGCCAGCGTCGATTCAGTTTCAGATTCTACATTCCAGCAGGCGTATTATTTTCATGTCAAACTTTCCAAGACGTGAGGCAGTAAGGCTTGACGTGAGTCGACGGAGAAGCCTCCGGGCAGATGCTGAGCGCATATTTGGCTACTTGGGTAGCTACAAATATATTGACTTCATTGATTACTCTCTGCGAAGTGTCCTTTTTTGTTACTAATATATAGAGAATAGTACTTGTAACCGTGATTTGTAACCGTCATACATGGTGGGCGGTTATATTTATAAGGGTTAGTTCTGAGTAATAAGCGCGGTCGTCGGGCGCGGCGCAGGGGCTTTTCCGCTTGGCGCTGCGACCCCAATTTCTGTCTATCCATCCTGCTCCGTAACGGTCTCCCGCATTCTAACCCTCCACGAAATGCCCGCCGGTAACAATACCATCGACCACTCGCAGAACGGGATTCAAACTTCCAGCAACACCGACCACAGCGATCCTGGCCGTCATTCAATCCCCAGGCCTTCTGCCTGCGTGATATGTCGCCACCGGAAGGTCAAATGTGACAAACGGCATCCGTGCGGCAATTGCGAGAAACACGGTGTCGACTGTGTTTTCCCCGCTGAACCCCGTCCTCGGCCTAAGGTCCGCAAGCGTGCAAACGCTGAACTACTTGAAAGGCTCCGTAATGTCGAGGATTTGATCAAGACAATCGGAGAAGCCGCGCTGGGAAGAGGACGGGTGCAGGCCACGAATGGTGAAAATAATTCCGACGCGCCATCCCAACAAGAAATGGAGCAACCACCTCCAGCCTCCGTTAGAGAGGCAGATCATTGGAAGGCCAATTCTGGAGAGAGCACAGCACCAACGGTATTGTCTGACGCGAGATTTATGGAAAATGACCCCACGGCTGGTAGATTGTTTGTGCACAAAGGGAGGAGTCGGCACATCAATAGTACCTTCTGGGCCAGCTTAAATGATGAAGTAAGCTTTCTTGGAGTTGCGAAGCCCGAATCTATTAATTCTTACATTAATAGGTCGAGGACATCAAGGAACTTCTTATGCTCCCCAGTGATGAAGAAGACGAAGAAAAGGACCATGACTCGAACACCCTAAAGAGCCATAAAGAGTTGATCTCGACCTTTAGCTCTACCAATGTGGACATGCACCCTCTACACCCTAAACGGCACTCTTATCGGCTCTGGACCCTCTTCAAGGAAAGGGTGGAACCATTGGTCAAAGTTCTTCACATCCCATCAATGGAGCCCAGGATAATTTCTGCCATGGCGACGGAAAACAAAGACCGCATTCCACGCAGTACGGAAGCCTTACTCTTCGTCATTTACTACGCCGCTACTACTAGCGCATCTCCGGAAGAATGCGAAAGCGTGTTTGGCCAAAAAAAGCAAAGTTTGCTCTCTCAGTATCGCTTCGGCGTAGAACAAGCGCTCGCACGCGCAAATTTCCTTCAGACGGACCAATTAGCAGTCTTACAGGCTTCTATCATCTTTTTGATCTCTCTTCGCCAAAATGAGGCCAGCCGCGTTACATGGACCCTAACCGGCATAGTAGTGCGCATGGCCCAAAACCTTGGACTCCACCGCGATGGCACCAACTTCGGCCTGCCCCCTTTCGACATTGAGATGCGCCGGCGAATTTGGTGTCATGTTTGCATTCTTGATGCACGAGCAATCGAAGACTATGGCTGCGATTCCTCTATCACTGGACCTTCTTTCAACACACAGGTTCCCCTCAATGTCAACGACAGTGACCTTCGGCCCGATATGAGCAACCTCCCTAGGAGCCGTACTGGATTCACAGACATGACATTTTCTCTTGTTAGATTTGAGATTGCCGATGTCTATCGTCGCATGCACTGTGCATCACTCGGCTTTGCAGGGTGTGACCATACACCAGTCTCACTTGAACAGCAAGAGCGTTGGATCAGTGAGGTTCAATCCAGAATCGAGGAAAAGCATCTGAGAGGTTGCGACATGACATTTCCACTCCACCAAGTCATTGCAACAGTATCACGTCTCATTGTTTCAAAAATGTGGCTCATGGTTTATCAGCCCTACCAGCGCCTCCGTGCATCACTCCCACAAGACAAGAGAGACAAGCTCTTTACCATGTGCGTCAAAAACATAGAGGATAGTCTCCGCCTTGAGACTTCAGAGGACACACAGAGATGGGCGTGGATTTTCAAAGCCTTCATCCAATGGCATGCCATTGCCTTCCTCTTGTCTGAGCTGTGCGAAAGGACCAAAGGAGAGCTAGTAGCACGGGCTTGGCGAGCAATAGAAACGACAATATCACGACGCAAAGACGACTGTTACCAGAGGAAGGCGTGCCCATGGGGTCCGCTGCACAAGCTAGTCTCGCGGGCGCGTGCTGCTCGAGAAGCTGGGGTATTGAGAGAATCGCTTCCAAGTCCGACAGGACCTCGAGAGAGATCTCAGGAGCCTCGGGAATATACTACCGAGGCGGATTTGTTACTACAGACAACGGAAGTTCAACAGCAACGACAGCAGCAAGACGCAACCCACGATTCAAGGACCTCTCTCAATTGGATTTCAACATCTGCTCCTAATATGAATGGCGGTCTTGATGGATCTCCAGAGTCAAGTGATCTCACTAGAGCCAGCAATTTGTCAAGCTTAGTCGATATCGCAGACTCTCAACCTGGCAATTACATGAACACATCACTACCAGACTTAGGCGATGTGGACGATATGGATTGGGCCGGCTGGGATGATTTGATCATGTGGTAAAATGCGAATGTTCATCTTTTGCGATGCTTGGAAAAGTAGCAACGTTGACGATAAAGATTTTGTATTGAGCAGCACCTATGAAGCAGCAACTTGGCTCCCTCCACGTGTAAATTCGAGCATATCATGTTCGTTCACAGTAGTCATGTGACATCACGTCGATTGTGCCCAAGCGCCAGGTTTCGGCCTCGGCGAGTACGAAGGCTCCGAGGCCGAATTCGGTATCATTTTCACGGATTTCGGCAACAAAAAGAAATGTAGTGAGCAACGCCAGGAGAATTTTGAAGGACATAGAGGCGATAGCCCCTTACTTGCAGAACATCTAGGCGCTTTTGTCTTACAAACACAATCGAATTCTTCATGTATCCGCAGGGACGCTAGTCTTTCAGGGTGCAGCTGAGGCAAGTATAAGAGTAAGATGTTTACAAAAATTTGGTTCTAAGGTACTATTCAGTTCGTTGCTCACAGCATAACGAAAATGGAGTACGTGGAACGTGTTCTCTCCAAAATTTCCGCCAAACCAAATCTTTCAGACGACACCGAATTTGACGAACCGCCTCATTTCGACGAACATGGCTACATTGCGTTCAAGCCTGGGGATATGGACAATCCGAAGAACTGGTCTTCTGCAAGAAGATGGTATATAACTGTTGTCGCTGTTTCCATGGTTATGAACGCGACATTTGCGTCCTCGGCGCCTTCTGGATGCATCGAGGTTAGTACCAGGTCCCGCTGCACGACAACAAATAGATTGCTGAAAAAGCGCAGAGTATTGCCCAGGAGTTCAACGTCTCTATTGTAGCGGCTCAGCTCAACATTACCCTTTTCCTTCTCGGCTACGCCGCCGGACCACTGGTTTTCGCCCCGCTCTCCGAACTTTATGGTCGTCGATATTTATTCTACATCACGTTCGCCTGTTACACTGCATTCGGCTTTCTCTGTGCCTTCGCTCCCAATTTTGGTACTCTACTCGTTGGTCGACTCCTGACCGGCACATTCGTGAGCAGCTCGCTTTCCAATTCACCAGGCGTACTGGCGGACATCTGGAGTCCTATCGAACGCGGAAACGCCATGGCTATATTCTCGGTCGCGACAAACATTGGGCCCGCTCTTGGTCCGGTAGTGGCTGGATTCTTGGAGCTGACCAAGAGCTGGAGGTGGACCTTTTATGTCCTCCTATGGATGGCTGGAGGGACTTGTCTCGTTCTTCTCACACTTCCCGAGACTTTACCCAGCATCATTCTCAAAGACAAGGCGAGAAGGCTTCGTGAGCAAAACCCTCCAAAATATCAGAACGTAAAAGCTCCCGTGGAAGCCACGGATCGGACCCTCAAAAGCACCTTCCGGGTAGCACTGACTCGACCGTGGACCATCTTATTCGATCCGATCTCGTTCTTCATCGCCATTTACATGTCGGTCATTTATACACTCCTCTACATGCTCTTCACGATCTATCCGGTTGTCTTCCAACAGAAACGAGGATGGAATTCTGGAGTAGGGGAGTTGCCACTCTTAGGAACCGCCATTGGGCCATGTCTGGGCGGCATCGTCGTCTTCCTGAACTCTCAGCTGAGTCGGAAGAAGGCAGAGAAAGGCTACCAGATATTGCCTGAAGATCGCTTGCCGCTAGCCATGATCGGCGGTGTCGGTTTCGCAGTGACCATGTTCTGGTTTGCCTGGACGGGCGAGTTCAACAGCATACACTGGATCGTTCCCACGATTGCAGGTGTTTTTCTCACCGCTTCCATCATGTTAATATTCGTCACTTGTTTGAACTATTTGACAGATACATACTTGATGTATGCAGCAAGTGCGATAGCAGCAAATACTGTCATCAGATCAGTCGCAGGTGCGGCAGCACCACTGTTCACGCAGCGCATGTTCGATGTCCTTGGCGTTGGTGTCGGTGGGTCGCTCATTGGAGGAGTAGCATCCTTATGCGCCGTGATCCCGTTCGCTTTTTACAAATATGGAGAAAGCATTCGGGGGAAATCCAGATTTGCACCGTCGGCGTAAAAGCCATCAAAGAAGATACTGGAGTGAAGTGGAGTTAGAAAGAATTGAGCAACTTTTGCCTTCCAATGGTTTTTATTGAACGTGACCGGTCAGCGTCAGGGCTCCCAGTCAAGTAATTCAGCTTGACAGTTTGAACCAGTTTCGCAGTTTAAATCGAGTTTCGTTTTTACCTACTCAGTTTAAGCCCCCACCAAGTAAATCAATTTTCACCCTCTTAAAATACCAAGTAAATCAAATGAGCCGATAATTACCTAGGTAGAGGGAAGTAGGGGTAAGGTAGGAGGGGAGGTAGGGATATATATACCCCTACCTCTCCGGTAGCAGGGCTATGGTAGGGATGAAGCAGGGGTGTAGCAGGGATACTAGGTGTTGCAATGGGTGACGAAAAACGAATGATATTAGCATTATCTAATCTTTCTTCTATCTGTACTTCATATATTATTTCTTTCTCCTCCCCCTCACCCCTGTTACACCTCCCGTTCTATCTTTTGATTTTCTTTGAGACCTATAGCCTTTTCTTCTCAAATGAATGTACCAAGAAACATCGCTTACAGCCAGATCTCAACTAGCTTCCCTGGGATGCCGTCGCCAAAGTTGGATGCACTACCAGTGTTCACGTACAAGATTTTCTTCCCATCTCTCTCCACTAGAAGCGTAGCAGTGCCGGAAGACACAAGGTCACCCTGAAAGATGACAGTCTCTTCACCAGAGGGCGTCACGCGTACGATCTCGCGAGCTACTGAAGTAGAGAGATAAGCAGTACCGTCCGCATCCAATGCAAAGTCGTCCAAATTTTCGTAACCCTTGGCTAGGAGCTCAGGTTCAGCTGCGGGAGCCACGGCAGGCGATGTTTGCGAGAGCTCGAGGCGGAAGAAAGTGCCGCGGAAGCCGGTGGTGAAGTACACGTGCTTCGGGTTCCGCACGGGGGGTAGCTGGAGGCCGTTGAGGCCAGTTGGAAAGGCAGCGTCGGCGGTCGGCGCCAACAGGTCGGGGTTTGAGTAGAATACGTTTGTAGAGCTATTGGACGCGGCAACGTCGATGCTGTAGATGATGCCGCGAGTTGAATCGGCAAGAAGGAGCAAAGGCTCTGAATCGTTCCCCTTTGCACGCGGCCCCGTTGTTGTGGCTGGGTTAAGGACCGCGATTCCATTGAGCATTTTTGCCTCTGGCACAGCCGAAATGCGGCTGACTGATGGAATCTGCTGCGAGTTATTGTCGGCCGACGGGACCCAACCGCGGAGATCCAGAGACCAGACAGACCATGAACCGTCGATTGGCATACGATCACCTGCTGTGGTTTGACCACCGTTGAAGGCAAACACATCATCTTGGTATTCGACAATACCAAGAGATGCATTTACGTTCGCGCCTGACGGGAACTTGTAAACAAGTGAAGCCACCTCAGTTGCAGTGTTGACAGTCCATATTTCGCCCGAGTCATAACGTGTAATGAGTAGGTCGCCGTTCGACCGCGAAGTGATACATTCGAGCCATGCGTTTTTCGGAGTACTCGGCTGCCAAACTATGTGGGCAGGTAGAATAGATGTGGGCGCAGGTAGAGCGGATGCCAACAAGAAAGGTAAAAGGTGAAGAGATAAAGCTCCGTAAAGAAACACAAACATGTTGATGAATCAAAAATGTGATGCTTTGTAGATGGGATGCTTGGATCTGAAGGAGAAATAAGACCAGTATTTATGTTTTTGTCCACCGATCTTTTGGTTGTATTCTTGCCTGTAGGCGCGAGGTTTCTTCCGGCCGCTTACGTCTTCGGAGCGGAGTAGGTTGCCGAGGCCGAGCTCGGTCGCTGTATTAGAGTATGCGACCGAGTCCGAGACTAAACTACCGTATAATGATCGCCCGTAGTGAACGGACCTTCCTTTGAAGATCATGTGCATATGCGGTCACACTGGAGGTTACCAAAGGCTACAAACTCCCTGGAACGAAAAATTACACTCGCTCATTCGAACCCCTTGATGACGCCCAGTGGAATTGTGCGTGTCCTGTGGCCATGGTCCCTATTCAGGCTCTGAGGACAAACGCCGTTGCGGACAGTCCGCGCGATATCGATGAGCTTATCCAGCAAACTCTTCTTCGTCCCAACCTCCAGGTGCTCTGGACCCGTCCTGGCGCTCCTGTTCTCCTCGCCTTTCACTCACGCAGTACCGGTACTATTCCAATGAAGTCAGCTGTCCAGAACCAAATCACATGCACCATGAAAAAGCTTTTCCCTGCCGCGGGTATCCTCACGCACATTACTTCCCACGATATCAGACGTGGAGCTATTTGCGAGGTCGCTTATAGCTCAGCTGGACAGAGCTCTCACGGTATTGCTACTCGTACCGTCGCCGCTGCAGCTGGACATACCAATCGCGCTTTGAATCTCGATGTTACCGCTGATTATGTTGGCCCTGCTCATCGATATGACTACAACGCTCGGGTAAACTCTGACTTCCAAGGCCCTTTGGCCCCAATCTTCGTTGAAGGCGCGCCGCAGCTCAATGTCAGCACCAGCGAAGTTGACGAGCGGCTCCGCAAGCAAGGACACGATGTCAAGGCTTCTTTCAAAGGAGCTCGCGATAATGTGTCTCGCAGTATTCGAAGTGAGAAGCTGGAAGTATGGGGGCAAGATCAGCTTGCATCTCAGCATCAGATTCAAGATCCGTTACCAGACTAGTTTCAAGGCTCTCAGCGCCCCAAGGACTCTCAGCGCTCTGAGGACTCTCAGCTTAATCATAATCTTCAGTTTGGTGGGACTTCCAGCTCTTTCAACCAGAACCAGAATGATAACGATCTTTCCAACGAGGAAGATGAAGATGAAGAGAATGATATAGATCTGTATGACGCCACCGCCACCGCCGTTGAGGATGAATTCTCTGCATTTCCTCCTTCTGATGATACGGAAGAAGAAGGGCACCCTCTCTCCTTGACTACGTCCCTGATATCTCTTCTGCGCTGTCTCTGCTATATGCGATAGACGTCACCTTTAAACTTTAAACTTAACACAAAGTTTTGCGCCTTTCCGTGATTAAATTTCTGCGAACGACGCAGTAACTTCGATCATTATATACGTATTCCTTCATCTACGGGTATCATAATATATACAGTCATGCAAGTCTTTCCACTTCCTGGTCTTTTCATCTCAACGCGCCTGATTATTCACAACAGGCTCGGCCATGAGCTCCGACCTCCGCCAATTGTGATCGCCCTCCATCTCCACAGGCGGCTGCTGCGGCTGACCCTGCACCGACATGGGCGCGAAGCCCGCCTGATTCATCCGCGGGCTCTCCAACTCATGCGCCGTCACACCTTCGCTGCCATGCAGCTCCTGCGGCCCCTGCTGAATCGGCATACCCTGCGCATCCACACCACCATCCTGGCCCGGCATCATGGGTTCAGCAGACCCGGTGCCGGACTTCTTCTTGGTCGAGAACCCCCTCCATAGCGACGTCGAGTACGGCGGCGGCAGCTTCTGCTCGTTGAGCGGAATGCCCCCCGGCTGGCCTGGGCCGTCGCCTGGTCCGTCTCTGGACGCGGCGCGCTTCTTGCGCAGGCGCAGCATGAGGAGGATGGCGGCGATGATGGCGACGATGCCGATGACGCCGAGGGCGACGCCGAGGCCAATTCCGATCTTCGCGGTTGAAGAGAGGCCGGACGAAGCGGCGACGGCGGAGGACGAACCGGTGCTGGAGCTGTGGGCGGTGGCGGCGCCGTTGCCTGCGCCGGCCGTGACGGTGACTGTGCCGCCGGCGCCGGTTGACGAGGCGGAGAGGATGTCGCCGTTGCAGGTGATGGTCAGTACGCCGGGCGTGATTTCGCTGCACTTGTACTCGTCGCCGGCGGATGCGTCGTAGGTGACGGTCACGGTACCGTTGACGACAACGTCTTCGTCGAAGGACCAGGAGATGTCTCCTACCAGCTCGATGTTTCCACCGACACTCTTGAGCATGCTGTGACTTGTTAGCCTTTGGCGCAGAAGTGGCATTTCACAGTACTGACCTGGAGTTGAGGTCGAGATAAACGTTGTGGTCAGCGTGCAAAATGAAGTCACCGGCGACAGCAGTAAGAGAAGGAAGCTCAACGCTCGTCATGGACGGGTTGGCAGTGATGGTTGCGGCGCTGATTTCCGTCACGTAATCCATGCCGAGCCATCCCATAACGCTGTTGCTCGTAACTGATAGTTCTTGTGCTGACACGAGGGGGATCGACACGTTCTCGAGGAGAGGGTTGTTAACCAGGACAAGGTCCTGCATGGCGACATTTGATGCCTCCCATTGGAACCACAAGTAGTCGCTGGACACGTTATCGAAGGTAAGGTTACCCAAGCCGTTGATGTATGCGAATGTGTAGCCGGGGAGAGCACCGAGATTGCTAAACTCAACATCACCCAGGCTAGCGTAATCGGCGCTGCTGTCAAGACCGAAGTCGAAGGTGTTGAATGCGGGTGCATCTGACACTTCAATTCCTTCGGCCGAAACTAATGCTGGTAGGCGGATGCCTTCGAGGCTTGGGACGCTTGTCGCAATAACACGTCCAACGATTGTTTCAACGCCGGTCATGTTGACGACTCCACTGAAGGTTGAGGCTACCACGACGTCTCCAGAGAAAGTGGCGCACGATGCCATAGCGGGAGCGGCCGTGGTAACCGTCACTGTCGTGGAACAGTCGTCTGCTCCGAAACGAGTCAGCATGTTCTGAGTCGTATAGAGAGTTTGCAAGGCTTACCAGCTAAGACGCGTCCCACGAGGAGCGCTTGAAGCACTGGAGCCCATCCTCGAGCGCGCATGATTGCTTCTTGCTCAAGATGGTGCCGGAAAGGTGCAGAATGCTGCTAGTGCGGTCAAATGCCGTCAAAGGGCTTGCGGCTCTTTGAGAAGGCTGGAGGGGGCGATGAGCATATCTATCTCTCGTCTCTAGTAGGCGGACATGCATGGATTTTCATCCTTCGTGGCACCACATCCTAAATCGGGTAACTGAGGGGACGGCAGCGAAGCCACCAACAGGCGGCAGGACAGTCTGGGCAAAAGCGCATCCTCAGGTTGAAGCCATGGCCAGCACTGTGGAGATGGCTGCAGCGGATGGACGAATGAGAGAGTTAGGAGTATAGCGCGGTGTGGCTGCAGCTTGGCAGATTGGGGGCGGAGTGTTTATTTTTGAGCCTAAGGGACGTGTGCCAGTGGGCCGTCGGAGGCAAGCCTCCCAATGTCCGGCATGATGCCGGGGGTATTGTAAGCACCAAAGGCCGTGGTGCAGGGCTTAGCTCGATTGGCGATTGACGGTTGATGGCCTCATGGTCAGAAGAGCACTTGAATGACGCAGGTCCTTGCTCATAGCCGTCGGCGGGACGACTGGAAAAGAGGATTCTCTTTGCGAGTAGAGCGGTGTGAAGTCGGGCTCCAGCGTTCTGTGCTATTTTTTGGCCCCCAGCGGTGCAATTGGGCCGAAGAAAGGACTGTGCTTTGAGGCTCAACAACGGCGGTCGCTCCGGCGCGGGTTTCGGCACACTTTTCGGCACGGCACGAAGGCCGCCGTCTCTTTCGATAGCTTCAGCTTTTCCGAGAGCTCGTTGCTGTGCGTGTTCTATTCGAGGACATATCTGGATGAGGTTTGGTGCTCGGGGGCGCGTTTCATCGAAATGAGATGCAGCGGTGGTGGCAGGCGTCATTCGATGCAGGGTGTGATGGGGAAGCGACGATGCACGGGCCAACACGGGTCTGGGGCAGTCGATCATCCCGGCTTCGTCCCGCTCAACTCCGACTTGAACTGTGAAATAATCAGTATCTGCCGCTTGAGCTTGCCATTGCTGTCTGCTATCCACCGTGACTGCGATTGCCAATGTTCTCGGATGCTGTTCCAACTCAACTCAAGACGTAAGCACACAATCTGCTTGTAACAGCCGGCTTATAGTCTCTTGATCCTTCGCAACGGCCATCATCCTGCCTGAAATCATGCCATACAAATATAAATTCCATCTGCCTTCTCTTCTATTCAACAGGGCCTCGGTTTTCTGGCTGCTCTTTTCCCAACGAAATGGTGATGATAAGAGAACGAGGCTGCAGAGCCAGTCATCAATACCTACAGCTTCACGACCCCGCCTATCAGCCAACTGAATACTGCCTATCTCTACCAATTCTTTGACTCAGATCTGTCGAATGTTCACTTACTGGCCAGTCAACGATCTCATTGCCCACTGGCGGGCTGGACTTGAGCTTTCGAATCGGCAAACGAGAGCGGTAAGCTTCGACGTCATTTGACTTTGCGAAACCGACGCCATAATATCAGCGTCATCAGCCCTGCAGGCTACAATCAGTCATGAGCACACTTCCGATACCACGGAACCAACCTTTCACAACAATTATTGCCGGGCATATCGCAAAGTGTTCGGTTCGTTCCGACGAGGTTACCCATGCGATCGGTGTCTACTCTGGTCCGGGAAGAATCTGGAGACGAAGTACCTTTTGAGAAATAATCAGCACAAGCCAAGTTATGCTTATTCTTGGTAAAGTTTTCCCTTAGAACAGACTACGGCCTTGAACCTTAGCGATGCTTTCTAAGTATTTCCCTTTTGAAGCGGTAGGCGAGCTTACCTGCAACCATTGATAATGGTTTATCTCATCGTCAAAAAACGGACTTGGCGACCGCGGCTGGGGGACTCCTTCATAAATGCACCAACGAAACCCCTGTCAAGGCTAGCATGTTCCTTTAGGCAACACCATCCACTCAGAAAACCTGCAGATATTCTGCACGAACTCGTGGCCCCAAAGCAGCGCCCACTTTCACCGGTTACCCCCCGGCTGACGTGGTCATGCAAGGCTGTACAACTATCCGGGCAACCGCCCTCCGCCGATACCTGTGACCTAACGAGGCTGAACTTCTGCCGTCTTCTTATTAACCTTTCGCCCCGGCCCGCCCTCGCCCCGTTCCCGCTCCCGTCCTCCATTCGCGTTTCAGAATACTGTGAAGCTGCCAATCACTTCTAATTCCTTGTCATTTCCACTATGGCATTGCCCGGGCCATACGCTTACAACCGTCATGGCGTGTCGCGCCTTGACCTTTCAGACCCAATGGACTATTACCCCGATCAACTCATGATCCCGGTCTCCCGTGGCGCCAGGAACCTAGCTGCGCAATACGGCCTCCACCAAGGCCAAGCAGGATACACAACACAACAGTTGAACGGCTCAACCCATGCAGGTGCGTTCCAGTCCTTCTCTTTTCACTTGCACCACCATCACCACAAAAGCAAAAAAAGAGACAAGAAAAACTAAAATTAGCCATGAACCCGTGAACCACCCACCTGACGCTCACGCCTTCAGGCTACCCGCCCATCCACGTCCACGCCGGCGCCACCTTCAACGCCACCATCCACATGAACGTCTACCCCAACTCCTCCTCCTCCTCCTCCTCCTCCTCCTCCCCCCACTGCGGCCCCGACAACCACCCCATCATCTTCCCCCGCATCGACGACGACGACAACCACCACCGCCACCATCACACCGTCACCATCGACTCCAACACCCAATGCCGCCACTGCGACCACCGCTTCGACGCGCCCTACCTGCTGACCGCGCACAAGAGCCGCAACAGCCTGCACTGCGCCTGCTGCCGGCAATGCTTCGCCAGCTGGACCGACCACCTCGAGCGGAGCGGCTGCAGCGGCCGAAACTACTACCCCAACGACGAGGACTACTGGCTGACGCGCCAGCACAATCGCGGTAGCGGTAGGGTCATTGGGGAGTTGGACGAGTTGGATCTGATGCGGGGCGGAGGAGGCTGGCACGAGGATGAGGCCGTCAACTACGGGCCGGATGGCGGCAGTTGGGTCTTCGAGAGGCGGAGTAGGATGAGGCGGAGGAGAAGGAGGTCTAGGGGAAGGTATGGCGCTACGCTCCGACAGTTTCTGATTTGACGTCTTTCTTTCTCTCTCTTTCTCTTTCTTGTTCATTTTTCCCTAGACGTGAAGAAGTGACAAGTTGCTCAATCTCGAAAAAGGAAAAAAAGGAAGCTGGCGTTTCATGTCGTCTTTCCATGGCCCATACATACTCTCAGGGTATTCTTTGATATCCAGACGCAAAAGATCATATCACTTTCCAAGGTCTCGTCCCATCAGCCGTGAACACTTCGTGACTCCACCGCATGCTTCACCCTCACACTTAACCAAGCATACTCCTCTTCCTCCCCCTCATCCTCACATCCTCCAACCTCTTCAATACCACCTTCGCCCCCTTATAGCTGTCCCCATACGCCCTCAGCACCTCCCTGAACAGCGGCTCAGCCGCGGGATGCGTGCTGCCGAACGCGCGCTCCAGCACGTACAGATCGACCGCCTTGTCCTCATCCTGAATCGTCGCGCCCGCCAAGCCGAAATCGATGATCGTCACCGTGCCGTCCAGCGCGTTCTCCGGGTGCGCGTCGACCGCCGTCTCCGCCGAAGAAGCCGTGCGCAGCATCAGGTTGCTCGTCGTCAGGTCGCCGTGCACGACGCCGACGCTGTGCATGCGCCCGACCGCGCGCCCCACGCGCGTCATCAGGTCCCACAGCTCGGGCACCGCGTCCTCGTCGATGGCGCCTTTCTGCGTCTCTTCCCCGTTGTCCGTCGTTGCTGCTGCTGTTGTAGTAGTAGTAGTAGTAGTAGTAGTAGTAGTAGCAGCAGCAGCAGCAGCGCCTTCCAGTCCTTCCTCAGCGACGGGGGGCGGCAGATCGGCCGTCGACGCGACGGCGGCGTGGAGGTAGCGGTCCAAGCACGCGCGGATGGTGTGGCCGGGGATGTACTCCATGAGCAGCCATCCCGCTGTAAGACACGCCAATTAGCCATCAATTCGTCCAATCCCCAAAAGAAACACCCCATCCCAGCCGCCGCCCTTTATCTCCCTCCGCAAACGAAGAACGAACAAGACTCACCATCCCAATCGCAAGCCAACACGCCGGGCACCTGCACGCCCTCGCGCCGCAGACGCACCAGCGTGCGCGCCTCGGCCAAGATGCGCTGCTTCGTCAGCCGCCGATCGAGCGTCGGGTGCCTGTACGGCTTGGCCGGCCGGTGCTTAAGGATCGCGGGCGTCGCCGGCGACAGGAACGACGTGCGGTACACGAGCGCCTCGGCGCCTTGCGTTATGATCTGCGGGGCTTCGTAGGGCAAGGATGCAGCGGCGGGTGCGGCGGGGGGTGAGGAGGAGGAATCAGAGCTCTGTTGCGCGGGCGCAGCAGCAGCAGCAGGAGGCGCGAAGATGGTCGGGAGGGCGTGCGTGCCCACGGTCGCCATGGTGGACGGTGGGTGAGGGATATTTTCGGTGGCGATGTGACGGATTCGACGACGGTGGAAGGGGGGGTGTACGCGTGATGATGGCGTGGATTGAATTTTAAAGTGATATGAATTTGGTGAGGTCAGAGCGTCGTGACAAGAACATGAGGTCAAAGGGTTGCGCAAGGTCGGGGGTCAAAAATAGGGCGGGGTGATTTTCACGGGTGCAAGTGCCCCTCCGTCCGTCATCCCGGGTACGAAGAAGCCCTGACGTTACTCCCTAAGCACGAACCTCTTATATCCGTGCTCACTCTCTGTGCTTTCACCGTGCTTGATGACATTCATCTATTTTTCATTATACACGTCCCACTGATCACCAAGCACGGAAGCCAATATTCACGTCAAACATTGCATTCATCCTAGGAACCGCCCTTTACAGCCTCCTATACCTGAAGTGAACAGCAAAAGGAGTGAGACTCCGCAGCTTCCCAATGAGGGCCGCTGAAGACGACCATCTTCCCATCTTCCAGAGCTAGATGCCCGCCTTGGCTGACTTCATCCACTTTTTTCTTTTCTTTTGAAGCGCCTCCACCAGGCGTTTCAACCCCCTTCCGTATCATTGCAGAAAAAATAGAGAGAAACCATACAGACTCAACGAAGGAGATGAAAGAGCGAAGTGGTCCAAGACTCCGACCCGGCTCAGCCAAGTCGGAGTACTCAAATACTCGATATCCTTCTTACCCATGTACTTCGATCGAGTGAAAGAAAGTGCTGTTCCGTACCCCCATTTCCCAGTTTCGCAACCCAGAAAGCCAGACATTGTGCATTAAACGAAAAAAGAAAAAAAAAATCGAACACGTTAAAAAGTGCAATGAGAAGGTAAAATGCAAGAGCCCAGGGGTATGTGGGCTTTGGTGGGCAGGTGAAAACACAAAGCAGTCGTGCCACCGAAGAAAGTAATCGAATCGACAACGCAAAAGAGTAATCAAGAGTAATCATGAAAGGCCGTAAAAAGCTTGCGGCTCGGCGGCCACGACGTGTATACACAGCGTCGAGATCGTAATCACAGCTCCGGAGCAGTGATATCATTCTCGATGGCTTCTGCCACTCTTGCTCGGCTCGTTCTCCTTAGAACATGGAGCTCTTGCGCTTTTCGGCGTTGGTGAGCACCAGCATCGGTGTCTTCTTCCTGCCCTTGGACTCCTCAACGACGACCTCGACGAGGTCCTCATCGCTGCTCAGCGTGTTGGCAGTCCAGCCATCGCTTCCAGTCCTCTCCCGCAGGCGCTCCTTCGAGGCCTTCCTCTCCGAGCCAATGGCTCCACTAGCCGCAGCACGAAGGCTGCCGATGCTAGGCTTGCCAGAGAGGCTACCACTGCGGACGCTGTCCGAGTCGTTGTCGGAAGAAACAGGGAAGCTGATGTCGGCCTCGCTAACCGGAGTACCGCAACCACCGCTGCCGCTACGCACACCACGGCGCTCGATACCAGCGCGCACGAGGTTGCGTACGGCCGAACGGCGCTGACGGGACGCAAAGTTCTTGCTACCCTCGTGCTTGGCGGTAGGAGCGGCCTGGAGCTCCTCAAGCGGTGGCGGACCGCGGGGCTGGCGAGCGGGGTGCTCTCCAGCACGAGCTTGACCAGGACCGAAGGTGCCGGTCATGGGCGTTTGAGGGAAGCCGACGGAGCGGACGAAAGCAGACTTGGGACCCTCAGTCGATTCGAGGTTGTTCAGCGTCAGAGAAGCAACGTTCTTCTTGTGACCGCGACGGAAAGCATTGGCCGAAGGCGGCGGCAGAGGAGCCACGTCGATCGGAGGAGACGAAGACTTCTTAGGGGGAGAAGTGCTCCGAGAATTGCGCGAGTTACGCTCGAACGGGTTCTGCCTCTCGTTCGGGGGAGACTGGCGGAAAGGCGTTCCGGACTTGGGCGGCGAGTTGGTGAAGCTCGGGGTAGGCGGCGGCGGCGAGTCAGAGAGCTGCGGCGGCTGCACGCTCTGGTCCATGACGTACTGGTATTGGCCGGTGGCCGGGTTGTAAACGACCTGGAGGCCAGCCGGCATCTCCTGTTGCTGATGCTGCTGCTGGTGGAACTGCTGACCGTAGAAACCAGACTGAGGGGTCATGGGAGTCATGGGGTACTGCTGGCGCATGTTACCGCCGTTGAGGTTCATGCCAGCAAACTGCTGAGCGGTAAGGCTGAGCAGTTGCTGCTGAAGCTGCTGCTGACGCTGTTGAAGGTACAGCTCGGTAGCCATGAGCTGAGCAGCCAGGTTGGGGTCCATGTCGGCAGGATCCTCATGGTCGAACTGGACAGACGGAGGAGCAAGCACCTGCTCGGGAAGAGAGTAGATCTGGCGACCGGCGTTCAGACCATACTGGTTCTGATGGCCCATGGGGAAGCCAGAACCAATGGCAGTCTGGGGAGCACCGTAGCCGGAACCAGCGTTGTAGCCGGCTTGCTTGGAGTTACCCATGCCGCCGAACTGGTTCTGGTTGTAGGGAGCAGACTGGGGAACAGCACCAGGGGTCTTGGGGGCGGTGCGCAGGCCAGCGAGGAGATGGCCGCGGCTGGTCCTGGGGGTCGGCTGATCGTTGACGGGGTGCTCGCTGATGGAACCGATCTTGGGAGGTGCGGCAGCGCTGAGACGCTTCAGGTGGTTACCCTTGCCGCGCGAAGCGAAGGAGGGAGTGGGAACACCGATGCCTCCATTGGAGGCGAAGTTGTTGTTGTAGGTCATTTGAGCAAGACCGCCAGCGTCCATGCTCATGGTGATGAACAGCCTAGGAGGAAGTAGTGGCTTTGTACGGGAGAAGGTGAGTCACAGGTGAAGGGCTTCCGAGCGAGATCGAACGGCTGCCAGAGACTCTGTCGACTATGCGCGATGGAGGACGCGCGAGGGAGCTATTGGCCGAAGATGGTACAAATAAAGGCTCCGAGAGTAGCCAAGGATGAAAAGCGGACCGAATTAAGGATTAGAGATCACGGTGGATCGCAAAGTAGGAAGTCCAAAAGCAGAGAAGACGAGGTCGCGGTCGGCGGGGTGTGACGCAACAGGGTCCTTGGGGACGGGTGTTGGCGCGACGCGGACGCAAGTGAATACAGGAAGCGGCGGAAAGAGACGCGGAATCTAAAGGCGCAAAGCCGGCAACGGGAGTTGGGAGCTTGTGGTGCTGGTTGCTCTGCAAAGCACAAGGGAGCGACGACGCGGGCGCGCTGGATCGAGATTAGGCGGCGGTCGGGCCAGCTAAGTATGTAAGGCAACGACAACCGCAGCGGCGCTATCACGCGGGCTGGCGAACGGGAAGGAACAACGAGAAGAGGGAGGTGACGAGAAGGCCAGAAGGCGGCGAACGGAGGGGAGAAGACGGGCGGAGGAAAAGCAGAGAGCGAGCGAGCGTGGGTTCTTGTTGGTTGGTGAAAGAAAGCTTCGAGCGCCGGCGCTATTCCCAAAGGGGACGGCGATTCCAGCCAGCAATTCAGGGGCGGCAGCGTCTGGCCTGTGCCTCTCCCTGCACACGCCCATGCGCCTGGCCCGTACCTCTCTCTCCCAGCCCGCGACGCGCCAAGCTCCCCGGTGCCGCCGCGCTCTTCCGGCAACAGCAAAGCAGGTGCTGGATTCTGGGGCACTAGGCGGGCCACTGGATGCGGTCGGTGAGCGGTCGGCGGCCGGCGTCTAATGGCGCGAGCCACTGGAGCCGGGCGCGTATGCAGCCTGCGGTCTCGTGGGTGCGCTGTCAAGGTGCGCTGCCAGCCAATCGCGGGGTCCAGGCGCAGCCTGATCGCTGGCACGCCGGGGTCGCCACCGCAAAGAGCGTGCGCTTTGTGCGGCACGAAAGCGCCTTGTGCAGCAATCCATCTATTTCCGTCTCGTGGCCGCAACGGCGAGTTTCACGCCTTGACCGCTCGTTTCCCACTGCTGAAACGCCTTATCTGCGTCAGCCCTGGCAGTATTGCCCGGCGTCGCGCTAGCAGAACCCTCGCCGACTGGCTCCGGGCCCTGCTCATCAAACCGCAGGAACGCGCAACAAGCGCTGCGTGCCCCGGAGCCATCTGAAGCACGCCGGCCGCGCGGGTTGCCCTCGCATGTGTCATGATCTGCCGGGCGTTGTGGTAATTGCGCCTCGTGTGCCGCGCAGTCGTGATGAAGATTTCCGCCGCAATTTCCATCCCGTCCAGCGCTCCCCCGGACGGAACGCGCACGTGCAGACGTGATGACAGCGTCGCCGCGTGCGCGTCGTGCCGGCGCTGATTTATCAGCAATGGCGCCGCATCATGATGGTGCCCCGCGATGCCGTCGGCGCGGAGCCTCAGGCTTGCGGTTCGGCGCGCCGACCCTGCCCGCACGCAATTCTTAGAAATCTCCACAACATCCCATGTCATCAGCGTGAGGTCTGCCACCGTTTCCCGTCCGCGCGAGAGCAGAGGCCGCGTGATCGCACCGCACTGGCTCCCGCGCCTCGTCGATTGCGCACTCCACAAGGTCCAATTTCCGGAAACCGAACGTTGACGTCGGCTGCGCGGGGTCTTGCGAAATGGGTCTTTTGTGAGACCAGCCGCCCACTCAGCCTTTCCGTCTGCAAGCCATACTGATCCGCATGCCGCCAGAGCTCTCGGTACCCCCCTTGACTGGCCGGACGCAAAGAAGGTCGCCGGCAAGGTGCGCGAATGGGGCATCGAGGTAAACCCCACTCTCCAGCCAGCCCATCACACGTACTAACGCATACCGACGCAGCAACTGCTAGCCACATGGCGCCGCGCCGAGGGCAAGGAGCGCGATGCCATGCTCTGGGGTGACGAGGTTTGCCGCCTGCTCGGGCCCGCAAGGCACAAATACTGAGTGGGGAACAGGTCGAATACCTGGTAGTCGCCTACGATGACGAGAACCGCAAGGCGAAGCTGTCCCTGCGCCAGGCAGACATCCTGGCTGCCCTGGCTTCCGACGAGAAGCTGCTGGAAGAGGGCGGCGGCGTGCCGGATATGCAGGAGGTCGAGACCAAGTCAGTGAGGGAGTTGTAACGCGGGGTTGACAGGCACTGACATCCGCGCCACAGGAAGGGAGACACGGCCCCGGTATTCCACCCCGAGTTCGGTCGATTTATGCTTGAAACGACGCCCGGTAAACCATGGGGCATCGGCTTTAAGGATCTTCTCGATGTTGAACCAAACATGAAACGCAGGTTAGTGTCAGCCTGAAGCTGCTGCGAGACACTTTGCTGAGCACTTTCCAGACGCGTCATAGCAAAGGAGCACATGGACCCTGCCGAGGCTCCCATCACCATGACTACCTTCCCGCGTCTCGGCCTGGGAGAGTACATTACTCCCTACTACCCTCCCTCCGGTCCTAAGCTTCGCTCCCAATATGTCCCGGATGAGATCGCGAATCCACACATTAGATTCCCTACCCTTGCCGCAAACATAAGGGCTAGGAGAGGGCGGAAAGTCGAGATCAACGTGCCAGTATTTAGAGACGAGCGCACACCTTGGCCGTTCCACGATCCTACCGTTAACTACGACCTGCACAACTGGCCTGAAGATGATGACGTCCGCAACGGCGCCGCTAAGGAAAACCACATCTACATGGATGCGATGGCTTTTGGTATGGGAAGTTGCTGTTTGCAGATTACTTTCCAGGCCAAGAATATCGAAGAAGGCCGGAAGATGTACGATCAGCTGAGCCCTCTTGGGCCAATCTTGCTTGCTTTGACTGCTGCTACGCCAATCTACAAGGGCTTCCTGGCCGACACCGACGTGCGATGGAACCAGATCGGCAAATCTGTGGACTGCCGCACAGCAGAGGAGCTCGGAGAGAAGCCGTTGAAGAACGACCGCTGGCGGATCCCAAAATCGAGATATGCGTCTAACTCAACTTACATTGCCCAGGACTCGCGGCTTCGTAAGGAGTACTTGGATCCAGAGCTCATCATTGATCCGGCACTCAAGCAACGCCTGGTTGAAGGTGGCATGGATGATTTGCTTGCAACTCATTTCGCGCATCTTTTTATCCGCGACCCGATCGTCGTTTTCAACGAAGATCTGCAGGAGCTTGACCTGAATAAGGTGGACCACTTTGAGAACCTGCAATCGACCAACTGGCAACACATGCGTTTCAAACCCCCGCCGCCCGGCAGCGACATCGGCTGGCGTGTCGAATTCCGGCCAATGGAGATTCAGCTGACAGACTTTGAGAACGCCGCATTCAGCATCTTCATTGTGTTGATCACCCGTGCCATTTTGTCATACGACCTGAACTTCTACATCCCGATTGCGAAGGTTACCGAGAATATGGAGACGGCTCATGCGCGCGACGCTGTTAATTCCCGCAAGTTTTACTTCCGCAATGATCCCTTCTCTCCCCGTCCGACTACGGTCAACGGCAGCAAGCGTGGTAGTGGCACCGCCTCGCCTGCTGTGGATAGTGGCGCATCTACCCCTCCGCTTGGACCTGTCGATAGCGAGTACAGCCTCATGACTGTCGCCGAGATCATCAATGGTCAGCCCACGACCAACGGCTTCCCTGGTCTGATCCCGATTGTCGAGTCGTATCTCGACAGCATGAACGTTGACGTTGAGACGCGGTGCGAGCTCGCTCGTTACCTTGACTTGATTAGGCGTCGTGCCGATGGCACGCTCTGGACTGCAGCAAAGTGGATCCGTCACTTCGTGGATAAGCATCCGAAGTATGAGAAGGACAGTTCTGTCACCGAGGACATCCAGTACGACCTTGTTAAGGCGGTGGAAGAAATCACTGAGAAGGAGGGCAGGGGTGTTTTTGGAAAAGAGATGTTTGGATCTAGGAGATAGAGTGATAGAGGCGCAGTCGATTCGGAGGACGATGCTCAAGAATTAAGACACGACAAAGGTCCAGTGATGGCTTCGCGCCGACCAAGCAAGCGGCACGGCTCTTGAAAATTACATATCCTAGACGTTATCTCAATCTCATTCCAAGACCAGCGACCACAAGAAGGCATTACGGCATCACAGGATCAAAGACCAGCTGATGTAGGACGATTGTCAAAGGGTATCCATTCTAACAAGTTGCTGTAGTCATACGAAACAAGAACTCCATCTCGAATATTTAGCCCGCAGCTCAGTATCTCAAAGGTTTGGTCTCTGGTTGCCCTTTTCTTCTTTAATCTCGTTCGAGCCGCTAAGAGCATAGGGATCGTCCCGACTGTTGAGGTATCGCTCCATGGGAAGCTTGCCATAGGTTTGATTGCCTTGCCATCCGCTCGGCATCTCGAAGCCGAGCTCGATAGCCGCTCTACGAATATTGTCATCGTTGTTGCTGGTGGGTTCAGTAATGTTGAAAGCAGTTGTGTGCGCAACGAGATTGGCCGTAGTAAGTTGAGTCCGGTTGGAGTTGTTCGACATGATGAAAAAGCTTTGATTGCGTTGTTAGTAAGAGCGTGTACAACAGGAGAATGACCAAACATAATTCATGGTAAGTGATACTCGTACCTGATATGTCCGTAATGAGGAAAAGTGAACGGTGTAGTACGTTTAATCAAAATCCAAAGAGCTCGAAATTGGTATGCTTCTCTGAGAAGAGCAGGCTGTGTACTTCGAAACAAGACGGACGGCGAAGGACGAGGAACGAATTTATGGTGAGCGAAAGGCATATTCATTCTCCCACTCCAGCACCTTTGGTCTGTTCTACGCTATGCGAGTCAAACAGAACAAAGTGCAAAATTCATAGGCCGCTTTCTCCGTTCAACCATAACGAGATCGGTGATAAGAAGTGCAAAAGGCCAGGCACCGCTGGGTCAATGGGTGTTGGCGCATTGTTATTGGCAGTGTTCCTGCAAACTCATGTGCAAAACGGTCGTTTCATACAAGGCTGACGCAAGGATGCTTACGGTAGCCGGGGATTCGGTTTGCACATTCTAGATACAAAAGGTACGGCCGCAGTGGAAGCCAAGCCTTGAACTTCGGGTCCACCCGTTGTCGTGTGCAAAAGAGCCCGGCCGTAGGCGAAATACCCCGGTCGTGTGCAAAAAGGCGGGCCGTTGCTTTTGCACATGACCGGGGTTTTTGCACACATCAGCCTTGCCTCCCATACATTCTTCTTTTCATTTTGCATTCTGCCGTCTCAAGGCAGCAATCATCTGGCATTGTGGGGGTCTTGTGAGTCTTCTGATTGGTGTAGCTGGCTCACCGCCGTTATATCCCTGTTCGCACGAGTGCGACAGCATGGCGCTGGTCCCGGTGCCCCCGCCTCGAGCAACCCGTCAAAAGCATGCCAGCTCCGATCGTTCAGTGATCCACTTACTGCAACCGTTTTCTTCTCACATCCCCCTTTCGTAGCCTACCAAAATGGTAAAAACGAAAGGTGCAAGGAACATTCAGTGGAATGACGTGCGGCTGGAAATCCAGAGTATGTATGTGTACAGAGGGATAAAGCTGGAGGATGTCCGCAGTCGCCTCAGAACTAGCCGAAACTTCGAAGCATCGTAAGTAGGCTATTTTCCTCATGAGTGAAAATTCCGTCATCATCGTCAGAGAGCATCCAGTGAATTTCTTGCACGGTCCTGGTTCTCCAATCTCATGCTTACCTACATTCGTCTTCAGTATAAGGTCCTACCGGGAAAAAATCAAGGAATGGGGATTCAAAAGAGAGACTACATCACGAAAAGGTGTCCGTCGAAATTCCCCTGTTCCCGCTTCGTCCGACACAGCCGAATCCGCTGGACCATCTCCGTCAGCGCCATGCTTGAGTGAAGAAAGCCCAGAGTCCATTAACAACCAGAGCTCTTCTACGTAAGCACATAGTTAGATATTTGATTGGACCGAGTTAGATCTGACAAACTTATAGTGAAACAATATCTCTGCTTAACACTACTCTCTCCCCAGGAATGAGCATTCTGGAACCCACTTCTCAGCCGCCGTCGAGAGTTCATCCTCGGACCGGTCTCTTCAAGCGCCCAGACGAGATCTTGTTGCAAGTAATAGATCACATTGATCGGGGCAGAGTTACAGAGCTCCGAAAGATCTTTGTGCATCATGCCAGTCTTGCCAACGAGGTTATACCCCCAATGGCCGCCTTCCGCGAACTGTCACGGTATCGCGGACTTTACGGGCAGTCACTCCTACATTGGGCAGCATCGACCTCGTCCGCGGAAGTTGTTGAAGCCTTACTCAACGCGGGTGCTGATATCAACAAGCCAGCCCAAATCTCACCTCACAATACTCCTTTGATGGCGGCAATAGACCGCAGCGCTACTAAGGTAGTCAATCTCCTACTGAAACAGGGAGCATCCACTGAATTTGTAAATTCGAATGGAGTCAAGGCTTTGAGCATGGCGGTTCACTCAGCGCAGGACCCCCGAATTGTGGAAATGGTGCTGCAGAGCGGGACTGCCTCTCAAAACGAGAAGCAAGAGGCACTCAAAATGGCCCTTTACAGAAGAATATGGGAGTACGGCCGTTCTAACCACGCCACCTTGACCCGCGTTGTGCGAATATTGGCAGCTGACGAGCTGGTTATCGACCCTGAAGCCTTTCTTGAACCTTGGAGAAGGCGTTCAGACTGGGCATCTCTCATCAACGAAGATGAGAAAGAGTCACTTCTGTATATGATTGGGCGTGGACTGAACCTCGATCAGTTGCTTGTGTCAACCCAAGTCCATCCAGATGCTACTCTAGCCCATGCTCTTTTATTTCACTGCTGGGAAGCGGACATGCCCGCATTCCTGGCTGGAAATCTGGGCGGTCTGCGGAACAAGGAACTCGTCGGTGGATTACTCCTTCGAACACTTGCAGCCGGTTGCCTCTGCGAGAATTATCAAGGAAACAGCAACGTTACTGCCATTTCAGCTCTTCTTGAAAACGGCGTCGACCCAAAAAGTGAGGACAGCCATGGCTTGAGTCCTCTTTCTTTCTGGATAAAATCCCTCGAGCATTGTTCGGTATCGACCAAAATTGAGAATGCACTTCCAACTTTGGCAGTGTTGCTTGACAAAGGCGGAGTCAACCCAAACCGAAACCGAACGGGCTCTTTCGAATCGGGGTCCATAGGGGCTTTACTAGGACAAAAATGGACCCGCACATTCAAAAATACCGCTGTTAAGGTTCTTGTGATGCTTCTGTCTCACTTTCCGAATGATATGGGGGATGCACCTCATTGGCAGCTACCTCGCCGCGATTTCCCTCCATATTTTCCGGTAACAGGAGACTTTGAGAGGTACGGGCTAGATCACGCGAACTTGAACAAATTCAGGCGGTTCATGCACCCGTGTCATCTATCTGCTGATTCAAGCGATCTGCTTTTGAAGGCTGCATACATCGTTTCCATGGAAAAATACCTTGTATCTCAGTTCTCCGCAGACAAAGGCTCAAGAACTTACGACAAAATCTCATTCGCCCTGAACAAGTTGACCGAGTTTGGCATGCCTTTTGTCAATTTTCCGACCGATTTCATTCTCGATACAATCAGCCTTGTTGGTCATCTCGAACAGGGGCCTGAATTCTATGGATCCCCCAAAGAATTCCCACTTTTGGACGATAGTATTTTCTTCTTCCAGGGATAACCCTTGACTACCTTATACTCTGGAAAGCCGGAGGATTGCTCTTCGAAGTATATCTTTCGCTTCGCTTCCGGTTCAAATACCCCAACTGATGCTGTATCAGCGGAGTCTTGCTTCCCTCGGAGGATATCAGCATATAACCCCATCATGTGCTTCAATTCAAATTACCATACCTGGGCTACCGCAGAGCTCTCACCTACCTGGCCAACAGAAACTCATCTGTGGGCAGCCAATGTGGCAAGCTTGCTGTCGCACACTGCCTTTACGCAAAAGGGTAGTTCTCCGTAGAAGACTCTCACGCAGGACAATTTATTTCTTTCGCGAAACTTGGACAGGAATTTTGAATTCCGACATCATTCCTCTCCTAGAATGGACAATGCCACTTTCAGCTTTTGAATGAAGAGTTTACACATTGGCATTGTCGGTCACCCCCAAAAATTGCCGAAGCAGATTGGACGGCTATCTCATAAGGTAACACGATACCGCTCCTGGAAAAGCCATAAGCTGACTTAGCGCCTTTGTATCATATTTGATAGTTGAATGGATTTTCCGTCGAACGCGAACGAAGGTAGTTTTAGTCGAATTGTCCGATACGGCTCCCCTCTATACCTCCGAGTCTGCACTCCACGTTTGCAGGCCGTGCGTAACACACTAGAGCTATACGTTGAGAGTGCGGAACTCTTAAATCAACAACATGGCCTCTTCGACTGCGACCAGCCGTCTATACACTGTGCACCAGTCGTTCCTCGCCTGCTCCAACCAGCATCTTCCAGTCCCCCACGTCCGCTGAGACTACGCAAAACGATCGCCCCGCGATATTTCGAAAAAGACAATCGAAGGTAACAGAAAGGAATAGCCGCCATGACCTCCGCCGCGGCGCTCAAAGACCTCGCACGCGAGATGATGACGACGCTCTGCAACAAGCGCGAGTACGACTCGCCCTTCATCCAGCAGCATGTCTCGCCCTCTTTCTGCGCCACACACCTCAACAAGCCATCCACGGCCAATCGCGATGAGTTCATCACTATGCTCTCCACTGCCATGACAAAGATGCCAAACTTCCATCTCGACATCAAAGACGTCATTGCTGAGGTGGATGAGGAGAGCGGGAAGGGAAAGGTCTGGGTGTTCAGCAGAATGAGTGGGTTTCCTGACGGCAAAGTGCAGGAGAGTGTCGATATGATGGAATGGCAGGGTGATGTTGCCATGAGGGGAAAGGATATACAGATGGTGGTCGAGCGGGAGTGAGCGGAGGAATTAGGATGATGGGAATGGGACGTCTCAACAACTTATCTTCAATTCACTGTCGAGTGGAAATTGGGTCATATCAACTATCGACGCTCTGATGGGCATGGAATAAGACTGGCTGGAAATGATATTCAACAGATGTATGCATGCCAGCAACAGCACACGTGACCTAGGCTCTAGGCAGCATGTACACTATACCCCTTTGAAGAGTCCACAAGACGCAAATACCAATGAATTCCTTAGATCTTACCCTATCAGGGGCCATCCTGCCGGGAACAGTAGAGGTATTCTCGACTTACCAAATTCGGCAGGAATATCTCCGATCACGGGATCACGGACCCGGACGACTGACGACGCTCGCGTGAAGCTCGAGCTCCACCGAAGTCCAACCCAGCCCTACCCCAAGCTTCCCCGCTGCCTCACCGATCTTTCCCACCAACGACGAAAACCGAACCATGGCGGACGAAGACAAGGAAAAGGCCGAGAAGCTCGCTGCGGCGAAGAAGCGCGTACGCCACCACGAAATCACACTGGAAAGCTGTCCATTCGAAGAGCTCCGGCAAAGCTAACGGCCACGTCGCGCGTGACGCTCTCTAGTTCGAGCAATTGAAGAAGCAACAAAAAGGCAAGAAGGGCGGCGCGAAGAAGAAAGAAAAGGCGGAAGCCGCCGACGCCGACGCTTCTGCAGCAGCTGCCGCCGACAGCAAGGGAGACGACGCGCCCGACGAGCCCAAGGCCGAAGCCGACGCCGCAGCAGATGACGAGCAGCAACCCGCCGACGCACCCACCGAATCACCACCCCCCGCCGAAGGAGAGACAAAGGGAGAGGAGCAGGAGAGCAAAGATGGCAGCGCAGAGTCCGGTGACGCTGAGAAGCCCGCGGCAACGACGCGGTCGGGCCATGGCCGCCAGCCGTCGATATCGGTGCAGTCGAAGCTGCGGTCAGACTCATTCCGGCGCGGATCATCGGCGGCGGCCATGGGCTCGCCCTCGGCGCTGAAGTCGCCGGGCCTGCCGCTCAGCCCGGGTGATGACGTGCAGGACATCTACCGCAAGCAGGTGCTGCGGATCGAGGAACTGGAGAAGGAGAATAAGCGGCTGCAGACCGAGTCGCAGGATGCCGAGACGCGGTGGAAGAAGACAGAGGAGGAGCTCGAGGAGCTGCGCGAGGCCAACAACGAGGTCGCGGAGCTGAAGGCCAAGGCGGATCAGGTCGAGGCCAAGTCCAAGGAGGTTGACACGCTGGTATGTTTCCCCGCACTTCGAGGATTTGTGGAAGTCCGCGGCTGACAGCAGTAATTACGCAGCGGACGGAAATCACCAGCCTTCAACGCCAGAACGCACAGCTCCAGACCCAAACCAAGCAGAACCGCCGCGTCTCGAGCGCCTCGCCCTCCAACGACGATCTAGCTTCGCAGCTCGCCTCGAAATCCAGCACCATCGAGTCCCTCGAGCTCGAAGTCTCCAACCTCCACGCGCAGCTCACGCAAGCCTCGACTGCCGCCGCGAGCCAAGAAGACAAGATCACCTCGCTGCAAGACCAACTCTCCAAAGCCGAGCAGGCGGCCTCCGCCTCCGCACAGGAGCTCTCCGACCTCAAGGCCAACCTCGAAAAGGCGGCAGAGAGCGCGGCCAAGGAGGGCGACTCGCGCTCCTCCGCCGAGACACGCATCGCGCAGCTCGAGGCCGAGCTGGCCGCCGCACAGCGCGCCGCCGCCGACGCGGGCAAGCGGGCGGAGACGCTCGAGAAGAAGGCCGAAACGCTGGCAACGCTGCACCGCGAGTCAGACGCCCGCAGCCAGGCCAAGCTCCGCGAGGCCGAGAAGGTCGAGCGCGAAGCCAAGGAGCTGCGCGCCGAGGTCGCCCGCCTCAAGCAAGAAGCCTCGCACGGCGCCGAGGACGGCCTCGACGAGCTGGAGGACGAGGAGCGCTCCAAGCTGCGCGCCCGCATCCGCGCGCTCGAGGAGGAAAACACGGACCTGCGCCGCGGCATCTGGCGCGACCACCGCGCCGCCATGCAGCCCGGCATGGACGACGGCCACCCCAGCAGCGGCTTCGACGACGTCGACCTGTCCAGCGCCACCAGCCTCTCGCGCGGGCCCAGCCAGTCGCACCGCGCCGCCGGCCACCACGGCGGCGGTTCTTCGTTCCAGGACGTCATCAACAGCGGCATCAGCGCCTTCACCGGCTCCACCCCGCGCCGCAGCTCCTCCCATACGGCTCGCGCCGGCGGCGCCCCGCGCAAGCAGAGCATCGGCCTGCTCAGCGACGACGGCGACGACTTCGCCTTCGACGAGGACGCGTTCCGCCTCGCGCAGGAGGAGGAGGCGCGGAAGCGCATCGAGCGCGTCAAGGAGGTCAAGAGGGGGCTGGAGAACTTCCGCGGGTGGAGGGTCGATATCGTGGACATGAGGGTCGGCATGGGCGGCGTTGTGGATGTGTAAAACGGGAATTCTTTTTCTGGAACAAAAAAGAAAAATGACCGTGTACGACTATTGGAGAGGGGCTGTTCTTTTCTTTTTCTTTTTTTGCTTTCTTTTCCATATCTAGGACTATAGGTATGCGATACCCTTGTCTACAAAGATCAATCGCGAAGTACGAATATGAAGCGCATATTACTGCAGAAACTTTTTGTGATTGAACTATGTGAGAAACCCGCTATTTTTGGACTCGCTGTCCCATTACTGAATCACCGTCCCCCATGGGTATCATCGTGTTGGCTGAATTGGAATGAGACCCATGCCATCGGAACAGTTCAAGATCGAATAAACAGCCTAACAGAGAAATCATCGTAAGATCCCACCTAGGCCCTGGCTAAGTGGGTGTAGCAGAACACACTCCAACCTCAGCGGCGGCCATACGGATTCTGCCAGCGATCCGGGACACGGCGACGGTCGCGACTGCGGCTGCGGCTACGGCTAAGACGGTATTTACGGTCCTTGTCCTCTGGAGAGCGGCTGCGAGCGTGAGATCTACCACGGACAGCGGGTGAAGAGCGATTGGGCTCCCTTTTGACTTGCATCTGGGGTGAGCGTGCCGTCTGCATCAACCTAGGTCCAGCTGGGGCTTGTCGAATAAGGTTGGCGTCAGAAAGGGCGACAGCACCATTACCAGACGGACTGCCGTTGCTGAGATGCAGATCCAAGGGACAAAGCAGTTCCTTGAGCATATCCCCGCGCTCTCCCCGTAGATTCTCAACTACAACGTTATTTGGCGGATTGAAAGTCTGGCCATCGAACCTAATTATGAGCAGTTCGCCCGTAGCGAACTTGAACTTCGTATTGCGCAAGAGCCTGCCGTGTTCATCTAGCCCTGCAGGGAGCAGAGTACCGTATCCATGCGTTATGGCCTTGCAAAGAGCACCGCGGTTGATGAGATTCTCTAGAGTGCAGGAGTCGAGAAGTGGGTGTGGAGCCGCATCTTGGATGTTCTCTTGGATGTTCTCTTGAATGCTCTCTTGAATGCTCTCTATGCGTAGTCAGTGCCTCCACACATCTGATCATGCGGGATTATGGACCAAACCTGAAGGTGTCCGCTCGTTGCGGAGGAACTCTACAAGATCATGCTGGGCTTCTTCGAGAAGTATTGCAGGAAGGTTGTTCACGATAGCCTTCGCGAACGTTTCCCTATATTTGGGCCGCAATACTATCGTCTTCTTGTTCCTTTCGACCGCCTCTCTGGTGAACTGCTTCATGGCCTCGTCTGCTGGGAAGTCATTGGTTTCTGGGCAGAGGAAATCCACTAGGGCAAGAGCCTCGCGGGCCAGTATTGGGAATTTGTTACGCATCTTCTGGAGGGAGTGCTCCTTCAACGCATCGTAATGCGTGAAGCACGCCCAGTTGTAGAGTGTAAGCTCCTCCAAGAAAAGCTTGTGTGTCGGGTCTGTTGTGTCGGCACTGTCGATATCCGCGGCGTCTGCCATCCATGGCGACCAATCAACAACATTTTTGAACGCGTCGACGACCTGCAGAGGTGTTGCTTGGTCCCATGGGGAGTATTCGCCCTTCTCAAGGTACTGCTGGACCTTGATGAGGTTCTTGTACCATCTGGAGGATGTAAAGCAGATTAAGACACCCTTCTCTCCGATATCCGACTGTTCCTTGCTGGTGGATTTCATTATCGCGTGCAGGACGGGCTTGGGAAGCTTCGAGGTCATCGATGCCGGCATGACGTTCTGATCAGGACATTGTGGTGGGCCGAACATGATTGTCACGGAACGGTTGTCTAGAGACTGGCCGGGTTTACTGATGCTGTCCGCCTTTAAGGATTCACTGGCGGGGACGGTGCCATCAAGCGCGTTGTTGGCGGCATTTACAGCGCGAGGTGCTGTGCCAAAGATGGATCGACCCGCAATAGGTGCCATAGTAATCCCTGGGGAGGGGCGTGTGGTCTGTTGCGTACTATTGTTGTTGAAGTAGCTGCCAAGCGAGCCGTTGGGTGGAGCGTTGCCCGCGAGAGTGGAATTGCGGCGCGGGTCCGGCCGCATCGAGGGAGCCATAGTGGCGACGCGGAGGGTGAAGCAGGTTGGAGGAGGGAAGAACAGAGATGGTGACGAAGGGTTTAAATACATGGCGTGGACATGTGCCTTCCGTTTCGGCAACGCCCATGGGCATAGACGCGCCTTCCCGCAGCGACGACGCGACAGCGCTGCGGGCGCCCGCACTCACACACGTCGCGCGCCAGCACGTGAGACCCATGTCTAGACGTGAATCATTTGTCCACTCACTTCCCGCCCATCAAACTACGTCTGGATCGTCACTTTGGTTACCTACTCGGGACCCTGCATATGGTGGTACAATAGCTGGCAAATCAAGGTCATGACGATGTCCAAAGCAATAATATCCCGGAGCCCCGCAAGGCCCAAGGTCTTAACAAGGAACATGTACCATGCAGCTTGGCTGCACTGCAACAAACAGCGGTGAGGATGGTGGATGGCAGTCTTGGTCCGCTTCTGCCTGGTATTGGTCGATCGGCATCAAACGGCCTCTCAGGATTGCGGCGCTTAAGGGACCGCGACTAACTTTATGAATTGCTTTTTCTGTTTATCATAGCCCTGTCAATCGCCAAGCGGGGCGCCCGTTTCGATGTGACCAGTCATACCGGCAAGCGGCACAGCAGGTCCTTGTGACAGGCCTGTGCCCTTGTACCAGAGGGGCTGATAGCAAGTCGTCAGTATCAAGCAAATCCATGAGAGGGGGTGGGACAGCCCAAATGATTAGGAAGAGCGTCTCGCGACGTAGCGGGAACAAGAAACCATTGTCTTAACCATCTTGAAGTCTTATCCGTCCGTTGCTCTAGACGCTTCTATGCCTCATTTCTTGACAAATCGCGGCCCGGTCTACAGCCTGGCTTTCTCACCAGGCACCTCCCCTTCCAGCAGTTTTAGACCCATGATCCCTTCCAGTTCCCTCACTGCCTTCCAACTCTTCCCCAAATCAACCTTCAGCGTCCTCATCCCCACCTCTCTCGCCGCCTTTAGATTCTGCCCAATGTCATCGAGAAAGAGCACATCGCCCACCTGAACGCCGCCCGGCACGCCCCTATTCCTCGCCTCTTCATCCAGCAACTTGACCGCCATCTCGTAAATCCTCGGATCCGGCTTCCTCAACCCAACGTGCGCCGAGCTGATGAAAACGTCAAACGCAGCGCTCACATCGCCCACCTCGACCTTCCCATCCGGCCCCACCAGCCTCAAACCGCTCTCAAATACCGCACCCTTCTCATCCACCACGCCCTCCGGAAAAACCACCGTATTGCTCAACGCCCCGAGCACGAACCCTCCTCCTCCCTCCTCCCTCGCGACCCGCCCCAGCTTTCCCAACGCCGGCCACATCCATCTATCCGGCGCCCGACTGACGCGCATCATCTCCCAGAATAGAGCCTTCGCGTCCACCCTCGGCGGCGGTGGTGGTGCCTGTCCCTCCTTTCCCTTCTTCTCCCAGAACGCTTTCCACGCACCCGGCGCCGCCAGGTCCTCCGCGAACTCCGCGAAGAAGGCGTCGTCCAGCACCACCTCGCCGCGCTCGACGCGCTGCCACGCGCCCGCCGGCGCCGCTGCCGAAATGGCCGTGTTGATCCAGCCGACGGGGATGCCGTTCGCGCGCTCGTAATCGAGGATGGCCTGGAAGGGGGAGACGACCTGCATTGTGGCCAGCGTCAGGTTTGATTGCTAAAGTCTTTTTGTTCTCGGGAATGGAGGTTCGAAACATCCATGCAATTCCCCCCCATGCGATCGTGATGCGAGGGAAGTAGAGATACTTACGCAGACGCCGCCAATGTCGAAGAGGAGAGCCTTGGGCCGTTTCGGCGGCCCCGATGGGCTTGTCGCGGTCATGTTGGCGAGTGGCGGAGAGGCGCGAGATTGCTGAGGAGAACCACAGAAAGTTGCGATGCGGTGCAAAGAGGCATCGTAAACAAGCAATTGTGGGGTACGTAGAGATATGAGCGAGTGAGGGGGAGCTTGGGGCAAGATCTGGGGGAAAGCTTCCCGAATGCCGAGGCACAAAAAAAGTGGCCGTCCCCGTCCAGCTTTGCATGTATGCATAGGGCTGTAGGCACCCTCCCGTCTCGTGGTAGTAGCAGTAGAGATTCCAAGTCCCTGTCTCCTCGCACGTGGGGCTATATTCGGCACAGTCTTGCATTTGTGGATAGTGTTTGAGGTGTGATTGAGTCCAGAGAGGAGTAACATTTATTCTTCCGTACCCGGTGTGGCCTAGCGGCATCGTAGCTGAAGAAAATGGCTATGTATAATAGCTAAAAACTAATTACGCCGACATCTACGGTAGCTTGTGAACTCCATAAACACGTAAAAACATCAACAAACGCGACGTACTCCGACGAGGCGCCTTAGCGATTAAAGCAGTTCCAGGGTCCAAGAACATATCATGTACAAAGCGATAGACGCAGCAGCGGTGCTGGGTATCGTTCAAAAAATCAGTCCACGTCGGGAGTCGAGTGGATCGTGCTCGAAATCGCCAGCCGAGCAAAGAGGTAAACCGGGTAGAGCGTAGTCGTACACTGAAGTCGACCGCTTTTCTTTTGTTCAAGTTCTCCGCCGTGAGAATCCCAAACGCCGAAGCCAAATACGTTACCCACCCTCAAACCGGAAGTGGTTTGGATAAAATCGTTACTGTCTCTTCCAATGCTCCAGAGAGCCATCCTAACGCCATGAAAGAATCGAACTCAAATCAACAAGAGACCGTTCTGGTCTCACCCTCTGCATCACTCTGGCTGGCATATCCAGCATCTCCCTCGTCGCTGCTGCCGCTCTCTTGCATGCCGACAAGCATCTTGCTGACACTGAGGCATGCCTCGACAATTCTGCTCTTAGTCTTCGTGCTCAAGCCGCTGCGTCGTCCAGCCTCACGGCCGATCCAGACACGCATCGAGCATGCAATACGCTCCAGGCCCTGTCGCGACTCGGCGAGCAGCTTCTCCTCAGAAGAGAAGATTTTCAGGACCTTGTAAGCGGCAATGAAGCTAAGGAGGGTGAGGGAACCCTCGGGCAGGTAGGTATTGTTCACAACAAATGTTGCACGCACCCGAGCCTCGTCACTGCCCGTCGCAACGAAAGTCTCTGCGAGGGAGAGGCACTTGACCAGCGTGAGAGACTTGCGAACGTCAGCGGCGATGTGGGCCTCGCCAACAACGTTCATAAGCAAGGCCCTGGGAGAGTTGACCTTGTTCTTGAGCGCGGGAATGTGTGGCTGCGAAGGGAGAGAATCAAACGCAGCGATGATGTTCCTGCTGCGATCCTTCTCGAGGAGAATCGACTTGGCAACGAGTGCGCGAACCTGGGAGACGGAGTTGGGAGGTGCAGTGCGAGCAGCGAGGTTCAGATCGGCCGTGACTTCGTCCGTGACAGACGAGGCATTGGCCTCGAGGTAGCCGGCGAGTGCCCGGTTCAGCGCGTAGCTCGAATACCAGGCGGCGAGGGCATCCAATGGCGAAGAGATTGCGAAATCTTCGACAACGCTGTCCATGGCCTCGTCGGACTCGGTGTTCTGCGCACTCGGCTTGTTCCAGGCGAGGTTGTACGCACGTTGCACAATCCTGTCCACCATGACATCACTGCATTCGAGATCCAGTAATGCAGCCAGATGATCCGGAAGCTTCTCGGACTCTTGGCCGGATTGAAGCAAAGCCTTCTGCTGGTTGCGTGCCTTGTTCCAGAACTTTCGAGCCAGCTTGGCGCTGATCTCTTCAAACATGTACCACGAACCGTATCCCGCATTGGCGATCTCCCAAAGCAGAATGCGGATGTGCATTGCCTTGAGCATAAGACGTGCCGGGGTGTTGGGGAGGGTACCGGAGGCCATGATCGTCAAGATCAACCTACCCTTGCTGATTTCGGCATCGCCGCCGGTGAGTTGTGCATCCAAAGCGATCTCCCATGCCTTGACGCGAGCGACTTCGTGTTCCTTGTTCGTTCCGGTGACGTAGGCGTATCCATCCCAACCGACGACATTCCTCAAGCTGAGCTTGAGGGCTTTGAGACACACGGCCGCGGCTTCGAGGAAGAAGTTGTGCCTCGGAACCCAGACCGTCTGAATAGCAGTCAACCAAGCCTTGCGGCGAACCTCGACGGGAGATGCAGGCGACGGAGCAGGCTGCAGCTTGATCGACGGAAATGCCTTCTTCCTGGGCTTGGACTTGGGATCAATGACCGGAATGACCAAGTAGACGACGGCAGCGAGAACAAGGAAAAGCTTGAGCAGCGGAAGGGAGCGGTAAAGAGCGGACAGGCTGTGGGTAGCAAACTGCGGTACCAAGGCGGTACCGTAGCGTCCGAAGAGCGTGAGGGGTAAGGCGAACAGACCCCGACCCTCGGGATTTTCCCCACTTTCCTCACGCTCTCTCCAGCCCTCAACGATCATGAGACCGGCGAGAGAACCGACCATCAGCTTGTTCATCATGCTGTTTCCTCTACGGCCGTTGACCATGTGCTGCTGGGCGTTCATACCGGGCCTTCCGGGGGCAGTTGTGTACATAGGATAGCCGTTCTGCTGGCTTGCGTAGTGCTGCTGCGATGCCATTGCCTGAAGGTTCGTCATGCTCTCCGGGACGGGAATCATTCCTTGAGCCTGGGTGACAGGCTGTCCACGAGCGGCGGCAGCAGCGAAAGGATCTTCTTGGAATCGCATGCCATCAGGAGTTCCAACAGCCTGCGCCATCGGATTTGGAGTCATCATTGCAAATTTGTCGTACGACTCCAACCGTGCCTTGAGACTGTCGACCTCTTCGTTAAGACGCTTGTTCCGCTTCTCCAAGTGACGAATGTACTCGGTCGCCTTGGAGAGAACGGTGGCTTTGTTGAGTTTGTGGGCGGGCGTAAGGCCCTCGAGGTCCTCAGGATCATCCTCCTCGTCGCCGTTACCGTTATTTGCACGCGACATGACTCGAAGGCTGGGCACGCTGTCACGCAGTGCAGCAATCTTGTCGTTAAGATTGGTCCGATATCGCTTTTCGATCATGTTGTGTGCAGTCTTTTTGACGGGGGGTTGCTTGTTTGACTTCTGATCAGTGCTGCTGTCGTCCTCGGTCGAGGACTTGCGCTTCTTTGTGACGGCAGACATGACAGGCTCGGGCGACGATTGCTGCGACGAGGAGCTAGTCTTGGGGTCCGGGCCGGAATTGACAGAGCTTGGGCTGTGATGGAGCGAAGGTGTTGAGTGGGGAGGATGAGGGACGGACTGTGATTGCATTTGTTGCTGATCGATAGAGAGTGGAGAGAAGAGACCGTTATCGGCCTGGTCGAGGGCGGCGTTATTGTTCCAGACGGGATTGTCGGACGAGAAGTATGAGCCGCCCTGCTGAGGCTCGGTCACAGAGGGAGAGGTGTTATGGTTAAAGTGAAAGGCGGGAGGGTTCTCGATACCCTCGCCGAAGGTGAAGGGGATGTTGGTCATTTGCGGTCGGGATAGCGAGTGGGAGTCGTGGGGCGACTTGGCTTCGGGCTTGAGGTAGTGGACGGGACCTGGGCCGTCTATATCCTGCGCAGGCTGGTTCTGTGTCTGCGCATTGGGGTCCCAGCGCATCCACTCCTCCCAGTTGCCCTGCGGGAACGAATCGCTAGATTGCACCAGCGACAGGTCTTCGGCACCAGACCCCAGCCACGGCGCCCGCGCACCAGGGCCGAAGGGGAATTCAGTCGACATCATCGGATCCTCCATATTCACCCCAGCAGACTCTATCGGGGTTGTAGGACGCGATTGCTCTTCCGACGGGCTCGTCGTGGGTCTGAAGTCGTCGAACACACAGTAAGGTCCAACCTGCGACGCCGATCCGGCGGTTAGCCCCGCCTGAGAGACAGCAAGATGGTGCATGGCTACAGCATAGAGGACGTACGGCGACCTTCTCGAGCGCCAGCGCGTCATCTAGAGCGCCGTTTAGCTCGTTCGAAGCCATGCTGCTGGAGGGTAGAGCGTGGCTGGCTCGCGCCGAGGGGGGAGGGGTTGCTAGGCGCAGGGCAGGTGCGAGCCACGAGAGATGAGGCTGAAAGAGAGAGCTGCCAAACAGAGGTCTTACCAAAGACGAAAGAGATCAGGGTCACGACATGACATGAGCTGACGGCTGGCGGCAGGAGGGTGCGGAGAGGGTCGGGGCCTGGCACGCAACAGAGTCAGCGGTCGGTCAGACGTCCCCATCGCGAGGCCAGGGTTCACGATACAACCGGGGCTGCACTCACGGGAGACTGTGTCGCGGATGGACGGCCGGTGCGCAAAGGGCCGGCGTGGGCCAGGGTTCGCTCGAGAATGCGCGCTGGGACTGGTGGGAAGCGCAGGGGAGAGCGTGTCGCCTGCGCCGTTGGGAGCGATGATTGAGAGGAGAAGATGAAAGTCGTATGATGGAGGTCGGATAATCAGACCACCTGCTTGGTGGCGCCTGCGCCGGCCAAGGGTTGCGCGCATTAGGCGCTCGCCTGCGTTGCCATTCGCAGCACCCGGCGAGCACCGCAGCCACGCCACACCAGCGCAGCCCGCTCCACGGGGTCGCGGTGCGAGCCACGGCGCCGCCCATCTGACGGCGCAACGCTGCGAGATGGCGATGCTAGCTGCCTGCACTCGCGGCCAAACAGCGTGCGCTGCTGCGGGCGCTGCTCCAGGCACCGCCGAGGCCGGCCGCGCGCGCTGGGTGCCTAGCGTACGCTAGCCCCGAGCCAGCCGCGACGCTCCGCTGTCTCACGGTTCTCTGCGCATTCTCGAACGCTGCCGAACCAGCCGGCTCCGCATCGCACAGCAGCCCTGCGCCAGAGTCTGGTGACGCCTGTCGCATGTAGATGAGAGTCGCCACTGCATGCACCACCATCGCCTTGCACGCCGTGGCACCGCACCGGACGCAGCATACAAAAGCAGGCCGCGTCCGCTGGCGCGAGCCTCAGCGCCGCTCCCTCATGCCACTGTCGAACTCCATCCACGGCCGTGTCAGACCTCACCAACTGCGCCCCTTAAGCCAAACCCAGCCGGGAAACGCTGTCGACTGACCCATCGTGACAGCGACTCCGCCCGGACGGACGACGACTGATGATCAATCCATCTTGCCGAGCCCCAACCGCACGATCTGCATTCAAGATGCGGTTGGTCTTGCCGTGCCGGACTCTTTTCCCCAATCACCCGTTGTGATACGATGCTCTCCTGCTTGGCTTAGAAGCGATCGTCCCAAGACCTTACGATGCCAGCCCGCGGCGTCTCCGGCCGGCCGCACGGGCAGTGAAAGCCCCAGGACGACCGCCTGCCAGAAACACGCGCCGCATTCTCAACCACGCCGGCCGCGAGTCCGCCGTCCTCGTCGCCGCTGGAAGCGCCCGGATTCTCGCATCTGGGGTCCACTGTTGTCATGCACACGGCGCTCATCCGGGCGAAGGGAGCCGACCACCCATGCTCCTATAATCTCACACGATTATAGAAATGTGGCCGGTGTCCTGTCGAGCAGCGTCTTGACAGAGACTCCCGCACGTCGACTGCCATCATACAGTAGCTAGTGCGTACGGTTGTGGAATGAGCCCACCGTAATTCGGGCCTGCGCCGGCCAAAACCATGACTTCACATGCAAGTCTGCTCCCAGAAGCTGCTGTACGTCTCCTCTCTAGAAGCCGCGGGGGTTTCCCGCAATTTCAGCGGCTGTTGAGTGTGCCGCAAATTGTGAAGTTTTTGGCGAGTCTGCTCGCCTACCAACCGTTTGACTGCTCCATATTCGATACGTATTGCCGTAGGAGTTTTTTTTCCCTGCCGAGTGGGTCGACGCAGATGTGATGAGCGCAAAGCCTTACCACGTCAGCCAGAGAGTGCGGCGCAGCAGCTGGCCACACGCGTCCGTCCATCTCGCATCTTCTCTCCAGCACCCCTCCGCCGCGGAATCGGGATCTTACGAATAGCGGGCGCGACCCGACCGTCTGGTAAGTGAACCTGCCCCATCACGAGTCCCTGCGTTGTCCATAACGGTGTGGCCTCAGCTCTCCCTTGTAGGGCATTGAGTTTCCAAGGCCTGTCCACATCGGGTGGAGCATGGTACACAGGTGCCGTTAAAGGATCTTACAGTAGTCCGAAAAACGGTTCAATGACTCTTGATCCTCCCCATTGCGTCGGGAATGGGCCGTATGGTGCTCAGGAGAATTTTTTCGATCTCGCAACTCGATGGCTCTATTAGACCTCCGCATGTGCCTTTGCGTAACCTCTTACACACCGCTTGATGGGATCTGATCGTGTATTCATTCTGATAAGAGTAAATGCGGGACTTGATGATCCTTGGCAACATTCTGTATAGCGATCCTTCGCACTATTGGCGTGGAGTCGGTCCTTCGGTCCCTCTGACGTTGTTTCGTTCATGCAAACATCACCCATGTTGCAGCTAGTGGTACGACTCGAGCAGAAACGACGGTTGCGCAGACTCACCCCAATAAAGTAAATTCGAGGAGATTATGATGATGTTGTCCACAAGATGCTTTCGTGGGGGACGGCCTGTGCATATATCGGAATTTGAACCAAGTGCGGTGCACCTTCGGATACGACCCGACGCCCACGAGGCGCGCAAGGGAACATTCCAAATTATCCCACAGCCGAAGGTGCGGTCACACAAAAACGATAAGCGGGGAGGCAGCAGGGAGGCCACGAACTCACCTTGCGTTGGCGTAGGCTTGTTGCTGCCAATCTGTTGTCATCTGCGCCAAAAAGCTTCGGGGAGAAGCAAGATGCACGGCAGCAGAGGTAGGTACATCGTACATATGCGCCGCGCGCCGAACTCGGGAGGATGCATGCTTGACGGTCTGCTGTCCCGCGCTCCGCCGCCGATGCAGCTGCAGTAATCCTGCGCCCCCCTTCCTACTTCTTACCATCCGTCGCTTCCCTTAAGCAAGCCACGCCGTTGGGAATCACCCCATGACGGGCTCAAAAATGCCTGCCTGCCAATGTTTCACTCGAGGACGACACGTGGCCCCGAGAATATATTTCGCCACATATCTGCAGGTTGGCAGGCGGGCGGAGGGGCGGGCGGGTAACGCAGGCAGGGAAACGTGCATATATGAGATCTATCTCATTCAAAGTATGCCGTTCCGGTTTTGGCGCCAGCTGCGCCTTTCGTACGGACCGGATTGGTCATCCAGACGGGTTGCCTAGCTGGTGTGCTGGCGTGCTCCCCCTTCTCTCGACATTTGTCCAATTAATGCACACTTACTCGAGTTTGACCTCGTCGAGGCCCGGAGCACCACCTGAACAGTAGCAGCCATCAACAGACGTCGCCCTTGCCGATGCCGTTCCGCAGCGCCCCGGGTGGCAGGCCCTTCTGACACCTGCTGTGCAATGACGATGTCGGTTGTGGAGTACCGAATCTCACTCGGTCGGCTATTTTCCCCTGCTGCCTGGGCTGGAGAAAAAGGAATGTGACAAGGTTGTGACCCGATCGTGAGATGTCTTGCGTACAGTGGGCTGATCCTGAGTAGCACTTCCTTGGAATAGCTGCGAAAGAGGTCCAAAGAGAACTGCAAGCAGACGGGCGACGGTCTCGCGTAAAGCGCCGCCTGTCTTACAGACGTGAAAGAAAGGCAAGGGCATCGACGACACGTGCAAGATTCTCCGTCCACAGATATTGCGTCCCGGCCGTACGGGCGTAAAGTGGTGGCAGATGGTATTATCCTGCGGGCGTTGTGATACTCGACGGGCGGCCGCTGGAAGGATGGTTGGACCACAGCGAATCTCCACTCATTCTTCTGATTTCGGCGCCCACGTGAGATGCAAGCCTGGCAGCAGCAGGCCGCGCGTGGAACGATCGAGAGATGTATCTTTAGAGAATGGCGCAGGTTCGTGCTGCAGCGCAACAGCCACGCGGACAATTGACAGCAGGTGGAGTAGATGAAGCGGGCGCGGCACACGCCTGGGCGCTCCACGGATCGAGCGCGCTGTAGCGCCGTTGTAACGTCCGTCTAGTGGCTCGTGAGAACTGGTTTTCTTCGACGCGTGGTTGGCCGGGGGGAGTGTTCGCTGTTGGTAGTACATGGAACCCACGTGAAGCTTTGTTAGCGCATATCGCCCGATTGCGTCCCAAGTGGCAATGTCTACGGCAGCAAACCTTACTCGCGTGCCTGTCAGTGCTCATCCTCCCAAAGGACGCGGAGACGGCTCGGCTGCACATCAAGTTTAGGGCAATTTGGCAGCTGATTGGTTGCCGCCGGTGCTTCATGATGCGGTTCTCCCGTTAACGAGCGTTGCATGAAGAGTGCGTCGGTGGATCGGTCCGGGTCGAGGCGTGCGGTCGACTCTCCCAGCCCCAGATCTCGTATCTGACGGAAACGCCGACGCGGCGTGTCTGCAACAAGGCAGGAACTCAGAGGGGCCCCAACGGACGTGTGTTGCTTTGCCTTGCAAGGCGGATCGAGCGGATCGGAAAGTCTTCCGCGATTCGTCAGGGTCCCCCCCGGATCCGCCGGGTGGGCGTCGTGGTGAAGGGGGGAGCGTCATCGCCGGTCACTCCTGAGCTTGCACGAGTTATTTCCGGCATAATGAGATAGAGTTTAGTGCGCGCTGCGTCAGAGCGGCAGAGGCGCTCCTCGCCCATGCTGGAGGCCGCCATCGGAGACATTGGCCCCCGCGGTCTGATCGTGAGGTGAGATGGGCGTGCGCCTCCAATGTCGACCGGACGGGTGCAGATGATGTTACTTGCTGCCGAAGCGGCCCGTCTGACAGCTGGCTCCAGCGGGCCAAACCTGTCGTCCAGGGGGGGCGATGAAGATAGGCAGAACCGGAATTGCAGCGGTGGTTTTGACGCAGCAGTAGCCATTCAAAATTTGAGACAGTGCCAGGAACCTGGACGATAGCAGGGTGACGCTATAGGCAATAGGATGGCGTGGGGCCCGGCCAGGAGGTTCGCTGCCCGCTCATGTGTCATGGTCGCGCCCTAAGCAGTAAGCTTATGAATAGTCGGCGATGCGGCAGGGAAGGCCCTTGTTCGTTGGTCGATTCGCGATGTTCCCGAGCACGAGGAACGCAACAGCGAACGACAGCCTTACGGGCGCTTGACAGATCGAGTCAGGGCCGGGGTGCGGTTGGCAGGTGCTTCAGCTCTGAATAATGGCAATGGGGCGATTTGCGGCACGAGGTGCCGTCAGTCCGTCTGATGGCGGAGCCGTCAGGGGCTTCAGGGTTCGAGATCTGGGTCGTGATGTGCCAATTGGCTCCGGCTGCACTTTACCGCCACGTTCTCTGGCGCCTGGACAAGCATCGAAAATGAGTCGGTTCTCGTTGGTCGATGCAAATCGCCGGGCGCGCTTCGGCGGATGGGGAGAGGCTTTTCATCAAACAGTGCGCAGCCGTGCGCGGGCCTGGTTCGAGAAGGCTCAACGGCGGCGGCTAGCGTGGACCCCTCGAACGCGGCAGTTGCGCAGCGAGAGCAGGCAGCGTGGTGGGCTACCGACCCGAACGGGCGACCCGAATGCGGGGATCTGCAACTGCCAACAAGGCTGGTCGTCCAAAGCGGCAAGCACTCGAATCGGAGCGCTGCAGGCTGGGAACCCCTTTCCCCTCCCCGCCGCGTTGGGTGCCCGCCACCCGCAGTCCGTTGCCCGCGCGCCGGAGCGCTGGAAAGAAGCCAAGTGTCTCCACCGCGGCGTGCGCTGTCGGACACGATGGCGGGGCTGGGGCGCACAGAGTCGGCGCGCGCTGGTCGGACAGGACGCAGCGACAGATGCACGATCGCATCAGATGCAGAGGTGATGGCGGTAGCTGCTTGCGGCTAGGCCGGCGATTTATTCAGGGTCTTGCCGGGTCAAACACGCAGCGTTTTGTCTGAGCGGGAGGAAGGGTCGAGCCGGCGGGCCATCACATGCTGCTGCGCGAATAGCCGGCGGGGGCAGTGAGATTTGATGAAAACACTCTCAGCTTTGGAGCGCGCGTGATGGAGCTGGTGAGCAGTGGCTTGGGCTGCGAGGCCGCCCAAAGCAGATCAGTGAAACCGGGCGTGAAGATCAGCTCTGGCCGCGGAGCGCTGACGCAGATCGCATTACGGCGTGAGCCAATCTTGGTCGCGTCGGATCGTGCATATGTGGCCGGCCAGCGGCATGCAGGGCGGCGGTGCGTCCAATATTGCGGCCATGTTGCGCCTCGGAAAGGCAAAGCGTGACACGATAACGGGTATCTATCCGCCAGGCGCCGGGATCTGATCTCAAAGGCGAATGCACCATAGCGCGGATCGGGGGGGCTTCGTCGTCTGCGACGCCGTTATGGCGCTGCCGGAAGCAAGAAAACGCGATGACAGGCGGGTCGCGGCGGCACCCTAGCAGCGCTGTGGCCGGAGCGTTGGGGCGGGTGGGCACGCCCGCAACAACGTGGACTCGCTTGAAAGTTGAAGCAGCGACGGGGCCAATCGGCCGGGGGCCCAAGCTGTCGTGTGGCCTGATGTGCCTGCTGTCGGGCGTCGCGCTCGTTGCGGTCGCGCTGGCCGGAGCACGCGCAGCGCTCATCGGCATCGTCAGCGTCACGGCGCGCCCCCCGCCGCGCTCGGATGATTCAGGCTCAGATCTCGGCAGCGCATCGCATCGCATCTGGGAGACGCAGCGGCGGCACCACACGCGCTCAATCAGCAATCGCCGGCACTTGCCTTCGCCGCCGCTGGCACGCACGCAGGGAGCGGCTCCTAGCTCTGCCGCGACAGATCTCGATCAGCCGTGGGCGGCCTCCACTTGATTCGTCCCACGGCCTCGGGCCCGCACGCCGCTCGCTTTGCCTCGCATCCGCAGAAGGGGCGCGGCGTGGAGAAAGGGGCGCCAGCGCTCAGCGATGCGCGCACCGGCAGCCCTGCGCGCCGGCCGACGCCAGCCCGCGCGGGCTGCTGGATCGTGATGATGTCGACTTGGAGTGGTGACGCCGTGACGCGCCGCTGGCCCTGCCGCGCTGAAGAAGGCCGTGTCTCGTGTCCAGGGCAGCCAGATCCTGCTCTGCGCGCTGATCTTGCTCGCCGCGCTTGGCGGAGGCGAATCTGAGCCGACATCACCACCGCTAGGCGCTTTATTCCCTACCCACGCCGGCCGCGCACATCGCTCCCTCCTGGTCGCCTGCCCGCGGCGCCCATAAGCTTTGCAAGGGCCGGCCTGCGCAGCACAGATCCGATTAGCAGCAGTCTAACGGCCTCCAGCGCGCGCGCGGCCAGGGTGCCTGCCGCCGTCCACGGGCAGCGATACGACTCCCCGTCAAGTCCCTGCCCTGCTGCGTCGCGGGTCATCTCCGATCGCATCTATCGTCTGCTGCGGCCATCTAGCTAGATATCCCCGTCTTCCCCTCCCATCCCAGCGCCTCCGCCCCGTAATGCCCGTTGCAGCACGCCGTTAAAACTGCTGTCCTCGCTCCCACCCGCACGATCACGGGATACCTCACCACCACACCTATACTGCTGTGCGCGCGACCAGTGACGCCGACCACCTTCTTCGCCAGACTCGCCCGTCACCGAGCGCGCTAGCCCGCCGCCATTGGAGCTGCTCGCCCTCGCCGCGTTCCACCGTCTCGCCTTACGTCAGGCTTCTCTTCACAGCTCCCAGCGCCCGCCTCGCCGGTCCGCCCACACGCCCCCCGCCGCCAGCATTCGCCCGCCCCAAAGACGGCGTTCGCCCGCCGGCAACGCATTACATCACCGCCAGCGCGTGCGTGACGGGCAACTCGTCGCGCCGCCGCTGTCACCTGTTTGCGGGAAGCTACAGCTGCCGGGCGACACAACCCCCCAGAGCCTGAGAGCGTCGTCGTTGGACGCCAGGTAGCGTGTCGATCCGACCACGCTGCCGTCCCGCATGGAAGCAATGGAAGCCGGCAGTCGGCAGAGGTGCGTGTTTGTCTGGCGCAGCGTGTGGACGAGAGTGTATCTAACCTGTTGCTAGCGCCATTTTGCCTTCAATATCTTCCATAGATGCCGAGAAGAGCAGACGAGACGACACGGATTTCCAGCGAAAGCACTCCGCCGCGGCCATGGTCAGCCCGTCGTTTCCCTACTCAAACCCTCCCCCGCCCTACGCCAGCCATCACGCGCCCGCTGCCAGCGCACCGCCAGCAAGCTTAGCAGGCCTCATTTCTCCCCCGGAGTCCCGCCGCACATCTGGAGATGAGAAGGAGCAAAAACCGCCTGCAAGGCAGTCGTTACCGTCCATTCACGAAGCGCTGGCATCCGAGCAGCCAATGCCCTACCCGCCTCACCCAACCTCGACGGCTCCGCCGCCCGCCTCCCAGTACTTCCAGCCTCCGCCGAGCTCGGCAACTTCACATCCGGACTCTGCCAGGAGACACTTCTCTCAGGACTTTTCCTCGCAGCAAACGGACCGGAGTCCATACATGAAGCCGCCCCCTCAGCCACCTTACTCTCAAGCACCACAGGACCCGCCGAGGCCGACATTACCAACTACTCACAATCCTAAACTGCCGACTCTGCACCCGTTACGGACGGAGCCGTCTCCCGTAAACAACTCGAGACCTTCTTCGTTCAGCGCGGGGTATCCTTATTCACAGCAACAGTCTCCAGCATATGAACAGACGCCTCAACAAGCTGCACCGGTGCAACCACAGCAACAGCCATTCGGCTACAACCACCCGTATCCTCCTGCTGCGTATCCCTACAGTGCTCCTCCGCCACCGCCCCCTCCGAGTCAAGTCAACCCTCCTTATCCCCCGTCAGCTCCGGCAGCTTATTCCGCATCGGGAGGCTATCCACCCACGTGGAGGTCCGATGGAGCGGAAGTCAGGCGGGCGGAGGAAAGTAAAAGAGCCGGGAGGAATGCGGGGCCTGCACTCTACGGAGAGTCGGTCAAGCGCCATCTCGACAACTTTGATTTCGAAGCTTCTCTCAACGAGGTAGGTGGTCAACAGACGCCATTCTTAAGCATAACGCTAAAAATGAGACAGATCGCAGAGGGAAGCGGGCGCCTGAACGAATTCCTGAGGATATACGGGCAGCGGGCGCACCATGCTCAGCGGGCTGGGCCTCTCCCGGGCTCAACGCCGGCGATCCACGAAGTCGACGAGTTGATGAAGCAGAGCCAGCGGATCGTGGAATCGTTAGCACGGATCCGTGAAGTGGTGCTAACGACGCAGCAAGCGCACCTGGCTGAACAAGCACAAGACCCGAGGTTCAAGGCAGCAAACGGCTACGAACCCGAAGAGGCCCACAATCCGTATGGAGAGGATCCGAAGGGTGGTGGTGGCTTTGCAGGGTCTGACCCAAAGAAGCGCAGAGGGGTGCGTATCTTTCTGAGACTGGTCAAGTGTGATGGCAAAAGCTGACATGTCTCGCAGCGCGCGGCGCCCCCGGGTCGTTGTCACAGCTGCAACCGGGCGGAAACCCCAGAGTGGCGGAGAGGTCCAGACGGCGCACGTACCCTGTGCAACGCCTGCGGTCTTCGTAAGTTTCACAGCTATTGCCGTAAAGCAAACAGAACACCTGCTGATGCGCTCCAGACTACGCCAAGCTCACACGAAAAATGGGCGCCAACAAGGCGCCTATCGGCAGCTCGAATTTGCGGCCGAAGTCCCTCGGGCCAGGATCACCACCGGCCTGAGGCCGCCTTCGACATTTCAGCAAGGAAAAGCTGCACCGCCGGAGTTGACACCGCATCGGGACGTGAGACTCGCAGATCTCAGCGCTTTTCGGATAGCACGGCATTGCTTATTCCCACGCGGCCGGGAGTCCTCTGGCCGACTCAAAAACTTCGCATAAACCTCGCATCTTTTCGATATGTATGTCTACTTCTTGTGTTTTCGGCAAAAAGGGATCGGCGCCAGGATGATCGAGGACATACTCATTCAGGAGATTACGCGTTTCACAACGCCTGGGGGGAGGGGGCGGCGCCAGGTTGTCCAAGGAAGAAATAACCTGCATTTTGTCTCTTCTAGGGGATCTTCGGGTGGTGCGTCATATGGTCCGGGCAGACGACAGATTCACAGCTATTTTTGCGATTTGCATTGCGGTCGGAAGGAGCATCCGGGCGCCTTGTCAGAGACCCTTATTTCGTTCGTTCTCTTCGACGCTGTCTCATCGGCCGGTCCTTCAGTTGGTCTCTTCCCCTGCATTTTTCTTTGCACACCGAACTGTGGTCAGATTGCTTTTCGGCAAGGTTCATGGTAAGGGACACGGCAGGGCTCGCTTGTCTTTACAGTTTTCGGATCTTTCTGCTTCAACTCTGGACCCGGGGATGCGGGCATTGGCTCGTCGTAACGGCTTTCTGCATGTACGCTGTTTATCCGCGCTGTCTGCTTTTTTTCTCTTTCTCTGTCCCAGGCCTAGAGTTTGTCTTTTCATTTCTGCGAACGCGTGCATGGCATGGGCGGCTACTAGGTCGCTCTCAGCCCCAGGAGTCTCTTGAGTTTTGGCATCGGCGTTGGGGGGAGACACTTGTTCCTTTCAGGGATTGGGCTTGTTCGAAGGCATATTTCCGACTTCTCTTGTACGACTTTATTGAACCTATTCTTTTATCTATTCCACGAGGTAGTGTGGCGGGCGGAGAATGGGGGACGTTGAATGGGAAGACAAGACGACGAGGCACCGCATCTTTCCCGACCGTGACGCATGCGACCGACGGAACCGATGTGCCCGGTGCCGACGAGCATCAATGTCAGGCACCGCAAGGCGACAGTCAGTTTGCCTCGTCCGCCCCGTCCGCCGCGCGCCCGCCGCAGAGCTGGCGCCGCGGGCGCCTGGGCCCCCTTGTTCCAACGCCGCGGACCATGCGGGCCCCGCTACTTGCCGCTCACGATCCCTACAGGCAGCCGCCGTTCCGCTTTCCCCCCGCCGATCGTCTGTCTCTGATTCGTGGCGGCATTTGGAGGTGTCGTCCAGCCTCGAAGCCGGCGCCGCAGCCACCGCCTCCACCGCTTCGCCCTTAAACAGCGGGCGGAACGAAGAAAAAGCAAAGCCACATCTCATCATGACATGATTTCTAACATGATTCTCCCTTGTCTGCTGCGACCAAGACCGACTGATCTGCGTTAGGATACCTTGGCGAAGTTGTTCCGGTCACGACCGCCAGACTTCATGTAAGCTCTTTGCACTGTCAGGTTTTTTGCATTCTTTTGCCTCTCTTTTCGCTCTCTTGCAGCCTCGTTTCTCCTCGTCATGCCCTGCTCATGGGCCGTCGTTTGGGCGTCCAAAAAGCGCGTTTGCTGCAAGTTGCTCTTTGCTTTTCTTCCCCATTTCCCCCTTCCCCTCCCCCTCTCTCATATCCACTCTTCTGAAGCCTCCCTCCTTCTCATGCATCGTCTACCCCGGCACGCACTGTCCAGAACCGGGTGACAGCACCTTTGGTTCCCTGGGACTGGGTCCAATGACGGAAGGGCCGCCGGTACGCCTCGTCTCCGGCGCCGCGTGTTGCACCAGGTTAGGGCAGGGTAACCCTTTGAAAAGAGCCAGCTGCTTGATGAGTTGCCTCCGCCCTTTGGTCAGCGGGACAGCCAGGTCCGCCGCCTGATACAGCGTAGAGTACCGAAGCGCCGTTATGCATCATGTTGCGTCAAAGATGACCACCGCCCTTCCAGATTCACACATGCCTTCTCACTGCGCATCTGCTTTTCTTTGTCCCTACTACCAGTCTGTCGGTGCTTGTCGCGTGTCGTTCACCCCTTCCATCCGTCACTCTCCATCGGTTTCTTGTTTGAGACAAGAGTAGTTGGTCAGATTCGCGGTGATACCGATGCGAACTACACTTCACCCAACTGTCTCTCTTCGCTCCTGGCAGATCACTGTCCCGTCTCCCCCCTCGTCACCGCATGCTCAGCTCGCGCTCAGGTGCATGCGTGTGCGCGAGTGCGTGGCTCGCCTTGCCGCCGGTCCCTGTTCATGCTCTTTTGCGATCCGGTCCCAGGCGGGCGGCTACCTATGCATGCACACGGCGGTAAGTGGGCAGAGCAACGACGAGGCTACCTGAAATGGGCAATGCGGATGTCCACGGGAGAAAAAAAGAAAAAAGCAAAGACAACGGCCCTTTCTCTCGTCCTCGGCTGTTCCCACAGCATGCGTCTCAACCCCCTATTTTTTTCGATCTCTATAGGCAAGTTAGATGGGGGCACAAAGACGACGCAATATGGTGGGGTTGGCCTTCCAAAAACGCCTTAAGCGCCCTTCACCAGCGGAACCGCAGCGGGCAAGCTAGTCGGGCGATTCGGCCTCTCTGTCTCTGTACTCACAGACTTTTTTTTTAGTAGAATCGTCTGATTACTCTCCTGTTACTAACCGAGGCTCCTTCCGATGGGTCCAGACAATTTCCACCTTCTCTCCGCTGGCGCGCTTGGGGAGGGGAGAGCCAGGCATGCGGGATACCACTGACTAGACGTGAGGGGCTGGACGTCCAAGAAGTGCGGGCAACAAGAGTAAAGGTACCGTGGGTTTCGGTGGCCGGGGCGCCCGCTCGTCCCGCTGCACCAGCGCGCCCCGCTAGGGCACAGCACCAGCTCTCGTTGCAAATAATTGGTGCGGAACAGCGGCCGAGGCAATGCCCTCTTATGGAAGCTCACTTGCAGGCAAGCAGGCTTTTTTTTCTCTCTCTCGCATTTATTATTCCTGCTCTCTTGCGCCTTCCGTCCCCCCTTCTTATGACGCGCTTGTTTCTCTCTTAAATTGCTTCTGGGGTTTGTGAGACGTCGTCCCTTGTTTTCTTTAACCCCGGAGCTCTCCATTGATTCCAAAGCCTGTCTTTGGTTCCGTGCTTTAGCCGGATCTTGCATTGCATCTGGCGACCCATGACATGCAAGTGCTGTCCCAGCATTTTGTTTTCTCCGTGCCCCAGCAACGACCGGTCTCGCGCGGGTTTCCCAATACAACTAGAAATGCGAGGCCAGAGAGCGGCACGGCACGGGCAAGAGAAAAAATATTTCGGAAGATTCCTGCGGGACATAGCTTGCTCAATCAAGTAAAGCAAAGGAGACGGTGAAAAGAGGCACAGAGAGTGAACGAAAGGGCAACAGAAAACAACAAAGAATCCTACACACACAGACACACGCATCTGCTCGCCCTAAAATCGCAAACCCCACGATCGCCCCACCGCATTCGATCATTTTGGGACGGGCTCAGGGCAGCTGTTGTTGGCAGAGACATGGGATCTCGCTTGTTCTTTCCTCGCCGAGCGATCGCGTGGCCTCCTGTTTGTCACTTTCGGTCTTTCTTTCTCTGAACTAAATCAACTATTTGCTTGCTCGCTCCCTGCAAGTTGGATGTTCACGTTTTGTTGGTGGCCCCAGCTCTGCCAGATGGGCCGATACCGTGTTCGGAATGGTTCCCATCGTCATTTCATCTCTCGCGCTGGTTGGAGAGAGGAAGAGGGGGGGGAAGATGGTCACTGTGGCGCTTTTGCGCTTTCCGAGCCGCTCTGCCCCTCTTCCTCTTTTCCCCTCTTCCCGCCGCGGAAGCGCCCTCCCCCCCGGCTACGCAAATCTCAAATCGCGATCAGCCGGCCGGCTCGGTGGCAACGTCGGCCGCTACGGGGGGTGATGTTGGAGAAAAAAAATTGAAATCAATCGATTGGCTCACAGGCTCCTGCAAGGACCGATGACGTGCCTTTTTTTGGTACCTGCCTGCCGTTCGTATACACACACCTTACGTCGTCGCCTCTCCCAACCACCCACCAAACCTACGCTCTTGCCATGGGCAACCAAAATGAAGAACTGATTCATGGCAAGTCAGATTTAGGTGACTACATGCGGACCTTACTCGCTTTGGTGTGTCACATGCAAGCAGAAAGAAGGGGGGGAAAAAGTGTAACGGATAATTCCGATACAAGCTTTCGGATTTAGGTAGGTACCAGCCAGCCAAGAAAGCAAAGCAAAGAAAGGATGAAGGAAGAACCGAGATCTCTCGCATACCTACGCGCCATCGCGTGGCCGGCCCGGCTCGGTTGGGAGGGGGGCAATCAAGAAAGAGAAAAAAAAATCGAAATGAAAATCCATCAGGGCCACGTGCGGGATGGTCATGGTGGTGGTTAGTAGTGCGCGGCGCGCCCGCTCCCATCTTTCTGGGGCCGCTCCGAAGCGCGCGCGGGTGGAGATCGGAGATCGACTGCGGCGGCGTTTTGCGGCGTGAGCAGCGGCGGCAAGACGGCGCGTCCGGCAAGCAGTCATGCGGGCGGGCAACGAAGATGAGTGTGCACCATTCTTTTTTTTTCTCTCATTTAATCTCTCGATGGTGTGGGGAAACTAAAACCCTCTCAAATCTGCTTTCGTTTCGGGGGCCATGGCCGAGAGAACCGACGGCGGGGCCAACGGTCGTTGATGAGATTGTGAATTGTGATAACCGAGAGATGATCGGTTAGCGGATATAGCACGTACGCATCCGATACATGTCGTACGTTTTTCCCGCGTTACTGTTACTCTTTTGTGTGGTATTCTACATTACCCTGAGGACCATGGTGTGGACCGGGAATGGGATAGATCCGTTTCTCCGTTATCTCGGGCCATCGTGTGATCTGGCATTGCCCCTCGGGGAGAGACGATGAAGATGAACGGGATTCTCCCGAGCAGTGTGGCGATGGAGGCCGTGCCGCCAGTGTCTAGAACTCGTGGGGTTTGGGATCACGCCATGGCGAACTGAAAGGCTGTGCTCCGGGGAAAAGACCAGTTCGCCGGAAGGTATGGCCGGTATATCAGAGTCGTGTGATTATCACGTCGGTGGCGTGAAAGTTGACGGAACGAACTACTCTTTCTTTCGTTGATGCTCGGGACTGGTCACCGTCGTAGACCAACCACTAATCTAGTGGTGGCCAATAAGGCACAGCATCTTAATAGCCGTTCTTAGCATTTCGACCAATCAGGCTAGTTTCTAGAATCACTTCGAGGCCAATCAAAGGACAGTGACTATTGAGTGATCTAAATACAAGGCTAGCATGAAATTCACCAGTACTAGTTACCGCTCCCACAGCTGTAAGCGTTGTTCTTCCTACTTCGGTAGTAGCTGCGGTTTGAGGCGATGGCCATGGCCTGACTAAGCTTCCCGCTTAGTGACTTCAACCCCAGGCCACTGTTTTGATGGTGACTGCTTCGACTGCTCCTCCGCTATGTTCAGTCCAGAGCCAACGAGGAGAAACCGCAACTCTAAGACTGAAGACTGGTAAAGAGGCATACACGAGGCATGTTTTGTCACTGTTGCGGGGACCTTTTTTTTTAATGAATGTATAGGTGGGGATTAAGTTTACCATCATAACAGCATTAACAATACACCAGCTTCTAAACCATCAGGAAAAGGAGAAACATAACCGAGCCCAATCTACAGTACCAAATACTTGCTTGACCAACTCTTTCAGAGCCCTTGCGCGACCAGCACGCTACCATGATTACCACAGATCAAACAAGATTACCAAAGAAACTTCTGCCCAGGATAAGATTACAGGGCAAGACCGAATTATCTATTACCGTCCACCAGGGAGGAAGTGAGACACACCATTCGTGCTGCTACGCTTAGAGCTTTCCGAGAGTGCCGCGAGTGAAGTGGCGCTTGCGGAGATTGTACTCGATGGCACGCTTCTTGGCGGCAGCGCTCTGCGTGAAGGCAACGGAGCCACCGAAAGGACCTAGTAGCAGTAGCGTGTCAGTCATACACATGATGAAGATGATCATCTCGTATTGTAGAAGTGATTACTCACCAGCAGGCGTGTTATTGCGGATCCGGGCCACGCAAACATTCTGGGCCCCGCCGGCCTGGCCGGAGCAGGTCATGCCCTGCGGCATCTGGACCTTGACGGGGAAGTCGGTCGTCGTGGTTCCGGACAGGCCCAGGGCGATGCCAGGCACATCCTGGGTGACTGCGGCCTTCTGGAAAGCAGCCGGGTCGGTGCCGCCCGACGTAGGGTCGATGTCGGCCGTCAGCGGGCCCGCGCCGTCCTGGTTGACCTGGTGGTACGTCACGGAGATGGTGCCATCGTCCGAGCACGTCGGAAGACCGGAGGTCGCGCCAGTGCCCGCTGCCTTGGAGACACCGTTCTCGGCGGCGCCGTTCTGCGCCTTCGTGCCGTCGGCCTCGGCGGTGGCGCCGCCGCCATTGCCATTGCCATTGCCATTGCCATTGCCATTGCCATTGCCATTGCCATTGCCGCCGTTGCCGCCGCCACCGAGGAGGTTGGAGAGCAGACCACGCTTGTGCTTCTTGTTGCTGGCGGCGGTACCGGTGGCACCGTTGCCGTTGCCCATGAAGTTGGCGATGGCGGCAGCAGCGTCGACGGGGCCAGCCCCCTTAGTGCGGCCGAGAGCGCTGGCCCTGTTGCCACCAAGCTCGCGGTCACGGATGATGGAAGTGTCATCTTCGGCGCCTGAGGCGGGGCTGGGAGAGTCACGAGGAGTGCCATCGATGACTGGGATAGGTCAGTGAGAGTTCTGATATGCGTGACTATTCATGCCATACCAGAAAGACCGGGCATGTTCACACCGTTCGCGCCCTGAATCTCAGTGACGACCCCGTGAGCAGTAGCCTGTGCCGCCAGGGCAGTGAGGAGGACAACAGCTGAGTAACGCATATTGATTGATGGGATGAGATGTGGTGTTTTGATGATGGAAGTGGTTCGAAATGGGAGTATTACTGAATGACTGAATTAAGTTGAGCGTGGTGAGCGGCCTGCGCAGGGGGAATTAGAGTGAAGCTGATGAGAAGCTGAGAAGTGATGGTGCTGATGATGGTGTCTCTTGGAGGAGAAGGTACGAGGCCTTTATATCCCTCTCGACTGCCTTGGGATGCTTTAGTTGGAAGCTTAGCTATAGTCTCTACTCAACGCATGCAGTAAGCCAGAGAGCCTGGAAAGCCAGCGGAATGCTCAGGCCGAGCGGCTACGATAGCCGTGATACTAGCTGAGGATGGAAGTTGTGTGAGAAGTGGAGATGGATGAGACGTCAACTGACGAACCAGAAGACGTTTGACGAGCGGAATCTCAAAAAGGTAAGCATCGCGAAGATGGTGGATGGTGTGGAGGCAGGAGGGGGTATGACTAGTTGATGCAAATAAGCTCTAACGGCCGTGCTTTTCCCGGTCGATCTCCGCCCAAGGCGGGTGTTGAGGCGCAGGTGCGGAGCGCGATGGTGTCCAAATGCAGACGAAATCCCCACACAATCAGTTTCGAAGCACAGCCTCTGAGTCTCAACATACGGGCTGTGAGAATTCGGCCATTCAGATGTGCTGGAGGTCATCAACATCCGAGGCACTGCCAGTGAGTTCACCGAGTTTGCAGCGCTAGTGGTCGAGTGAACGCATGAATGTGTCTTGCAGCAAGTGGCGCAGCGGTATCAGATTGTAAACTCGGAGGGCTGGATGCGGACGAGCAGGCCTCGGCCTCGGCTGGGCTTGTTGGTGGTGGGAAAGAGCCTCAGGCGGGAGATCTCCAGCGCAATTTCGGTTATCGCTGGACGGCATGATAGTCTTCATCTATACAAGCTTGGCGTGGTGTTTATCTGTTTTTGGGTGTTTGGTGCAAAACAACATCACCTTCTTCACGCAGCTCATCAGCGCCGCTTCTGTCGCTCCAGGAAAGAACCGAGGTAGTTGGGCTGAACCGACACCGAGCGGCTAGTGACGCCGTCGGAGAGGCTCTTAGGACCCATGCGCTAAGGCCATGGAGCGAGCAGGCGGAGGAGCAAACGGTTTGCTGCAGACGAGGCGCAGGCGCGATTCAGAAGCAGAGAAAGAGAAGCTCCGACGTTGTTTGTCTGGCCTTTCACACAGGAGAATCTTTGCAAGGGGGCGAGGTGTGGTGCAGTGTGTGTGGCCAGCCAAGGTGAAACGGCGAAGCTTAGGAAGCTGCGACACCAACGAGGCTGCTCGCTTAGGCAGCTACCTATCCACAACAACTCCAACCCCTCTCCTCAAAACGGTCACCAGCGCGACCTTCGGATCATCAAAACTCATCCGTCACGGTGACATTCGCGCAGCAGCATCATGCAGCCGACCGGTTCATACACGCAAGAAGATGACGCTCATCGTGACCAAGTCTCGTTCGAGCGGTAAGCAGCACAACGTCATGTACTATATAAGCTATGCACAACCTCTCGCCCGCTCATCACATCCTCATCCGATGACCTAGCATCCGCATCATCCGAGCTCTTCTCTCGTCCGCATCCTTCAGGCTTGCGCTCGTACGAGGTTCTCATCATTGGCTAAAGGCTAAGTGGCCTCCCAGCTCTCGTGCCTCGTTGGTCATCCGGACCTGAATAAGATTTTTCTGACGAGCTTGCACATAGCGGTGCACAGCATGGCGCACCTACATCCTACACTTACCGCCGAGTTACACAGATCCGTTGAATGCACCGTTGCCCTTCGCGCCATCATCAGCCCGACATCGTGTTCTCAGCCGGCATCGTGGCTTGCGGATTAAGGAGCCTCTTGTCTCCGGCCAACATGTCCTGGCCGGATGTTCGGCTGGAAACAAGCCGAGTCCAAGGCCATGACTTGGCGCGGGGCTACTCAACGAGCCTCGGTAGCAAGACGGCAAGAGCACACTACTCCACACAATCCCCGCAAAGAGGCGTCCGCTCGGCAACGACCCGCCTCCACAGTCGCTAGATTATGACGGTCCCGGCAATTCGTGGATATTGCTCCCGACTCAGCTCACCGTATCCGCTTCTTAAACATGTCTACCTGCCGCGCCCCAGTCACTTTCCCTTTCTGCCGTGTCTCTTGCTCGCCAGCATTTCTCTCAAACCCCCGTTTCCCCACTGTTCCCACCCTTATCCACTGATCTGATCCATTGCGTAATCTATCCCTGGCAACAAAACTTAAGACATCGTCCGCCTCAGCTCCCTACGAAGTCTTCACATCAAATAAGAAAAATGACAATAAAATCCCGCTACCAGGTCGACATTCCGGCCGTCGACCTGTCCACTTATCTCTTCCAGTCGCCCACAGCTACTCTTCCCGCTCGCAAGGCATTTCTGGACGCGATAAGCCCGGAGAAGTACTTCCTGACCTTTCCAGAGTTCCGGTTATGGACGCAGCGCTTCGCGGCCGGTTTGCAGGCGGCAGGTTTCCAGCCGGGCGACCGGTTACTGCTCTTCTCCGGCAACACCATCTTCTTCCCTGTGGTGCTGATTGGCACCGTCATGGCGGGCGGCATCTTCACCGGTGCTAACCCGACGTACGTGGCGCGCGAGCTAGCCTACCAGTTGAAGGACTCCGGGGCGCGCTTCCTGATCTGCTCGGAGCAGAGCATGGCGACGGGTCTGGAGGCAGCGCGGAGCATCGGCATGGGCGAGGACCACATCTTCGCCTTCGATGACGGCTACGCAACATTCGACGGCAAGGGCAAGGGCGTTGCCGGCACCGGTGTGCGGCACTGGAGCACGCTGCTAGCCTCGCCCGAGACAGGCGCCAGGTTCGCCTGGCAGAAGCTGACGGCGCCGGACGACCTGCACCGGACGGTGGTGCTGAACTACTCATCGGGAACGACGGGCGTGCCCAAGGGGGTCGAGATCACTCACCGCAACTACGTCGCCAACACGCACCAGACGCTCTCGTGGGCACGCATGGACCCGGAATTCGAGGAGCGCACCAACCGCGCGCGCTATCTGGCCTTCGTGCCCTTCTACCACGCCATGGGCCAGACCATCTTCTGTGCACACGCACCGCTAGTCGGCATCCCCGTGTATGTCATGCAGAAGTTCGACTTCACTCGCATGCTCGATTGCATCCAGCGCCACCGCATAACTGACCTCGGCCTCGTGCCGCCCGTCGTTGTCGCCCTCGCAAAGCATCCCTCGGTCGCCAACTACGACCTCTCCAGCATCGAGCGCATCGGCTGCGGCGCCGCCCCGCTCAGCCGTGAGATGTGCGTCGAGCTCGAGCGCCGCCTGTCGCCCGATGGGCTCCGCGTCAACGTCAAGCAGGGCTGGGGCATGACCGAGATCACCTGCACGGCGACGGGCTGGCACCCGACGGCGCGGAGCGAGACCAGCTCTGTCGGCGAGCTCGCGCCCAACGTCGAAGCCAAGATCGTGCCGGCCGACGGCTCGTCCGACGACGAGGTCCCGCGCAAGGAGCGCGGCGAGCTGTGGATCCGCGCGCCCAACGTCATGAAGGGCTACTGGAACAAGCCCGAAGCCACAGCTGAGACGCTGACGCCTGATGGCTGGCTGAAGACGGGTGATATCGCGTATGCCGATGACGAGGGGTTCTTGTGGATCGTCGACCGCAAGAAGGAGCTCATCAAGGTCAAGGGCAACCAGGTCGCCCCCGCCGAGCTCGAGGCGTTGCTGCTGGAGAACGAGGGTTTGGCGGATGCGGCGGTCGTGGGGGTTACGATCAAGGGTGAGGAGGTGCCGCGGGCGTACGTCGTCAGGAGCGAGAAGGGGCAGGGGTTGACGGAGCAGGACGTCGTGGCATTTATGGATGGGAGGGTGAGCAAGACTAAGAGGTTGGCGGGCGGGGTTAAGTTTGTCGACGCTATCCCCAAGAATCCGGTAAGTCTGCACGAATCAGTGTCCATTGTTATGGGGTCTTGCGGCTAACGGTTTTATGTGCAGAGCGGGAAGATATTGCGGAAGCTAGTGAGAGACCAAGCGCAAGCAGAAGTGTCGAGAGAGGCGAAGCTATGAGGTAAGAATTATGTTCAGATGCTGGTCAAGTGGAAAGAGGGACAGTTAGATGGTTTTACATATTTCCTTAGACAAAGACTAAGAGATTTTTGACGCCGGTCATTATCTGTAACCAGTATTTTTATGCTATGTGAATAATTCACTGTTTTGACTAAGCCAGAAAGCTTCATTTGGAGATCAGCACAACCGGAAGGAACTCTCGTTGAATGTGCGCCAAGTCGGCTTGCATTGATAAACGAGTGGACTAATCGGTCTCTGTTGGAGCTTGATGATGTTAAGCTCAAGGCGTCTCGGAACGCACGACTAAGCTAATTGGCTCTTCTTCAATGACATATGACGGAGAAAATCGGACTTACACAGTCCCCTCTCGTAGCCGGTGGCTAGCGTGGATTTGTTTTTTTGCTCATGTCATGGGTAGTTGAAGCTATCGTCCGGACGTGTAAGGCAGAAACTGTATCAACAAAGCGCTTAGAGCAGCAGAACGACCTGGGGTCACTCACGAGTTCGGCAAGAACCCCCTGGTCATCTCGGAGGAAACGTTGACGATCCCTCGAGTTGGGTTGGGAAAAGCCTCTCTGGAAGAGCAGCTCGACCGACAAGACCAGGGTTTGAACATTCCCCGTCAGGATCTTCCCCACATGGTCCGCATCCAGCTGGCCCACGGGACGGTTCTCGTCGTAGGCTGCGTTGTTGACCATGATGTGGAGCTTGCCGCCGAACTCGCTCTCCACGGCGTCGACCAAACGCGTGGGGGTGTCGGTCAAGAGGATGTCGGCTGGGAGGCCGATGATCTTGGATGCTGTGTACGGGGATGATTCGTACACGCTCTGTACAGAGCGTGCAAGCTCGTCTAGGTGATGGAGGGATGTTGGGGCAGAACACGTCCCCAGCACCGATGCACCACGTAATGCAAGTTCAAAGGCAATTGCGCGGCCGATGCCCCGCAAGGCGCCCCTGTATTATGTGGAGATGATTTAGCCAATCGAGCTGGAAAACTGTAGCCATAGTTTAGAGCAAGTTAGGGTTACGACTGTGCTGGTAGCGAGTAGGCCCTTTTATGCTTGAACCATGGAAGGCAATACCCGTGGAACCATATTAATACTGTGATTTAGTTAAAAAATTTTCAAAATGCAGTCAAACTTTGATTGACATGGTATTTAGGTAGGAGGATATCAGGCTGCGCTGTGCCACTTCCCTTCAGTGTGCTACTTCCCTTGTACTGGCGGCGTTGTGACTTCCCACCACCACACCATGGAGAGCTCCTACCACCTCTACGAGGGCAGCAGCAATGCCGTCCTACAGTATGACGACTTCGCAGATCCTACTACTCTCTGTGACGACGCAGAATACTTGTCAAATTCAAGCACCATGGCCGAGTCTAAGAAGCCCCCCTCGCGAGCCGCTAACGCTATGGGTACACCCCATTTCGAGCACAGTATCCTCGCACCACGCCGCATTACGATACGCAACAGCATAGAGGAATTCCCAGACCAGCGAGCGTTTGACCACTTTGGCTTACCAAGGCCCAAACCGAAGAACAAGAACGAATTCGAAGCGTACCGCACCATCCCCGAGCTCTCACAATCCACGATTTGGGTTAGAACGGACCTAGAATTCGCAACAGAGGTCCAGGAGGAGTGGAAAGCCCTGCGAGACTGGTCGCTGAATGAGGGCGAGCGCGAGACGAAGGCATACGAGATTTTGCTTTGTGCCGAAAGGCGTCGACCGGGCTTTTTGCCCAAGAGTCAATTTACCACTGAGCGAATGATTAAGCTCAACATAAAGCCTCAAGAAGATCAAATCTGGAGTGCTCCACCAGTTCTCGAGGAGTCAGCCTCGGCCTATGGCCCCGAACATACCTGGGACATCTCCCCTGACTGCACATACTGGCTTTCTTTGCAATCGTTCCCGGGCGAACACCAGAACGAGATCAAGAACTATGTCTTTGTCTACAACTACAGGATACTCACGCCATACCTTTTCATCGAGCACAAGCAGAATGGGATAGAGTATCGCAAAGCTCGCCATCAGATTGCAGCTGCCGCTGCTATGGCGGTGTACAGCCGCTTCAGGCTTATGAAAAAGCGCACGGAGCGCACCAAGGCTCCAATGACCCCGCGGGACAAGAGCCTGCTAAAAGTGTATGGTTTACACATGGTTGGCTATGAATATGGCTATTGGGTCATTGAGGCTCAACTTACCGATAAAGACGAATGGAACGGCTGCACTATGACACGGCTGTTTAATGGAATCCTAGATGACGCGGCCAACATTGTACGGTACGCGAACTGGTTGAACGAGATACATAGATGGGGGCTTACGGTTCATGCTCCATCTATTCGAGAGGACTTAGCGATATGTGCGAGGTTAGTAGAGCCGCTAAAGAAAGTGTCAAAGCGCGAAAGGGATGAGTCGGAGGAGATTTCTATGGAGGGTTCCCTGGCGTAGATTGACTGCGTCGTAAAATTCTGGCAACAACATTGAAGATCAGCAACCAGAACAAGAACAGACCTTATGGACTGAGGTGTTTGGGAAGGACATGATTGTTGATTGAGATGGTTCCTTTGATTGATGGTGAGAAAGTGACTGCTATTCAGTATCTTTATATACGACTCAAGATTGCACGATTCAAGCTTTAATGGTATCCGGCCGAGCAAGTCTAAAGTCCGCTGATATTTGCGGCATTTTGTAACAGAGATCTCCGAGCGCATGAGGTTCAGTGATCGAGTGAGTTACATCCAACGCCATAAGGCCCATCAGTGTCGACTGTGCTGGAGCCGTCGGTCCCACACTTCCAGTCTTACATGGAACTTCGGCCTCGGGCCTTCGGTCTGGTTTCTTCGGTGTCCGAGAAAAGCAATACGATAGGCCTATAGCAGTTAATTGTGCATAGATACGTTAAGGTTTAAGAAATGCCAAGGATCTGAAGAAGCTTTCGGGCTAGACTGGTCTTTTAAGGGGGGTTCGAAAGGCTGTTAAGCTTTGGAGCTAATAGCAGCTTCGATTTAAAAGACGCATATTCCAGTGCTGAGTGCCCTGTGGGATTTGACCGTCAATCGGAGGGGTAGGAACCCAAGCAACTGGGCAACGTACACGCCCGTGCGTTCGCACCTCGCTCTCTCGCTCTTCGGCTTTCGCGCCTGGATACTGGCCGAGCAAACCAGCAACGATCCCAAAGCAGCCCTGATTAGCATATACTGTGTCTGAAAACGCTTGAGACCGGCTGCTATAGCTGCGGTGCGTACGTATAGAAAAGTTCGTTTGGCTATTCCACTTGTCTCGCCTTTTACTCGAACAACCGGTTTCCCTCTATTGTCTGCGTCTTCACTATATTAGAAGGACAAAAATTGCTTTGACTAATTGCTCACTTCTTCCCAGTCAGAATCGACAATGACTGCATCTACCCCTACTTTTGACATTGCCATCGTTGGCGGAGGAATCGCCGGGCTCTCTCTTGCTATCGGTTTGCTCCGGTTCAACATCCCGGTAACCATCTACGAATCAGCTCACGCCTTCCACGAGATTGGGGTCGGCCTTGGGATCGCCCCAAACACCAAACGTGCCATGCAACTACTATCTCCGGAACTCGCTGAAGAGGTCGGTAAATTATCGACCTTCAATGCCTGGGAGAGTAAAAGAAGCTCTGTGTACGACGTGCGGTGCGGCATGGCCATCGGCGGGTCTGCCACCACGCCGACTTCTTCTGATATTCCACTGCTCGTCTGCCCAGTGCCATCTCCGACTGGGATGGCAGCTGTACACCGAGCCCGCCTCCTGGACGTGCTGATCAAGCTGATTCCAGAAGGGACGGCGAAGTTTGGGAAACGGCTGCGCGGCATCGCGATGCTCCCCGACAGCAAGCTCCGGCTGGAATTCCAGGACGGAAGCGACGCCATCCATGACGCCGTCATCGGCTGTGACGGCATCAAAAGCCGCACGCGTGGCATTGTTTTGGGGGAAGACCACCCGACGGCTCAGCCGCGATTCACCGGCAAGTACGTCTATCGAGGCTTGCTCCCCATGGATCAGGCCGTCGAGCTTGTTGGCGACGAGTTCGCGCGGAACAGCCAACTGTACTTGGGATACCATGCCCATCTTCTCACCTACCCCATCGAAAAAGGCACAATGGTGAATGGTCAGACACCCCTCTATCATCTCGTTTGTGAGGTTTGCTAACGAACGGCGCAGTCGCTGGCTTTGCTGGCAAAGAAAGTTGGGATAGCCCGAGCTGGGATCTTCCGGACTTCAAGAACAAACTCCGTGCCGACTTTGAAAAGTTCTCTCCCCATGTTCAGCGCATCTTGCACGGGACGGAGATGAGCGCAGCCCATGCCCTGTTCGAGCACCCGCCAGCGCCTCGATACTCTAGGGATCGAATCTGCCTTGTTGGTGACGCGGCGCACGCTACATCGCCGCACCAAGGAGCCGGTGCTGCCATGGCGGTTGAGGATGGATACGTTCTTTCGAATATCCTCGCTGAAGTCAAGAGTGTGGACGAAATCCAACCCGCTTTCGAAGCATATGAAAAGGTACGCATGGAGCGGACGCACAAACTGGTGGCTTCAAGCAAGGAAGCGGGAAGGTTGTGGGATCTGGAGATGGATGGCATAGAAAACGATCTGGAGAAGCTTAAGGAGAATGTGAAACATCGATTCGACTGGATCTGGAATGTAGATCTCGCCCAGCAGGTGACTCAGGTGAAGGAGATCTTCCACAACAGCGTTGGGATCTAGAACAGACACCATAAAGGCTTCTCTGCGCATAGCGTATAGGTATCTCAAGATGTCATTAGGTGGGATTGATTTCATGAGCAATAACCTTGCGTGTAGGCGTCGTGAACCCAACGGTTACCCCTGAATGCCGTCCATCGAGTAGGACCATGTCATCCCTTATTTCCATCATAACTTCAATTAAGTAAATGCGAGATTACTGCCGTAGCCTCAAAACACGTCTCCAGCAAAGATGTCCTCCCTGCTGCCCAAGTGAAACAGGGGAATATGCTCCAAGGGCGCGCTGACGTTGACCGTCTGGCCGCCGGCGTACGTCTCGTTCGTCCACCAGTACGTCCACGGCTTCTCCTCCGAGCCCGACGTCTTCGGCAAGTACACCGGCCACTCGGTCACATTGGGCAGCACGACGGGGGCGACGAGCAGACGCGGGCCGAACATGTACTGCTGGGTAGTGACGTTCCTGTTCTCGCGCGTCCAGGCCATGATATTCTCGTCGCTCTTCCCGAAGTCCATGAACAGCGGGCGCAGGATCTGGCGGCCAGTAGCAGAGAACTGCTCGAACAGGGCGCGCACGTAGTCCGCGAGGCGGTAGCGGAGGTGGATGTAGGAGACGATGGTGGGCGTGTTGTCGTCGCCGTAGACCCAGGGCTCGTTGTCGCAGGTGAAGGCGTGCTGGACGTCGCAGGCGCGCGAGCCGTGGTTGCGCATGAAGGGCAGGAAGGCCGTCCACTGCAGCCAGCGCACGTACAGCTCGCGGTACTCGGGCCTGTCGACGTTGTTGGACCACTCGATCGACGGGTCCGGCTGGAAGCCGCCCGCGTCCACCGTGTACCAGCTCCACCCCGTGCTCGCCGCCGACAGCGCGTTCGGGATCTGGTTGCCCAGCACCTCCCAGCTGGCCTCCGTGTCGCCCGACCAGATCATGCTGCAGAAGCGCTGCGAGCCGATGTAGCCCGACCGGCTCAGCGAGATGTAGTCGCATCTAGGAAGGTGTTAGGAAATGCAATTGACGGGGCTTTAAGGGGGAGAGTTGACGTACGGAGTGCCCATTTCTTTGCCAGTGGCGTTGCGAGTTCCCTCCTCTATGGCTTGCTGATGGGCCCAGGGGTAAAGCTTCCCGACTGAAGCCTGCGTTCCGGCATGATACAAAACCTGAGGGAGGGGAAAGGGGATTGACTGAATGTAGGCGGTCTGCCCGTTGTTTTCCCACGCTTCTCCCAGCGCTCCACCATCCGCCTGATCAATCCAGAAGTTCTTGACGCCCTTGTCATAATAATTCCGCTTCAGCGTCTTCCACAAGAACTCCCTCGCACGTGGGTTCGTAGCATCGTAGTTCCTGATGTAACTGCCATTCCACGAATCCGTCGTGCCGGGACCAGACATGGTCGCGGCCAGCAGCCCGTACTGCATCATCTCGGCGTAGTTGACGCTGTCGTCCTCGACGCCCGGCCACAGCGAAGCCATCATCTCGGCGCCCGTCAGGTTCTTGACCTTGGCGGCCATGTCGGCCACGTCGGGCCACAGCGCCGGGTCCAGTCCCCAATCGCCGTTCTGCGCCCACGACTCGTAGTCGACGACGATCATGGAGACGGGGATGTCGCGGTCGTGGAACTGCTGCGCCAGCAGCACCACCTCCGTCTGGTTCTCGTACCGCAGCTTCGAGTGCAGGTAGCCCAGCGAGAAGTCCGGCGGCTGCGGCGCGCGGCCCGTCGCCGCCGTCAGCTTGCGCTGCAGCGCGTCGTAGTCTCCTTCCGGTGCGCTGACGATGGCGTAGTCGACCAGCGTCGTCGAGTCGGCCACGAACTTGTTGCGGCGCGCGCCGAACTCCATGCGGCCCTGCGCCGCCGAGTTCCACACGAAGCCGTAGCCGCGGCTCGACATGAAGACGGGTGTCGGGATGTACGAGTTGAAGTTGATCAGGTCGAACACCGAGCCCTTCTTGTTGAGCATAAAGTCCTGTTGCGTGCCCGTGCCGAAGATCTGCTCGTCCGGCGTGGTGCTGAAGGAGAAGGCGGCCGAGAACTCGTAGCCCGTGCTGGTCCAGGAGTAGTAGCGCGGGTTGAGGGCTTTGACTGGGTTGAACTCGTTGGTGAGTAGCGTCTCTGAGCCGTCGGACTCGATGCGGTAGAAGGCCAGGCGGTAGTGGGCCCCCTCGAGGCCGTAGGTCTTGACAATGATGTTCCCGTTCCGGATGATAGCGCTCTGATTGCCATTGACGGCGAAGTCGTAGCTGAAGCCGCGGGCCTCGCCATTCTCTGGGCCTTCAAGAGGTGGATCGTAGAGGAAACTGATCTCATTGCCATTGGGAGGCCGGAAAGGCCATGCCCGGACGCGGAAGCCATCGTAGCCGTAGGGTTGGACTAGGATAGTTTCGAAGCCATGCGTCATGCGGAAGCCGGTCGAATTGGGAGCAAAGTACTCAGAGCTAACATTTTGAGCTGAAGTTGCGGCTACTGTTAGTGCAAGACTACACAGCAGAGGCGTAGTTGAAGGCCACATCATGGAGGATGGTGATGGGATGGAACCGGAAGACTCGCCTGCAGTGTCAATGTCATGTTCCCGGCCAATTTATATTGGACTGCGGTGAGGATGCCGCGATATCGCATGCACAATTACGTCTGACCAGACCTGAAGCCCATTCAGCCTGAAAAGTAAACTCGGAAGCGTGCGGGAGCGGCTTGCGTTTCGTCGATCTGTGGAGATGCTTCCCCGCTTCGGCCCAATCATGCCCCACCTTCAGACCATCTTTGCATCGGTCGACGATGGTGACCAGGAAATTCTCCGCTTTGCACGAGATTATGGATCGATAAACTTCGTATTCGCCTGCAACGTCTCCTCATCGTCGTCAGGTTGCCAATGGCCTGTAGCGATTCTGGTGGTTGAACATCCGTTTCTGTTTCGGTGAGTCGGCTCTGCGGTCCGTCAGCCTCAAAGCTTGCCCGGTGGATCGACGGGCTTGGCCCCGCCGGCGGACTTGATTGTACTACAGTGGATTGCAGAAGTCTGAGCTGTCTCCCACCTGCTTAATCGGAGACATTGCATCCCACTTCTCTCTGTCGAAGTCGATGTCTCAATGTTCTCTTCCAAATTGGGAAACTGCACCTGTATCTGGGCATCTGATCTCATCATCCATCCAGGGAGCTTGTATGATTTTTTGTAGGGAATGAAATGCGGGGTTTGCTGCAGCCTAGTATGGCATTAGCAGTCGTCTTGTGAGGAATCTGAGTCTGGATTCCCCGGTTCGAGCGTATATGGCGTTGGACGTGCATCTCCGGTGGGGCAACCTATGCCGAGCATGTCGTCTATAGAAGATAATCCTTGAAATAGAGAATTTGGATCGTAGCAGGGAAGGCATTTTAGTGTGAAACATCGGAGTTTAGTAGGACGTGGATGCGTTTTAGATCTATGAGTAGATTTGCGCTTGAATAGAAATGTACAGTTGCGATTATTCGCTATTCACGCTGAGGTTTGGTCAAAATCAGGTGTGTATTTCTGTTGAGGCCGTAATTGGTCTCTCTTGGTAAGATTTTCTACATGTGAGTCTTGCTCTACGGTAACATACAGGCTCAATGCTTCATTTTGTTATTAAGGACGGGTTCAGCTTTGGTTTTCCGTGCCGGATAATACGTTGCAGTCACAAAAATGAATATTCTATGACCAAGAGATGCTGCAAAATGTTAGATTGTGCTTTACTACTTGAACCTGGGGAAAGGACACTTACGCAAGCATAATACCGGCACCCGCAGCAATAGCGGCGAATTGCGTCAGAATCTTCTTGACTTCTGCGCCCTTGTTGGGGCCAGTCTCCAACATTTCAGGAATGACGGCGACAGTGCCAACGTACAGGAAAGTGCCAGCGGTGAAAGGAAGCAGCATGTCGCCCCACTGAAGGCTAGTGCCAAAGAGCCCTGGACCATCAGAGATTCCAGCAGAAGCGCCAGTAGAAGAACCACCGAGTTCTTGGACAGCAATACCAATCAGTGTACCCAAGAAAGCTCCGATAGCAGTAATGAATTGAGCACCCATAGCGGCACGCTTGCTGAAGCCGGACTGAACCAACAGCGCAAAGTCACCAACTTCATGAGGGATCTCATGGAAGAAGACGGCGACGGTCGTGGTTGCTCCGAGTGTCGGTGAAGCATAGAAAGATGAAGAAAGCGCGATTCCGTCAGTGATATTGTGACTGAAATCAGCAATGAGGTTCAAGTAACCTCCAAGCTTAACGCTGGACGACGGCTCTTCCTTCTTTGCTGGCGGCGAGACTGCTGAGCTGGGCTCGGATTTCCGGGAACGAAGTGTGGATTCATCCTTGCCTTCGATGCCGCTCGAAGAAGCAGTAGGCTTCTTCTCATGCGCATGACCGTGGCTGTGCGAATGATCATGGGGATCCTCGCCGCCGGTGGCAATTCTCAGACCCTTGTCCATGGCAACAAAGGTCATGAAACCCACCATTATAGCCACGCCTAGCAAAAGGTTCTTGTTCGGCTCGAGCATTACGAACTTGACGCTGTCAGGTTCATCCTCGCCAAGAAAAATCTCAGGCAGCAGGTGGAACAGCGTGTCGCCCATCAGCCCGCCCACGGCGAAGGCGACCATGACGCTGAGCGAGGACGGGTCGATGTTGGGAGGGCATAATGCCAGCAGGAAATTCGGAGGGCCGGAGATGTACAGAGTCGCGAGAAGGGCGTTGACGGCGGGGCTGCTTGGGAAAAGGACGGCAAAAATGCGCGACGTTAAGCTTCCGGTGGGAGGAGCAGTCGCGGTCTTGTGAGCGTTCAACTCTTCCACGATGGGGCATTCCTGGAGTTCTTTTTAGCTTGTGTGACTCGGAAGAGGCAATTGACCGCCCCGTGTCATCTTGGACGGATGCGCGAGGGGAAAGACCATACGTGGAGCTTGTGTTCGATCTGAGCAGGCGATAGCTGAGCTGCGGGGACTTTCTGGTCGACATGTTCGAAGCGAAGCTCAGCAGCTGCCTGGCAGAAAGCGAAGACGGCCAGCGCCGCCAGAATTGCCAACGACCTCCGCGAAAGCATCTTGTCAGAGTGGATGTGCGCGGAAAGGAAGCTCGCTCCGCTATCGCAGCTGAAGAGCGAGCTTCCTGCCCAGCTGCCGAGCGTCATCTCGGAGATAGAGCTCTTATGTAATCCGCGGCCCTTATCGATAGCGCAAAACTTCGAGGGTTCTGGGGAAAAGTTGGCGAGCACAACTTTGTCTCCGCAACATTCTCCCCTGCAACCATGGGTCGCGAACTGCAGAAGCGGAAAAACCGCTCGTCCATCGCCAAGGTCACCAAGAAGCCCAAGTCGAAGAAGAGAATCCTGAACAACCCCATTATCGCCGCCAACTGGTACGACGACCTCTGTCCTTCACCCTACGCTCAACCCGCTGATTACTCTGCCCAGGAATAAGCATGAAACCCTCACGCAAAACTACCGTCGCCTCGGTCTCAGCACCAAGCTCAACGGCGTGACCGGCGGCGTCGAGAAAACGGCCAAGTCCCTCGCGACGCCCAACAACGTCGCCGCGCCGCTCGCCGTGAACCCCCAGACCGGCATGACGGTCGCGAAGCCCGTCGAAGCGCGCATCGAGCGCGACCCGGAGACGGGCGAGGTGCGCCTCGTCGACGACGGCAGCCGCCCGAACCCGCTGAACGACCCGCTCAACGAGCTCGAAGACGACGACGAGACCGCCGGCGCCGAGTGGCAGGGCATCACCGAGCACAACGCCCCGGCCGTCGATCCCACGACCGCTGGCAAGAGCGACAATGCCGTCATCCGCCAGCTGGAGGAGCTCGCTTCTTCGACCGGCAAGCGCAAGGCGCCGCGCAAGCAGTCGGAGCGTGAGGTCGAGTGGATCGAGCGGCTGGTGAACAAGTACGGAGACGACTATGGGAAGATGAGCAGGGACATGAAGCTTAATCCGATGCAGCAGACGGCTGCGGACATTAAGAGGAGGGTTGAGAAGTGGCGGAAGTCGCAGCAAGAGGAAAACTAGCTGGGAGTGGAAGATTGAGAGAATTTCTGCATTGGATGGCGTTCAGAGGCAGCAGGCGTTCGAGTGTTCTTGAAGATGGGAATATCTTCACATGTACTGGCTATTCCCGAGTCAATCGGGAGCCAGCGTCTCAAAATCGACGTTACCTTTGGCTAAGAAGACTACTCCACATTTCCATGGTTTCTCTTGACCGAGGCTGCAATGGGTTTTCAAAGTTGCATGCGTGCAACCCTAGGGCTAATCTTTTTACCGCCTTCGCCTCCTCACAGGATTATTCGACGGTTGACAAGCTCGCTACGATTCCTTCTCCTTGGTAGCTCGATGCATTAACGCGGCTGGGTTCATCCTTGATGTCGGTCATGCATCGAGCTGAACGCCACAGCTGCTTGAGCCTTACTTCGTACGAGCCGAACCAGTAAGCCACAACACGTGCAATTGTTGGACAGACTCAGTCCCGACCGCAACAAGAATCGTCACAATTGGTTGCCCAAGAGCCGTTAATATGCGCTAGACTCACGACTGCAGAAGCCGTGCGTGGAACCTTAATTGCTCAGTCAATCCTCAGGTCTACTGGGATGGATGCGAGATGCGGAGCATGGCGGAACACAGATGCAAGCTGCAATGTATCAAACCCATTCTAGGCTATGTCGATCCTACTCAGACCCTTCTCAGATCTGCCTGCCAGCTTGATCGCTGACTATATCTCGTCAGATATATCCGGGGTGCTCATGTCACAGCCGTCAGAAGGAGGCTCCTGAAAATGTAAGACGAATGAGAAGAGAGGGACAGAAATTCCGCAACAAAGGTGAGACGGAATAGCGGAGAGCAACTCCACGCCGCATCGGAAAACCTTCCACTGGTCTGGGAGAGCAGGAGAGACCAGCAGCCAAGCAAAAGCAAACCACAAAGCCATCGATGCAAAACACCACGTGCAGCTTGATCCAAGCGAATGCAAGACTAAACTTCCAGACACAAGCACCTGACAGATTGACTGCACGTCGCACGAAAGGAAAAATAATGTACGACGGGGGGGACGCGTTGCAGCTGGTTCGCCTGTCAGCCTTTGCCCTCGTTGTAGTTGACTGCAGCAAGATGTCATCTCTCCGTCCGGGTGGCACAGGATCTACCATCCGCCTGGGGACGTGTCGGTGCGGGTGTCTGCACGCTGCTTGTTTCAGAATGACGGCCGCTGACGATTGGACGGTGGTCAGCTCACGCTCACCACCCGGCTTGCGTGGTCTTTGCTACTGCCGGCCGGCCCGCTTCTCGTCACTCTTTCCCTCCAGCATTACTCGCGGCCAGGGTCCAATGGCGATCTGAAGCTGCACGGGCGATCGCTGCAGCATGTAAGACTACCTGGCGCAGCTTTTCTTCTAGCCGGCCCGGGTGGTGTGTGTGTAAGAGAAATGAGTACGACATTACTGGCTTTGGTTGTAGGGTGATGCTGTATTGCAATGGTCAAGACGTTCCGCTGGAGTCCACGATTGCGCCGAGAAGTGCTTCGTGGATGGAATTGTGACCTTTACCGGGGACCTTGTCCGTTTCATGGAGATACCCGTTCGTTCTGGCCTCTGACTAGGGCTGAGGTGAGCTACACTTTTTGGAAAGATGAACAGCAGTCGGCGCATTTCGGGACCCTGTCCGCGTCATGAGAGCACGAGGTTTTCTTCCTTCTGTTGATCCGCGTCATGAAGAGATGCCGTTGCCAAGAGTGCATGTTGGAGAGGTAGAAAGGCGAGACGAGCGGTTCATGCAAGCCGCGTCGAATGGCTGGGCAAGAGGTGCCACGGCAGCATAGACGCTAGGCCAATCGCAGAGATGCTGCCATTCAGACGTTTTTCGCAGCCTTCTGAGGATTAAATCCAGACCGCGTAGTGGAGGATTTGATATGTCAGCGATCGAGGCGCCGTGCCGCCCTTTCCCTTCTGATTCGCGCCCCGGACGGCCTCTTCACGCCCAATCCTAAACGCGGTGTGAGCGGCTATCCAGAGGGCAATACCCTTCTTTTCCATGCGTATTCTCATCGGACTGTTGGCGCATGCTGCCGCAGGGAGCAGTCTTGCAGCTGAAACCGGCAGCAAGCAAGTCAGAATGGCCCAAGGGTGCGGTAGGAGCCCTTGATACGTCCAGCCCGCGTGCTCTTCATGTTGGTCTTGTCGAGCTTGAGTGGAAAATTTTAATTCGATTAGCCTCGATCCGCGCGCGATCCGCCTGCCCTTGAAGCCTCTCTCCGCATCCCGTGGCCCAGGTCGCAAAGGCCGATGTTTGCGGCGAAGTCAGGGAGGGTCCCGGCAGGCGTGAAGCCACGCTCGAGCCGTGAGAGAGGGAGGATGGGGCTGTTGAGATGGCCCCAAAGCACGCGGCGTTTCAAGGCACGCCGCCTCAGAAGTGGATGCCTCTCTGTAGCGATACTTCGCGGGCTGGCGGGCTGTCGAGAGCGCGGCGGGAGAGCCAGTAGCCAACCTACCTGCGACGGGCGGCGGGCCCCAGCCCCAGCTGGCGCCGCGCCCAGGCCAAGGGGCGCGCGGCCGGCTTACGGTACCAAGAAGGCAGAGCCGATAAGATCGCTCCCAAGGCGGCAAGTGGGGCGTTTCGCGCGAAGTGGGCTGTACATACATATTTTGAGAAGTGCATCATCTTTCTGCACGCCTGCCCGCCGGGGAAACTGTGGTTCAAGGGCGGCCGGCGCTGCAGGCTTGATCTGACGACGGAAATTAGCGATGGAGCCTCTGTCAGACCTCTCGAGCCGTCCCGCTTTTGTCTCGTGCATGTCGTCCGAGACCAGCCCTGGAGGCCCACCCGGAAGTCGGGATGCCAGACGCAAGCACAGCGCAAAAGGATATCCGCGTGGCGATGCCGTGATAAACGGTTGAGATGGGCCCCGGTGGGTGCCATCATAACAAGACGATCCTCCTGCCTGCTGATGATTGACGTGCAGTCGGACACTTATCCCTTGTTTTCGCGCCGCCGGAGATCATCCTGGAAGGGTGCACAAACGACCTGATCCTGCAGCAGAGCCGTGAGATGCAATAATTGCGACCAGAGCTGCATTGAGCGCATTCGCCGCGGCTTGCTGCCCCGCCGGCGCGCTGCCTGCGGCGCGGCCGCCAGTAGCGACGTATCGAGCCGTCCCCACGCTGCACGGGAGGCTCCAATGGCGAAGAGCAGGACCTCTGCCAACGTCTTTCGCTCGGCGGCAAAACCCTGATCTGCACTGCCGCATGAACTGTCGTCGAGCCACCGCCATTGCTCGAGCCGGCGGACGACCGGACGCAGCACAGCGCGCAGCCCTTGACGTCAATGCAAACAGCTGTGGCTGTAGCTGGCGTGCAGGGCCACGGCCCCATCCGTGGGACGCGCAGGGCAAGGTGTCCTGCACTCCTGGCCACCGCGCACCCTGTGTACAGGTACGTCAGACTGGACTCAGCGATGGGCGAGGATGGCGGCTGGGTGATCGGGATCGCTGCTGCATGCTGGCAGGCTGGTCGAGCAGCCACGGCGGTGGCGGGATCAGCACAGCGAGCATCGAGGGCATCACGGGTTTTGTGCAGCCTCTATAGCGAGGCCGCTATGGGCGGGACGGCACTGAGCCCGGGAGCCCTGACGACGCGCCTGGCCTGCGTCAACTGCGTCATTTTCGCAGGTCCAAGCGACCCCAAAGAGGCGTTGAGGGTGTGGTGCGCAGGCTGCTGAACGGCGTGCCTGGCAATCTTGCTGACCACGTCGTCTAGAGCGCGTGGGTCGCGCCGCCGAATGGAGCCTTCTCCGACAGCCCTTGGCGGTGCTTCGCTCGTCAGGTCATGTGCGGCGTTGCGCTGCGTAATGGCCCACAGCGGCCCTCGGTGCGTGCTAGCGTGCGGCCGTGTCTATCCACGGCTTGGCGGCGAGGTTGATGTCGGCCCAGGAGCTGCAGCAGCAACGTCCGCCAGGGGCTCCGTCGCCCGCTGAGCTCGACAGCGGCCTCGTCGAGCCAGCCCGCCATCGTCTTCAGCGCGCGAGGTGCCATGCCGGACCAGATCCTTAGACCAGTCGCGCCTTTCCAGGGAGAGCTGCGCCAATTTCGGTCGCTCAAGCCCGCCGGCGACAGACGGAGCGCTAGCGGCTGCAGCGTGGGCGTCCAACAAGCGACACCAATGGCCACGGCCGGCAGCAGGCAGGGGGCGGTGGCTAGCGCAGCGCAGGCGGCGCGGTTTGGCTCGGGCGCCAGAAAATCTGGGGTCATCCGCCAGCGGAGCCATGGGCAGGATTGGGCATGGCCTCCGTGTCTGGCTCGTGTTCCGCGTATCATTACGATACGTACCCGTCTACCCCAGATTTCTGCCCAGATGAGTGGCAAGCGCATCGTCACCGCTGCATGGGGTCCCATCGCCGCCCTGAACGGCCGGTCGAAGAGGGCAAGTGATTGACAGCCAGGAGAACGTGCTGCGGCAGTAGCGGCCTCGCGCCGTCCATGGCGCTGGGCGAGGATGCATCGAGGGAGCAGCGCATGCGGGTCCGTCGCGCTGGAGACGTGCATGCCTGCGTCCGCAGGCGCAGCCTGATCTCTCTCTCGGAAGTCTGGACGGCGTCTATGTCCGAAGGGAGCGAGGTCGTTCGCAACCTAGCTGCCACGCTTCAGGGACGGCCGGCGCGGCGCCGGCCAATGGGCGCCCGCGCGTTGGAGCCACCGCGCCGTTGCCTGCGGAACGCTTGTATGGGGAATCCATGCTGCTGTTTGATACAGATGGCCGTTGCAACATGACAAAGGGTATTGCCCAATGATACGAGACGGGCTCGCTTCGTGCCGAGGCCAGGCGGCGCGCAGGGTGCGGAATGAAGGCGCGGACAATCGTCGGGCAGCGCGCTATAACGCAAGGAATAGAGACGGCACAGGGTCTGCGTGTTGTCTGCTGCAGGCGGCCGTTCAGTACGCAAATACCGTACCGTTCTGATCGAACAACCCGACGCCGGATGATCGTGCATGGCCCTGCCGCAGCACCCGGCGTCGACTCGACCCATGCTCGGTCGTCAAAGCTTCTGGCTGTGTCATGCAACGCGCGCCTCGAGGGTCTGGTTCGACGCTTACACGCTCTCGCGATGGTAGAAGATCGCCTCGCACCGCGCTGCTCTTGACTAAGGCGCCTGCTACCTCACTCGCCCTCCCCTTTTACGCATTCGAGACTCCCGCCTCCAGCTCGAAGCCAGCCGCAAACCCTGGGATCGGTGGACCCTCTGCAGCCAATTCACCCGCTAGCCGTCGCCCTGCCTGCCCTTTGCCCGCCCGGCCGTGGATGGGGCTCGCCGTTGTTTGCTGCTAGCTCGCCCCCAGACGCTGTGTCGCAGTGTCACAGCCCGGTTGTTCTCGCGAGCCTGCTGCGCGCCATAGCTTCGTAGCAGACGCCGAACGCAGCGCTCGCCCCACGCCAGCGCTCGAATCCGGGTCGCAACAGCGCAATTGCGACGACTCACGCATCGAGAATTTCTGGAAGCAGTCCGAAATTCAGGATCGCCTGCCTGCGCAGCCCGCATCGGATAGGCCGGTTAGTTTCAGTACGAAGTCTAAACGCCGTCTCTAGACGGCTGCGCAGCTGACTTGCTGGGCCCCGGACGGCTTGTACCCTGGCCCTGCGCTTCGCTCGGCCTCGCATCTCCCCAGCCGGCCTCCAGCCTACGACTGCGACTCTGCTGCTTACTCGCCACAATTGCTCCAGCACCGTGCAATTCCTCCTCCCTCTCCCTCAATTGCCTGTCGCCGGCAGTGCATGTCCGCCGCTCAGTCCTGCGCTCGACCCTCCGCCGGCGTTGAAGCGCCTGAGAGCCGATCTTAACTCCGCCTTCCGGGTCACGCCGCTGCGAGCTGTGCATAGCTCGACGTCCAAAGGCCCGAACGACGAATAGGTACCGCTCCTGAGCCTGCGATGCATTGACGCCCGCGCTGACCGTATGCCATGCCAGCCCAGAGCCTGCCACCCGTCTGCTGTCCGCCAGCTGCCCGCTGCGCACTGCCCCGCGCCCTGCACGTCCCGCCTCTCCCGCGAGCACTACTCCCGCCAGCAAGCTACTTGTACCCGCCGAGTACTCGTCGCTGCGTCCGGAGCTACGCGCTGTCCATCCTTACCCACCAGCGACCCCAATCTGGCTGCGACACGACTCCCTGCCAGCCGCTGAACACTACTGGTGGACGCGCGAACCCAACCGTCATCGAGTTGGCGGTGTGTAGAGAGACGCACCCATAGGCATGCCAGAGATACCCGAAACAGCCCCCGATTCGACCATGGCTGCCCCTGCAACGGTCGACGCTGCGAATGGCGCCGGCGACGCTTCTGCAGATGTGAAGGGTAAGCTCTCCCCGCCCTCCACACAAGGCGTCTGACGGCCTCCTTAAGCTCCGCTAACCTCTCACCACCACCAGCCTCCTCGCCCAATGCCAAAACCGACTCTTCCCAGCCCGCTCCCACTGCGACGTTCCCGCCCCCTAAAACTGATAAGCCAAGGCCACACGTGTGCGGCACCTGCGGTCGCTCGTTCGCGAGGCTCGAGCATCTGAAGCGTCACGAGCGCTCCCACACAAAAGAGAAGCCCTTTGAGTGCCCGCAATGTACCAGGTGTTTTGCCAGGCGCGACCTGCTATTACGGCACCAGCAGAAGCTCCACCAGGCTGGCGCTGCCTCTACCCGGCCCAGAAATGGTCGCCGCGAGAGTACAACAGGCATCCCACCCAACGGTACCGCCAACAGAGTACGCAAGAACTCGATCGCAAGCGGCGCGAACGGAGCCGTGGGAGCTGGAGGACCTACTGCACGCCCGCGAGCGAACACAATAAGTCACATCGATGCTGGTGCTTTGAACAACCTGCTGGCCGCTCATAACACCACCTCTGCGAGAAGCCCCGGTATCCCTATGGGCCACGGCCACGGCCATGGTCACAGCCACCACCCCAGCCTTTCGGGCTTCCCTGGCTCGCACAACTTTGACTTTCGCGGAATGCAAAGCACAATGGACCACTCAAATCACCACGGCTTGCCCAAGATTGACACGCATCTGGGCATGGGCCTTGGTGGCGGTCTGCGGACGGCCCCCATCCCAGGCTTTGATCACATGATGGATCTGGACAAGCTATTCGCCTCTGGCTCGACCATCAACCCGGCACAACTGCACTTCAGTGGTTCTCTGGGTACGCCGGCGTCTCCTTTCGGCACATTCCCCCCTTTCTCTGCCGGTGCTGGTATCGAGGAGGATGAGTTCGACTGGATGGCTGGCTTGGACAGCTCCCTGAATCTGAATGCTGGCTCCAACGAGAACGCCGTGGACGAGTCTTCTCCTTCGGCAATCAGCACTGCGAGCCAAAGCGGTTTCAGCGAGGTCATGCTTGACGGTTCGAATCAGCCTTCGCAATCCACAAGCTCTATGTGGCAGGGTTCGCTGAATGCAACCTCGATGATCGATACTAGCTCAATATCGCTGGACGCTATGAACGCCGTCTTTCCAGAGCTCATGGACCCCCTGAGCACCGTCTCCCCCAAGCAGCTGCAAGACCAGAACAACGGGCAAGACATGTACTTCTCCTCGCCTCCGCCGTTGAACTCCATGAGTCCTACTGCGGGCATTCCTGGAATGCCGAACCAGTACTTCCACCCACCCACGACTTTCACATCTGATAGCACAAGTATAGCTTCCTCTTCAGTCAACGGCAGCGCTCGCCAGAGCTCGGTGACGTCCGTCTCAACTGATTCAATCACTGATGCCACTCGACAGTCTCTCCTCATGAGCTTGTCGCAGGCGATGAATTATAGTTCCAACCAACGGAAATATTCTCAGCCGGCCATCAGCTCACCTCTATCGCCCGGCCTCCCTGCCATGTCATCGGCGCAGCTGCCTTCGCTGCCAAGCACCAGTGACCTCCAACGGTTCGTCAACGCCTATATTCAATATTTCCAGCCGCACATGCCTTTCTTGCACATTCCAACCCTTTCCTTCGACTCTTCTCTGTATTCGACCAATCCGCGCGCTGCAACATTCGGCCACGGAGGTACCATTGGCGGTGGCGAATGTCTGATTCTGGCCATGGCTGCTATCGGCGCGTTGTACGAATTCGAACAGGCTGCCAGCAAGGAGCTGTTCGAAGCCGCGAAGAAGATGATTTTGTTCTATCTTGAGGAACGTCGACGCGCAGATCTTGCAGCGGCCGTGAACGGCCTGAACCCCATGCACGAGACCAACCACACAACCCCCCTCTGGCTTGTGCAGTCGATGCTACTCAACCTCATCTACGGCCACCAATGTGGCGACAAGCAGGCCAACGATGTTGCGTACACCCACTGCGCTGCTCTAGTCAGCTTGGCGAAGGCCGCAAACCTCGACCAGCCCGCGGACGAGACTGCCAATGGATCAAACGCGCGTAACCACGGTGATGGCGACATCGACATGGGCGACGACGGTCAAGCTCCCAATCAATGGGTCAGTGTCGACGAGCACTCCCAGTGGATGCGTTGGAAGACACAAGAAGAACGCAAGCGGACCCTGTACGCCGTGTTTGTGCTTTCAAGTCTCACGGTTATCGGGTATAACCACGCTCCAAGGATTTTGAATTCAGAGTTACACCTGGATCTTCCGTGCGAGGAGGACTTGTGGGCCGCTGATAGCGCCCAAGCGTGGGTGGCAATGGGTGGTCAACAAGTCGCTAGCCAGAAAGGTATCGCCTTTGCTGACGCGCTGACTCATTTGCTTACAGCAAGTGAGCGACAGCGTTCCAGTGCGCAGAACTATCCCGACGAGCTTGGTGAGAGCGTTCTCAAGCCAAGTACTTTTGGTTGCTACGTCTTGATCAATGCTCTCCACGTCTACATCTGGGAGACCAGGCAGCGTCACAACGGTCGGCAATGGACCACCGCCGAGACGGAGCAGATGCACAATCAGATCGAGCCAGCGCTCAAAGCGTGGCAAGCTGCTTGGAGGGCCAATCCGCACCACAGCCTAGAAAGGCCGAACCCCTACGGACCTCTTCCAGCTGACAGCATTCCTCTCTTGGATCTTGCCTACGTGCGTCTGTTCGTCAGCCTTGCTCGGTCGAAAGAAGGCTTCTGGGCCCGCGACTTCGACGCCATGGCTGAGGAGCTGGCAAGGGGCGACGAGATCATTCAGCACGCTGAGATGGATTCGGATAGCTCGTCCGACGTCCACTCTAACCGGAGCACCGCGCCGAACAGCTCCCCAGGTGGCATGAATGGCGTCGGTCCAGATTTCTCTGATTCCGGGATGATGCCGAACGGCAGTTTCTCTTCGGCCAAATCCTCCAAGCGTGAACGCCACCTCCGCAAGGCTGCATTCTATGCTGCTGATTCGCTTTCAATGTCAGCCAAGCTCGGTGTCACTTTCGCCGACTTCACTTCGCGAGAGCTTCCCATTCAGTCTGCCATGTGCACCTTTGACTGCGCGCAGGTGCTTGCGGAGTGGGTTGCAACAGTCCAGGAGCGTGTTGGTCGTTACATGGGTATTCTGGGCAAGGCCGAAGTCGACTACAATCAGGTCCCTGCAATCATGCTCCTGGAAGAAGAGGACACCAAGCTCCTGCAGAAGGTTGCTGAGATTTTGGACAATGCGGAGATGAAGATTACCTTTGATACTGGAAGTATGGGCTCGTCGGCTGGAGTTGGCCTCCCGGCGCTCAACAATTATGGTTACGGAAGCAAGCTCCTCATGGTTACGGCCTACATGATGGAGCATGCTGCCGTCTGGCCCGGTAAGACCAACGTGATTCACGAACAGCGCAGCCAATCGCTAACAAATCTTAGTTACTCATGTCATGGCGCGCGCTCTCGAAGCTCACGCTAATCACGTGCATGCCAGAGCCGAGAGCTCCATCACCGCCTAAGCGACAGCATCGTTACGGATCGCCTGCAAACCCCCTCAGGCGACGTCAAATTTCTGTATGGTTCAGCTTTCACGATTAATGCTTCGACGAACAACAGGGTAGCCATCGGCAGCCGCATATACGTATGTATGTGCCCAAGATTGCGGCTCTCGAGTGCACCAGGGAAAGGCGCGCTTTCATCGGACGATCTCGCACTTTGGATACCCCATAACGCCTTGTATATGTATGGCTCCGGGAGAAAGGTCTTCCGTCCAAGTAAATACACCACGCTCACGACCGGAGGATGATGAATGCCAAGCGCCGTACGAAGGGAAAAACAGGATACGTCTTCATCACTTCTACCTGGTCGAAAAAATGTCTACGGATTCGCTGTCGTATATTCCTGAGGGTCTGGTCTCGACGCTCAGTCCCCTATCAATGTCTCTTTCCGTCTGGGCGGCTTCAATTCTTTCATGCAAACTATTTCAGCGCCGACAGCTTCATTCCGTCGGACATACATCAGGTTTTGTTTTACTGGCTCTGTGCCATTCTCCGACATGCGAATAAAAGTTGATAGTATTGAGGGAGAAGTCAAAATGTGGGACATAAGGGAACCCATGTGGCTAGGAGCTTGGTCTCGTGCACAGGCGGCGTCTATCCGTCTGTCGATTTTGCTAAGTTTTATCTTCGAGTACCCCACACCTGCGATATCTCGCCGCCACGACCAGTCCGCTTGCGAAATGGCTGGATTTGAAGCTTTTTCGTCTCAGTATTGGCTAATGTCCTGAGCTTTATTCATACATTCTCAAGCTGAGTCTTTCTAGTCGTCTCTTCATTCAGCACACCTCTGTGGATGCGCTTTAGTCTTTGGGATTTTCTTTAATGGCGCTGAAGGCTGGGATGGGGCTGGTTGGTGGGCGGGTCGGGGGGGCTATACGGGGTACGGAACGGGTTTGATTTCATTGCAAGGCTTTGTTTTTTGAAGTCTCATGAGGCAGGTGTCAATTCCTTGGTCAACCACTGCCTTCCCAAGCAGACTTCAGGTCTGCTTTTCCAATTTTTTTGCGACCCTTCTTTCAAACTCGAGCGAGAAAGGAATGGACGGGCCAATCAAGAACGGAAACTTTCGAAGGGAAAATAGTCGGTTGGTAGCACAAGATGAACAGCTATCAGGTGGTTGGTTAGCTAGTAGTAGTACATAGCTAGCCCGAGGCAGCCGTCATGAAAACAAAAGCTTCTTCTTTTATGGCTATTGGCTATCTCCTGCATTTCAGTTGAAAAGATCGCATAGTGATTGTAGTCAGTCTATCTACCGGTCTTTTATAGACCAACTGGCTGATTGCTAGCTTGTTTGCCTGGAATATGCTGGAAGTTGCCTGTGCCCGGCTTGATTTTCCAGTATTTCCCTCCTAATTATGGCGCATGCCGTGCAGTAGGCCATTAGCTACGTCAAAGTGCCATCGTCTGGGACCCTACGCCCTTCGGTGAAACCGATGATCACGAGGCTGTACTGACGCCGTTGGCTGGCTGGCATTTAGTCTACACGCCTTCAATCTCCGGGAGGCTCTAGCAGCCGTTCGCCGGAGAGTGGATAGGCGTTCTCACCGGTCAGCCACCAAAGTACACTATGGATTGCACGTTTTCTCTCTCAGAGAGAAACGTTTGTCAATCCTCCCGCTAGTATGCCATCTCATTTTCTCGAACGCCGATCCGTGCCGCGCGTCACGAGGCAAGCCGTTTTTCTAGCGGAGCTTATGGTTTTGGGCTGGTTCGCGGATGGACCGGGGGGCCAAGGCGTGCAAGGCATGCCACACGAACCGCCGTACTACTGACCGAGACTAGTAGGGAAGCACTTCATCTGTTGCTTGCTGCCGTCTCTCACTCTGCTCTACTAACCACACGGCCGCGGGTTTAATAATCTTTTTTGCCTCAATCTTTCCCTCTCACATCACTGTCGTCCTCCCTCCGGTGGGAGAGGGCTTTTGCCACCCTGCGCATGACGCCCACTGACGCACCTCAACGCAAGCGCTAAAAGTTGGGAAAAGAGGCAAAGTTCTGACTGTTGCGGGAATAAAGAGACGGGTTGGAGGGCCGCAGGTTTGGTGACGTTATTGCAGTGTTGGGGCGGCCGGAGCCGTGGGGGTGTGTGTAGGGCAGCAAGTCAAGTGAGGCTGACGTTTGGACGTTTTTTTAATCATCCGTATTACACCATACAAAACGAGAGGGGGGCGGGCGTTATTAGTGGGACGGTCGGAGAGCAGAAGCAAGCGACGATCCGGGCGGACTATCCGGTCGTAGGAGCGAGCGAGCCACAACGCGTTGCCCGTTTTTGGTCTACTGTGTATTTTACCAGGGTTCGAAGAACAGCGCCACCACCCACTAAAAAGTAAAAGACCGCTTATATTCCCCACTAATCACTAGAGTGCTGCACCTCTGTCGTTGTCTTGCCCTTGTCCTTGCCTGCCATGCAATGCCACTTCCCGAGGGCCTCGCATATGCAGATCTCGGACGTCCGACAAGCAGCAGTCCGGGAAAGAGGAAAAACGAACGACGATGCCGGCAAACGTCGGCTAAAGATGGTAGAAGGAGGTTTGGGCAGCTTTCGCACACGGCGGGCCGTTGTCGAGGTAGCTAGCCTGGCCAGCGCGCTAATGCCATGGGGGGCTTGTCGTTATTGCAGCTTCGATTGATTGATTGATCGAAATGCTCAAGACCTCAGTGACGGAAAGATTCCACGTTCTAGATGTAGTTCCGGAGGAGAGAGTGGCTTCCGCTAGGTCTTTCGTCGTACTCGCTCGTTGATGGTACGCTCTCGCCCCAGCTGCTGCTCTCTGGCCTGGCTGGCTGGAACGAACAACCGGCGCTGCACGCCATGCATGCAGGACGAGCACGGATGAGATGGCCAGATGAAAACGAAAAATTGTGGGTGCCTCCACACACCCACTTACTCTGTATTCTCTTTCACGCATACGCGACCTCGCACGCCGTATGATGCTGATGCCGACTTGTTCCCAAAAATGATAAACGCCAACCCCCGATTGCCCGCTCGTTCAATTGCCGTGATATATCCGCCGTGCCGCGCGCGCGTTTGCCGCTCATGCCGATGCTACGCCTCCCCAATCCCCGAATCCTATTAAAAAACGCCCTGGGCTATGCATGTGCTACACGATAGTAAGGAAAAAGGAGTAAGCGCAAAGGAACACAGAAAAAAATATGGGGAAACGTCCCATGCACAGTGTGCCAAGGTTACCTTCGCTCGCATCCCGCTTCCGGAGTCGTTGGTGTTCCAGCCTCCCTACGACCTCACGCCACTCGTCGATGTGTGCGTGTGTGCCGTGTCTTGCACCCTTTCTTACCCCGGATGATGCTGCTCTATTTTTCGAAAACCATGAAATTTCGACCCACTTCCCCACGCGTCCCACCCCAACCCCCCAGCCTCTGTTGCTTGCTGCACGCACGAAACCCAGCAGCGGAACTCCGTTTCCCTCGTCGGCTGATCGGCTTGTCCTCGCCCCCAGCCGACATGCGTGACGAAAGTGGCTCTGAGGAATCCCTCCTTGCTTTGCCATCCATGAGGCTGGGGCTAGACTGACATCTGGGCCGCAATGGGGCTGGCTGGACGGGCGCGCTTATGCCGGCGCCGGGTTGGCTGTTGTGGCGGCGGCGGAAGCGGCTTTGGGGCGGCGCGGCTGCGTCGCAAGAGCCTTCTTCATTAGCAGCAGAGGGATGATGTCTCCAGTCTTGGTGCGCGACAGCGCCTTGCGGCAGACGGGACACTGCGAGCGCTTGGGTTCGCCGGGGCCGGCGCGCTGCTCGCCAGCTATGAGGGCTTCCATGAGACATGTGTGACAGAAGACATGGCCTGCACAGAGTGGGAAGTCCCGGCATTAGTGACATACTCGGACGGCAGTGATGTGAGACGCGGAAAGAAAAGGGTACAGCGGAAAAGACCGCAGTGACATCTGGTGAGCTGGAGATCGGTGTCCCCATCGAGGCTACCGCTCCGTGGGGGTGGGGGAAAGGGAAAAGAACTGGGGAAAGCCGGGGAAACATGGGGGTGTAGGTGAGTATTTAGAGAAACGGAGAAACTTACCGCATGAGGTCGCCGTGAGGTCCTTGGGCGTATCCATGCAGATGACGCAGGTGAGGTTCGTCAGGCGCGGAGGAGCGTCGGCGCCGTTCTGCGATTCTTGTTGGGCCTTGACCTGCTCGGCCCGCTGCTTCTGCAGCGCCTCCGCCAGCGGAGTGTCGTCGTCTATCAGGTCTATCCGCTCAATCTCCTCGACCTCGTTCCGTGGTGGTGCATTGCTCGGTCCGCCGCTGTTGCTGCCACTGGCGCCGCCGCCTTGCCTGCTGCCCCTTCTGCCGGCCGCTGTGCTGCTCCCGTCATTTCGCTTGGGTCGCTTCGGGGAAGGACTGAGGGGTTCGAATAGCGGCGAGGTGGCGTCGCGCTTGCGGCGGGCGTTCGGAGGCATGGGAGAGGATGGCGAGTCGGTGTTCGGTGGACTTTCGGCTGCGGTGGGTTGCTGGGCGTAATGAAGGGTCCGCAAGGTCGAACGTTCCTGGCTGATGGGCGGGGTTTGCTCTCGCGTCAGGTCGACGTAACCGTGGTTTCGGCCAGGTGGTGGTGATGGCAGGCGCGGATCGTAGCGCGTGGAAGGTGGCGATTGCGCAGGGCGAGGGAGGTGGTTGTTTTGATCGCGACTGCGCGAAGCGGCGGTTCGCTGGGTAGCTGCCTCGTCGGCGCCGTCATTCAGCACCTGGGCGAGGAAATTGGAGCGGGTAGATGTCGGAGCGGCGGTGGTGGTATCCTCAATGTCCTGGTCGGGGTCGTATTGCGTGTGCATCGGCGGCAGCGTCAGGTGCTGGACAGCCTCGTGGCGGCCGGGCAGCGAGCGGGTGTCGGCAGCAGCATCGGGCCAGGACCATGACCAGTAGCCCATGTGGTCTGGGGGCTGCTGGTGCGAGGACGAGCTGTTGGCAGCAAACGGACTGCTTCCAGACATGGCGGCGAGCGAGAACTACGGAATGCGCAAAGAAAAGGCAATGGGGCACACGACGGATGGTTGCTGTAGGAGCCTGCCTTGGCCCTCGCCGTCTTCCTCTCCTGGCAATCCCTGGGATTGCACTGGATAGAGCTCAGGTTAAGGTGGAGGAGAGCGGCCGCGCAGGCACAGCTCACAGCGCGGTCGGGCCTCCGTCTGATTCCACCCACACATGACGCGCGCACTACAGCTCCACCACCCGCCGTCCCGCGAACTGCTTTTTCCTCGTCCCACTGCCCGCCCAGCTCCGTCGCTGGCCACGAAATGCCCCGCATATGATGCTCCAAGCGACTCCGAGCCGTGTCGCGCGACTCCAGCCTGCCCTGCGCTCGCCGCTTTTGCGCTTTCGCCTGCGCGCCACTGTTCTGCCCGTATCAACCTTATGCGCCCCGCGACGCTGCTATGCGCACCAGGCAGAGACCGCCGACGAGGCCAGGCCGCGCTCGAAGAGCCTGCTCGGTATGAAGCTGCCCCCAATTGCGCCCAAGTCCTGCGCTTCTCGACTGACATAATGCGGAAAAAAAAGTCTCTTCAGAGGCCCGCGTCAACGATGTAGGAGTCCAGCAGCTCAGCGCACACGCACACAGTCAGATTTTCTCCTCCGAAGCTGAAGCACCGCCGAAAGAGCTAGTCGATTTGGCCATTGATCACCTCACACGCCATGATCTGTTCGGCAAGCACCAAGATTCGTCTCCGCCCATCAGCTTCGACATGCCGCCGCTCCACAGCGACAAGAAGAACCTGGACGAACATTTCTACAAGCTGGGCATGGACTCCGCCCACCCCTATCTGGAAATGGCAAACCGTTTCGTACAGCAAGAGCCGCCTGAGAGACCACAATGGATCCGGCAGAGCGGCTGGACAAAATACGTCGACGGGACAGCCGTGCGCGTGGATGCGCCGGACGAGGAGCTTTTGACCTTCGATGTCGAAGTCATGTGGAAGGAGACATCATATGCGTGTATGGCTTGTGCCGTAAGCCCTACCGCTTGGTATGCCTGGATTTCTCCTTGGCTCTTGGGAGAATCCGAGACGGACCGCCACCTCATTCCCCTAGGCGATCCCACCAAGCCGCGCATCATAGTTGGCCACAATATTGGCTACGACAGGGCGAGGATTGCCGAGGAATACGATCTACGCCAGTCGAAGAATTTCTTCATGGACACCATGTCGCTACATGTCGCCGTCAATGGCATGTGCTCACGTCAAAGACCCAAATGGATGAAGCACAGGAAAGAGAAGGAACTAAGGGACAAGATCGCCGCGTCTGACGAGAATGTTGATCTCAACGCGTTACTTCAGTCCGGCCAGCTCAGTGATGAAGAGGAGGAATTGTGGATAGGGAGAAGCTCCATCAATTCTTTGCGCGATGTTGCCAAATTTCACTGCAACATTACTATTGAGAAGGCCCAACGAGAATACTTCGGAGAACTTGACCGCGAAGGTGTGAAGGAAAAGTTGGATGAATTACTGGATTATTGCGCTGCCGACGTACAAATCACCCACCGCGTCTACCAAAAAGTCTTTCCACTCTTTCATGAGCTCTGCCCCCATCCTGTCAGCTTTGCAGCATTGCGGTTCATGGGCACTGAGATCTTACCTATCAACGAGTCTTGGAATGACTATATCAAAAACGCCGAGGAGACGTACCAGAACTTATCCGAACAGGTGCAACATAGACTCCTTAATTTGGCAGAGACAGCTTTGGAAATAAAAGACGAGCCTGAAAAGTACGAAGCTGATCCTTGGATGAGCCAGCTGAATTGGTCAGGCCAGGAGATCAAGTATGTCAAGGGGAAAAAGAAAAACGATCCACCGAGGCCAGCTGCACGCCAAAAGAAGCCTGGAATGCCAAAGTGGTACAAGGATCTCTTTCCGAAAAGCACCGGGCCTATCAGTTTGACCACCCGGACGAGGATTGCTCCATTGCTTCTGCGACTTTCCTGGGACGGACACCCTCTATTCTGGACCGACAAGTATGGTTGGACATACCGTGTGCCTGTAGAAGGAACAGAATTGTCCGACGAGATGAAGGCCGCTCTTTGTGACTTCTCGGAGGATGAAAACACGACTCTTCGTCTCGACCGCGAACATCACTATCTCAAAATCCCGCACAAGGATGGACCACAAGCTCGATGCACCAACCCTTTGGCGAAGAGTTATCAACAGTACTTCGAGAACGGGCGGCTAACCTCTCAGTACACGTATGCCAAAGAGGCACTGGAGATGAATGCCTCCTGCTCGTACTGGATCAGCGCAAGGGATCGGATCAGGTCGCAAATGGCAGTGTTCGAAGGTGAAGCATTGGTCAATAAGAAGCCCCAGAAAGATAGCCAATTCGAAAATGATGGATCTAGTCCGAGGCTCGGATACATTCTCCCTCAGGTCATCCCTATGGGAACTATCACGCGAAGAGCTGTCGAGAACACTTGGTTGACCGCGAGTAATGCAAAGAAGAACAGAGTTGGTTCTGAACTGAAGTCAATGGTCAAAGCCCCTCCAGGCTACTGCTTTGTTGGCGCGGATGTCGACTCTGAGGAGCTTTGGATTGCTAGTCTTATCGGAGATGCACAGTTCAAGCTGCATGGTGGCAATGCGATCGGCTTCATGACTCTTGAAGGCGACAAGGCTGCCGGCACTGATCTACATTCAAGGACTGCGTCTATCCTTGACATCTCGAGAAACGACGCCAAAGTTTTTAACTACGGCCGCATTTACGGGGCTGGTTTGAAGTTTGCTTCTACCCTGCTTCGACAGTTCAACCCAAGCTTAACAGAGGCCCAGACCACGGAAACTGCTTCCAGACTATACCAAGAAACGAAGGGCAAGAAGACTGTGCGCAGAATATTTCAAGAAAGAGCCTTCTGGCGCGGTGGTACAGAGTCTTTCGTCTTCAACAAGCTCGAGGACTTTGCTGAGCAAGAAAAGCCTCAAACCCCTGTCCTTGGAGCTGGTATTACTCAGGCCTTGACGAAACGATACTTGAGCAGGGGCAGCAGCTTCATCACTTCCCGTATCAACTGGGCGATTCAGTCCTCCGGTGTTGATTATCTCCATCTCCTCATCGTCGCCATGGACTACTTAATCCGCCGGTTCAACATCCACGCGCGTCTTGCGCTGACCGTGCATGATGAGATCCGTTACCTTGTCAAGGACGAAGACAAGTACCGCACAGCAATGGCTCTGCAGGTTGCTAATCTCTGGACGCGCGCTATGTTCAGTCAGCAAGTTGGCATCCAGGATCTGCCGCAAGCCTGCGCCTTCTTCAGCGCTGTTGATATAGATAGCGTTCTACGAAAGGAGGTGGACCTGAACTGCGTTACCCCATCGCATCCGACTCCGATTCCTCCTGGCGAAAGTCTTGATATCCTCACTCTCCTCGAAAAGGGCGACGAAGCTCGCCTTGACCCTACGAAGGAGCCTACTCCTGGAGACGCACCCGATCCTGAGGCCTTCCCATACGAAAAACGCGAACCGGTCATGGCCTCTCTCCAAAGCACAACCAACATTCCGTTCCTGCGCGCGCAGATCACCGCAGATGACAAGGAGCTCCTCGAAATCGTCAAGAGCGCCAGGCCGAAGAAGGAGGAATTGTCGGGACCCTCTTCCTCCACCACCCCCAAACGCTCCACGGCTGACTCCCCCTCAGCATGGAGACAAGCGCGTAAGAACGTCCCAAAGCCGCCGCACGCCCAGCGGCAGGCGGTTGTCCTGCCCTTCGAGCACGATGACCGCGCGTGGTTCCGCAACCTCGAGCGAAGCAAATCAAACTGGAAACCTGCGCACCAGCCGCATGGTGCGGCGGGGGGCTGGAGGAGCTGGGGAAGGGTATGAGATGGGGCAGTGGTTGCGAAAGAAGTCGTTCGATTCTGCTTCTTGTGTACAAAGTGTATGATTTGTCTGGTTAAAACGGCTGGGTTCTTCAGAGGTGTTCGGGCGGGACGGCGAAAATCTTCAGGGTTACGAGCGCTACTTTTTTTTTTGGCCTTCTCTGGTAAGATTCGATGAGCGTGGATATTGTGCTGGCCACTCACAACTTGTACGACTGTTGTTCTGTTGTAATTTGTAAAGCAAGAATCCAAGCCTGCATTGGCATCTTCCTTCTGTCAAAAACTCTCACTCACGTCAGAAATCATCAAGCCAAACCCCCCAGGCATCAATGACACTTTCTCATCCTGTCACTCACTCACTCCGGTACACGGCGGATCACGAGTGGGCTGGGCAAAGGAATCTAACGGGAAGGAACACTAACTCTCATCACCATCAAAAAAGCCGCAACGTATCCGTGGACCACGTAGCAAGCCAGCAGGCCTACGGATTACCAATTGCAGGAAAGTACATGTGCACCTTCCGAAAAGCGCAACGTTGCGAATGTTGGCATTCCCGCCAATCAACTACGGGTGCCGTCGTATCCCCCCTCTCCTCTTCAAATCAGATGCGCCACAACGCCCGCCGCCGCCGCAGCCGCGTAGGGTACCCCTCCCTGAAAAGGGAAACACGCCCGTCGGCCCCACGAAAACCGCAAACATTCGCGCGGCTCGGCGGACGTATACAGCAGCCCTTTCTTGCAGGCAAACATCCTCCATTCCTACAACGGCCGGTTTGCTGCTTAATGCTACGCTAGAAAGTAGAGCGGGAATAAAGAAAGTTCTGGGGGGAAGACGCGCGACACCACACGTCTGGAAGACCGTATTCCCGAGATTTGCTCGAACGCCTCGTGGCTTGTGTTGTTAAGCGAGAGTTTAAAGGGCAATTCATGCGCATGAACATCGTAATTGTTAGACATCTCGCTTTTTTTCTCTACTGCTCTCGAATTGGGGGGCCCGGGCTGGCCCAGCAAATTAGAATGATAGAAGGATCTTCATCATCATCGAAGACATACGAGGCTGGGCCCCGGGGGGGCAAGCTAGCCGGGGAGAGCCGCAAGAGGCAAAAATTAATTTTCGCGACGTTGGAAGTTGCGGACCAGCAGAGATGGTGATTCGACGGAAGTCGTGATAATTTCACACATTTTCGACATTTTCTTTGAATCATTCGTTGGGCCTACCAAGAGATTTTTTCCTTTTTTCCTTGGAAGGGAAGTGGCCGCGGCGTCAAGGGAACGACCCCGGCTGCTGTACCATGGCACCGCCAAACTCGGTACACTTGTTCTAGGCTTGGCTCGAACTCTTTCAAACCGATGGTAAGCCCCGGTGCCCGGCTGCTTGAAGGAATGACGTATTCGTCCGTCAGCAGCGTAGGCAGCAAGCCAGAATCCTTCGTAGGATGGGAGGTGTGGCTGGCGTTGGAGGGGGAGCATTTTCTCGGAAGAAAAGAGCCAAGCACTCGTCGTCGTCAGCAGCCGGAGAAAGTGGTCGTAAACGAGGGTGTTTACCGGATTGCAATCCTTCCCGCGGTACCGAGATAGAGAGAGGGTTGCCCTTGCTTCGAGATGCTCTACTTGCTTTTGCGTTTGAAAACAGAGCTCGGCCGAAGATTATTTAGCCTTTCGTCTGTGAAAATCCTAAATCATTTGGATGATGATGATGGGACGAGAGGAACAAGCTCGCATGCGTCCTTTGATCGGTCCCTAATTTTTTCCTATACTCAACCCTGTAGACAGCCGCACTAAGCCCTTCCTTCCATGGTGTCTCCTGATGTCTTGAGTCCCTGTCGTCATTGATCTTGCCAATCCGATGTCTATCTGAAACCCAATCCGCACCGTAATCCTTCCACACCGGAATACCAACCATCAGAAATGTAGAGTCAGCGAGCTCTATGATCTTGCTGGGGTTCACAATAGTATACGATGCTTTAGAGACGTAATATCTTTCACTTCAATGTACAATCTGACCGAAACCAAGCCCCGGAGATGCTGTGATGGTGTTGAAAGATGACATGGTATTCGTTAGATAATTATGCAATAGTCTTAGAGGCTCCCGAGCCAATAGCCAACCAACACCGCCCAACTCTAAACATGCCCAGAATTGCACCGCAATCATTTTCTCCATCCCTATTGAAGCCAGCTCCCGTACGCCCTCGACGTGACCGGAGGAAACAGGCGAAGAAAGAAGAGAAACAACCTCAAGCTCAGCTCAGGAACATAAAAGAAAGCGCCAAAGGCAGCAGCCTCAATCAATAGAAGCCGTACTCGACACGAAAACACTCCCACTCGTCGCATACGTCCCCATATCCACGATGACTGTCGGCGCGACGGTCGGATGCGACCCAGCCAACACTGTCAACAAGCCCGTCTCACTCGCCGGCAACGGCTCGGTCCCATTCTGTGGGAAGAAGCCGCCGCCTTCACTCGTCCCCGTCGTGCTGTTCTTCCCCGCGCGCTGCAGGGCGAGCAGCGAGAAATGCCCGCCGGCGACGGGGCGGGCGATGAAAGTGGTGCCCTGGGGGTAACCGCCGGTAGATATGGTCTCGTAGAGGTCGGTGAAGGCGCGGTTGGTGGAGGTGTGGTTGAGCCAGTAGGCGATGGCGTTGACGATGAGGCGGCGCGTGCGCGGCTCGCACGTCGCCGCCGTCCACAGCTCCCAGTCCGACTTGGTCAGCGAGACGCGGTTGTCGAGCGGGATGCCGAAGGCTTCGGAGACGGTGGCGTAGTACGACGACTGCATGTCGTAGACCTCTTGTCGGATGACGCCGAGGTTGAGGAGCTTGTCCGGGTACGAGTTGTAGAGGAGCCCCCACGAGCTGCGCCATTGGTAGGCGAGCACTGTGTGTGTGCCGGTCGGGTCGATGGCGAGGTCTTCCCAGGCTTGGTAGTAGGAGGAAGAGGTGCTGGTGAAGTTGGTGGCGTCGACGGTGTTGCCCACGACTGTCGAGATCTCGGCCATGGCTTGGAGGCCGACAATGCCTTTGATGGCGAGGTTGGTTTGGTTTTCGAGAGTGCCGACGAAGTCATCCGTGCTTAGCTGATTTGAGGGGATCAGCGTGTACTCGATCAGGAACTGTGACCACTGGAAGAGCTTCGTGTAGTGGTCCCGTAGGTAATTGCGGTCCCCAGTGAACTTGTAGTACGAGTAAGTCATAAGCAACATGTTCCCGGACTCCTCCACTGGCATCTGTTCGTCAGCGCCATCTACATGGCCCGTGGCATTAGGATAATGCGATCCCAAGTCGTGCATCGAGTATGAACGAGGGTAGAAGCCGGATTCTTGATTCAGGTAGAGCGGGTTCATGGCAAACCTCAGTAAGTTCGGGTTGGCATAGAGGAAGAAAGGCATGGCGGGATACTGTTCCCGTGTCAGTTAACTGTCCCCAGACAAGCCAAAGGCGTCCTTACCAAAACATCAACCGTATTCATATTACCGTTGGATGAAATCTCCTTCTGGAACATGAACGGCTCTGAAGAATTGTAGATGTCCGACGCGTTTCCATAGCCAAAGGTCGGGGGAATGGTCAGCATGTAAGCTCCCATGATCTGGCGTGTAGAAAGCGCTACAATGGCATAATACGAATGGTCTTCTGGAACGTCGGGGATAGCGACACCACTTTTGTTGATGGCATCCAAATAGCCGTAGCCATTGCTGGAGTTGAAGATCCAATTTTCACCGAATTGATCCGTGCCTGCCTCGTAGGGGCCTCCAAACAGTTCCGGTGAGGACATTGAGGCATTGGTAAAGGATGGCGTTGAAGTGCTGGAAACATTCCCTCCCTCTGCCGCGTAGTATTCATCGATATCCGTTTTAAGTTGCGCCTCCCACGTGGCGGCCATTTCCTGGACAGTTGCAAAATCATCGTAATGGGTGGCAACCAGATTGGCCCAGTTGGAGCTATAGCATCCTTCACTGCTCCACCAGGGGTTAAGTGACTGAAGACCCTCACTTGTAAGCAGATTGATAACGGGTTCTTGAATGACGCCAACTGTGTACAGAACGCTTCCACGTCTGCTCTGCTTCATGTCATGTGAGAAAGCAAAAACCTGGCCCTCTTTGACGTCAACATAGTTGGAGAGATAGCCCTTTTGAATAAAGCTGTAACGAATGTTGGTAGCTTTGCCAGATGCGAAGGTGAAGTTTTTGGAGTCGCCGGGCTGGGTAGACAGCGTCATGTTCCCCCATTGAGGGAAGTCATTGACCTCGGAAAAGTAAAACTCCTGAGAAAGATGATACCACCTACTCGCGAGTCAGCAATCATGTATCTCCTACAGCTGGAATTAATTACCAGGTGAACAAAGTCGTGTTTGTCACAGTCGAGTTGGGCTTGAACTCGGAGGAATCCACATTTAAGCCGGCAGTAATGTCAGCGGAACCCTGGAAGTTGTTCCATGAGTTGTCAACGTCAGTGTAGAGGTTGACACTGTGAGTTGCGTTGTCCTGCGACTCGTAGGAGACCTCAAGGTAACTCAAAGGGATGCTGGTCCTGCAAAGATCCTGCGGAACAACAGGCGAGAAGAAGCTGGCGGTAACCAGAACAGGGCCGGCAGTAAAAGTAAAGTTGGAGTACTGGGAGTCATAGCTGACGGACAGCGGGGTGGCGGATTTGAAATTGTCCAGCTGAGGTAACACGGAATTGGCAATATTGGTGCCCATCCACTCGTAGGAAATGCCGTCGACTACAATGATGCCTTCCCAACCAACAGCCTGACCGGTCCAAAACTGGACGCCGTTGGTGTTCAAGGTGCCATTGTTCTCAGTCGATGACCAGACGCTCGTGTAGGGAGAGCGAACAGCAAGAGGGACGGCAGGTGGACGCGCCGGGGAGTATACCACGGCAGGATCAGCACTGCTGTCACTACTTGCACTGTTCCTGAATTGGAATTAGTATAGCACTGCGTAAAGAGAAATGGACTATGAATTACTGTGCATAAGCCGAAGCGGCGAGAACCAGGCTGAGCAGCGAATACATTACGAGGTAAACAGAACGAATGACGGAGCATTAAATGAAAGACTCCTTCGCAAGGCCGGCGCTCACCTTCAGCCTCGGGTGCAAAAAGAAGAGAGCAGGCAGCGGGCGGGCTCGGGGCGATGGTCGATGCTAAATATCATGGTGTCAGGCTGGGCGGACTTCGGGAGCCGGGGTGGGTGTCAGGCTTGGTGGTGATCTATTGGCACAGTGTGGGACGGCAAGTGGAATGCATGTGTGAGTTAGTGGAAATTGGCACAAGAGGTGCATGCCGAAGTGTCATGGCGTGCAGCGTGCGCGGAGCCGAAATGAACGTGCGGCTCCAGCATCCGGTGTCCATCAGTGGGGTAGTGACCGGGGTAGTGGGGAACGTTGAACTGGTTATTGGGAGAAGGCTGGGCAGGGCCAGGAACGCATCGTTGGCTGGGCGACTGTGGTGAAAGAAAGAGTGGGCGAGCGGCGCGGCAGGAGCACCCTTTCCGCTCCTTCTGTCTCTGTATCCTGCACCTTGAGTTCACAGTCGCCGTGACACAAGCTTCGCACCCCGGATCGCCGGCACGAGTCAGCCGCCTGTTTGCTGCTTGTGCATCTCCATGATCCATCCGTGCCGTCCCGTCCAAGCCCTCGGCCATTTCTCCCGCAAGCCAATTGCGTTGCGGCTGCACGCCATACGCCCGCCCGCTGTGCCGTCGCCGCCCGTCTCGCCACTCAAGCTTCCGCCATCCCGACGATCCAGCTAATCCTCATCTACCTTTCCAATTTTAGGACGTTTCTCAACCCTTTTGACTCGTGAATCGGCCCAGCGTCATCCCAGGATGTGCCGCGCGGCGCCCCACCCGTCTCTCCTTCAGGCATCTCCTGCAGTCTGCATACAACCCTTGTCTATCTTAGATCCAAATCCAGCCACACAAAAAGTCCCTCAGCCGCCCCAGCGTCCCGCCAGTGCAGTACACCATGTCCGCCTAAGGGTATAAGCTCTCATGGCCAAGAGCACTTGCGTAGCTTATCCTGACGGACGAGCAAACGCAAATACGAACTATAAGGTTTAATCCAAATACAATTGGGTCCAATGACGGAGCAAATCAATACCCTTTTCACCTCAAACTTCCCTCTGCATCCGCCGGTCACGATCGCCTCCTGTGAGGCCAATCACCCGCCGCTTTCTGGTTCAGTTCTATCTGCACCCCCACAGCATACCAGCCCCTCAACTGCAGCAGAAAGCTACATACTACGCCCGATACTTTTCGTGTGCATGCGTCCCGTCAAACCATCTACCCCAGGCTGCGTGACAGTGCGACTTGTCCGTACATCTGTGATCTCTGAAAACCCCAACCAACAAACTGCATGTCTCATGCAAGTAAGCACTGCCTGCGCCTTCAGCTAAGCTTTCCCACAAAAACTCTATCTGCTACCGCCGTCCCGCAATTCCTTCCGAACTCGACATACGCCATCGCATTTGGAACGCCCCAACCCCTCATCCCGCCATTTTTACTCGTTCGCGTAACCACCAATCCCATCTTGGCGTTGGGTGGCTGGACGCCTACCAGGTAATAAGCGCACTCAAACCACAGGGTACATACGTCCGCCACTGCACAATTGGACACGATCATCAGTTGTGGCTGGTATTTCTACAGTTCATTCCCTTCGGTTGAGGCGTGGAACGGTATACGTGCGGTATCTCTGTGCCTTCTATACACATTCGTACCTCTTTCAGTACCAACCCTTTCCTTGGCATTCGAAAAAGGCAACGAACAACTCATCACCGTGACACAGAACTGACAGATTCATCATCTCGCGGGCCGACCAACAGCGACGAAGAGTACGCAAGGTATGCCTATAGTACAGACTAACCGCAAACGGCTGTGAAGTGCAAGCATCAATTAATAACAAGAGGCTGGGAAAAGACCAGGCTAAGGGGAAGGAATATATCGTGAACGTCATATCAGAGCTAAACCGAAGCTTTCGAACCTCTTCAGTGCAAGGGCCGTAGACAACCCTCTACCCACATCACCCAAGCCAGCGAGTCTGGAGCTTACTCGCCGTTCTTGTGCTTGCTGCCGATGTGCAGCTTCTCCTTGATCTTGGTTCCCACGCTGACCTTGCTCTTACCACCGCTGCTCTCGTCGTCATGACGCACGGGAGACGTATCGTCCTTGGCGTCCGACCCGCTCGACTTGTTCACACCCTTCTCCTCGAGCAGTCCTGTGAGATCGCACACAAATGTCAGCCAACCAAGTCATTCCTCTCGTCACCGCCCAACGCGATGGCCAGAAGGAAAAAAAAAAAAAGAAGAAGAGGGGCAAAACTCACGATCAGCCTCCCGCCCCGCCCCGGGCAAACTCGCATCAAAGTCGCCCCCATCCGCCTTGAAGCCCGACTGCTTCACCACCTTCTCCCCCGTCCCCTTCGCCTCCTTATCCTCGCCCCCTTCCTCCCCCACACCACCACCGGCCGCCCCAGAACCCTTCCCATCATGAACCTTCAACGGCTCCCCCGAATGATCATCCGGATCCCTCTTCTTCAACAACGCATCTTCCCCCTCTTCCTTCTTGCCCCGCACCCCCTCCAACTCCTCGCTCGACGACGGCGCCTCCGCCGGCCTGTCGCCGCCCTGCTGCTTCTGCGTCGTGTGCGCGCCGCTGGCCGGGTCTGCGCTGACGCTGGGCTCGGCCGTGCCGAAGGCGCCAGCCTTAGGTGTCGTGGACGTGGCCGACGACTCACTGGGGCGCACGTCTTGGCCGTGCGGGTCGCTCGAGTGCAGCGACGTCACGCCCGTGGTGGTGGTTGAGGGGGTGGTGTAGGAGTCGCTGGTGCTGCTGCCGCCGAGCGGGTTGGTGGTGGAGGTGCCGCCGCTGCTGAGAGGGATGGTGGAGGTCCCGCTGCTCAGGGGGTCGGAGGTTGAGGATGTGGTGGTGGTGGTATCGGGGCCTTTGTGCTCGGTGTTAGCGGCGCGAATGTTCTGTTGCGGCGCAAACAAGGCGAAAGATTGCCGCGGTTTCTATAAGGTGTCTTTCAAAAGAAATGTGACTGTCCATACCAGTGCTGCTCTCGCCGAAGTTCTTGGTGCGGTCGGGCAAACCCTCCTCTGCGCCAACTGGGTTGGACGCGGGGTTTGCGGTGAGGTGGCTGGTGCCGCTGTCTGTATATCCCAGCACAATTATGTATCAGTACGGGAGTATAGGATGGAGTGTGTCGTCAATTGGTGTTTTGTAGAGCGAGCAATTGCGTTCTTGCCGCCGATATGGTGGTGAGGGGAGCTCTGGGACTTACGCAGCTCCGAAGCAGATTTTCCAGACATGTCGGGGACGCCTGAAGTGCACGCTCAGATGTCAGTACTGAATGTAGGCTTGGGTGATTGCGCTTCTTCGAGTCAACGAAGAAAACGATATCGAGATAGAGAGCAGTGTTCCCTTGCTGGACACGAGGCGGGGTAGGAAGAAGACGGTGTTATAAATGCCATCATCGAGATCAAACAAAGAAAAACGGTTGGTCCAAGACGCCGCACTGGTGCTGCCTGCGGAAGGCTGCCCCGCCAGGCCAGCTGACAGCCGTCGACGCAAGAAGGATCCGTGAGGTGGGGTGAGACGCGACGTGAAAGGACAACACAAAAAAAGATCGGCAGCCTTACCCTCAAGGTTGCCGCTGTCGTACGGCGAATCTATCGTTCCCCGTCCCGACTGACCCGAGATGGGCTCTTGACCCGACTCCGCCTTTGGGTCTCCATAGATGAGCTTGCTGGCGCTGCTTGCGATGTTGCTGATAGTCTCCATGTCGGGTATATCGAGAGTTTTCTGGGGTATCGCGGGTCCTTTGTGCTGATTGCGGAGAGGTCTGGGCTGGGATTGAGTTGCGGGAAGGGAAGGAAGAGCAGGCAACAGAGGGCATTTTAGGGACAGTAAGGCGCAACCCACGAACTGGCATCCCCTACGTCACCCCGCGCGGGGCAATGCGGCACACGGCTCCTGCACATCACTCACAAACGCGTCACGAAAAAAAATCTGGATTCAGCCTGGGCGGTTCCTTGTAAGATTACTGCTCGCAACACGGGAGAGCCGCCAATGATGGGCGCGGGCAGCCAAAATGCAGCGCGGCACAGCAGGCTTGTCTACTGCAAGGCCGGCGTGAAACGCTTGGGTTCTCTTCCTGCCTTGCCGGCTCCGTGTGACGTTGGTTGGGCGTCTACCTTCAAGCTTGGAGGATGACGTCGAGGCGTCGCAACAGTCACGTGCCCTACGGGATCTGCTCCGGGATTAGAGTCCAGCCCTGCTTCCATGGCCAAGAGAAGCTCGCAAGAATCCGGGGAGATGCGCAATCTCACCCATTCCCAGTTTTTGACGAAATTGCAATCTGTCTCGTCCGTGTCGTCCGATCCTGGAAACCTGCAAAGAAATCCTGAAACCCTTCCCGCATTGTACCTTTGAATGCTGATTTAGCCCAAATATGTCCAACCCTTATCCGAGGATGATGACCGCATCCGATAATAATAAAATGCATGCCGGGCAAATATCCAAGATTTAGATGCGGATCCCCTCCGCGACGCCCTGCGGCCAGCCGAACGGAACCCCACTAGGGTGCCAAGCAAGGGACTGTTTAGTCTCCCTCCGTCTCAGTCTTTATTCTGTCTCTGAGCCCCTCCTCTTCTTGGATTTTTTCATCGGCGCCCGATTGATCGCCGCCAATGTAGCCGGACCTTGGCCTTCTTTGGGAAACGGAGGGTAGAAGCCATCATCTCTCACTGTCCAGCCTGAGTTCTTCAACTGCCGCCATTCCCTCTCAACCTTGACCCGGACGAGCTCCCCAGTCGCCCGTGAGTCTTCCAAACTGTCGTGACCGGCCGCGCCCGCCGTCTGAATGTCCTTCCCAAGCAATCCCTTGACGAGCCCCTTAAGGGCCGGACGTGCCGGCAGGCCTCCTCTGATTGGGAAAAGCAAGACGGTATCGACGATGGTGGGGTGTACTAGACGAATCGAGTTCAAGTCGTTCTCCAATGCGTGGCCAAGCAATGGAGTCTCGGGCGCAATGAATGAAAGAAGAAGGGAGCGAGCCTCGGCGGGGCTCGAAACTATCCGAAGTGCTGGCTGCTTCTCGCCATCAACTGCCCTGGGGTTGGCCGAGGAAGGGTCAGCTGGATCGTACGGCTGAGCGTTGAAGAACTGATCGGGGGTAACGCCAGAAAATCTAGTATTCAAATCAAGAACCGTTCCGAGAGGGCGAACGAGAACATCGATCAGAGGCTCTCCGTCAGGCCATGATGTTGCCGTAAGACGGATAAGTTCCATGCCGTAGACAGTGTAGCCCATTTCGCAATCGAAGCATACTGCTCTACCTTTGATCGGATTAGGATTGGGCGGCGTAGAAATGAAAGGGAAGACAAGCGCCAGTCGCTTGGTCTCGGATATCTTGAAGACGTGGGTATCCAAAGTCGAACAGCCCGGTGAACCTGTGATTTCTTGACAGCAGGCGTAGCGCATGTCTGCTCGGCCAGTGATTGCCTCAGTCTTCTTGTACTGGGGACGGAAAGGCTTGCCCCAGTGGAATGTGCAATGGCTACCCGTGGTGAGGGCACCGTCTTCAACACGACGCTCGGGAAATACTTGGAAGCGGGTCCTGCAGCGATCGCATACTTCGTAGTTCGCACTCATCTCGACACCACGCCTAGCTTGGTCGATGTCTGCATCCGTGGGGACGGCAGTGACATAGCCGTGCTTGTCGAGACCTACCTGGTTGGCAATGAGACGTTGGAGGAACATAGTCTCCTGCTCTGGAGTGAGACCTGTGTCAATGACCTTGGGTTCCTCCTTTTGGGGAGCGGCGCCTTTCGTCGCTGTAAGGCGGTGTTGCTTCCAGGCTTCGATGTTCATCTTCTTGTATGCCAGGATGCGGAGCTTGATCACATTCTTGTAGACCTTGCCTTGAGTCAGGGCGAGCTCTTCTTCCTCGTCCAGAGCTGCTTTGATTAGTGCATTGTCGTCCAGATGCAAGGCCTTGAGTTCGGGATCAGAGCTCTCGCCAGCTTGCTTATTCAGAGGTACCATCATCTCATGAAGCTTCTCAAGAAGAGCCATACGAATGCCCCACTTCTCGGGTTCTTTGGCCACACGGCGTGGGTTCAAGGTCTCTTTTACCTCCTGCGGCTTCTTTGCTGCAGACGAGGCGGTCTTGTTCGCTGCAGGTCCGGGCTTCGCTTTCTGTCCTACCAAGGCGGACTTTAGAGGGGGTGACACGGGGCGTTTGGCAGATTGCAATTGACTTGGTGGATTGGCGATGGTGCTGCGAGGTTGGCTTTTGGCAGAAGCATCCTTACCGCTGACAGCAGTTTTAGCCGGAACCAAACCTCCAGTGAAAGCCTTCTTCTCCGCCTCGGCGGGAATGGGTGGAGAGGCTTTGGTGCCATCGTCTAGCTTGCGACGTTTCTGCTCGTGTCCTACCTGAGCGGGCGCAGGCTGACGCGACTCGTCTGTGGTGCCGGGAAAGTCATGTCCGAAAATGCAATTGGGCATACGGCAAGCAGCACCGTTGGGACAGACGATGTGCTTGAAGAGGCCTTTGCTGGAGAACATGGTGACGTGTTCGGTGAGAGAATGGTGTGGTCGATCACGGGACAACAGGCTGCAGGAATTAGGGACTGAGATAAGGTGAGACGGGGGTGTGGGGAAGCGCGGTGGAGTTTAGGCACCAACCTACCCAAAAAGGCGGGCCTTGCGACCGCCGACTATCGCTGGATTTGGGGTTGCGCGGAGCTGGCTGCAAGGTCAAGGTGGTAAGAAGGGGCCGTGGAGGCGCGTCGTTGATAAGGCACGCGCGAAAAGGCGGATTGGCGAGGAGGTGCTTGGTGTTGCGTTGGCTTAGACACGCATGCCTCGCTTCCGATGCAGGTGGCCTTTGTCGCCTCACGGGAGCGCGCCGATGGCCTGCGCGTGGCCGATAGAGGTTGAAAGAAAGCCCAAGAAGCCACAGTGGTGTGGGCGTGTCGTTGGCGGCTCTCGTGCGCACCCCTGCGCGCGCAGCTGATCCCTGCCGTCAGCGCCAGCCGGTGGCAGGTGCGTCTGCTGTGACGACTAGATATTTGGCGATAAGCCCGCTGCACGCTACTCCTGCTTGCAGTCGATCACAACGCATTTCTGATAATAAAGTCCACACCCACGAGCGCCCGATTGCGCTCGTTAATGTTCCCGTTCGCTCTCTCCAGCATCGACACCAGCATCGTTACGGCCTACAAAAGCGGCATGGGCGATTCCGCGCCCTCCCGCGCCGCGGCCAACCACCTATGCGTCCTCGTGCATGGGTAAGATAACAAGACGTCTGTTTTCCGCCTTTCCGGGCTGACTCGCCCATTGCAGGCTCTGGGGTAACCCCAATCATCTCTCCTATCTCACATCTTCGCTCCGTGAGGCTTACTCGGAGGACGAGCTGCACATTCTTGTAGTTGCCCGCAATGCTGGCTCTCAAACCTACGACGGTATCGAGCTCGGAGGGGAGCGCATTACTCAGGAGATTGAGGATGAGCTGGAGCGGCTGGCCCGCAACGGCCAGACTATCCGCAAGATCAGTATCATTGGGTACTCTCTCGGCGGCCTTATCTCGAGATACGCCATCGGGCTGATGTACTACAAGGGATGGTTTGATAAGATTGAGCCTGTCGTGCGTGTGCACCCATATGCTGTGGAAGCCATGGCTTACATGCAAGCAGAACTTCACCACCTTTGCCACGCCGCATCTGGGCGTACGCACTCCTCTCCTTGGCGTCTGGAACCACCTGTGGAATGTTCTCGGCGCCAGGATGCTGTCCGCCTCTGGCCGGCAGCTGTTCACCATTGATTCCTTCCGCAACACCGGCCGCCCGCTGCTTGCCAATTTGGCCGACCCCGAGAGTGTCTTCATCAAGGGGCTCGCCAAGTTCAAGCACAAGTCCTTGTACTGCAACATCGTCAACGACCGCTCTGTCGTCTACTACACCGCTGGAATCTCTCGTATCGATCCTTTCACCGACCCGGACGCTGTGAAGATCAATTATTTGAAGGGATACGAGGATGTGATCCTCGATCCCGACAACCCCGTGCAGCCCAAGCAAGAGCAGGAAGACGCTCTGCCGACTTTCTACAAGCGATTGGCTGGCAAGAGTTGCTCCATGCTCAGCAACCTACCCCTGATGCTCTTTCTCATCGTTTTCATTCCAATTGCCATGGTGCTTTTCATCATCAACTCTGGTATACAGTCGGTCAGAAGCAGCCGGCGCATCCGGCTCCACGCCGAGGGGAAATCTGGCATAAACACCAGCGCCTACAGCATTCCTTTGCTCGTGAATGAGGTGCGCCGTGAAGCTGAGGAAATCTTCGAAGGCATCAATCACAATCAGGAGTACTTGCCGTCCGGTAGCGAGGAGATCGCCACGCCAGCAAACTCCAAGCCCAACGCGCCCAAAGCCGTACGCATCAAATCAGACCCCGGCGAGAAGCTCGTACTGGAAGAGTCGGGCGAAGCCGAAGATGAGGCTCCCCATCACCCTGACAACAGGAAATTGGAATTCCCAACATTGGCATTGACACCAGCCCAGTTTGCCATGATACAGGCGTTGGATGACGTGGGCTTCAGGAAATATCCGGTTTACATTCACAAGCATAGACACAGGTAAGTCGTAACCTTGTTCCCCATGGTCAGCTGAGTACTGATCCTTTTGCTTTTCCGCACAGCCACGCTGCCATCATCGTGCGTAAGCTGAACAAACCCTCGTTCGACGAGGGCAAGCTGGTGGTCAAGCACTGGCTCAGCGAATTCGAGGTTTGAGATGACAACCAGGAGAGAGATTACGAATGCTGGAGCAGGGGCACTTCCGGCCCTCCGCGCACCTCTGCTCCCTTTTCCCCTATCCCGCTGCCCTCTCGTCTCCGGTGGCTCCGAGTCACGGTGCTGAGCAGAAAGTACCGATTGACGGGTAATTCGGTCGGTCGGTGCTGTGCAGTGCTCCTATTACATATTTCATTGCTTTACGACGACGCGTCTTCATCTTCAGACTGGGTTTCCCCGAGCACAAGAGGGATGCGGCGTTATTGTAGAGTTTCGGTGCAAATAGTCAAATCAGGACGGGCCGTCGACCAAAGCAGTGGCCGTGGAACCTCAAAGCGGCCGAGAAAGAGGGGCGAACGACCTGTAAATAGAAATTCACTTCCCGTTTGAACGCTACCAAATCCTTACCTGCCCGCTGCTATAGCGCCTTGGGGTGTGCCTGGATCCGGAGCTCAGGCCTCCAACTGTGAGGTGGCGTCGCTTGGTCGCTGCGGCGCATCTCCCGAAGCAGCCGGGGGAGCTGACCAACACAATCGAATACGGAGATCAATAGTTTTCCTCAGGTCCGTATCTGGCATGATCCGGTTTTTATTTTTCCGACTCTTGGGTTCGTTCCTGCATATGCCCGTCGCCACGGCCCGGAGGAAATAATCTGATTGAGGGAAGGGCGAGGCGGGCCCAAATGCCGTGCCGTGCCGTGCCGGGGGATGGGAGTTGGAGGGGGGTGCGTGCGCCTTTCTCTGCCCTGCCAGGCACACGCGAGAAATCGATGTGACGGCCCACGCTTCGCCCTGCATAGCGGCGGCGGCGCACGCGCAGCTCCGCTCCCCCTCCCTTACTCCCCCCTCCATCACACACACCCCCCGGCCACCCACCCAGTCGCGAGACCAGTCATGCGAGATCAGATACGTGTGTGTGCATACAACGGCCTGACGAAAAGGAAAAACAAAAAAGGGAAAGAACAAGCGCCGCAAGAGAAACTCTGCTCACGCGCTCTTTCATTTCCAACGACTCGGCTTTTATTATTTCGCCGCGGCGTTGCAATCTTGCTGCTGTCCTTTTGCCGACAAATGCTTGGCCCGCCAGCGGCGGCGGCGGCGGCGGCGGCGAGCGGCGTCTCTGTTTTTTTTTCTTCTTCCTTACTCGCCCACACCTGCTCTTTTCTGCAGGCTTCTCCGGCCCGCCGCTAATAAGCTAACCTAGAGAGCCGCCAATACGTCGAAGCGCCGCTGTATGTGTGTGAGAGTTGCTCACGCGCGCACTCCTCCATGCAGAGAAAAACAACAGCCCCCACCTCGATCGGTATATATGCGAAACACCATCGACGAGCGGACGATGCAGGCGGCAATTGATGGAAGAAGACATCGCACACTGCATTCCTCGTGACTCATCGATACAACGGCAAGTGTGGACCGTCGTCGCGATACGCTGCATGTACCTGTCCGGCCTCCACATGGGTAAAAAGTAGCGAGAGGTCGCAGGTTCAGATTAATGTGAAACGACCATGTTCATGCCTTTGGCGCCCATCGGCGGCGTCATCATGATGGATGAGGAGAGAGTTGGTCCAACTCGCGCGAGCCGCTTTGGGGAGGAGGGGGTGGGGAAAAAGGATGCGATAGTGGGATGCGCAAGTATTGACTCGCAAGCGTTTCCCCGTCGCGGGCGGGTCGGCTTTCATATACGAGATCGAATCGGTGTTGCTATGCGTGCCGTCGTGTGCCTGACGCTCACTGCTCTTTTGTCTCGCTCTTTGTCGTGGCCGAAGCTTTTTGTAGTTCATGCCGGAGGTATCTCGCTCGTGTCCAGTGTACATGTACCTTGTCGATACTTCCTAACCTTATTCCAATTCCAATCGAAGAATCGAGATGAAAATGCAACATTACAATGATTTCTACTTGGCTAAACTGGCTCTACGCAGAACAGTGACAGCTGCATCGTGACTTTCGATGCCCCTCCGTGTCAAATGTGGGTTCTATTGAGCGAGCCTATCTTGCAAATAGTTCGAGATCTAGCCCGCTCGACGCTGCTGTAGTAGCCACATCACCTTCCTTTCATCGACCGTTGAAACAATGTCTGCTTGGGGCCGAGCCGTCCCGTGCCCCTGTGACCTGACCGGTCGTGCCTCAGCCGACATCTGCCGGTCCACTTGCTGTTGCTTCTTCTGCCTGGGCTGGGGGAGGATGCTCCGCTCCTCTGCCCCCCTCCCTCAACACTAAGGAGAGCCACACACGCAGCATGTACCGCGCACAGACGTGGAGAAGGGGGGCAGGAATTAAGCGACCAAAAATAGATGGGCAAAGTAGGCAACTTGCACGAGATGACGAAATGCGGCTGTATCCATACACGTCATTATTCCGTCGCTATGTTTTATACAGCGAGCCGATCGTAATCTCGTGCGCGAGTATTGTGTTGTGCGGATGCGAGAAGCGCGTCATTAGGCATGCACAACGGTAATGGTAATGTGCGAGATCTGTGCAAGGGTGGCTTGCGGGCAAATTGAGAACGGCCGATGGTGATGCTGCGGTGGTGGTGTTTGCGACGCAGGTCTTCGTGATCCCCAATTGTTGCTATCTTTGGTCGGTCGGTCTGTCCGAGAACATGTATTAACGCGAGGGGAAATTCGTATTGCAAACACCATGCGCCCATTGTATACGACAACGCGTAATAAAACGAGGTTTAAAAGACGACTGTTATGATCGACGTGTGTTCATCTCCTGCTCTTTTGTTGGTTGACCTTTGCGTCGAGTATGTGTAACAGATACCGGCATACCGGTCAGAATCAGCGATGGATATACCGCAGATGGGCCTTTCTGAAGCTATCCGAGTCTCTACATGCGATTCCGAGCGCGTAGCGTAGCGCCTGCACGCGGCTATGTCCCGAAGCGCTTTTGTGCTCTGTAGGGTGGGTACAGTAGAGGCACGGGTCCGCGCAGCGAACAGTTCGCTATTGTTGTCAAAGTTGCCGCCCCTGACAACTACCACAAGGGGTATAACGAGAAACATTGACAGCGTCGATCTACCCCTCCATGGCCGCCTGCAGCTGGAAAAGCGCTTTGTTGCGGCTTTCAGCAGGTACAGGCTCCACCATCGAGGTGGGCGAGATGTGCCGCATGGATCTCCCGCGCGCTGTCTGGCAAAGCTCGAGCGTTGCGTTTCATCGTGAACCTCCTGTCTAGGAGCTTTGGCATGCTTTCTCCAGTCTGGCCTTGTGGTGTACCCAAGCGCGCACACGTGGACGCGCGCTCTTTGGCCATTTCCCTCAGATCTGCTGCAATACACTGCGCAATTAATATGCACAGCGGGTCAATCCTCCGCGTCATTTGAAACACGGACACGTACCTCATTGTCAGAGTGCCCATCTTCGTGTGAATATACCCTTTGGGCAATCCTTCTTTTGCTGCTCCAGATCGGCTTCACGTCAATCGTCCAGAGATCCCTCTGGGCAACCGTGCAGCGTTGGAAGAAGGAAACCTGCGGCACCCACGACTTTACACGGCAGGCGGAGCCGCGCTGCTTGCTGCAGGAGTCCGGCGTTGCGGTGAGCAGGCCAGCCCTAGGGTCAGCGCCTCGAAAATAGAGATCAGGTTTCTTGTTCTTGTACAAGGTCTTGAAGCAAGCCTCTTCCAGAAGGCCAACTGGGTTGGGTGGTACGGCAGTGTCTGGGTCGCCGGTGAGCAAAACAGTGGCTACTGCAGTGCGACGGGTGGTTGTGGCGATGGAGCGGTTTGTTTCTTGCCAATGCCGAAGCAGAGGTAAGGACGGGTCTCTGGTTGATTGCTGGTGAGATGCATAGCCCTACGGCCATGTAGGCGTGCGGCTGCGACGTATCTTGTCCGAGGAATGCTGCTAAGAGTCAGAATAGAGATTGAGGCCGGGGATATATGGTGAGCTGCGAAGCGAAGCAGCAAGCGACATGATGGCAATAAAGGTGGACAGCGGCAATTATGGCGATTTGACGCCCGGATCTTCAGGGTCCTGGCGGCCTGGCGGTGGCTAGTGAGCGCATTTCGGCAACCAGCCGGATGAGATTTCAATTAATTGCGAGGTGAGCCCTGCGGTGATGAAGGTCTTCGAAATCGACAAGAGGCCCGGATGACGTGCAGCACTCAAGCGAGGTTGTGGAGACGGCTCCGTCTCTTTCGGCGCAGGTCGCAGTGCCGGCGCGTAGAGACGCAGGCCGGCTCGTATACAGAGTACGGAAGGCAAAAATGCTGTGGCAGGGCGAGAAAAACCATCGCCAGCGGTGCCGCTGGGCGGTCCGAGCCAGACGGCATTGGAATCTTCTCTCAGGGTTCTTCCATCGTTGTGTGTCAGGCACGCGGGCTTGGGCGGCTCCTGGGCTGGGGGCGCAAGGCGCGTAGCATCTCCACATGCTCGACGGATTTGAGAATCGATCCGCACTGCTCATTTCGCGTGCTGGTGAAGGAGATTTGCGGGAGGCTGGGAGAACGTCATTCGGGTACGTTGTCAAACAGCAAACGCCCTGCCCGCCAAGAACAGGGGCAACTCTGGCGCAAATGAAGCAGGAGACGGGTCAGTGCGCAGCTATTCCTGGCCTCAGCCTAGCGAGCTTCAGCACGCTTGAAACAGGCACAATGCCGCTCGGTCATGCCTGCCGGCGCGCGCCAGAAGCACCGCCGCCCACGGGTGCCGTTGTGCGCCGGTGGGCTCCCACGGCGACGGCGGCGGCAGGACTGCGCCAGCGGCGCCAGGCCGCGCGCGCGAGTGTATATCGATCTCCACGACGGCGGACCGATTGTCGCAGCTGCCGCCATCGCGCGAGGAATTCTCCTCAGGCAGGCGCACGCAAGCCTCAGCCACAGCCAGGCGCTCGTGCGGCCAGGCCGGCGCCGGCGCGGGCTGGACGCGCGACGGGCATGGGCGGCTGTCTGGCGGGCAGCAACGGGCGGTGGCGCAGCTGCGCGCGACGTGAGCGATGCGACGCGGGCATATGATTGGCGAGATACGAGATGCGAATTGGCTGGCTCGAGCTCGGCTGCTCGCAAGGGGTGTGGCCGCCGGCGATGCGCTGCTGTTCTGCACGAGGGGCTCTGCGGGCTGCGGTGCTGCGCTTGCGATGCGTGCTGTGAACGGCGTGCGGGCGCTGGCAGGCCGTTGCCCGTGGGACGCACAGAGCGCAGAGGTGCTGGCGGTGATCTCGCAGTTGCGGGCCCGCCTGCTGCGGAGGCTGCTGGCTGGTGCAAAGATAACCAGGGCTGTAAGCGGCATGGCGCGCGCCCCGTGCACGGCTCTTGGCCCATTTGATGTTGCCCGGGCCTCCTCCGCTTGTCGCTCCCATCGCCCACTCCATCCTCTCCCGCACCGTCCAAACCGAGGTGCCAACAACACCACTCTCCAACCAAATGCTGAGATAGGTGCCTGCGCCCGCGCACCCATCGACGCGTCCGTTCCTTACGACCACATTCCTTCCTTTACCAGCTTCGACACGAGAGATACGGCGGTGACCCGGAGAATCTGCTTGCTTCTGTCCTTCGCCTATACTGTGTACGCCGCAACACCGCGCCACCCCACGCCCCGGCGTTCGCTGACCACCACGCAGTTAATCGCATTGTTTCCTCCAGTCTTCAAGCCCTGCTGTTTTCTCCTTCTTTCTCTGCTCGTCCTATGCCGTACCCACCATAAAACCGCTGTACCACCAACTGTCCTGCACTCGCCCGTCCCACCCCGTCTCGACGCAATCGCATTGTGCCCCGATACGTTGCAGCCATGGCACAAATCGCCCTCCCGCGCCAGCCTGTTACCCAGGCACCGGCCTCTGACATGGGCGCTCCGCTGTACCAGAGGGCCGACCACATCGAACTGGTCCCCAACCCGCACTTCGTCTTCCCGCAGCCGTCGCCAGACTCACCGCCCTCCGACGACCCGCGACCTTCTGGACGCCGACCTAGCTCACTGCAGGTCCTACCAACCGCCAGGCGCACTAACCCGGATTTCAGCAAGCGACGTTCCGCAAGTGCCCTACCTGATTTCAGCTTCAACCCTGGTCAACCAAGCCTGACGCCCGCCCCGTCGACTACAACTCCTCCGCATACGCCCACGTCCAACTCGCCCTCGACGCCCTCGAAGAACATTGGCCACAGGCGCGGCGCGAGCGAGTTCATCGGCGGCGGCAGCTTTCGGAGCGGCACCATGGTCCCCATGAGCTCCAGCCCCACCAAGATCGAGGGTGGCTTCCCTCCACAGAACTCGACACTGAAGCTTGGCCCTCCCGCCGGAAGAAGAGGACACGCGCATCGTCGTTCCGGCGCCATTTCATCACATGATCTCTCATTCCTACTCCAACCATCAACTAACACCCCTCCGAATGTCCCTGATATTCCTCGGATCGACAACACCCCGGCAACGCCCATCGAGAAGGAATTGAAGCCTTCGCCTTTTCCCAAGACTCAGACTCCTCCCCCGGCCATCAACGTTTTTGACTCGAGCTCGAACCCATTCCAGAATGCATCGGATTTCTCTCAGCGACCGCCATCCCGGGCGCGCGTCGGCTTTTCCGAAACCGTCGAGTACATTCGGCCGCTTTCAACCATTTCCTCCGAGACAGAGAGCACCATGTCGACAATTCGCGGCCATTCGGTCTCAAACAGCCTGTCCTCGGTCGTGAGCGGAGCTTCGAGCCCATCTGTCGCTCGGATGGCTCGTCCGAATCTCACTGTCACTTTTGACAAGGAGAACAAGTCTGGACGGCCCAGCACCGCTGGGGCAATTTTGGACGTCAAAGACACCGGCAAGGGAAGTTTCGGGGAATTGCTCAACTCTAAGCGCCCAAGATCTGCAATTTTCCCTGAAGTGCAAGTTTCGCCACCTGCCAACAGCTCCCCCGCTCGCCACGCGAAAAAGCGGAGTTTCTTCTGGTCAGAGCAACGTAACAGCGACTCTTCCATTTCTGCAGCATCCGCGGTAACAACCTCCGAGGCTTCTGTGTCCGTGCTTTCGGAATCGCCCATGTCTTCTCCGGCTGAGCCCAGCCCCTCCGAAATCCACATGAAAGCGCCGCCAACGCCTCCCCGCAAATCGCACAAGCCGCGAAAAGTGAAGTCGTGGGCCACTTCCATCATGGGCCGCAAGGCGAAGCGTCACAGCTCCAAACTCAAGGAGATGCCCCGCAGAGGATCCACCCCCACTCTTCCTAGCCAATCCAGCTTTCAGGACGATGACATCGAAGTCGATCTTGACGATCTTTCTCCGAACTTTGATGACGACAACACGGTGACCATCGTGACTCCGACATCAAACCCTGTCGATGCGAGGCCGAGGTTAGACACCAACATCGCTTCTTGGCAGCCCAAGCAGATGCTTGGCTACGAACAGGATGCCATGAGTCCAGCCATCGACCTCGATGCTGCGCTTGGTCCGTTCAACACGCCCACAATAGGCCCCGTACCACCGCGTGCCCAAGCGCGTGGCATGGTTGCGAGGCGCAAGCCGATGCACAGCAGCATGGGTATCGCATCCGGCCATCGAAGGACAGAGAGTGCGCCAGAGCTCGCGCCTTTCGAATTTCGGAACACCACAACTACTGCTCCTACCATGGCCGACGTCTTCGAGGAAGAAGAGGAAGAGGAAAGCGAGGAAGAACAAGCGGCAACATCGGCTAGTGGTAAAAGCTCGTCCGTTGTCGAGGCTTCTGCTAGCGAGGACGAGGATGAAACCGGCACTGGCATCCAGGTCGTTGAGACTGACCAGCCCCAGAACGGGACTACGATGACCTGGAATTTCAGTGACGCATTTTCGAAGAGCAAATCATCCTTTGAATACCTTGCACCTTCCCCGATGGCAACAGGGACGATCGCTTCCGTCTCTCCTGGCACCAATCCGGTCGACATTGCTCGCGCCCCCAGTCCGTTCCAGCTTTCTGAGGAGCCCGAGGAGCCTCGGACATCCTCTGTAACTCGGTCCTCTGACTCGACAATAACTCCTGCGGGAGACGGCTCCAGGGAACCTGAGCAGACTCTGAATCTGCCAGTACCGGCATGTACCCAGGCAGTTCAGTCCCCTGATTCGCTAAGCACCTCTTCCTTCTCGCCCGATTTCGGCCGCGGTCAAAGTTCCTTCGATACAGCTAGGATGGGCACTGCCGCCTCTTCCATCACTGACACCCGCTCCATGCAGATGGGCGAGCCAGGCCCTGAATGCCGTGTCTCTGTCGACGACGTTCCTTCTCTGACAAGCAGCAGGTCTACCATGACCAGCGCTCAGCATGCAAATTTCCCCTACGTCATGCCTCGGAGCCCCGGCGACCGCGTGGGGTCTGTATCTTCTATGTCAAGTATGCCATACGACACTCGTCGGAAGCGCACGAGTATCGCTAGTCTGTCAAGGCTTGTCGGCAGCTCTTTTGGAGAAAGGAGCAAGCTGTCGATTGAGCAAAGACCTCAGTCCGAGCACGCCGACAAGCCGAAGGATATGAAGCACAAGAAGACTCGGCGGCTCAGCAAGATGATGCAGTTTTGGAAGAATAAGCACAACCTGCACTCATAAATGTATATCGTCACGGCCTGTCCCGCTCTCGTCCCGGCTTCTTCGCGACCTGGTAATATCCATATTTGGACTAATGCAGCCTATTGGCCGACCTCTGGAGCCGGCCTTCATGTTGATGGCACGTTACGACTGTTTTACTTCTTTGGGTTATTACGCCCTCTCATTCATGGACACGGTGTTTTTTCCACTTTGCGTTTTGGAGCATAAGGGCGCCATCGGACGGACGAGCATATCGGGATTTGTTGTTTTATTCCTGGAAACATAACGGCCCCGACCCGGGTTTCGCCAACACACGCGTTGTTTACAGCATACAGAAAGGACAGCACAAAACCAAGGACAACAGCAAGAAGAATTTAACAGCATGGGAGGACTTCTGGAAGACATTGCTTCGCATAGGCGGTTTGGGGCAGAAGCGATCTCTCCCCCTCTTGTTTTGATTTCGTCAAAGAACGAAAAGATTGGCCTGCACGTCGAGTATGTGCAGCGCAGAGTCAAAAGTTGGCTGATCAGTTCTTCGTTCTGCTTTTTGTTTTGGGTGGCTTGAGAGTTTTGTCACATTTTCCACTGTTCGAACTACACGGCATTTGTCTTGATTTTTCGACACACGCCCGCCACGAACCCTCCTGCGTTTTAACTCTCCACTCGACCGCAAATCTCTCTCACCCTCGGACATGTTACGATCGATTCTTGTTACCAAAAGCATATCTTGGGAGGCAATTGTTTCAGGGGATTTTCTGTTGAGTAGAGGACCATGTGGGATGGAGACTGCACGTGTGTGTGTATGCGTATTTGCGTGCGCTAAATAGACATGCAGCTTGTTGAAGAACAAAGGTGGAGGATGCACAGTGTGGGGACGACGAATGAAACGCAGAAACAAACTAAATACACTCGTTTAATCATAGTCAGCTGCTTTACTCTATGTCTCTCTCCCTTCCCCACATTCATGTTGTTGTGTTGTCCGTTAGTCAAAAAAAAGTTGTTGGGGCGTTGGACTTGTTTGATCACCCTACTTCATTTCCGCTGAACGATATGAAGCTTCATTATCGCCGCGCCACCTGAATAAGTTTTTTGATTGGCATCTATGAAAGAGATGTGACATGAAACCCTCGAGTCTGTGGCCGTGCTCCACAATGGCATGTTTCAACTTCGATGCCCTCTCTCCTCCCTTTGCTGTGGCTTGCCTTCCGACTCAGAGAGTGGAATGCTTCCCACCACGTGTTGTTGCGAGTTTCCGAACGGGCCGATACGCGCGCTTCATGCGGCTGCAAGCAAGCTGCGGACTCCTAGGCAGCAGCCTTTCTTTTGTTTCTTCACGAGAGGCCTGACATTCCTACGGCATCTGGCTTCTTGCCTTGTTTTCGCTGCTAATGCGCTTCAGCGCTTGAGGCTTCGTCGTTGCAGGCTGCTGAACTCTTCGCTCTGTTGCCATTATTTTGAGTATGGTATGAGCGTAGCCCAAGATTGTTGGGATAAAGTGAGGTGATGGGACAAGACTCGTTCCACATCAGCCTACGGCGTGCGTCTGCGTTTGCTTCCTCTAGCGAAGTTTTGCTACCTTTTCTTGCAAGAAAATGCTGGCAGTCATTCCACTTCGTACTTCTAGCTTGCCCCTGCCGTTTGCTGTAGCCGTAGCCCGAATCTTTAGGCAGAAGCGAGAGCATCTGTCGGTGTAGAGCTGGGCTGAACGACACGAGCTTGTGCCTCTTCGCTACCATTGGAACTGGGCAAGATTTTCGAGGCGAAGGAAAAAAAAAAGGCACGTGTCAGAGCCGAAACAACTCGGGGTCGATAGTGCGGCATTGGGAACTGGAGGTGGCACACCTGGGGGTGGCCCCCCTGTCCACCTACACAGCCACTTTTTTTGCAATCCGTACCATTCCTTCACTCGTACCCCGCATGTTACCTCCGCTGTCTGCTATCATTGTTACATGCTCTCCAATGTTGCATTTTCGAAATGTAACGGTAGGTGAGGCTGGAGATGCGCGAGGCCAGGCAAGCTGAGATGAATGGTCGTGTCAAGTCTACGGAATTAAGCCTTTTCGTCTAACAGTGCTGAAGATCCCCGCACTTGCGTTGATCTTTTCAAACACACTGACTGAGATGGTGGCGGCGATCATGCGTCTACCGACCTTGGCTCTGAACCATTCGTGGGTAAGTAGGCTACTTGCGGAACTTCACAGCAAAGCAACAGAGATGCACTCCTGATGCTTATGCGATGTATCTGGAGAATAGGCCTGATGAGAGCTGTGATTGGCCGTGCAGTTCGCCAATTACTTTGACTCAATTGGCGGTAATGCTAGGGCATAGAACGTGCAGCTCGGGACTGTTACGCAACAACGGAACCCATGTGAAGTGCCTCACATCCTAGCTTGACCCTCACTAGAGGCGTAAAGCCTTACCTGAAAGCCTTCCTTTTCCGACGGCGGGCTCGCCCGCTGTAACGGGGTGAGATTGAGATCTCGCCGAGTCCCGGCAGCTTGGGCTTCCGGTGCGGGAACGCGGCATCCATCCAGCACAGCCACAACAGGAGGCACCTAGACATGTCTCAAACGCCGCAGCTCTCTTCTCCGTCCTCCTTTTCGTCTTTTGAACGACGAACTGCATTTACGTATTGAGATGTCACTGTCACTTCCCTGTCGTATTCGACGTACCTCGGCTGGCTACAGTATCAATCGATTCGTCTGTCTTACGGTAACTGCCTCACTCACACGACACTACCCATCATGCTAGGCTGTCGTATGTGGCACTCGGAAAGATGGCCGGGACGAACTCCTTGCCGCGAACGGACGGAACGTGCTGATTCCGGATCATTACGGAAGAGAAGAGAGCAGCAGCAGTGACAACACAGCAACAACACCTCGGCAATGCGACCAACGGAGGTTACACGATGACGACCGGCGCCGGGCCCCCTACGTACCTAGCCACGTACGCGCGAATTTCACGCAAACTGGAAAGGGATAGTAACGAACGAAGGAGCCGGAGCTAAAAAAGAAGGGTTGCGAAGTGCACCATTAACCGGGCCGGCAACGGGCCGGGTTAGGTAACATACGGCTACGGCCGGTTCCCTTTTTTTTTCTTTTTTCTTTCCTTCTGCCGGTGTCTCGACGGTTTGACCTGAGCAGGACCCGAAGGAGAGCCGTGCACTGACCATTCGTTCGGCTTTCCCTCGCTGCAATATTGCCTGTTTGGGTTAGACCGCGCACGTGTTGGGGATGATGCGAATGGTCATGTCTTTTTGTTGGCTGGCAGGACGACGAGATGTGTGTGTTGGTGTGATGGTGCGCTCATGTCGTAAGTGGGAGATTGGATGATGGCGTTGTTGGTGTTGCCAGTGGCCACGTATGTTCGAGCTTTGACTGGGTAAGTGCGATGATTATGTGTTGCCTGATGTAGGGCTGGGAAATAGCCTTGCTTTCGCCGGGATGACTTCGGGGATTGCAAACAGCAGGGTGTGGTATGACAGCGCGTTAATCGTGCGGTAAGACACCAAGGCAAGGGAAGTAGTAAATGTCTGTATCATTGGTAGGCGTGCTGGGGTGGGATATTGCGAATTAGAATTAGAATGCCCGTCTCAGAGCACTGTTGACCTCGAGCCACACAGCTAAAGGGCTGAGGAAATAGAAGTGTCGAGAATGAATGAAAGTAGGTAACACCTGGGGTCCGGAACACTTCGAAAGCCAGCCAGTCAAAGCGAAAAACAATCGTAGAGGGCGATGCCTTTTCATTTTATTTGCTTCATAACAGCGACGTACATGCCACATTGAATGACCAACAGAGCCTCCCTCATATTACACTTTCTCTTCATTAGGCCGTTTCTCGTCCATCCTTTCCCCCTGCAACCCAATCCCTATCGGTGGACTGCCTGTCCTCCAAGCGCTTTAACGAGTGAAAAAAGACCTTAAAGAAAGAAGCGGTCCTCTAATTACAACATGAGATAATGCATGAATACCAATGCAAGACGCCGCCTACCTCAATCCAAAACACTGCGGGCGGGAATTTCCCATCTGAGGGCCGAAATAGCTTGGTCTCCAAAACAATCCAGAAGCGAACGGGTCATATTGTACAGGAGAAAAGAGTCCCACTGTTCTTGTATCGGCCGTTCCCAATGTCGTCGATGGTGGTCGTGGGACGTAAAACGTTGACATATTACAAAAAATGGTGTTCTCGTCACTTCACCGCAAAAGTGACGTGCCGAATCGTCATATGCAAACGATGCGCTGCGCTTTCGCAACGATTGTCCCATACGTCTTACCTACCCTTTCTCTGCTTTCCATTGGCGGCGGCGGCCGTCGCCGTCGTCGTCGCCTTATCCTCCACCGGCGAGACTGGCTCACCATTGAGGAGAACCTGAGGAGCTGCTTCCACAGCCTTGCCATTGGCGTTCTTCTCCGCCGCCTCCTGTTCGTTCTCGCTTTCCTCGTAATCGCTGCGCTCATCCTTGACGACTTCTCCCCAGCTCGCGACGAAGCGGTATGCAATGCGCAGGATCAAAAACAGCCAGAACAGATTGACGGCCTGCAGGCTGGCGAGCAGTGCAAATGTGATGTATTGCGAGATCCAGCACTTGTATTGCTGCGTGTCCCAGTTCAGCTCGAAAGGACCGATGGAGGAGAATTCGCCATTGACCATGGACCAGAGGATGCGGAGGTTGATGTAGTGGCGGAGGTAAGTCCAGACGAAGATGAAGAAGCCAAAGTAAGGGCCAACGATGGGGGAATCAAGGTAGTTCAGGGTTTTCGACGTCTGTAAACCATTAGCGACGACAAAACAATTGCGCGAAATGAAGACGTACGGCAAGGAAGAAATCGCTGATATCGTGAGTAATGTAGACAGCCACACCCATATAAGTAAAGTGGAAGCGGTAGCTGCACCAGATGAGGGCGATGGTGATGATATGGTGCATGACGAGCTCCTTGAAGTCCTTACGCGGCTTCTCGAGCATCAGAAGCAGGACAATGGCCTGCTGGGCCCAGTAGCTAGCCTGGAGCAGGTAGTAGGCCTTGAAGACAGCCTCGTGCGTCTTGTGCGGGAAGCCCTCGTACATTCCCCTGGTGTTGAAATACCAGACCGGAGTGCGCGACATGACGTAGAGACCAAAAGGACCAAAGATTCCAAAGTAGATGGCGGTGTAGACTTGTTCCATGAAGCGTGCCTGCTTGGCGCGTGACTTGATGCCGCAGCGGATGGCTAGGGGCCGCAGGAAACGCTGCATCAGGAATTCGCGCGTGAAGGAGAAGACAATGATGTAGAATCCGACGAAGGCGAAGTCCCTGCCTCCCTTGCCATATTGTATCGGAACGGACGGATCGGCGTCGGGAGCGCGGGGAAGCGGATAGGACAGAAAGATGGCGGCGTGCAACGGGTTAGACTCGTTCGGATTGACGGCATAGGCAGCGAGGAGGAGGACGATTAAGATCAGCGGATTGAGCCAGGTATGGCGGATCGAAAGCTTCCACCAGCGGCGCATGAGAGACTTCGCTTTCCGGCGCTTCGAAGGGCGGTGCTGCTTGGGGAAACGCTTTGACAAGCGGTCAGTTGCGGCCATTGCGGAAAATGAGGGGTCTGGTACCTCTTCGGTGGGCGACTGATTGTCGAAAGCCGTCGCAAGGCTCACGGTGCCAGTATCTCCCCTGGGGTCGTCACCGAGGTTGCTGCTCTTTCGGCGGCGGCGCGAACCACTGCCGAAGCCCGTCGGCTCGCGCAGCGGATGGAGGGGCGGAAAAGGCTCAGTCTGATCGGAGCGGGCCATGGCGGATTGCGAGTCGAGGGTGGATGAGGAGGGGAGGGATGATGGTGGAAGATATGGAGCTCAGCGACGGCAGAAAATAGAGCGGCGGTCGGGAGAGCAGCGCCAATGAGCACACGACTCGACCTCCGCAATTTCCGCCTCCAAGCTCCGAGTCCAGGGTCCACGGCTTCCCGATTCGTCCGCACACCGCACACCGCCCTACGCCAGCTGAGGATTCACGTAGCACGAACACATTCCTCTGTTGCCTTGACGCATGTGATTTTACCATGCACGCATATGAACCATTATCTTACACCATTTTCTACGCCTCCAGAGAAAAATCATGCCCCCCCAAAAGCCGTTGTCCTTCATGCTGTAGCTACTACCGACTCATACCGAGCCGGGAACTCAGGGAATGGCACTGCCCTCCGCAGGGCGCTGCTTGGTGCTGAGTGGCGAATGAATCCCAGTTCGCTGTGCTTCACTGTGGACGGCCATTGCTTAGCATGACTGGCATCGCGAATGTCTGCCCACTTGATTCTCACGGCAGCCCTGAAGGCCTCCGTGGGCTCCGGAATCTTGTCGTTGGCCTTCTTTCTGGGCTTGTTGGCAGGCTTGTTGGCGGCCTCGTTGACAACCTTGTTGACGGCCTTCTTACCGGCCTTCTTGTCAGCCTTCTCCAGCATCTGCTCCAATATCTGCTCCACCTCCTGCTTGGGGTCGTACGCCGTTCGTCCTAGCCTGAGTCGCATCGAGAGGAACGCCTTGTGTATCTTCCGAATCTTTATCTTCCACTCCCTCACGCGCTGTTCCAACAATGCCCTATATCCTTCGGTGATATCCTCGTCCTTCGAACGCAGCGTGTCTCGCGCTTCGTCGATTTCCTTCTGGATCTTGGCCATTCCGCCATTGTCCCTCATCCTCGACAACGTCAACTCCGTATGTATCGGCTTTATCGCTTCCGCTGCCTCATCTGCGCCGCGCAGCTTCTTCTTTTCGGAAGCCAGCTCCTTCAGCTCCTTCAAAATTGCCTCCCTCTCCTCAGGCGTAACCTCCTTCGCAGGAGCAGCCTCCTTCTCGTCAGGCGTGGCGTCCTTCTCCTCGGACGTAGCCTTCATACCCAGTGCCTCCTTCTTTTCCTTGATAGTCATGTTGATCTTCTTAAGACGGCCAGCTGCCGCAAACACGTCGTTCAATTCTCGGTCCAGTGCTTCTTCGTTGTGCTGGAATAGTGTTCGAAATTCAGCTGCATGCTTCTTGAGCACGGCGGCCAGATCGGCGATGGAATTGGCCTTCTGGTCCATGATGATCTTGGCTCTCTCCTTCTTGGTCGGTGCCGCCTTGCTTTCCTTGAGCCTTTTTTGCGCGTCTGGCGGAAGCATAGGGTATTCCTTGGTGTGGTCCCAGTTCTGCTCGTGAAGCTTTCGGAACTCGCGTAGATTTCGGTACACAACAAGGCCTTCGGCGCTGTTGCGGAAACTGACGGTGGCCAGAGGACGCCATATGTCTTTGCGTAGCTTTGCAGGGACAGTCTTCTTGCCGGCGAAGCTGAGTTGCGACAGTGCATCGTGGTTCTGGACAGTCATTTAGCGATTGAACCTCGGCAGGCACCCCATTGGCGGCCGCCCGGAGCAATTGATGCATACGTTCAAGTTGCGCTGCAGCGAGTAGACGGTCTGGTTGGTGCGGATGTTGTTGTAGATGAAAATGTGCTGGCCATGCTCTGCGGCGGCGGGCGTGGCGACCGTCCCCTTGGACAAGGCCCGCGCGGCCTTGTTTAGGTTCATGGCGGTAGAGACGGAGAGCAGCGCGGCGCGTCGGCAGAGAGGAGGCGCTGGTGGGCGGAGGGTGGGCGAGGGAGGGTGCGGAGGAAAAGTCTCAGCGGACGTCGCGAACACCAGGCTTGGCCCGGGCGCGCTTGTGATGACGGTGGGCGCGCGGCGGGTATGCGGGACACTCTCGCCCAACACCACCTTCAAGCCCACACTCGACAACGCCATGCACGGCGAAATGACTGCGATTCCGGGGCAGTCAAGCTCAGCCTCCGCCATTTAAATCCATCGATAGCCCTCTCTGCGCGCGCGTTGCGTCCCTGCGCCCGCCAACACCATGCCGGGAAGCTCGAGCGGCCCCGGCGACCAACACCCGCCTCAAGATCTTCCCCGTCGGGAACGGCCCTGGTTACTTCCCTACGTATGCTCCATCGCATTTCTGCGCCAGCCATTATCTGCCCGCTGACACGACGTAGAACCGGAAGATCAGGCATCTCCAGGGCATCACCATCCGTAACTTGACCCTCGTGCAGGCCACCGGACGCCCACGCCGAGGCACTATCGATGATGACGCGATCCCCTCGTCTCTGAAGACTCCCACCAAGGCTTTGGCTCAGCGTGAGAGCCGCAAGCTCGAACATTCTCGGTCTTCCAACGACCTAAGATCCAACGACCTCAAGCCCATCAGCGAGTCTGCCGTGACCGAAGGCCCAAAGCCGGATAACAATGATCCTCCTGCTCCAGATGTGTCTCTCAGGCCCGCCATCGCCAGGATGCGCCGCAGAAGCACCATGGAATGGTCGGGAGCGAGCCCGTTGCAGCGCCAAAAGAAGCTCGAGGACGTGACTGGCGGACGCATGGCCAATACTTTTTTCTCGCTGCACGTCGATGGCGTTGATGAGCCGGTGTACGTGAGCGAGGAGGTCGAGAAGGCAATGAACCCTGACTTCCGCTTCTTCGACCTACATCCATGGGGCCCAGCCGTGACCAGGTTGGACGAGCTCACTGTCAAGGTCTGGGTCAAGAGCGACACCATGACCGAGCACCAGCATCTCTTGGACATTGCCGTCAATTTCCGCTCCCTGCAGTTCATTGGCAAATCAGTAAGTTCACCATCAACAATGCCGGATCTTGGTCGAGTGACTCGTGTTTTAGCTTGACAGCTTTCATCATCCCTTTCCCCAGAATTGCATTCTGTTCCACTTCACCGATGGCATATACACCAGTTTCATGGACCTCGCCTCCGAAGCCTATCGCCTCGATTGGACTACCGCCCCGGCTAAATCGACATCCGCACCCCCTCAACCGACTTCATCCTACGATCAACTAATGAGGCTTTCCACCCTGGATGACTGCATTCAAGATGCCTTGGCCACGCGCGACCGTCTAACCACAGAAATCAATGCTATCATTGAGAGGAATGACGAAGCGCTTTCTACGGTGAACCACGTTCCCGAGGCCCAGGAGAGGCTAAAGCAGGTTGAGGCGTTGGTAGCTTCCCAGAGGAGACGGCTGGAAGCTGCCAGAAAGAAGCGCAATGATCTACAAGCCGGCATCAAGTACCGTCGCGAGACCATGCGGAAAGGAAGAGAAATGCAGACTCAGACGTTGGAAGACATTGAGCACGGCAAGGAGCAGCTTGAGGAACGGAAGATCACTCTGCAGCAGGTCCAGGATGAGATTCTCGGCCACAGACGTCGTGTCTGCGAAGATCTGCTCAAAATCTACCCAATCGAGCCCATACCCGGCCGTTCCCTTTACTTCACCATAAAAGGCCTTCCGCTCCCCAACTCCGAGTTCGACGACGTCCGAGAAGACGTCACCGGCGCCGCTCTCGGCTACGTCGCCCAAGTCGTGGCGCATTTGTCCGTATACCTCTCCCTCCCACTGGCTTACCCCATCGACCCCAAGGCATCGCACTCGACGATCGACGACCCCATCTCGATGACTAACGGGCCCCGCACGTACCCGCTGTTCATGCGCGGCGCGGTGCGCTACCGCTTCGAGTACGGCGTCTTCCTGCTGAACAAGAACATCGAGCTGCTGTCCAACGAGCTCGGCCTCAAGCTGCTCGACATCCGCCAGACGCTGCCCAACCTCAAATACCTCCTCTACGTCGCCACGGCCGGCAAGGGCGACATCCCGGCGCGCAAGGCGGGCGGCTTCCGCGCGCTGCTCAGGTACCCCGGCACTCCGAACGACTCGCGCAGAGCCTCTGTTGATAGCACGGTGGCTAACGGTGCTGCGCCGCAAGAGAATGGAGGGCTGCGCGCCACCGGATCGACGACGCTAGCTTCGCCGACGAAAACGACGGCACCTGATAAGGGTGAAGCGGCAGCGGCAGCGGCCTCTTTGGTGAAGGGCGGCGGCACCGACAATAATCGGATTAGCTTCGCTGCCACGCCGAGCTTCAAGATCCATAAGCCGGCAGCGGCGCTCGGTAGCGTGTCCTGAAACTGTAAATAAGAAGCACTTTTAGGTGGATGAATTCCAGAAAGTGGGTCATGGCTTGTTTTTTTGTCTCTGAAATTGGGACCGGTTTGTTGGGCGGATGATTTTCTTGCATGCGCTATACCCGGGCCGCTTGTGTAGTCTCTCTCTCTCTCTTCTCTTGTCCGAGGGTCTGGCGCTGTGTGGGCTTTTTCCGTAGGAGCGGGCCGCTGGTGGTGGTGGTGGCACTTTTGGGAGGGTTTGGCAGGCGGGAGTGGCGGGGCAAAGCATCTGGACAGCATTAGTAACGGGTAATATCTTTCTCAGGCATAGCTCTTGATCCAGGCTGGAAGTGTTTTACCCATCAGGGAAGGAATATCTGAAGTGGATGGGGTAGAACCGGTGGTCTGCGTGTTGCGGCGTTTCGGTGGCGAAATAGGATGCTTGATACAACGACTGTATTTGTGGTTGCTGTGGAAGAGATGATGGATGAACTGAAGCAGAGCGTCTGTAGCGGGTACAAACCATTCATTGGAAGAGGATACTGCTACTGCTGTTCAGGATTTGCAGTGTTGGCAAGCAAGAAGCGCAGGAGAGCGAAGGAAGACTCACGACTATGGCGAGGCACGAATAGGGTGCTGCGGAAGGGTGGCCTAAGCTCATGGGGTGGGTTACAGTGGTCTACAAGACATGATTGTACCTTCCTCCAAGCTAAATTTATAAGAAATAATGCACTCTATTTGCGTGGATAACTGAATTCAACTGTCACATCTAGGTCCGAATATTTGCTTCAATTGCCCACGTAAGAAAAGAGCAGTGTCTCACGGAACGCTGAAGGAGAAAGTTTTCCAGCTCACTGTAAGATCTGAGGGATGGCAGTTTCCTCACCGACCCCAGAGACACTTTACCGGATCTAAGCAATGGCTACAGCCCAGGCCTCGTTTGGATGAAGATTAGGCAATCGTGCCGTCCAGGCAGAAGGACGCGGGCGCGCGCCAAGCTCCGCTGAGTCCGGAGCAAGCGTTCTCTTGGCGTCAGAATGGGGGAAACGCGAAGCTAGTGGATCTGGCGCGCCTCTCCGAGCGGTGTGTCTTCTCTGGGCAAGTTCTCGCTTGCTCGAGGATTTGACATTAAAGCGGAAGCGGGCTGAAGATGCATGAATCAGCCCATGAATTCACTTCTCCGCCCCCGATGATGCAAGAATAGAATGCAACGCAAAGGAAATGAGAAGTATTGAACAGAAGTATCTGTACCCACTGCTGCAAGAGGTCACCAGCTCACATCGGGAACACGAATGGTAGTGCGTTGGCGGTGGGGAGGGCGCCGCAGAACCCACTCTTGACGAGGGGAAGTTCACCCTCCAACCTACGCCACACAGCCTCTGGATCTCTCCGCCCGAGAATAGCTTCGACGCCACGGGTGATGCGCGATCATCTGGTAGCGAGAAGTGCAAGCGAGAGTTGCCGAGCGGATGGCGCCGCGATAGGATGTGCGGGGTTTTTTTTGCCTCCCCCCTCCAAAGCCGGAGCGGGGCGAAAAGGAGAACTCCGGCTCGCCGATCTAATTGCCCTTAGCGGAACATATCGAAGCAGACGGTACTTGTTTTGTAAATGGTCGTTGGTCAATCTTGCCCGGTTTTTTGGATGTGGCACCTGTCATGTCCCGAACGTGTCTGCCTAGCTTGTAGATCTCCCATTCCAGGCAGACCCGAGTACAGATGTTCTAGACACGCACCGCCCTTTGCCCCACATCAGCAAGCCGTTTTGCTCGGCGATCGCGACATGGCCATGTGTGGGTCCTGGGGTTTCCCGATGTGGGGGAAATACGATCGTGCGCAAGAGAGCTTAATGCCACACACGAAGAGCTTGACCAGAAGAGAAGATTTTTTTTCGATATCATCTCCTAACACGTGGCGGCTGAGACACGGTGTCCAGGAGCATAAGCGATGCTAAGACTTCCTCGTGGGCGCTGTTGGCTGAGGAAGTTCCAAGGCCGGGTGTATGCAGCGGATGGGACTGCCGATGCAGCTCACGGACCCAACAAATCCAGCTGGCACATATCTCGCATATGATCGACGCCACGGAAAAAAAAGGCTAATGCAGCTTTCCCCCTCGGAGAATACGGCAGAGCGGAGCTGTCAGCGGGGGCGGGCGCGATGGAAGGCGGCAGTCGACGCTGTCATCTTGGCAGGCTTCATTGGTGGCGGTCCGCTCCAGCTGAACGACCCCGCTTGCCTGCAGCATCTCATCTTGGACGCGGGAGCCTCCCGGGATGAAGATGCTTTGCGGGCGGAACGCATGCTAGCAGAAACTGAGCATGGCGGTGCCGTGCAACTCCCGGCTGGTGCCACGGGGGTTGATCTTCGGTCACAGGAAGGACGGGACAAGAAGAACGCCGTGGCGGGGAGTCGAGAATCGCACTTCGGCACTCGGAAATGTGAAATTCTGCAAAGCTGGGTCTGGTACTGCAACGGAGTGCGATTGGGCCGGAGCTGAAAGGATGGTACAGACAGTCAAGCTTTGCTCAGGTATCACATGGGCAGTCGCTGAGAGGGGCGGCGGCGGGAAGTGGAAGCTCTGCCAAGAGATGCGGCGTCAAGCGGGCTGATGAGCTGAAGGCTGTTGGTCGATGTTATACGAGGACGGGCGGAGAGAGCGAAGTGTCGTGGCTGGCTTGGCATACCCCAGGTCCCTGAGTGCCAAGCACTCCTCCCCAGGTTCCCATCATGGTCTAGCCCGTTCCGGGCCATGCCATGTGGCAGTCATACCATTTCGCAGCCCTCTGAATGGCCAGCCAAATGCCTTATACAGATCGTCGACCCGAAATGTCATTAGTTCATGCATGTAGCTGAATCACTTTCCCGATTAGGCCATAGCCACAAAGCCAATCATGCCGCTGCAGCTGTCGAGCTGTCAGCCGCTGTGAACAACACGGTCATTGTCAGACCCGGCTGTTTCGTATGGCCTCATGCGACCCATGGAGTTGCTTTTCTATAGTTTACCAAACAAGGATACAACGGTACTCGTGGCCGGTCGAAAAAATAAAAAAGATAGTGGTACACTAGCTCGCCGATGAGTCCCGAACCACTGGTCCTACATGCGGTGCACACTTCTCATAGGCTCGTTCTCTGTGCTTTCCACTCTACCGGTGTCACCACATGAGGTTGCCACATGGGCGTTTCCCAGCACCAAGGAACATCGCCGGATCTGGACCAGGGTGACGGTTTGGAACCGTGAAAATCCTTGAAGAAATTGCCGTTAGCTCTCGAGCCGCTGGCCCTAGCGAGCGCCTTTAAGCCTCAAATGCTTGGCCTTCCAACAATAGCCCATACCTGTTAGACATGGTCGGAAGCTGCCGTCCAAACGGCAAGGCATCGGCTAGCCACCGCTGCCGCCTGGTCGGCTTTAGACCCTGGACCTAACAGTCTAGCTCACGGCACGCGCACCCCGAAACACACCATCTCGGCTCTCAGCGGGGCGTGATGGCGTTCCGCTGGCATGGGCTTCTCCACGATACTGGACTTCTGGGGCATGGTCTTTGCTTCTGGGCTCGACAACTCAGCGGGGCCAGTGCCGGGGCCTTGTTCAGCTCTATCCTGAGATTTTGGGATATATAGTTGACAGTCTTTCCGTCCTCAATCCCAGCATCAGAACACTCAAGCCTTCTCAAGCAAGCCATCACTTCCAAGCTTCTTGTCCTTGTGCCATTCATTTGGTCACTCTCCGTTGAAGGATTCCTTGCTCCCTCAAACCTTCTCAAATCCCCTCACCCTTCGCCGCCATGTTCTTCGGTTCAATCCACTTGGGCGCTGCCGCCCTTCTCGTAGCCGGCGCTTTCGCCGGTGATGACAAGTGGCTCAGCCCTGTGTACAAGAACTTCTACGAGTTCCCTCTCCCTACGCCTCCGGTCAAACAGAAGAAGGCCACCTACACCAATCCCAAGACTGGTGCCGCCATCGATTACTACGAAATCACCATCTCCCCGCTGCAGCAGCAAGTCTACCCGGGCCTTGGCAAAGCGAACCTGGTTGGCTACGATGGAGTCTCGCCTGGCCCCACTTTCAAAATGCAGCGGGGAAGGGAGGCCGTCGTTCGCTTCATCAACAAGGCTACGCTGGCCAACTCCGTCCACCTCCACGGCTCCCCCTCCTTTGCTCCATTCGACGGCTGGGCAGAGGATACAACCAAGCCAGGCCAATACAAGGACTATCTGTATCCAAACTTTCAGGTTGGTCCATTTGCGTGCTCTAAATAAGTGCTCCCACTAAAATAATAATAAGAGTGCCCGTACACTGTGGTATCACGACCATGCTGTTTTCCACACCGCTGAGAACGCATACTTCGGACAAGCCGGCTTTTACGTCCTTGAGGACACCAACGAGGCCGCACTCAATCTCCCCTCTGGGGCCTACGATATTCCTCTTGCCCTGAGCTCGAAGCAATACCAGGCCAATGGCGATCTCTTCAGCCCTGTTGGCGAGACTGTTAGCCTCTGGGGCGATGTCATCCACGTAAGTTGCAGTCTTTTTTCCTCTCCCTCAGTTCTCAGAACAATAAAGGGTGGCGTGGGTAATATTGTGGATGGTCAACTGAATTGCGGTTGGAACGCGCTAACCCGATTGGGCGATTCACGTGATTGCCCGCCAAACCCCAACACATCTCCTCCAAAGCACCACAACATCTACAAAGCACATCTCTATACAATTCTAATGCAATAAACAGGTCAACGGACAACCTTGGCCGTTCTTAAAGGTTAGTTTCGCGTGCTCTAAATAAGTGTCGTTACTAAAGTTTGATAATAAGGTGGAACCTCGCAAATACCGCTTCCGCATCCTTGACACTTCCATTTCCCGCGCCTTTCAACTCTGGCTCGAGGCCGACGGTGCTCTCGGCACGAAGATTCCGTTCAATGTCATTGCATCCGACGCCGGTCTTCTCTCGGCTCCCGTGAAGACCGACCTACTCCATGCCTCCATCGCTGAGCGTTGGGAGATTGTCGTCGACTTTGCTCAGTTCGCCGGCAAGAACGTTACTATGCGTAACAACCGCAACGTACAGGCCGACGACGACTTCAACAGCACGGACAAAGTTATGCGCTTCGTCGTCGGCAACAAGGTCACCACCTCCGATTCGCCTCTACCCAGCACCCTCAGAAGCGTGCCCTTCCCGCCTGCCAAGACGACTGTCGACCGCAGCTTCAAGTTCGAGCGCAAGGGCGGCGAATGGACCGTCAACGGCGTCACCTTCGCCCAGACCGAGAACCGCATCCTGGCCAAGCCCCAGCGCGGTGCTGTTGAGGTCTGGGAGCTCGAGAACAGCTCTGGCGGATGGTCTCATCCCGTCCATATTCACCTTGTTGACTTCCAGGTCATCGAGCGCACTGGTGGCAACCGTCCGGTGCTCGACTATGAGAAGAACGGTCTCAAAGACGTCGTCTTGCTTGGTGTCAACGAGAAGGTCAAGGTTGTTGCTCGTTTCCAGCCTTTTGCGGGAATTTACATGTTCCACTGCCATAACTTGATCCACGAGGTAAGCAATGCCTACAAAAAATCTCCGGTGGTGGTGCAGAGATGGGAGTTGGCCAACGGATGCGTGACTTTCCTGATTGGGTTAGCTCGCTTGCTCCAGAGCATCAACATCCTGTCTCTACACAACCACAACACCTGCATGAGCTGTTTGCTAACTTGAAGCCAGGACAACGATATGATGGCGGCGTTCAACGTCTCTCAGATCGAAAATTTCGGCTACAACAAGAATGAGACTCTCTTCATCGACCCCATGGAGCCCAAGTGGCGGGCCAAGGACATCAACCCTGCCGATTTCACCGACCAGGCCATCCAGTCCAAGCTTGCCCAGTTCGATGCCGTTGATGGTGGCTATAGAGACGCGGAACAAATCGAGGATGCTCTCGAGGCGTACTGGAGCACCGCGTCTACAGGCTTCCAGACCTCGACCAAGCCCGCCAGCTCTACTGCAACATCCTCCACCAAGTCCGCAACCATCACCTCGTCTGCAACGACCAAGGCCGACGACAAGTCTACCAAGACTTCGAGCACGAGCACGAAGGCCACGACTACTTCCAAGAAGTAACGATTGATTTTAGTCACGATTGGCGTTTTTGGCAAGTAAGGTTTCTGGCGTTTATGAAAAAATTTCCATCCCAGTTGTAAATATGGGACGTCTTCTGTAGATACGCTCCTTTTCATTTTTCAAGTTTGCGGAATCTCTCTTCTATTGTACATATTTTGGGGGAGCTTTCCGGCGTATATATTGTGGTCCTCTTGTCTTCTGTAAATACGATAACCTCAATAATCACCATCACTTCAAAAAATCATGGCTCGCAATGACATAGGAAAGTGAAACAGTTGTCCAAACACAAATTTCGCAAACAGACTATCTGGAGTGAGTACTAGAAACCAAATTCTCGAGAAAAAAAAAAAACACCGACATTCCATGGGTACCTGGAGCTATTATCCGGACACGTTTGTCCCTTTTCTAAATCGACATCTACGGTCAGGACATTCGCTTCAGCTCCCCCCGTAAGAAGAGAGTAGTGTTTGCTGTGAAAACAAAATTGAAATTCTTCCACAGCCTTCTGCAGTAGCAAGGCTGCCTTTGTGGAGGTGGTGCATCGGCAAAAGGGATGTCGCGCGTTTAGACGATGGGACCCCTCAGGAAGACGCCACTGCCTCTCCGGAGCCCTCTCAACCACGCACGTCACCGTTCCCACCGCTTCTGCACCTGAATCCTCGAAGATAAACAGCAGGTCAGCCAGCATTGCGACACGCGCGCCAATCTCAACCGCGACAAGGCGAATCATGCCTCTGTCGGAAGTTCGTCACCCCAGCTCCCGGCTTTAATTGACTCGCTCAAGCACCTGGTCGCCACTTTGTCGGCCAGCACGAGGGTCACGACTATCACACTTGCTAATACAGCTATCAAAGAATTCACAAGGTCTTCGGATGCATGAGCGCGAGCATTGGAGGAATCGTTGAATGTGCTGGGGTTGTTTCTGTTTTGCCTTCACGGAAGGCGCCCACCCTCTCGCTTAGCCAAAGAAGATAGTGCTGCATGTTGGGCGGGTGCATGCAGAGGCCGCCTTCCTCAGACACATGGCCCCCCTTCTCCTTTCGGGAGCCTCTTTCCTCGGAGACACAACGAGAAACTTCCATACCTCCACTTCCTCGTACTCATCGTCCTCCTTCGCCTGCCACCTCTCAGTCCTCGAATACCTCCAAGTCCCGGCGCCTCGAGCGCATCCTGGCGCGCGGTCGCCCAGGCGGTCGCACAAACCCAGTCTACGAGTGCCGCCCTCCCAGCAGCGGCTCGCCGCCCAGCTTGTCGCCGCCCAGGCCGCCCAGCAGCAGCACGTCCAGCAGCCCGCCCGTCCAGCAGCAGGACATGGCCATGTCCGACATGATCAATTATTCAGAGGATGCAGCCTAATAGGTTTATGGGAGTACGATATCATCAAGACCTGGAAAGGCATGGCGGGAACGGTGATGGAAGGCGTGGAATCATCATGACTATCCAGACAAGGGTCTGGAATTCACATCAGCATAGCATGCAAGTTGTAGTTAATAGACTCTTGCCGACAGTTTCATTGAACAATCTCAGTCACTCAAAACCCCCCCGAAACTTGACCAATGCCACTAGCTATTTCGCAAGAAATGTTCCTCGACTTGTGCGGTTAGTTGACGCTATCATCCGGACGCGAATGTATAATTTTTAATTCTACATTTACATCCGGACGATAGCTTCAACTACCCAACTATGATGCATTTAGCTTGAATCTGCATTCACTTCTGGGACCATGATTAGAAGTACCTTCAATACTCAGAACTGCCGGTCATATAGGAAAACATCAACTCAAATTCATCAGGGCTCCAATTCCGCAATGTGATATACAGTAGTAGTAGCAGATCGGCAGCCACCGAGTTCCCTCTATGTCTGTGCTGGATCCCCGAGCATCCCTTCTCCATTTCTCATCGCAAGTGCGTGGGAGGTCCTTCATAAACCAGACCGCCTCTGTTTTGATCACTCGTCCAACATTCCGAGCTCAGTTGCCTCTCTTGTAGTCCGCAGCCTGCTTCAGCTCGTCCATCTTCGCGACCCGCCTCTTGAATTCCTCGTACTGGCACTTCTCGTACGTGTGCCTCTCGTCCTGCGAAGCGGGAAATGATGTCAGCCTGCGTTTCGATCACCAGATTGCCCTTCCCTTCGGGTTCCAGTCCATTTCATCCAAAATCATCGCTGCTGCCGCCAGTGTTCTTTTGGCCGTCCATCCCATGTCCAACAAGCGCCCGATCCCCAATTCATCCGTCATCTCCATGCTGTCTCTCCAATGCCACACCAGCAGCGTCCCCCACCCCTCCGTCTCCATCTCCTCTATTGTCCCAGCTCTTCAATTCCCAAGAACTATCCCCAAACCCAACAACCAGCGACAGCAACGACCGTTTCAGACCCTCACCACTCCGTCCACCCCCATCCAAATCCCCCAAACGCCCCCCATCATCAACCGAAAGGGTGTGTGTGCACGGGGAGAGATTCCCTTACCTCGCACTTCCAGGGCAAGTAGTACTCCTCGTAGCGGCAGCGGTTGAGCGGGATGAGCAGGTGCGCGCAGCTGTCGCGGTACGGGATCGGCAGCTTGGCCGCCGACATTTCCTCGCGGGAGGCGCCTGTGTGTTTCGCATTCCCAGCAGGTTTACAATTAGCCTCCGCACATCCCATAGCCAGCAATTGCTTCCCGTTTTCCGCGTTTCCCATCTGTCCGCCCGAGCTAAGGCAGTTGGGTCCTTTCTCTCCCTCCGGTCTCTCTCCCGCCATTGGGTGCGCAGGCCGCCCGGGGTTTTGTGGGGTCGCGCTGCGGTCGGTGTCGTGGCGGGCAGAGGGCCAATTGGAGCGCGGTCGAGTCGAAGCGTGGAGAGAGACCGAGAGAGAGGTCGGCCGGAGGCGCGGGGACAAGTGTCGTTGCTGTCTGGGGCCGGTGGGGGGAAATGATTGGTTTCACTCACTGTTGCTGCCGCCGAGGCCGACGGCGTTCTTGATCGTCTCGGTGACGGTCATCGTGCGAACAGGAGCGGGGTGAAAGCGGAGTGGAGAGGGTGGCTGTAGCGCGATCGAAGACGGGTCGCTGGCGGCGGGGGGCGGACGACGATAAGGTGGTCGCAAGTAGTAGCGAGGTTGGTGGTTGCTGCGGCTCGTCGGGAGAGCAGAGGGCTTGCCGTCCAATGAGGGCGAAGGCGGTGAGAGCGGTGCGCCAAGATTCGTCGGAGCTCCATCCACTCACGTGTGTGTATTACAAAGATGTGGTTACCGGGTTAACTGCACGCGTCTTGTGGTCACAAGGCCAAAAAACTGCGAACGGAAATGGAGGTTAAACTTCAATGGTGGCTATGCTATGCTCGGATATTTGAAAACAAGCAAATTAACTTTCACAACCATTCCAGGGATGACTGAGGCCACGATGCCACGAAGTGAATTCGTTGAACTTTTTTTTGACATTGAAATAGTCGAAAGTTGATCCTCGATCATTATCTCGTCATGTATCATGATGACGCTCAAAAACGATAAACCAGAAGCCGAAGCAAAGATCGAAGAAGCCGAAGAATCGAACTCCCAAAGTCCGTGAACCCCGCAGGAAAAGAGCAGAACCAAGTGAAACGCCTGCCGCCACTGGAAAAGAAAAATACCAGTCGTTGGTTGTCCTGTTCCGTCGAACGCCATTCGCAATCCCTAATCCCGGTGCCCCCAACTACCCCGAAAGAAAACCCAGGTATGGCCAAATCGCAAAAGTTGCCGCTCATTCGTTTCCCTCTCCATGTAGAAAATCTGGCGTCTCTGTATGATTGAACGCTCATCAACAAAAACACGAGGCCTACCCATTCCCATTGGGTATCCTGGTGCAACCCTCCCATGATTCGTACGCGTGCCCTGTACAAAGTGAACAATTACGCGTAGTCGATGAAAGACGCCCAGTACAGCGCGACTTCCAGAGCCGTGCACACCGCCAACGCCGGGATCCCTGATGATATCGGTCAACAATTGATGCTCATTCGCAAATGCTGACCGGATCATTTGACCCTCGCGCTGCCCAGACTGCCGACTCTGCCGCTGGTCTTTCGTACGCCCGTCTTGCCCTCAGCGCTACGCCTCGCCGGAGTGCTCCTTGTCTTCCCGACGTTGATCGCGCCGGAGCCACTACCAGCCTTTCCCGACGGTGTCTTTGGCCGAATGGATCGGTTCTCGATGTCGCTCTCGCCGCCGTTCCAGGTGGTTGTCGTCGTCGAGGTTGTTGTTGTGGTAGTGCAGCTTACAGCCCTCCTCTTGGTATTGCTTCCCACAGACTTGGGCGACTTCGAACTCGGTGACCTTGAAGCAGCGCGCTTGGCCAACAGTCGAAGCTGCGCCTCCTCCTCTTCGTCGGCTACGTCTTGCGTGATGTTGCGTTGCGACTCGACAGCTTCATCCTCCACATCCGGAAGTACGTACGTCTCCTCCTCATGTACCCGGCGCGGCGACTTGTGCCTAGCGCTGCCGTTGCCATAAAGCTTGCTTGTCTTTCGGGGTTGGCCAGGCGTAGGTGCTGGAAGATTTTCATCGTTGACTCCATTTCCTGACATAGATGTCGCGCGTTGATCGTTCGACGAGATTTCTCCCAAAGCCGAACGCTTGGGGCTGGCGTTGGGAGGCGTGTGCGTCTGGCCATTGCTGGTAAGACGCTGCCTGGCCAGGCCCTTGGTGGGAGTCGCCGGCTGCAGAGCAGCAAGCTTCTCCTTCATGCAGTCCTCAAACCACCACTCCCTGAAAGTTCCCTGGTTCAGGTGCAGCCAGTGCTGCTGGGGACCAACGACCATACCAGGGCGCATGAAACGCATGAAAGCGATGATCTCGTTGGCGGTGAAACCATGCCTGTAGATGAGGTAGGCTCCGATCAGGCAGCCAGTCCGTCCAAGACCAGCCTTGCAGTGCACGGCGATGCCCTTCTTGCGGACCGTGATCATCTCGTGGGCGAGGTTGACGAAGTTGCGGACGAGGTTGAGAGGCGGACACGTGCCATCGTCGAAGATCATGTCCAGGTGCTGGATGCCAAGGGCGGTGAAGTAGGTAGGAGAGTAAAGCTCGGAGTTGAGGCGGACCACGAGACCAATGTTGCGGGTGGAGAAATGGGAAAGGACATTCTTGAATGGCGTCGGGATCTTAGCTTGCTGCAGCTCTGCCACAGTCTTCGGAATGGTAGAGTAGATCGGCGATGAAGGGGGGATGACGTGAGTGGGTGCGAACTGCGGCGAGGCGAATGCAAGGAAGTCGGGCGAGATCCAGTTGAAATCACCCATGTCCACGCGCTCGTACTTCTCGTACCTATCACTACTATTAGAAGTGCAAACAGAGGCGACGACAATTTAACATACTCTTCAAGGCTGAAGTCCTTCAGGCTGCAGATTCCCTCCTCCTTGGCCTTCCACACGCCATAGACAACGTCCTGGATGTTAAGAACGTAATCGGCCTGGCTGTAGCCTGCATCTCTGAAGGGCATGCACGGGGGGTCCATCTGGGCGATGGGCGCAAGCGCAAGGTGGGGGGGCCAGTTCTGGATTAGGACCATGTAGCAAGCGAGAAGGCAGGCGGAGTTAGCGCGACCTGGGATTCCGATGTTAGTTGAGGATTGTGGAATAACAGGGAGGGTCCTTACTCCTTGAATCGGCAGAACTCCAGAAAACAACAGGCCTGTCCTCATTGTTGGGGTCGCCCAACACCTCGTGAAGCTGGACAGCGAAGCGGTAGAGATGGCCGATGTGGAGCGGGCCGAAGTCGGCATGGAAGGCGTTGTAGAGGAGGCTGCGGTCGATGGAGAAGTAGACGGGTGGCGGGTGCGACTTGGACGGCGAGGTCGGGCCCGCCTGAGCCTTGGCCGAGCGCTTGCTTGGAGACCTCCGTTCCCTGGAGCTAGAAGGGTAGGGAAACGGAGTGTGCGCGTTGGGAGTAGAGGTGTACGAGGCCAGGTACAAACGGTCTGCGACGGCTGGTTAGGGTCATAGAGGCGGTTTCTCGAGCGGGCGTGTTTGTTTACGTACCTTGGATGTACTCAATGATCTGGCCGTAGTGCTGCGGCGCAGTGCGCTCGTCGTCGTGGGCGTGGTGCGAAGGCATTGCGACTCAATATATGTGCCGTGCCGTTTGGGATGCTAGCCACCTAAATAGGCGGCAGAGGGCGAGACTGTGCGCGTGGCGGGCGCGTCGGGGATGGGATGGAGAGGGAGGACGGACGGACGACGAACCTCCGGGGAAAGCGGCGGGGAGGGCACGAAGAAATAGTGCTAGCGATGAATGAGATGGGGATTGTTGTGAGAAGAGCGCCCGTGGGAGGTGGACGAGGTAGATGTGGATTTCGGGCTTTGTTATGATGGCCCGTGCGAGCCGTTGCTGCGCAGTTGCCGGGGAGCGCAGCGAACAATCTTGCCGCCTGCCCTGCCACCTCCCACAGACCCGCATCAACAAGCTGGCCACCAACAGCAAGGCATTGTTGTGAGCCCCAGCCCCTGTCGCCTTGTCGCGTTGCTATAGAAGCCCGTCAAACTGACGCCCCCAAGCTCGCCGCTGCTGCTTTCTTCAACCGTGTCGGCCAGCGCAAGGGGCGTGTTCGGCCCAGTCCACACCGCTCCTCCCCCCGTCCCACGAGCCCTACTTTTGCCCAGCCCAGCATGCTTATTGCGCGTGGCAGGTCGGAAGGGTGGCTGAGGGTGCCTGTCTCCGCGCTCAGGGTCTGGGCCGACTTGAACGACGTCACCTTCAATGCCATCTCCGTCGGGCCTCTTCCAGGCTTCGAGCTGCGAGGCTCCACCGTCATTGCTGACGGCGCCCTATCCTCCGGGAATGCAGAGCCGCTGATGATCATTCCTCGCGACCTTGTACTGTCGCTCGAGGCTGTCCGCATGCACGCCAAGTCGGACCAGCATCTTCGTGAACTTCTCGATGCGCTGGCCGACTTTGGAAGGGTAAGAACATGTTTGTTTTCTTGTTCCTGTTCCATGACGCAGCCTCTTTTGCGCGTGATGTAGTCACGACGACCACACCAACCTGTCTGCGCCTAAGGCTTGCAGCGCCCGACCGGTGACATCATACCGAATGCTCCGGCTACACTTTCACCCACGACTTGTTTGTTGTTGTCGGCCTTACCCCAAATACTATTCAGCTATCATCTGGGGGGCATTGCCGAGCCGTTTAATGTCGCGAAACGGCATTTCCACTCTCGCTATTCAGCCGGAATGTTTGTGCTTATTTCGCTTGTCGGTGTACTCGCAGCCAGCTGTTCAGCTCCACTCCTACAACTGTCGAGACACGGTGCTCAGGTTGCACCAGCCTCACTCCCAAAGCAAATGTCCACCACACCCCCGAGCCCATTCCATCTCGCATGACATTTGCACAACACGTTGCTATTAACCCGTATTCCAGTGTCGCACAGGGGTCCAACTGGCGCGCAACCATGTGTCTCTCGCTCACGTGTCGGCTTGCTAACGAGAGTCGGCGCAAAGAGGCTGCGTCTGGAATTCTATAATGCTAGCTCTCTACCGTTTCCCGTCTGCTTCCCGTCCATGCGAGTTATAATTAGCACATTCCCGAGTCTGGACTGCGGCTGATATACTCACAGAGCCCTCGGATTGCAATCTTAGTCTTCCTACTCATGCAAGCCATCTCGAATTGCCCTAACACGAGTATCAAGATCGGAGTGCATAACCCACTGAAAGAGTAATGTGGCGCTCAATGCAACGGCGTTCGCAAGCTAACCTCTCCAGATATATCAAGTTCCTCCCGGAAGAACTCCTGCCGACATTCTGGACGGAAGCTGAACGTGACCTCCTCACCGGCACCTCGCTCAAACCGGCAATTGAGGCCAAGATTAAAAGTCTCACCAAGGAATTCGACCAACTTCGCTCCGCAACCGAGCACATCAAGTGGTGCGCCGAACTGTTGTGGGACGAAGAGGATGGCATCATCTCTTTCGATGATTGGCTCCAAGTGGATGCCATGTACCGCTCTCGTGCCCTAGAGTTTCCAGGCATTGGGGACAGTATGGTTCCTTGCGTGGACATGGCTAACCACGCAAGCGGCGATGCTACGGTTGCTCTTTACGAGACGGACTCGGACGGCAATGCCGCGCTTTTGTTACGCGACGGCAAAGAGCTCAAGAAGGGGGACGAAATCACCATAACGTCGGTTGTCACTAGAACCATCATCTTCTGCAATAGCGCTAACGTTGGCCTAGATACGGAGATAAGAAAGGCGCGTGTGAGATGCTGTTCTCTTACGGCTTCATTGAGGACAGCATGACATCAGCCCGAGAGCTCTTCCTGGACCTGGACATCCCGAATGACGATCCGCTCAAACGCGCAAAGCTGCACGTGAACACCTCAGCGCCAGGGTTCCGTCTCTACGATTCCGACCACGTCGGAGCCTCCGCCGGATCAACAGGCTGGCAGAGTGACTTTATTTGGCTCGTAGTGGTCAACGAGGAGGACGGGCTAGACTTTCAGGTCGAGCAAACCACAGATGGTGGTCGTGAGCTCCGCGTCTACTGGAATGGATCGGTGCTTGAGGAGCCCGACAAGCTCGCAGACACACTCAAGACTCACCCGTTGTGGGATGTCTTTAAGCTTCGTGCTGTTTCTCTCCTTCAGGACAGGGTTGAGACGCAGCTGCGCTTGCTGTATGGGACTGATGACGATGTGAAGGCAGCCATGAACGAGGAGGGCATAAGGGTACGGGAACGCGTATGGTCGCTAGCTACTAGGCTGAGAGACCTAGAGAGGGATCTGCTAGAGAGAGCATATGGCAATCTCGAGGAGGAAAAGGAAAAGCTTGTCGAGACGGAGACTGTGCAGAAGTACCTGCAAGCCATGGCACAGCAAGAACCCGAGGAGGATTTCACCTAGGGTGTGGTCGAGGCGGATCGAAAGAATGCGGGGAATGGTGGGGAGGATGAGGTTATCGCGATCCCCGCTATTGATCCAACGCACTGGATCCCGAACGAAGCAAGATCTACACAAAGAGGTTGGCTTTAATCAGAATTGGTCGCTCTGAGAGAGATCGGCGCTTTGGACCTGGTGGCACTAGCTGATTTGTAGCTGAACGGAACCATATCCGGCTGACGCGTAGTGCTCCCTTGCCACATCGATCGGAGAGATGCCTTGAAACTTTGGCGTTTACCCGCCAATGGATTTCATGGATGACGCCAGCGCATTGGATCAGAAATGTCCCATTCGTCGAAGGAAGAAAAAAACCAATAGTAGCGGCTATCCCCGGAAGAATTAAAGAGTGATAATGGTAGAGTGTGAGGTCGGGTTACTTGATATTGCAATGAAGTCGGGGCAGTCGCAGCCATCTTTCGGATGCTTTTACTCCGAAATCTTCATGCAATCATGTACCGATAAATGCTTTGGCTCAGAGTATCCAATGGCAAATAGACTTCTAAGCAAGCCACGCGACTAAATCCCAAGAAATCGGCAGAAATCCGAGCAAGCTTTCTCTCGCGCACTAGTGATTTGCGGGGTACATTAGCTGCGGAAGGTGGAGAGTAGGGTTATGTTGACAACGTGCAGAGGGGTATCGCAGCCGAAGGCTTGCGTGAAGAACAGTAAGGCCTTGGGCGTAACTAGGCCTCGGTCTGTTCTTCTCTTCTTCTCTTTTTACTGAGAAAAACAACATATGCGGGTAGTTGAAGCTATCGTCCGGACGTGTATGTAGAATTTTTAATTCGACATTCTCACCCGGACGATAGCTTCAGCTACCCATGACGTGAGCGAAAAACGAATTCACGCTAGCCTTCGGCTGCGATACCCCTCTGTAGGCTCCCAGCAGGCTAACCAGCAAGATGACGCTTCCCAGCACTTGGCCAACGCCTCGCGGGCGCATCAGCAGCGAGTCAGGTGGTTGGTTGGTGGGGTGGGTCGTCATCGTCGATGGCCATGTCTTTGAGGGCATGAAGTAATGCTTCACTTAGGACAAGTGATGCTAATGCTCATCCTGCAGCAGCTAAATTTGACATAGTGTGCTTCAACTGCATGGTGCTAAAAGAAGACGTTAAAAACCGTTAGTGCGATACGAGCTGTCGTATCGTGTTTATGTAAGTAACATCCGCCCAAGCTAGCCGGCCAGAGGACGTAGCGCAATCCTTGGCTCGAAATGCTAACGTGTGCGCACAGTCTAGTTATTTCGCTGTTGATTCATGCCCTTTGACATTGCCACCCAGGAACACGCGGGGCCAGGCTGAAGCTCATGCTGCGGGAGTGGCAACTGAGCAGGATCTGGGTGCCCGGGTTAGCGAGCCCTACGAGGGGAGGCGGGAGCGCGCCGAGGAGCGCTCTTTTCTCGGGATTGGGCGGGCACTGTATGTAGGGCAGCTAGATCTGAGCGTTGGAGGTCAACATTTGGGTTTGGATATGCAGGCTCAACTACCAGATTAGGGAATACATCTGGGGTATCCTAGAGGCACGTCGCCCACAGCAGCGGGACCCTTCCGCCTTGTGCTGTGAGGTCCCTCTCGCGCCAGATTCCGGTGAGGAGCGAGGGCGCCGCGACGGTGGGTAGGGGGCGCGTGCACGGGTGAATGACCTCAAGCCCACTCAACGAACGGGACCGCTCGTGGGTCCCCGTCGCGCCTCTGCGCCGCCAGCACCAGCTTGCGCGCGTGTTCCCAATCGTGTCAAGTGTCAAGGTGTCCAGGCGTCCCGGCGCGATGTGGGGAGAAGCAGCGCAGACGTCAGCGCTGGTCAGAGCTGGCGCGCGGGCAGGGGATGCGGTGAATGAGGAAGCGTGTATTGCACATCGGCCGTCGATCGTGACGCCGGCAGGAGAGAGAGCGCTGGTGTCGGGCCGGCTGCGCAGAAGCTTGAGCGGCGGGCAGTTTGGGCGGTTCTGGGCGATCAGCTCCGCGGCGCAGGGCAGACGCGGTCCCGTTTCATTTTCTTCCAATGCAGCCACACGCTGGGCGCCGGGCGCGTGTCTACCGCCCAGCGCCGGGTCCGCACTGGCTGCACAATCCCCGCATTTCAGCACTGACATCCCAACTCGACCGCGCCTCCCAACCCCAGACCCGCTAGTGGCTTCGAAAAGAGACCGACACGCCAAAGCTCGTCTCCCCCGTCGCTCCCGCACTCTCTTTCCCACTCCCGAACCCAATCTCAGCCCTTTCTCGAACCGTCCGCCCACTACTTATTGCATATCGCGCCAGCCAAATAGCGGATCCGACACACGCCGCGCACACCGATACGATTCATCCGGATGACACCGCGCTCCTAGCGACCCTGACCCAATTTCTTGCTATCAGCCCAGCGCCTGTCACCACTGCTACCAAACCGATATATATCGAGTGCCGGCCCCTTGCGCCGCCCTCTGCCCGTCATGCCAGGCATTCTACCAATGAAGGTCATCAAGGTCGGGACCAACTCGCAGACCCGCATCGCCCAGGCTTGCGATCGCTGTCGCAGCAAGAAGATCCGCTGCGATGGCATCCGGCCCTCCTGTTCGCAATGTCTCAACGTCGGCTTCGAGTGCAAAACTAGCGACAAGCTGAGTCGCCGCGCCTTCCCGCGTGGCTACACCGAGTCGCTTGAGGAGCGCGTGCGTCAGCTCGAGTCCGAGATTCGCGAGCTGAAGGAACTGCTGGACGAGAAGGACGAGAAGATCGACATGCTGTCGCGCATGCACTCCAACTCCCCTGGATCCATCGGTCGGAGACCATCACCATCGCCCGCGCCAGTCACCCCGAGAGAAGAGGCCCCCGACAAGGAAGACCTCTTCAAGATCCAGCAATCGCCCATTCTCCTGGAGGACGGCAGCTCAGATTCTTATTTCGTCGGCACATCGAGTGGAAGGACACTGATTGGTATGTATCGAGTCTAAACCATAAGTCAGCCTCTCTAACGTGCGCAGACTCCTTCTACCGCCGCGTCCAGGAGACGGGTCGCTCGCTCCCGTCAATCCGACCCGAGGCTTTCCTCGAGACTGACTCAAAACCCCAACCGACCCGGGACACGTCTTCTGTCTCTTTCAAGGCACCTCCCCGCCTTGTGTCCGATCAATTAATCAACATTTTCTTCCAAGAATGGGCCCCTCTTTTCCCGGTGCTCCACCGCCCGGCTTTCCTCGCATTGTACGATGAATTCGTCAACAGCTCAGAACCCCTCTCCGACAAGAAGGCTCTCGCGCAACTCAACCTCGTTTTTGGTATCGCTGCCCTCGCTGGTAATGTAAGTTTGAACTCAAACATCCTCTGAAGCAAATCGCTCACGTGCTGCCAGGCCCCCGACAAGTCACTCGTAGAATCGGTTGAGCTTCAATGGCACGCTGCTTTGAACTCCTTCATCGATGACACTTCTCTCGTTACCTTGCAATGTCTTGTCCTTGCACAGATCTTTTGCCTTCAGAAGGCGGATTACAATCGTCTGCTGAAGTACAAGGGCATCGCCGTCAGTCTGGCGCATCGTTTGGGTCTCCACCAGTCGCAAAAGCGTTTCGCACTTGGCGTTCTTACCAGCGAGATGAGGAAGAAGGTTTTCTGGACACAGTACACTCTTGACTGGTAGGTCTTCTAAACTCTCTTCAACAAGATCATTGCACTAACAGTCATAGCTTCACTGCCGCTCAACTTGGTCTGCCTAAGCAATTGCGCGAGGAGGACATTCACTGCGAGTTCCCCGTGGATGCCGATGACGAGTACATCACGGAGAAGGGCTTCCTCCCTTCCCTTCCTGGAGAGTTCACCAAGCTGTCCAGCGCCCTTGCTCTCTTCCGTGCTGCGCGCATCCTTGGCAATGTCCTCTGCGAGAACTTCCCGGCTGCCACGTCACATGAGATTTCCCTCCGCAAGATGGCTGCTCAGTCGGATGAGTTGGACGAGTGGAACAACAACTTGGCCTCGCACTTGAAGCTTCAATTCGTGCAGGACAAGCCCAGCACCCACATCATCAGCAGCCGCTCGCCCATTCTGGTATGTTGCACAGGAATCAATTCTAGTTCAAAGCTAACGTCTTTCAGTCTCTTGCCTACCAGTACATCAAGTCTCTGATCTGGCGCCCTGCCGTGTGCGCCAACATTGGAGGCCGAGCATCCGCCGCTACGCTTGCTGTTGCTGGCGCCTCGAAGGCCACAGTCCAGATCTTGCAGCTTTTGGAGGAGAGGAGCATGTGCTTCGCCATTTGCCTGAACAAGCATGATATGCTCGTGACCTCAGGCTTCGGTCTCATGTTCCAGAGTCTCGATCTCGATCAAGACAGCAAGCTCATCAAGGAGAACCAGAAGCTCATGGCCGCAATCGTTGGTTACCTCGAACGTTCTCAGTCCCCTGGATCCGCCGCATTCCGCAAGGTGGCAAAGTCGACTCTCTCCCCCAATGCATCAAAGTCCTCTCCAATTCCCAACAACATGCAGGCTCCCCAGGATGCTCTCCGCTCGACGCAGAGGCACCTCAAGGCGATCGCATCACGCTTCTCTCCCAACAGACAGCAGCAGGATGCTTCGAGCGACAGCCGACGGGCGACGCTCGCCACGCTTCCCAACCTTGCCACTGCACACAGCAACCAGAGCGGCGTCAGCATCAGCTCAGTTCACTCTGAACCCCACGCCCGGTCAGAACCCACCATGTCACCCCTGTCGCACCGTGCCTCACTCGGCGGTACTCCGTCAATCAAAATTCGGCGTCCAAGCGTGGGCGGGTCCACTCTTAACCTTGACTATCTCTCTTTCGGTACCGAATCACAGTCGAACACTTATTCGATGGCGGCGCACCTGAAATCGGAAACACAGTCGCCCGGCGACTGGGAGCGCCTCCTCAGCGGGCTTGACAATGGACAGACCAACATCTACGACAGCATCTACGGCGGTGCACCCGTGGATGCGCTAGGCGACGTTCCTCCCCTGTCGGCGACTTCGGACGCGAACCTGGCGTGGTCGCCGAGCGTGTGGACAGTGGGACCGCCCGACCAGCAGCCACCGCAAAGCGTACTAAGCTTTTCTGACGAGAGCCTTACGAGCGGCAGCAACGACTTCGACTGCGACTTCGGGTCCGGGAACTCCGACTCGTATAGGGGCCTTGTGATCCCCGACCTAAGTCCGTCGGCCAATGGCATCGCGCTTGATGGAACCTTTGGACTGTGATGGGAAAAGGGTTGACTCGGAGTTCAGCGACGGCAAATTTTCGGTGTTGCACAATCGTTGGGATGGGTATGGGCCAGGGTGTCTGCGGTGTTTTATTTTGGATGGGATATATGGGTTCCACGCATCGCTTATGCATGCAAGTCGATTTTTGGGATGACTGGGGTCTTGAGAAGGGAAAACTCTCAGGCACGTTTTTGACGTATCTGTCGCTACCTGTTTTCAGCGCGGTTCATGTTCTCCTTTGGCGGCTCTTTTCGCTTTGTTTCTAATTCCCATTACTCTTGATACCTGCCGCGTCGTTTACAGGGAGCATTTTCATAATCTTTTGGCGAGTACATAAGATTCACAGCAGTTGGTATGAAAATCCACGATCTTCAAGCTACAGGCCTCATACAAACAGCAGTGATGTGGACATGATATCACATCGAGATCCTTAGGCTTGGGAGGTGATTGCAGCCAAGGCGGCAATCGGAGACTTTCCAGCCTGATACATTGGATGTTAACCTCAACCCTGTCCTTAAGGTACCACGGTCGACGTCTGCCGCGCGAGAGACTTGGCAATTTTTCTTTTGCTACCCCGCAGTTCATCTTGGTTCACACAAATTTTCTTCCATGCATGTTCCAGCTGCAACGTGGGCTGCAGGTATTACCGCAAATTCTCGCCCTCGCATCATCGCAGAAAAATGACATGCGTGAGCGAAGGCTGGGAAACAGTCAACTAGCCAGTGATCGATCGTGCCGGCTCTTCCCGCACGCGCGAGAGACAGGAAAAAAGGTTCCAGTCCTCGATGGATTGATGGGATTGTGGCACGTGGATGTCGTACCACCATCACCGCGCGCGAGCCCATCCCCAACACCGTCACAACTCCGCGCCGCTCGTTTCCCCTACGAAGGCGCATGGTTAAGCCCTCTCTGTGCCTAGATCGGAGAATCGTCTGTTTTGTTCTATCTGGCGATTCCTTCTGCATGGGTCTTGATTGACACGCATGCGTGGACTGTGCCTGTCTTGCTATGGCATGCATGGGGAAAGGGTCTTTCCGGAACACATCCCCGCCACTCTCTCCGCGCCCCCCAGGAAATCCTTCCCCCCGGAAAAGGAGGGGTGGTGCCACTGGGGAATGGGCGGGAAAAAGAAAAGCAATGAGAGGAACAGACGTACAAAGCACGTGGCACATCACATCTGTATAGCGCGTGGGGCCCCAGAAGGGGGGGACGAGGGGCAAAAAGAGGCTTGCATTGTGGCCCTGTTTTTTTCTTCTCCATCTCCTCTCTACTAACCGGGGCATCCCGTTTGGTGGTGCTTTGAGCATGGACAAGGAAGGGGGCGGAAGGCTGACTCGCGCCCGCTCAATTGGTAGGAAGGGAGGGCAAAGCTGAGCGCGGGGCAAGCAGCATCTTACCCAGATTGTTGGCGAGAACCGTCAGCCCGGCGGGTAAGATCAACGAATCGGCACTGACTCTCGCGTTTCTGTTTGCGGGAAGAGATTGAATATCTCACGCGACCACCGTTCGATGGATTCTTTTCGCTGACAGCTTCTTTCGACTGCTACTGGGCAATTGCCGTTGACCGCAACCCCACGAGCCAGCTGATGAAGAGAGCGCGAACGCGCGCGCGTGGGGGATTCACAGACGATACGACGGAAATGCACGATCCGACCTCGCACGAAACCGCGACGGCATCCACGCCGTCGCGCTCATGACCCTTTTTTTTGCGGTTCCGCTGCTGTTCGTTGGGGGAATGGCGAGAAGGGGCGCGGAAGGAGGGGGAGAAGCTATCGTGGCCTCTGGGAAGGAATGGAGAAGCGCGCGCAAGACCACAGCGATTCCTTCTAGGTACTTCACCAGTAGGAGAACAGCTAGCTTTAGCTGGCCGTTTCGTGTATGCGTTCTGGGCCTTCCGGCTACCCGGGCGTGCGTCAACACCCCTTCTTTTAGCGGCAAGCCTCGCAGATGTCAGAAGCTGAGTGACAGACAAGGGGAGCTGGACGGCTCTCGCCCGCGCGCGCGCGCTCTCTCTAATCTCAGTATTTTCTCCTTAAACTTTTGGACATTGGTATGTAGGTGTGCAATGTGAAGGATTTGATTTAGTTGCAAATCCCGGTAGACGCATCTCGCGCTGGACCGCGGGGCGAGGAACGCGTAGAGCCGCGCAAAGCGGTGTGTGGTCAACGCGCCCGCAAATAGAACACGCAGGAGAAGGAAGAATACGCAATAGCTGGGAGGCGTTCGAAAGCGGACTAGCTGACGATAGCGAAGTCTGGTTCCAACGTGCGGAGCCGCAATTGTGGAGCGTGCGGCCACGCGAGCAAGGGCAAAGCCACCGTCCAGCGAATGCAGCTGCGGACGCTAGGACGACGAGGCACGATCATGATGAGTAGTTGACAGCGGCGGCGTCGGCTGGGTCCCCCTTTCCAACCGGCGTCTAGAGTGAAGAAGGGAATGAAAGCTCAGATCTCCGCGTGTTGCCATGTGTTCGGGGGATTTAGCCACGCCAAACCGGCCCCGCGCGATGGATGGTGTGGCGTCTCTAGAGGAGGATTGCGGAGATCGGCGGTTCGATTCGTGGACAGCCTTGCGAGCTCCGCGACAGGGCCGAATGATGCGTGTGCGGTAGTTGCCTAGGTGAAATCTTAATGCATGGACTGGATTGGTTCTGGTTCTGTTTGAAACAAGAGAAAATAACGTAGGAGCCGCAGTGCCCCGTTGGGGCGGGTTTGATGGCTGCAGCCCTCGTTGGATCGTCGGTAGCTCCGTTTTTTTTCGCTAGGCACCGCTACCATACCCACTACTAGCCGCTGCCCGCTGCCGCACTTTCGTTGCCCTTGTTTGATCGCAACACCGCTGACTAGTATACACTTACTCATACTGTTTTGTCTTGCCTAACGGATGATGTGCGAGCGGCTCCGAAGGCTCCCGATGCGGATGCGGAGAAGGGTGCCTTGCGGCGTTGCGCTTCATTCGGGTGCATACGGGGCACAGGCTCTTGTACCAAGGTACAACCGCCACGGGAACGATTGCGATTGGCTTCTCCAACTACAACCCTGATCCTTTCTGCCATTTTCCCACACCGTATTTCCCCGTGGGGGATGCCAGGCGCGACGGGGCAAAGGGTACTATACAAATGCGGAGGGAATTTGCGGAGGCCCGCCCGAACTAAACCACTCACTTTCTCTACCTGACACAGGCGCGCGGGCTCACCGGCCCGGTCAGAAGCTGTATCTCTGCCTCTCTCTCTTGCGGTGTAGTTGAGTTATGTTGGCTTTTGATGCCACAACCCGTGCTAACGGACAGTGGGGCCCAAGTGTCACAGCACGCTGCATGAGTAAGGGATGCGGCGATGGCGCAACTGTGCAATGCCTCTCCCGCCTCGCCCAGGAGATTTGTAGGAATGCTTGTTCGATATCGATCTGCCGTGGCTTGCGGTAGCCTCCGCTGACTATATTATATTAGGATTACACATTACTGACTATTCGTTTTCAATACCGAAAAGACCTTTGTCCAAGGATCTGCAGCCCAGTCACAGGCTTGATTATCTCTGTCTGCTCAGAAGCTGTCGATACCTACGTCATTCCCGTGAGTGTCGCTCATCATTGCTTGAGCATACTCTAATCAAAGCTTACAGTCGCTGGCCAAGGCGAGCTCCACATGTGGACTCGACATCATCAGGCGTCCTCGCCCATGATCAGGGAGCGAGGTACTTTGACCCAGGAAGTAGCTGCGCGGCGGCCCACCGACTCGGAACGCATTGTTCGCGCGCGCCGCCGCCCGCTGCAAGATGCCCTGGATCACGGCGTTGTCTGTGACGCCATCGGCGCAGACGTGCTTGGCTATCTCCCACGGCGAGACAGGGATGTCGAGATCCCAGTACTGGACCGCCTCGAGGTTGTACAGCAGGGGTGCCCACAAAGGCGCTGCCCATCTATCCTCCTCGAGCCGCACTGTCGTCGTACTGCCGCTGCCGTCGGCTTCAAGTCCCGCACTGCCGCTGCCGCTGCTGTGAGACGTGCTGAAAGATCCTCCTCCCTCGCATAGACAACTCGCACCGCCGTCGACGCCGAACCAGCGTATGGCCTGCAGCACGAGGGCTGCGGCGGGCCGGCATGCAGGCGAAGGGTCCAGCATGCGGAAGGCGAGGTCGGTCGTAATGCGGGTCCAGTCGGCTGCGTCGACGCTGCTGCTGTTGTTGCATCCGGGCGGCGCTACGGGAAGCGGGCCCATGGTGGAGAGGGTGGATATCCATTGCACGAGTTGTTTCTGGCACGGTGCGTAAGCGCCTGCCGGATCGTTCCCCGGCGCTCCCGCGCGGACGTGCCGGAAATGAGCCTGTGAGTCGCCGCCGTCGCCAGCATGGCATATGGCTGTCACTAGTTCCAGTAGGACGCAGCCGAAGCCGTACATGTCGTCCTTGAAGGGCACGTGAGGACCGGGGTGCGAGGGAGCCGCATACGGGGAAGCGGCCTGGTGTGCGGGAGACGCTGTGGTACCAGCAGTATCCGCCGGGTTGGATCGGTCCACTCGACGTGCCATTGCGAAGCCTGTGAGGAGCACCCGGTCGTCTACCGTGATCATTATGTTGGACGGCTGGATATCTCCGTGTTCGACGTTTTGGTTGTGGAGATAAGTCAGGGCCTTAGTGAGACAGGAGACCCATTCCTTGAGAGTCTCGAGACTCGGCTTTTGTCTGTGTGGGTCGTTCTCGGCGTCAAAGAGTCGAAAGACGTGTGTTAGTCTCAGAGCAGCTCTCGGAGCCAAAAGTATGTTGAAATGGCCGGCGGACTCAAAAGTCTCGGCAACTTTAACAACATGTTCGTGGTGAAGTTCACGCAAGAGGCTTGCTTCTGCCCTGAGCTTGTTGTTCAAGTTCGCCTGGTCTCGCTCTTCGCTTGCCACGCCTTTCTTCTGCATGTATTGCTTCCACGGCTGGTCTTTGTTCCGCACTGCGAGGACAATGCATCCTTGTTCGTGACCAAGGCGCTTTGTGATCAAATATGGGCAATCGCTCTCGGATGCGTAGACTGTGTGTGGTCGGGGATCTCCGGCATTGGCAACATTGTTTGCCCAAGAAGCTCTTCTTCCACTACCAAGTGTGGGAGGTGCCTCACTTGACACTGAGGTGGTGGAATGAGATGGGCGATTGCCATTCTCTACGTGAAGCTCATTGTCACCTTCAAAACAATCAGTGAGAGTACTTCTTTGAAGCACGTGAGCCTTACCTGGGGGGCCGGCAGGTGAGTGAACACTGAGACTCCCATCTTCCACCCAGATCCAGTCTTCCAATGGGTCGTCAGCTTGGTCCCGAGAGCCGCCTAGCATGACTTCGATGTCTCAGCTTATTGTAGAGAAGTTTGACCTTCCCAATCCTGTCTCTCCGAAGACATTAGATTCTGTTTCCAGGGATAGTAAAAGTGTTTGTCTGGATATATTTATACGGTTCGAAACTCACAGAAAAATCCAGGTATCTGTTATCAACTGCTCATGTAGGGAGGTTGGAAGAGAGCCCAGATTTTTTGCAGTCCGCTGTGATTCAAAAATTGGAAGAAAATAGTGAAAGTAGCAGAAAGAAATGCCAATCAGCGTACAATCGAAGACAAGCGATATATGAAAGAGTAATACATTGAAATGCTGCGAAATATATATCTCCTTGAAGTGAAAATTTTTTGAGCTGAGCTGATGCATTAAGTGACCAGCTTGACATCACTGCTGCAGTCAGACCAGGCAGCAACGATTGTGGCTCAGACGGGGGCTGACAGCGCATGAGTTCCTGGCTGCTTGCCCCTGATTGAAGGGACGTGGCACAGTGAAAGTTTTTGCAGACCATGCGCACCCTGCATTGAGCGCCGGTCTAACTGTTCCGGGGAAATCATAGGTCATTGGCGGACGCTGAGAAGTGTAAGCTTGGCAGGCTGTAGCTTGCGTCTGGGGATCAGAAAATTCAGAGCGCAACAAATCATTCAATGTCTGAACTTTACGACCACTTTATAGAAGCGTATTTTGTCGCTCCATAGGCAATTGAAGCAAATATAGGGACGAAGACGGAGGTCGAAAAATAATGACGTCGAAAGGTGTCTGAAGGATGATTCGCTTGCCAGCACAGGCTCACGCCGGCACGCCAGACCAAGAGATCCAAAGCGTATTCCGCAAGCGACATGACGCATGCAGTCAAGCCGATAGTTCTCGTCGCGCAGCAGCGATGTCGGAAGAGAAGAAGTAAGAGTCACAACACACGGGTGTTTTGTTGTATCCCGGCTTGGCAGTGACACACCTCACCTGCGGCAACGACTTTCTTTTCCTCCCTCCAACGCACGGACCTTACCCCGGCGCGTCATCCACATCCTCAAGACCTGGATTGACAACGCGCTGCACTACCCCCGCCAACCAAAAACCCCCCATCTACAACGACAATGCCGAGCTCCGAGTACTCCGCCGTCACCGGCGGCGCGCTCAAGCTCAAAGGCGGCACCCCCATCGACAAGAAGAAGAAAAAGAAGAAGCCGAAGCAGCAACCATCTACCGACGCCGAGACAGCAGCCTCTTCTTCCTCCGCCGCAGCAGCAGCGAAAGACGACGAGCGATCCGCCCTCCAGCGCGCCCTCGCCGACGAAGACAAGACGGACGGCAGCGATTCGAAGAAGCGAACCGAATCGGGCGAGGGAAGCAACAACGAGGATGAGCAGCAGCTGGGCAGGGCCATCGCGGCGCATAGGCATAAGACCGAGGCGGAGAGGAAGTACGAGGAGAGGAGGCGGAAGAGGGTGAGTTGGACATACTTTTTTTTTTGCGATGCTACAAGCGGAGAGCTTGCGGGTGGTGCTAGGAGAAGGAGAGCGTTTTTGGCTGACGGGAATCTTTGCACAGTTGGACGAGCGGTTGAAGCGCGAAGGCGTCAAGACGCACAAGGAGCGCGTCGAGGAGCTGAATAAGTACCTCAGCACGCTGAGCGAGCACCATGACATGTGAGTACTCCTGCGAAGATGGGAGCTGGGTCTGTGGTACGGAGAAGCTGACGAGATGCAGGCCGAGAATTGGACCGGGATAACACGTGTGTGGTGTGCGATGCACAAGAAGATTGGTTTCGGGGCTTTGCAGCATGGAGTTCTGGCGTATGGTGGGACAGTGCTTGTTCCATGCATTTCACATGGCACTGTGGGTTACAAAAGAATCACATAATTTTCAACCGGCGATCCTCGTGCAGTTGGTTGAAGTCGACATCAGCGTGCTTACATCCATCTTAACACTTTCATTTGCGTCCGGTCACATGCTTCAACTGCCCACGGAAGAAGAATGCAACGTGCTCCAGTGAAGCTTGGACGTACTTTGTAGGAGCCACGGCTCCAGCTTTCCTTGGTGATGCGATCATCCTCAGCATAAAAGCCATACCCATGGTCTATATAGATGCCAGTGTTCTGCAAGACGTAGTTACGGCCAAGGGGAATGTGTATTCCTTCCTGCAGAACTTCTATCGTGAAAGCGAAGGAACTGAAATGTAGTCTTGTATGGATGCGTCTACGTATGTCATATCCAGCATTGTGAATACTGCTCTCGAGGAAGGAGCTATGTATAGACAGCGACAAATAGTCGACGGAAGAAGTGATTCTTCTTATGGATTGGATTGATTGACCTGTTCTTTTTCTACGTCGATGCTCCCTTTCGCACAGCTACTTGATCCTCGTAATTCATTTTCACCATAAAACTTCCTCATTCCACCAAATGCAAGTCTCGAAAGCCTTAAATTTCTCTGATGCTTCTTTGCCAGGTCCTCCATGCATCTTACCGGTTCGAAATTCTAAGGGGTATATGGGTATATGTTTGTTGTTTTAAAATAGACATGAAAAAAAACACCAAACCAGAAGCCAAAACAAACAAACTTTGAAACAGAAATAAAGATCAGGGTATACTTATCGACATTTGCACCCAATAAAAACCGCCTGCAATGCCCATCTCCTAGAAATTATAAGCAGAATTACTATTAGATTCCCCCAATGACTGTTGAAAATGAGTTACTCTTACAAAGAATAGGCAGCCACAGATTAGAGCGAAACAGATCCTGCTTTAAAGAGAGATGGATAGCATTAACGACGAGGCGGGCCATCAGCACATCAAATTACGCTTCATGGAACTTTACAGCGCTAAGATGGCTGCAGCAAATGAAAGAGTTGTGGGGGTATCGAAGAAGCAGATGAAGAAAATTAGAGGAGCAGATTTGGTGGCAGAGAGTTGGAAGCGAGCAGGACAAGAAGATGGACGCGGAGCCCCTTCATTAGGCTCCATTGCTCCGATATGCCGTAACGGCTTCATGTGGTGGCTGGACGAGCATTTGAGACATCCGCACGGAGAGTTGCTGCACAGATGAATGATCAGTGCTGCTGGGTGAATGGTCTTCGTCGTCGTCGTCGAAAACTTTGTTGATGGACCCAAGAAGCATCTTCCAAACGTTTCCGTTCGCTGGCTCGGTATCTACAATGTCCCTTCAAGGCCATTATTAGCAGTTTGAAAGTATAATAGCTGGCAATGGGAGTACCTTTTCAGATGCAAGCCGCTGTCGAGGTGTTCAAGTGTTTGGAGACCTTCCCGATGGTTTCCAAAGCTTATGAACTGGATACCAAAGTCCTTTTCTCCAGCCTCCTTCCGAAGGAGCTCATCCACGAAATTCTTGATCACTGTTTCAATGTCGCAGTTGGTGTCCGAGCACCACGCTCCATCGGTCAGAATGTAACAAGTCATTGGTTTCTTCCGCTTGGGCATTCTTTTTGCGAAGAAGCTTTTGTTACCACCCTTGCCGAACATAGACTCGCGGAAAGCGTGCAGGACAGTCTCGAGCACCTTTTTCAGATTATCGGGGCCTGCACGCTCCGAATACCTTTTTGTGACAGCTTCAGTCAAGTCGGATGACTTCTTGGAATGCACGGGATCGCCTGAAGACGAGGAAAAATACAAATCCAGGCCATCAGGGTCCGCCACTTTGACGATATATGCCAAAAGAGAGATCCTTGACGTCAATATCGACCAATCAGTGCTTCTCATAGAGGAAGAGTCATCCACAATGAAGACCTGTATATCTCTAGTTAGCAATGAATCACCATGTACCTGTTCCATTCCTTAAGTGAGATGCTTACATGGTCACGTTCGCTGATCAACTCCATGAATCTCTCTCCATCTTCCGGAGCGCTCTTTGACTTGAGACCTCGCTTCCTCTGTGTCTCTTTCCAAAGTTGGGCTGAATCAACTGACCAGTGGGAATTATTTTTTGGCCTCTGTGGTTTGCTTGGCCTTTCGATTGAGCTTGAATAGTGATGGGAGAGTCGTGTGGTTGATGGCGAGTCCGTGTTTGGTGGTGATCCGGTGTCTTGCGGTCTTTCGGGAATCCTTTCTGGACTGTGCTCGAGGCGCCTGCCTTCGCCAGTGATGTTCCCGGTGTCGATCCGTATACTTCTTCTGGTGGTGGTGGTCGGCGTACGTGCTGGTGGGGGATGAGGAAACTCTTGCGTTCCGGCCGGCAGCTCGGCCGGCATGTCTCTGAGAGTGTGAGTCCTGGACGACAACGGGCTGTCGGTGGATGAGCTCCACATCGAGCTCTGCCTCGAGTCTTTGGCCTGCTTGAGCAGCATCTGTGACTTTGTCCACAGCTGTTTGGCGTTGGGGCGTACACCTTCTACGCCGAGCATCTCTTGGACCATATTCTGGAGCACATGGCGTGTGATGTGGTCTGTCCTGCGCTTGCTTGCAACAATATCGCCATGCGTGCGCTCGACAGCTACGAGAGTTGTGTCGCCGTTGTGGAAGCAGCCGTCGTCCTTGAAGTTCGGGATCTTGTCTGTTTCTTCTCTGCGCTCAACGCGGTACTTCTGCAGCCCATCGTAGCCGAGAACGAGCCATGTTGCCGCTTCGCTATACACACAACCAAGAGACCATATGTCCACGGACTTGGAGACTCGCAGATTGGCGGGGCCAACAAGACTGTCGGATCGATAAGATTCCGGGGCCCCTGTGCTCGGTGTCAATAAGCGTCGAAGTAGCGCAAGAGAGAATCAGAGCTTACCATATGTTCTCGTGCCCCATGCGTCAGTATCAACTTCGTCCCCGTTGTTTCCTCTGGCCTTTTTGAAGTGGCTTAGCCCAAGATCTGCAAGCTTGAACTCGTATTTATACGGAGATTTCCTGTCGCTGCTGACAACGAGGATATTCTCAGGCTTGATGTCTTGGTGCCAGCTGCATGACCAACGTTAGCCAGTATTGATTCAGTGCTGGGGCAAGACAAACCCTTGGAAGATGTCCGGAGTCTCCAAGTCATGGTCTTCGAGGTTGTGGATCTTCAGAAGAGCAAAGATTGGGTAGAAGAGGCCACGCCAAAAGGATACGATATCGTCTTCGGTTGTCGGCGGCGGGACTTCCTTGAAGAACTGTTCCAGAGTGCCTTTGTCGGCATACTCGAGGAGTACGTTGTGGGTGCCGCCGTGGATGAAATTCCCATGGAACCCAATCAAGCCTGGTACGAAACCCTGGTTGCTGCCGGCGGCCAAGACTCTTCTGAACGCGCGAATCTCATTGGTGTAGTATGACTTGGCATCTCCGGTACGGTAGGTCTTCAGGACGTAGGTATGTGCGTGTCGAAAGCTTGGGTTCTTAGGAGGTCAGCACTGAGGTCATTTCTGGAGCTAAAGTAGGATGATTTCGCGAAAGTACCTTCTTTTCAGAACTACCGTAGGGCTCGAGCTCATCATAAGCTTGTGGGAGAGTGATCTTGAAGATGTTTGAGCTCGCGCCCTTCCCGATCCGATCCTTTGTCATGATGGGCAAAATGCGGGCGTCTTCGTAGACCAGGTCCATATTGTACGTCAGCGACTGGGCGCAGAATTGCCACTGAACCTCCTTGAATCTCTCGAAAAAATCGGACCCGTCGTCGGCAAATGGAAAGTGTGCGGGCTTGTGTTCAAAGGGCAGCCGGGTATCGCAAAGTCCAGTGTGGCGGACAAAGATTCCAATGAGACGGCCTTGGCCAATCATGAGCAAGATACAGAGAACCTTTGGATAGTCTTTGACGATTGTGCTCTGGTAGCCTTCCAAATTTCCGTCGGGGTCAAGGCGCTGCAGTAGTTGGCTGATCTTCCTTTTGGCTTTGAAGTACTCGACAATTCTCTGTTCAGGTACGTAAGAGGGGTTGGTAGAGAGATCTGGGGCACCGATCCCTTTCATCTTTTGGCTCTCGATCCAGTCGCGAAACTCCTGGTGGAGCTCGCGGTCGAGGTGTGAGTTGCCCATTCCGGAGATGGCATGCAGTGGCGCGGAGCGTGGGAATGGTAACACAAAGGCGGTAGACCGAGAAGCGGCGGTTCCGCCCGCGGTGTTGGACCTGTTCGGCCGGTAGGGTCCTGAGGAAGGTGCGGTGCGCACAGCCCACGAGCTGATAGTGGGATGAGTGGGAGGCGAAAACGAGGCGCCATCAGCACGGGCGGCGCGGTACGAGTTTAAAAAGTCGAGGCTGAGGCTGACAGTCGCCAAGCAGGGCTAGACAGAATCTTCGTGAAAAATACTGCTCGACGAGGCTGAGGCTGGGTCGAGTCCGGACTACGCGCGAAGATGGGGTGTGTTGCCTGGGCGCATCTGCAGCGTACCGGAATCACGCTGCAGCCGAAGGCACCCTTGCATGCGTATGGTGCGGGGCTTGTAACCCTGATCCACCAATGATGACTTGCTCCTCCGATATCGATAGTCGGCAGACTCGGCCGGTGAGGCACACATTGTCAGCCGCAGCAGGGCGCAGTGGGGAGCGTCAAGGGCGCAGTCCCTCTCTTGCGTCATGAGGCTCTTTGTTTTGAAGCATGCAAGCCTGACGGAACCAAGTCCGGGCCCAGTTGAAATTTGATTTTGTCTACTTCATAGATTCTATGGTTTCCCATGTGGGCTCTATAGACATCGACCAAGATCAAGTTGTGTTGGCACATAAAGCGAGCCCGCTCCCCTGGTAAGAAAGGCCCCTCAGACGCCAAAGGACAGTGTCCGCCAAAAGATGAGGCACAACTGGCCGTGCTGATATCGGTAACAAAAATTATTATATGCCGGTTTCAAACCGGACAAAGCGCGCCGTCTCTTGCCTTCTGGGCCCGTGCTAGTCTGCGGTTAAAATACCACCAGACCGAGAACGTACAGCAGCTCAGGGGCAAGGTGATCGCGAAGAAGAATTCAATAGCACCTGTAGATATAGTTCGTTCTTGAGGACCTCCATCTTCTGAGCCCCATCTGATTATGTCCGTGCTCATAAGTGTCTGTGACGAGGTTAGTGAAGGCTCTGGGGCTGCTACAAGCACACTTACACAAATAAACGTTGCTGGAAGGAAGAAAAGCGTGACGAGCGTGATGATCCTCATAGATACCGTTTCCTGTTGCGTCTGCTGCGCTACTGCATGCATGCTTTGTGCTGACAACCTGCTAGCTTCCATGTTGTGGTACTCGAGAACGCCAAAGAGCAAGTTCTTCCTGTCAGCCAGTACCCGGACCAGGGATTCCGCCCGGCTCTTTTGGAGCCGCAAGTCATTTTCAGCGCTGGAAGCGCGTCGCAGGAACCTCTCTATATCCTCGACGCAGTTCATGCTGAGCTCGTCGGAAGACTCGTCAGTGCGCAGCAGTGCTTGGTAGAATTTCTTCATCTCGCTGATCACACTGAGGTTGATGTTGACCACCAGAATCGCGCCGTTCGTCTTCTCTTCAAGGAACTGCGCTCTTTGTAGGTCGGCAAAGCAGAATCCGGGCTCGTCATTACCGCTTGCCACGTCTATCTCCTGTGGCTGCGCATGGTCCGATGTGATCGCCCATTGTCGCAACTTGCCCGAGATCCTGGTCCACGGACGGGGCGAATTAGAAGGAACCTGAGAGTCCTTCTCCGTAAAGAGGCTCGATAGCCCAGATGATACCCGCTTGGAAAGCCTTGGTGATGGGACAGCAGCCGCGGCAGCCGTCATAGACTTCGGCAACTTGTCTACATCGGCAGACAAGACCCGCCGTGTACCAATCTGGGCGGAATCTTCCAGGTAATCAATATAAGACTGCCAGTTCTCCCCTGCCCAGTCAATGTAGATGAGATGCGTGTTCAGAGACGAGGCGAAGGACCGACTGTTGGTATCGAAGCACGAGGTTTCGGTGCGGCTTGATGGATCTGTTGCTTTCTTGACACGTTCTTCCATCAGCCCATCGCCTTTGACGATGATCCATGATGCGCGCCCTGTCACAATGTCAAACGAATGATGTATGGCAGTTTGCCGGATAGACCATGGCCAGGATGTTTGCCTGGGAGAGCTCTCCACCGACACAAGGTTGTAGCAGAGCCGGAAGTCACTTCCCGAACGTCCCATTTCAGGGATCCTCATGCTATTTGAGGCGTCGAGCAACCGGGACTCCGAGCGAAACCCGCCGTAGTAGAGTTCTTGGGCGCGCTCGCGCCTTCCGAACGTGAAGACGAAGTCGAGAAACGCCGGAATCACTTCATGATAAGTGAAAAGCAGAGACATCATTGGTCGTGAGATCAACAGTCTGTCTCTTGAATTACGCGCGCGGATGAATCTGATTTGTTAGTGTTGGAGCTATGGTGAGAAGGGTTTGCGAAGCTTACGCGAAGGAACATCGCGGATCTTTGACCCCAGGAGTGAAATTTGAGTCAATTTTGTAGAAATTTCCGAGTTGGTCCATATTTTCCGCGTAGTGAGATCTGAAACCTAAGCCGGATGACGGCGCATTAGACACGGAAACGTGCAAATATCGGGACTAATTTGCAATAGTCGGCACCGACAAGACTTACCACATCCTTGTTCTTCGCATGTCCAGAATCCGAGTTTGGCTTTCCCATCTTCGCAGCAGAGCCTCTGTTGTGCTTCGTCGAGGCGAGTGAGGTAAGATTGTAAGCGATGAGGATAGGTGTCGGTGGAGACGAGATTCACGGGATACTGCCCCACCCGCTCCAGAGAATCACTAAATTCTCTCAGGCAAGAGTCTCGTCCCATGACTCGCAAAAGATCTGAAGCGAAGGATTTCTAGTGTAGTGTCGTATGAGATGATGATAATTTTCACCCCTTTTAACCGGATTCTGGAGAAGGCACAGCCTTGCCGCCACCACTTTGGGGGCGGGGCACAGTGACAACGCGGCTGATCTAGGCACATGTAGCATGTGTGTGAGGCTGAGCCAAGGCAGAACGGACAACTCATTTGATATCAGAAGATTAGCATGAGACGGTCTCGCAATGCTTTCCATCCAATGCAGTCTGCCCAAATCCATCAACTGCTGATCTCCTACCAACGAAGATCCAGAATTTGCTCCCTCTCATTCTGAGTCGCGTTAGCGCGTTGCACAAAACTTACAGCAAGAATCTAGCCTTACTGCATCCAATCGCCTAGGAATGCTGAAGGTGTACATATCGTTTGCCAACTGGCCATCGTCACCGGTCAGTCTGATGTGGCAGTCGGCAGGTGGTGCATGGGGCTTCAGCCTTACTCTTACTGAAATCGTCACACCGGGGAACAGGTTCTGGAGATATTCTTCGAGCTTGTCCTTGTCCAATCTGTATGCCTCGTAGGTGTCTTGGATCATGATGAACGTAGGCAGTGCTGTTTCTGAAACCGGTTGCGTGTTGCATGGAATAGGCCGCAGGGCTTGATAGAATCAAGGCAACCGACGAGGCTGAGCGAAGGCTTTAAGCGTTCCCCACCCCCGATAATGCTTGCGCCCGGCGCCAAATCGCAGCAGATGCAGGGTGGAGGCAAGCAATGAGCTCGGAGCAGAATGCACGGTCCGAAGCCGGCTGCGCTTGCGGAGCCAATCCTGGCGCTACACTTTGCTATCATGAGACAGTTGGCAGTGAGGCTCAAAATTCGCTTACTGGTTGGCAGACGCGTGGCGAGCTGGTCGGGTAGTGCGTGGGGAGACGCGGCTGCGCCCGCGCGTGCCGCTGCTGAAAGGAAGGTGCATATGCATATCACAAGGGCATGCACAATCTTATTGGTCTTTGGTGCGGGGCCGCAGCTGACACACACCCACAGAACCAAGGCATCAACGAAGCACTGCCATGCGCAGAACGGCGATCGAGATTAATCTGTTAAAGAATGCTTGGTTCTAGCCACGTGCCTTATCAGTCCTTCGAAATGAGCCTTTTGGCATTTTCGCCCGTGGTTGGGGTAGAGCTCCACAGGAAGGCAACAGCCTAGCCGTGTAAGGTTGCCTCGTTCAGCCCCTGGGGCGAGGCTGAAGCATTTCGTCTTAGCCACCACTCTTGTGGCTGTAATTGTTGTATACGAAGTGCCTCCCGAAGATCCAATCATTAAGAAATTTAAACACATTCAGCTTCCTCGTAACTCGATGCATATGACTGAAAGTGACAGGCGCCATGCTGCTCAAAGAGTCATGGGGTGGCTATGCGTTTTCAGCGATGGCTGGTTATCAAGTGCTCAAGATCGATTGGTGGCAAGGTCAAATATTGCTGTTTTCCTGCTGAAACGTGTGGCAACGGCGCAGGTTCTACAAGGGCTGAGGGGCACCAACTCAGCGGGAAAGAGATCACTGCAAGATCGATGTTCGCGTGTGACACAGCATTTTCCAGCTGGGGCTGAGCTTTTCTCTCACTTATCGATAGTGACACATAAAAGGTAGCTCCCCACTCTTGCGTCTAACACTACTCTTCAGACATTGCAACCTTTGCCAGCAATATAATAGCAGGTTCCAACCTGTAATCAAATTTATACCTCATCAAGTCTGCTTCTCCGCCAAACTGCCAGTGGAAAGTATACAGAGTTAGAAGAAGAGAAGCTCCCGCTAATGACGTGGCTTAGCCTGCACCCAGAGCTCCGGTTTTTCCCACAGCCCGTAGGTCTTTTGATCCGCCCAATTGTTGCTTTCTGCGCACAGCTGTAAGTCGAAGTGCCACAGAACCTTTGCCAAGATGATGCGCATCTCGTGATATGCAAGACTGTATTATACACGTCAGTCATGTTCACAATTGCGTCTGTGAATGACTCACTTTTTCCCAAGGCAGTTACGTGGACCGCTCGAGAAAGGCTGAAACACGTCCTTTCGGTCACTGTCGAATCCCGTTCCTGGAAGCCAGCGCTCTGGGATGAAGGACTCTGGATCTTTGAAATTCAACGGAGAGCGGTATGCTGCCCAGTTGGGAACCGCAACACGGGTCTGGTGGAGAGAGATGAGTCGTTGATGCTGCGTCAAGTGATGTTTGGGAAATTTGACGATTTACCTTCTCGGGGATCCATTGTCCGCAGATGGCATTGCCCCCCTTTGCGACTTCGCGCGTCGGAGCAACGGGGACCGGCGGATAGCAGCGCAAACCCTCTTCGAAGCAGGCGGATAGATAGGTTAGCCGCGGAAGATTCTGCAATGTGAGTTCTTCCTCAGGCAAAGATCGGATTTCTTCTGTTACGATCCGTAGCTTATCCGGGGACTTCAGGAGATGGTAGGTCAGACCGCTAAGAAGCGTTGCCGTCGTCTCTGTTCCGGCCATCATGAATATTGAAGAGTTGGCATACATCTCGTCGAGGCTCAGCTTGTTTCCTGCTTTCTGAAGGACGAGGTTCCAAATGTCGGGCTGGTCATTTCCCTTCTCCATACGACGGTTGACACGATCGACAGAGTGCTGGAAGTGTGTTTTCTGCAGTTCGAGTATGGACCGAGGCAGACAAAGCTTGATCAACTTGCCGAGTAACGGGTATTCGAGACCGACTTGCGAAAAGGCGCCTACTTTGATATTGGCGAAGACGGCTTTGACCCACGGCGAGTACTCGGATGACTCCAGGAGTCCCAACGACTCGCCAAAGGCCAGCTCTCCCATGATGTCAAATGTGGTTGAATTATAGAGCACGACCATATCCAGACGCTGTTTGACCATGCGGTGCATGTTCTCGATGAGTCGATCAACGTATTTGTTGATGAGTGGCTCCTGGAGCTTCAGGGCTCGGTCTGAAAAGGCGTTGGTGAAGATCTTTCGGAGTTCGCCATGCTTGGCGACATCCGGGACGTTGATGATGTGGTCGGCGCCATTGAACTCGGGCTCGTAGCTTCGGGTATCCTTGGGGTTCTCCAAGCGCTTGGTGGTCCTGTGGCCGTAGATATCCTTGCAGGCCTGCGGGCTGATGTAACTGAGTCGGTCCGGGCCAACCCGTACCACTTCGCCATACGTGTCGTGCATCTTCTTGACCCAATCGGCGAGCTCTCCGCGCCATAGGATGATCCACCAGGTCCAACCGGTGGCAGCAGCATATTTCGGACCCGGAACTTATGCTGGTGTCAGAATTGAACGGAGCTCTTGGAAAAGGGATCGTGACCCACATTTGCTCAAAGGATGGAAGAATATGTTGTAAAATGCGAGTCCACAGAATGCGAGGACAGTCTCAAGCAGAAAGGTTAATGGAGACGAACAAAAGTTTGAAGAATATAGACCGACATACCAGGATTATGACACCGCCGAAAAGGGATAAAGCATTACCAGGGATGAGAATAAAACGCTTCTCAGAACTGAGGTTTTGGCCCATGGCTGACGTCGTTGGGGTTAAGTGCGTTTTCTACGATGAGAGTGGCGGCGGAAGTTCACTGAGGAGGTCAACCCTGACCAGCCACTTTTAAAGCATTTTGTGTCTCGCCGAAACACTCGGGAAGCTCATGGCCAAAGTTCCGCTCGGCAATGGAGTTTCTGCAATCCGATGGTCTACTTTGCACGGGATGGGCAGCACCGAAGCCGATGTTTGGATACCGACGGCTGATGCAGCGGAAAGAAAAGTGAATTCAAGTAAGCGCTAGTGAGAGGTGCTCGGACCCAAAGTTTCCTGTTTAGGCCAATAGGCGAAGCTAGAAGGCAGTTTCAAAAGCTTAGACCCAAAGTTTCCTATTTGAGGCGAGAGGCGAAGGCGGGGGGATGCTGGCACGGGCTCCTGAACAAAACGAGGCTTAGCGGCTCGCCATAAGCTTCGACGCCACCTCTCCTCCTGTCACTTGAGATGCGATCATACATTGTCCGGTTTAAGGAAACACGGCAACCGGAAGCGCCAGCCGTTGCCATCCCCAAGCCTACGGCGCGCCAGATTCGGACGCGCACGGGGTGTGCGCAGTGCAAGCGGCGACGGGTCAAATGTGACGAGCAGCAGCCAGCGTGCCAGCGCTGCAGAGCTCGTGGCGAGAAATGCAGCGGCCCCGTCGTGGTGCCCATATGGCAGACGGTAGTGCTGGCACAGGACTCGTCTGACAGTGGGCTGGTGCAGTACTGGACGACGGCTGTGTGCGGATCCATGCCGCTCGAGCTGCACAAGCCAGAGCTGCTGCCGGACGTAGTGCTGCCGCTGTTGGATCGCTCCCCTGCTCTGCTGCACTGTATCCGCGGCGTTGCCATTGCCCATCGGGGCTTCTTCTCCACCGAAGCACTCCCTGCCTCACTCCGCGAGACTTCTCACGCTCTGGCTGCCCTGCGAACCGAACTGGCCATCCATGGCGACCCGCATCGCACCCTACTCGCCGCCCTCGGCCTGTCCATCTTGTCCGTGTGGCTGGACCCGTCCAGCCAGGATAGCAGCAGCCTTTTGCACCTACGTGGCGCGAGCTCCGTGCTCCACCTCCTTCTTCTTGGAGTCCGGGAAGCGAGCACCCAGTGTCTCGCACTGACCGACTTCATGGTCGGTCTCTATGTCTACATGGACATGATCCACTCGTACGCCGTGCCCGCCGCCCACCCCCTCCCGCTGAGCGGCAAACTCGCCAGCCGCCTCGCCTCCTCCGCCGGCTACGTACATCCCATCACCGGCATAGCGACTAGCCTGTGCCTCGTCGTCGCCCGGGTCGGCCGCTACCTCCGCTCTGTCGTCGACCTGCGCCGCCGCGATCCGGGCCTCGAGCGCACCTTGCACCGCTCCCTACGTGACTGGCAGCCCGGAAATCCTGTTCACCACCAGCATGCCCGTATCGCCGATGCCTATCGCGTCCTCGGACAGATCATGCTGCACCAGGCCCGCCGCCATGTCACTGTCGTTGACGACGACGACGATGAGGATGATGAGCCGCCGCCACTAAGCACCCTCGTCGCCCAAGCCCTGCAAATCATCGCCGCCGACGATGTCACTGCCTCCTCTACAGATGCTTCCAGCGGCGTGTATACCCGCGGCATCATGCTGCTGGCCGTCGGGCCCGAAGTGAGCCCCGGTGCCCGCCGCGTCGTCATCACCGACGCCTTCGTCCGCCTGCACAGACTGACGCGCGTGAATCACTTCCTTCTCGCTGCGCGGTTCGTGCGTGATACGTGCTGGCCGCTGCGGGACCGGGGCGTCGAGTTTACCTGGCTGGACCTGCTTGTGAGGGCGGGGCTGACGTGTGTGCTGATTTAAACATCGTAGATTCTACCCAGTAATCAAAGGAATCATCCACTTCCACAACTTAGTAGCACCATTGAACCACCACATGAAAGAGAGGAGGCATGTGGCCGAGACCAAGACTGGGGAGCTGATAAGAGGAATGAAGTTATTATGTCATAGTAATTTTCGATAGAGGGTAACGTGATACAACGGAAGTAAACACTGAGTTGCTGACGACTTCATTTATTGTGCCCGTCGAGACCCATGTCGTAGATAATCAAGAAGAATGTGATCCAGATAATAGATAATAACTTTCGATCAACAGGAGATTGCTTTTATGCTTTGTTTGTTCTTTGGGAAATACTTGATTGGGGATTCTGCGGTGGTGACGTTGTAATTCATTGGCTACGGATACTGGGAAAATACCGGGTTCGTACGGGCTCCGCGCCGACCATGTTTGCTAGAGGAGGAACTGCCACCTCTTGTAGGGCTCACAGCATATGCGCTTACCAAGTTCAAGTGCCTTTCAACGCGTGCTTAGCAAGCATCGGAATACTTGAATTAATGATGCAAGCCTTACTCAATAGCTACCAAGCGCTCGGTAGGCGAACGATAGCTAGGTGGTAGACCATGAATATGGTAAAGTTAAGGTAGCCAATCTTAGCGCACGTACCTATCACTAGCGTACGCAACCAGAAAAGGCTACCAGAAGCTGAGCGCCGCCAGTGAAGATAATGGATCAGGGCACTCAAAAGCGACACAGTTGAATGTTGAGACAGATCTCTGAAGAGCTTGCTTGCTTGCTTGAATTCAAAGATTGTCGTGTTAGATGGACTTTCCGTTAGCCCGGTGCATCCTTTCATGTGACAATGTGTGTGTTTGTGTCTGTGTGGTTCCGGTCGAGTTCCACCAGGGCTTAGTGAACCGGTTCCTGACACCGTCCCCATTTCATCCACCAAATATCCTGTGTTGCTACAGGGTTATGATCCTGAGTGCAGTCTAGACCTTTTATGTGGAATCATGGCTCTAATTAACTTAGACTGTGCCCCATCCAACTGACAGGACAAGCAGAACACACAAACTTTGTTCTCATTCACCCACGCTCTCGCCAGCACAGTAAGAGATCCAGCTGGCATTTCCAGGCTGTCGTCACCTCTTACTTACTGTTATGCCATCGCTGAAGACTCTTCTAAGGCTCGCGACTCCAGTTCTGCTCCACCGTTCTGTAACTCCAAGCGTCGCCACCGACATCTCTCTATACAAAGATGCAGAGTGCAGAGTGTCTCTGGACAATATCAACGGTCCAAACGGGTATTCCGATGGCGCCTGTACCAGGTTCAGGGAAAGGGTTACGACCAACTACTCGAGCATTCAAGTCGTGAACGTAGATCCGGGCTGTAGCGGTAGGTGGCACTGCATCCGTCTACAACGCAAACAAGTCTAACAAATATTGGCAAAGTGACCCTATACTCGCTCTATGTCGGCGATTCCTGCGCCGCTGAAGCCGCTGAGCTAGCCAAGATTGCGCACTGTTACAACACATCCTGGGTGTACTACAGCATCGACGAGTGCATCCCACCAGATCAACTTCCATCTTCCTGGGCTTCTCCCACCCCTTCCACTCATTCTGGAAGTAATAAATCACGGACAGGCGCCATTGCTGGGGGAGTCGTTGGCGGTGTCGCAGGTGTTGCGGCCATAATCGGTGCGCTGCTTTTTTATCTTCGGAGGAGGCGGAGACTTGCGCGGGAACGCCAGGCGCAACAGACCAGCGAGCTGCCGCCCGGAGAAAAACCGCTCGTGGCTAAAGCAGATGAAAAGGCCGGAATGGAGACCGAGATCAAACACGAGCTCACGTCTGATACCATGCCGTCGGAGATGCCGGATTGGCAGTCACCGGTGGAGATGCCAGACCAGAACCCACCCGTGGAAATGGAGGCAAGCCCGCGATCTCCGTCTACCGCAAAGGGTACTTGGTAGAGAGGGGTATGAGAAGCGGTCAGCTGGGGCAAGGGAGAAAAAACACCTACTTCCAAATTGCCGAGTACGATTCCTGTACCAGCCATTCCGGATGCATCGTCAAGCGGCTTCAACCCCCCCTCACGAGTTTTACCACGATACCTTCCGCATGCGTTGACCCTCGGGTTCATTTAGCCTATTCAAGAACGCGTGTGCCACCTATAGGCCCCAATTTACAATGTGGGCAGGCAACGCGCGTCGATGTGTGGCTTTAATAGCCAACCTTCCCTGGTGTCGCAAAGGCGAATGGCACAGGGTCCAGGTTTTATGCTACGCTTACCAGAACTCCCTCTGGATGCGCTAGTATCCTGAACAGGATGCCACACAAGCTGTACAGCAGTGGACCTGGCCCCAACAACATTTCGAGCTGAGCCTTTCACTTTGGTTGCCTACTCTTGTCAGCGCTGTCAAAAACTTTGCGTGGGAGCAATGTCGCAAGTAATTAATTCTGTCCTTTCTCACCAACCAATCATTAAGTTCAAAGGGCTGGGGAATGCACTCAATCCTGATGATCAATGGAAATTCTTCGGCTCAGAACTCTGCCTGGATCGATTCCGTAACACTGCATATCTCAACCGTCTCACATGTGATCTCGCACATAGAGCAGCCATGGGCTATCGAATACAGGACGGCCGTATGGTGCTGACGCATGATCACATGCGCCTGACCAAGTCTATTCACTTGAGAGAAATGTTCCCCACACGAGCAGGGTGACCGTGAGAAGTAGGAAAGCACTTATCCCAGCATTGCATCACGCAGCAAAAATGCTTGCTATCGTCCTGATTGGAATGTGCATTCGTCAACAGCCAAATTACTTTGATGCCACAAGGTCAGGATACTGGGATCTGCGGCTGGTTTTCCCTTGCTGGAGAGATGATTGTAGCAGCGGTGCAGGTTCAACAAGGACCGAATGGTTCCAGTCCATCAATGAAGAGGTCGTTACAGGATATCGGCCTTCCGCGCAAAGGTTTTTCTGCTGTAGTTAAGCTGGAACCTCTCGTCTACGGAGATGAGGGGACAAAAAAATATCGCACCGTACCTGGTGTTCGTTGTCTCACTCGGCCACACCCGCTCGGCTCTTCGCATCGTGAACTGCCGGCAGACAAAACAACACTCAACTCCATCGCCTCAAAGGGCAAAAAGATGATCTCTCCGCTCCCAGAATCGAACTAGGGACCTTTTGATGGCAACAGATATTACAGTCAAACGTGATAAACCAACTACACCAAGCGGAGCAGACAGGAGGTAGACCTCCTATGCTTGGTTGAAGTTGCTAAAATTTTGTATTGTATATATACTGTAGTACTGCGTTTGATTAGGAATAGCCAGCTTGGTTGTGGTTGAATCCCTTAGGCTGTCCTGGAAAGTGAAGAGGGGAGAAAATTTCGTCTGGATGAACCTCGGATATGCTTGATTTTAATGTGGCGGGGTATCGGTCCTTTTGGTGCACCTTCGGAGATCCGATTAATTGATTAGATATTGTGCACTCTCGTAAAGTAGCTGCCCTGTGATAGCACACAAGTGAGGAGATGTGCCATACATTTATTAGAAATATGCAATGCGCTGCGCACAATCTGTTCAGAGAGTCCTACCAAATCGTTTCCAAGAGAGTGGTCTCAGGCAAGCTACTCGTGAAATTCCGATCCATTGCTTCCCAGATGCTTAAACAGGCATTAGAAGGATAAACGCTTACCAAGTTCTACAAAGTGCCCTTTTATTAAGGGATTTAATGGGGCTCGATTGAAAGATGGTGTATCTGGTGAAAAAACAGACTATATACGAGGATATTGGCATGATGCTGGCCAACATGTTTATTTCAATCGCGAGATTGTTTTTTGAGAAGATGGGGGCGAAATCGTCAACACTAGGCGCCCCGCGTTTTCGCGCTTGTAAACAACACGCCCACCCCGCTAATTTTAGCCATCCGCCCGTCCCGGTGCCGCATCCAAAATGGAACCGTGGTGGGAGAGATCGACACTGGAAATCGACTATGAACCGTTACAAGAAGGCGAGATTCGCCTGATTGAGTTTGACTCTCCCGACGGCCCTTGCAAGACTCCACTCGGATTCCGCATCAAGCACGTGAACATCAATGACCCGCCTCCATACTGCGCCCTTTCATACCGATGGCCGAACGGAAAAGAGCTGGACGAGCCTGCAAAGTTTAGGGACCATTGGCTCGACATACGTGGAGGCCCGCTGGCGGCAGTGCGGGCTTACCTTTCCAACCCGAACGCGGCTCATCGACATCTCCCGTTCTGGATTGACCAATTCTGCATACAACAATCCAATGTCAAAGAGAGAGGACAGCAGGTGCCTTTGATGCGAGATATCTACTCCAAAGCGTCGACGACAGTCATTTTTCTCGGCTTTGCTCGAGGCCCGGAGAACGAAGGTTATTTTCGCTCCGCCTTTGACTACTTGAGATATATCAATCGCAACAGCTCGGATAAAGAAGGCTCTCTGCGAGCCGCTGAGCTCACTAAAACACAAACCGTCGGGACAGTGTCTGCACTTGCTGCCATCTTCTCTGCACCATGGTTCAGTCGCACTTGGGTTGTGCAAGAAGCAATTCTGTCTAAAAATGCTGTTGTGCTGTGTGGCAGTACCATCGAAGACATGTTACAGCTGTGCACAGCTATTTCGCACTTCGACCGCATGGGATTTCTTCGCCAACTGTTCCGGGACTTCCACACAATAGAGCATCCATGGCAAACGAGATGTGCGAAGACCCGGCTGTTCTACCGGTTGGAATTGAGCTACACCCGGTCTCAACTGCATTCGTCCGAATGCCTGCCTGGAAATGCATTGAAACAGCTGCTTACCCGCTGCCGGCCTTTGGAAGCTACAGACGAAAGGGATAAAATATTTGCCCTGGCAGGTATTTGCAGGACCGAAGACATACCTGTCGTGGACTACAAGCTTTCGGGAGCGCAAGTGTATCGAGATGTCGCAGTGAGGATACTGAAGGAGGGCCACCGACACAACAATGAAACGCCGACGGGAACAGGAAAACCGAGGTCTTGCGCGTGGAATGACCTGTGCCTGCTTGCGCTTGTCAATTCTGACAACGACCATATTCGATCGCCATCTTGGGTGCCGGATTGGTCCTTACCGTTGACATACAATGATCTCTGGTTCGAAGCTGAGGAGTGGTCTGGATTCCACGCTTCTGGCAGCAAGGAGCCTCGTACCAAGCTTCCCGAACATGATCCTCACGTGTTGATCATAGAAGGGAAGCTCTGCTCAATGGTGTCATCGATAGGTGAAGATAGCATCCAGACGAGGATCCTCCCCAAGACTGACATGGAAGAGTGTAGCCTCCGTGAGGAGTGGTGGTCCGTATCCCGAGGTAAGATGGAGGGCAACCTGAAGCAAGGATTACGTCTTCCCAAATGGATTCTGCGTGCCGGAGAATACCTCCGCGTGCACACGGACAACAGTCCGCACCGTGAAGAACAAATTGCCAGGACACTCTGTGCTGGAGCAAAGGTGGAGCCCACTTCGGACCTCAATTCAAAGGGAGAGGCAGCAGATATCACGATAGACCAACATACTTTACACTGGAAATCTTTTCAGAATTCTGCTTCTCGTATCATTGGAATGGTGGGAGAGCTACCCGACAAAGGTTCCACCGGCGCTGTCAAAGAGGAAGAGGAGAGTTGGGCATTCAGAAGCTTCCTGGGGACTGTTGGCATACCATGCCGCGGTCGCCGGTTCTTTGTCACAGCGGATGGTCATATTGGTCTGGGTCCTGGTCGGATGAGAGAGGGTGACGTGGTCAGCGTCCTGTATGGGGCACATTGGCCATTTATTCTAAGGCCTCATGGCGATGCGTATCTTCTGATAGGATACTGTTACGTTGATGGGATGATGTACGGGGAAATGGTCAAGCGTGATGATATACCTGTGCAACAGATTTGTTTAGTATGAGCGGATCAGGCTAGACCTCCGCGTGGTATTTCTGTCGAGAGAAAAGACGAGTCTATATTACAAAAAGAAAATTATATAATCGATGAAGCCGAGCAGATCTGGTATCAATCCTCCTTCAACGCCTATCATTTGAAAGGAATCCGTTTCCATAGTCTCATCAATACTTTGAAAAAAAAAAAAACAGTAAACGAGGAATGGTATCTTTTCAAACTCCTCCTGGGTCACTCCATGGCCTCAATCCGCCCCGTTTCCCAATTATGTCGAATGCGAACAGTTTGTGGACTTCTCCCGGATGCCTTAATCGTCTCCTCCACATCCTTGTCCTTCAACGCGGTAGCAGTTCTCAAAATCTCACTCACGCTTTCCGTCTGCATCTGCGCAGCAGCAGACCACGAGTTATCCAACAGCGAATGACCGGTCCGCAGCCCGAAATACACAGTGACAATCGCCACAACAACAACGTGTGTGCAGCACACAGCCAGCACGACAGCCAGGCCGCGCGTCTCCTGCGGGAACGACTTCATGACGAAGAAGATGGCAGAGATGTTCTGGTCCATGTTGAAGGTGGCGGCGCTGTCGTAGTAGTGCATGCGGGCCAGCACCGTCAGCTCGGCCGACAGCGCGGCGGCCGGGTCGTGCGTGGCGTTGAGGATCTGCCGCATCAGCACGCCCTGCTGCACGCTGGCGTACGTCGTCGAGATGTTGCCGTCGTAATACCCGCCCGTCGCGCACTGCTCCGACGGGTCGTCGCTGCGGCAAAACGTCCACGTCGGCCCCGCCCCGCTGTACTCTGGGTACGCTGTGAACCACAGAGAGCTGCCGTCGAGGAGTGCGGCGGATTCTTGCGCTGATTTGTCGGCGGGACGCAGGGCGTCGATCGAGTCGCGCACGCTGGATATGTCGAGGTCCAGGATGCCACGGGAGGAGGAGCTGAGGCGCTCGCGGGTCGCGCCGAGTTGCTGGCGGACAGTCGTGAGGTCGAGCTGGTTGGCATCGTTGTTGAAGGTGGCTTTGGGCTCTTGGCGGTCCTGGGTTGCGTTGAATTTGACGGGGAGGTCGAGGTCGGGAAATCTGGAGTGCGGTCAGCGTGTGAGATGGTGGAGGCATGCGGGGAGTTTGACTTACAAGGCGTCAAAGCAGAGAGTCACATTCAAACCGGGCTTGCCACACGACTTGCCAAGAGAGCAGGTTGTGTCGCATGTGCCAGTGACCTCGCAAGGCTCTTTCCGCGTCCACTTGCTCGGCTCCAGGTTCAGCCATGGTCCATCGCCGCCGAAGTTCCATCCTTCTCCTTGTTCTGTGGTGTTGTAATTGAATAGTGGCCGGTATGTACCGTTGGATGTATTGTTGTAGGCGTCCAGCAGGTACTGGCTTTCGAAGAAGAGGAATGCGCTGCCAGTGACGTTTTGCGTCGAGTTGAAGTACTCCCAGAGCCACGATCTCAGCCCGAGATTCGCATTGCCGCCCTGTAGCGGACAGATTTGTGTGCCGTAGCCGACACTGCAGTTAAAAGGTGTCAAGGGAAATCCATTCAGTGAGTCACCTTGATACCATCCTTGCGGTGAGTCCAGTCCTGAAGGTCGAGCGCTGATGCCTACCTGCCCGGTCAAGTTTACCAGGTTGGAGTCAACGAAGAAGCTTGAATCGACAAAATTCGGCCGTACACAGGCGACTCTGGCGTCGAATACCGTTGCATTTCCTTCGTAGTCTTGTATGCTCGTTCTGGTCTGTTCAGAGGAGAAAGGAAGAAGAGCCCGAACCAACGGACCCGTGTCTGACATGTTCTCGGCTGGCTCGGGTGCGTCGGAATACTCGGCAAATGCCTGGTACCCAGATGGAGTCTGGAGCATGAAGTTCTGGAACCAGGTTGACGGTTCCTTGCTCAAGCCGCGTCGCCACCCAAGCGGGACATTCACCGTCTTGGGCGTTCCGTGGATCTGGCCGGGTCGGACATCGAAGAGTAAGATGGTGGAGCTGAAGTTGGCAGCTAACGTGATGACCGCCATCGCAAAGCAGAATAGGAAGGCCTTCCACCCATATGTCTTCCGCACCTGTCGCACAAAGCTCCACAACGATAGGAGAGGTCCTGAGTTGTTATAGCGCATCGTCGAGATACTGAGAGATTGACTGAGCGGCACACCCCATCTCTCCATGGCTAGAGATGAAAGCATCGAGATTGCGACCGCCCCCGATGAGCTTACCGACACTTGGATGGCGAGAGCTGCGAGGGCCACTGCCGAACCAACGTAGTCGTTGAGAATCACCCATCTCCACGAAGCTGAATCGCGATTGCCTTTCCAGAGGTGTGCCAAAAAAGCGAGCGATACGACGATAAGAACGACAGCAGTAATAAGGATACTAAGAGAGTAAGGGCCTATTCTTTTGATGAAGGAATTCCGATGTGCTGGTAGAGATTTTTCTGTAGACGTTGTCCGTGGTCGCGATAATGGTTCGTAAGAAATCTTGGAAACTCTCCGGACTAAAGTTTGGAACGTGTTGTGTGGCTTTGAGAACAAGACTCCTCCGGAGTCTTCTGAGCCATTCATGTCGGCTGCGAAAAGACACCCTACCCAACGATAAGGGCAGAATGATCAGTGTGAGGTTGGGATAGGAAGCGCATTACGAACGGAGATGGGAGCCGTAGCGAAAAGTGCCGTTGATATTATCTGTGTGCAGCCATTGCTTGCCACCACGGCTTTTCGCCCCATCGTTGTTCGGAGGCTGGTTGGTCGGGTTCGAAGGATTTGGCGGTGACGCATGGCCCAGCGGCTAATCAGACAACTCCAAGACGAAGGCAGGCTTAGCGTGGGGGCCGTTTCGTGTTGAGTCGCTACTGTATCTTGAAAAAATCGGCGTGTAATTGGTTGCAAATGCTCACTGTGGTTGAATCCGGGAACTCTTGCGATGCTCAAACAGTTCTGAAATCCTTCAGTGGCTACTTTATTTATCCTTTCCCGCAGGCACAAGCTTTCGGGGACGCTAAAATTAGCTGATCGGCGTAAGCTGCCAAGGGAAGGCTACTGAGCCAAGGCCAGCATCGGCTACTCACTGGGCCGCCACGCTTTGAAATCCAAATGGCAGTCGCAGCGAGGCGAGAACAAAAAGCAAAAATGTCAAGGCAGATGCACGTCGATAGCCACAGCGTAATCGATATGAGCAGGCTCCTGGTGCCAAGCCAGACATATGAATCAGTGATAAAATAGTGCCTTGAATCAAGGAGAAATAAAAAAAAAAAGTAGAGACGGAACGAGACAGAAAGTAAACGAAAAATATATCCAGGGAGTAGGCCTCGTTAAATGGGTGGTGTCAGATAAGGCTGTTGCCGTGTGCCGGAGACCAAGGACGCCCAACTAAAAGATTTTCGACGAGCGCAACGAGAGCGCATTGGTCTAGTAAAATATGTTGCTCTGGAGACTAGCTTACTAATTACATTAGTCCTTAGTGATGCTGCTCATTGGCGTAGTACTTACAAGAAACTCGTACACCTCTACAACAAGCTTAACGTACATTGGTGTGGCAATGGCCATACCCCACTGACAAAATATGAAATACATAGGTAGAAGAAAGTTCTCTGAAATGGCGAGAGAGAAGAAGTCGGAAGAATGCTGTAAAGTGATATAAGAAATAGGCTGGATGGACTCGTGGCTAAATCTTTATACGAAACTCCGTTGTTCGGTTGGTTTCCGCTGTGCATCCATACTTGGATGCAAGTATATGAGCTCACGCGAGCTGTTTCCGTTCCCAAGAATGTCTTGCCTATCGGAACTGTAGTTTGTCTGATTATCATTGGCCGGCTTTTTCCCTTGAGGAATATTGGTGGTGGCGGTGCTGTCCTGCGGCTCATCGTCGTTGAAAAGGTCCTGGTACTTTCTACGTGCTTGTTCCTCCCATTCGCGTTCCCGACGCGCACGCCGACGAATGAAGATTAGGAAAACAATGCCCGCGATCAGGAGGATCCTGCTCCTGGTCAGAGATGCTTCAGCAGATAAAGTGTGTACTTACCCCGCAAAGATGCAGATTGGTATGACAGTCTTCTGGATAGTACTGACTGGCTTTTCGCATGCATTGTCATTGGGAGAGACGTCACAGTCCACCATGACTGGCTAGTGTTGTAGATCCGGCAACGAGGATCGTTCCGGTTTGAGAATTTGTAGAAGTCGGCCTCAAAGAAAAGAAATGCGGGCACTACATTTTAAATCTGCGTAAAAGACTTATGTATGCAGCGAAGCTTTACTGCACGCTTTCCCCTGCCATGGGTTCGGCAATGTCTTGGCCCGGATCCGGGAAACTATCGATTCCGAACCCGATGGCGTGTCACTTAGATTCTTTCCCTCAACAAAGTACCACGATTGCAAGTGTGGCTTAGCTGGATATCTCGTGAAAGCCCCACTTTTCATGGGTAATTTTCTATATTTGACTTGGCTGACGTCCTGGTCTCCCTTCTGTTTTCTCGTAACTGTTCCGCGAACGTTCGGCGCACTTCTGCCCATCTTGGCGCTGCTACTCTCGTGTTTATACCTCACAAAGAACATGTGATCTAAAAAAAAAGCCTCAAAGTTTAAAATACTTTCCAGCTGAAAGCAAGAAGACCATGGATTTACTAAAATGGATTTCTGACGAGGCACTAGCTTAGAAGCGGCAGTTCCCCTTAGCCAGCAGCGGGCCAAGGTATGACTCGGGCAACTTGACAGTGCTGACGAAACTTCCGCAAGCTTCTAGCCAGCTGGGATCCGCATCGCAGTCCTTAAATTGCGGGATGGGCGGAACGTCGGTGTAATTGTAGGTGCAGAACCCATGCGTCGACTAAAGATAGTAAGCTATTTGAACTTGAATAGGAAGGAGGCTAAGAATGGCGTACCAGGCAGGTCGCTTGCACGGTTGCAGGATCGAATTCGGTGCTCTTTCCTTGGCAGTCTTGCGTTTTGTGGATGTCGGCTTGGGTAGCCCATCCTTTCTCGGTAATCAGATTGGTGAGGTCGGCGAAGTTGGTCTCGGGGCCTGTGGCGACGTTGCGTCAGCGAGGTTATTTCCAAGTAAACTTCAGGATCAGAGCGTACTGTTCGGGTTGTGGAAGGCATAAGTATTGCCCTCGGCCTCATCGTAATACCACTGGTTGCAGTTTCCACCAGAAGTGAAAGCATCGCAGGAAATCTCGCCAGTGTCGGCGGCAACTGTTCGAGGATCGAGCCCCTCAGAAAGAGTGCTCACGATTCCGTTGGCCTTGAGCGCTTCGCTAAGGATGTATTGCTGAAGCTGGCGATAGAGATCGCTTGCCTGTACAGTAAGGGAGGTCGTCACGCGCTGTTTTCGATGTCGTCAGAATCTTCTCTGTTTCCCACCACAAATTTCCGGAACCCACCTGGCTAAAGCCACCATTGCTGCACGTCTGAATAAAGTAGGTGTGGTTCCCCTGAATCGTTGACACGGTATTCAACAGCGCATCCTGGAACTCCTTCACGAGCTCCGACAGATTGGCCTCAACATCTCCAAGCTGGAGGAACCGGTCGTTTGCTGTCTGCGTCAACAGCTTCTCAGATACATCGACGTTGTTCAAGACTTGCGTTAGGCCTCCGATGATGAGACCTGCTGCTGTGCTACCGCCATTGGGAATGACACCTCCAATAAGCTGTCACCGATATTAGCAGGAGTGGCAGGCCGTTCGTAACGGGAGACGTACGCCGAGCACACCAAGTGTTCCACTAAAGATCTTCTTCAGGTTGTTCACCGACGCGACAGCTTCGACAGGAGGTGCAACTGCGGAAACAATCTGGCCTACCGTGCCGGCAGCGAGAGAGGAGCCTTGGCCGAGAGCGAGGCTGTATTGTTGGAAAAACTGATAGACGGCGTAAATGTTCCACAGTGTCTAGAGGTAATCAGTCTTGCTTGGTTCGAAGTAGGTCTTGGAGAATGGCTACTGACGTAGAACTGCTGGTTGGACTCATATTTGGCATTGGCGTCTGTGTCAAACGGAGGGCACGTGTTACTGGTGATGAGGTCACAGGTAAGACCGGAGAAGCCCTGCTCGCTGTTAGCACGAAATGATATGCAAGCAGCAAAGGAGAACAGACATTGGCCTGAAGGAAGCACTGAGCAAAGCCAACTTCGTCGCACTTCGCCTCGGTGCCGTTCGCTTTGATCCAGTCATTGATGTACTGCTCAATGTTGAGAGCCTCCCAGCATTCTGCCTTTAGGCCGGAGCGAGAGTTAGGAGCACAGTCCACATCGGTTGAGTTCTGTCTTGGCTCCAAGGTGGGGAATGCCAGCGCGGTAAGGCAAAGCGGTGTAACTAAAGAGAGAGTCTTGAGCATCATGACGTCGAAAACGAGTGAATAGCGGAAAGGCTTGGTGCGACGCAACTGCCACCCCAATGCCCGCCATATATTCTTGGGCGATGGGGCTCGTATTACATGACTAAGGATTCAAACAGTGTGAAGCAGCTAAACAATAGAAACGTTGGTTTAAGATAAATTTTGGAGACTGAGACTGGGCTGCTTTGATTAGGAGTCTACGACTGCGTGTAACTTGCAGCGAAAATAGTTGGGTCTGCAGGGAAAAAGCCAGGGTTACATGGTGCCCGTCAGGCGAGCCACTGGTTCAGAAGCCGACTTGGCAATGCTTTAAGGGAATGATCAGACATGATTTCCGCCCTACGCCTTGCAGTTCCAGACAACGGCTATCCGGCCTTGGACGCCGTCATGCAACACCCAGGGATGGAGCCTCGTCTTGAAACAGGTGATAAATGCGAGGGTTGGATATTGAGATGTGGTTGTATATGACGTTCTGGTGCACCGAAGATTTCGCATCCGAGCCGCAACGTGCGAATGTCAACTTACCATTGGTGCAGTCTCACAACCGGAATGCTAGAACATGTTTGGCGTCATTTCATGCAGCCTGGGATAAGGCTAGGGCTAGTAGGACGGTGGGAGTTCCTGCTTTCCTTTGTATCCGGATATATGGCGGTATGCATCCGTCAATCTGTCAGCCCAGGGAGATACTATAAAATGTCAAGATCGACGTGAGCAATGGTCGAGTCTTTGGAAGGCCTCGAAAGTCGGAGTTACCTATTCGGGAAGTGCGACGCGCGCTCACGTGGCGATAAGAATTCCGATGCGGGCTGATGTCGATGCGGGGCCTAGACCGGTCACGGCAGTCACCACACCACGTCGAAAGAATGCCAGCGGCCGGGAGCAATGCAACAAGACAATGGGCAGTCGTCCATCCTGAGGCTCGACAACCTAGTTGGCGAGCAGGCCTGCAACGAGTGTAAGCGGAGGAAGGCCCGCTGCGACAAAACCCTCCCGCAATGTGGGCCCTGCTCCAAGAACAGGCGTCACTGCCTGTACGAGAAACACAGCAAGACGCCCTTGACTAGGAGGTGAGTCGCCTGTCGCTGAAACAAGACGATGGTGCTGATCGTGGCGCAGGTACCTCACCGAGGTCGAAGAACGCTTGCGCATCACCGAGATCCGCGCAAGGGAGGCGGAGCGACGCGCCCAGCTTGCAGAGCAGCGGCTGAGAAGCCTGCCCAGCCTTGATTCCGCCCCGGACGCCAATCCTCCTACGCCTACTCTCCATGTTCAGCCTGAACCTACAGCTCTCCCCGCCGTAGCCACTTCCGATGCTCCGGCCGACCCGTCAGCACGACCCGAAAACTTCGCCCAGCATGTAGGCGAAGGCCATACGGCTGGTATATTTGGAGGAGAAGGATCTGGAGTCGAGACAGAGCCGGGTGCCACTCTTGAAGCGCCACCGATTTTCTCGGCAGATTTTAGCTGGGACGAGCAGACTCCGGAATCGCTCATCGAGGATAATGAGGCGCAAGCAAACAATGACGGAGAAGATGAACGAGTCGTTGATGGCATGGCGTCTCTGACTGTCGAGGATGGAGAGTCAGGCTATCTCGGAAACACGTCTGGCGCTGCCATGTTGCGCCTTCTTCTTCCAGGCGCTGAACACCGCAAAGGCCCTCGAGACGGCCACAGGAGACACCAATCGGTATCAGGGGCAGCCCTGGATGTTCCTTCTCCGTCCGAGGCCTGGGTTCCGACTCCTCTTTGGACCAAGCTCAAAATCAGAGACATCGACTTGGATGCCATGATCGATTCGTATTTCACGCTGTTCCATCTGAGCTACCCCTTGGTCCATGAACCAACCTTCAGGGCTCAGTATGCACAGGTTATCCCTCGCCCTAACGGGTCCAGTTGGAATGCCCTGGCCTACATGATCGCTACTATCGGCGCCTACACAAATGCCGAAATTCCTGTTTCCGTCCACAAGACACTGTTCAATGCTGCTAAATCAAACATCTCGATTCATAGCCTGGAGACAGGAAACCTGACGCTTGTTCAGTGTCTTGGTCTTATGCACAATTACCTGCAAAAGATGGGCAAACCAAACAGTGGATACAACTACCTCGGCCTGGCGCTGCACATGGCCATGGGACTGGGACTGCACAAGGAGTTTCGGGGCTGGAACATCCCACCCATTGAGATGGAAAGCCGCAGAAGAGTGTGGTGGTGTTTGTTCGTATTCAGCATCGGCGCTCACATCACCTTTGGTCGTCCGTTGACCTGGCCGCAAATCGGCGTCGACGTTTCGCTTCCCCTTAACATTATTGACAGAGTGAGTCAAATATCTGGTGTTTGCGCATAGCTTTGGTTCTAACAATCTACACATAGTATCTAACCAACATGTCCCGCGATCTACCACCTGAGGCCGACAGCGTCACCCACTATAGCTCTGTCATTTTGCAATCAAAGTTCCACTTGGCGACCAACCAGATATACTCGCGTGTCATACTGGCGCCGGCACCTTCTGCAGCAGAGCTACTCCGTCTAGATGACCTGCACATCGGAGGATGGATATCATCCGTGCCTTCATGGTATCTTGAGCAGGCCCAACTCCCAGAGAGATTCCGCCTTTCGCACAGAATCATGTGGTGGCGTGTTTACAATTTCCGGATCATCATGTACAGGCCATATGTCATCCGAAGGGCTTTGCTCGCACAGTCAAAGCCTCAAGATAAAGAACCATCGCCCGAGGAGGCAACTGCATACAGCCGCTGCCTGACAGAGGCGAGAACGACCATCTCTACTATCGAGAGATTCTGGTCGCAGAACACTCATACCCGTGTTGGAGCCTGGTATGCCCTGTGAGTGACATCTTCTCCTACGTATGGCACTCGCAGAAACTCTAACAAGCGATTAGATATTTCTTGTTTCAAGCCTCGCTCATTCCTTGCGTCTGCCTCCGCAACGAGCCCACCTCACCGAGCGCTCTGGAGTGGGTCGAGCAGTTACAAACCGTTCTTCGTGTCTTCCGCGCGATGAAAGCTACCAACCCCAGCGCACAGGATTGCTACGACGTCATTATCCGTTTGTGCGGCCCTTTCATGCAGAGTCCTGGATCCGATACGGACGCCCCCACTGTCGTGTTCCCTGGGTCACCGACACGAGAATCTCCACAGACCCAAATAAACTCGATTTACCCAATGATGTGGCCGAGCAACACGAACGAGATAGACCTCGTCATGCAAGACGGAGCTTGGACCGATCTTCTCGGAGACTTCGCTGATCCTGCCATTGGCGAGCCGTCGGCTGACACGGCGACTGATTTTCAATGGACATGATGATACCACCACTGTTGCCTGAATGAAGGCTGCAAGAAAAATACCAAGTTCGGAGAACAATGTAATTACTGGAATGGAAATACACCGCCTTTAAAATCTACTCTCTGTTTTGATCCCTACGTCCCGCACGCCGGTCACGCGATCTCGATGTGCTCGGTATGCGCCCCGGAGGCCTTCGCGGCCTGCGAATCCTTCTTCTCAATCTTCTGCACATTCGGCACCGCGCCGGGCCCGTCGAACAGCTCGGCCACCTCTTCCAGGCTCCGGCCCTTGGTCTCCGGGAAGTAGACGTAGGTGACGCCCAGGAACACGGTCAAGAAGCAGCAGAAGACGATGTAATACCTCCACCCGATGTTCTCCATGCCGATGGGGTTCACGAAGGCGGCGATGACGAGCGATATGTAGATGGCCAGCAGCTCGCAGCTGATGCCCTTGCTGCGCAGGCTGTAGGGCCACAGCTCGGTGGGGTAGGACATGAGCAGCGGCGTGTAGGCGATGTCGTAGTGGAAGTAGAAGGCGAACAGGCACACGACGACGACGATGCCGGCGGGTTTATTCCCCGAGTCGTTGTTGACGGCCGAGCAGGCGGTCCACACGATGTACGAAACCAGCATGCCGATGCCGGACCAGATGAAGAGCGGGCGCCGGCCCAGGCGGTCGACGAGGATGGCGGCGGATAGCGCGGCGGCGAAGTTGAAGATCTGCAGGAGCCCGTTGATGAGCGTCTGGTCGAACGAGTCGGTGATGCCGATCGTGTCGAGTACTAGCGTCAGGTAGTACGACACGACGCCGATGCCGTTCCACTGCGCGAAGACGCCCAGGCAGACGGAGATGAAGAGCCGCTTGCGGTTGCCTGGCGTGGCGATGAGCGTGCCCCAGGTTGTGGCGTTGGAGGTTTGCTCGAGGCGGATGGCTTCGGCTATCTCGGTCACTTCGCGCTGCACGAGCGGGCTCGAAACGTCGCCGGCTGCGTGGTACTTGATGAGGATGTCCTGGGCTTCGGCCGTGCGTTCTTTGGCGATGAGCCACCTGTGCGAGGTCAGGCGTCAGGGTTGACTTTGTCATGAGTGTGGCCTGACGTTCAGGGGGTAAAAACTTACCTGGGCGACTCGGGCAGCCAGTAGATGAAGCAGAGCTGGACGAGCGGGTAGCCGGCCTGCAGGATGGTCGGGATGCGCCACGACATGCTGCCGTCGTAGGCCTCGGTGCCGAAGGTGGTCCAGCTGGCCAGGATGGCGCCCAGGTAATACATGGTCCAGTAGGCGCTGGTGTACTTGCCGCGGTGCGTCGGATAGGCCAGCTCGGCGATGAGGAGCGGTGCCGGCTGCACCACGAACATGCCCGCCGCGCCCACGACCAGCCGGCTCACGATGAACTGCGCCAGCGTCGTCGACGTCGCCTGGATGATGGTCGCGACGATGACGCCGAGCAGCCCGGCGATCAGCACCCGCTTGCGCCCGAAGGCGTCGCTGCTGACGCCCACCACGGGGAGGACGAGAACGGAGCCGATAGATTGCGCGGCGTTGACGGTGCCGAGGAGGGCGCCTTCGGGCTCGTTGAAGTACGCCTTCCACTGCTTGAGGGATTGGAGGCCGTTCATGAGAGAGCCTGGGGTTTGGGGCGTCAGTCTCCGCTGTGGTGGGGAGGGAAGCAGGGGGCAACTCACCATCATATCCAGCTACTGCCGAGGAGAGCAGTGGGACCAGGAGGATCAAGTTCAAGCGCAGGAGGTGGGACTGTTGGAACCAGTACTTGGAGGTCTTGGGCAGGACCTCCGCCAGGGTGGCGCCGACGATGTCTTCGTCTCTCATGGCTGTGGTGAGACGATGGAAGACTGCTGCACGCGGGGTCTGAGGACAACCTTGGATCGCCCTCTCGATCGGAGAAAGGGTGATATATCAATGGCACCTGGCAATCTGCAAATCGTCCAGGGAGATGCTTATGTGCGGCACACCAAGGAACAGGGGCATAGCTGCAACTATATAGCTCCTTCGACACCCAAGCCGCGTCCATGAGCCGCGTCAAGCTTCGGAACCTGGTCAGCCCTTTCTCCTCCAAGGAATCAGCCCAAACGCAAACTGAGTAGAATCTCCTAGACGTTCCGAAACCCCCCAGCCCGTGTTCGTCCAATTCAGGATCCTTCCAAGAAACTCAAGCTCCTACAACGGAATCATGTATGTGGTATGCCGCCCGCGGATCATGCCATCACGCTACCTTTCCTCCCCCACACGCTATCCCCAGACGATGGCGGCAGATCCGGACGTCACCTAGTCCGGCGCCGAGTTACCCCATGGGGGCTTCTTAGTCCGCGTGGCATTGGCTGCAATGACGCACGCCCTGGTACCGGCAGCCGTAGATCTCGCAGCGCCCTGACGACCGCCTTCGCCAGGAGCGGCAATTCTTTGGGGCGACTGTCGTCCGGTTGCTGCATTGGCAATGCGGAGAAGAAATGCCGGAGTGCGGCCGATGCGGGTTGCGGGGGCGGCGTCCGGGTGCTAAGGCGCCCGCCCGGATATACGAAACGCGTGTGGGGTTGGGGGCGGGAAGGACCAATAGTTCGTCGGTTTGGTAGCTCGACGGGACGGGCGCCTCTCGCCCCAGTTCCTTGTTAGTTCCCGCTGCGCGGGTGGGAGAAGGGGTGCCTTGGGCTGCGCTTAAGTGCCGATTCGGCGGCTGCACCGATGCCGGGACGGGGCGATGCGACCGAATCTCGGAACATGGTCGCTCGCCCATGGCATGATGGAGGGTCGACTGTTGCGATGTTGCGAGGACGGAGGGGTCACTCTTAGCTGATGTCCCGTCGAAGGAGATGAGGGTGATCGGGAAATGTCGGGGGGCTGCTGGGTTGCGCGAAGCAGGTTTGCAGACAAGTCTTCCATCATCGTCGGTGGAGCTGGAGCGGAGGGCATCTCGATTCATCTCTTGCATCACGCAACCGTCAGGAACATCGAGGCACCGTGAGGTAACATACGCGTACTCATCGATTCAAGGTATCTTCAGACTTTTTGGCAACTTTTGACCTATCCGAGCAGGGGCTGCTCAACACCGGCAATTACTACTTTGAACACTCCCTCCTTCGCCGCCTTTACCAGCTCAAACGCCTTCTCCGACTCCTCAAACTTGAAGCGGTTTGTCACCAACTTCTTGACTTGGACCTTACCAGAGGCGACGAGGTCGACAGCTGCCGGGTAACATCCAGCCGTATATCTGATAGAGCCCTTGATGTGCAGGCCGCGGATGCAAGCCGTAGTGATGGGGAACGTCACGTTCTGTGCCCGTTAGCATCGATATTCACCTCGACAGGAGTATTGCAGTAACTCACCTCCTTGCCCATGCCAGTCTGGACGTACGTGCCACCGCACTTAGCGGCGAAGACGCCAGCCTGAATGCACGGCTCGGCCCCCGTGCACTCCAACACCACATCCGCACCCAGCCCCAGACCCAACTTCTCCTTCAGAATGCCGGCCGCAATCTCAGCCTTCTCAACCGGCTCCGCGCCCTCCTTGTCCACCTTCGGGTTCAAGATGGTCTCGTCGCTGCCAGCAAACTCCTTTGCGAAATCCAGACGCGACTGCGAAATATCGACGCCGTAGACGGCGCTGGCGCCGTAGGCCTTTGCGACGGCCTGGCACAGCACGCCGATGGGCCCGCAGCCGAAGACCAGCACCTTCTTGTTGGCCAGCGACCCGGCCGTCTTGCACACCTGCACGGCGACGGCCACGGGCTCGACCAGCGCCGCCTCCTCCATGTCGACGTGGTCGGGCACCTTGTAGCAGTAGTCGGCCGCCACGCTGTAGTACTTGGCCAGCGTGCCGTCCCACGGCGGCGTCGCCGCGAACACCGTGTCGGCGCAGAAGTTGTAGTCGCCCGCCCGGCAGTAGTCGCAGCGTCGGCACGGCACCCCCGGCTCGATGGCGACGCGGTCGCCCGGCTTGAGGTGCGTGACCGCGCTGCCGATGGTCGAGGTCACGACGCCGGAGGACTCGTGGCCGAGGATTATGGGCGAGGTGAGGATGAAGTCTCCGATGCGTCCGCGTTGCCAGTAGTGCACGTCCGAGCCGCAGATGCCCGTTTGCGCGACGTGGACGAGCACGTCGTGCGCCGGGTCGCGCAGCGCGGGGACCGGTCGGTCTTCGATGTGCACGGATTTGATGGCTTGGAGGACGAAGGCGGGGTTCTGGGGGGGAGTGTTGGTTAGCTTTCGGTTCTGGGGGAGTCTTGAGAGGTGGTTCTACCGTCATCTTGCTGGTGTCTACTGTTGTCGCCATTTTTGGTGCAGCTGTATGGATGTGCTTGCAGCACTCTCCGGGGTCTGTTTGGAGGTTTGGTATTTCGATTCTCAACTCAGCGAAAACAACCTCTCAAGCTTCAGCTCGAACTTGTGGTGGTGTTTTGCGATCCCCAAATGAATTGTTTTGTGGAGGCGACAGCTCTGGAGCTCTTGATGAAAAGTCCAAATGCATCGGACTACCACGCCCGCGTCATGGCGGGGCAGAGAGCTCCGACAGGGAATAGCGGAAGGGGCAAACCAACCAGCAGGCAAGAAGGGGAAAACGCAGGCGACGAGCAGCCGGGTTGGGAGAACGCACGCGCCCGGGAGCGGGGGATCGTCGACCGTTGGCCATGCCTCAGGAAGGCGGGGTAATGGCCTGACGCTCAACACCTCCGATGCGCGCCTCACGAAGCCCCACGTCGACGTCGGCCAGGTCGACCGTCACCCGGTAGTGCGGGCAATGGTCTCTCTTACGTTTTGACTTTTTCCCTTTTGACGGCCGAAGGTATCCGCCTGTGTACCCTCATTTATTTTCTTCTTCTCGTCAATTGCCTGTTTACTTGAACACCTGCATCTTCTGTTGCTTCAGTTCTTCTCCGCGACTTGCACCTTGCTTCCAATTCCCTTCTCATCCACTCCCCGCCAACTCCCCCAAACACCGCCAAGATGGTTATGCCCAAGCACCCCAACGCCGCCTCCCCCGTGCTCTCGCACTTCTCCCTCGCCGGCAAGGTCGCCGCCGTGACGGGCGGCGTGCGCGGCATCGGCCTGGCCGTCGCCCACGCCCTCGTCGAAGCCGGCGCCCAGGGCGTCGCAGTCATCTACTCGTCCACCCCGGACGCCGAGGCCGCCGCCATCGCGAAGGACATCGCCACCCACAGCCAGGGCGGTGCCGCCACAAACGTGCGCGCCTACCAGTCCTCCGTCCAGGACAAGGCCTCCATCACCGCCACCCTGAACCAGATCGAGAAGGACTTCGGCCGCCTGGACGTCGTCATCGCGAACGCGGGTGTTGCTGATATCACGCCTGCTGAGGAGGTGGGCGAGGATAAGTGGCGCAAGTTGATGGGCGTGAACTTGGATGGCGCTATGTACACGGCGCAGGCTGCTGCGAACATCTTCAAGCGCGTCAAGGAGAGCGGGAAGGAGGATAAGAACTGGGCCGGCAACATCATTTTCACCGCTAGCGTCAGCGCTATTCTGGTGAACATCCCGCAGACCCAGGCTGCGTATAATGCGAGCAAGGCGGCTGTCGTGCACTTGGCGAAGAGTTTGGCCGTCGAGTGGGTGGACTTTGCCAGGGTGAACTGCGTGAGCCCGGGATTCATTGATACCGAGAGTGAGTGCCTAATATATCTCGAAATTGCTGCACTCAAATACTGACACTTCGCCAGTCCTTTTGGTGCACCCGCCGGAGAGGAGGAACAAGTGGTTCGAAATGATCCCCGGCCACCGAATGGCTGATGCACAGGAGCTGAAGGGCGCCTACGTCTTCTTGGCTAGCAACGCAAGCACTTACATGGTAAGGCCCAATTTCAACGGCATTTCAGGAAAACTACTTACTCATTTTGCAGACTGGCGCAAATCTTGTTATTGATGGCGGCTACACTTTGCCTTGAGCAAAGCAATCACGACTCCTCTTTATTCCAGCATACCCATCACAAAAACTACGGCCAAGCCATAAAAGTGCTATCCCGACCACACTTCTACAGGCTGGAACCTTCAAATGCTCTGCCCATGTCCGGGTTGTATCATCTTGCCAGAAGGAATGTGCAGATCAGCCGGTACAATTCATAGAGCATCTCTAGACGCCAGAAAATACATTTTCATTTTTGATTGGCACATGTTCATACTGCTGGGTCTGTGTAGAATGCGTCACAGGACTTTTATTGCAAAAAATAAGAGTCCATTCGTTTCATTTCATTGGTGAATGCAGAGTCCCACCGAACAGGTTTAGCGTCAGAGGATTCTCACCTATTCCGCGCAGCTCTTACTAGGCGTTCAGCGATACCTTTGGTGTTCGACACAGACCCACCACGAGCCACGCTGTTCGAACAGCCTTCATATCCACGTACCGGATATCAGTAAATACCATGTTTTCACTCTACGAGGCCTATATCAGCCGCCGAGATCATATCTATCAGTACACAGAGCTGGGTCAGAAACGGAACATCCGGCTTCTTCACGCAGAGGATTTCGGCTTCACAATTGTTGAAAGGAGCCTTGACAATCTCCCACCTTTCGAAGCACTATCTTATGTGTGGGGAGACCCCAATCAGCCGCACGATCTATACCTCGCCGATGGATCCGGTTCCATACCATTAACGGAGAGCTTACACCAAGCGATCCGCCATCTACCCGCCCACCTTGAAACGAGCTACATCTGGATTGACCAGCTTTGCATCAACCAACAAGATACTATCGAACGCGGACACCAAGTCTCCCTTATGGGAGAGATATTTGGGACTGCACAAAGAGTCCTTGCTTGGCTTGGACCGGAGACAGAGCAGATCTTGCCATTTCTACAGATTCTCGAATATCGCGAGGATCACACGGAAGAAAGCCAACAAAAGTTCTTTCAGGCCGTCAACTCTTTGAACGATGACCCTAAAATTGACCTGTCTATTCGACGGCTACTTGCGATGCAGCAGTTCTTTGGCCCTTGGTTCATGCGGGTGTGGATCCTTCAGGAGTCTGCTCTGGCAAGCAGAATTCTACTATTCGTGGGCCGGAAGTCCTTCTCATGGGATACTATATTTTCCACGGCAATGCGTCTTGTGAAACATCCCGAGATGAGAGTATTAATCCGCCATTGGCAAGGCCGGGAGATATGGTCCCGAAGCCACCTGTTGAAAACAACCAAGGACCGAGGGCTCTCCTTTTGCCAGCTCTTATCTTCGGTCGGCCGCCACCTGAGAGCTTCAGACCCAAGGGACAAGGCCATCGCAAATCTCGGGTTTTGGAGACCCCCCAGTCTGGAAACCCATGACATATACAACGATGACATGACACCGACGAAGTTGTTTTTGAGGATTTCCAGATGTATCATCAAAGACACCGAGTCATTGGATATTTTGGGATCTGGGTATGGTCCCAGTAGAACATTGAACTCCGAGCAGACCTACCCGCTTTCATGGGTACCAGACTGGTCCAAAAGACTTGTTGGTCACTTCTCCATTGTTTGCGACAGCAATTTAAATGTGGAATGGGACTCATGCAGTCAAAGAAAACATGTCTGCCACAATACTAGCCAAGGATTCGAAGATCCGCACCTCAAAACCAAAGGGAGGGTTGTCGATTACGTTAAAGCTACTTCAAGCCATGTTCTTCCGTCCTTGGCAATATCTATCGAGGAAGCCCGACTGAAGGAGCTATTCAGTAACTTATATGAACATCTCAAAACCGAAACACTATTTGCGAATTTACATATCGGACGAATTTTGCAAATAATCTGGAATGCCAGCAGCCATGGGCAAGAATGGAATTATTGTCCACATGACATCGCGAATTCATTGGAAATCAATGAGGTTGTCTCCAAGAACTCTGTTGATGTACGGACGTTCTTCAATTCGCAATGGGGCAGGAAGTTCGTTATGACCACTACCGGGAAATTTGGACTTGTCGTGGAAGCTTGCAAGCCCGGAGATGCCGTGGTGGTTTTACACGGCTCAAGAGTGCCACTCATTTTGAGGAAGTGCGAGGGTTCAGAACGCTTTCAATTAGTTGGCGACTGCTATATTGATGGGATTATGTTTGGAGAAGCTGTTGATTGGAGTGAAGAGGAGGCTGACGACATTGTTCTGGAGTGATCTATTTGTCATACCTCGGCGTCCGGACACATGAAGATTTTGGGCGGGACACCATTTCAGCAGCTAGTGACTGTCTTTTGAGGTATATGCTTGAGCGCGCTAGGATTAATGTATTATCCTACTTGTTCGTGCTCAGCTACAGTTTATTCAGTGGTCCGGAGCTGTGCCCTTGTTTGACTGGTTTGACGTCAAGGAACTAGTTTGACGTCAAGTCCGCACACCACCGGGAATGGGGCCGGCAAGGCTCTGCGACACTTCCAATGAAGAGGGGGATTTAAGCGACGCAGATGATGCATGTGAGCATTGGGGCAAGTCCAAAACGATCTGCACGACAAATCAGGCCGAAAGCTTCAGCCTGACGACCCCGCTATTCAAAACAAGAATGCGCAGTTTCTTATATCGTGTATGGAATAAAGGAGAAACAAAAGGGACAGTGAAACAGCAATGGGTCGCTACGTTGCATCAATCCTTTTCTCCAAAAGTGAACCAAAGCCGGAAAATTCTGCGCCTTACTTCCATTACTATCGAGAGTCATGATAGCGCAGAAAGGAACCTCCTTCGAACAAAAAATCCCACACTGGGTCACCCGGAAAGTTGGTCAAGCCGCCAGACTCGGCCCCAGTGGTCTCACTTGGTTGCGGCACTGATAACATGGGCTCGACCTCCTCTGGTTGCTGGGATATTGGGAAATCGCTGTCCGATCGCTCATCAGCGACATCCACTGGGAGGGCCATTGTCTCCGGTTTTTGCAGTTTAGCTTCGGTGTTATGAGAGTTCATGATGATCGAGGTAGGAAGAACAGAACTTGACTCGTCGGCGGTGTCGTGCGCTGCATCTTCTTGGGTGTGGGATGTCTGCAAAAGCCCAGCAACTCGGTCGAATGATCCTAGCCCTTCGTGAAAACGAAACTCAGCGCAGAGTGTGTTGACCACCGAAAGGACAACCCGCGGAAGCCGGCTTCTCATCTCGGGTACCAGGCTTCGCCCGAATTCCTCTGAAATTATCTGCTCGGTAGCTGGAATAACCCGTTGACGAAAATGGTTCTCGAGCTGGTCTAAATGCTGGGAACGTGGGCCGATATCACAGTCTACATTGCAAATGTGTTAGGCAAGTCTTGAGCATAATGTAAAGGGTGGCTTCATACAGGGGCTCGGGATTTCGTTCGGACTTGTTCCAGGGAACACGATCTCGTAGATCCTCTTCCATCTCTCTTCCATTGACCCGGATTCTTTTCGCCTCCTCTTCAGGCCAGCAACTTGCTCATCCGTCAAACCCTCCACCTGCCGTGAGCTCGGGGCTTGTATACATCTCTCGGGTGCATTGAGGTGTTGTTGGAATTCGCTTTCAATGTGAAACACTGTTTTACATCTAGGACAATGAAGCGGTCTGCGATGGGTGCGGTAGAGATGTTCTCTGAAAGGACGCATTAGATAGGCTGGGGAACGATGCCTGGCAGCTTGAGGAGCCTTACTTCAACCTCGCAATGTTGGGGAAAGAGCTCAAGCATGATCTGTGCAGCGGCATATCGGGTGGATATCGCTTAGAAAACACGCATGCAAGGCTCTGTGGCCGAGTCGATGTTCCCGCAAGGTGCACACCATCATCATGCACATTGCCCTCCGAAAAGAGCATTTCGGTGATTTTCCTCTTTTTGGTGGCCATGATAATAGAAGTTGTGATCACGCGTTCGCAACCGTGTTCTTTAAGCGCTCTGCTCTTATGTAGGACAGCTCTCCGCGTTTCGTATGCCCGGCGGATTTGCTGATAGATCAAGGTGGTATGTCAAGACTTGAAACAAACGACCAGGCACACTAAAAGTTTGGAGATATTGTCAGCCACTTCGTTCAGAACTGAATTAGTAGGCACAAGGTAAGCATTGAAGTCTCGGACGTACTATGTTCATTCAACTGTGCTGTGGTACGCTCACAATCGCAACTATGATGTCGCGCCGAGCTGCCGCTGCGGTGGAACGGAATCTCGGGTTTATTTCCGGCCAGGTTACACAATAAGAACGGGACTCATAGAGATCGGAATCTGTTTGATAAAAGCGGAGTAAAGTTCAAAAGTTCAGGTAGCTAGGTGGCTCATGTCTTTGGGAAACTGTCGAAAGCTGCACTTGGACGATGGTAAGAAAAAGAATCAAGTCACTTAAATTGTCTACAATCGGTGAGGCTCTTCAGACCGTTCCACAGCCCGTGTGCATCCGCCGTTATGGTTCCACAATTTGTGGGCAAGGGTACGCGCGTGAGCCCTTCAGCCCAGTGCATGCATGGCGCTGCGCCAGCTCAGGCAGGCGGTGACGAATCAGCAGCGGCTTAAAGAGCCAATGAAACGAGGAGAACAGGGATGTACCCGTCGATCTACAAATCTTGGCAAACGGAAATTGCCTGTAACGTGTCTGACATTGAAATGGGTTCGACGGTGAAATGAGATATCCAATCAGAGAGCCGCCACCCTACTTAAGACTAGCCGCCACCTTTTTTTCCCCTAGAATTGCCGAAATTTCTGGGGGAGCTCTTTTCCCAGAAGTCAGGAATAGCCAGCAACGCCGCCCCCTACGATCTGACTTATATTAAAAATATTTGATATAATCATCTAGAAAATAGTTTGAGCTATCTATACGATGTTTTACTTTTTCTTTAAAAAGAGGAAAACATGGCACAGTTACTCTAGACTCAAGAATCCTCCTATTTTTCGTGATTGTCACGCTCGGATCTCCGGCCCTCGGTGATCATGTGTGGAGCCAGATTTGGGGCGAGATAAATGTGTTGCGGAAGCTATTGTGGCTGTGTTGATTTGAAGTCGTGGCCGGCGGCCGAAGTGCGGGCGCTAAAAAGAGCGGGACCCTCGTGTTGAGACGTATACCCAGCCTGGTGGGAGGAGACGGCTTTGTTTACTGCTCTCGTTGTAGTTCGCATTCGCCCTGAAGACACGCTTCGTACTTTTGATCCCTTTCAGATTGCTTCCGTGCATACCTTTGCCATCTCTCCGCAGTCCCCTCTCCTAGGAGCCTCCTGTACGCATTGGCTTTTAGTCTAGGCCTTTTTGTCGGTGTTGTTCGTGGTCTCTTATCGGCATTTAAAAAGGGAGGGCTCAGTTAAGCGAATAAATCCAACATCGACCAGGCGTCACCAGATGTAGTCTTGCGCGCAAATAATATAATGCAATATGTGGAATTATCTCCTTATAGACTCACTGGTCTAGCTAAATGAAAATGCGACTTACATTACTTGGGTTGTCACAGCTTGGACCTCCAGCGCTCGGTGATGCACCTCCCAATGGCGTTCATGCAAAACCTAAGACGGGCGGATCCCTCCAGTAAAGAGACGCAATGTAAGTTTATAAAATTAACGATAGTTCTGTTTAATGGTCGAAGATTTTCGGGACAGACTAGGTAGATCGTGGTGCTGATCGTATCTTCTGCGTCTTCATCGCTTATCTGGTGCACGCGGACTGGTACCCCATACTCGAGCAAATCTTTGTCCGCACAGACGGTAGATGGTATAGACTTTGGTAAGCAAATTGGCACTGTTGGTATGCTTGCTATCGTTAAGTGAAGGAAGTTGCCGCTGTGCTGTCTGTTGCAGTCAAAACAGCTTGGCCTGCCTTTACCCTGCTTAACTTCTGAGTAGATAAGATTAGGTAAAGGGATAATGTGCCAAGCTTGACAATCATTGGAACTCAATATATGTCAGTCTTCGTTATTTACTCCCGCTCGTCGGGGTCTTAAAATTTGAAGAAGTGCCTGTAGCCTCAGAGACAGAAATATGGTGTATTTAAAATGATTCCGTTTCTACGTAAGTGATGAGATAGTTAGCAGTCATTACTATATTTACACTAAATAGTATTCGTTAACACACACTCCCTTAGTCCCTTCTCAAATATCCACCTTGATTGTGACTCCCTCCAGAAAGTGAAGCGTGATATCTTGAGCTCAGATCATCGAAACCAGGATCAAACAAGGCTGCAGCGTCATCCATAGAGTCCCACTGCCCATCCGGCGACCGGCCTACTGGCGTATGTGCCGTAGCGACGTCGTGCTCAACGGTCAAGAAGCTGGTATCCATCTCTGCCACGTTACTGGCGTATCCCGGCTGAGTTAAGCCTGGATCGGTCAGCAGGGATGAAGGATGCTGTGCCGTGTAGGGTGAGACGACAGGCTGCTGTTGAGCTAGACCACCACTAGTCGTAAATGCCGGCGCTGCTAAGCGACCTGGGGTTGCAGGCCACAATCCAGGCTGAACATGGTCAGGGTTTGCGCCCAGCATCGCGATTCGCGGGTCAACAGTAGCTGAGGAAGAGGCTACCGCTGGTACCCCTGCTGATGGCAAATCAGCCTCGTGTTGAGGTGATGCCATCGTTTGCCCGTCAGCTGCTCGACGGCGGAAAAGGGAGTACGACTGCTCCAAGCAGTTCTGCACAATCGTCTCAACATGACCCTGCAAAGTTTCAGACAGGAAAAGCTGATCGACAAGCATGAGGACGCCCTGCTCGACGCGGCGGGGCAGATCGTTGCGCATGAAGTTCTCGTAGCGCGCGTAGAAATTCATTCCTTGTATCTCATCACGGTCTACCCACCCTGAACGGTGTGTTAGCAGATGCGAGAGAAGAGGTAGGAAGAGCGTATAAGGAACTCACATGGCGGTGGGATCTCGTCGTCCTGATCCGCAGGGAACAGGATGCGCCAGATGTACTTCCATTTCTCCTCAAGAGGCTTGTTTCGCATGCGGCCCCTGAGCATTCCGGCCTGCGCGGCGTTGTAGCCGTCGGTGAACGGCCTCTCTTGGACCCGCGCGCACATCTGATCTTCGGGACGGCGGAGGTGGGTATTCACATCATCTTGCGTCTTGAATACCTTATAGCAGCGGGGGCATTGGATGGAGCAGTCGTGTACCCGTTCTAAATGCTCTCTGGAAATATGCCTGTTAGACACTGACTTTCGGCTTTGTTTCGTATGAAGGTTGAGATTGACTTACTTCATCTTCGTGATGTCCCTGAACCCAGTTCGGAAGCACGCATCGGCCTTCGCCGGACTACGCGGGTTTCGCTTGAAGTACGGGCACGCGATCCTCCGCCCCTCGTGATGTTCATGTGGGCTTGGGGATTTGCGTGGTTTACGGGGACGGCGGCGTTCATCGTCATCGTCATCATCACTGTCATCGTTGTCACCCGGAGAATCCGCGTTCCCCATCTTCCTCTTCCGACTTGCGCCCATGAACGTGCGGCCTGTGCAACCATTGGTGGTCACGGAGGGTCTCTTGCCGTTGGCACGGCTGGCAGATAGACCCTGGTCCGTGGAAGCAGGGGCTTCTTTGGGAGCCGCTGCCAGGATAGCTTTGTCATCAGAGGCTTGCGATGCTGCACGTTTCCGGACTTCTCTCTGCATGATAGGCAAGGAAGTCGGCGGTTCGGGCGCTTCGGTCTTCACAGTGCCAGCACAGCCATATAGAGACGCTGCCGGTAGAGGGAGTCCGAGACTCGTGCTGTTTGCAATATAAACCATGAGCCGTTGGAAGAGATGCTGCTTAACCGGACGCAGGATCTCCTCAAGGAAGTCCCTCTGCAGGGGGTCTGGGGAGTAGCGCGAGTCATCTGAGGGGGCATCGCTGTCATCATGCTCTGATGAAGCGTCGTCGGTATCTTGATGGTGATCATCATCGCTAGGGGGAGTTGGTTGGTGGTCGTTGGAAGGCACAGAAGAGTCAGGTTCAGACTGCTCATCAATGGTGTCGTTGTCGGGATTCTCATTGTTGTTCTCGTACAGAGATGAACGAGTGTCATTGTTCCCCCCAGCAACCCCTTGAGAAGAGCTCTCACGAGACATTGCAACGACAGAACTGGCGGTTGAACGAGGGATAGAGTAGAAGGTTGGGTCGAACGATTGATGGGTAGGAAGGGGCGCCGTATCAGAACGAATGACTGAAGGAGGGAGCATTGAAGCGATTGGATCATGAGGAATGATCTGAGGACTTCCTGGAGGGGGACCTGTAATAAATCTATTCGAAAGAGTGGTATCGGTATGGCCGGATGCAGGTGACGGGCAATGACTGTGCCTCAAGCATACGCGTTAGCGGCACGATTCAGCTCGATGACAAAAAGAGGGTAATGACTTACAGTGGCTTCAAGCTGGGCGCCGCATGATCTATTCCTGGATGCGGCGACGTAATGGCTGTTGAGGCTATGGCGGCAGCCTCCGGAACGGGTGTCGTTTCGGAGACATTCTCATCCGAGCCGTGAAATATATATCTGGCGTACAGATTTCCTGGAGCGCTGGTGTTCGCATCGGAGCGGTACCGGGACTGTTGACGGGTCGAACAGTCGAGATCAGAATGCTGGATGCGCAAGGCGTCTGTGCGTCGAGCAAGAGAGGCGGAGGAAGAGCTGCTGTTGCTGCTGCCTGAGGTTGAAGAATTGCTCCCATTGCTTGCGTAGCTGGTGGCAGAGTAATCCGACGAGATGGAAGTCCCTGCTCTCCGAGAGGCGTGAAGGCGGGGAGTAGCGGTGGGGTTTCTTGTGGTGTTGCGGCGGCGATACTGGGTGCGATGGCGGAGGTCCAGAGCGTCCTCGCCGGGTTTGATAAGAGCGTCCTCGTACTGGATGATACGATTGATCATCTTGAACTTCCTCATTCCCTTATCCAGCAGCTCCTTGCCGGCCGGGCTTCCCGGCTTCTGGGCCGGGGATGACGACATGTCGGACAAGGCGTGCGGCATGCAACCGACGATTGCGCTGGGCGTACGTGCGAGAGGGATGAAGGAACGCGTGGTCCGTGGCGATTATCGTCGTCCTAACAAGGCTGTAGCCTGTTGGAGCGCAGGAGTTATCCGGAGACCGCGAGCGAGGCGCAGGTTAAGTAGCGGGATTGGGTAGTTGAACGGGGGGATAGAATTTTTCCACACCAGCCTGGCCGGCGGACAAGATGTGTGCTGCGCCATTGAAGAGGCTCAATGTGTCGTGTGGCGGAGCGAAGGCTTAGGGGGAGGCGAGGCTTTGACACGGAGGCCGCAGAGAAGGCTGCAGCGTAACCCGCATTTGATCACCGGCGGACGAATCACGACGCCACACCCGTCTGCTCAGCTGGCCTCGAAGCAGGCAGCGAGAGCACGTCCGGAGGTATACGAGACGATGACGACAGGGTGCCCCAGGCCGGAGGTTTTGTCGGTCGGGTGGTCAGCCTGGCGGCCTGGGATCCTGTGGGTTTGTAGATCTGCCTTGGTCGCTAGATGGGCCAGATCCGCGCGCACGTCACACGCAGATGCGTTTTGCAGCGTGTCGCGCGCCGAAAACCCACAGCTGCGCCACATCTAGCTCCCGCGCATCTGAGTTTTAGGGTGGAAGAGTAACTAGGTGCTCGTGAGTTGAAACCACCGTCATCCGAAAGGTAAAAATCCGCCACTCACCGCTGTCTGCCTGCGCAGTTGAGCACTAAGGTGTCACTAATCTCCCCAGCAGCGCAAATGCCCAGACGGTCAGGATGTGATCCCGCAGGACACGATGGTTTCCCACCGCGCACCGGGCTCCAAACCCACATTGCGCGACTGAGCATCAAGGCAAAAGAGCAATTAGGCAGAGATTCAAGGCGTTTCACCCTCATCTCCTGAGCGCACTTGCGAAGACGTAGTAAGTATATATCTTTCTCTTCATCATGCCTTCTGGCCATATTCACCACCAGCTCAATCATCTCTTCGGCCTTCACACACAAATTCAACACCAGACCTACCTTGCATCATGTCTTCTCTTCAGAATGCCGGTCCGGCCATCAACATCCTTCCAATGGAAAACGCCTACTACTGCTGCAAGTGCCTTTTCGGGCCTATGCTTCTCGAGCTGTACCCCGCATGCATCGAGTGCGGCGCGCCGGCCTGCGGCAGTTGCAAGTTCACTAGCCTTCCCGAGCTCCGAGCTCAGACTGGGGCCGGGTGCAGCCCATGCGATGCCCACGGTGCCTCTGTTCTCGGGTATGTGTTCCAGTCCAACGGGTCGGGATCGCGTATCGCTAACATGATCCAGCTTCGATAACGACCCGTCGCCAATGATGGACCGCTTCGTGCGAGAACAGCCGACCGTGGCCGAACGCCTGCTGGCTGGTGCAGGACCGCGCAGTTTGACTGGCCTCCAAGATCAGACGGACGGAATGGTGAGGCGGCTGGAGTATGTCGCGGACGAATACAGGCCGAGGATGTGATGATTTTATGGGATATGGCACGAACAAGATACCACGGGACTGGGTTGGACTGCTTTATTGGCGCAAGGATAGGATACGAAAAGACGAGCGGATGTACGATACCAGGATGCTTACAACTGTACAATTAAGGCGCATTTAGATAGACACTTACTACTCGCAATCAAGCGTTTCCTCCGATTTGCTGGTGGACGATCGATCCATTGTGACAGGAACACGTCTAACGCATGACGGAGTACTGCGACGATTCTCGAGACAGCTCAGCAAAGAAGCAGGCCGGCCAATGTATAGTTCCAACGTAGACCAGTATGAGATGACGTTCAGGAAGGCGGAGGTCAAAGCGGTGCGCTCGGCCTAATGTCGAAGCTAAATGGGCCCTAGATCCTGGAGTGACGCCGGGTGGCCTGGTCAGGCTAGAGTGCAGGGTCGCGACGTGGGTGAAGATGTGCGGTGATGTCTCGGACTGAGTGGCAAAAACATCGACATGGCTCTCGTCCACTTTGGCAAAACCAGAGATGTGAGTGACGGTGACAGAGGGTGAGAAAGTGTGAAGGAGGGAAGCGGAGATGAAGCGGGGAAGATGCTAGCGCCCGTTATCTCAACCGATGGCGGATCATCTCCGGGTAGGAATAGCCCGATCACGTGCGTGGCTTTTCATCTAGAGCAAGCGCCAACCCTGTCGCTGGCCAACTTTTACATCAGCCATTCGTCGCTCAGCGCTATGACGCACACAGTCGCATCGCTCTTTCAATCCAACTCGACAGCCCAGCGCGCCAGCGTGCGCCATCAGACGTCATGCACGTCGCCGTCTTCGCTCGACAAGCCAGCTTCTGGCGAGCGAATTCCTTTCCTTTTTACTCTCCGACGTGCATAGAGCTGTATTGCTCTTGTTCATTTCTTTTCTATTTAGTCTGTTTTTCGGTGCTACAGTCATGTTGGCACACGCCCAAATGACCGGCCAGAGGCAGAGCGTGCCTGCGCGTCACGGCATCGCGACCTTCGTCCCAAAAGGCCACTCCATCAAAGTCATCAATACTTACGGCAGCCAGGTCATTAGTACTTGGGTCTTCGCCCTTCACAAACCTCCAACCGAAGAATCCGAGGCTGAGGAGAGAGCTGCCGAGGAAGCCTTCAACCAAGCCCAGCAAGAAGCCGAGAGGGAAGTCAGCGCCCAACTGCAGCAGCCGGCCGCAGTCGATACACAACCCGGTGAAAACACATCTGATGTTGTTGTTGTTGACAAGCACGAAGAACCTGTCGGAGATCAGAAGATGCCCTCCCAGGATGAGGCCCAAACGACAACTGAAGCCCCGGCTATTCCCACAGCCAAGCCTACAATCCAGACTGTAGACGGCAAGAAAGTGCGCTCTTGGTCATCCTATGTTCCCTCCGTCCCGTCTGTGTCTGCGTTGAGATACCGAAGCAAAGCATCTGCTGCACAGGCGAGCAAGGACGCTGCCAAAATCAGTGAGGAGCAAGGAGAAGGTAGCTCAAAGGATAATGCCGAGGTCAAACCGGAGGAACCGAAAAAGGACGGCACTGAAAGCAAAGAGACGGATAAGGTAGGCGCTGTGGAGTCTGAAGTCTCGGATCATGCCGTCCAAGCGGACGATGAGGGGGTCAAGGTTGCAGGAACAACCACTCCATCGGACAAATCGGAGGATGACTATACCGATGCAAAGTCAGTACAGTCTTCAAGGAGCTGGGGATCCTACCTCCCCTCAATCCGCGCCCGGGCAAAGGCTGCCTATGGAATGGACCCGAAAGCTGGTACTGGTGACAAGGAGAAAGGGAGCCAGAGGACTTGGCTTTCATACCTGCCATCCGGCGCTTCCTTTACTTCCTATCTCCCCAGCAACAGCAAAGATGCTCTCTCCGCATTCGCCTCCTCCCACCACCGCGACCCCACCAAATCCTATGCTGAGCAGCTCTACGAGTTCTCGAAGACTCCCGTCGGAGCTGCCAGTCTCTCAGGTAAGCTATACCCTCCCTCTCATCCCCTTTCAAACTCACCCGCTAATACACCACCCTTCTAGCCGCCACCGGCTCTGGCACCGCCGGCTCTCTCTACGCCGCCTACTCAGCCTACACCAAGCTGCAAGCCGCCCGAAGCCGCACGGAGCCGATGGAGTACCTCTCCCTCCCGCACACCATCGACGCTTTGCACAAGCTCTCCCCCGAACCCGGCGACACACTGATCTCGAACCTGCACGAGCCGCTCCTCACGCTCCTCGAAGATACATCTCCCCCGACCACCACCACCGCCACCGCTGCCGACTCCTCATCCTCCACCGCCATCCCCCTCCGCCACGGCACCATCCTCCCCGCGTGCGACCCGACGACGTACAAGAACCTCGCCGGGCCCGACTCGAACGGCGAGGAGCACGGCTCGTGCGCCGAGAACCTGGTGCTCGCGCTGCAGGAGTTCAACAAGTCGACGGGGCTGAAGGGACCGCGCACGGTGGGCGCGGACGTCACGCTGAATAGTGCGCCGGTGCCGTTGAGCTTGTTTATGAATACGAGTGTGCGGCAGCAGCAACAGCAACAGCAAGGACAGGGCTCGGGCAGCAGCGGCAGTGGGAATGTCGTCGTTGAGGAGCCGAGGAAGTTCGAGGGTGGGAAGTGGGGCAAAGGTGGTGAGAAAGGCGGGTGGGTCAAGTTTAGGGCGGAGAGGGATGTGGTGGTCATCATGAGCGCGTGTCCGATGGATGTGGGGCCGACGAATGCGGGGAGGTGTATGGCGGCGAATTTCGTGGTTGAGGAGCCGGTTTGCGAGGAGAAGGTGGAAGAGGAGAAGGAAGAAGGGGAGAAGGGAGAGGAGAAGGGGAAAGAAAAGGCGAAGGTGCAGACGACGAGTGAGCAGATTAATGGGAAGAAGGTGGAGGCTAAGAAGGCGCAGGTGAAGAAGGAGGTCAAGAAGCCTGCTGCTGCTACTCCCGCTGCCGCTGCTGCTGCTGCTACGCCGGCGCCTGATGTTAAGGGCAAGAGGAGGGATAGTGCTCATGGCATCGCTGAGGGAGCGCAGCCGAAGGCGAAGAAAACACCGGTTGAGGATAGAGCGAAGAGCCCGACTGAGAATACGGCGAAGGCTGCGGTGGAGAACAAGACGAAGACTCCCGTGGAGAGCAGGGCGAAGACTCCTGTTGAGAACAGGGCAAAGACTCCAGTGGAGAATAGGGCCAAGAGTCCAGTGGAAAATAGGGCGAAGAGTCCTGTGGAAAGGGTCAAGAGTCCATTCGGGAATATTGTCAAGAACCCGTTTGAGAACAGGGCGAAGAGTCCTGTCTCTGGGGTGCAGTCGCCGAGGACAGGGGCCTCAACCCCGTGTTCAGAGGCTATTCGGAACATGCCAAGGCCTGGAAAGAAGAAGCCGAAGAAGTTGGAGCGTCGCAGCTCCTCCAAAGCTCCGGTTTGATTCTGTGTGGATATGGTGATGGAAGGGTATTTGTGGGGCCAAATTGTTTTCGTTGCATCCGCTGTATTATTGATTTCGTCCTGTTTCTGTTTTCTCTCATGATTATTGATTTCCTGGTTCCTGGCACACCGGATAATAGGTAGGAGAATACCCAAGCCGCGTCTTTCTGATTGGTGGAGAATAGTCTTGGCGTCGTCATGGTGCATTGATTCCCCGGGTTTCCGTCAGCCTCCCGCATGTGTCCAGCCCGCATCAGGGATGGGTTGTATATCTTTTGTCCTGCTCAACGGCTTCTTGACGCCTCGATCGCACCACCAACCCCAAGCACGCGCGGCGCGGATGGCGCAACGGTGCTTAGCTTTGGATTCGGCACGCATTCGCCCGGCTCTTTCTCCGCCTTCTCCTTTAGTGCTCGTATTAAGCTACCCCGCAGCCTCCGCAGATCATCACCTCGTCCGACCTCATCCCACAACCCACCGGAGAAAATGCTTTAGGAACAAAACTTGGTTTTCTTCGTGTTAACATGAGGATATATAGGCACGCCCCGGGGCCATTGGGTCCTGTCGAGCCCCGCATCCAAAGTCCAAGATGCTTCTGAACACTGGAGTCATGCCAGTCGCTGCCCGGGCCCTGAGCCTGGCGGCGACGAACAAAGTCAGCAACGTATCGGTGCCCTCGGACCTCTCGACGCGGGCGCTGCTGCCGGATGCGTACGGCTACTCGATGGAGCCGGTGTGGGTGGACGACTACCTCAAGTCGGACCTGGCAACGAACCTGATGAGTGCCATCGCCAACGTGACGGGCAAGCCGGCGCCGTTCCGCATCGGCGGCAACACGGCGGACCAGACGTACCTACACCCAGACCTCAACGTCACGTCCATCTCGATCCCGACGCCGGCGACGGCCCAGTTCTTCAACATCAGCCCGGCGTGGTACGACACGTGGGCCGACTACTTCCCGGAGGGCACGGATCTGATCTACACGCTCAACCTGCACATCAACGAGTCGGCGTGGGCCAACGCTCTGGCGCAGGCCGAGGCGGTGCACAAGGCGCTGGGCGACAAGCTGACGCTGTTCGAGCTGGGCAACGAGATCGACCACTTCATCAGCAAGGGCTGGCGGGCCGAGGGCTGGAACGTGGCGCAGTACATCGAGCAATGGCGCAACATCACCGACCAGATCCTGGCCACCGACTGGTACCAGGCGGACCCGACGCCGCCCAAGTTCCAGGCGGCCGTCTTCGCGGACCCGCCGTGGGTGCCGGACCAGCAGGACGAGATCGACGACTTCGACATCGTCAACCTGACGGCGGGCGGGCTCGTCGACCCGGACCTGATCAGCACCTACGCCGTGCACCTGTACCCGCAGAGCACGTGCGACACGGAGCGCTGGCTGCGCATGCGCCTCGACCTGCTGTCCAACCACACCACCCTCTGGCTCAACGTCTCGCAGTACGTCCCGCAGGTCGCCGCCGCCGACGCCGCCGGGTCGCCGCTCGTGCTGGGCGAGACCAACTCGATCAGTTGCTCCGGCCGCAGCGGCATCAGCGACACGTTCGGCGCCGCGCTGTGGGGCGTCGACTACGTGCTGCTCGCCGCCAGCATCGGCATCGAGAAGACCTACTTCCACCTCGGCGCCCAGAGCGAGTACTCGGGCTTCACCCCCGTCGCCTACGAGTACAAGAACGAGAGCCTCGTGCCCGGCATCCGCCCGGGCTTCTACGCCCACTACTTCCTCGCACACGTCCTCGCCCGGCCCGACGGCGAGGAACTGAACATCGCCGCGCTACCCTCCGCCAATAGCTCGGATTTCAGCGGCTTCGGCATCTACGGGGATGCAGGGCTGAAGAAGCTCGTCTTCCTCGACATGGGTGTTTGGAACGGCACCGAGGGCCTGAGCAACCCGAGTACGCTGTCCGTCACCGACGGCACGCAGTTCAGCAACGGCACCCGCCCGACCCGCCTCCTCAGCGCCGCGACCGAGTGGGACGAGGGCGCCGCCGTCAGCGTGCTGCGGCTGAGCGCCCCCGGCACAAACGCCAAGAGCGACGTCACCGTCGGCGGGGTTACCTTCGACACCAGCTCCGGCGCGAAGGTCGGCGAGGAGGAGCTGGAAACCGTCACGGTGGGTGCGGGCGGCGTGGTGAGCCTCGAGTTGGTCCAGGCGGAGGCGGTGCTGCTGGAGCTGGCGGCTTGATGGAGGACGTGCGCGGGTTTTCGGTGTACAGAGTAATGCATCATAGTGGGTCCATTATAGGTAGACGTGTGAATGCAATGATTTGGTTGGCTTTCTGCGATGAAACGCGCTTGCATGCTGAACCAAACTGTGGGGAGGTGGAGTTGCATCCGTTGAAGGCTGCAGCCTCGCCAGCCGCCGCACTGCTGACGGTGTCAGCGCTACTTAATAAGCGCAGAGCCTCATCATCTGGTTGGTGCCTAAAAGGCCAGCCGGAATGCTGTGCCTCTCTACGCCGCGCGACTGCCTTGCCAAATTCTTGTTTTTTTCTCGTTTCACATGACTCTCCCCCGGCGCTCTTTTGCTTATGTCATGCAAGGCTGAAGGCCAGCCGCGCAGCCTTGTCACCAACAGCCTTGTGCAGATCGCCAAGAAAACCACATTCCAACCCACATCCTCGTCTCTGGGAAACCATTCAATCCATCGTTTCTATGCGCGCAATTTGGTGGAAGTGGCGCAGCACATTTAGGGGGTTTGAAAAAGGATGTGACACATTTTCGCTAGGATGACGAAGCAAATGTAATGTAGCAGGTAAACGAGAAAAATTCCAACATCAATTATTCTAGGAACAAATTTACATGAACGTCAGAAGAAGAAAAAAGGAAATATTTACAAGGTATGTCAATCTGGTTGCCCTGGCCCCTCTACATCTACCTCTCTATCTGTCTTGTCTATCGAGGTATTTTAACAGTATTTGTAAAGATGTATCCAGGTCAGTCGATGGTAATCCTGGCGGCCGCAATGAGGGCGCAATTTGATCTTGACGGCCTGAGGATCAAATCGCGCCCTCGTTTCGCTTCCAGGTGGAAATGTGACTGCAATGTGTTAGTCGAATCCCGTTGCAGTATTCTGGTTGTCATTCGAGACCTACTGACACTTATTGGATGTCTGAGAGACTCATCTCAGGAATTCCGTCCTTTGAACCTGGCCCATACGTCTCGGAAAGAAGACGGAACTGGTGGTCCTCGAAAGAGAGCTTCATAGCACTAAGCTGGTAAGTCTTTATCTCTGTCACGGAATCGAGAATGATCTTACGGAACAACACCATCGGAGAGATTCCCTTCGACTCCAAGCCTCTTGCAATGACCAAGGTCGTGACCATCGGGAATGTTTTCAACTCCTTCCCATATGCAATCTATGCATGGCTTGGCGCCACACGAAATACATTCGACGTAGAGATCCGTGTTCATAGGTCCAAATCCACATTGGCAGCAGTAAAAGGTTTTCCCAGTGCAAGTGTTCATGGTCAGCAAAAGAAGCTTGAAGGAGTAAAGCAGGCGGGTATATGGCGTTCAAAGAGCTGGAATGAATGTGCTCAGAGAACTGAAGTGGATGCGTTCAGAGAGCTGAAGAGAATGCGTGCAGAAAACTGGCCATGGATGCATGGCATCAGCTTCAATTTGTAGTTCTTGGTTGCCTACATATCCAGGCTCTCCAAGGCTCATTTTCACGTATTTGCGGTGTGGCAAGTTGGCTGTGCTCTCTAGATCAAAATTCGACATCTCGAATGAGAACGAGAAGATGTCTCAAAACCATCCTGAGGCGGGGTTTTGCTAGCCAGCAAGGCGCTCATTGTGGGCTGTGTCTATATTGCGCAAATAGGGGAAACCCACTGCTGCGCGTTCATGCTCGTCCTCAAATACGCAGTTGCGGGCCTCGGGGGATGCGGTTCTTTTGTGCTGGGCGGCCTTACCCAGGGCCGGCATGTCTGCCCAGGCAAACTGTCTCACCGGGGAATAGGCAGCACTGTGCTATTGATTGGATGTCGTCGCGTGGCAGGCTCCGCTTCTTGCTTTTAAAGGTTAGCTCATCCGTCTCCAACGTGAGACGTCATTTCCTAAGGACACCAAGGGTGGCTGATGGCTTCTCTCAACCTCTTTAAACGTTGAACATATCCGAACGATGCCCAACGTTTATGCAGTGACAGTATATTGATAGACGTTGCCCAACAACTCTTGGCGGCGGCCGTCAGTCCCGATATCCGCAGTTGCGTACAGGGGAACCAGACCAAGGCTTACTTCATACGACGCCCCGTTACTTATGTCCCGGTGAGGCTTTAACGAGCGGTTTCCCACTCCGGCTACAAGGCTATCCTCTCTTACTTTGCCCGGCATAAGCACCGATCACGTTCTTTCACAACAGTGTTCAGCTCTGCCTCAAAGGCACCAGTATTGACCAAAAGTAAAAACAGAGTTGGTTCGCTCCACCCTACATTCTAGGTCATGAAGTGAGGCTCTTACATCTCTGATTCATAGAAAATATGTCAAGAAACCCATATGGGGAGGCCGCACGCAAACGCCCGAGGGGTTACGTCCGTGGTTCACCAAGCGAGAGGCCTGAGTACTACGCAAACCACCACCCACTCCCTTACCGAGACGCCTTTGACTATTCCAGCCAGTCTCACAGATTGAGCCCTAACCAGGCTCATCAGCAAGGCTTCGATAACGTCAGCCGCGAATATGATGATGCCGCTCAATATACTGTTGATCAAGAGATGGAAATTACGGGTTCAGGTGATGCCACCCTCGACCCGACGCATTTTTCTGGGTTTAGAGATGCAACGTGAGTATATTTCATTTTTATAATAGCTTTAAAGTTGCTCGTCCTAGCCCGAGGCTCACGCATGCAGGTCCAGGTACTACGAAGCTTCGCTTCAGCAAGAGCTGTCGTCCCAATCAGCGACATGGGGCCAATATCTACCTGCTGACTACGACCCCCATGCCATTCAAGGAACATATGTGAGCGACTCAGAGCCAGCTAATGAAGCAGAAGAGTCATGTATTCCTGAGTCTATCGTTGCTGGTCTTGCTGAAAACCATGTAGCCAATCATGAACCCGAACAAGCCGAAGCCAGATCGTCCCAAGACACACAACACTCGACAGGAAGTGACGGCAGAATATGCTGTCCTTACATAATCAAGGAACCTCATTTACCACCAGTATCCACTGCGTGCTGGAGTACTGGTTTTCCTAATGTGTCTCGACTAAAGTAAGTGATGATCCTGGTGCGAAATAGTCTCGATCTAATCTTGTATCAAGGCAACACCTGAAACGCAACCACGGCATCGACCTACCCTTTCAAGACAGGGACAGAACAGAGGTAGAAAAGTTTGAAAACATATGGAGGCAAATATTCCCTGACTTCACCGGTCAAATCCCAACGCCATGTACGACGCAAACACGTTGCCACCGCCCCTTACCACTCACAAGCAGCTGAGTCTTTGCAGATGGCTGGGACCGAGAAGCCCTACAGCGTCGACAGAACCTACGAGTCATCGAGGAGCACGATGAATATATTCGTGCTCAGCTGTCACAACGCTATCCACAGCTGGGGTTCGTGTTAGAAGACATTCTAGCCACTTTCCACCACTTGCGACGAAACGATTTGTTGCCCGATCAGGGCTGACGAGATTACGACGCACTGGCGTGTACTGTTGTACGACCAGTCATCCATCGATTCCCCCATCTTGAGTTGGCTCTTTGCCCCCATTTGCCCCAAGAATAAGTTGGACCCTACTAGAACTTTCTATTGTTCATGGTACAGCCGCAAGTTTCTTGAATTTGAACCAGCTCAGCCACATTGATTCGACGTGCGTTGAGACAATAAATGTTTCCGATTTGCTGGGCTTCTCTCGCAGAGCATGGGCCAGGCGCCAATTAACGGCACAGCCGGTTATCTAGCGGCTTGACTCATCTCTCCAAGGACTAGCAGAGTCATGGATGGTACATACCATTTGCTATAAACAATTTTGTTCAAGGGATCGCAGGCGCGCATACTTTGCAACAGTCTTTGTATGTTATTTGCGCACAAGGCTACATCTGGTGATGCCTAATACTGATGTTGGATAAATGCCCTCGCTTACACGAGCCCTTCCTTTTTAAATACACAGCCACAATAGCTTCCGCGCGCATGTGACCCCCCTGCATCATCTTCGCCCCATTGCTGCTGCCTATTTCTCCAAGTCTTATTCCGCGGTTGCGAAATCCCCAGCCTTGCGTTCCTGTCTCTTGGATTCCACTGCACGACTCATTTGAGCCTCATTCAAACCACATGTCGTCTGGTTCGTCTCCCAATCCTGTATCCCATTGGCGTTACTAATTTTTTACCGTTCGGTCCCAGAAACCAACAATTATCGAGACTAAGAGCCTCAACGCAAAAAACCTACATCCATCACGACAGAAACCTATCTATGGTGTCCTGCCGATCGTCTTGAACTGTTGATACTACTTTCCGCTCCTTCCTGCCGCCGATTTCGATCATACAAAAGGCTTCGAGGTTCTGTTTCGGAGTAAGGGGTACCTACACAGAGAAGCGCATAGGGCACAATCGTGCATCCGGATACTCTCGTAGGTAATGACTATACGTTGCGGTTCCTGCGAAGCCCCTACAATCACATACTTCTGATTTCCTTGGCTGAATCAGAGGCAGCCATATCTCGTTTGCTGTAGTTCTCTATTCTTTTACTACCTTCGGGGCCATAAGAAATCTCGTTTGCGGCATCTCTATTTATTCGAACGCCTTTCATATTATGCAACCGTCACTCCGTTGTCCAGAAATTAGTACCAAGTTACAAGGGAGGTCAGCATGTGCTCAGCTCGTACTGGCATGGAAAGGGAAGAATGTGTGGCTGAATACGGACGTAGTGAGGGTTCGTCATCGCCGCAACACTTGAAAGAGCATGGCGGCTCTGCGGGAGGTATTCCTCTGCACCCAAAGGAGGTGTCTTCCAAGCGGGATGCTTCTTCGGCTTTGTCCAGTCCTTCCAAAAAGCGGAAGCTGGATCAACAGCCGGACGGTGACTTGGACGAGATTCAAGACGACAAGAAAAGACTCGCATGCCCTTTCTTCAAACGAAAGCCTACAAAGACTCGGCTTTCTTGTGTGTATCCGGGATTTAGCAGCATAGCTAGATTGAAGTAAGACCTCCCCTTCTCCTATGTCGCTTGATATCACCGATCATCGTCTGACACAATAAGGGAACACCTCTACCGGCAACATATGCTACCTCAACACTTATGCTCCAGATGCCTAGAAACTTTCAAATCGGAACCGGAGCTCCGAGAACATTCACGCGCTCCAGAACCCTGCCAAGTAGATAGAGAGACTCATATCGAAGGCATCACTCTCGAGCAGGAAAAGGCTCTCAAAAGCAAGAAACGGACAAGCAAATCTGGCAGCAACTCCAACGAAGAGAAATGGCGCGACATATACAGCATCTTGTTTCCAGGGGAAAAAATACCTTCAGCTTGTAAGTTCATCTGTGAAGAACATATATCAGCCCATATACTTACTGGAGCCTAGTCTGTGATACAGTTTCCAGCACCCCGCTGTCCGAAGAGATTCTGAGGCAGGAGTTGCCCGATCTTGTAAAGGCTGAGATACAAAAGAACAAGAGCCTCCTGGATCACAGCAAGACGTTTCTCGAAATTTTATCGAGATGTTTGGAGCAAACTATTTCAAGATTACACCACAGCACTTTTGAGGGGCAGCTTGGTGCGACACCTACCACCACTGAGACGTTGCCACCTGGTCCAACACAGTCAGTTGATGATGCCGATGGAGAGGCCAGAACATCAAAGAGGAACGAAAATCCTGCGCACGATCCAACTTCACCCCGGTCTACTGTGAGCACGGTCGAAAGTACCAGAAATGATCCAATGAGAGACATCTCAGCTCCATCCGGCCCACAATCAGAGCAAGAAGTCGAGAATGAAAGCGGGGGTTGAGTAATACGAAAAAGTTTGCTGATCAAACATCGGTCAACCTATTATGAAGTCTTTTGCATGCACCCTTGTTCATATGTCCTGGCATCCACGCAATCATTGTGTTTTTTTTTTTTGGGGCCCTCCTCTTCGAATTTGGTACCCCACACTCTAAAGCATTATTCACACGTTAACACCCACTTTCCTTTTGTTTTTCTTTTTAGATTGATTATCTCTTTTCTTATTTCGGCTGTAACTATGAAGCATACTAGACTGGGAATATGTAGCATTATTTCATTCTGTATCTAAGTTTCCCCAGATAGACTGCTATTTTGTGAAGCCCCAAGCTATAGGTTGGCCCAAACAGCTATCGGGACGCCTGAATTTCCAGGCGGAAAATTCTAGGCTGAAATTGTCTCGCCTAACACATGAATGGCCCCGATTATAAGAGGATGAAGAGGCCATTTTGTACCAGATGTAAGTAGGTCTTGTGCAATCGTTCAGATGATGCTGTGCCCGGCAAGAAGAACCCTGTTTCGCTGGTTCTATCCCGTGCAAGGCTGCTTTCGCTCAAATGCGCACTTGCGCATTTATGCCAAGGCAGCCTATCAACTAGGCAGCGAAGTCTCCCCACCATCACCAGCACCAACCAGTCATGCGTACATCAGCCTGTCATACATGCAGCTAGCCAAGGTGCTTCCGATTAACTACATAATGATCAGGTTACCCTGCCCACTAGCCCCGCTTTTGTAAGGTTTCCCTCTCTTTCGCCTGGTAAGAACTCCCATATATCCACCAACTACGTCTCTTTCAACGGCGGATCATCTTCGATATCTTTGAGGCTCAACATTAGACATATCTAATAGTCCTACTTGAGACCGGCTGCGAAAATTCCAAAACTGAGCAGCGATTCCAATGATTTCAACACTGCACGGTCAACCGTGTGGCTGTGTACTCCATTCTTAGAGGTTTCAAAGTTTTCTACATCTAATGTCTGAACCGACGCTTCCTGAAAAGGCGGGGCAAGAGTTGAAGAAGAGGAAGGTCAGTTCATCGTCCTCTGTGGTCAGTTCCAGTAGTCCTTCTGGCTGTTTTTGCGGTTCACACTGCAACTGTGCTGCATCAAATGAAAGAATCACCGCGCCTAAGTTCGCCTGTCCGTATTACCAGCGGTATCCAAACCAACAACCTTCGTCTACGTCATGCGCGTATCCCGGCTTCCCCACAATTTTCCGGATGAAGTAAGTCAAGATCATGCTTTCAATGTCACATCATTAATTACCAACTCGATAGGGAGCATCTCTACAAGAAGCACAGAGCATTGGGCACGAGATGCTCCAGGTGCTTAGAGACCTTCGATACGGAAGACGCTCTCCAGGATCACCAAAGAGCTCCAGATGCTTGCGAACTTCGGCAACCCCCACAGTCCTCAGGGTTCTCCAAAGACCAAGAACGACAGCTTCGGAGCCGCAAACGATCACCCGGGTGCATGAGCGAGGAAGAGAAGTGGTTGGAGGTATACCGCATTCTGTTTCCCCAAGACACTGACAAACCCACTCCATGTGAGTCAAAACGATCCAAACTACAATACGTATACCGATATAAAGTTAAATCCTGACTCATTGCAGACGTTGAAGGAGGTCGCGCTTCGGTTTTGGATTTTCGCCGATATCAAGACTTCAGTCGCCGGGTATTTCGTCGTGTTTTGATGCGCGAGCTTGGGCTCTTCGACTGTTTTCATTATGCTAGCTTTGACCAAGTGATCAACACAAACATCGTGGATGTTGTCATGAAATGTCAAGAGCAGGTCTTCCAGGAATTTGTCGGGGATAATCCTGCCGGCACAGGAGTACAAACACCCGGCACATTTGGGCAAGACACAACCGAGATGAGTGTTGAGCCTCCTACATCGTGTGATTCGACTGCTGGAAACGATGTGGAAGTGTATATGAAGTCATTGGCGCTGGTTCCCAAAGATGAACCCGTATCACCACGAAGCATCAAAGAGTGCAACATGATATCAAATGTGAGCATTAAAGAAGTGGAACGACACGAGTTTATGATTCACTCTAATGAAATTCAGGACACGAGCAAAGTCAACTGGGACAGTTCGTCTGACACGGTAACTTCGCCCTTCGTAGATTTTGAGGAGCTTTGTCGAGAGGCAATGGGCGAAGATGGGCTCTTTGGTGGACTGAACATCGATTCCAACTTTCCGTTCACTTTTGATGGAGCGACAACAGGCCGACTAGAGTGACGGCGTATTGTGGTGGTCTCGATTTTGGTCGCGCGATGTCGACGAGGAAATGCATTTAGTCAGCTTTGTTTATCGGTGTAGATCTTTTAGGAGCAATGGGATCCGTGTCGAGAATAAACCAATTGATGCGACTTAATAAGCCTTCCAATGGCCTCGGCTGTCATCGATCAGTTCTCAAAGTATTGTTACGCAAGAAGTGAGCTGAATGCAAGATAAAGGTCACAATTGCTGTGCAAGTCATTTTGACGTATCATAGCGCTCGCAGTAATCACATACTGTGCTCTCTTACCAAACATGGACTCAAAGCAGGCTTTCTTAGCCTGTGACTGTTCTTGGCTTTGCCTTCATCAGTACAACGTGCAGATAACTTGATTCCACCAATAGCGTTCGGGGAGTATGTAAGAGGCCGCCCGACTATCATCCAGGCGAAGTCACCGGGCGAGATAGCCTCCGCCTTGTGCCAATAATGTAGTTTTCTCATTGGATTGCCTATCGTTTGGAAGGCTGTACAGCTACGTGAATTTGATTGGTGCGCTTAGCTTGACCCATTCCTGTCTCACAGAGAAAACCCCGCATTTGCGTAATTATTCTGCATGACTTACGTGTCACTTACGGCTGTCTCCGAGAGAAATGCGCATATGCGAAACTCCGCCAGCTCTACATATAATTGCTCCGAGTCCCGAATCTCTGATGCCTCAGAAGTTGAGAAGAGAGTCCTTAGCTCGTGTATCATTTTTCCAACACCAATCATCTTTTACACGCCCACAACCTTCGTATATCTGAGGCCTTCGGGCCATATAACATATTCCTCTTTGCATTGGAGGACTACTTACGACTCCCAATTCTCTCTCTATCATTTCCATTCTTCTGAAATTTCATCTTCCCTCCTTAGCTCCATTTCCAGTGCTTTGCTAAATTTAATATTGTAATTTCTCTTTTAATTTTTCATTTAGTCATCTCCCCGGACACGGCGGAGGAACTATCCTTCCGCCTTCTCCAACAAAATAAGTTCCGTTCTTCATTCTACCGATTCCACCACTTTACAGTGCGTAAATAACAGCCTGCTGCAGGGCCCGCGCCGTCTTTCACCAATATCTGCTTCATTAAAAAAAGGAGGGAACGAAAATTCCGATAAGTCTACAACAAAACGACTTGCCTGCCCTTTTGTTTTCAAGACTATTGGCATACGGCAGCCAGATTTTAATTCTTGCTTTTTCCCAGGATTTGAAAACGTATCTCGCCTCAAGTAAGGAAATCCAAATGCTGCAACTTCGTCTTCTTTTATTGGATCTCGAGTGTTAACAAAACGACAGAGAACATATATATAGGCAACACAAAATACCTCAACACTACTGTTACAGGTGCTGTTCGGGGTTCAGCGGAGAGAATTTGCTTCAGGAGCATCAAAGAACACCACAAGTTTGCGAGATTCGCGAACAGGAGAAGACAAAAGGTATAATTACTCATGAGCAGGAGAAAGAACTCAGGAGCAAGAAGAGGTCAAGGAAGCTTTCATCTGAGGAGGACAAGTGGAAAGACGTTTACCGAATTATCTTTCCAACCGATTCAGTGATACCTTCTCCTTGTAAGCTGAGAATACCATTTAAATTCTTTGAGATACTGCTGAATCATCAAATAGATCTTGAGGTCGAGACTTCGGGCCGGTTCACAAGGTTTCAAGAGTTCAGCGAGCGCAAGACCAATGATATTCTGAAAAATCAACTTAAGCGAGCAGCCGAGGAAGATGAGAGATTCCGGGACGAAGAGCTGAGAAGAAAGATACTCAACATGTTCCGCAACGCGCAAAGCGAGGTTTTCGTCCGCTTTGGTCAATTCCAGAGCGAATCGGAACCCGAGTCAAATGGCCAAGCCCTGGAAAGTCAAAGTGACCCTCGAGAAACGGCATCTCTTCAGGAACAGCATTCGCCCGGTCAAGATAGCATCGTTTCGACACCGAACAACCACAGCATCAATGGACAGGATTCTTTGCCGCAGATCAAGGAATCAACACTTGACCAACCGCCCGCTACTCAAGACAATTTACGATCAGAATTCCCTTCACTACTGTTGCCTCTCGACGAAATCCCACCACACGATAGTCTTAAAGAGCTATCACCAGGAGAAGAAAGAGATGATCCTTCGCGGGTCGGGGATACCACATATCAAGGTTCTGGCCAATGTTTTGTCCAGAGTGAGGAAGAACAGCTAGATTGGAATGCCGAGTTCGCGGGCTTGTTCGTTGAGCCTTCAGAACCCCACGGTACTAGTGCCGAACCTTCATTTTCTGTCGAACCAGACAGACTATTCGACATTTCATCCGATTTCGATTGGCCCTTTTCGTTCGATCCAGACTGCAATTAATGACGGAAGGCAACAAGGAAACAATTTATTGATTTCTTCTTCTCGGCCGTTTTACCGACCCTTTTCACCATCGTTTCTGAATATAGAATAGTTCCAATACATTCTTTTTCTGTCTTTTGATTTGCTTAGCTGTCGTGTGCGTATGTGATGAAACATGCCCTTTTCCGCTCCGCTGATATATCGGTGGCAGAAGGCAACTTCCATTAAGCTTTGCGAAAATTTTATTCCCTCTATAAGATTAATGCCTTTTGGCCTCATCGACCTTGACACTACGCCGGCCTACACGCACACTTTAATTCATATATTCACGCTGCTCACACTGACACACTTTCCGTCTGACCATCTATGTGATTCTCTCTAAGAGATATATGGTTTAAATGATTTCCCTCTTCCTTTTCACGTAATTTTGGACGTACTAGCACAGTGTGACTCCGATGAATGTGGTTGGCAATAATTCGGTCGGAGTTCCCGCCCGTTCGGCCTCGGCCCGGACAGAAAAATTTTGTGGCCTCGGCCCCACAACCGGGGAACCACCACCTCTGCCACCCACGATCTGGAAAACCAGCTATTATGAGTGTCGCTTCTAAATGTGATCCATGCGATGGTTTTGCGTATGAAATAATGCTGCTTTGCATTTGCTTTGCCCCGTGTGACAGAACAACCTGCGTCGCATTTCCGACTGAGCATCCACCCTCCCGTATCGCTTGCAAGCCACATTGCCATGGCAAAAACCAAAAAGCAAAAGGATCAGGACTTGCAGGAGTTTCTGCTCTCCAACGCCCGTTTTGCTCGCGTATAGCCCGCCCAAAATCTCGATATCGTGCACCCCGTCCACACCGCCCCCCGGCGTGCTCCCCGCCCCAAAACAACCGCCAAAAAGGCAAAAGAGAATGAGTAGGTCCTACCCGGGATCGAACCGGGGTTGCAGGAATGCTCTGATAGATCAGAATCCTGAGTGCTAGCCACTACACTATAGAACCGGATGATTGCTGGTGGCGCTTTTCTAGTACCTGAAAGACAGAATCGCACAATGCTGTTATATACTCTACATGCTGCTAACGTCATAGAGCAGAGCCTAAGCTCCCCTGGTTTTCTGATCTACTGCGCCGCGTCAATTCAGTGTCAATGCTACCATGCCTTGAAGGCCTAGCGTCTCCGTCAATGTAGGCTATAAGAAAACACGTTCGCGACAGAAAACTAGCTATAAAGAAGAGGTAGTACGTCAGCATCTGTTTTTATAAACGATCTTTTTATATACGTCTATAATAATTGCCTGACTTTCAATAAGCGTTTGTAGACTGTTACAATTTAGTCATTTACTCAAAACTGTTGCCGTGATTCCTACGGTAGGACTTTTGTAAGCTACTGAACGTTACATTTGACTAACGTTCTGCATGCATTGTGCTCAAGCGACTATGCCTCGTTGGTGTATATTACATATCTGCTGGGGGAGCGTTGTATAACTAAAGCTCCGCATCGGCTGCTTGCATAGTACGAGATGTGCCTGAGTTTCAGACTTTGATTTCAGCAAGACGTCGTCTACGCGTCACCTTCAATTTTGGACAGAAATAAAAGTCGTTCATCATGTTTCATTACCGGTTTACTGAACATCACCCATGTCATTTCATTTGTTTAGCGAACTTCGGAGTCACGTACGTTCTTGACAGCCTGGCATTGTAGAATCGATAACATTCAAGATATGTGGGAGCGAATGGACGACAAATCGCAATGTAGCAACTAAAAGAATGTCCGAGATTTCCCCTCATCAACGTATTCCCCCAAAGCACGACTGTACGTTCCTTAGTTGACAGGCTCGCCATGACTAAGAAGACCTAGGCTCGGTGTAGTCGCACTTGAGGTCATAAAACTGGACGCCGCGATAGGTTCCCTCCGTCGTGACCTCGTAATTATGCTCAGGGGAGGTCCAGGTCATAGTGAATGGCACCTGCATCACGCTTCGGGTGACGGTTGCGGACGCGACCACGGTGCTGTGCGGGGGCGCTGTCGCTTCAAACGTGGCCGAGAACTCGGTCACCTTCTTCGTGGTTGAGCCCCACTTGAACTCGTTGCTGACCGTGGCCGAGACCTCGATCTTGCCCTCAGCCAATAGCGGAACGCCGCACGAGAAGGAAGTTCCGACCTCGATGGCGAAACCGAGCGTGTACTCGAATGAGGACTCGTTCTCGGTCGCCTCCTTGAACGTCGACGAGATCTTCTGGTCGACGGACGAATTGTTCGAGAGGTTGCTGCGGGTGAGCACGATCGGTGTCGTATCCAGGATCTTGCCTTCATCGACGTTGAATTTGATGCCCTTGAAGACCATGTTCTCGAAAAAGAGACGGAAGTACTGGTCGTCATACTTTGTGTTGCCTGAGCCCCAGTTGCCCACCTCCGGATTGTTATGCGTGCGTGAGAAAAGGGTGGTGTTACTGGCCGGACAGACAAGCCGGAAGTTGTTGGCGCGCTGGCCAGTGCCTGGCTCGAGCACGAACCAGTTGTCTTGGTACTTTCCGTTTGAGTCGATGGTACCAACATTGGGTTCCATGTGGGTTCGGGAAAAGATGACCTCCTGGGTATGTTTGCTCTTGATCAGGTACTTTCCCTCATGGTTTCCACTCCCGGGAACAATGTACCACCACTGGTCGGGGTACTCTTCGCTGAAAGGATGGTGCCAGAAGTATGGGGATCGGTGGTGACGAGAGAAGAGAGCCCTCGAGCTTGAAAGCCCAACGATCCGGACGGGTACTTCCTTGGGCGGGATGTAGAGGCTAGGCATGATGAATGAACCAGGTGACAAGATTTATCGAGGCTGGATAGAGGGTCGATAGAAGTGTTGGTTAGAGTGAAGGTGTAAAGGACTGGCCTTGTCGAGGACCGGGGACTAGCCCTTCATATCGCCCGCCACGGCCAGAGAGAAACCCATTCGATCATCCCCTCTCCAGAAATATAGCTGAGTGCTGCGCTTCGTATTCCAGCCGATTATCCGGACGATCGCACTTCTTTTAGCATTGTGCGACGAGGCTGCCTGAGCGCTAATGCAAGTAGGCCATTAAAAACAGAAAGCTGAATAGCCAGATGCGGATTTAGCGCGTCCGACTTCCTTAACTCACCTAATCTGTTCTTCCAGCAGTCGGAATTCCGGTTGGAAGATCGAAGCCGTAGTGCAGCGAGTGATAATAATAACGTTATAGAACCGAATGACTGTTGGTGGCGCCTTTCACTATAGTCGCTGGAGTGCTGATTGTTGAAGGAACGTTTGCGCGCAACCTTTTTGACACCATTGACAAAGAGCCCGCTGGCTACACTTTGCCATGAGGGCAGCGGCTTGCCGATTGCTGCTTCTGTTAGCCTGGTTTACTCCTCTTTTATCACCACAGTATCGTTTTTTCCCGATTAGGACGGCACTAGTATATCACCACCACTCGCCGCTTCTACGAATCGTTATCCTTTCGCATTATTTATCGACATTCATAAAACACGTGGATTGACTGACAATTGGTCGGATAAATAGAGACAGTTGACAAATTCGAAGCATCGTTTTGAGTAAAAACAGACGAATCCAATACGGGTGGGTCTCCTCGCATGTGCTCAGTGGGGCGTCAGGTCCTTCGGCATTCTGTGACTTGTTGAGAAATCGGACTGTTGAATTTTCAAATTTGCATCCACTATTTGTTTCCCTTTGCTGAACGAACTGCGGTAATACATGTGGGCCTGTTGAAACCATCGGACAAGACCAAGTGTTGAATGACACATCAGACGAGCCATTTCAACAACTTCCCAACCGGTAAGCCACTTGGAAATTATTGGAAATTTTTTGACTAGTTTCTGAGCCGAAAATCACAGAGCGCTAATGCATCTCACAGTGAGGGCTCAACATGTTTGAGTATTCTAGGGATGATTGACTGTCAAGGGGGGAAATGTGGTGATATTCTCGAGCAAGGCTTGGGCCAGACAGACTGCAACATGGCATCACCAATCAAATTGTTGAAAATTTTTGTGCTTTTGATCTTCCAAAGTAGCTTCTGATCAGATAGTAAAATGTCACTTCTCAATGATCCAGCTTCGGGATGGCACGGTTGGAGTGATTGCAAACTGAACTAAATAGATTATTGGATATCATGTATAGCGAAACTAATGTTATGGTCTTCCACCGTCTATTGCTTGAGCGCCACCCCAATGCTCGTCAAGTAGCCACACCGGCCCTTGGTCGCCGAATCTACATTCTCCATCCTCGTACCATTCGTCTCGTACACCAACCGATTGAAACCCGTCGAAAAGCTCGGCTGCCACGCTTCCCATCTCGGGGATCCGGGCAGCCTGTACTCATTCGGATCGTAGCACCTGATAAAGCTGGTCCAATACGCCTGGATGATGGGCACCATGCCGGAATTGACGCCGCCGGGATAGTAACTCGTGGGGGAGCCGCCGTTGGTGTTCTCAGGACCCCAAATGGCGTTGACCTCGATGGTGTGCGGGACACCGAGGCCCTGGGCCATCTGGTCGGGGTCCTGCACGTTCCAGAGGTAGTTCCACGAGTGGCCGTTGGTGGCGCGGGCGAGCTGCGAAGTCACGTAGAAGCCCGGGCAGGTGTAGCGCATGTCGCCGTAGGCATTGCTGACTTGGCGCCAGTACAGCCCCGTGCCAGGGAAGGTGGGCGTGCCATCTACAGGGTAGAGCTCGTTGATGCGGCGCAGCTGCTCGAGGGTCAATGCGGGGAATTGATCTTTTAGGAAGGTGTTCGAGTCGCCAATGGTCGACGTGTTCTTCGGTGTGAAGACGGTGCCTTCGTTGGTGTCGTCGCCGAAAATAGTTGGCACACGGATGAAACGGCCCTCGGCAAAGAGTTTGTACGTATAGTCAGGCACAAGGTCATAGTCGATAGTTGTGCTATACATGTACAGTGGCGGGTTCTGGGCCCCAGGCAGGGGGGTTTGGATGTTTTCGGCCTGCAGGGCTGCGACGGGCAGGCTACGCAGGCAGGCAAGGGTGTCGACGTAGCTGGCGCAACCGGTCCGGATAACAAGGTTGTCGTACATGAACTGGCTTTCCGAGAAGGTGTAGATGGAGCCGAACGACTGGCTCTCGGCCGCGGTCGCATGGAACAAGCCGTCGTCGCGCCCGCCGTACGCCGTCAGGAGCAAGGTGACCGCGGCAGCTCCGGCACTGGTGCCGCCAACAACAACTACCGAAACTCTGTTAGCGATTCACATGCCGACAAGAGTGGCGGGAGGCCTTACCGTGATCCGGATCGCCGCCGAACTAAGCATGCGTTGGACGTATCAGAGATATGATCTACATGTTGCAGAGTATGGGGTTGAGCACAGGACGCGTACCTGACTAATGTACTTCTGAACCCATTGGAGCGCTTTGATTTGGTCTTTCAGGCCATTATTAAGACTGCCGCCCTTGGCAACCTCTTTTCCCGCAAGGAATCCATAAGGGCCGACTCTGTAGTTAAAATTCACCACGACGATGTTCATGCCAGAGGCCTGTATCAGCCCTTTGCCGTTATAGTTTGCGTTAGTGTTTCCGTTGAAGCCGCCGCCCTGAATGTAGAAGTAGACTGGCAGCTTGGAGTCTTGAGTGGCATTGCTTGGGGCGTAGACGTCCAAGAACAGGCAGTCCTCTGACGTCGTGGTGACCGAGGGCGAAGCCCCCGTGGCTATGCAAAGCGGGCCATGCTAGGGATTGGACATGCGTCAGTGGTGAAGAGGCGGGCGAGCACTGGAGCGGTAGATGCTCACGTTTGTAGGAAAAGATCAACGCAGCAGCTTCGATACATACTTGATTAGCGAGGGTCACGCCGGATACGGTGTACGGATCGCGGGGAGCAGCAAAGCGGAGGTCACCAGTGGGAGGGGCGGCGTAACGAAGGCCCAGCCATTCGGTGATACCATTCGCGTAGGGAGTTCCTTGATAGGTCGAGTAGCCCAGGGGCACCGTCGGATTGACAGCAAGGACGGTGGCGAGATTGAGCGCGAGCAGGGCGAGCACGATCATCTTGTCCAGGAACGGCGGTGGTACTGAATCGCAGGACTGGAAAGAGACATTGTGCAGGTACACAGGAGGCTTTATACAGGCACGCAGGCGGACCGGAATGCGGGCACAAACATAAACCCCTTGCGGTAGGCCGGCGTATGTGGCGTTGGGAAGGAGGAGGGGAGCGTGACATGGCTCGGCAGTCCGTCTTGACCTAGATTAAGCTCAACGATCCTACGCTGGCCCAAAAGCGGGTACGGCTTGGAGGATTGTGCGGAGACGACGGATGGCGCTGCGGGGCAGAGGTTCCCCCGCCGAACTCGTCACGCTTCCGAACCGGCCGCGTGATGACTGCATGTGCAATGCAACATGTATTGATGGACCGACTAGGGACGGCGACCGGTGAGGCGTGCGGGTGGCTTGAAGGTTCGCGGGCGCAATGCGATGCGAGTGTTCGGCCAGCCGACGAGCCCGAGCAGCGCGGTGTTCTGGATCGGCCTCGAAGGACCCTGGGGGAATGAAGGACGAAGCTTATCTGGAGCCCGCGGGCTTCGGCATCGGGTCTCAGGAACGCCGTTTCATCCCGGCCTCAGGCACCGTGTCACGTGTGCGAGCGTCGATTATGGCGGGGGAGCGCGGCGGGCCAAGACAGGCGGCGGTGAACCAGTCAGACGGTGCGGAGCGGAGGTTCGTGTCGCCTGATATGAGAGTGAAACTTCTGCCCAAGAGCCTACATACTTCGCTGCGGCCTACCGCTATGTCGGAACCTCACCAAATGAGCTTCTCGTGCCACTGCGCGCGCGCGGCCACCCAGGCGCTGCTGCGTGTGCACACACTGAGAGGTGTTCCAGCCAGCGGCCGTCACGTTGCCGCTGAAACATCAGCGCAGTTGCTGCTTAGTCGATGTGTTCGCGTTCCAGACTTAAGCGCGCGCGCGCTAAGCTCAGCGGTCGCTTGCGGCAGGCACACGTCGCGGGGCTAGTCAGTCTGGAGAACCCCTTGGCCGTTGATTCGGATTGTCGCTCTCCTTTCTCCTGCGTTATCTCATCGCAAAGTTTCCGCCCCAGCGGCTCGCAGCGTGCACTGATGCACCAGCGATATTCATAGCAGGCCAATGAGCGCCGGACCGCCCTCCACACTGCACAATTGGACTCCCGACCTAGTGACCGTTGGAGCACGCAACACCGTGTCGGGCGGGCGCTATGCGTGCTAAGGTGCTGGATCTGAACTTACACTTCCCACGCCTTAGCCCGCGAGCGAAAGCGAACACGGGCCTCATCTGGTAAGGCTGGGAAGCTCCACGGTGGCAGTGTGACAGGCGCGCGGCCCTCGCGCTCGGACGTGCCTCGTGCGCTCGACCTACACATGGGCCCCCTGGCGCCTGACAACACACGGAGCTGACACACTCAAGCCAAGGCTGCCACTAATCACCGTGCTTCCATGCCCGAGCGGTCGTCGGGCAAGAACAACATCCATGGCTACCCGCAGCTGACGGAGGCCCCGGCGCAAAGAAGCTATGGCGGCGGCCGTCATCGATCCGGCCTGTTCCTGCCTCCGCCACAACCACCACGCTATCTATAATACCTACCGCCCCCGCTGCTCTCTGCTCCAGCTCATCACCACCAACACACTCCACCGCAAACAACAACAACAGTCAACAAGCACTTGACGTGCTCTACCAATCGCAATGGCCTACTACCAAGCACACCTCCTGCTACTGGCAGGCTACTCTCAATTCTTTGTCTCCGGCCTGGTGCTGCCCCAGCCGCCCGTCGACGACGACGAGGACTACGAGATGACCCCGGAGGAGGAAGAGGAGATGGAGAGCTTCATGGACGAGGACGAGTCTCCCGAGGACGCCACCATTGTCGTCGACGAGCCCTGCCCCAGATTCGCTGCTGCCGACGACGACGAGGATTTCGACATTGAGGACGCCGAGCCTGTCACCCCGGTCACGCCCGCAGGTCCCGTGCCAGGTACGACAAGCCACAGCCACACAGCGTCTGCGACATTTGCTAACTTCCCTCCAGAGCAGAGGCGTCGCAAGAGGCTCTCCGTTGTAAGCGAGTCGCACGTTCGAACCATGTCGCGCTGGTTGCTCGACTCAGCAATTTCCCTGGGGGATCGCCAGCGCCAGGTATCAAACCCTGAGTCACTTTCCGTGAGTATCTTATCTCCCTCAATCCGAGAGCGACCCTCACTAACAGTCAACAGTCTCCGCGCGAAGAGCACGAGGCCAAGCGCTTCTGTAGCAGCCGCAAGCCGCGCCTGCCCGCCATTCAGACGTCCTTCACCTGCATGCCTCCCCGGCTGTCGGTGGCCTGAATGCACTCCGTCTCCGAAGGCATCACCGCTTTCGCTTTCGCCTCGTATAGCCCTACCTTTCCCGCTGTGGAGACTCCTCGCCAAGCCACTCCTGTGGTCCCTTTTTTCGACAAAAGGTCAGTCTTGCTCCGTGCGCTCCCTGTGCACATCGCCCATGCGCAAATTGCTAACGGAGTGTGTATAGGACATTGACTCGCTAGGCCAGAGCTTTTTCCATTCGCGACCCATCAGGCGCCCCATCGAACCATTGACGTTCGTTGGCTCAGCTGGCGTGATCACCGCTGCATGCTGCACCGGAGATCGTTGGGGTTCGCTCAAAGCCGGTTGAAGCCGGGTTCGGCAGCGCAGACTGCTGAACCCTGTCTGCTCCGCCGCCTCCTAACATCTCGTCCTCCTATTGATGATATGGTTTGCACGTATGTGTTTCACCATGCGCCAAGGGCCAGGAGAGAAAGGGAGTAACTTTACTCCTATGCGAGCACCAGCTGCCGCACATGGCATTCGCCGTCTCATATTATCACGCTGCCTCATCGGCATTGCGCTCTTCTCTTCTTGTACTCTCCTTTTTCCTGTATATCTCTACTTGGTTGGCAGACACCGCGACGGATCTCCTTATGTTCTCATCTCATTTGTATGACAAGGATACCAGAATCTTCTTAGGCGCAAAAATACCGGGTTCTCATACTTGTTACAAAACTACTGCATTGGCAAAGGCGTTACAAAAAAAAGTCTACGGACGACGGGGCGTTGGGTTAGATGGCACAATCATACTTGCTTTCCTTAAGTTACACGAAATCTCGTAGATCACCGTGGTGTTTTGGTGGAGAAGGCAATCAAACTCTGCATTTTCCGTTTAAATCTATCTGTAATCTTGATCTACGTCTTGTGCCTCAGTTCTTTCGTACCCACAAGTTGGCCATAGCTCTCCCCATTGCCTTCATGTGGAAGTCCATGCCCTAGCAACCACCGCCTGCTGACCTAGCAAAGCCACGCAAAAAGAAAATGAAGGCAACCGCCCGCTGTCTCATTATTATGCATTACTCGCAGATGCCATGCAAAAGAAAAGTCTAGGAAATGCAGAAGTCGATCTCAGAAAAGCAAAAGCTGCAGCCTCATCTTTTGCGATGTTCTGAGCAAGCAACAAAATGCGCCGTCGTAAGGCCGATATCTCCACGACCCAAACTCAGAGAGCTTTTTTGCTTTTTCACTTTTGCCTTCTCCACACAGCAGGCGCCATGGTCTCCCGTCTCTGTGGTTCGGCCCAAAGGACGAAGGGAGCTAAAAACTTAAGTTCGTGCCTTATCAAGCCGCGATACGCGTGTTCGTACCAGCAAGCAACGTCCCCCCAGCAAGTCCAGTCCCAAGGGCGCGGCACTGAAGGATTCTGTGGATTTTCCCACACCCTCGCCCATGATTACGCACGTGCTGTGGCGCTGCCGCTACCGGCGGTGCTGGTCCTGCCGCTAGCACCACTACTGCCCGTACTCGGTACGTTCTTGCCGCTGCTGCCGCTGCTGAAGCACCGCGAACAAGCGCAAATGGTGCTGCTGGGGCCGGGGTCGGGGCCGAAGCTAACCTGTCTCTGGTGCTTCTGCTGGCTCTTTGCAGCCTGGTGGTGGTTGCGCGCGAAGCTCGGGTCCGTGGTGGTGATGTCGGAGCGGAAGCTGGTCAAGACTCTGCCTGTACGTCATGACGTTCGTGTTAGCGACTGTGATTCTCTCTTATTTCCTTTCTTTTTCCGTGTGTGCGCAGCATTGACAACAGGTATGACGTTGTGATGTGGGTGTTTGATGGGGATAGGGTGGTGGCCTGTGTGCAACGCGTCCGCTCTCAGCTCCGAGCGAACGCAGAGCGCGCAGCTCTCATCATTCGCCCCCCTTCTCCGCCGCAATTCCGCTCCGCTGGGAAGAGGGAGGGGGGGCAGTGACGACAGCGCCTCACTTCTTTTTGGGGGCCAGCCTCGCAACATCTCTCCCAATCCGACGAACTGGTTTGCCTCTTTTTCTTTTTTCTCGCTTCTCCGCAATATCGTTTTTTCTCGTTCTTCAGCGATCTCGTTCGATCTCTTCGCTTTCGCTTCAACCCCCCGGTCGTCTCGCGAAGTTCCCCACCCGCGCGTCAACCGAGAATAGATCTCTATCTCATCAATCAGGCCGAGCTCCGGTCGCGTTTTAAGATTGCGCCCTGCCAATCCATCCCCACAACCACGCCGTACCTGCATCTGGACCCACTCTGTCGGCGACCCCATGGCCCCCACCCCATAGGGTTCAGCTTGCTTGGGACAAGAACCACGTCACAAGCCACCGCTATCCCCGATGTGGTCTCAATCCACGAGATTGGGTCCAACGAGAGAGCTGCCAGCACACGTGGTGCCCGGGCGATGGTGGAGAAAATGATGAACCGCAAGGGTAGTGAAAGAGATGGCAGTAACGAAGAAAGGAAAATGGGGGCTGAGAGAGAGGTGTTCCCTCCCCATCGCGGACTTACGGAAGTTTCCTGCGCCCCCAATCCCGTGGCTGACGTATCGATACACTCTCTTCCTCCTGCGACCGCTGCTGGTGTTCTCCTTCTGCTGATCGTCGTCCTGCTCCAGCTCCATCATCCTGCCCTTCATCTTACCCCCAGCTTTCGACTGCGCCTGCGCTAGCGGCACCAGCGGTATCGCATCGTCGTCGTCGTCGTCGCCTCCGTTCCAGCCCCAGCCGCCGCCGATCAACACGTTCTCGAACGACGCAGCGGCGCTATCGGCCTCGCCGTCTTCCTCAGCCGAGGCACCGACGCCACATCCAGAACCACCACCACCGCCGTGGCTCCGGTGGCTGCCACGTGTGCTCGTTGTCATGGCGCGCATCAGGCGACTGGGTGCGTGGCCGGCATCGGGCCCGTTAGCGTAACCGGAGAGGAGGTGCGAGGGCAGCGTCGATGAACGGCGGGACCGTGGGCGGCAGCCGCTTCGAGACCCGTTGGCACTGGTGGCGGCGGGGCGCGGGTTGGCGAGGGCGAGCATGATGGGGTGCTTTTGGTTTGTTTGGGTTAATGGTGTGTGGAGCTAGGCGCTCCCGAGGTGAGGTGGTCTGGTGGTTTGGTGTTTGCGCCGGCGCGACGGTCGTTGCTGGATGGCTCTGGCGTCTGGGGTATGGCTTGGACCGAAAGCTCGTTGATGGTGGCGCGCGAGGCGGGATGCTGGTGGAGAAGGGAGCGCGGTGGTTGTTTCGTGGTCAATTCGTGCTGTGGGTCTTGAAGAGCTCGAAGGATAGGCAAAAAGAAGGTAAGGCAGGCGACTGAAGCAAGAGGAAGCTTGTAGTGATGGAGCTTGGTTTTCCTGTTATGGCGAGTGTGGGGGGCCCCAATATGGAGGAAACACCCACGCCGGAGAAATTAGGCAGGCCAGAAGCCCGCGACAGTAGTCTGCGACAAGAGCGCGATTGACAACTCAGCAAGCGCAATGCATAGACAGGATGAGGGATTGAAGGCGAGCAGCATGGTCAATGGTTCGGTCTGCAACCCGACTCGCCTGACGTGCGTATGAAGGCACGCAGGCTGCGCAAGAGTGACGCGCGACGTGCTACTGACCGCCTTGCCTGTCCATGCCTCTGGACGATCTGCGTCGCCGTTTCAGGGCGGGTGGAATGCGGCGCCCCACGCCCTCCCACCGTGTGCCATTGGTCCATGATGCGTGGGTGCGCCCTTACACTATGCTGTGTCAGTGTTGTAGAGCAGCATTGCCACCTACCCGGCGAGCCTGCAGCGTCATTCTCGTCGACGAAACACCCACATACTTTTGCCCGAGATCGTGTCAGTCTGCCCGAGGCACCAAGCGATAATAACTGAAGGTTTAGCTAATCTGGCCGGCGGCCAGCTGTCACCACCCACGCCCAACCCGCGTTGAATCTACAGGATCGCTAATCTGGACAGATACCCGATCCGCAGGGATCGACCCGCCCTGCGAAATCCTGCGGCTGCGACGGCAGCGAGGGATGATGCGAGACGAAACGAAACGTTTGAAACGGGCATCCTTCTAGAAGGAAATTTCGAAGGTCCCAGCTGCCTCATTCTCCCTAGCCCCCTTTCTTGCGTCTGTGCTGTCGTCATATTTTTAGTTTGACGAACAAAAGTTACAATCGCCAGATAATAATTCTACCTATACTAGGAGCAATAGGAGACGCCAGCACAGCCGCCGTCGCCTCCCTCTTCGTCGCCTTAACGAGCCATCAGTCGATACTCCGTCCGTCACCGCTTGTTTACTACTAGCAGTATTTGGGCAACGGCGTACCACAGATGACTCTACCTTAGCTCGCTGCGCCGGTCGGGCGCTATCCATGGCGCCTTCGAACGGCGGCGCTACTGGCAGGTACGCTACTTTTTACCCTAGCAATCAGTCCACCGCTCCTCAGATCCTCAAGGTGGTGTGGTGCTACCCGCACAGAGCCTCATCAGACGATCCACAGGGTCCAGTCGGTGCGCCGGCACTTTCTCGTGCGCTTCGACCATCTATCCGCCTCCTTCCAGTGCGCTTCCAGAAGGTCGAAGAATAAAAAAAAACGGGTGGCGGGTAATTTCCGAGCCCTTTTTTTTTTTTCAAGGCGCGCGCGAGTGTCCCCGCGCAAAAAAACGGCGTGAGCGGCTGGTGATGAAACGCGTCACAGCGTCGACAGGTTTTTCAGACCGACAGGGCTGAACTGGACCCACCTCTCAGAGATCCTGTGGGGATCACTGGGGGCGGTGTTGCGCGTGATGTAATACCTACTCTCTCTCGCTCATTGCCGTCCAATATTGTATCTGTGCCGCAGTTCTTTTTTCCCATCGCAGTGAGAGCGTATGCGCTGGCTATAGTCGCATGAACCGATTTCCCCCGAAAAGCCCATGCTCAGTCCTTTCTTTCTAGAAAACGAGTGCTCAGTACGCATCTGGACGCGTGCAGACGGGAGCAAAGACGCGAAAAAAGCTCACCGCCTAACGTCATCCGCCGACGACAGCCTCGTAAGGCGAGCAGCAAAAGGATGACGCCAGTGACGCTACACACAAGTGCCCGGCGCGAAGGAATTGGCAAAGAGACGATCGAAAACGGCGTCGGCGCCTAGTAGAGGCGGTCAAGGCGCAGCTAATCCCTTATTTTTCCCTTCGCAGCTGAAAGATGGTCCGAGGGCCCTGGGCCAAGCACGAATTACGACAACGGACGTACCAGCTGACGGCATGTTGGTTAGACAACGGGACGGGTAAGAAATTTTTTTTTTATCTTGCTGGACGCCGGATTCAGTACTCGTGCGAAGTTGGTGCGCGTGTGCGAGCTGTGCGTTGCAGCTGGTGTGCAACTTGGTGCCGCGAGATGCAGGGGAAAGAAATTTCGAAGGCTGGCTGGCTGGTGCGAGAGGAGGCTCTGCGGCGCGCTGGTTGCCGGCTGTGGTGAAACTTGACAGCGGCTCCCATGCTCAGCCACCGCAAAAGCCATCCCCCCATCACCATGTCAGCTAGCCCAGGTACCGCGGCACGGACGCCAAACTGGACAATCGGACGAGCCCGGCACACTCGGCCCCGGACAGGGAAAAAAAAGGAACGACGCAAAAAGGAAAGGAAAAAGAAAAAAAGAAGGAAGGTTGCCTGGGGTACCCATCCCATGTGCCAGGCACCAAGCATCACAATTGCATCCGTGCACGTCCACCAAATGGACTCGGCATCACCGACTGTCCGGCTAAAATATCCCGAGATTTGCGGCGCTGGCGAATAAGCTGTCGCGCTACGAGCCGTCCATTATTTCCTTTTTTCGCCCATCTTCCAAATACCTGGGTACGCATAGTCGTTCTCCAGGCAAGAGGTCAAAAGAAAGAAAAGGATCAATCGAACCATCTGCATTCCACGCTACTGCCGCCAATTAAGACCGGTCAGAGCGAAAACAACGTGATCTTTCAATCACATTACTAGCAAGCGATGTCCACGAAACAGGCTAAAGTGGTGATTCTCATGAAACATCGCGTTCGCTGCGTCGACGTCACAGTCTTCGGGCAGCAGTCACAGTGATGAGTTGTTCAGAACTCAACAGTCAATACTTCTTTGACATGGACATGCTGGTAGGAAACCGAACAACAGTGGGCCCGTTGGGATCACTCGAGACAAAACTGCCTCAATTCTCTTTGCTTTTTTGTTTTCTTTTCCGTCCCGTCCCCAAAGAACTGCTCCATCGACAGGGATTACGCGAGATTATTGGCCAGCTGCCATGCCAACGAGGAAGATGCTTCCCGTGACAGTGATGCGTGGCTGCTTGAGTACCGAGACGGCGAGTGCCCTCGTCGGCTGATGTGGCTTTTTCGTGTACGACCCAGCGATCGGAATTGGGGCGCAAAAAAGTCAACACGGGCTGACGAATCCAGGTACCCTCGCTTGTCTCCCTCCTGCCCTTCTCGATGCAAGTTTCTGGTGGAGACGTGCACACGCGTGAGACGTGCCACGACCGCTGGTGTTTAAAAAAAAAATTCAAATAGCTGGCAAATGCCGCGCGCGCCGGACGGGGTGGCCGGGTGCGCGTCGGAATCTCCCTTGCTCGCGCCTCGTTGGTATGTAGAAAAACTATCGACGCGCCCCATGCATGCCGTAAGGGCAGCGAAAGATTTGAAAACACTCCGTCGTAGCGGTCTGAGGCAATCGCTCGATGTCCCGTCTCTCTCATTAGCACATACTTTTTCCCGCCTTATCCACTACGGCGGGCTCGGCGTCGCTGGCTGGACGAAGGTACCAACCTTGCTTACCTCACCCGGCCTCTCGGTGTCCGGCTCCGACACGCCTCGTATTTCGGGCCCTCATCCCATCGGCATCGGGCACTCGGGGTTTCACGGATATTGACGGTGCACGATTCATGCTGTGTATAGCCGTCCGGGGAGTGGTCGGGGCTCCGATGCGGGGACCGGACGGCCGAGGTGTCACGATCGGGAGGATGAGCTTAATAATGTACATGCTATTCTTCTATTATCGAGAGTTTATGATAGCGGTGTGACGTCGACAATGGTTAGAGTAATGATGCGACGAGCCCGAAGGAACGGGCCTGCTCGAGCTGAATGAGTGCGCATGTATGATGCAACGGACTATCTTTTGACGCACACGGCAACGGAATTCGGATGAACGAGCATGAAACTACGTTACACCGCTTCGCCTCGGGAGCTTTAGTGCTATGTTGGTTTATCTTTACTTAGCAATTTCTTGGCAGTCTAGAATTGAGGCTGGAGTTGCTTGTCCAGAAAAGGCAGGCGCGCAAAGACCATTCTGTGAGGTCTCTGTAGGCATACTAGCGATGAACTTGGTGGTGCAAGCAAGTTGGAGCGACCGTGCTGGTTGCTTCAGAAGTATTGTGACTGCCGCAGATTCTCGTCAGCATCCGGTTAGCGTCAATCAACGGCTATAAGCGTAAGCGATATTGTAATCATACGATCGACCTCGGCACTTATTGGTGATGCGCACTGTCCTTTAGCATTGTTAAATGGCATCAGTTCTCAGGCGATTGTGAATGAGGCTCTTACGGCGGGGTTGAATGAGAAATAACTGATTCAGTGCCCGACGACCCTTCACGTCGGGACGAGGTGCAATGTGATTACAAATGCCAGCAATAAAGTGGTTAGATCTGAGAACTACACCGTGCCATTTTATACTTTGAGCTTGCTCTTTATGGCTCACTATTCGTTGGAATGTATAGAGTATGAGAATATCTCGCCTACTGCTTTTCTCATCTCCACCCAGCAAGGAAAAACAACTTATTATACAATGCGTAAATTCTGTTCAAGCTGTGTTACTGTAGTATGGATATGGAGAAGTGTATCTGGTGCGAAAATCGGGGGTGAGCATGGCACAGCGTTGTTCCTTTAGTGTAGAGTCGCAAGCCGCAAAGCTTGACTACGCCACGTACATGCTCTCGAAACCATCTTGGACGTATCTATATAGCTCTCATAGCTGAACTATAATGTAGTACTTGTATATTAGTATGACGGCTGGTAGCGTTAATCCTTACAGTTGTTTATGAAACATCTTCAATATTCGCTCACTTGGGCTGATATTTGGCTGTTGTAAATGGGCTGTTCTGCAAAAGAAGCTGAAACCTCAACTCAGTTATTAGACAACTAGCAAAAATACTTTTTCCAATCCACCAAGCGAACTGAGCCGGGCAATTCCCACAACTTGGATAATTCAATAACGACTGGATCCTGCGGGGATCCTGTTAAGAATTCGAACGGACCATTTCGACCAAAGTTTGAAGCTCACCATATGGGTGTAGATGGAATCTCGTAGAAAGACGCGTGGCACTTCTCATTTGAAGCTGTCTTGGATAGAACTTTGAAAGTGAGTGCCGAAGCTAAGAGAACTCTTCCATAATCACGTTGCGGACACTGAATATCTGACAAGGAATTCTTGAAAGACGTACAGTAGAATGCCATAGCAAATCCAATCCTAGGCTCCTTGATCCCCTTGGTGATGATCTGTCAGAGTAAAGGGGTCAAAGTATGCAAAACAAGGCGCTGCTCTCGGCGGATCGTCGAGGAGCTTCTTAGCTCAGACCAACGAATTCTTATTAATACAGAGCTTAACGATAGAAGCTAAGTCAAAGAACCAGAGACAGTTGTCTGCTAAGTTCACAATGCAAGGCGAAGAAGTGAATCGATATACTGCGGACATTTCCGGTGCCCCTGTCGAGTCGCATTGAATCCGAGCCTGACAAGCTTCACCGCGGCGTGATGAACGGCCGACCCGCAACGTTATCTGTTGGGCACGAACCGTTGTCGGCCGAACCCGTGTCCGAGTATCGAAAGAACAGGGTCCGTATCGGCCACCGAGTGAATCCGACTCCGAGTGAGCCTTCTTCTTTTGGGAAGGGCGGCGGCGGTGCACGAATCTCAGCCTACCGGTCTATCCTCAGGGTCCTGACTAGCTGACTTTGCCTCTAACCAGTGCCCAACAGAGTTGGGGTTTCACTGGGCACCTATGGGTCTCCGACGCTCGGCATGCGCGAAGATCATCTATATGCCGGGTATCTTAATTGCGATGGACGCAGCGGTGCATGTGGAGCCGGGGATTTTCTGACTCGGGCATTATCTGATCACGAGTGCGAGGCATGAACGAGTCTCATATCAGCGAGTCGTGAGCCTCACATCTCTCTCCCCTTGGGCGGAGTGGCAAAGGGGCGGAGCAACACATGGTGAAGCGGGGCCCCATGTGCAGATCAGCCGCGGACATCCGACCGTTCAAATTCGCCCTACACCCAACAGAAGCCACGTCTGCGAGATCCACACAGATTAAGTCCCTGTAATGGCGCCGCGACAAGGAAACTCTATTCATGATGCATGTTTCGGTTTTGCTTAGGGTGGGGGAGTATTGTGCCTCGGTACAGAGAGAGGATTACATGACATAGCCTGCAAAATGCTTGTAGAAGTTAGCCGCGTTTCTATTGTTCGCACCTACAATGGCTCTATTGGTTGAGGAGAGACGTTAACAGCACAGAAGGCTGATAACGGTCGTTAGTGTGCGCGCCGGGCTCCGATTGCGGTCTGTTTGAGGTCTGTGAGGTCTGCTCCCCAGACCCTTGCGTACCTGACTTAGCCACCAGTCGAGTCATGTACGTCCTTACAAATTCACGTCTCCACACCAACCTCCTTTTTTTGCCTACCAAGCGACGGTCCTTGCTCGCATCCAATCGAAGTGCCGAACCCTGCATGACCTGCGACAAACCGTCGATAACCGGTGGACTCGAAAAAAAGTATCACGACTCGTCCAACCACCCTGCCCCAACCGAACCCCCCCAGTAACGGCCTCGGATCTTGGAAAGTCGGGCATGGGGATACGTCACCCAGAATCGGAAAGGATCAATAAAGTGCTCACGGCACCAGGGGAACCCGTCTCGCGCTTCCCCAGATTTAGATTTGAGTTTTAATCCTGGGTGAACTCTTCTCTCGGCGTTAGGCATGGACAGGCTGTCTTCAGCTGGATTGGGGGACGATCCCGTCTGTGACTCAGCCTTGTGGCCAAATTGAATGCCCCACAAGCCTCGTTCAAAGCCGTTCAAGTGCAAGTGCTTGTGGCGAAGCAACATCTGGCGGTTTTCGGCGTCTTTTTCGTACCCGGTGCATCCGCAGCCTCAACATGCCATTGACATCATCACCGGCCGCTGCTTCATGGCGCTGAAGCACGTGAAGAATGTTGTTTTTCCGACTTCAGCTTTCTCATATCTTTTGGAGGGAATATTGAGGAAGATGCGCAGAATAATACATAGACTACCTGCAGGCAGTAAAACATATACCACGACCAGGTGACCGAATATTGGCAAATATGAGGCGGAGCAGTAGCAAATATCAAACCAAGACGAGACGAATAGCACGAAACTCACCTCATTCGTCAATTATCTCCGTTGTATAAGGTGAAACCGCAATAGACAGTCCCTCGAATGGGGCATGCCACCTGCAGAAACCATGTACACTCCCGGCAGGACTAAGCCCAAATAGGCCTTCCATGTAGGTAAACACCACGTGTGACCCATCACATTTCAACAATAAGCTCTCTTCCCCCAAACGTGCATATGCATAGCAATAAGAGTGAGAAGTGGCGGGTGGCTTACGGCAACACGCAAGCACGCCACAACCTTCGCATCGCGCATTCTGAACTCTTGGGAACTCGAATTAAGAATTCAGCGCTATAGGGGTACCTAGTCATTATCCTTTCTTGGGCTGCTTTCGATTACCATCCTCATGCCTGGAGATGATGCCAAGTTCCAAACATCAAAAGAGAAAGATGGAAAGACATAAGACATTAAGGATTCCGGCGTCTCCCAGAGCAACAAGGAACGAAAAGGAAATCCTACTCTCGCAGAACTCATCATTTTATGCCTTCCCAAAATCCTTTTCCCCTCCTCCACCAACAGGATATTTTCTCGAGGACCAAAAAAATCAGAAGGGGAAAAAAAAAGGTTAAAGGACGCCATATCCCAATGCCATAAGGGTAATCTACAACCTTCCCCACCAAAACAAAAAACACAAAAACCGTATCATCATCCTTCCCCCCCCCCCCCGCCACAACCTTATACAGGCCTCCCCCCATGCCCAAAAGAGGCAATCCCCCGCACAACGAATTTCAGCTCCCAACCAATCAAGCCACACACACTCAAAACCCAAACGAGTCCAACAAGCTATTAGCATCCGGCTCGTGAAACTGGGTCGGGGGTGGCTTTTTCTTCTGCTGTTCCACCTCTCCGGCACCATCGACACCAAACCTGCTATTCTCCTTGGCCCCGCTCCCATTAACCCCATTCCTCTTCTCCTCCCCATCCACCACAACCTCCCCATCCTCCCCATCAGCGAACCCATCCAACGCCGACCGTACCGCGAGCGGCCTGTGCGGCAAATCCTGCACGACCAAACTGCTCCGCCTGCGCAGCAGCTTGCGAGGATCAATGTCGTACGTCGCGACGGGACTAGTCGGCGCAGCCGAAACAGCAGAATTCTGTGACGAGTGCAGGGGCAGCTTCGTCGGCAGGGGCGCGATCGGTTGCTGCGGGGTTTGCAGGAACTCCCAACTGCGGACCAGATCCAGCGCGAGCACGTCGCAGCCCATGCGCTCGTACAGGCGGGCCGTGTGCACGATGAACTCCCACTCGGCGCGCGGGTCGACGGCGAGGGCGCCGCGTAGCGTCTGCAGCGAGCGGTCGCGCAGCTGGCGGTACAGCACGACGAGCGCCGGGTCGTCCGTGAGAAACAGGCGCGACTGCAGGCTAGGCGAGTCGGGCGGCGAGAGCAGCGTCGACAGCGGCGTGACGAGCGCCCGCACCGCGACGTCGCGCTTGCCGAGCGTCCAGAAGGCCCACGTCGCCATCCACCGGTTGCCTTCCATGACGGCGCGCGGCAGGACCCGTTCGGTGATGAACTTGCGTAGTACGGGGCCGTCGTCGCCGCCTTCGTAGACGCGGGCGACAGCGATGGCGAGCTGCATGTCGTTCATTTGGTTTGACAGTACTGCGACGGCGTCTTGGAGGTGGTCGGCCAGGAGGAAGAAGGAGGCTGCGTATTCGAAACGGCGTTTGCCCATCAGTGCGTACGCGTTCTTGAGGGCAGCCGTTTTCCAACGAGGATCGTTGAAGTTGTTCTGGAGCAGGCGGTACGTGGCAGGCTGTTCGCGGCTCCATGTGGCCATGCGCCAGAGACCGACAAGCACCGCTTTCTTGCGGAGAGCGAGGTAATACAGACTGCAGTCGACTGGGTTCTTCTCCTCGGTCTTGGTGTATTCGTTCCGGGCGATAACCTCGAATTGAGCGCGCTGTAACCTGTTAGTGCCATGCTTACTTCCTACGAGTAAAATTAGGACTCACCACTGCATTGCTGTCGGTCATCCACATGAAGATACCGGCCTCTTTTGCTTGTTTCCACGTCATCCGTCCCTGGAAATGCCTGCTCACCAGATCCAACAGAATGTCTTGACTACCGCTGTGATATGCCCAAGTGATCTCGCGCCACGATATGTGAGACTTCTCCTCACTCCGCATGCCATCCCTGTCGCGAAGGTAATGTTGTCTGAAGAAGAGCAGGAAACGACAGGCATTGTCATCAACACTTCTCCGGTGTTTCTCGACAGTACCGACACACTCGACAATGTCTGCGAGGTGAAATTGCTCGCGATTGGAGAGCTGTGGAACCGGTTTTGTTAGGAGGAGCTCGTTCAAGCTTGCAGCGACTGCCTCAGTTACACTGGCGGGCTCGTCATCCTCATCCGTGAAATCGGCGTATGAAGACTGCAGCTCCTTTCGAGCTGAACCGTTCATGGTAGCCTGTAACTTCGTTAGCAATATGATCTGGCGTTTCAATATCTTAGTACTTGCCTCATGATCCTCGAAGAAGCTCTCGGGCGACAGTCCGAGTAGAGTATCGAAAGCATCGCCCTCGGTGTAGAACTTGAGCTTCTTGTAGAGGTTGATAAGGATCCGCTGGACCTGCGGCAGCTTCCCCAGAAGCACGCACTGAGCAAGCATCTGCGGGTGGTACACGGGCAGCGGACCGTTGAGTCTGCTCACGAGGGTGAACAAGTCCACCTCCTTCTTGCGGTGTGCTTCCCTGTGCTCAACGAGGCGCAGATCTGGAAGGACACCATCATCAACCTCAACATGCTCGTCTTGGACGAAAAGTTGGTTTCCAGCGCCGATGACCAAGTTACCGCTGCCCAGCCAGACCGAATCACCAATCGGATGCGGCGTGAACTCTCGGATACGGACTTCGCGAATCGCCGCCCAAGATGGCCCATGGTCGAGGTAATTGTAGCGCAGCTGTGCATAGATGACAACCCTGTGGGGAAAGCCAACGGCAAGGATGGACTGATTGTCCGGAGAAGACGACCAATCGATGTCCTGGATGATATCATGGGGCTCAAAACGCTCCTCATGTTCCAGTTGAGCGCTTCTTGTGCTCCAGATGGTGAGACCAGTCTTCTGAGAATCAACCAAAGCCGCCTTACGGATTGACGTTCCACTGCCGAGTGTCGGATTTTCGACGCCAGTATCCACCGTCGAAGTGAGCAACCATTCGATCTTCTTCCGATCTTCGCTCACTCTTGCAGTCCACGACTTGATAACACCGGAGGTTGTGTACGAGATTGCAATATCACGGGCAAAGGTATCCAAGAAACCTGAGATCACAGGCGGCGTTCCAGCAGGATCGACGGGGATGACATAAGCCAGGTCGCCGTCGTCACCCAGATCAAAGCGGCAGATTTCTTCGATGGAGATTTTGCCCGCGATGTTGATGGACGGTGTCCGGCGGTGTGGACGGAAATTGACGTGTGTCAATCTGGGCGGTATCCTTACCTGCCAGCCAACTCCCTTCATCTCGGACGAGATAGTGGCAAGATGGACGCAGCCCGAGTCGGTTTCTACTTCCGGAATGATGAGCAGGCAGAGGGGCTTGCCCTGCAATTGGTATTTGCAGCGAGCGACCTCTTTTGCCGTTGGCGTGCGGGCGTCCCATAGTGATATACTTTCGTGGTGCAGGAACACAACAAAGTCGCCCTCAGCAAGCAAAGCCGTGCGATGAATATGCTCGTGCACCTGCACGGTGCTGTGCCGAGCAAGCACAGGGCCGGAATGCTTCGAATTCTCTTGCCTCCACACAACGCCTGCGTTCTTGTCGGTTCGAGAAATTAGCGCCCGTCCGCTCGCCGTACGTACTGCCTTCTTGATGGGTGCCGTGTGTCCGGTCAAAATGGTCTCTCGCTCCAATCTCGTCAACTTCAAGGGTGACGGATCGAACAGCAGATCAATCTTGCCCTCCATCCACTCTATCCTTCCATCAAAGTGGTGCATGAGCAAGGTGAACGAGCTACCATGGGCGTCTCCGCAGAAACTGAAGAACTGCACATTGTCCTCGATTGGCAGGGGGTCTTTTGCAAAATGCAGCCTGAGCCCCTCGACGTGTGCAATGTTGAAGATGTTGCTCGTCTTCTTGACCTTCGAATCCACGCTCTCCAAGCCCCAGGCCGACATGTTGCCCTTGTCATCCAGCACGACGCACACCTCGGGGGAGCGGTTGGCGACGTCGATCAGGTGCTGCAGGGCGTGGCGCTCCTCCTGGCTGCCGTTGGCGTCCGAGGCCTGCTGGACGGCGCGCTCGGTGGCGACGGCGAAGTCGGCGCTGTCGATGAAGAAGGCGTAGCGGCGTTGGGAGCGGGCGCCCGGGTCGAGGGCGCGCGGCTTGATCGACTCCATGAGGTCGACCTCGGCCCACAGCTGGAAGATCTCGGGCCCGCGGTGCTCGCCGCCCACCCACACGCGCACCTTGTTGTCGGCGCACACCGTGTACAGCACGTTCTCGATCAGCTGCTCGCGGTGCCGCGGCCGCCGCCAGTGCAGGCCTGTGACTGTGGCCGGGTGCGGCAGGTAGGCCACGTCGAAGCGCTCCTCGACGCTGCCGAAGCTCAGGCGGTGCCATATCTTGACGAGCCGGTCGTAGGTCGACGTCGTGGCAATGAAGGTGGCGTCGTAGGAGAAGTGTGCGAATTTGGGCGGGGACGCGAGCGGCGCGGTGAAGAGACGTTCGGACTCGTGGTTGTGCGTGGAGAATAGCGTCAGGGATGAGCTGCCCACAAGCAGCTCCTCGGCGAGGCCCCAGGAGAGCGTCCTGATATCATCCTGCGGGTCGGCTAGGGTCAAGGTGTGTTGTAGGGTCCACTGCGAAATCTCATTGTCAGACACTCGGCTCGATGCGGGGCGGCGCAGGAGAAAGTTGACGCACGTTGGGCTGGCCAATGTCCAGGCCGTGGGGCTTGTAGACGTAGACGGCCTTGGGCGAGGCGGTTGCTATCTTGCCGGACGGCTCGTCCAAAACCACAGACACCAGGTTGCCCTCATCTTCGGTGTAGATGGTTTGTATAATGTGTCGCGGGCCGCCGAGGATTATGAGGGCATTGCCGGAGATGTACGCCTGCAACCAAGACGTCAGCGCGGGGGAATTGAGCGGCAGGAGAGGGCGGTGTGCGCACGATAAGCTGCCTTCCCTCCCAGAGCCCGGTGGTCACAGCAGCGAGCTCTGCGTTGGGACGGCCGGGGAGGATGGCGCGCATGGAACGGGATGCTGGAGCTGCGAGCTCTACAGCTGCGTCGGCATGGTCCGGGGGCCGGACAGGGGACGGGGAGCTCTGGTGATCCGGGCAGAGCTGGGGCGCAGTTGGCGATGGCGTCTGGAGAGGAGGATCCTTTGGAGTTTTGGTGCTAGGCCAGCTGTCATGGGGTGACTGCGACACGCGCTGGGCAACAGGCCCGTGCGATGACGACACGCCGAGTCAGTTGCCCTCCGCATTTCTCTCACGCGCCCATGCTTCTGCGCGCCGCATTCGGCTGCAGAGACGTTACACAGGGTCGTCCGTGGGCGATAATCTTGCATTTCTAGCGCTGCCCTGCAGCCAATCGACGCCGCTAAACCCTTTCCCGAGCGTTTTCTATCCTAAGCTCTATCTTTGAAGTCCCACCGCAGCCACTATCTACTCCAGCTTCCATGCCTGCTTCCGCTTTCCGTCTGCCCCGCCCTCGACCTCCCATTCGATCTCGATGGCCAAGTCGCGCGTGTTCTTGCCCGCCTTCTTGTACGTAACACTGCCTGCAATCTTCTGTCCCTTCTTCAGCTCGTTGTTTTTGCCGGTGCGCTCGACGAGCAGCAGTCCAGACTCCCAGTGAGTAGGTTTGCCGCCGGGGCCCGTTGTGAACGCGTTGCCTGGCCCCTTCCACGTCTCCGCCCGTGCGTCGGCTGGCAGGGCAGTGTCGCGGGATGGCAAGAAGAAGGTATCGAACCAGATGCACCAGCCGTCCAGCGCACTAGCGTCCGCCTCCACCTCGACTGAGAAGTTCTTCACAAACTCCAGCTCTTCGGTCGTGATGGTGTGCAGCGGGAGCTGCAAGAACTGAGACGACTTGGAGACTGTGGATGGGTAATAAGTCAGCAAAATATATAAGCTCGACTCCGGCTCTGTCAGACTTACCAAGCTTGTCGGTCGTCAGACTCTTGACCCTGACATCGTCACGGATTCCCTCCATCATGGCGGTCATGTCGAAGCCGTACACATCGCGCCAGAATTCAATGTTATCCGCGATGTAGTCGTCGTCAGAGAAGGGTGCAATGTGCAGCGTGGTGTGGCTGGGCACCATCAGGCCATCAGGCTTCAAGTAGCGGTCCCTGGCCCACATGACGCTGTCGAACATGGCCTCGAAGAGCAAGCAGTAGCCCATCCACTCGGAAATGATGATGTCCACCTTGTCGACCGGAAGAACGACCTCCTCGATCTTGCCGCGCAGGCAGGTGATCTTGTCGGAGAATCCGTTGGCGTGGCAGTTGACGATGGCCTTCTCGATCATTTCGCTGTTGTCCACAGCGATGACGTGGGCAGCGCCGGCCTTTGCGCAGAACATGGAGAGGATGCCCGTTCCGCAGCCCACATCCAGGACCGTCTTTCCGGCAAAGATGTGCTTGTTGTCGTAAACGAAGTCCCTGTACCCATCAGTGCGGATGGCGTCCTTAAGCATGGTCTCGTGGATATCTGAAAGAAGTTAGAACACGCGTCGATCTACGATCTTGTGCAGCTTACCGTTATAGGAGTAGGAGTCGAAGTATCCGGTATCGATGCCCCACTTGCCCTCGGGAGCTTTTGATGATCCGGAGGGACCAGCTTCGCCCTCCTTAGGCATCTCTTTCTCGTTCCAGCGCTCCTCAAGCGTCTTGGAGACGGTTTCCCTGTACTCGGCGAACTGGCTTGATAGTTGTTGAAGTTGCTCCTCCAGCTCTTTGACTCTCTTGGCCTCCTCAGACTGCGGCTCCTCGTCATCTGCCGAGAGCTCGTCCAGAGAGAATAGCACGGCATCATCCTCGAGCACAGGTTGCAGGTACTTGTCGTCGGCAAATTTTGCTGCGTCAGACACGTCGGGGTTCTTGTTGCCGTTCTTGACTTCGCTGCGGATGTAGTTCACCAGCTTGATGCTCCCGAAAAAGTCAAGGCCTTAGACTGCAGTTAGTAAGGGCGATGTACTGCTACAGGTGGCTCATGCAATGCGGAACAAATGACTTGAAGCACAGAAGGATGGGAAATCCGGTGGGGATGTCGTAGAAACACGTGACTTTGAACAAGAGCACAACAGAACAGAGCATTCAGACAGAAATAAGGAGGAGTACACACCCAGCTTCTTCTGGATGCCAGTAAAATCGAAGTTGTACCTTTTCTTGCAATCCTCGATCATCTGCTTGACATCCGGAAAGACTTGGTCGTCGAAGAGGCTGACGACGCGGATCTCCTCAACGTCGGGCTCGGCATCCTCCCAGCCCTCCTCGCCGCGCATATCCAATGGGTCCGAGCCCGTGTCTGAAGAGGCTGACGAGTGCGACATCTTGCTCAAAATTTTGATTCGAAGTGTGGTTGAACGGGGAAGGTTGAGGCGTCGCACCAAGAAAAGAAAATATGCACCTGCAGGGCTTGCAAGCGAAAATCGCCGAGCGGTCTGTGCGCAAGCCATCCGTCTCTCACTTCACCTGTTGTTTGCAACCTCGTCGATTCCATCTATCTGGTTTCTAGCCATCGCTAATTCCATCACGCATCTCTCGAGATGCACCGCCCCCCGTCAAATCATTTCTGTGCTCTTCCCATCAGGCCACGTAAAGACCCAGATTAAACATTACCGCATCGTTGTCCTTCCCACATGCTGCCGGAAATCAAAGCCACGTCCACCCATCATTTGAGCATCTCCATCGTGCAGTTCGCTCACCGCGAAGCCAGTATCGTAGTCCACATTTCGTTTTTTCCAGTTTTTCTTCGTCCGTCTCCTCCATTCCGCTCCCCCAAGCCGATGAAGTCCGTAGTCGACAGTCTTGTTCGCCCATTTGTTGCCTTCAGCGACCTGTTCTGTCTCCCACAGTTTCCTAGTTTCCCCTATTTGTCTTGAAAGTCCTGCATCACTCACTCCTCACTCCCCTCCCCCGCCGCCGCTCCCCTCCCCCCCGACCTCGTCACCACCACGCGTGGCTGCGCGCCACCAACCCTCATCTCCCCCACCTTCCCCTCGCCCAACTCGCTCACACGCGCCCAATACTCATGCTCGCCCGGCACCGCGCGCCGGCGGATGCCGCGGCACACCTCGCACGACTCGTAGTGCGCGCGGACCGAGTCGTCGTCGTCGTCGACATGCGGCATGCGCAGCAGCAGCAGGCGCCCGGACGACGCCGGCGGTGAAGGCAGCAGCAGTGACGCGTTCGCGGCGGCGGCGGCAGCAGCAGCAGTAGTGGCGCGCTCGGCTAGCGCCTGGCCCTTGGCGATGAAGAGGTTGCGCATGTGCGAGGCTTCGGACGGGGTGAGGAGGAGGAGGTCCTGGTGCGGGGAGGGCGGAGGGGGCGGGGGAGGATGGACGGCGATGGCGGTGGCGGGGGTGTTGGTGATGGGGGTGGCGGGCCTGCTGCTGGCGCTGTTGCTGCGGCTGCGGTAGCTGTTGTTGTGGTCGTCGTCGTCGATGATGGTCGCGTTGAGGGCGTCGAACTTGGCGGGACGCGGGACGGGCATGAAGACGATCTGCGAGCGGGAGCTGCGTCAGCGGGGCACACATCCACGTGCGAAAGAAGAGAAGGAACGAGGTGAAAGGCTGCGGCGGCGGCGGGCTTACCTGGCTGAAATCCGCATTCTCGGGGCAGCGCGCGAGATACTCGTCGCGCTCGTCAGCCCAGACGAAGTGCGCCTCGGTCGGGCCCGGCGGCGCGCGCACTGGCACGGGCAGCGCGATGTTGGGCGGCAGCGGCTCGTCGCGCACCGCCGACACCATGCACGGCCACTGCGGGTCGTGCTGGAACTGGTCGTGCAGCGGCGCCTGCCAGAGACCCTCGCCGTCGTAGTCGAGCTCGGCGAACGGCGCACGCGGCAGCGGGAGCGTGTGCAGCTCGAGGTCGTCGAGGCGGGAGGTGAGGTTGGCGCCGCCGTCTCCATTGGCGGAGTGGTGGTGGCCATTGCCGTTCGCGTTGGCATCGTCGTCGTCGGAGTCGGAGTCAATCTCGATCGGGTTCGCCGCCGTACCGTGGCTTGCTTCGTACTCGGTTTGGATCAGGTGCGAGAGGCGGACCTGGATCATTCGAGAGAAGTCGCGCATGCTGTTCGTTTCGCGCTGGCGGGCCGTTTCGAACTGGTCGGCCGACGGCTGAAGGCTTGTGTCCATGTTTGCTCGCCGTCTAGAGCTGGATAAGTGAGGGTGGGCGTGGAAGAACTTGAAGTGCTGGGTGTCGAGGTACATCTATCGTCGTGATGGGCGGCGGAAAAGAAGGGTCCAAGCAGATGTGAAATATCAATATCTGGGCCAGCGCCTCACCACGCGACAGTTCTGCGCCGCATGGCTCCCACCGCCTGCATAAACCCGGCACGCGACCTGCTGCTGCATAACTTGCTTGTCTATGCATGTCCGCCTTTTGATTGCGTGCTGTTGCTTACCATACGTTTTCTTTCACATACCCTTTGTGCATGCGCCATAAGAATGCATATTTGCTGACAGCAAACTACCGACCAGCTTAAACTCCACCCGTTCATATGTCATACGGATCTTGACACCATCATCGTTCAACAACTGCTACACTTCATCCTTTTCTCCCCTCTGTCACGGCATTCACCACCCTCCAGCCTCCAGCTATGCACCACCGCCAGTCAGCCCGACCCTAGCAGCCTCAGCACCGGATCGCTTACTTTCTACACTAACTTGACCAGGAGATGCATTTCAGCGCCCGTGAGCGTAGCACTGCTGGTCGTTTTTTTACCCAATGGCGCTCGCCCTTCAGCCAGCAGTAGTAGACCGAGAAAATTGTTTGCAGGTAGACCCTCAGCAGAACGTAAGCAGAGCACGATATGTAGTTTACGCAAGAGCTTTGGGCCAGTATGGGCTTAATAATGTTTTTCATAGCTGAGTCGGCGGTCTACGCAGGATGAGAGAGATTGCGAATGAACGAAGGGCTTCACACTGGTATGCGGCAGTGACTAAGATGTCGGTCTGTTCAGCAATTGTCTTTGTTCATTACTCCTGTGGGAGAAAGTACGATTCTTTTGAACACTGTCGAACCGTCGGCTTCTGCTCCAGTTTTGGTATCGGATTTTAAAGTGTTTGAAAGAAAAAGGCACGAGAATATGGCTTGTTCCAGAGAGGCCTACCACTTCCTCTAAAGAAAAGCATTATTGAACTTAGTCTTGCTCGTTCCTCGATTACGCCTACCATCAGGGACTCTTACCTTCGGATGAGTGAGTATGTAGCTATGGAGTTATGGAAGCCCTGCAAACACAGATATTCGGTGGCTTCCTAAACATTCCCTTTTTCTGTAGCTTACATGCAGCCCCAAAGTCGGTGATGCAATGATGCTTTCTACTGGGCATTGTCAAAATACGTTCTCTCCATTCGACCGACAGCCCATGCTGTCTACACTTTTCCCTTTTTTTGCCCTCACTCTCCCTGTCGAAGACCCAGACTTATATGCAGTTTAATATATACTTTCTGAAACAAAATACAGCACTTACAATGACATGCTTCACCCGGAATCCCTGAATTTCTACTCCCGTGCGGCTTTCGGCCAACACCTGAAGTTCGAAGAAGCAAACGACAAGAAAATGCACAGGCCTCACCGTATCGATCCCAATCGGCGGCCAAGATGAAGACCCGTGCGTATGAGTAATGTCTCTTTCTCGAAGGAATGAAGGAGCATGTGAATTTGAGGGACGCTATGCGAGCGAACGAACGGACCTCCTTCGCCCACTTGTACCCCACCCACCGCGTAAGTAGAAACTGTCGATCCAGATCTCGCTTTCCTTCGTACAGACCTTAAGCGAATGCGATGACGTGAGAGACAGAGATCACTTTTCTCCTTTTTTTTTTCCCTTTTACCGCCTTCGTACCTCGTACCTCGGCCGGTCGGTGTTTAGTGATACAAAGGGAGGCGTAAACAAAAGGGGTGGAGGGAAGTTGCGCAAGGCTGTCCGGTGATGATGAGCGTGGTTGCCTGATCGTTTTATCAGTAGCCCCGTTTGGGAGGCGGTCGCGAAGGAAAAAGTGGACGGATGTCTCGCGCACGCGGCAGCGGAGGCGTGTCGTTCGTTCGTTGGGCGTCATGGGCGTAAGTTGGCAAAAAAACAGAACAGCCCCATTTCAAATGCCGCGCATGTGAAAGTTTTTCTTCTCGCTGTCGGCTTCGAAGTTCGGTCGGTCTATAACCGGCGATGCGTTATAGGACCGCTTTATAGGGCGATTGCAGAAATGGTTCCACAAAAGGCCCGGGTGCCGTGTGGAGTTTCCTTAGCGGCGCAACGGGGCGCTTCTGGGCTACTTTTGGGACTTTCGCTATAGGGCACGTACCCAAGACTTCATGCGAGATCTTGGCATGGAATATTCTGCGGTAAGGGGGGTAGATCGATCTTGCGCTGCGCCGAGTTGACTGTTTCCTGTGAAGACAAGTGTCGTTTCGGGAGCTTGATTGTGTGGACTGCTACTGTCAAATGTAGAGATCTATTTATTATTAACAACAGAAAAGAAATTGAAAGGACCTACGTCATGGTATCTTCGAAAAGTCTATAACTAGAAAAGAAAATAGAAAGAAGAGGAATCGTGAGGGTTGCCATCGTAAGAAAACAACACGCCCAGATTACGCCCGTGGTTCTTGCCAGTCCATTGGAAACCACACCTCAGGATTGATCCCTCCCGGAAGCGCCGAGAATAACTCCCCATATGCATGCGTTTTATTTTGTGTTGATGTCACGTGCTTTCAACCCCTCTCTTTAGTCCCTGGAAATCTGCACCTGGCTGTGAACCATGATGCCGTTGCCCTGGCTGTCGTCCAGGATCTGCTTCTGGCTATCGCTGTCGCTGGGCAAGCTGCCAGTCCTGGCGGTGCCGGCGCGGATCTCGGTCTCGTGGGCTTGGGCGCCGTACTTGTCGTTGGAGGGGCCCATGCCCTCCTCGAGCTCGTACTGCGAGTCGAACTTGTCGTAGGTGCGGCGCGCGTTGCTCGGAAAGTTGTCGCCGCGCGACGAGGCGCCGCCGTACTTCATGGGCGTCGAGCCGTCGCTGTCGGAGCCAAGGTGCAGCACCTTGCGGAACAGCGGTCGCAGCGTGCCGACGCAGCCGACGATGACGCCGATACCGTTCTCAGCGTAGCCCCAGATGAGGATATCGGAGATGGCGTCTGCGAGACTTTTTGTTAGTTGTGTGAAGGCGAGAGGGGACGAGCCAGGGGGACTTACAGAGGTAATCATCGGTGGCCTGCAGGTTGACAGTGTACTTGAGACGAATGCATGCCGAGAGCGATGCGCTGATCGACGCAGTTAGCACTGAAGACGCAATTGCACACATCTCTACTTACAAGATACCAAGGCTCAAGATGCAGGCGACCGAGATCTTGGCGTTGCGATTAAGCTTTACGTTCCAAAGTAGCGGGATAGGCCTGCCGGATTATGACTCGTTAGCCGTGTCCATGAGTCGCCAAGGATGCAACCACAATCTTTAACGAGACGTACATAGCAGCGCAGAACCAATCCGTCGCGATGTTGACGGCCGTAGTTGCATAGTAGATGTCGGTCAGAATCTTGGCGTCCTCGCACTTTCCGTCCTGGTTGGTGTTCCATGCATACCTGTTCTTGGTGTTAGTGCCAAAACACGTCCATCCCGCGAGCGGGCCAACTTACGAGACAGGCTTGCATTGGAAAATGATGTACAGCGCAGCGATGAGGTTCATGGTGGTGAACATGCCTGCCACCACATACTGGCTGTACACAAAGAACTTCCGGCCCGCTGCAATGCGAATCAACTGGAACGCAATGCTGAGCTTGATCGGGATGATGGCAACGCAGTAGAAGACCTCGAACATGAAGAACCACTGCCATTATTAGCATGCGCAAGCTTAGGGACAACTGGCCAGGCTTACCTTTAGGCCAATCTCCATGTAGGGTGCAACAGCAGGGTCATTGAACCTCCACGCGTGGACACCAACACCATTAAAGGCCGCCGCAATACATGATGCCGAAAGTACAGCGAAAGGCGGCTAACACAATTAGCGTCCGGCGTGCACAGGATCGGGGAAGGCAGCCGTACAATAGCCACAGTCATACACCAGTCATCCATACCCCAAGCGGCAACCTTTAGCCTGGTATACACTCGTAGGCCATACATCGTAAAAGCAAGGATCGTGATGCTGATGATGGAGCCGGCCACATGCGGCGCATTATCCAAAAACAACGCCATGGTGGAGGGTGCCTGGCGCGAAAGAGAGGTCGAAGTTGGGTATCAGAGGTGGTCGCCGACGGACCACCAAGTCTATTGCACGCGCAGCGGCAGTGTGGAGGATTCAGGCCCGCGGATCCGGTGGTATCGTCGAGGTGTAAAGAAGGCGGCGGAGAGACGGATCCAAAGCTGGGGAACAGGGAGTGTGTGGGTTTAAGCAGGCTCCAGACGAAACGGAAGGGATGTCAGAGACGGGTGGGAACGAGCGCTGAATGAATGAAAGACCTGGGGGTGGGCCTTGGACTGCGCCCGTAGCGAAGCAATGCCTGATGGGCCAGGACCAGGGCCGGGGAGCTCAGACTTGTATACAGGGCCAGGGCCTGGTAGCGCTACTGTCGGTGAAGTCCTGATCCCCCGACCTCTGGCGAAATGGGGAAACGCTCTGCGGCAGGATCTGGTGATGGCAGTGGGATCTAGAAGCATTTGTGCCAGGACCTCGGAACAGAGGGCGAAGTCTCTCATCCGCGGGACCCGTCGCTCTGGCTAACTTCTGGGCAGATGCTTGTCCGACGGCTCTTGGCGTGGAGGGCGCCTGGCATGGAAATTGGGGGATCTCGCCTTGTGGATAGTGGCATTGTGGATTCGTAAGAGGGTCTGTAACGAGACCGGTAGGGCTTGATGGTAGAGTGCTGCGTGCACACCCTGTCTGCCGGCAGCCTGCGATCACCGCAGTTGCTCTGGCGCCTTTGGGCAATTTCAGGGCGATCCCTCAAGCTTGAGTGGCCACGGGACCCCCGGCAAGGCAAGACGATGGCCGCCGCCGAGACCTTGGCCGGACATTGCAAGAACATGCAGCGGGGGAGCGGCAGACCAGGAATAGAGGCCTCCTGAAAGGAAGACGCCGTCGAGGGCCAAGAGTAGTCTGTCCAAAAACCGGGCGCCCGGGAAACTGGCATCTGGAGAAGAACTACGCGGTACCTGCGCCGGGGATTGTGTTCCCGACGGGCGCCAGGGCTGAGCAGCCGCTTACCAGCCGTGTTGACATATTCCCTTTGCCTATTGCGTGTTGGCAACTGGGCAAGCTCGGTCCGAAAACGGCGGGGCTAATGCGTAAAGCGAGAACGAGCCAATTAGTCTCAACGCCGAGGGCCAGACTTGTAGAACCTGTAGTGGCTGTGGTAAGATCTCGACCGAAACTGTAGCCAATTGGGCTGTCTGCGATTGGCGCCGGAGACGCTCTGGCAGTGCGAGATGTACGGTGCTCACGACAGCATGGGCGACGGGAGTACCTAGCTCGCTCGGGCTCGCGCAAGTATGAGCCGAGGCTCCGGGTGGTGAACAGCAGGTGTGATCGGCATCCCCCTTTGGGATGAGACGGCGGACGGCAGCCGGCAGGCCAGCGTCACAGAGGTGGGGCGGGGCGATCCGAGAGCTGGCCGTGTCCTGACGCTTGCCCCTCTGCGGCGAAGGAAGCAAGACGGGCCTTTTGTTTGGAATTGTCCCTCTGCCATGCGACGCGATGGGGGATGGCTGTGATGGCGAACAGAGACCAGTACGGCGGCACTCTGCGGAAACTGGAATGGCGGAGCGCGATCCGGCGTGCGGCGAGGTAGACAGGACAGCAGGAGGCAGATGACGATGTCGAGGCAAAAAGCCAGGGCGGCGCGCCACAAGCGAGCCCGCGCCGCATCTCGCTCGCGCGTGCGTCGGAAATAAAACGTCGATCTTCGCGATCGCCTCGACGCCATCACATCGTCGTCACCAGCTTCCGTCCCGATGGTGCGTCTCCCGACAATTCGCACTCGTCAGCCGTCAGCCAGCGCTGAGCAGCCTCGCGCTGCTCTCGACCTGCGCCTCTTCCCGTTAGGCCCGCTCCAACAGCTCCGTCGCTATCGAGTGTATTGAGCTCCGGAGCTAATGCACCTTGTGAGACATGCAATACGGCCTGGCCCGCAGACCTTCCCAATTTCTCCCTCTCCTCCGGCGCCTTCAGCCCTGCGCCGCACAAATTGTCAAACAGCAGGAAACCTCCCGTGCCGCAAAGTGGAGCGAAGTGCTCTCCGCAGAAAGGAAAGACGCCCTCACGCTCAGAGCTCGACAATCCGGCTCCCTCGACCGCATCCCCGACTCCACTGATGCGAGTCCACCGACGGAGCACGGCAGCCGCGGTATCGGGAGGCCCGTCGATGTGTGCCGCAAAGACCTACAAAATTTTCGCTGCGCTTCGTGAGGACCCGCTCTGCCCTGGGATCACATCCGCTCATCACCCGGGCCATCATAATCATCCCGCTTCCCGCTCGAGTGATCAGTGTCTTGGCTTGCTGTTTGCTGCACCCAAGCTCGCCAAGCTACCCGTCAAGCTCTGCCATTCTCGCCGTTTTATGGATGTTGTAGCTGGTCAACCGGAGAGAGCCCTGGTTATAGTGACAAAGAGGCCCTGGTGAGCTATAGCTCGCCTATCGGGCGCAGCATGTGGAAACACCTGGCCGCACTATGGCCTATAGCCGACATAACATCCAACGAAGCACTATTTCGGTACCTAGCAGCGTAAGCCAGAATGTCAAAAGGCCTTCAGAAGGTCCAGGCTCGAACGACAGGCAACTAGCCTCTATCTCGCTTAAGTACCACGGCCGAGTCTAATGAAGATGCATCGCGTATGCTTTGCGACGCCTGCTGCGAGATGCCCTCTCCTGATTACCGTGCTCGAACCGAGAGACCAGTCCTGAAAAGGGCATTGGTGATCGGGACTACATATGGTCCAAGTACGTCCCAACTGGGTGGTCAATGAGGGCTCAGCGTACCCATTGCTACGTAAATACTTACCCACATCAAACCGCAATCATCCCCAGTCTTTCCCCACGCCCTATCGTGCTCTCTCCTTGACTTTCACTCGATCAGAAGTGATTCTCGCAAAAGGTGGTACTCGCAACTGACCAAACCTTCGGCGGCTTTGAAGATGAGCGATAGGTCTTTACGGCAACTCGACGTCAGAACTCATTCATATCTCTCTTCCTCGATTTCATTAGAGCTATCAACAAGAGCATCTTGTCCAGAGCATAGAAAAGCACATCAGCAAAACCGTATCTTTGACCAGCCACCCAGACCACCAGCTCGGCAGCTCTTCCCCCAGTTCGGCCCGCCGGTTCCTCGGGCGTATCAACACTTCGTTACGTCCGGCGGTACCCACTCTCAGCCTGACCCTGATTTTCCGCCCCCCCCCCCCCCCCCC